TTTTTTTTCCTTCGGGCAGACTCTCGTACCAAAGAAATCTTGAAAGCCTAGCGAATATGCATCTGTGTTGATATTCTTCTGCCATGAGCTCTCCGACTTGGTGCTTGAGAAGTGTTGGCCGTGGAAAGTGAAATACATACAGTATACAAGGGGGGAAAATGAACGGCCGAGTCCAAAGCTACCTAGAAACCCTCTTCGGTGGCACTCGTCGATCACGACTGCACAAGTGTCTGTCAACACCTTTGGCGCCAAAGACACTGGACTCCCATTCATCAGCACCGGCGGAGTAAAGAGATTCTACTATTTTGGCATCTGATGTTAACGATCAAGACGTTGCTTTTCACATTGAGGAAAAGTGTCTTCCCTCAGACAAAGTGTTGTATGTATAATATGTTTGTTGTCGCACGTGGGCCCTGCCGAGGCGTCTACAATGACTGTCATTGTCAGTCATCGACTCGAGGGATATCGAAGTTTGGCAAAGAGTTTTTCCGTATTCAATTACGGTCGGTCCATGAATTTGAGCTCATTGCTTTAAATAGAGACATTTGGTTGGCGCGGGCTTCATATCTCCTGAAATCACTATTTTTACTATGCCATATCGATCAAGGCTTCGGAAGGCCGAGGGACAGATTCCAGCATTTATCCCTTCCTCAGGAATATTGTCTCTCTAATTTCACGGATCACAACCTCACTCCCGACTTCTAGGGGTTTATTTGAAGTAAGAGATTAATCGGTATCTCCCACTAAAGATGATTATTCAATGAACTTCCCCATAAGAATACGTCCCAGATTTCTCGAATTCACTGTAGTTGATCAATCGTGGTGCATATGCACTGCAGCAACCCGTAAGCGTCTCCATCGTCTCACCATATTTGCGGAGACAATGCGATCATGACCCAAAGTTAGACACTAGCCGCGTTTGCCATGCAAAGTACGCCGATGTAGGAAGAAGTGAAAAGATTTACACTTAGATGTTAAACCATGGATCCATATAAACCCTCGCCCATTAATCAACATTCCTCTAATGGTGATATTCAATTTGTTATCTCTCCAATGTCGACGTCGAGAGGGGATATGACAACTTGAGCCATGATGAATGCGTTTCCCAAAGTGAAGGTGTAGCCTATTAAGAGCTATGCATTCAATAGAGAGACAGTGTCATGCTTTGGACTGCTGATTATTTGTTCCTATTACATGAAATAACCTTATTTACCGCCGGGATCACTTGAACCCTTCTTGTGTAAGTCGGGGCATCTGGTGTCTACACATCAAGTTCGAACGTCCCTTGCTGTCGATGATGAGTCTTACTTGGTCTGGGCTACATTCCCAATGGATCCAAGATCATCTGCGGGAAAGATGGCACCTATTGAGTTCAAGGTTTCTAACGCCACAAGGGCGCCTATTCAGCAGCGAGAACCTGTAAGGCAAGCTTTCCTACCACCGGATATTTGCTACATTATGATGCCACGAGCTGTGTACAATACATAAATGCCCATGTGGTATGTATCTTGTAAGAAGGCATCAGGAGGCTTGAGTTAAGTCGCTTTTGGCGTCATGATGCGTCGATCACGACGTGATTCGAAGCGACGCCGGAGGTGGGCAAGTTCTGGCCAAGTGAGCATGATAGTCCTGCAGCCGCGCTTACGAGACTTCTAGCACCCGAACGCATCGTAATCAGAGGAATGAGGCACTTGCGGCAGAGCGACAACCCGAGACCCAACGCTGTGTCTGCACATTGCTCAATGCCCCTTCGGTTGACGGGAAAGATGGGGCTCTGTGGAGTTTGCTTCAGAAATTGAGACGAGCTATTTCGTCAAGACTCAGGCGACGTGAAGCATGGTAAGAACCCCTTGTCACCTATAGTTCACCCGAAAAGATTATTATACTGTCGCTACTATACGCGGAGGACGTGGGCAAAAAGCTTGGCTAAAACTTTAAAGTCAAAACACAAACAGCAGCGCTATGAACTAGCACGAAATAAGCCAGTGGGAAGAGGGGTCCGTGTTACATCGCCCCGTCATGATGCACGTTTCGAGAACTCCTGAACTGCTCCGTCGGCTTGGCTCCGTGTGACATACAGGGCTGTGGCACATATGGACATTTACGGAGCATCTTCAGGTTTCATAGGGAGCCACCTCACGCACGGGTTACTACGTCACGCGCTTCGCTTCTCCGTGTAAACCCAGTAACGTTGATCTTTTTCACATCTGATGCGTCGTGGAGACTGGCTCCGACTCATCTGGAGATCATGGCACCGATATGGTCGCGTAATGGCCACAGCCTGTTACCATCCGGACATCATCATCGTAACGATCCCTGTGGGACCCGGCTTGGTTTCCCGCAAGCAGCACGAGATGGGACAAGCCACCTCGTTTGAAAGACAGATCGTGAAATTCCCGTACATGGCTTGGAGTGCACTCGGTATCACGTCTGCTTGGGAAAACTCGCCCCAGGTGCCCTGGCCGAGGGGTGTGAACTGAGAAAAGCCCGTTGCGAACCTTGGCGGTCGGCTAGTAGCATTGCCAGGGGTCCAGAGAATAGTGGTGGGCGGGCGGTGGGCAATGGGCGATGTGCCTCGTGTGACCACCGTCAAGTGGTAGAAGTAAGAAAGAGGAATTCACCAGGGCTCGATGGGAACAGCGAGAGTCTTAAATAATGGCAAGAAGCGCATCGCCAAGCCTTCTAGAGTCTGGAGAAATAAGGTTGGCATTTAAAGTTGTACAGATTAACGCAGCTACTGTCGACTGATTATAGAATGATCTCAAAGACGTGCATGCAAATGGGCTGATGAGGGCGAAAAGTCGTACGATATTTTGCTAGGCTCAAACTTCAGACATGGGAGTTCGAATGATGTCGTCCGTTACCAAGACTCTGGCTCAGCGAGAGGGTGGCCCACCCTGGCATCCCTATACAAAAAGCTTGACAGCCACCACTCGGTTGACGCTCAACGGGCGGCAGGGGGATCAAACATATCAACCGAGCCGGCGCCCACCATCTACGGCCACGTCCAGCGGGATTGCGACTGTTGAACCAGATCGCCTCGCTGCCCAGCATGAACTGGGACACCACTAAACATACGACTAGCAATACCCTGTGGGACGAGGAACACAGCACTTGAGATCCGGCCCGAAGCCTCGACAGCGGACCTGGATCGGCGGTGTCATTGCGACAAGTTCCCCTTCGTGTATGGGAGTTGCTTAGCTCGCCGCCCCGCGCACCACGCGGCGCATACAGACGAAATGCGAACGGCTGGCCGACACTAGCCTGGAGAATGGGTTCTTCAACGCAACATGCCCCTTGCAAGAGTTCCTGACGCTGCGAGGCAAGCTGCAGCAGACAGGGGGTCTCTCTGAATGCCGACTGGCCGGAACGTGCAGCCAGAACGGGTCGTGGCCGCCCCCGGTCGTTGGGGGTGGCAGGGGGCTTAGTAGTTTCAGCGTCCGCATCGGTCGCCAATAGGGGCCCACACCTCCGCTGCAGCGAATCCCCGGCGCCCAGCAGCCGCCGGGGAAGCTCTGTCACGGCCAAGAGGGTTCCTAAAATAATCGACCGCCAATTCCAAGCCCAGATCGAAGCTGTCACCCAGTATCCAATGCCATGTGCCCTCTTTGCTTCTGTCTAGCCGCCCAATTCGAGCATGTCTTGCAACGGCGTGCCATATTTACCGTAATCTTCCCAACCCGGGAATCTGGTTCCAGAAGAGTGATTTCCTCGATTTCCTGCCCTTTTGGCTCGAGTCTTTTCTGCAGCAAACACCGTAACGTACAGTAGAAGTGAGCGCCTCGCGGCCACCATCATCCACCCCTGCCGAAACACCAAAGAGGCTGGAGTACTGGAGTACACCCTTGACAACGCACCCCTCAAACGCTGCTCGTCTCATCCTCTCCATCCAACTCACGCGGCGGTCTACCTGCCTTGACTGCCATCTGAACAGGAGCCCCTTCGGATTGACCTGATACCGCACCAAGGCCAGTGCGAAACCGCCTCTACGTCTGATCTACGGGGAATTATACCCTGTCCTTGCTGCCGTTGAGGGGGCAAAGCTTAGCTTGGCCATTGTCGTGAGCCTCAATCTTTGATCGACCCGTGCATCTCGACGTCGTGGCTGCACGGCCGAACCAGCGCAGCTCTTCACTCGCCTCTTGTTCTGGTCTCATCATCACGCTGGGTCGCATGTTTCTCTAAGCCCTATCGCCACACCCCATGCGAAAACACACTGGACAGGCATTATCACAAGTGGACAGGAGGTTTCATGGGCCGCTGACATCCGAACAAATCAGTCTCCTCCTTACTGCATAGGGACGGTTCTGTCGAGCGCCGGATCTGAGCCCACCCTTCGATACCCCGGTCCCACCAGTGGCTGCTGACAGTCCGTCTCGTAGCTGGCCCTGTCTTCCTTGCAACATCATAACCTTTATGACTTTCTGCCCGCCCTGCATCCGCTGACTTCTCTTCCCTCCCTCTTCCCATCACGGCGCCAAGGACGTAGAAGATCCGCCTCTCCCACGAGCCCTTCTACTTTCACCATTCATTTCACCTTACCTGCTGGCTCAGATCGCTCTTTACCTGTCGGATCGTTTTCGTTTCTGTATCGGATTATAGGTTTTAATTTGTGCGCTTGGGGAAAGGGAAAGAAAAACAAGGAACGAGGAGAATATACAAGAGTCAGAACTGGCCATCGATTTGGGATATTCTGGAATCGCGAACCGCGTCCATCTGGATACTCGACAACAAAACCAGCCGTTGGTACAGTGGCTCACGGAGCGGCTCACGTCTGTACTGTCGCAGGTCGACAACTTAATTGGGGTTATACTCAGGGCAAGAGGAGGAACAGTCGACCGGCACGATGGGTGTAGGCCAATTGTTGAAGAAGCAGTTTACTGCTAGCAAGCTCATCTTCCACATCCTATTCTGGGGCATGCACTGGGGAATTTTTGCCTATGGATGGTCAGTGGTGTTCAAAAGCGTCAACATTCAAGGGGAAACTATTGTTAACGCTGTCACAGGTACAAGCAAGAGTCCGACATCAGATTGGCTGGTTTGAATACTCTTCAGTTTTCCGTATGGCTGTCACGAGGTGCAGGTCTGGTGCTCTCAGTCGATGGAACCATCATTCTGCTGCCGGTTTGTCGAACTATCATGCGATGGATTCGGCCCAAGGTCAAGTTCCTGCCACTGGACGAGAACATCTGGTTCCATCGACAGGTCGCATACGCCATGTTGCTGTTTACCATCATCCACACTGCGTCCCATTACGTCAAGTAAGTTTGACAAACACAAGCAAGCGTACCATGACAATTCTGACGCTTTCTAGCTTCTACAATGTTGAGAAAACGCAAATTCGGCCTGTCACCGCCATCCAGATCCACTACGCTCAAGCTGGTGGAATTACCGGTCACGTCATGTTGCTTTGCATGTTGTTGATGTACACCACTGCTCACCAACGCATCCGACAACAGTCATTCGAGACTTTCTGGTACACGCACCACCTCTTTATTCCGTTCTTGCTGGGTCTCTATACCCACACGACTGGTTGCTTCGTCCGTGACACCGCTCTGCCCTTCTCGCCATTCGCAGGTGATGATTACTGGGGTCACTGTATTGGTTATCTAGGATGGCGGTATGAGCTATTCGCTGGAGGGTTTTACCTGATCGAGCGTCTGTACCGTGAAATTCGCGCCAAGCGAACCACCAAGATCACCCGCGTTGTCCGCCACCCATACGGTAAGTTATCCTCGGTGAGGGCCCGTACGGCCACGTCGACTAACTTTCCTTGTAGATGTCGTCGAGATCCAGTTCAACAAGCCGTCTTTCAAGTACAAGGCTGGACAGTGGCTCTTCCTTCAGGTGCCTTCAGTCTCGAGCTTCCAATGGCATCCGTTCACTATCACGTCGTGCCCGTACGACCCTTACGTTTCTGTTCACGTGCGACAAGTTGGTGATTTCACTCGGGCTTTGGGTGATGCTGTCGGTGCCGGTGCCGCTCAATCTAAGCTCTACGAGGGAGTCGACCCCATGGGAATGTATGAAGTCGCATTGCAAAATGGTCAGCAGATGCCGCTGCTCCGAATCGATGGCCCTTACGGAGCCCCAGCCGAGGACGTGTTCGACAACGAAATTGCTGTTCTGATTGGTACCGGTATTGGTGTTACACCTTGGGCTTCCATCTTGAAGAACATCTGGCATCTGCGCAACAGTCCCAACCCTCCCACGCGTCTTCGCCGTGTTGAGTTCATCTGGGTGTGCAAGGATACCGGTTCCTTCGAGTGGTTCCAGACGCTCTTGTCCTCTCTTGAGCAGCAGAGTACTGAGGCTGCCCGAGTTCCTGGCAGCAACGGTGTCGAGTTCTTGAAGATTCACACCTACCTGACACAGAAGCTCGACATGGACACCACGCAAAACATTGTTCTGAACTCGGTCGGTGCGGAAGTTGACCCTCTCACTGAGCTCAAGGCCCGTACCAACTTCGGCCGACCCAACTTCCAGAGAATGTTCGAGACCATGCGTGATGGTATTTTGGACCGTTCATATATCAGTGGTTTGGAAGGCAGCATGCAGACCACCGTCGGAGTGTACTTCTGCGGTCCGTCCGCAGCCGGTAAGTCTTCAATCGATTATACATCTATGCTCAGCTCTAACAGACTCCTCCAGCCCGCTCCATCCACAAGGCTGCTAATGCCGCGACCGTGAGAGAGGTCAAGTTCCGCTTCTGGAAGGAACACTTCTAGATGTACATAATACAATTCTCGGGTGCGCCAATTTTACCATATACCCTTCCTGGGAGTTCAGTCTTCCACTAAGTCAACTGGGCCCGACAACCGAACGGCCTTGGGAGGAGGAGAAGGCGAGTTGAAAGGGGAAGCGTGAGGCATGCGCGTCGTGTGCATTTAGCGGGAGTTGCATAGCCCACGACGGATTCATCACACGGAACACCATCCAACAGCCAGCAATGATGGTGCAGCCTGGATGGCATCTAGGGCCAAGGTGAACATGGGTTGAACACTATTTACTATACAGATACTTGCACTTCAATACTTGCACTTGAATATGACTTCCAGAATGGACTCATTCTCATAATTCTCGTCATCACTCGTGGCTGTCGTATACGTGTTGTGTACTACACACAGGAGTAGTTTCATAGCTTATTCCTTGATCCTCTGGGACTATAACTCGTAGTAATAATGACATAGCAATGCCCGTCAGTCGAACCATGTCGAATGACCCCGTGCCGTTTTCCCGGGCCGAAAGCCAATGAAAGGCTCCGCATGACTGATCCTTGCTGGGGTTCCCATTGTTTTGTAACCTTGTCTGTCGCAGTTCTCTGACCTCCATGCTTGGCTGTTTTCGCTGGCACCAGCCTGAAAGGGGAATTGGAAGGCTTGAGCCAGGCCGACCACGACCGGGAGCGCTAGCGAGAAAAAAAGCCCTCCTCATGGCAATCATCCTGTTTTTCGGCAGCCGTAGCTGTCTTGCACGGCTAGCGGGCGAGGCCCGGTGTTTGTTATGTCATTTATAGATCAGAGTGTGGGGCCGGGGCCGAACGCCCAGCGAGTGGATACCCCGGGTGGTACGAGTAGGCACCTGCGCCATGCCCGGGCTTTCCTACCACCTGTCCTTCGAGAGGGACTGGTCCGCGTCCCACCCGCAGAGCCGCAGCATTCAATCGACACCACGGAACGGTGTGATTGATGCTGTGGAACACAGAGAGCACCCACCCGGAGAGCCCAGTGCAAGAAGAGACAGAGCCAGCAGGCGGACCCCGCATGCAGTCGCCGCACTCCCCGTACCCTCGGCATGGCAGCAGCCGCGCTCTTCGGCAAGCTAACGTGCGGCCTGTGCGGCTTCGTCCCCCCGGGCGCCCAGCCCGACACCACCGGCTGGGCCCAGTACTACCGTGCCGTCTACTGTGTCGGCCCGGACCCCTCCGCGGAGCCCACGCTGTCGGGCGTCGGCTTCCAGCGGCCGCAAGACCCGGAGCACGTCGTCCCCGCCGCGGCACACCAGCGCCTTGAGGAGGGCGACCCGGGCCTGTATCCCTCGGCCGGTGGCCTTGTCCGGGTCCGGGACGTCAAACCGCCGGGCCCGGAGGTGCCCGCCGAGGAGCAGGTCGACTTCGCCTGGGGCTTCGTGTTTCACGAGGCGTGCTGGGCCGTGTTGGAGCAGGCTGTCACGCCCGCCAGCGTGGACGTGCCTGCCCTGTGGAGGGTGCTGTGCAGTGTGCCGTGCGGCAGCGATGTGCCCAATTGGGGCCACAATTATGGTGGACTGTACATGGGCACCATGAGGGACCAGACCAAGGGTGAGCATTTCGTGCTGCTGGGGAGAAACTCGAACCTGGTCATCCCCAGCACCTTCTCGGATCCCTACAAGGTCCCGGAGATCGAAAGGCTGGTGGCCAACTTGAGGATCAGGCCGAGTCCGGAGAGAGATGAGACAGATAACGGCGGCCCAGAACCAGCGGTCAGCAGGGGCAGGAAGTCCCCGGGCGGCAGTATGGGAAATAAGGACCCGTTTGCTTTGCTTCCCACGGAGCTGAAGGAGCTGTTGCTATCATATACAGAGTCGCCGGCAGTGGCGAGCCTCCGGCTTGCGTCGCGCGCCATGGCCTCGATGCCGCTCACGCAGCACTTCTTCAGGTCCAGGTTCTGGCCCGAGCGGGAGATGCACGCATTCTTCGACGCATTCCTGCTTCCCGAGAGCGAGGTACGGGGAACCGACTGGACGAGGCTGTACTGGCAGCTAAAGACAAGGCTGAGGTTCAACCGGGTCTGTCTCGGGGAGCGCAATCGGCTGCGGATCTGGAACCAGACGATAAAGCCGTTGACCGAGGCCGTGAGCCAGATTACCAAGATGAGCCCGCTCATGGGAGGCCCCGACTGGATATGGGATACGCAGGGAGCCGATCTAGAGACGGACTGGAAGATCCTGAGCACGTCAAGGTTCCATGCACCGCTCGCCTTTGGAGAAGTGCGGCGAGCGGTATACAGGGCTGAGGTGGAAATCCCTGCCGACCGACTGACTGGCGTGTTTATCTCCTTCGTCCACTTTTTCAACACGCGGTATATCACGGGGCTCCGATTCGTGTCTGAAGGCGGCTCTGGCGTGGAGATTGGGTATATCCTGAGCAAGGCGGAAGAGTACCTGCCCGTGTACGGCTCCTTGGACGGTTTCTTCTGTGCCGTCGATGAGTGCGGGTTTAGGGCTCTGGCTCTTCTTACGGGGCAGCATATGGTGACCGAGTACTTATCATGGGTAGGCGAGGGCGATTCGTTGAGTGTGAGGCCGTTGAAATCTTCGGGAACGCGCCTGAGGAAGTTGAGAGCATCGTTCGATGTAAGTCAAACTAAGCACGCGCGTGGACACGAGGACAAGTACTGATTCCATAATTAAGGGCTTTCGATTGCAAGCGCTTCTAATTCCTGAAACCTGAATGGACGGCCCCAATGAACCTCAACGAAACCGACGTGGCCGACAGGCCCTATGAAGTGAAGACTGTCAAGGCTGCCACTTTCACGGCCTGACGCGATTCTACTTTATCACCCACGTTGGACACTGAAAAGGAGATGGTACTGTACAGTAGTCGTTACTCAATGTTAGGCCACGGCCCAATTGTATAAGAACCTGACGTGTTGGATGACAGGTCAAAAGCGCTGGATTAGGAAGACTTTTACTCTCTTATCCACTACAGCTGGCGTAGAGAAGAAAAACGGCAGGACATGTATCGTTGATATCCAAATATGACTTTAAGACATGAGTATATTTTAACAGTTTGAGCATCCCTTGGAGAGTGCGAATGTGTTTGTGTCTCGACTTTTGATATGTTTAATCGCTCTTTGTATTGACCCGTCGTGAACGCTTGGCATAAATGCTATGCTGCCACGGTAAACTCTCTGCACGTCCGCAAACGATGGACACACTGTCGGGGTCCAAGATCTTGATTTGCAAATCAATCACGAGGGACTGTTTCAGAATCATTATTTGCGATCGCTATCTTGCAGATCTCCAAAATTTTGTGCGTCCTGGAAATCTGTATGGAAATATGTGCTCCCACTGTAGTCTTCTAGTCTGTGCTATTGCAGAAGTGGGTTTGGATGAAAGGCCGCTAGAGACAGAATAGCCGTCCCGTTGATATTAGGCTAAATTGCTCTTCTGCAGCCCCATCTCGGGGCTCGGCGAAGCCTCTGTATCTCTGGACACCTTGATATAATGAGCGGCCCACTATTGAGCCAAGAAGTACGTCGATTGTGCATTCCAGCCAACGTGACGCTGGGCCTAGTATCACAGGTCTCATCAGGGGCGAACCGAGAGCAAGTTACACCGAGCTATGCGCCACTCTTTGCAGGGGTGGTACTCTGGCGGTGCTTTGAATGTGTCTGGCGCTGGCCTCTGATTCGTGCGTTTAAAAGAGAATTGTCCCCAAACCAGGCGACCACATGGCAGAGCTTCCTGCCCCTTGGGCGACGACGACAAAGTCTTGCGGCCAATGCACAATAGCTGGGATCCCCTAGCACCAGATGCAGTATGAGATAGATACCCGACACGTAGAGGGGCGGGTTATTGTCCCGCGCGTAGCCTCGCGTGGAGGTGTCGGGTCCCCTCTCTCTGCATAGGTATGATGACACGCTGAAATAGAAGAAAGGGAAAAAAAAATTAAAAAAGGTCGAGGTATAAGAACCAGATCCCGCCGGCCAACCCGCCCTGTTCGGTCTGATGTTCTTCTCCCCATGCCTTCTCTCCTGTTAAGATCTCTTGTCTCACGAGCCCCCTCACGAATCCCCTCACGAGTCTTCACGCCCGTCCTCAAGCGAACGACGACAGCAGCGGTTTTCCCCCGATACAATCACAGCAGCGCATACAAGATGACGCCGACCATCAAGCTGAGCAGCGGCTACGAGATGCCCCAGGTGGGCTTTGGTCTGTGGAAGGTCGACAACAAGGTGTGCGCCGACACCGTCTACAATGCCATCAAGTCTGGCTACAGGCTGCTGGACGGTGCTTGTGGTAAGTGACGAGGTCCCTCCCGCACACGTTGCGCTGCGCGTGCGCATGTCCAAATTGGTCCGCCTTCGAGCCACGACACGGAATGCTTCCCCATGACACTTGGATCCATCGGTCCAAACCCACATCCCCATGCACATCTCGGGACAATTAGCTGTGTAGAAAGCGAGACAGAGCTCCCAGAAGCTACCCCTCACTCTCTGCCGGCTTATTTGTCCTGTCCCACTGTCCTGTCTGTCGCTACCCCGCTGTGGAGCAATGGGCAAGTGAACCCCAGGGGCCCAAGAGACCCGAACCCTTGTCGTCGCCCATTCGGAGAGACGGTCTCAGCCCCCATTGGCGTTCCCCCAGCGCCAAGCACCTGGCCGACTCCCCTAGCAGCCGTTCCTGGGTAGCCTCCCTCAACCGCCGACATCACTTCTTTCCTCTTGCACGTGCCCCGTGCCCCGTGCCCCGGCGCACTTCTACTTCTACCGTTCCGTTGAGGACGACTCCCGCTGACGCAATGGCCCGTCCACAGACTACGGCAACGAGAAGGAGTGCGGTGAGGGCGTCGCCCGCGCCATCAAGGACGGCCTGGTCAAGCGCGAGGAGCTCTTCATCGTCTCCAAGCTGTGGCCGACGTTCAACGACCCGGAGCAGGTGACGCCCGTGGTCAAGCGCCAGCTGGCCGACTGGCAGATCGACTACTTCGACCTGTACCTGATCCACTTCCCCGGCGCCCTCAAGTTCGTCGACCCCTCGGTGCGGTACCCCCCCGGCTGGCAGTACGAGGGCGACAAGATCATCCGCTCCAAGACCACGATCCAGGACACGTGGCGCGCCATGGAGGCCCTGGTCGACCAGAAGCTGGCCCGCAGCATCGGCATCTCCAACTTCCAGGCCCAGCTCATCTACGACATGGTGCGCTACGCCCGCATCCCGCCCGCCACGCTGCAGATCGAGCACCACCCCTACCTGGTGCAGCAGGAGCTGCTCAACCTGTGCAAGGAGGAGGGCATCGCCGTGACGGCCTACAGCTCCTTCGGCCCGGCCTCGTTCCTCGAGTTCGGCTTCAAGCACGCCGAGGCCATGGTGCCCCTGATGAAGGACCCGCTCATCACCGACATCGCCGCCAAGCACGGCAAGCAGCCCTCGCAGATCCTCCTGCGCTGGGCCACCCAGCGCGGCCTGGCCGTCATCCCCAAGACCAGCCGCGCCGAGGTCATGGCCCAGAACCTGGACTGCACCAGCTTCGACCTGGCCCAGGAGGATATTGACAAGATCTCCGCCAAGGACGGCAACATCCGCTTCAACCAGCCATCCAACGTAAGTTTCCTGGGAGCCATGTTGAGATTTCACACGAAAGGGCCGCAAGCTAATCAGGGCGTAATAGTACTTCGCTACTCAGAAGATGTGGATCTTCGGTTAAAGCAGCCGACGAACACAAAATCAACATTCAGTACACACCACGCCCACGCTAGAGGTCTAGGTTGCCGCTGCGCAGGACTCTCGTCACTGGAGATACACCTCCCGGGGACACAAGCGAGTAGATGGTAAACAGTTTTAGACCATCTGATGACTATCCCTATATCATATTCTCGTAGTCGAGGGCTGAGCATGGTATATGTGCAACTGTAACCCGAGGAAATAAATAAATTAAAGACCATCTGGGCGCGAGCCGTGGGCGTCTTCTCATGTGAAACTCTCTTCTTCACCATCATCCGCAAGGGGCAGCCGTCGTATTCAACTGCCTGTTCCGAAGTCGCGATTTGATCGACCCTTCTGACTGTATTCTCTTCCCCAGAAGTGCTGTGTAGCCTTATGATATCACAACCCCCGAGAATTACCCCAAACGCCAGGCTATGCAATATGACATGACTGAAAAAGTCTCATGTTCTCGTCAGGACTCGGCGTTGCCAGACAATCAAGTTCTGACGAAGGCTGTGGGAAAAAGGGTCAGTCATCGTGATGCTTGTGAAGGAGCCTAGTAGGGAGAGAGAAAAACATACTGGCATCGATCTGTGACACCTGCGGCAGTGCCAGGCGCACCTTGTTTCGGTACAGTGCGGGCTGCCTGAGCTGCAGGGGGTTGCCCTCCAGGTAGACAGTGGTGAGGTTTTCCTTGTCGGCCAACGCCCGCTCCACGTCGGCAAAGTCCCCGATCTGGTTGTAGCTCGCCCAGAATTCTTCTATCTCCTTGAGGCCCTCGAGGCCCTTGAGGCTCTTGATCATGTTGTTCGAGACGTCCAGCACTCGCAGGTTGGTGTTGCCATCCAGTCCCTCCAGGCTCTCCAGGGCGTTGTGCGAGATGTACAGCTCCTCGAGCTGCGGGGCCTGACGCAGCGGGGAGAGATCCTTGATCCGGTTTGACTGAATGCTGAGCAGGCGGAGCTTTGGCAGGCCCGAGAGGCCCTGGATCTCGGTGATTTTGTTCTTGGCCAGCCACAGCTCCTCGAGGTTCTTCAGAGAGTCGAGGTTCTTGATCTCGCGGATCCTGTTGGAGCCAAGCTCGATCTGACGCAGGTTCACCAGGGTTTCCAGGCCCTCAATCTTGCTGATCTTGTTGGCCACGAAAAACAGGTCGGTGAGCTTCGTGAGGTGGTCGATGTGCTTGATGTGCTTGATCTTGTTGAAGCTCAGGTCCAGCGTGGTGAGGTTGGTCAGGTCTTCGAGGCCCCGGATGTGTGCAATAAGGTTGTCGTAGAGGTCCAGCTCCTGCAGCGTGGGCCCGAGAGACGACAAGCCGTCCATGTGCTGGATAAGGTTCTGGCGTAGGCATAGCCGAGCCGCGTGCCTGAAGCGTTCGAGCCGGAGGGCCGGAATGTTGCCGATACGTGACTGGATGAGCGCAAGGTCTTCAGTCTCGGGGTCCTCGTCGTTGAGCAGATCTACAATGGGAGGGCCAGGTTAACCACAAGACCCCAGAGGACACATACTGGGGAAGCGCTTACCCTCGTCGGCCGAGATCTCCTCGCCGGGCAAGACATTCTCGTCGTCCGAGTACTCTGGATCCGAGATGGCCTCGGGGTTCTGCAGCAGGGCGGTACGGTCTAGGCGCAGCTTCCCGTCCCAGCCTTTGCTGTCCGTGAGGGCCGGGCTGTGGTCGCCGTCGGCGCGTTCGGAGTGGGCATCGTCCTCGACGAGTTCGATATGACGGCCCGGCGACCGGCGCTCGGCGTCGCCGTTCTCGTTGGCTGGTGCAGACATGGCGATTTTGGCGGCAGGTCGGGCTCGAGATGTGGTGGCTGTGGTGTTCTGGAGGATCGCCGTGGGAGTGGAAAGGGCCGCCAGCAGTACTGGGCAGTCGAGAAGCTTGTTTGTTTATGCCCTGGTTGCGTCTTTCTGCTGGGTCCAGGCTAGATGGGATCTACTTCACCTCAGTCATGCACTGGACTCGACTTATCTTAGGCAGAGGAGCCGGTTGTCGCCTGCCGCGGGGCGCCCGTTGGTATCGAGATCCCAGGGTTCTAGGGCCCCACCTGAAGGACGTCAATAGCGGGGTGCCAGCAGCCCGTCCGTATGGCGTGCCCCCGTGCCTGGCGCCTGGAATCCACCAATTCCAGCTCGCTTGGCAAGCCTCGGCCGGTAGCTAGGTCTATCCAATCCATGCGGTCAACCGCAGCCAAATTATGTGCGCTCTCTTCGCTTTCACTTGAGAGCTAGTTAGGCCGTCTTGGGTTCTCTCGCCGACGGAGTATTCCCTGGGACTTCCTATAGGCCTGGATCTGTATGCAGCTGCTCGCACCTCCCGGACCCCCCTGACCCCCCTGCCCTGCATATATCTCTTTCCAATAATGCCCCTTCTACGTCCAGCATGCTGCCTCTCAGCCGCGCTGCCGCCGCTGTGCTGCGCACCCGGCCCGTGCAATCACGAGCCTCCACGCTCTCTCGCGTCGTGATACCCACGTTGCCGTGCAGGAGGCATCTCCATCTCGAAGGGGTCGCCCTTGCCCCTGTCTACTTTGGGGGTCTGTTCGTTGCACTGTGGACATGGAAGTGTTGCATGCTTGTGATATTCCAGAATAAGATTATCTACATGCCGGGTATGCCTCCGAATGCCCGGTGGGAGAAGATTGAAGACTACTCCAACCAGTGTGGTGGTATCAAGTGGCGAGAGGAGAGGACTCGGGCCACTGACGGCACAGACTTGGCCCTCTGTGTTGCCGATCTTGACATCGGCCAGCCGCCCAATGGTTCGGAGACCCAGAATCCAGACTCAAGCGTCTATATTCTCTACTGTCAGGGTTAGTTCTCACACCTAATCCCTTTTCGCTCGCACCTGTGATGGCCTTTGGAGAGAAAGCTTTCTAACAGTGTTTCCCAGGAAATGCCTCTTCTACGCCGCCGAGGCTCCCAGACTTATCGTCGGCTTTGTGTATGCTGAAGAGACGATTGCATGAAGATGCTCATACCACAAGGATTACCTTCGTGTGCCTCAGCTACAGGGGCTACTGGACGTCACGGGGTCGTCCTACTGAAAGAGGGATCCGACTCGATGCTGCTGCGGCACTTCAGTGGATTTCTCACCTTCACGAGAAGTCCACGACCAGAGATGGCACAGTATTAGGCTCTTTAGACGCTCCTCGGCCTGCCCAAGTTTTCCTCTGGGGGCAAAGTGTCGGTGCTGGCATCGCTACGAATCTCGCAGCTGAGCATGCCATGCCAAGCAACTTGCGCCTGAACTCTCTGATCTTGGAGACGCCATTTACCTCTATACGTGCGATGCTGGAGGTTCTTTATCCCCAGAAGTGGTTGCCTTACAAGTACCTATGGCCTTTCCTCCGGAATCATCTTGATAGTTTGACGAATCTTGGCCTGATCTCCTCCAAGTACAAGGATAGCCAGACATCGCCCCGGATCCTTATCCTTGAAGCCGCCAAGGACGAGCTGGTTCCCGCAACACTGAGCCAGAGGCTTCACGACCGGGCTGCTGAAGTTGGTCTTGATAGCGAGAGAAGGGCCGTCAGTGGAGCATTCCACAATGACACGATGTTCCGAGCTGAAGGCCGGAGAACGGTTTCCGAGTTCATCGCCCAACGCATAGAGTGCACTACATAGGCTCGACATTTCGAACTCGCTGGAACTGTGTCAATCATGCCTCTCAGCGGAGACACTTCAAGCCCATCTTTACCACTTGTACTGTTCGAGTACAACACATACCAGACCCTCCAGACGGCCTGCATTGGCCTTCCACCTTGTTTTAGACGCAGAACTGAGCTTGGAAGACAGCGGCATGGATGGACCATGTCTAGTGCATTTGTAACCAGCCAACTACCAACAGAGATGGAGTCGTACGGCGTTTCGGGTTGGTAACCGGGGTGGAGTTAGAGGATCATCGGAGTTAGTCGGTGTGGGCGCCTAACAGATCGGAGCTATCGACACTGATCGAAGGGAAACAGTTATAGCGGAGACGCAGTCCAAAAGAAGACCTAATTATTCCTTGCAGATACGAATTGACGTTTTGTGTACACGCCTCGGATGCAACTGACCAAGTCACTTGTAGGCAACCTGAGCAATCTTCTGAGTCTCCAAGTCGAAAGTACAACCATCCCCCTTGACACCAAGAGACAGCTCCATGCCACACTGGAAGGCAATTACCGTCTGGAGTTTGGGGATTAGTCCAAGCCCCATGGAGAGTCATCATTATTCTCGATGAACCCAGCTTTCCGTGTATAGTCAGATCCGTCAATATGAGCGAGGTGAAGCAGGTGCCGTGATCTAACTAAACCCAAATGGACGGGTGCCGGCTACTGAAGACCCGAACACGAGCTTGACCGTCTGAGAGGTTTGTGGACGCAGAATCCAGCTTGAGCCTTGGCTAATGATTCAAGTCTGGTGCCATTGTCGAGTATTTGATCGATACCTACGATACCAAATCGACCCTCTCGTGCCCCAAGTCCAATCTCAAGGAAGCAACTCAGTACCAAATATGGTCGTACTTCCAGTGCAGCGGGGAGGGCCCCTTTATTAGTCAGCTGGATTAGTTCGGGCACCACCGCCCCGGGAAGACTCCCTCTGTCCTAGAGCGCTACACGAACGAAGTCCTCAGATTCAATGGCATCATCAACTTGCACCTGGCGACACAGGGCACTGATTATTTCGTCGGCAATCAGTGTACCTACGCAAACCTTATGTTTTTGACCTATATTAGGGCGCTTGCCACCATTATCGCGCCTCTAATTGACGCGACCATCCACGAGAGGTATATGGAGTGGGTTGAGCAGCTGTACTCTCGACCGTCAGCGAAGAAGGTTTTGGAGATGTGGGATGAAGCGATCGCGCTTACAAGTGATGAAGCCCACTAGCTCGCTAAATCTGCTGCAAGAGAACATGACTCTTGATCTCTTGAATACTCTTGCTAGTGGACGATCTAAAAGGGCTAACTAGACCTCCAGTGGCAAATGGTTGATGCAGGACCAAGAAAACAAGGTGTTCTGCGCCAAATGAATTTGATACCCTCTTGAATAATGGCCATATCACATCTTCATGTTTAACTCGCTCATAAGCACGCGGGGTGGATTAAAGACTTACATTCTATACTGACTCAAGGCCTACAAATGGGAACATGCTATACTATTGTGAACTTCGATTGTATATCTTAAGTGTTTACCAGGAGAAATCCGATATTACTCACTATGATAGTGCTTTTACACAGCTTGAGTGAACACTCCTGTGTAATTTCAGCTGAACATCTATAGTCTGGGGGCATAGGAGAATATCTCCATCTGAGTCCTCCGACAACCTCACAAAGTCCAGAGCCATGAGGGATTAGAAGGGGTGCAACCAGGATAAACCTCACGTCCTTTTCGAAGTACTAAACGATGATATGTCGGTGGCGTTTTCCCTTATTAGTAATACGTGTATATGAGGCGACATTCACAGATCCAACCGACTGCTCATTCAACGAATAGGGTGTCATATCAGCGTCACTATGCGTCCTGGATCAATGCTTCACAAGATTACGGAGTTTTCAGGCCTGCAAATTACGACCGACTGGATCCGAGCCAATCGCGATCTTCACACTGCCTAGAAGGATTTGTGTTATAGTGGGCTCATACATGTTAGACAGGGATCATGATATAGAGGTGGTTATTTTAGCTCGGACTGGAGTTAGGAGTTACAGCATACTCCTTTAGTTCTAGCGCGGGCCGTTTCGCGAGACCCTGATTATAGAGTACTCAGACATCGACGGCTTATGTCCGTTCCATCCTCGTAACGTCATTTGCTTGTGCGCCAGCTTGCTTGTCTCTGCTCAGATGATACGCGGTGACGTCGCTTGCGGAGGAACTATTCTCTTCTCTCCGAAAATATAAAAGTAGACCCGCCCTCTCAACTTCTTGTTACTTTAAGTTTGTATCAAAAGGGATCCGCGTAACCTGTGGTGTCCTACCTATTTGCCTCAACCTGGCTTCTTTATAGCCCGTACACGTGTGTACAACCACCATAGGCCCAACTTCCACTCTTTTACAATTTACACGTCTTCTACCCCCATTTTCAACGCATTCCTGTCCTAAGCAGCACCACTCCAGCTTACTACATACAATCGGGTTTAAGCCATCTCTTCGAGGGCCCGAGTATTTTGGGCAAGATGCCGTCCATTTCTGGTCAATCCGTACTCATTCTCGGAGGCTCGTCGGGCATTGGCTTCTCGGTCGCCAAGCTGTGCCTCGAGCAGTCTGCTCGCGTCGCCATTGCGTCATCCAGCCAAACCAAAGTCGAGGATGCCGTGAAGAGACTCTTGTCTCAGGTGTCACAAGCTCGGTACGAACCCAAGGGCTACACAATTGACCTGAACAGCCAGGAAGTGGAGGAACACTTGCAGAAGCTTTTCTTGGACGTTACAAGTAAGGGCACTGAATTGCTGGATCACATCGTTGTCACAGCTGGAAAGCCCGATTTCCGTTCTATCAAGGACGCCAGCCTCTCGCACCTGGCCAAGACGGCGCAGATGCCGGTGTTCGTTCCTGTTCTTGTTGCTAAAGTAGGGACCAAGTTCCTGCGCGAAGGCTACTCGTCTTCCATCATTTTCACCTCCGGTCAGCTTGGCGAGAAGCCTATGCCCGGATATTCTGCCTTCGCTGGTCATGCCAGTGCTCAGTATGGATTGACGCGCAATCTGGCTGTCGACCTTGCCCCTCGGAGAGTCAACGCTGTCGCACCTGGTGCCACGGAGACCGAGCTCTGGGGGGAACATGCGGAAATGCTACGGGACATGGCATCCAAGTCATCGTTGCTGGGCAAGCCGGGGTCGCCCGAGGAAGTTGCAGAGGCTTACATTTACCTCATGAGGAACACGGACGCCACGGGTTCTATTGTATCTAGTAATGGTGGTGCAACACTGAAATAGGTGCTCACACTGGCAACTATCAAGAACGTATGTATACAGTACGAGGAGCAATTGACAGATCCAGGTGCTTTCTAATATATGGCACTCAGCAGAGGTGTTCCTTCCTATGATGACGCTGCTGATAATTGACATGGATGTATATATGATTATGTTTCGGTCCTTGTGCTGGGGTTTGGGTTCAAGGGCCAGCTTCGCACCAGGACCCCAAATCGCCCGGTGAGTATCCTGCGCACACTCTCCTTGCGGGATCTGTAGCCAAAAAGCCGTGACAGCAGTGCCACCTCCTTTAAACGTGCGATAGATCTCTATGACCGCAGCAACGGGGTCTTCGAGAATAGGCAAGCCAAACGACAAAAACACGTGTGAGAAGGCTGAATCAGGGAATGTGAGCTTTTGCACGTCCACGATGGCGGCTTTCGATGGCCATTGTTTGGCTGTCGCGATGTTGTTGTAGATACCAACCATAGGAGGTGCAAGATCTGTGACTTCAATCTTAATATTGTCAGGAGGCGATGTGGCAATAATGATTTCTGTCACTGGTCCTAGGCCACATGCTGCGTCATGGATGACCGAGCCTGGAGGGAAAGGAGGAAGCAGAGTCATCTCGTGCTTGGCAATGCCAAGCGTCTCGTCAGCTCCAATGATATCAAATAGCTTCGCATTGAAGGGCATGGCCTTGTTTGGAACAAATCTGCTAAGAGCAGCCATCTTGCTAGTTCGCCCACGAGGGCAAGCCACGCAACTCGGAGGAGGGGTTCTACTAGATACGAAGGGACGGGCGCTACGATTGTTTTTTACAACTTACGGAGTGATCAACAAGTGGCACGGATGAGCTGACTGCTTGATGGCGGGAAAGGAAGACAGCGCTGTGAATATATCTATTACCGTGTAGCTTTCGGGAGACACAATTTATATGCGAAGCTAGTGACTTTGCAAGTGGCAAAAGGATGACTGGGAAGTGTATCGAGTTTACCACGGGCCACAGCCTTCCGATTTCTTTTGTCCAGACTGGATGTAAGATGCGACTCGGTGGCCGACGGACCAATAGGCCGGGCGTGCATCGTTGAATATGCTCCTCCCTTGCGTCCCTTTTCCTTGTCTTCACACAAGGCTGCGACGAGTGTCTGCATGTTCAGAACAATGAGCACCCCGAGTACCAGAGAATGAAAAGTGAGGGGTCACCGTCATATTCGCCACAGGCTATAAGCAAACATTCCATTCCTAGAGACTAAGGCTCTCAAGTATAGTTACCCATCGGCTTCTAATACTAATGTCTGGGAAGTACAGGAACGGGACGACCCAACTATCGGCTTCATTATTTTAGTAAAACCAAGATGGGTGCTCTACTCCTTTGGAAGAACTCCAGGCTCAACTCTGGATCCTGAACCTACTCACTCCAGGTAGTGTTGCACAAACACTTTCGCCGGGAGACGAACCACACTGTCGTCTTCATCTTCCTCCGAGTGCCCGCACCAAGTACCTCATTGAACATGAGTCCTACGCACATCAGTTAGCATTAGATATTGGATGCGCGGCTGGTTGGACGGGAAGTCTTCCCTACTAGAACAGATGACGTTGTCGGTCTTACCAGTCATATACTTTGGGACTATTAGCCTGTTATTGTACCTTTATTATGCCTGTGTGAATTTGTAAGACTGATATCGACTTAAAATCCATACACATTAGTCGTTTCCAGAAGAAATAAGCGAAATACTGATTTAACACTGGATTTGGAAGCAAAGGGCCAGCGCCCACGCCTGAGAACGAAGTAGGCAGGAGACACTGTCATTGCACATCAGAAAGCCTCATATCCAACGAGATTGAAGCTTATACCAGTTCCATTACGTCAAGCTTCATTCCTCTTCCAATGAGCGAGATCACACGACAGTGGAAACCGAAACATAGACTTAGAGGGGCGGTGTGCATTTGCAAGGAAGTCCCCGGACGAAACACTCGTCCACGCTCCTCGACCTGTCATACCTTGACTGACTTAGCTAGTTTGATATCTAGAGTACGTCTGGAGACTTCCTCTTACGTAGGCCGACATATCTTCATAGTAAAACTGAGGCATGAGACTACGAATCCAGTCTTCGTATGAGTGAATCTGTTCAATGCTCCAGAAGGCCAGTAGGCCCTAAACTGCAGCTAAAGCCGATTGTGTACAGTCAAGATCTCTACCACAGGATCTGCACCTAACACTTTGTTCGTATTCAAGAATGGAATTTGTTCTTAGTGGCGGTCTGATCCAGTTGTCGTGCAGGACCTAAGCCAGCAGCGCTTCAACTCACATCCCGCCTCTATGCTGTGTAACACACCAAGTATTAAATGGCCTTTCCGGCTCACTTTTGGAGAAGTCAACAAGAACTTCTCCAAAAAGCCACTGTTTGAAAGATACTTTCTTGGCTTCTTGGCATCTCACGGGATAGTATACAATGATCCTAACAAACGTGCTTCACACCGAATCACGCCTTAGACCAGGACGAGCCTTGAATGGTTTGTCTCCTCTGACATATTGTAGTGCGCTTTGAAGATTTGTCGTAAATCTATAGGTGTATGTTATTTGCCCTTTGGGTTAACAAAGTTTCCAACAACAAAAACTGTACTTCCCATAGCATGGTGTTGCTCTTACGCTACATTCCTTTGGCGATGGCCGATGTCACCATGTTTCCTGTTCCCCACCAAGCCATTGTACGGTCAGGCTAACGCTAGGTATCAGCAGGCAAAGGTTCAATCATCCGAGACCCGTCTGTAAGACTTGCATCGAGTATGTTCCGAATCCTGCATCGGCATGCGGCCAACTACTGGCGGGGAACTGGCGAGGCGCTGTATTGGTCCGTGCTTCTACCTAGTGCAAGATACCCAAGAGTCGTCGTTGTGAAATGCGGAAGTCTGCACGTTGAAACGCCTTATAGCGGCAGAATCAGAAGGGCTCCGAACCTGATGCGCCTTGCCCAACACAAATGGCCAGTAGCTGCCGTATAGTGCGAACTCTGGAATGGGGCGAGAGGCTTATTGAGCTTGACTACGCTCATGGTGTAAAATAAGCAGCAGAAAAACGGTTGTGGTATCCGGAACGACCAGATCTAGCCTTTCGCCTTGCAGAACCGTGATGCACAGAACACCAACCAACAGCGTTTCCTGGTACTTCTGGCAGGCATGATTGCAGCACGTCAATACAAATTAAGTAATTGAAATAATGAAGTCAGACGGTGGCGGTCGACCGCAACTCAATTTTCTCGTGTGTTTTGCTGAGGCGGCATAATATTGTGCATTAGTCCCTGAGCCCCAGTGTAACCCAAGGTCAGCCCCATGCGGGTACTCTTCCCTCATATTGATCCGGCTATGGCCCAGAATTACACTTTCGCAGATCGTCTATAGCTAATTCCGCTCTTCTCGGTGACGAAACCGAGATACGAGTATTATAGAGGTCTGTTGGCTTTGGTTTACCCCGCAAGGTCGACCAACAGCCCTCTGTAGAAAAGTATAAATGAGGCGTGATTTCATGCCCGGATGTTGCAATTTCTACCTCAACCTTCAACAACTTTCATTGCCTTTAATACTGTGACAACTATTTAATTCAACCTTGAACCGAAAACGTTCATAATGCATATCACCAAGCCCTTGATTCTCATCGCCTCCCTCCTGAGCGCATCGTCGGCTCTCGCTGTTGGTGATGCCAGTATGTACCAAGACCTGTTGGCGCTTGTGCCTATCACTTGTACCTGACGTCCTCACTTTAGACACTGAACCCGACGTCGCCAAGGTGAAGCGCGACATTGACACCCGCGAAGCCGAGGCTCTGTTCGACGTGCCGTTGGCCAAGCGGGCTTGTAAGAGCAACGGATGCAAGTGTGCAAAGGTCAAGCAGGGGCAGTACTGCGGCATGTGCGATGCAGTTACCGTCGCCGGTACTGGAGGCAACTTCCATACAGACATATATGAGTGCAACCCCCAGGGCGGATGCTGCTGGTATGGCCCATCGAGCACGTGCGCCGGCTCTGATGCACAGGACAAGACACACTGCCCAAATTAGGGAAGATATCAAGCTGGCGTGAGTGTAATAGTTCCTCCATGAATAGGCAGCCAACTTGTCACTTGGAAGGGAGAGGGCAACTAAGCGGGCAACGTCACTCCTTTCATCAAGAATTTCATAACGAGCACTTATATAACTATATGGTATTCTTAAGGCCTGTAATTGGCATGTGTGTCTCGTCTCCGTATTCTGCTCCCAGGTCCTTAAATCGTTTGTAACTCCGTGCCTAGCGCGGAGGATTTTGTATGCAATTTTCGTATAGCATACCACGCGTCCGGGGCCATATAGCATCTACGAAATCACTTAGATAGTGCAATCATTGTAATCACCTCCTGCCAGAAAGTGCCGGCATACGCGACTTATGAAAATGTCTAACTGTGTGTCTATATGTTATCTCTGACAGTCTATATATGCCGCGATCGCCACAAGGCTTCTGGCGCGCGGGTAGTTTCCACGCCAACCCAATGTTTGGCAGGAGATCTTAATTACTCTACAACTCCCAGTCCTTCATTAGTAACCCAGGATCGCTCCGCAAAATCAAAGGGAGCTAGAGATTCGATGTAGGAGAATCTATTTGGCCGAGATTGATTAGGGGAGGATCCAAGAGTGCAATTTGCGTGAGTATGACAAACTAAGCCGATGTAAGAAATGTATATAGATGATAAACGCATTATGAGTCCTCATTTCAATCGACCGTTTCTGATAGAAGCCCACTCAAGACTGTCCGGCGAAAGAAAAAGGAGTTGGCCGTGATCATTGTTCTTGATCCTGTGTTGATGTTGAAGTCCACATCAACTGGACGCTTTCCTAGTCTGACAAAGCCAACTGACTAGCATTCCGGTGGGGTATTTAGAGCAACTTCGTTTTCAACCTCACACCTAACAGCGCACTAGCCTTTGCACGTCTGAGTCCCCTAGAATGGGACCTGTGGCTTAGATGACTTAAGTTTCACAAAATCAGGCATCCGATCAGAGGTAGTAATGACGGCACAAGGCACGCCAGCTGCACCGGATGCGGGCTCGTCCACTGGACCTCACGATGGTATCACACTTCTCGTGGTCGAAGACAACAAGATCAATCGCAGGGTAGGCCACTGAGACACATGATATCAGAAAATATACCGGTGCTGACATGTGTCTCTCTCGAATCCGTAGGTCTTCGAGCTATACTGCGATAAATACGGCCAGCCATTCGTAGCTGTCGAGAACGGCCTGGAAGGCGTAGAGGCCGTGATAAGAGAGCCCGACCGCTTCCGGTGCATTCTCATGGGTGTGTGAAGAAATCGATGCAGAGCCCACCAGAAGGAACTCAGACTTACCCGGTGCCCTCCAATAGATACGGCCATGCCGGTCATGGACGGCTTCGAGGCGACGCGGCGGATCCGCGAGTTCGAGCGGGCCCGCGCCCTGCGGCCGGCCGTGATCGTGGCGCTCTGCGCAAACACGTTGGCGGCGTCGCCGGCGCGCTTCGGCGAGGTCGGCTTCGATGCCGTCATGTTCAAGCCCGTGCCACCCGACGACTTCGGGTCGCGGCTGTTCGGCCCCGCCGAGACCAACCTCGTCTTCCAGCACGGGCGGCTCACCGAGGCCGAGCGCCGGCCCTACCCGCGGTGGCCGGTGCCGTGCGAGGAGTGGCGGCAGCGCCGCCGGCGCCAGGGCCTCGACACCGGGGCTCGCTCGTACGACGATCTGGTCCGCAAGCGTTACCATAGTATGGTAATGAGCAACATTGTGCCAGAGCCTATCATGCGGCTCAGACTCTTCCCGCCGCGGGCCGTGGTGCTGCGTCGTGGCGAGCTTGACGTGCAATGGGATGATGAAGAGGGAGGAGATAGTGTCACTTGAGAAGAATAGAGCGCCTCGTAAGCTGACCTGTAGGATGATATGCACTGGTATGGCATCTGTGTGCTGCGCAGGTATCAGTGAGCATACTGCCAGGAGACATCATTGTAAAGTGACTACAAAGATGGAGATACAGTTAAACTTTGTATTGTACGGGAATATGAAAACAATATCTATTCGTCATCCTCAGAAGACTCGTCGTCCTCGTCCATCGAATCGGCATCCTCCTCATCCTCATCGTCATCGTCCTCATCGGCACCATTGAGCTCTAAGGCCTCCTTCTCCTCTTCTTTCCTCTTGCGGTCGTCTTCTTTTCGGGCCTGCTCAAGCATCTTTGCCTTTTCAGCACCGGCCCTACGCTGGGCAACCACGTAAGCACCAACAGGGGTCTTCTCCCACTCAAAGTCCTTCAGGAAGGCATCCACTTGTGCGCGGTCCTTGGGGGCAAAATCGACCTTTGCTCGCTTGCCCTCGATGAACTTTGCGTTGGCCTCGAGCTTCTGCACCAGCAGCACCAATCCGGATCGAAGTTTATTGTTGTTGTTACCGCCAGTCTTCCTGCGCGATTGCTTGAGCCAGCGCTTCAACATGATGACGACGGGTAACGCGAATTCAGGGAAGGCGATGTTGGTCGACCAAAGTACGAAGTACTCTGAGAAAAGATCTACGACTTGATCACCAACGCCATCCTGGAATATGCGCGTCCGTAGATAAGCCTTCGGAGCTTTGTAGTTGACGTGGAAATCCAGGGGCTTCAGCGTAGCGGCCTTTGGCGACTTCCTCATCTCGGCCGAGTTGAGGACTTCAAGAAGTGCAGAGGCCAGGGGAATGTACGTTCCGGTGGCTCTGGAAATTCGCAGCAGAGATCGAATCATGTGGAATCGGAGAGGGAAGTAGATGGCTGTAGGAATGAGGCGCATGGCTCCGAGAGTCACCTGCACCAGGGGATAGACCAGGAGCTTGAGCTGCGATTCCTTGCCAGCCTCGGCCTCCTTCAAGGGGCTGCAGTGCTCTGCGAGCACACAGGACCAGAAATCCAGAGAGTGAACATACTGCCAGTTGTAGACATTTCTGTACGAATCGTTCTGGTTATGTACGATGCTGTTGCGCAGGTGGATGGCCAGTTGTCTGATGAAACTGAAAGCAGTCGTGTAGCCGATGTTCTGGTCAATGCCCCACAGCTCAGCTGCCGAGTTCTTCATCAAGTTGATGCCCTGGACGGTGTTGGGGTTGGTGACACGCGATCCTGCAATCAAGCCCTGGTAGGTCGCTTTGAGGACGGCCTCCCGGACGCCCTTGTCGCCAACCACAACAAGCCTTCGCAGCACCAAGAAGGCAGTGATTCTTGTCGAGTCGCTACAGGTGGATTTGCTCCAGTAGCTGACCACGGTCTTGATCAGGTTCTTCAGCAGCTTCCTGAAGCTCAAGAGGTAGGGGATCAGAGGCGTGATGGCCGACAACGTGAGCTTCAGGGTGCCGTCGTCGGACAGGGTGTCGAGGAGGTGCAGGATGGCCGATACAAACGACTTGAGAAGCATGGACAAGACCTTGAACTTCTTGGAGTCTGTCGGGACCTGTACTTTGCCAGAGGCGGACTCCTTAATGGGCACATGATGTTGCAGCACCTCGGGGATCTGCTTGAGTGCGACAATCAGGATGTCATGGAAGACCTCGGGACTGGATATCGAGTATCGCTGGGCCCTCATACCCTCCTCATCCTCCTCGTTCAGGTGCGCAGCCGAGCGGAAAGCCAGGACAACCTGTCGGGCGGCTTTCAGCGAGTGCTTCTCGGTCAGCGCCGCCTTCCACCGGGCGACCATGGCCTGTGTCAGCTCGTTACTGCTTTCGTCGGCCTCGTCGTCCGAGTCGGCCTTGGCAGCGGCCTTCTGGTCCTTCTTCCTCTTCTTCTTTGGCTGCTCGTCCTCGCTGGCGCTCAGTTCGTCGACCTCGGCAAGATCTGCGTCGTCGAACTCGAGGGCCTCGGGATCGTTCTCCTGCAAGAACTTGTAGAACTCGGGATCGTCCTTTGCCAAGGCGTCCATGGCCTCCTTGCTCATGCCAACATCCTCGTCGTCCTCGTTGCCGGATTCCTCGCTGTCGCTGGCCACAGGTGCGGCGGTGTCATCGTCGCCCGAGGAGAGGCCCAGGTCGCCACCCTCATCATCGTCGTCGTCACCATCGTCGGCGGCGGGGGCGTCTCGTTTCCGCTTGCCGAGCTTCTTGGAGGCCTTGTTGCCGGGCTGCTTCTGGTCGATGATCTCGAAGCCACCGCCGAAAAAGTCGTCGACGCTCATCTCGCCGACATTGGCCGTCTTGCCCTTGGGCTTGGGCTTCGCGGAGGCGTCGTCATCGTCGCCGCCCTTGTAGAACTCGGCATCCTGGGACTTCTTGCCCTGCTTCTTGGCCTTGACCTGGTGGCGCTGCTTGACCTTGGCGGCGGCTTTCCTCTGGTCCAGGACACCCTTGAGGTGCTTGGACTCGAACTTCTTGGTCGCCTTGAAGTTCTTCTTTGCGCCAGCCATGGTGATTGGGGTTCGACCACGGGTGTGGTGGGCGGCAGGCTGGGTGGTTTGCTCCGTGGATTGGCAGTGGCAGAGTGGTGGGACGGCAGCCTCTGGGACTTTTCTGGCGGCAGCTTTCCCATCAAGAGTTTAGAAAATTTCGGGCTTATCGCTATCGGCGCCTGGGGCTAGCTCTCAAACCGGCATGGCGGCAATGGGCCGAGTGGCAGGTGGGCAAGTGGGGTTCCAGGCCCGTCGAGTCCAGCGCTCCACCCAGCCGACCCAGCCGACCCAATGGGCGGCGCAGGAGGCTACGTATGTATGTACACAGTACTGGCTCACTCAACACCAGAACGGCTACGAGTTAACTTACACTCCCACTCTTGATTGGCGAGGTCAGTACTCATTCGCCGGTGCCTGGCATTCTCTCACCGCACCGTTCTATGGAACTTTGAACCATTGCAACCATATTCTCATCATCCCCCTGTCACTCTCCAAACCTGCATACCCAAGATGATATCGAGGCAGGCATATGCCCCGACACCCCACAGCTATGTTCCCAACACCACCCTGTCGGCGACTATTGACCTCGACGAGGTAGATCTTCCGTGACACTTCTGTATCTACACACGCGCTGACCGCCACCTAGGAGGTGAAACTGGCCGAAAGTCGCGCAGAGCGTGATCTACATGACTCGCTTGCCGAGATCTTCTCCATCATTGTGACGCTTGACGAGCTGGAGAAGGCATTTCTGAAGGATGCTATCCCCGAGGCAGACTACACAGAAATCTGCGAGCGTTCACTGAAGCAGTACAAGTCCATATTGGCCGATGAGACTGTGGCAAAGGCCTTCGTCGGCCTGGAGGAGTTCAAAGCCGAGTGGGATGTACGTGACCTCTCTGTCTCACCAAAGTGCGAGTGGAATTGAGGCTAACTGGATTCATCAAGCTCGAGGTTCCGCGAGCGACGGAACGTCTCAAGGTTGGCATGCCGTCGACCGCAGTTAACGCCTCGACTGGTGCTGCTCCCACTCCGGCTTCGACGACTAGCAACAAGTCGGGTGCCCTGATCCTGGAGGCCACCCAGGACTTCATCACGTTCCTGGACGCTCTGCGCTTAGGTCTGTTGGCCAAGGACCAGCTACATCCGCTCTTGACGGATGTGATTCAGAGCGTCAATAAAGTGACAGACCGTGATTTCGAAAACAGAGGGAAAATCATCCAGTGGCTCATCACCCTCAATCAGATGAAGGCGACCGAAGAGCTGAGTGAGGATCAGTCCCGCGAACTCGAGTCGGATATCAATTCGGCGTACATGGGCTTCAAGAATATCTTGACATAACCAAGCCTCTAATACCTCCATACCAACATCGCTCGACCACTGGCCTGATGCTCGCTCATCCATGCTTGGGCACAGCACGTGAGGCATTTAGAGAGGATAGCGGCTTGTCACGTAGATGATGGCCTAATGTGGCGACAGTGGCCTCTATCTTGCGGTAAAAGGAAAGGAGGTACTTGGACTTGGATGAAACAGGACACATGTCTTGATGCGCATAAGAATGACCATGCGCCAATATCTTCCACGCCCAGGGCCGTTTGTTGCAAGTACCAAGAACAAGGTATGCATCAAGCTGGAAGGGAGACGTGCCGCCCCAACTTCGGTTCAGATAAGCGCTCCATTAATCCGATGGGCGTCGCCAGACCTTCAACTTTAAGATGTCATGTCATGTCGATAGGCCACGCGTTGCAGCTTCTCACATTCTCCTTGGCGGCCATGACACAATGATAAATCAGAACGGGAAAGGAAATGTTCAAATGCATTGATACGCCAGGGTGTGCATTTGCTGATGTTTGCTACCTAGCGTGAGGATCCCTTTGTCTTGTTATGGCAGAATTCCAAGCCACAAAAGCTGAGTGCATTGCAGCCGTTTCAGCCGGAAACAGTCGGAGCTCAACATCGTTTCCGGGCCTTGAAAGAGAATGCTCACTTAAGCGACGCTGCAAGCTGCTACAAAGAGTGTCAACGCGAACCTTTTCAGATGACCATATAAGTGTAGACCCAGTGGCACGCTCTCTGCACTGGATATCTCTTACTCAGGTGCACCCATAACTTATCACCACCCCTTTCTGCAGTGGAAAACTGCAACCCACCTGTGTAGCTTACAGCCATTCACCACCGACCCACCATGAAACCCGAGATGAACGGCTCGTCTCGGCCTGGGGATAAAGCCAATAAAGACAGGGTCCAGGACGGACGCGCGACCAAGTCGTCCAAGAAAGCCTCCGGATACGCTGCTTCTTCCAAGAAGAGGGCCAAGAATAGACATCTGGTTCCACCGGAATACCTCGAATCCTTCGACACCCTGACCGCCGCCGAGCTCGGAGAGTTATGCAGGGAGCTTGATCTAGACATCAGGGGCGGCAAGTACGAATGCTGGCTCCGCTTGTACGAGGAAGGTGTGTTCGGTAGCGAGAGCGATGTGAAGCGCCCTGGCTCTGCTTCCGGTTCCGATTCCGAAGAGGGCGACGAGCCCATGCCACCTGAGGATATCTCCTTGCCGCCCGCACCGGCCCCAAAACCCCCGGCGCCTGTCCACCCGTGCAAGATCGCTCCGTCACTGCCGAGGAGGCGGGTATGGAAAGTCCCCGCTCCTCCTGGCCGTCCTCCGATAGTAATGCCCAAGAACCCGCGCGCCAGGGAGGAGGACCTGATCGGCCCGTGGGTGGAAAAGGCCCCGGCGCGCAAGATTCCTGCTCCTCTTTGTCCTGGTCGTGCTCCGATAATAAGACCCAAAAATCCGCGCGCCAGGGAGGAGAACCTGATCGACCCGTGGGTGGAAAAGGCCCCGGCGCGCAAGATTCCTGCTCCTCTTTGTCCTGGCCGTGCTCCGATAATAAGACCCAAAAATCCGCGCGCCAGGGAGGAGGACCTGATCGACCCGTGGGTGGAAAAGGCCCCGGCACGGAAACGCCCCGCCTCACCGCGCGGTACCGCCCCTAAACCGAAAGGGCCACTTGCGCCGGAGGACCGGGCCCCAGGAGGCCCTCGTGGACCCAAGAGGAAGAAGATCCAGCCCCAATACTACTACATCCCCATCTACTACCTGAATATGGACTGCGCCGATATCATGGCCCAATTCCCCGAGCTGGCCGAGATCCTCTTGTCGGCGCGGTTCCCGCCGCGCGACGACCGCCCGCTGAACGACTTCCTGGAGTTCCACCCGCAGATCCGGCGGAAGCTAGCCGTGCTCTCCCAGGAGGAGGGCCTCCCCTTCCCGGATGACGCGGAACGCAACCCCTGGCTGCCCAAGGGGTTCCCTGATGCGATCTTCATGGACATCATGGACGTAGTGCCGGTGTTGTGGGATCTCTGGCAGGAGTGGGAGGACGATGAGAATGCGCCATCCCTGTGGGAGAACACCGAAGGCACGGTGCGGACATTCTCGCCCTCGCTGGTCCATGAGCTCACGTTCTTCGACGTCGTGGCCGAGTACCCCGCCTGGCTCGTGTTGCTGGAAGAGGCCATCCATGACGACAAATCACCGCTGGGTCTCCAGGAACCGGACGACCTGCATTTCCTGCAAGACAACATAGCCGGCTCTGGAATTGAAGACGGGATGGAGAGCGACGACAATGAAAGCGCGGGCGAGTGGGAACAGGACGAAGAGGAACAGGATGAAGGACAGGACGATGAGGGAGAGGACGACGAGGGGGTGGACGAAGAGGGTGAGGACCAATGCGGTAGGGAAGAAGAGGATGAGGAAGAAGAAGAAGAAGAAGAAGACGAGGAGGAAGCGGGTGACGAAGAAGCAGGCGACGAAGAAGCAGGCGACGCAGAAGAGGGTGACGAGGAAGAAGGTGACGAGGAAGAGGGTGATGAGGAAGAGGTTGACGAAGAAGAGGGTGATGAAGAAGAGGGTGATGAAGAAGAGGGTGATGAAGAAGAGGGTGATGAAGAAGAAGAAAAAGAAGAAGGTGATGAAGAAGAAGGTGAGGAGGAATATGATCAAGTGATGGAGGAAGTAATGGAAGATGTTGGGTGTGCCGGCGACGATGATGGCGAAGAGGATACAGAAGCGGAAGCGGGATGCCAAGGGTGTAGTTAGACTTCCTCCTCTGTCCAAATTTCCTGATCCATGTCGTGTAAGTAATATGGGGTTGGTCCTTAGAAACCAGGACGAACTCTTCATACTGGAGGAGCCGTCACTGAACAGTGGTGTAAGAATCAGCTCGTCCTTATTGGGCCAGAGTGTTTGAATTTATCTATAGCTGAATATTAGTTGCACTGAAAACTGTCCGAGACGATCTAGGAGTGGCGTGGTATAGCATACAGTCTGGCCTCTCCGCTTGAATTCGCAGGCCTGCGCCCTAATGTACATACCTCTAGAGAGCTCTCCCCCTCCGTCATAACCTCTAAGTGGTACGGCCGAAACCGACGGCGCTGCCATTCTCTTACACCAGAAAGGTCCAGAAACTCGGGTAGACGAATTCTTCCTCGAATATCCTCCTGACCTGCTCTAACACAAACCGCTCGACCTTGCCGACGTTCTTGAGGCTCTGCTTCGTGCCCTCCCGCTGGCCTATCTCGCTCTCGACCCTGATTTCTTGGAGAAGTCCGCCCATGCGCCCACTGCTCCGCTTGTCGCCGGCCCCCTGGACGCCCTCGGCATCTTCGTCTTCGTCGTCGTCCTCGCCCACGGCAGCCACGGCGTCTTCAGGACTCAAAAAGCAGAAATGGACTCTCTTCCTGATATTCGCGACGACGCCAACGCCGTCGAACGACAGGCCGGTGATGTTGAGCTTGACGGGGATGCCCACGAAGCTGGGCATGGGGTAGTCGAGCAGGATCTCGGCCGTGAGCATCAGCTTAATGTCGCCGGCGTAGCGGATGCGGAAGACGGCCTGCATGTCCTCGACGCGGGGCTCGCGGAAGCTGCGGGCCTCCTCATCCTCGCCCTGCTCGCGCGCTCCGCCGTCTTCGCCGCCGTACTCCTCGTCGATGGCGTTCCCCATCAGCGCCGAGGCGTCCCGGGTCGGGGGCCGCGACGTGCCGACCGACGTCGGGGCCAGCGTCGACACGCTGTGCTTCTCCCGCAGCGGCGGCTGCGACTGGGGCTGCGCCGACGTCGGGAAGTCCTGGAGGCTGATGGAGCTCTGCGACGGGTTCCGGTTGTGGCCGCGCCCGCTCCAGCTGCCGTAGCCGCCCGGCGATGAGGGCGACTGCGGGTACGACGACGAGCCGCCGCCGGACTCCAGCCAGCCGTTCAGGTGCTGCGCACCCGCGACGGCGGCCAGCGGCGTCTGGGTGCCTGACCAGCCCGTCGCGATGTGCGAAGGGAAGTAGTGCATGTTGGCGGTGCCGCCGGGGATGCCCGGGGTCGAGACGCCGAGGCCCAGGAAGGGCGAGCTGAGATCCGGGGTGCCCGGGGCGCTGCGAAGGCCGGCCGTGTGGATGTGCGGCGGGAAGTTGCCATGGTGGTCCGGGATCCCGATCCCCGGGGCTGGGCTGCCACTCCGGCTGCCTCTGCCTGCAGCACCGCTGTCGTTGCCGCCCAGCCGCCTCCTGAGCTCGTCCCTGCGCCGTCTTTCAGCGGCTTTGATGGCATCCGGCACGCCGTCGTCTCCCGCGCCGCCTCCGGCCCCTTCTCTCACATCGGGCTCATCGCTGTCCTCCTCGTCTTCCTCGTCCAGCTCATCCGCTTCTGGCATTTCTTCGTAAAAGTCTGGCAGTGGGTCACAAATATCCTTCAGAGTGACCCGGGGCGGTATAGAGCCGAACTGGAAGTCGTGGACTGTAACGGACTTGATGAAGCGCGGCAGCTGCACGGCTTGGAACTTGGTATGTATGAAGTCACGGATGCGGAGCGCGAGCTCCTCGCCGTCTGGGCCGCCGGTCAGCGTTTCCCAGTTCAGGTCTATAGACATGCTTGAGATGTGATGTGATATTCAAGGAAGCGAGCTTAGATCATCACGTCATCTGCAATCATGATGCATGGTGTCTTGTCGAGTTGAGTGGTAGAATTGAGAATTGGCCCTCATGAGCCAGGCCCGTAGATCTTACAAGCGTGGGTTTCGTTTCGGCGGTGCTGAAAATTAGTGGGGTTCCAGGTAGTCGCCAGCTGAAAACCAGGGCGAGCGTCGAGTTAGCAGGGGCGGGACGCAGGGCCCTGCACACAACCAGCACAGCATGGCTCAGATCAAGGCAATTCGTACACACTGCACTTTGTCAGATATTTCTTTCAAGATCTCGGATGATATGTATAGAGATGAGATGGCGCAAAAATAAGTTCACAGAAAGTCGAACGGTGTTGCCAAATGTTTCTATGGTTGATATCTGTGCTGCCCGTTTTGATGCAGTCGTGCCGGCTACCAAACGCCTCGCAGTGAAAATGTTCGACTACCCCTATTAAATTTCAGAGATCCAGACCCCCAAAATGCTTCTCAGCGTCATCATGGCTCTTGAATCGTTAAAAATCATACGTCTCGTACAGTGGCAAATTGTTCGCTAGTCTCCTCGCCAGCAGCAGTCATCTCGACTTGGGGCCGGTACGCGTACATAGGCAAGTGGAATGGATGCCAGCAGTTTGGCGCTTCGAGGATGTATCTGCACACGGGGTCAGTCATCAATTCTGAATGTCTCGTGGACTGGCGGCTTACCGAGCCATTGCCTCTCTAAAGCGCGATTTGTACTCCTTTGGACTAGTAACGGTCGGCCTGTTGCGACCGCCTCCAGCAAACCCGCGCCCCTTGATCCAGCTCTCTAGAGTCTTGTCCCAGGTGTAGGTGCGAATGCAGTCGATGATGCCAACAACAAGCTCTTTTTTGTTTTCGTCCACGGCAATCATGAGAGAGTAATCCATGACATTCTGGCGGGCCAGGAAGAGGGTGTCGTTTCGGACGGATGCGCGCAGCGCCTTGATTGAGTGCTCTCGGGCAAATAGTGGCGACTCATAGATGTACTCAACCATGTTCTCGTCAAGTAGAACCTCGTTCTGCTCACCCGTGGACTGAATCTTCCTGTTTCGCATTGACCCCTTGAGGTCAAATATCCTCGACGGCGCTCTATCGTAGAACAAGTTCTCCATAAGGAGTAGGTCTAGCTTGATCTCCGTATTCGTGACCGGATTCTTTATGATGACCTGGAAGAAACCTAACATCTTCGCGATCACTGACGGCAGGTCACGGAAAAGCGATTCGGCCATGTACTCAAAGTAGGAAGGCGCAAACTTGAGAAACGCAGAGGTTTCAATCGGCGACAAGGACTGCAACTGGGTCAGCGTTTGGCGCAGGAAGGGATCGAGTTTCAGCTTCACTTACTTTCATCATCAATCGGTCATCCTGTGTCTTCAAAAAGACCGACTTGGTTTTTCCGCCCTTGGAGTCGAACTTGAGACAGTGAGAGAGCGATTCCACGATACGATGAGCCACGCCACATTTTCTTCGCAGAGCATCGAACTGTTCAGAGTAGAAAATCTTGACGAGCATCTTCGCAGACCCTTCGTTGAATTGATACTTCAGGTGCTTACCGCCGGGTCGCACAAAGCTGGCCTCGAGAGCAGCATCGCTGACGCAATCTTGGTCATCTTCCATCCCCGAGCCTACTCCGCCTTCTGTATCAGTGCCGCCTTGTTCGGGCTCCGGAATTTTGCGGCCGTGCCATTTCCTCGCCTTGGCTCGGTAATCATCGCAATCGAGCGCAAAGGCTATCAAGGAGCTCGGTTCATCCTCACGAACCACGATGTCGGATCCAGTGAGGAGATGCTCCGTCGCGCTGATTGGGTATTCGAGAGCTGGCCACTCACTTGCTGATCTTTCAGCCCAGAAGTTTGTGAGGGCTTTCATGAAGTTCATCTTGTCTTGTTTAGGAAGCTCCAGGGGAATCTCCGTGTTGGAATCGAGGGAGTCGGCAATTTCCTCTAGGGATGTTCCCTCTAGAAGCGAATGCTCTGTGTCACTATCGCCGTGCTCGTCATCAGTCGCGATCTGGCTCATATTGTGGGTCTGATCATCGGTCTCAGCTTCGGTGACAGTATCTTCGTGAGCTTGACCAGCTTCGACCGGTGACTCGGGATTGTCTGCTGGAGCTTGGGTCTCTTCTTGCTTGGGAGTTTCGACGTGTTCGTTCTGTTCGCCTGTTCTCGTATCACTAGGCTCCCGGTCCATCAAGGAGTCTTCCACATTTGGCCCGGGCTCATGGACTGCATCATCAGGGTCTTCATACACCTCAACAATTGCCTTGGTCTTTGAGCGCTGGAGGAAGGCTCTGGAGTGGGACATTTTAGCAGCGCGTTGCTTCTCATCTTTCCGTCGTTCTTTCTCAAACTCTCGACTGAGCTGTTCGAAGTGCTTCGCCAGAGTTGACACTCTCGAGTCCTTCTTACGCCCAACAAAGCGGGGGATCGAAGACTTGCCCGCATTTCTCGATCGGAGGCTGAAAATCTTCTTGTCGCTTTTCAAAGACTCGGTGGTCGGGACTTTGCGGACCTCCATTCCAGGGGGGTACTCGGTGGTAGGCGTTTTGTCCTTGTCCTTGCCCAGGCCGAGTAGCTTTTTCCCCAATGCAGATTGAGAACGAGGCAGAGTAGGCATAGTATGTGCTGGCTGCGATAGAGCGCGGACCATCGGGGGAGACACGTGAAGTCCCATCCTACGGGACGGCGCGGGCTCCGGAGCCGCGGCTTTCGCTGGTTCTGGAGTTTGACTTGGGCGTTCGCCCTCACCACTGATAGCAGCCCTTGCCTCTTCCAAGACGACCGACTGTTGGCGGCGGCGTAGCTGCTCTACCTGTTCCGTTACAGACTGCGACTGGTTGTCGTTTGCCGGGAACGAGCCGCTAGCTATAGGTGTAGCAGGCGCGGAAGGCATCAAGCTCGGCCCTGCATCCGATGCTTCAGGCGCCACCAATGGGGTTGCATCAACTGACTGAGGCTGAAATGGGGCCAGCATCCCTTGATGGGATGTCGGTGTGGCAAGGTCCAAGTGCTCGACCCGGTCCATAGCCGGGTCTTCGGGAGCAACAGGGACTCCTGGAGTCTCGGCGTCTTGAGAGGCAGGCTCGACCGCCGGGGCGTCTTGGGAGGCATTCTTCTCAGATACTTGCTCAGATACTTGTGCGTCAGACTTGACTTCGCCTTCAGTATCTGTTTGAGACGGCTTTTCGCCGGTGCTTGATGCTTCGTTGGAGGACTCGTTGCTTGCCAATGATTCCTTTGATTCATCTGTAAACATTTTACGCAGCTGAAGCATTGTCAGTCTCCGAAGATCCTTTTCGGACGGGAGGAAGTCAGCTTCGAACTTGGCAAAGGAGGCGTCCCAAGCAGCTGCTCGGTCCATCATTTCTTGTATGGCCAAGTTCATCGGTATAGTTTCATAGTACTTGGAGTTGACGTAGGCATCCTGGAGTATGCGAATCACCAGGACATGTTCATCCTGCACTCTCTTCGTAAATCGCTCGATTTCCGCCTTGCATGCCTCGGCCTTCTCAGGGGCAATGTTGTCCAGTTTGATGGCCTTGATTCTTGTTTTAGCCGACGTTGTGAACCGAGTCCAGCGATCCTGCAACGTTGTGAAGATCTCATTTTTCAAGTTCAAGTCATGCTCAACCTTCCAGGCAATGCGCGTTCTGGGAACAATGATTTCGAGGAGATCGATAGGATCGTAGTGAACGCGCATAACCTTGTCCTGCAACCCAAAATATCTGATATGATCTCGATGATGGTCATGTGGACAGTCCCAGCCACCTTCCTCGTCTTTGACCAAGCTTGTACCCCGACTCCAGAAGGACAACTCTAGGTATTTACCAAACGAGTACTTCCAAGTACCTTTGGACATTTCTCGTTCGGCAGTCTCCCGTTTGCAAAGTTTGCAGTAACTCCACATCGTGATATTTTCGCGTGGCATACTTCGAGGATCTTGCTCAATGAAGACGGTGATACGAGCATCGCCGTGAACGTAGGTTCTGTGGTGCTCATGCATTTTGCGGTCGCATGACGTGCCCGTGCAATCCGAGTCTGCGCTATAACAAATATCTTCGACATACTGCCCCAGAGTACAATCGGGGTCCAATGTTTCGTTGTGCTCCGAGTGCTCATCATAGAACTGTAGAGCGATAAGGCCCGGTTCCACACAAGGCACCTTGGTTTCTGTGCAGACGACGGAATGGAGAACAACAATATTCTGGTGAGCATAAGGCTCAAGGAGGGCCAAATTAGCTTGAATGTGACCTTCCCACTGCCGAGTCTGCGTCCTGTAGTTGTATAGAGCCTTATCGTACTCGACATCGTGAACAGCATGCAAAACTTCCATTATGGCGCGAGGTGCTTTTTGGCCCGTCTGGTGGACCATCTGAGGTTTGATCAGCTGGAACTTTTGCGGTTTTGTCTTGTCGCCGTCGGTCCGTTCCTCAACGATATCCTGATCTCTCAGCTTTTTCAGATGCACCAGTCGTCTTTCTTGCTCTCGGGCTTTCATCAGGAGATAAGGTTGAGCAAACTTCACGAATGGCGATGCAGAGAGTATCCTCGTTTGATACTTGGCGACCATGTCACTGTAGAAGGTCGGCATTGGAGCATCTTCTGGTACGAAGCTGTCGTTCGAGGCTCGAGCATGCGTTTCGTGTAACGAAATGAGTCTGTTGATTTGTTGATTTGCTTGCGCCACATCTGTGCTCGTTTGCGTTGACTCGTCAGCATCCTCGCCTGTGCTCTGGGAGGGTTGAGGGTCGTCAAATGTCATGGTAGACAGGGTTCTTTGCCGGGTTTCGTCGACGCTGGTGCTAATGGTGTTGAGAGACAACTTGCTTTCGTCCGTAAGCTGGCTGGAAAGTTCCTCAGCGGTCGGCAGCTGCAAGCACGAATCCTGCATCAAGCGGGATTCAAGCTTCAGGTTGTACGTGACATATATCATGAACTCGGTGATCCGCTTGATCTTCCTCAACACGGGAGTTGGAGCACCTCTGAGGGCTATGGTGCATCCAAGCTGCTCTTGGTTACCCGAGAGGAATAAATATGTCTTCTTCCTCCCGGGTATCTCATCGTTCACGAAAGTCTTGACCTCAAAGCCGATACTCTTGCCAATCCGGAAGCGTTCTACAGGGAGACTCAACATGTCTATCGAGGAGATGATTTGTGTCTCCAGACATCGCGACACGGCAAACAGCACGGAAGGCTTCACGTTATACGCGACAGCAATGTTATGCTCAGACAACAACTCCAATGCCAGGCCCGAGACAGATTTCTCGGCGAGAATCAGCTGCGGTCTCAGGTTGACAATGCGGCCGACGATCATCTTGAGGAATGCCTTTTCTTCATGGATGACAGGCTTCAAGCTCATAAAGTGTTGATGATGGCGCCGATACTCGATTGGGAACGAGACAATAACAACTCGCGGGTTTGCTAGACGGCGAGGCATGCTCTTCAGCGCAAGCTTCTTTGTGAATATCACGCCAGAGACATAACTAGTATCACCTGGTCTTCCTCCTGGAATCTTCTTGAGTTTGACATAATGTCGGATATCGATATCGTCACCTCGTTCGACTTCAGGATCCACAGAGGTGGTACATTTGAGTAATATCGGCATCAGGGCCTTCTCCCAGGCGGTCACGTTCGGCACGTCTGAATCTTGGAGTAGCTGTTGAAGAAGCTTTCGAACGTGAAGAAGACTGGCTGGGTTTAACTCAACCCTAGGCTCCTTCTCTCCTTTCATGGAGGAGCTACGGGTCAATCTGGGCGGGTTTCCCAGAATGACGCTGTCGTAGTTCGGTATCGTTTCACTCGAGTTTGCAGGCCCTCGCAGGTGAGCACTTCTCGGACGAGGAGACCGGAGGTGGTGTACACTTGCACTCGCGGTACTCGTGTTGCGTCTTCGTGAAGATCTGGGATGCAGAATTGGACCGCCGTTTTCGTTGAAGCTGAAGCCACTGATACTCTTCTCAGCCTGCGACCGTAGACGGTTCCTCCTTCCGGCCCCCAGGTAAGAGCCAAAGTTTGTCTTGTCGTGATCTAGACTAGATGGCGTTGGCTCGCCGCTTGACAAGATCTGAGATATACTTTGCTGCTCGTCGCCACTAGATTCGTCGGACATGAAAGGGGCCAGGTCGGGATCGATGACGTTGTCGTCATGAAACGCAGGAAGGCCGGACTTCTTTGCTGCCTCTTCATTTGCCGAACGCCGAAATGGTGCTCGGTCATCGGCTGCTGGTGACGGCTTGAATCTACTTAAAAAGTTGTGCTTTGAGTGATGGCGACGGTGACTGGAGGACTGCGGCCTCGCCGCCAAGGACTTGAGAGACCTAGAGGAACTGGGTCTGCTCAGCTGCGGCGCATCGATTTCCAAGATCGCTGAGTTGCGATTTGACGACTCTCCTATGCGCCGAGTGGCTGGGATAGCCATCATTGGGGTGGTCAAGGATCGACTGTCGTCTTCCACATCCTCAGCTCTCTCCGAGATGCTGGCATCATCCTTGTCAGGTTTTGGGATATCCAACGTGACGGACTTCTGATTTGGACGGAAGATGGCGGGCAGATATGAATCATCCGCGGAGTCATCCGACGCATTCCCATCCTGCCGTTGACTGATGATGTTCAGACACGGTTTGCAGACGCGCAGGGTGCCAGGGACACCAAACTTCATGCCAGAGATAATAGAAGTACATCGACTGTCAAAAATACATCCACAAGTCCGACAATGATGTTTGCGCCGAAAAGCAGAAAACGGAGCACCACAATGAAAGCATTCTTTGCAAGTTTCGTCAGCCATCCAGAAGTCCTTGCTGAGAATCTGTTTCCGCATGTGTTCCAGAGTAGCGTTCACAACTTCGGGAGCTCCCTCGTCGGTAGTGGTTCCCGGTATCCGCAATGCACCAGATCTCAGCCGGTGTGGTCGGTCATCTCTACCCCAGGTGTTGTGATGAACGGTGTGGTGAGCGGAGGTAACGATGTTACTGGGTTCGGCGGTGCTTTGTGATACCGACGATGACCTCGAATGAGAGCCACGACTGCGCGGGCCGGTAATGCGGTCAATTACCGCCGGCCTGCGGGCGGATTCCCTTGTCCCAGTCCTGGCAGTCGGGGATAGAAGCCCATGTTCGTCGGGGTGCAGCTGAGCAGATGCAGCAGCAGATGACCTGGTGCTCCTCACCGGACTGACAGGGCTATCGTTATTTCCGTCAGCTCCGAGTACATCCTCTTGCCGGCCACGAGTCGGAATCACTATCTTCTCGAGGGAAGCGGCGCTCTTCAGCTCTGCACCATCGTATGGACTTGAGATTTCAAGACTGGGTCCTGCAGTCGAGTTGTCATGTGATCTCGTAGAGCCCTTCCACGAGTCCGTGGTACGTATGGAACCGTCATCCGGTCGGCTGGACGAGCTTCGCGCGGTCTCCTTGAAGGCGCTTACTGTGACAGGGGCTACAGCAGCTGTAGGCTTCGTCATGTTCGGGATGCTTTGACGACTCGAAGGTGCCGACTTGGCGGTCGAGGGTACAGACAAGTTACTTGGGGCCAGCGACGAGGGCTTGCTTGACTGAGGGTGCGGCGAGGCGGTGTCCGGGGGAAGTCCTCCTGACGATGGCCTGGCGGCGTTTACAGAATCTGACGTCGACGAGGCTGAGGCGAAGGTCATGTTAGTCATGCCTGTGTCAATACGGGCTATTGGCGCGACGGAGGCTTTGGAAGTTGTCGCGGTGGTACTCGAGCTCCTCTTGGAGGCAGTCTCAACATCCCTCTCATCTTGGACCCTGCCTGAAACTCCTACAGCCTCTTTGAACCTTGAATACAGACCGCTGAATCCATTTTGAACCAAGTCGCCGGCGAACCCCTTGTTCTCGGGCGATGCACTGGCGTCCGGCGGGGGGGAGAGATCGTTGAAGGTGGTCAGGATGTCGCGCTGGTTCGCGGAGGTATGGATCTTGTCGAGGGCCTGGGCAAGGTGCTCCCTGTCGGCCTGGGTCGGTATAGGCATGGCAGAGGAGCTCGAGTCCCGCCGCGACTTTGCCGTGGTCGGGGAGGCGACCGTCGCAGGCGAAGGCTGCGGTGGAGGTGGGTTCTTGGCCGACATATTGGCGAAGGCACGGGGCTAGATGTCCCTATAGTTTTGTGTCGGCACGAAGACTACATGAAGCGAACCAGACGATACTGCCGCGGTTGATAGTTGGCTGTCTGTCAAGTACTTCTGGTTCGCATCATATATCACAGGCTGCGTGTGCTGTTGTCTGGTCTGTCGCTGCCTTTGCTGGCCTAGTTGCTTGCTAGGTCCTGAGCTTCGACGAACGTGACTAACAAGGCAAGACGCCGGGTAGGCTGGGTGCAGGTACGGCAGGAGGCGCGTAGTCCCGGGCTAGAGCAGCCGGCGCTCTCTATGGGAGTCACCGATAGAGCGCCTCGCCTGAGAAAAGCTAGGCCCTGTCGACCGACGACACGTGAACATCAAGATGGAACGGAGTGGTGTTGAATGGGGTGATGGTATGGTTGGGAAGCTTCAAGAGCTCGACCGGCCGATAGAGGCGGAACCCGGTTTTGGGGAAGCTTATCGGCGGCAGATGCCGTTCCATAGGTCGCGTCCCGTGCTGTACCTTGCTGTACTTCGCTGTCTTGCCCCGCTGGAGACACACAACGGCCGCTAATACAGGGGGGGGGGGGCAAAAGCCGGGGGGCCGCACTGTGCCTCAAAGTCGGCAGGCAAACCGTGAGATTGCTTCACGTGAGAAGGTGTCAAAGGTGTGTCAACCCCGTCAACCCCGCGGCGCGTGTCCGTAGCCACATTCACACCGACGCGTTTCCGGGTGCAACCTCACACATATGGCAAAGGGGATACCTGACCTGAGCATCCCTCTGGGCCCGACACCGTTCCACCCGTGTGCTTGCAGGCATCGTTGCACTCTACATCCCACTACTAGCAAGATACGGCCACCCGACGGTCCTCAGTAGTTCTAGTATGCGCACCCAGCAGCCCTTGCCATCATGGTGACGCCCACCCGTACCAGCTCGCCCCCGTTGCCCACCCAGTCGGACCTTTTGGGTGACAACCGACTTCCCAGGCGCCTCTTCAGGATTCAGAGCAAACAGAAGCAGCTGCTAGACCAAGCTGATTCGTGGGCTCAGCACTTGCGTCGGCAACCAAAGCCGGGCGTGAATCTGCCACCAGAGATCCTGGAGAACTTGAGGAACTTTCACAAGCGCCAAACTGAGATCAACAAGGCTGGGCTGCCGGGCCCAGAAGCCGCTCAAGATGGCCCTGTAGAGACGCCATCGTCTCCTGGGCTGCCACCACTTGGATCGGAGGATGGTGCTACGGCCGCCGATGAGGACGCAGGAACACCCGTTTCGGGCTGGGAAACCAGCCCGGAACCACAGCGTCAAATCGAAGCAGAGACGTTAAGGTTCCAATCCCAGAGCCCCTTGCAAGACTCTTTTGCCGAGCACATCGCTCCAGAGCCCTTCATGTCTCAAGTCCCGGCGAGATCACCTTTACGACCCACTCTGGATGCTGCAAACGTGCAGAAGAGGCCAGCCTTTACCGACTTCCCGTCCAGTAGTCTCGACGTTGAGGAAGAATTGGAGGTGGTCGCGCCGAATGCTCTTACCAAACAGCTCCCAGCACTGCAAAGAGTCAGCGAGCTGAACCCGACGCCGCCGTCGGCCCAGGTGCAGGTCCCATGTACATTCGAGCCCGACAGCTCTGTCTCGGAGCCACAAGCCAGAAACACAGGCACGCGGCCGTATAGCAACTTGGCGAGCATTCAGACCGTCCAGCGCCGCGTGGCAGGCTCGAGAGCCAAGACGACGGCGGTGGCGGGGCGGATGCATCCTCCTGCACCAAGGGCACGACATGGCTATGATGTGGGCATACTGGATTCACAGTCATCTGTGGACTCGTCCCCGTCCATTGTCCCGGCGACGGGCACCGGTGGATGGGAGCATAGCCCAAGCAAGTCGCCCAAGGGCATGCCAATCAAATCTACCATCATGGAGACACCTCGGGTCTCTCGAAGTCTGAATATGCAGTCGAGACAGAATACCCCATCGGACCAGATGAGTAAAACACCAACTCGCAGCAGTCCCGATATTCGACAACATTCCCCCGAATATAGGCCAGCTTCACCACAAGTAGTAGAACAGCCTTCCCCGACTGGCACCCGCGGTCGCGCAATTGAGCAATATGCTCCAGCGAATCAAACCCCGTCTCCACTGCCGCTGCCAGAGGCGAAACTCGCGGCGCCTTTCATCCAATACTCGGTCTCTTATCCAAGCTATACCGGAAGTGTTGGAGATTTTGTGAATGCTTGTCTTACCATCCAGGTGCTACAGCGGCGCCGGGCTCTTGCCAGCTATCAGTATGATGATTTCATCCGTGCTTGGTCCGACGGCTACATGCCGTATATCGAGAGTTCCGAAGATTCCGGTAAAGAACTAACTGCGATTGAGTGGTATATGGACCGAGTCGATGAAGCTCTATTTACGTCCAAGATCATTACAAAAGACACGCTTGAAGCCGCCCTGGCCTTCTACGCAGACGAGGTCAGAGCAAGACGCCGCTCGAAGAACCCTTCCCTCGAAACGACGCCTGCCCTGGTTCCGGCCGAGCAAGTTCCAATACATGAGCAAACCGTCGAGGAAGCTCCTTCAAAGGATGAAACCATCCAACGTGGCATTCAAGGCCATCCACAGGCCCCAGGAGACTCTATCGTCGTGGGAGAAGCGAATGCTGCTAAGCTCCCGGGAGCTGAAGTGGATCAAGATATCGGAGTCCATGGGCGAAGCCCATTGGTCGAGGCGGTTCCATCCGAGGACGAACTACCATCGGTTGCGCAAAAGCTTCCTACACCCCAAGTATCCAAGCCGTCTCGCAAACGCTGCTTAGACGACGACATCGACGACGACGACGACGACGAGGAACTTGAGGAACCTGCGCCCAAGAGATCATCCCGCGGTTCTCTTGATAGAGCAACCAAGGAGACTCACTTACCACGCTCAGATGGCAATGTTAGAAGCCATCGTGCTGTCAACTCCAAGGCAGAGAATAAAGCGCCTCGCGCGAGTGGGGAGCCCAGATCGACTGGACTGTATCTTGGGTCCAAGATGAGACTGCGGAAAAACCCGGCCAAGCGAAGCGAAAAGTTTGAGAAGTATCTAGTAAACTTGAAGTCAGGGCGGATTAATGACGATATCAGTGTCGCCAGCTCTGCGCCTGTCAATGCTACGCCGCGATCTGGCCAGGAAGAAAAAAGAGGCAGTTGAGGCACATTTTGGGCTAATTAGGATTTGGTTGAGGATGTATGAGTCCTTCTCTCTTCTGGCTCGGAACGACGAGTTATACGATGGCTCACGAATAAAAGATACCCTTTTTCCTTGGTTCCAGCCCTTTCTGAGTCAATAGCAGTGAAACTTATCCCAGCCATGTCTCCATCTTTAGATCCGTTCCTCCACGGATCAACCCAGACTCAAAGGTGGGAAAGAAGAAAAAAACTGTGTGCCTAGGTATGTGTGCGAAACAGGCGCTTGGAGTAGGTATAGCGACGCTGACTTACACATGTGAACCGTGAAAGCATGTTCCCATCAACAGCCTCGACCCACAGATAATTGGGAATCTGCATGAAAGATCCGTGCACGCAGGCCAGCCAGCCCATAGCCCCACCCTTCGCCTGCCCATCCAATGGACTCGGGAGCCTTGGGAGCCTTGCTGGCACCAGACGAAATCCCAGCCGCCCAAGCAAAAAGTCTACTGTGGTACTGAGGTACCGTGGTACCAGACAGGCAGGTAGGCAGGTAGGAAGGCAGGCAGGTTAGGTACCAAGTACCTAAACTCGTAGTGGGCTAAAGGTTCCGGCTCAAAGTTTCAGACGTGCGAAAACTCCGTGACACTCAATAATTTTTCTGACGACATTACTGAAGTGGCTCTGCCTGGCGCAAAGTCGCGATCGACCCTCATCTACACCGCAAAGGCCAGGATACATACAATCGTCTTCGCCCATTCCCGCGAGCAGCAGTCCGCAATCCGCCGTCCGCAGTCCGCAGTCCAGCCGCCCGACTCCCACCCGTCGGTCCTTCCTCGCACCACCTCCAGCGCGCGGCGACTCCCTCCGCCGTTGCCCCACGACGAAATAAATTCCCCCCCAAAGCCACCACCATCACCATCACCATCACGACGACCACCGTCACCACCCGCACCACTGCCACGGCCTTGATCTCCACGCCGCGCCTTCCTCGAGTTTGCGCCTGAAGCCCTTGGACGACCTCGTTCATCCGTCTCGCCTCCATCACCCGCCGGTTCATCGTCGAACCGCCATCTCATCAACTCCTCCCTCCACCTTCACCGGTTCCTCACACCACCACCACCTCCACCTCCACACCCAACATGGCCGAGCAAGTCGACCTGAAGACCATCCCCGTCTCGCCGGGCGGCGCTGAGAACGAGAACGGCACCGCCGCCGCCACCGACATGGACGGCAAGCTGGTTACCGTCTTCCACGACAAGGACAACTTCAACGTCAAGCACCCGCTCCAGAACAAGTGGACTCTCTGGTTCACCAAGCCCTCCAGCGGCAAGGTATGCAGTTGCCCAATTAGACACACGTCTGTGAACATTGGACATTGAAGTACTAACTCGGGCTCTATTCAGGGCGACAACTGGAACGATTTGCTGAAGGAAGTCATCACATTCAACTCGGTCGAGGAGTTCTGGGGCATCTACGTAAGTTCCTACCATCTCGCCCGCCCAGGCCCGCGCGCCGTCGTGTATTGTTCCCCCCGACTAACACCTCCCCTTCTCTTCAGAACAACATCGCACCTGTCAGCGACCTCGCTCTCAAGTCCGACTATCACCTTTTCAAGGAGGGCGTGCGCCCGGAATGGGAAGACCCGCAGAATAAGCACGGCGGCAAGTGGTCCTATTCCTTCAAGGAGAAGCGCAGTGTCGATATCAACGACATCTGGCTGCACACCATGATGGCCGCCATCGGCGAGATGCTCGAGGACGAGGACGACGGCGAGGTCATGGGCGTCGTCGTCAACGTGCGCAAGGCCTTCTTCCGTGTCGGCGTCTGGACCCGCACCATTGGTAAGCCCATTCCCGGTCGCGGTGACGGAGACGTCGCCGGCGGCAAGGGCCGCCCCCCACAGAAGGGCCAGCAGATCCTCCAGGAGATCGGCAGACGCTTCAAGGCCATCCTCAAGGTGCCCGAGGGCGAGCTCGTCGAGTTCTCGGGCCACACGGATGCCGCCCACAGCGGCAGCACCCGTGCCAAGTCCAAGTTCACCGTCTAAGCGGCGACCTGCGAACCCGACAACCCGCCGTCGTGAGGAGGAGCGGTATGGCGAGGAGAATGGTGCCCGCACTGCATATACACTCAAAACAGGTTAATGCCTGGGGTATGAGAATGTACCTACTCGATTTTGATCCATGGCCCCAGCATGTCACCCCTGGCATGTATTAGGGCTCGAGCAGTCGGCACCTCTTACAGTGAGATGGACTTTGTATCATGCCAATAACGCATAAGCCTGCCCGTCATCCAGCGAAAGGAAAAGGGGGATGGAGTAAGAAACGCGAAATGACTGGCTGGGAAATTTTGGCACGGCTCTTTTCATCAATTAGCATAGATTTCGATAAGTCGTCATGTCTGGAGGGTTTATTGCGCCCCTGCTATTACGAGTAATACACACACAACACACACAAATCACCGCATTGGTGCCCATTTCGTGCGCTGCAAGCCGTGGGGGCTTCCTCGTTGATGCTGTCGCTGCCCCAGGTCAAGGCCAACTTAACTTTTTTTTGGTTCTAGATTGGTAGGTTTCTATGTTGCTCTCCGTCTTGGATGATCAGTGAGAGTCTAGTCGGCCCAGTCTACTCAAGACCCATATGTGTGGTGTCATTCCTATATACAGTTTCCCATCCTCCCCTGTTTCTCGCATCTGCCGCCTCTAGAGTTTGTCGCGGTTATTTTGCCATCTCTTCCTGGGCCAATCCTACGCAGACAGGGCAACGTAGAGTTGATGCGCTCCTCGGTGCTCTCTGCCCCTCTCTCTCATCCTCTCACCCTCGTGCCACCTCCCCTAACTCCACGCTCTACCCCTCCAACTGACAACGGACTGTCGGAGAATGCCGGACAAGATTCATGCATGTCCCGCCGTGCCTCGTCTCCATCCTCACATCTCGTCGCCGCTAAAGTCGTCGCGGAACACGGCGGCCACCAGGGTCTTCTTGTTGACCTTGCCCATGGCGTTGCGGGGGATCTCGTCAACGACGCGCAGGACCTGGGGGATCTTGTAGTTGGCGAGGCGGTCGCGCAGCGCGCGGCGCATGTCCATGGGCTTCCAGCCGCGGGCGCGGTGCTCGCCCTCGGCCAGGACGACGACGGCGCCGACCTTCTGGCCCCAGCGGCCGCTGGGCACGGCCAGCACGGCGGCCTCGGCCACGTTGGGCAGCGACAGCAGCTCGCGCTCGATCTCGAGCGCCGACACCTTCTCGCCGCCCGACTTGATGATGTCGGCGCTCTGCCGCCCCAGGATGAAGTACATGGGGCCGCGCGCCCAGCCGCCCGACGCCCCGGCCCCGGCACCGCCGCCCACCGGCCGCCGCACCGCGATGTCGCCCGTCCGGAACCACTTGCCGGCGCCGTCCTCGCCCTCGACGAACTCCTTGGCCGTGGCCGCCGGGTTGCGCCAGTACTCCCGGAACACGCTGGGCCCGCGGAGCTGGATCTCGCCCTGGCGCTCGCGGCCCTCGCCGTCGACCTCCTCGCCCTCGGCGATCAGCACGTTGGTCTCCGGGTCCACGAGCCGGGCCTCGACGCCCGGCAGCGGCCAGCCGACGGAGCCGTCCACGCGGTCCACGGACGACAGGCCGCAGGACAGCGCCATGCCCACCTCGGTCATGCCGTACCGCTCGAGCAGCACGTTGCCGTGCGAAAGGTCCTTCCAAGCCCGTTTCACGGGGGTCGGGAGGGCGGCAGACCCCGAGATGGAGACGCGCATGTGCGCGGGCGAGATCGCCTGCCGCGCCGCCGTAGCTACGGGTTCGGGCAGGCCGGGATGCGTGGAGAGGAGGCGGGTGTAGACGGTCGGCACGACGGTGAAAAAGGTTATGGGCGCAGTGGACATGTTCTTGTACTTATCCTCCGTCGCTGCATGCGCCGCGGCATCGCCATTGGTCAGGGGTGGTGTGTGGATGCCATTGGTCTGCGGTTTGCTGAGGAAGGGAGTCGCGAACCTCCGCCAGACGGTGTCGGCGTTGAAGGGGAACAGGAACTCTATGGCGCTGCCGGCGATCAGGGGGGTCAGCACGGCATTGACGGTGCCGTGGATGTGGTGCAGCGGCAGGACGTGCAGCAACTGGTCGTCGGGGGTATACTTCCAGGCCGAGATGAGGGATTGGCACTGCGCCGTTAGCGCCGTCTCGGGTAGAAGCACTCCTTTCGGTCGGTTGGTGGTGCCCGAGGTGTAGAGCATCATGCCGGCGCCTTCGGAGTCCACATCGTCGGACAAGGTCACGGCCTCGGGGCTAGAAGTAGAGCCGAGATGTTTTGGTAGCTCGAACAATTTCGGATGCGGATGGGGCGCGGGATTGGGCGACGGGTCTGGGAAGGGCGTTGAGAGGACCTCCTGGGCCTTGGTCGCATATCTGGGCGAGTGTAGAAGCAGGAGGGCCTCGGAGTGCGAGAGGATGTACTGCAGTTCAGCCGGCGGGAAGGGGGGAGACAGCGGCAGGGCGATGGCGCGGGCGGCAAGGACTGCGAGGAGTGTGACTAGCCGTGGGTTGTCAGCCATGGGGGTGCTAGACGCCGGACGAAGGCATCAAACGTGCGTACCGACATAGTCATAGCTGTTCTCGACCAGGAAGGCTATGCGCTCGCCGCGGACGTCCGACCTGCCGGCGGCCTGGTGAATCCTGTCGCGTGCGCGCGCGACGTCCGGCAGCAGCTCGCCATACCTAAAGCTGCGCCCGGAGAGACAGTGCACGACGGCCGTGGACTCTGGGTCGTGCTTCGATATGGCGTCGAAGAGCGGGAGTCGGGGCAGGGTGGAGGCCATCCTGGCGTGAAGGCGAGGAAGCGGTCTCGGCAACGGCCGCCGGTAAGGAGTGACAGCGGCGGTGGAAGATGTGGTTGCAGTAGTGGTAGCAGCAGAAGCAGAAGCAGAAGCAGCAGAGGCGGCGGCGGCAGCAAGGAACGTGCGTGCGAGGGACGGAGACGTCAAGGCGCGAAACGAAGGAGAGGAGGAAGAAGAGAGAAGCCCTCCATGACACATCCACATTACGAGGGGGTATATAAGGAAATAAGAGAAAAGGGAAAGGCGAAGGAATAGTGTACAGTGCAACAGTATAGCTTGCGGATATTATCAATTACGGAGCACCTATGAGCAAGGCCGGAGGTTAAACTTAGGAGGGGCAAATCGTGCGGCTTACGGCTTGTGGCCTGGGTGCCGTGCCCACCCAGTTACCCACTGGCCACTGGCCACTGACTGCCCAGCCTGCAGCTCGCGCGTCGGTGGGATCGGATCTGAGCTGAGCGCGGCCACAGCTTGCTTCGCCAAGCCGACCGCTGACATGGACTGGTGGATTGGAAGTCCTGGGTCGAGAGCAGCCAGCCAATCCAATGCCCATCGGCCCCGAAGCCGGCTGAGCGTGGGGATGGTGGACGCTGGACTCTGGACGCTGGACGCTGGACACCGGCCTGGCTGGAAATGCTAGGCCAATCGAGACGAGATACCCAAACCCCCGACGGGCTCTGCCGGACAGTGGCCGGGTCTGCCTGTCCCTCTGTCTGTCGGTAAGGGTAAATGTTCTGTCGGATACTAGAAGCCTGCGCTGCAACGTCGGTGCTCTCTGAAACGAAACGGCTGCAAGGGTTCCAAAGCCCAGTGGCTAGGTGGTGTTGTGACGTGCAGACGAGGTCGAAGTGCAACGGCGGGACAGAAAAGGCGAGACGAGACGCGACGAGACGAACCGGCCGGTGTCTATTTCATTTCGCTCCCCGCTGCCAAATTTATTAGCTTCAACCCAGCAATCAACGTCACGTCACTCGACTCATCGCCATCCCGCTGCCTCTCGACAAATCAGCGGCCCAGGAGAACACAGCTACATAAGACGCACTGGACCTGGACGCTGCCAACGCTGCCAACGCTGTAAAATTCGGTCCGTCCCAGCCGCACCAGACCGACCCGGCCATAGGCGCTCGAGGCCCCAAGGTGTTCTCTCGCTTCCCCCTGCTCCAGACCAGGTGCTCTGGGCTCCCGTCTTTTAGGCGATTGACACTGCTGCCACTGTTCTTTTTTTTTTGTTCCGATCAGCCCGGCATTTACCCCGGACGCTTACCGACACGCCACCATCGCCCGCCCTCGATCGGACTGTCGATCTTCGGGGGTCCTGCGTATGCTGTAGCCCCCTTTTCGCATACACGCACACACTCTCTCACTCACTCACTCACACACGCCCGCAGAGCGCCCGCCCCGCAAGCCACGGTATGCTAACCCGGTTATCTATGCGCCCCTTTGCTGCTGCTGGCTCAGGCACCGCCCTCAGGACTTCTGCTTTTCGGGCCCTCTCCGCTCCCTCCGGCTCCCCTTCCCACTTCACCCCGTCGGGCCTCGCCCGCTGCTCCGCCGCCATGTCGTCTGCCGCCTCCCCATCCCACACTCCGATGGAGGACGCAATCCGGGCTAAGCTCGGCGCTGCCCTCTCCCCCACGCACCTCGAGATCTACAATGACTCGCATCTGCACTCCCACCACAAGGCCATGCAGGGCTCAACGTCCAAGGAGACCCATTTCCGCCTCGAGATCACCTCCGACGCCTTCAAGTCCAAGATGCAGCCTGCCAGACACCGCATGGTCTACGCCCTGCTCAAGGACGAAATGGCCGTGGAGGGTGGCATCCATGCCCTGCAGCTGAAGACGCGGACGCCTGAGGAGGAGGAGCGCGCGAGGCAGAAGGAGTCAAGCTAACAGAGATGTGACGGGCGATCTTGGTTTTGAGAGGAAGCACTAGAAGCTCCAAGTCTAAGCAATGCCGAAACATGTGTATGATAGAGAAGCTGCAGGCGTTTCGGACGCAGCCAAGGCGACAGCTAAAGGTTCCCAGATCCCTGGGATATCTGATAACCTTCGTCCATCGGCATGGCACTATCACCATGCGAGGCCGTAGTCGATGCTACGCGATCAGAAGCAGATATACTATGTATGTACCAAAGGAGCTGGCGAATGGATAGAGTGTACCATAGAAATGTACCATTCACAACTACACTTTGCACAACTGTGGCTGTCTTGCTCCTTACATGATTCACCACCTCCGTCCATTGGCTTAGTGACCAGATATCAGCGGGTCTTGTACAATATGTTGGAAGGAAAGCTTCAACTGGGAGGTGTTCCATCTGATGTGAATGTTGGGAGCGAGTAGCAGTGAATGGGTTTCGCTAGAACTGCCATATTCACTCAGGGGCTTGGCAATAACTTCACGGATGTCACCTAATCTAGTAACGAAGGCTAGCAGTCTCCTTAAAGTGAATATATATTTCCAGCATTCCGATATTATTACATAACCTCGATTAACGTACTGTTCTCATGCCTTGTCATTCCAGGCTTTGAACCGACCATCATTACAGAACAAAGCTTCAGGATCTACGACTTTGCCAACTAGTTCGTCGTTCGTCAACATGCTCTACGGCATCGCTCTACTCACTGCGCTGTGCGCCAGTCCCTGCCTCGGCAATATTGCCAACGACTTCGACAAGGTTGCAGAGGCAGCGCCCCCTGTCCGCTTTACCTGGCTCCGCAAGAGCGAGGCCACCCCTCGCTTCAAGAACCTCTTCGTCCACTCGATTCCGGATGATGGAGTCCGCTGCCTTGCTGTGAGTGACTTCTCTAATCTCTCTCCTCATCGCCCTGGCATCGCCTAAGTCACGCGCCAGAAGCCCAGTCTTCCAGAGAGCATCATGGCCCCACGACTAATTCTGGAAACAGCAGGGTCAGCTGGACGGTCCTCCCGTCCAGGACTGTCTCGACGTTCTGAACTTCGTAAAGGAACAGAAGGATCCCTTCCACATTGACGCCGGCATGTGCTGGGCTGCGCAGCATGGCGGCTGTGTGGCCATCGTGTGTGCAGAGAAGGAAGCCCTAGATTTGTCGCCGAAGAAGGATATGCATTGGGACGAGTTGACAAGTCAGTGTCTCAATAGGGGCCACAGTGGCACGTACAGGGCCGGCGACCTTGGCCTGGAGACGTCCTTGTTGAAGTGGACTGCTTGAGCGAAGAGGTCGGCATGGGGATGCCTGGATCCGGGATTTGTGGTGCAGGCCAGTCAAGTCTACACCGACGGCTACACTCTGGGAATGCGTCGTGTAATCTGTGCAGCAAGCATACTACGGTGCAATAAATTACACCATCCATGCGCTCCGGTTGCTTGGAAACTGAAATCGTGTTGTAATGACTTCTATTAGCTCCCACGGTCTCTTATGCCTGGCGTCAGAACATGTCCACACCCGACTTCAAGCATGACGTCCTGAGAGGGAGGCATCCATTTGTACGCGAGAGCGAGGTCGTCTCCCTCGCACGGTATTATTATCTCTGGAGATCGGGACCAATGCATCGTCATTCTGAATTTGGTCGATGGCTCATGTGAAAACTCATGCTCCTGACAGGGCTATCTGGGCCTGAGGTTCTGTCGTCCCCTATGGTAATCTCAACCGTCTTCAGGACACCATGCCCGGTCGAATAGCTAGAGGCTGCATGTGGCGGTTTTTGTATCAAACTTTGCTCGGCCGTTGTACCCCGGCTATGATGTCTTTTTAGCACGTGATGATTCATGTCCTCGATACCGTCCCAGATGGCATGGTCCGATCTGAAGCTCTCGACTTGTGGCATCTCCATGTTGTCCCGGTCCGTAAACTTGATTTTGCAGGCCAAGATGTCGATACTAGAAGCCCCATCTGATTAGTTAAAGAACGCGTCACCAGTTGGGGAAAGCCTACTATATCATGATCGGAAACATGCATTCCATCGTGTAAATAAATCGGTCAATCTGGCCAGCTGTCGTCAGGGCCTGTGGCAAGGACGGGCAGAAGACGTAGGTTATTGCTCTCGATACACCAATGAGAGCTAGCGATGCGACTCGTGTTTCGGTGCCTCTCATGAGGTGTTGCAATAGGCTTGTGCTCAGCGATGCATCGATTGACGCCCGCCGAGCTGAAGCGAACTCGCGAAGCAGGAAGAAGGCGCTGAGACACTCCAGTAGGGCAATAAGTGAGAAATAGCCCACATGGAGATAGTTGACAGACCGCTGGAACTCTGTGTCTGGACTCAGTATGATTTTGATTCGGCCGATCATGATGAAAAGCCGCAGGACGACTATGGCGGCCACGATGGTCCAGAATGATATGATAAAGACGAGGCGACTCCGGTGACTCAGCAATTTGATCAGAATGGCGTAGCTATAGAACGATATGCCGACTTCTTGGATCTTCTCAATGTTATGACCTCGTCAGATCGTATGGTAGGGGTTTCATCCAAACTTACAAGCCAGAAGAAGTCAGCAAACCCCGAAGCAACTGCAGTGTTCGTCAAGGGATATTCCGCATAGAAAGCATAGTGGCATAGCCCGTTGGCAATTGCTCCAGCAGCGCTGACAACGATCGGGATGAGTATAACAGTCGAGAACTTGGTGATGCTGACAATGGTGAGCCCGTAAAGTATATTGGCCAAGCCGATCGTGCTCAGAATCGCCCAGCATTGCTCAAAATAGAGCCCCATATTCAGGAGGGCCGAATATGGCGGCACGAAGCATCGTGCCCGGCGGTAATGGTAAAGTGTGGAGAGGAGGGAAGCATCACGAAACCCCGTTTTGATGGAATCTACTAACATAAGTAGCGGATCCCAAAGTACCCTTCCCACATTGGGCGTTGCCCAGTATTGCCCCCGAACCCGCCGGAGATCTTGTTGAAGAGACGTTTGGGGACTAGGGAGAATACCCCAGGTTTTCTATTCGTGTGATTTGTACGGGAGGGGTTTGGGCTAGTCCGGGGTACCGCTTGCTTGGCGGCGCCCGGCTCGAGGCTCTTGGATGTCATTGGTAGGTCGGACCCTACATCGCGTATTTGCGTCGTCTGACTGCTTTCAACAACCGGGGAACCCCCTGCCCTACCAAGAGACAATATGGCTGCTGCCACAGCTCCCGGCTGCTGGTGATTGGCGCGCAATCTCAGCTACAATCCTGCGACACCCAGGGGAGTGATCCTGAATTCCCAGCTTAAAACCGCCCCAACATGAATGCGAACTCAAAATGGGTCGACCCCGATACTTTGCAAACCCCCACGGTGCCGGGAATTGATCCTTCTCACGCCACAAAGCTGTCTTCGGGACCTCTCGAATGGTTCTCGGCTCTCGAGCACACCTTATTTGTCTCGACTGCATTTTACAAACTCTTGCGGGCCATTCTTCGGATGGTTATGCTACGGCTAACACACACTTCGAATACGGGTATTGTGATCGAGGCACGGCAGCTGGGGATGATTGGTGTTCCTTAGCAACCCAGCATCTTGACAACACAAGTTCAGCAATATAACGAGTATAATCTGCATCACCATCCCTTGGTTTCAAATCAGCTTTAACGCGTTCTTATGTACGCCAATCTGTACTCAGAAGTGTCACGAGCTCAAGGGGACTGAGTGCTGTGGTCTAATTCCACACCCTTCACGGTTGGGATACCGAACTTCAATTTGGAAGGATTGCACAAGTTACAGAGTGTTGGGGGACATGTTCAACATTGAGTGCTAGCTGCTGGCAGTGCACCGGGCGTTGGCACAAGAAATCTTTTTCGGATGTCCGCCCCGGATCGAACAGAAGATATCATACTTGTTGGTTGAATAAGGGGGGGTAACCCCACTTGATAGCATTTGTATTACCTATTGCTGTGGTAAGTTTAAACAGCGGACGCATCCTTGTTCTCTTGGTGGAAGACATCGACAGACTTCTCGGTAGCAGCTACCCGGTCCTCGAAACGGCCTCCGGCATCCTTGCTTCGCCAAGCAGGGATGTTCGACGAAAACACCTCATCAACTTCTTCGAGCGACTTGCCGGCTGTTTCTGGATACGTGAAGAAGATGTGTGCAGTCATGACTGCACAGAAGGTCCCGAATATCATGTAGGTCTTCCATTGGATGTTGGTAAAAGCAGGCGGTACGAAAAACGCCAATGCAAGGTTAAACCTAGCGCAGATTGTCAGCGTTCAATTATATTCAACCTTCCCAGACATGTGTCGACTTACGTCCAATTTGAAGCGGCAGAAAGGCCGACGCCTACGGCACGATATTTCAGTGGAAATACTTCAGAACAATAAATCCAACCAATCGGGGCCCACGTCAGTCCATATATGCCGACAAAGATGTAGCACAGAGCAATCACAGCCTTTGCTGGAGCTCCACCAATTTCCCATCGCAGGATCTCGTTTCCTGAAAATAATCAGTTGCCATGCCAGTGGCCGGACGAAATGGGACTCACCATCGATGCTATCGACGTAGTGTCCATAAGAAGCCATCACGGCTCCAGTTGCAAAGTGGATGATGCAACAGATGATAGCACCGCCGATCAAGAGAGTCCGGCGACCTAGCCGATCGACGATGGGCAAAATTGCTCCAGTAGTGACAAGGAAGATCACGTATTGAATGATGGATGAGGTCAAGGCAACATTGCCACTCTTTCGATAGGTCAGCATAATTCCTTCACGTTGCGGGTTATCGGATACGAACCATTCCGGCCATGTTGAAGATGTAGACTAGATAGTCTGATGACAAAGCCAAGTTAGTCACTTTTCTTTAAGTTAGGAATTGGATATGTCGTACAAAGCATCACGTTGCCTCCGAGCAATTGCTGCCAGACCTGTACACTGCATCCGGCCAATGTGCGTTTCCACATATTGGGACCAAAAAGACCGAGAAATCCTATGTGTGCGGATTCTGCTGCCACACGAGCGGCCTCTTTGACCTCTTCAAGCTCAGTCATTACTACCGGACTGTCCCGGTCGCCGTTTCCGTGAAGGTGTGCGAGAACTTCCCAGCACTCATCCCAACGGTCCTTTTGGGCGAGCCATCTAGGAGACTCGGGGAAGAAGAACAATGCAACGAAAAGGACGATGGCTGGAACGCCTTGGACTCCCCATGCGACACGGAAGGCGTTTTCTGACTGGATGGCGTTCACGCAACCATAGGATATCAGGTACATGATCAGTATGCCTAATTATGCATCAGTGATCAAGTTTAGACAAGATTTCAAAGTACATTTGAAGCGACGTACCCCATTCAATAGACCACTGCTGGATGCCGACGATTCGGCCACGGATCTGGGAAGGAGCCAACTCAGCAAGATATACACAGCTCTGTGAGCTTGTGACTCCTATTGATAGACCGCTAACCACGCGGCCGACGATCAGGTGAGCGACGTTCTGGGCTGAAGCCTGCAATGCGGCTCCGAGGACAAAGACAACAGCAGCAACCTTTAGAGATCCGCGGCGGCCAAGCTTGTCCGCTAGGAAACCTGCAGCTAGGGCTCCAACCAACGACCCAGCTGACATGGAGGCCGTTATACCACCTTGCAAGGTTGAGTCGGGGTTGTCGAAGTACTCAAGATACTGCTTTGATCCGATCCAAGCGCTCATAGAGCTTATATCGAACCCAAACAGCATGCCGCCGATGGTGCCAAAGGCGGCCAATACTGGACATGACATTGTTAGCCCCAAATCAATCACGTAAGAGCTTCACAATCTATACCGTATATATTCCAGATGCGATACATCTTGATCTGCCCTAATGTAGGTAAGATGGGTTCGCAGGCTGACGTCTAGAGATACTAATGAGATGATATCCTACGGCACCGAAAGAGCCAGAGGGAATATATATACATCTGTGTCTCGTTCTCCCCTGTCCGGTCTCCATATCTCGTTAATTCGGAGCCTGCCGGTTCGGCAAATGCGCTCGTATGAGAGTCCGGCGTCTAAGGACGGGTGAGCTAGCACAATTGCAACCAAACTCTCATTTTGCCTTTCGTCATGCTACCAGAGGCAGTCGTTTGGCTGGCAGTTGGACCCCGGATCGTCTCCAGTTCCCATGTTAGTGGGCCCACACCCCGTATCGCCCTTGGGGAGTCGGTGGGCCTTCTCTTATGCGCACCTATCAGGGACGAGAGCCATGATAGCCGAAAGACTGGCTCACCGGGAGACCCAGAATGACGTAAACATATTTTTATCAAGACCGCATTCAAAATATCCAAGGCCGAGGATATCGGGAGTCAATTCCTCAGGACATGGCATGCGCAGCTTGTGGGGCTACTTTTGGGCACCTGCGCCATATCTTGGTCCTGGTATCTTTGCATCAAGTGCCGGGTTTTCGCCGAGAGGGTTTTGTATAATGCATTTGGCACCCGCTAGGGGTGCCGTCTTTGTCAAATAGTGTTCATTCCATTGAGGTGATCACATGAGAAACGCGCAGAGTAAGTTAAGAATGGTATGTTGGCTCTTAGATGCCAAATATTCACCATATAGTGCCTCTGTAGGATGCTCAACGATCGCCGCCTTACATTTCCCCATATGACATGAATAAGGACTGATTAATTTAAGGGCGATGATATATCTGTTAGGGGACACTGGCCATACATCCCGGGCGAGTAGTATAGAAAGGCTATTCCCTACCAATTTGCATAAGTATACAAAGAGCCAGCCCGATATGAAGCATTACACAAGCATTCCACAAAGAAAAGTCGGTGCATTCGTGGACTCATAATGTCCGAAGAAGAAAAAAAAAACCAGCATTTCGGCCAATAGACATGCCTACTCAAGACTAGGACTTCCTTACCAAATCAAACAAAGATAACTAGATACAGCGACGGAGGAGATGTCATAGGGGATTAATGCATTTAGTTCGTATAGTGTATTAATAAATATACTTAATGAAGGATTGTCTACAATCTACTCACTTGATATTAGGTACGAATAATCCCCTGGTATGCTCTGTCTAAATGGAGCTAGGTACTGTCTTTTGTCACCTTCCGCTTGATATGTTTCCTTAAGTTTTATAGTAATGCGATACAGCTATTTTCCCACCACATATGACAGGGCAAGTTAAGCTTTCAATTCCTCCATTAGGCAGTGCTAATCGACCAGGTTTTACAGCATGCCACACTTGTACATTGGCCCTATTCGACATGCTACCCACGTTTCTCTCTGCCCATGGCCTTGTTGCATTCAATATGTGATAATTAGAAAGGAAAAAAAAAAGAGAGAGAGAAGATAATTACAAAGAAGGGCGGTATCTCAATCCGGAGAACTGCTTAATTTCTGCTTGATAGAAAGCTCTGAATAATCCACTTCACAATCCTGCTTCATATACTCCACTGTGCTCTTTGCTGGCCCTGTCATTCTGCTGCACGAAAGAGCACACTGATTCGCGTTATGGGCTGGTGGTACCAGACTCCCAACACACGAATACATGCAGTATAACAGCAACGGCACGTTGGCAATGATAGTGAGAAAGAAAGGCGGCAACAGGTCTTCTGCCTCCTCGTTTGCCGACGGTAGATGGACAAGGATAGCGTTATGAATTAGACCTAGGTATCCGGAAACCGTGGCCGTGATCAGAACGCAGAGGATGGCCCATGGGCACTCGTACCTGATCAAGGCAATTTGGGCGATGAATTGAGATGCAACTTGAATGAAGAACCAAATTATCGCCATGGAACATTGCGTGAGGATAGGGTCGTCCCAGTAGGCGGGTTCGATTCGACCAAGCTCTGCGGCGCCCGTAGCAGTAAAACAGAAGCTGAAAAAGGCATGGATCAAGAGAGGGATCGGGCTCAGCGGAGCGAGTCCATCGCCCCAGAAGTGAAGCTCATATGGTGGCGGTCTTCCGACAATGTGATTCTCGTCTTGCTGCATAGATTGAGGTTGCCGGATGGACATACTGGTCTTGACTGGCTCCATGCGCTGTATTGTTGATAGCAAACACGAAAAAGTGGTGATCGTTTGGAAGATAATCTGCTGAGTATTAAAATTTCTCGCAAACATTGAGTTGCGAGGATCGCGCGAGCTCGCGCGGTAAAGGTGAAAAGGGGATGCGGATCAGTGGATGGGCAGATTACTTCAAGACTTTGTTGCAGACTTACTCCAGTGAGGAAATAATCCGTGTTACATTGCTTCCTAGTTTTTGTTATCTGTCCTGCTGGGGGTGAGACAAAGCTGCACCAGCAGCGCCACGTCAGTTGGGCTGATTAGTGTCGGCAACAACCTTCAACCTTTCAATCTGTCCTTCTGTTGATACTATCTGATAAATGTGTGTGCGCGGCCAAAAATGCAGTTATTCTTGTCCTTCGTACTTACAAGGCTGTATTATAACATCCGAAGGATTGGCAGGAGCAATGACCCTGTCTGCTATAACGGAAGACGATGTCTCCACTGTCCACTAGTCAGTCTGGGTGCTTTAACCATGAGTTGATCCGGCTGCATGATGGCTTAGTCAAATCTCTATGTTACTGGGCCTTCATATCCATGCCGGTTTATCCAAGCTTCAACATCTAGACTGGAGCCAGAGGATATGCAACTGGACGTCATGTTCGGCGGCTGATGAAGTCGTCCACAGCGCTGCCGCGACCGAGATAGACCTTCACAACCTCTAGTCCTGTATTGGGAGCCCGAGGCGCATCCTATACAGCATGGACAATCCACAGGAGGGTCCATGATACCAGGTCCCCAAGCCGCAACTCAAAGGGACAATGAAAATCCAATGAAAAACCCCCTTCTGCATACTGGCCGTCGCAAACTTTAACTTGCAAGAATTCATCTCAGGCCAAGGCTCTTTGAACGGCACTTTCCTTTGGGAAACCTTATCATGACAACCGATAGTGGCTTGTCGGAAGTGCAGCTTCAATCCCAGCAGAAGACGGGCGTGCTGTCCATGATAAGAACACACAGACAAGCCCTGATCAAAGGTTTCAACCTTGGTACTAAATGTACGACGAAAAAGGCTGCGAATTCTACCGTTTCACTATATGCGCGCGTAGACGCCGCCTGTGGACCTTCGGCTGGGGACGCCGTGGGATCTATCGTTGACGAGGGACGACGCAGGATTCAACGAGAGATGTGAACTTTTTAAGACTAGGCGGGTCAGCCCATCTTATAGTGATCATTGACGAGAGATACACACGAGTACCGAGTAATCACGACGCTAGTCAGCTTTGCGCCGACCTACGTGTAATCTTTGAGCGTCGGGGTGAGTAAAATCATTTCTTGCCATCCTATACGGTTGTGATACAGTAAAGTTAAACAGACGCATTCTCGTTGCTCAAGGTCTTGTAGTGCAGTCGGATGGTCGATTGTGTGGCCAATTTCCTGGCTCTTGAGCAGTATTCGGGCAGATTCAAGGTACCCTCCAAAGGAGGATGCCTCCAAATCCCGGACCTACGCAAGGCCATGGCTGGTATTTGCTGCTCAATATTTGCGAAGAACCTTGAGGACGATCCATACACTTATATGCCAGGAAGCCAACACCATCGCCCCCGGAAGCAGCAGTGATCTGGAGGTATTGGGGTTTATGCACTTATATGTACTCAGTAAGCAAAGATATTGAGCGACGGCCTTCAAAAAGGCTGTCCGACAAACACAGGATAGTTATGAATTATTGAAGTAAATTAAATAATGACAATTATTGATACAGATAGGGTATATTACAATCAGACCTTGACTGCCTGAATGGCGCCAATCATGCTGACCAAGTCAGCTAAGGAATGCTGGCCCTTCTTGAAGCCTTCGAGGTAGGCAATACGCTCCTCCTCTATATGACAGGTCAGCACTGCACTCTCAACTCCTCTCTCACGGCGGTCACGAAAGAACTTACCGAAAAGCACCCTCACGTAGTCCTTCGGGGCTCCGCCAGCCTGCTCGTCCCAGAAAGCGGTCATGAGCACACTGGTCTCGCCATAGCTAGCGGTCAACCCGGCCTGGGTCAGGTTGAACGCCGGGTTGAACCTCCTCGCATCTTCGACCCTCGCGGCGCGGGCGCGGGCCGCGGTCTCTACGCTGATGACGGAAGACTTGCCCGGGATGCGAATTCCGTATCTCGCGGCGGTGGCAATCCAGATCAGGGGGTTGAAGTGCAGGTTATCGCCGAAGAAGATGTCGTTCCTCGAGAGCGAGCCATCATGCTCAATGGCATTGTGGTATGCAGTGTCCTGGAGGTTGAAGGTCGAGCTGTTGCCCGTGGTCGACACCGCCAGCGCAGCCTCCGTGATGCCGATGAAGACGTCCTGGTCGAAACCCATGGCTTCGTCGAAGACCGACTGGATCATGGGCAGGTCGATGTTCTTGCCATCGCGAGGAAGCCAGCCATGGTTGGCCAAGGAATTCAGCATGGGGCAAGGGGAGCGGCCTGCGTATAGTCTATTAGTTAAATCCCCTACTACTGCCGATTCGAGACGGGACAAGACGTACTGTCGCCTCGCTTCGCGGCCTGCCACTTGTGGCCAGCGGGTTCGGTGGGCTTGCAGTTCGCAACGGCAAAGCCGCTGAAGGCGATCCCGAGAAGCAAGTTGGCGCGCATTGTTGACGATTTCTGCGATGCTATCACAGAGTTGGGTCTCAGGCGCGAGACTTTTTCGAGGCAAACACAGCAGAAGCCCTTTTCGACGAAATTGATCGGCAGCCGTCGATTGCTTATAGATGCAGAGCCGCAAGGGGCCCTGGATCTATAAGCACTCCATCAGGGCCCGCATGTGCGGGCGCCGTTGGCTGACCGCAGTCGAACGCCTTGTGACAAGGCGAGCGTCCCGGCCTGATGCCTTCCGAGCCCACAAGTGCACCCTGTCCCGCTCCATCACAAGTCGCCCACTGCGGCGAGGGAAGATGGGGAGATGCAGTGCACGAACCTATCGTGGCGTTAGTATTGTCAAGCAGGCGGGCCTTGCTGTCTCCGGTTAGCTTCCGTCATCTTAATGTGCACCAGACACCAGGAACGTCAATGAGGATCGGCAAAGCTTACCTCTGCTAGCCAGGTACTCGGACGTCAAATGCCTAGGCACGGTCGGCCGCACCTCGCAACTGGGTCCACTAGATAGAAAAAAGCAATGCCGTCGCTCTTCAACACGAGTTTGACAGGTCGAAAAGCAGAATGCCGAAGAAAACGGTCGATCGGGACGAAACACTTGTGACTCAAAAGACAGCCCTACGGCTCACGCGGTAACCTGAGCACCAAAAGTCAACGTCTGTAGAAAATGCAGATACTACCTAGGTATCATGCTTGAAACCGTGGGACCAACAGCATTTCAGAACCGGAGGCCCGGTTGACCGGAACCTTGGAACGGGGCAGCCGTCCAATAGTGTCGAAAGCATTTCCAAGTGAGATGAGTTTTCATAAGTTTTCGTTATCGCCATGGGCGCTAATGGAGGTTCCCCTTTCGGCTATACATAGCAGCTGAATTGCTTTTCACATATCATCGAGATGTCAATGTTCTCAATCACACCGGCAGACCGGGTGCGGTTTAGTCTTGCCGCCAACCCAAGCAACGTCGTGGTCGAGACCTATCCCACGCAAGCCACGAAGTGGCAGAGGACCTGTGCGTGACAGGGCCGATCTCGAGAATCAATATCAAGATCGCCCAAAACGGCAAAGTCACACCCACTAGCCACAAGTATAAGCTACGCAGGATACACGCATCAGCTACTGCGGCGCTCAGATATCACAGACGCTTCCTCGAAATTTCTGGCGCCACTGAAAATAGCACATAATCGAGGTACCCTTTATGCGACCTCAAACTATTGGCTGTTCTAGTCGTGCACGGTCTGGAAATAGTGGCATGACCGTATCGGTGGACCCTCTAAACATCTGTCACGTCGTGGGACATCCTGTTCCTGGGCCTGGCCCGACCAAGCGGCCACGGGTAAAGTTGACGATTGAGCAGTGCACGGGCTACCCTTATGCCGTGAACTTCAGTCCGACCCGCTTGTCTGACGTATGTACCTGACTGGGGATAGTCGGACTTGCTTTTCCCAGCCGTTGGCCGTCACAAGCCGCTTGAGGCGCGATAGCAGTTATCAAACCCCGTATTGTAGCCGCCGAAGGTGAGGAGGCTGAAAATACGGTGAAAGCTCTAGTATTTCAGGATGAGACACGGCAGACACGTGCCTAAGCGTCGTCAGGCGTCTGGGTCGCGCTGGGGATTACCTTGTGTCTCTCTATGCTCTGCGCTGTGATGGTGTATAGTCCGTCCCAAAGCTCATGGGCTCTACGGTGTTCCACGTGCCAAGACGAATCCGCACCGAATCTCCTGACCCGTCCGAGAATCCTCTATAATTTCGCCTCGGCGTTATCCTTCCCCTGCCTCTCCTTGGCCCTCTCCTCCTCGAACACGCTCTCCCGGTCCCGGATCTCCACCTCGGTAGCCGTGCCCTTGGCGAACCTGACCAGGACGACCCGTTCCCAGTCGCCGCCCCTGTTGCTCCCCTTCAGCTCCGGGCCGGGCCTCTCCAGGCTGAGGACCGCCCTGCCATCCGCCCGGACCAGGGCGGTCACGGGGCTGATGACCTTCTGGGCCCAGGGGATGTGTGACGTGGCGTGCTTAAGCGCCTTGGGGTTCGTGGCAGTCGGTGTGGTGCGCAGGAAGTCCAGAAGCGCCTGACGCTGTGCCTGATAGTGCGCCCCCGCGTCTGCCGCGGCGCCAGCGCCGGAGGAGGCAGGGGGAGGCCCCGTGCAGAACTGCGATACGAGCGTCAGAAGGAATGCCTGGGGCGGGAAGAGGATGACCTCCCCACGCCCCTGCCGCGCAAGCCAGGCGCTGGCGTCCTCGAAGACCGATGTCGTCACCTCGCCGCCGTCTGGCGTGGGCAGGACGGCCTCGGACTCTGCCGCTGCCAGGGCTGGGTCGGAAGGGGTGGACGAGGAGGCGGGCGAGCTCTGTACGGGCAGCATGTACAGATACATCTGCGTCGTAAAGCGCTTTGGTGTCGCCGGTGGTGTAATCCAGCGGGTGAAGGGGTGTAGGTTCTCTGAGATAGAGTTAGCAGCCTATAAGACCCTATAATTGTGTATCTATGTGAATGCGGATGTACACTTACCTATATCAGCAACGCCACCGACACTATCCAACCACTCTTCAAATCTGATCTCATTCTGGTAGATCCGTCTCCTGATTACATCTCGCTCGGAAGCGGGTAGAACCAGCAGTGAGCCATCCGTGCTTCTCTTGTCCCTAGCAAGCAAGATCCCGCTCTCCTCGAACGTCTCTCTGACGGCGCCGATCCTATAAGCCCGGCTATCCTCATGCCTCGCCAGGTCGCCAGGCGGCGGCACCGCCCCGTCATGAAAGTCTGACAGGTTCCCGCCGGGGAAGACATGAGCCGAGGCAAAAGATGACGAGGTCTTGACCCTCCGCAGGAGCAGCACCTGGTTCGTTGGCGACAGGAGCACGATGCTGGAGCTCGGCCGCGGCTCCATGGGCTGCTTCTTCTCCTTCGGCGCTGAGGCTGTGGAGTAATGCGACGCGTTCGTCATTTTGCTGGACGCAGAGAACACCTGTCTCCCGTGAAGACAGGCTGACACAGGTGGTTTTCGGCAAGACCCGTGGCGACGTGTAAAGTATAGTGGGAAGCGTCCCTGGCAATTGAGACTGGATTTCACGCGTTTGACTCCAGGCTGTATCAAATGAAGTCGAGAGCGCAGGATCTCAAGCTGTAGATGGGTAGGAGCCGCAATGCATTGTGACATTGCCTTTCTTCCTTCGTCTTAAGATCCCGATGTACTTGTAGACGGTCCTTCAATAAGTGTGCGGAGAGGTGGCTATCAACGAAGAGAGCTGAGGTTGGGGTGCCGAGGTCCCCCGCAGAATTGGAGATCCCCCCGCGGTCCGTCCAATGGTGCTCGCTTCTGGTCAACGTCACCCCATAAACACGATCATAACAGGTATAGGGCCAATTGTGATTATATCATTGACTTCGTAGTTCCATTAGGGGAAATATAGCCTCAATACACACTGTGGATTTCAATATATTGTATCGTGAATCATCCTTAGACATCTACTCTTAAGAGACCCAACGGTCATAACAAACGCCTTTAAAACAGGGTATCAATATCGCTTCCTCTCCTTACCACGCACATTCACTCTCCAAAGACATATGATGCTCTTCGACTCGCACCATTTCTTGACTTCACCAGGGGACACTTCGCCATCGTAACCCACGCGCGTTAGCTGTCCACCGTTCAGCCAAGCAGCCAAGTCCTCTAATACGATCGGGTCATATAGCAACATCTTCTCATGCCACGATGGGTTAGTCGGATCTTTCGAGCGAGGAGCCGACGTAACAGCCTTGGTGATGTGTGAGAACATGGTAGCTTCTTGGTCCGTCGGCGATAAGTTTAGGGACATGTCAACGCCATCCTCGGTCGTCGAAAGGTCCACGGGCGGAGGGGATGAGAATACGCGTTCCGGCGACGAGTCAGAGGACAAAGAGATATCGTCATCCGAGTCGGCAATCTCGACGGTTTTCTTCGCTGGCCGCTTCCCTTTGGCTTGGGTGGGTGATTTCGAATTTCTAGTGGTCGTCGCTTTGACCGCCGCATCTGATGTTGCTGCGGGGACTTTCCTAGGACGGCCTCTTCCTCGTTTCGGAGAGGCCGAGAGAACTGAGGCCACCGGCTCATCTGCCTTCTTTGGTTTACTACGCGACTTTTTTACTGGCTCCGCCGTTGTTGACGCTTTAGAGGCGGCCGCTCTGGCAGGTGACTTCTGTTTCGGTAAGCGCAAAGAAGCAGATGTAGACATGGAGGCAGATGGGCCCGCAGGATGAACCATGGGCATGCCAGGATGTTGACTAGCCCAGCACTGATCAAGCAGAGCCACCATTGCCTGCCGTCTCTTCAGAGGCTTGAAGCCATATGCCGTAACCTGCTTGGCTAATTGCGCATCAGTGAACAGATCGTATTTCGGACGTTGGGGCTGTTCCGGTTCCTTGCCCGCTTTGGCTTCCTCTGCGACTGCCGAGCCTTCTGACAATGTGGTAGATGTCATCGCTGAGCTTGCAATTGGCCCCTGCGGCTGCCAAAACCGAGATGAAGGATCAGTTGATCCAGTACCTGCTTGTGGAGAGCTACTGCAGATATCACCGATATCGACAAACTCGTCGCGGCGCAGGCCGGCTGCCGGATCAGCAAGATTGCTTCTGTCATTGACAGCAACGTTGCCCGCAGCGACGAGGTCGACCACCTCTGCCCCCAACAGATCGCCATCCACGTCCCGAGCACCAGCATGCCAGAGCCCCTTTGCACGGCTAGTGGGCGAACTGGCAAACGGATCACTACCAGGCTGGTTGGATGCCTTAATGGCCGCTTGCAAGTCCCGTAGCATGGTGGGAGAGTCCTCCAAGATAAGCTGGCTAGATGTACCGAAGACAAAATCTTGGTTCACCGACTGCCTCAGGGCCGAGCTGGGTGAGTAGAGAACAGGATCCTCGACAGTCGCGCTCTTCTTTTTCTTTCTGGGCTTGGCTGCTGGCTTCTTGACTTTTGACTTTTCGTGATCCATAAGAGCAGACTGGTGCTCAACAAGTGACTTCATATTGCCATCACCATCGAAGTACTGTAAGAGGGTCTCTTTATTGCCAGGCGCCAAAAGGTCAATCTCCGGTAGCTGAGGCATGTAGGGCGCGGTTGCCAGGCTTGTGATTGTCGTTGCTGCCTTCTTCTTGGCTAGAGGAGGCTTGGACGGTGATGCTACTCGTGCTCCTTGTGATTCTGACTCTGGTGGGGCTGGTCTCTCATCGCCAACCGCGACCAGCTCTAAGCGCTTGCGCTTTCGCAAAATGTCAACGGCCGGTGCTGCTGGCTGTGCAGGGAGGCCTGCCTCGTTCTCGGTCGCTGTGCCGGTGTCCCGACAGCCGTAGGCGTCGAGCAGAGTACCAAAGACATCCTTTTTGGTGACAGGTCTCTCTGCTGATGATAGAAGTTCACGGTTATCGGACTCGGAGTCAAGAATGACAACAGTGTTTGCCCTCGGTGGTGTCCAGTCATTCCTTCGGGCCACTGCTGGCTCTTGCGGCTCTGGTGGCGCGGCCTCGGGCTCCTCGGCAGCAGGAAAATGGTTGGAGACGGTCTCGGTTGTTTTCCTGGTCCTCTTCTTGTCTGGAGCTGTGGATTTCGTCACACGAGCTCTGGGCAGGGAAGGCTGGTTGTCCTCGAGGGACTTCTTGGACTTGAACCGCTTTGGCGACAAGGCAACTTCGGCTGGCGCATCTGCTTCCTTGGAAGCCAGGGCCTTCGCTCTCGGCTTTCTAGGCGCCTTTGGTTTTCGGGGCGGGGGCGAATGGGTAATTGTCTCTGTATCGATGTCTATTTCCGGGGCTTCTCGCAGGATATCGGCAGCGGATGCAAACGTGCTTCGAGCAGTGGTCGGGATGGGTGCGGCATTGCTCCCGCTCCTCAAGGGCGGTGCCCGTTTGGGGCTTCGCCGAAAGAGTTCGCCGAGGGATGGAAGGTCTGGGGAAGATGAGTTGATTAAATAAGTGTCGCCACGGGCAGGCCTCGGGGTGGAAGACATGGCGGCGTTGTTGATTGCAGCCAAGGACGCGGTGGTGGCAGAAGTGAAGGCTCGGGGGCGGACTGGGATGCGGCCAGCGCACCCGCGGAGAATGTGGCTCGTCAGGGTGAAGGCCGTTGGTCGTGTCGCATAGTCATCCGTGAAGCAGGCCTGGTCAGATAGCCATCTCTGATTCTCGCGATCATCCAGGTCCAAGGAAGCAGAGGGGGGCCAGACGCCGGACACGGGCGTAGGTGGGCTGGCGGACGGGGCAGCTGAGCGCGCGACGTCGCCGCGAGAGCACATGACCGCCGGGCCTGTTGGCCCCCCCTCTAGCCACAGGCACAGCTGGGGGCGCCTAAGTACTCCCGTACTGGCAGACTGGGTGCTCTGGCGGACTAGCAGACCAGCCAACTCCCGCACGGGCCCTGGAGAAAGCCAGTACCCGTGGACCACAGTAGACGGCGGTGCCCCCACAGCTGTCCCCGTCCGGCGTCTTGCGACTTGCCCAGCTGCCGGCTGCCGGACTTCAACCGCTGACTCAGCCCACAACCCCTCCAAACTTTTCGTGGAGCACCAATATTGCGCCCGGTTTTGAAGATTCACTTTTCGACACCGACTTCCTCGTGACGACCGCTTGCGACCTGCATATCCTTGCCCACCAACACACTCCCAAGGACACCCTCCAGACAACCCCTTCACAGTCGCAAAGATGGAGAACGACAAGGGCGAGATCGTCGACCTGTACGTGCCTACACCGAACCCCCAACAACCCCCGGGCTGGTGACAGGACAGCCCGGTCGAATCGTCGACCGAAACACCCCCGGGCGATACATCACCAAGACACACAAGACACACGAGATGCGACCATGCTGACCTTCCTATCTCTCTCTCTAGCTACGTCCCCCGCAAGTGCAGCGCCACCAACCGCATCATCAAGGCCAAGGACCACGCCTCCGTTCAGATCTCCATTGCCAAGGTCGACGAGAACGGCCGTGCCGTCCAGGGCGAGAACCACGTCTACGCCCTCTGCGGCTTCGTCCGCGCCATGGGCGAGAGCGACGACTCCCTGAACCGATTGACCCAGCGCGACGGCATTGTCAAGAGCGTCTGGAGCGCACAGCGATAAGCGTTGGATGGGAAATGGATCTCTCTTCGGTGGTACGCACGCACCCACCTGCCCATCTGCCCACCCACGCCGGGCCTCTCTCCGGATCGCTCGCTTACACATGCGCCCGACAGGTTTTTCACGGTGTTGACTAGGGCATTGGGAATTTCGGATGGATGGACGACTTCACACCTGGTACCTGCTTTGATTCGCATCTAGCCGATTAGAAACGTCGCGCCTGCATTCCGGAAGGGCATGGAAATGGAACAAGAATAAAAAAGCCGATTCCTTGACCAACAAAAGAAAACGTCACCCGCGTCTCCTCCCGTTTGTCACTCCTGATCCCTTGTGGTCGCCAGCAGTGCATGTTCCCGGCTAGCAAAGTCTCCTCGCTTCCCACTACCCAGTGACCCTATGGTCGAGGATTCTGGGGCTACCTCGATAGTCTCCGTGCCGTAGATGAACCTTGGCCTTGAAAAAGCCGTGATGCTCGAGCGTTACATCATGGCACAGATACGGGTCAGAAATATCTACGTCTCTTTGTTTTGGTGCTTGGAGCCTGAGATTTGAAGGTTGCCTATGATCCGAATTGCCATGTGACATACCTTGACCACCTGGGCAAACTGCGCCAACCAACGCAAGCAACTCTTCTATTGATACAGCATCCCGTCATGCGATCGCTCTTGCGAGCTGTAAATGTTGCATTGCCCATATTTTCGGGTGAAATTTCGTCTTGCGCAGGCCACCACGATCCTCTCGGGGTGAACGTCTTTGCGGATGGGTAAACCTACGCAGTTTGGGGCAACGATTATGTTCCCAACTCCTCGTACCACTCCAAGCCCACCTCAAGCTGACTCTACGTGTTCGGTTGGTTACCTTACAGTAGGTAAAGAGCAGATCTAGTAAGTCCGGAAGTGAGGTTTGAGAAACTTCGCAAGGTTGCCTTTGATTGGTGGCTGTAGCTGAAACAGGCATTCCAGGCACTAGTCTCCAAGTCCAAGCCAGAGGATGGACCCTTTATTAGATCGTCTCCTGTGCGGCTCGATCCTCAGCTCTCAATGACGCACAAGACATCACAAAGAAGGTTACAATCAAATGGGTTGATAGGTAGGTCGCGTCGATTAGGCTTTCGCGGCTGAGAAGCCTCAGCAGTGATTTCCCCAATTTGCACGCATTCATGTTGTTTTCGCTTCAATTGACTGGCAAGCTGTGGTCTTTGTGTCGCCATATCCCAGCAAAGCCTTGGTCGCGTCAACGATCGTTTTGCTCTTACAAGGCCATTGCAGCTATCGCCATGTCCAGCACACGTGGTCGGCCACCCAAGCGGAAGGTTCCCGACGTAGACGCCGAGGACCTCGACGCGTCAAACAAGAAGTTCAAGGCCGCGAACGGTGCCAATGGCTCTGCGAAAGATGCATTGCGTGCACCGCACCCCTTCTCTGCCGAAGCCGAAGAGAATGGCATCGTACTGCGCAAATATTACCCGCCCGAGATGAGCAATGCCCGCGCTTTGGCGTACAATCACGATGAGATCCAGCGTCCCATCCAGACCCTGCGCAATGCCTGCGAGGAGACCGCGGAGGTGCGCAAGGAGATCAGGGCCAAGGATGCCGTGGTGCACTGGTTCAAGATGGATCTACGGACCGGTGACAATCGCGCCTTATGGCTTGCCAGCCAAAAGGCCCAGGAAGCTGGTGTGCCACTGATTGGTTTGTATATAGTCAGTCCCGAGGATTTCGAGGCGCACTTGGCAGCTCCGGTGCGTGTTGACTTCACCATGCGGACGCTCCACGTCCTGAAGAGGGACCTTGCCGCCTTGGACATACCGCTATACGTCGAGACGGTCAGTAAACGGAGAGAAATACCTGAGCGCATCGTCGAGTTCCTGGAAGAGTGGGGCGTGGGTCACCTGTTTGCCAACATGGAGTATGAAGTCGACGAGCTGCGAAGGGAAGCCAAACTCGTCAAGATGTGCGCGGCAAGGGGCATCGATTTGGAGGTTGTTCACGACACTTGTGTCGTACCTCCCGGAGCTCTGACGAGCGGAAGCGGAAAACAGTACTCGGTATATTCGCCTTGGTTCCGAGCGTGGGTTGCGCATGTGCACGCGAACCCAGATCTGCTCAATATATACGACCCTCCCGCCAAGAACTCGCCTGCACAGCATGCTAAAGTGGCCCCTCTATTTGATTGCGAGATCCCCGACGTTCCGGAGAACAAGCGTCTCTCTGACGAGGACGCGAAGCGTCTGCATGCCATCTGGCCTGCTGGTGAGCACGAGGCAATGGCAAGGCTGGAAAAGTTCTGTGAGGAGAAGATCGGGCAGTACCATAATCGCAGGAACATTCCATCAGAAGTCGGCACATCAAACATTAGTGTTCACCTTGCTGCGGGGACTTTAAGTGCGAGGAGTGCAGTGCGCTACGCGCGGGATAGAAACAAGACGAAAAAACTCGATGCCGGACTGGAGGGCATCAAGGCTTGGATCAGCGAAGTGGCATGGAGGGACTTCTACAAGCACGTCCTGGTAAACTGGCCATATATATGGTAAGCCTTCATCTCCCCTTCCTATTCGTCCATCTGCCTGTACGGCCTCTAACTGTGATCAGCATGAACAAGCCTTTCAAGCCAGAATACTCGAATATTACGTGGTCGTACAACAATGCACACTTCGACGCTTGGAAGGAAGGCCGCACAGGGTATCCCATTGTGGACGCGGCGATGCGGCAGGTGAAATCCATCGCCTGGATGCACAATCGCTGCCGCATGATTGTCGCCTCCTTCCTGGCAAAAGACCTCTTGCTCGACTGGCGCATGGGCGAGAAGTTCTTTATGGAGAACCTGATCGATGGTGATTTCGCGTCCAACAACGGCGGCTGGGGTTTCAGCGCCTCTGTCGGCGTCGACCCGCAGCCCTACTTCCGGATATTTAACCCGTTGCTACAGAGCGAGAAGTTTGATCCCCAGGGCAAATACATCAGGAAGTGGGTGCCTGAACTCAGAGACTGCGACGACAAAGAGATCCATGACCCATACGGCAGGAAGGCCGGCAGCAAGGTTGAGAAAAGGGGGTATCCCAAGCCAATTGTCGTGCACAAGGAGAGCAGGGACCGGGCCCTCGCGGTCTATAAGGAGGGCCTGGGAAGGTATAAACCTTAATATGCGACAGGACGTTATGGCGTATTCCTCTAACATAAACCCAGCCGGCTGGGTCAACTGTCAGAGACTACGGGTGTCTGTTGCGTAGTGCATATGCATGCCAAATTAAGGCTGACAGGCGCAACCTCTGCGGCGTTCTCAAGGTCGAGGGGTGCATTGGGAACCCTGGTGTTGGCGGCATCGAAGGCCGATGCATCAGCAGATGATAGGGCAAGTAATGGAAGAGGTCCCAAGGCCATGAATCAGGTATCGCAACCTCCGATAACATACATGGATGCGCTACGGTGCCGTATTGCTCCCCTGGTCTCCTTCCCCAACTAGTTCGCGGATCTACCGCCCCAGATAATGCCAAGACATGTTATTGGCCAAGGCCACCGCACCACCACCGAGGAGCAAGTCTCCATTGAATGATTCAGTCATATCAATTCGTGATACTATCGGTGGACAATCAGTCTTCTTGTGCCCAGGCCCTTGTTCGCCGGCTTCGACCGGCGATAGACTATTCGAATATGTACAAGGTCCATGATAAGCACCCGCGGCTCCACACACCACCTCGAACGGGTTGCGTATGCCCTGTTAGACAGACAGACAGATAGATAGAAGCAGCGCAGCATTCCCATTGATAACCGCCACGATGCCGCGCCGGACGCGGCGCCTTGGCCTCTGCAAGCCCATTGCTTGTTCTGACGCCATCGTCACAATAACACGGCCGACGCCGCCACGCAAGGAGCCGCCGTCATCACCGCATCGAGAATGGCGACCGAGGTAGTCAGCTCCGAGAAGCCCGGGGAGAAGCCCGCAGACCTCGGCGCTCTGGGCGACTTCAAGACGGCGCACAACCTCCACGGCCAAGATGTCGAGCTGGAGAATGGCCACCTCGCCGAGCTCGAGGTCGACATGGGCCGCGTCCTGTCAAAGGCCGAGGAGGAGGGCGATTGGGATGCCGACACGAGCCCATTCCCTGCCGTCAGGGCCGTGGTCCCCGAGACAGACGACACGGAGATCCCGGTCAACACGTTTCGCGCTTGGTTCCTAGGTATTGTAAGTAGCGACCTTGCTGCGAACTCCATGCAATATCTACCATGGCTCTTTGGGAAGCTGACTTACACCAAATGCCAGATCTTTGTCTTCCTCGGCGCCGGAGTAAACCAGTTCTTCTCGCTTCGCTACCCAGGCGTCCGCATCGTGTCACTGGTGGCGGAGCTGCTGGCCTTCCCGCTTGGGGTCGCGCTCGCGAAACTGCTCCCCATCAGCCGGTTCAACCCGGACCGCCACTTCAACATCAAGGAGCACGCCTTGGTTACTATCATGGCGAATGTGTCATTTGGGTTCGGCTCGGCCGATGCGACCAACATGTATGCTCAATTGGGATCCTTTCGCTACCTCCTTCTGGCGGCCTTATAGCGCAAGGGATTTGCGTCTCAGAAGCCACATACTGACTATCATTTTTACAGTATCCAGGCTGGCAAGTTCTACGGGTTCGACCTCCCCCCAGGCTTCTCAGTCTTGGTCGTCCTCTGCTGCCAGCTCAGCGGCTACGCCGTTGCCGGCCTCGCGGTCCCCTGGCTCGTGAAGCCGGCCTCCATGATCTGGCCTGGTGTGCTTAGCAACATTGCGCTCCTGAGCTCCCTCCACTCTAGAGCCAATGCTGTAGCCGACGGTTGGAGAATTACCAGGATCAAGTTCTTCATGGTGGTAGGCTTGGGCGCCTTCGTCTGGTATTGGTTTCCCGGTCTCATTTGGACAGGCCTCAGCTACTTTACGTGGATCTGCTGGATTGCGCCAGACAACCTGGTTGTGAACCAAGTTTTCGGCATGGTGACTGGCATGGGGCTCTTCCCGCTAACCTTTGACTGGTCCATGATTGCTTACAACTCAAACCCGCTCCTGAGTCCTCACTGGGCCGCTGCCAACGTCTTCGCCGGCTTCGTTGTGTTTTTCTGGATCATGACCCCGGCGATTTACTACGCCAACATCTGGTTTACTTCGTACATGCCGTACTGCACGGCAGACGTGTACGATCGTTTTGGGCAGCTGTACGACGTATCGCAGGTGCTCACAAATAACGAGTTTGACCAGGAGAAGTACGCTGGATATTCTCCTCCGTATCTCCCAGCCACCTTCGCTTTCGTATATGGGCTGTCTTTCGCTTCTATAACAAGGTAAGTGTACTTTGAGTTGCTTCGTACAATGACTGGAAACCTAATCCCCTTCGCAGCGTCATGTCTCACGTCTACTTCTTTCACTGGGAAGAGATTATGCATTCCCTCCGTGGTACACTCAAACTCGACATCCACGCGCGACTCATGGCCTCCTACCAGCAAGTCAAGTGGTGGTGGTGGGCGATCATCCTTTTGGTCGTATTTGGCATGAGCGTCGGCACCGCCGAGGGCTTTGATACAGGACTCCCCTGGTGGGGCATCATTTTGGGATTCATCATTCCAGTGTTGTACATGATCCCCTGTGGGATGATCCAGGGTGTTACCAACGTCGACGCGAATCAGCTCAACGTGCTCTCCGAATTCATTGGCGGATACATGTTCCAGGGCAAGCCGATCGCCAACATTCTGTTCAAGGTCCTGTCGACAGATGTGGTAGGCCAGGGATTATACTTCGCATCCGACATGAAACTGGGACATTACCTGAAGATCGCGCCTCGGACCCTCTTCTTCGCCCAGGGCCTTGCCACAATCCTGGGCGCGCTGACACAGACCGGCGTCACCCTCTGGATGCTCGGACACGTGGACGGTATCTGCGATGAGGATCAGCCGAACGGATTCTCCTGCCCTAACGGGCGGACCGTCTTCTCGTCCTCGGTCATCTGGGGGCTCGTCGGCCCAGCCCGCCTCTACTCCGTCGGAGCCATCTACTCGGGCTTGCTGCACTTCTTCTGGATCGGTCTTGTGCTGCCCCCCATCACCTGGTACATCTGGAAGAGGACCGGCAGCGACTTCGTGCGCAAGATCAACTGGCCACTCATATTCGTCGGCACGTATAATGTACCGCCAGCCACCGGCATTAACTACAGCTCGTGGTACATTGTGAACTTAATCTTCAACAAGATCCTTTACCGAAAGTTCTACGCTTGGTGGACTAAGTACAATTATGTCCTGGCCGCGGCACTAGACACCGGATTAGCAATCAGCGGTATCGTCATCTTCTTTGCTGTAACATACGGCCCAAATGTGCAATTTCCCGACTGGTGGGGCAACACGGTCTGGCAAAATACCGCTGATGGGCTCGGTTTGCCCTGGTTGCAGATGCCTGATGTTGGATATTTCGGGCCGGCGAACGGGACATGGTCGTAGGGATTCAGCCGCTGGAGACTGAGCATCTGGAAATGATCATGTAGTGACGGTTTTATTGACCGACAGATTTCAAAGCGTTTTCTGCATCGCAACTGAGAAATATATGTCCACTCAAAAATAGTATACCCTGGCATCCCGTGCTTCTTAGTCACTTTGCCCTCTCAGTTGCTGTGAAATTGAAAACATGCAAGATTTCGAATCATGATTACCAAGACCAACAATGACTATCGATTACTACGATTCTCGATACACTCAACCTGGTATAAGCAAACCCCCTCAAAACGCAATGCGAGGTACTCCATTAACCATTGTCATTCTATTCAGCTACGCAGAACGGTAATCACCTTGATCTGAGGCTGTGCTGCTCTACGAAGAAATCAGTACAAGGTCCTAGGATAGGCCTCCCTCCACTGAAAAATCTTAAGAAGATGTGATGGGAGCCGGGTCGGCCATATATACGCTGAAGTCCTCCGATTAATTTCCCCAGTGCTCACAGAATCCTTCCTAGCCCCATCGATAAAGCTTCATCTCACGGCCTAAGGCCATGATTCTGCACCACTGCAATAGACGGTCCGCTTTCGAGCGCGTGAAGTACCAGCGCTAAGTCGTAGAACCCGGCCACATAGTTTTCCACGGATTTTTCGTGGACGTATCGGATGCTGTCAAGTAGTGTCGACCCGTAAGAGGTAAATCCTCTCCCGACTCCTAATCTCTCCTCCATGGGCATGGTCTGAATGATCTGCAGCATAAGCTGTACAATACAGTCGTCCTTTTCAAACTCTCTTTTGACCTCTATTGACTGCCGAGATCTGTCCGTGCGAATAACAGTTAATGCTATGTCGTGCAGCGCCTCAAGCGCACTTCGTTTTGTGTTGAACGGGCTTTGTGGCCCAACTCGCACGGCAATTGCAGCAATGCAGGCCCGCACGCCTGCGCAGGCGGACCCGGGCGACGAATACTGCTCAGACTTTCCACTGATGATGGAGTCTACTCTCTGGGCATAATTCCTGAAGTCAATGCCCTGCAAAGTCTGACTATATGCCACGGAAACTAGACTCTGTGCGACCGACGACTGCGTAGCCAGGACATTGACGATGGTTTTGAGAGTCTCCGCATCAAGCACTTCTACCATATCACTGAAAGAAGTCGTTGATAACGACGACTGAGTGCTGTCCGATGCGCTGTCCATCATAAAATCATTGTGCATCAGCGTGTCATCGTGGCCCAAGCTCGTCCTATGCTTCTTCGTTGGGCTACAACATATTGATTCCGGAACTTCCGACGGGGCAGCACCATGATAACGCTCTTCAAAGACCGTGGTGTCAAAAGCTTCGCCGTCCCTTGGTCGCTTATACGCCCGATCTGTGAGCATATTCGCACTACCATGCGCTTGAAACCCCGCAGAGTTGATGTCTACGTGGAGTTAGTTTGTAGAATCATAGAGTCCCCAAATCTCTCCGTAAAAAACAGCACGACGTTCATGTTTATGAGGTGATGGGCTTATCTTACAATTGAGGCAAGCTCAGCTGGATATGGCGTGATCGATCTGGGCCAGTCCATTGGGCCATATGACTCGGCATGCCAAGATACCCCACATTTTACTGCCATGAGCTCTTGTATACAGGTTTACATAGTCTCCTTCACTATACTCGGTACATACGGTTCTATACGTCACATCATAGCAGTGGCGGATGATCCAGTACTTCGACGTTCCTCGCAACCACAGAAGAATAATGAAGCAGCACTCCAGCAGCGGCCTCCGACATGAGTTCGTCACCCAGGATCTATAGATTTGCGGCCCGCCGGCCATCGCCATCTGCATTCTTTTGCATGAGGGTCGAAATATAATACCATTGGCCAAGTTTTCTATTTATACTAAAATCGAGATTGTGTACCTGCGAAGCACGTTGAATCGGCGACAGCTTGAATGAAGAAGCTCCACCTCAAAGATAGTTAGAGGCTCCAAGCTACCGAGTTCGTCAACAACGCAGCGTTTTTGATCAGAAATCAAACTTATGACCGACAAGCTCCTCGCTCAAATCCCATAATTTCTTAGCATTTCTTGGATCGGTAGCATAATCGAGGGCCTCCTCAATGTGACAGTCGACGATGTAAGCTCCACTATGCTCATCCAGAGCAGGATCAAGAGCGCCCGTAAGCAAAGGTGCCGCTCCTTGGTGTGACGTCTTGAAAGTGTTGGGATCGAGTGGAGGGAAGCTGTCCCAGCCGTTATTTCGCTTCGCAACCTCAGAAATGGTGTTGAATATTTCATAATCAGCGTGACTGCTGAGATTTGTGTTCGTCACACCACCTGGGTGCACGGCGTACGATTGTATATTCTTGGAGGCCAATCTCCGTGCTAGTTCTACAGTGTAAAGAATATTGGCAGTCTTGGCCTGACCATATGCAGTCCAGATTTCGTATTCTTTCCCGTCCGAGAAATTCCAGTCATGGAATCGGAAGGGGCTAACACGGTGTCCGTTGCTGGTTACGTTGACGATGCGAGATCCAGGACCAGCGGCAATGATCTTAGGCATGATGAGATTGGTCAGCAGGAAATGGCCAAGATGACACGCAGAAAGCGTCATTTCGTAGCCCTGCTTATCTTTGGTGTATTCCATAATCGCCATGACACCCGCATTGTTTACGACAACGTCAATCCTGGGAATGGATGTACTGTTAAGAATCGTCGATGCCGTCTGCTTGACTGAGTCGAAGTCTGATAGGTCACACGGCTGGAAGACGACCTTGATATTGGGGTTGACTGATGCAATGTCTTCCACCACGGAATAGACTCTGGTCTTGCTACGACTCACAAGAATGAGTTGTTCAGGTTCGCCGTGCGCCAGAGCCACTGCCGCTGCTGCGCCAATACCCTTCTCGCCGGTGCCCGTGATCAGAAATGTGCGTCCCTTTACATGTTGTGGGAGAGCCTGGACCACTTCCGTGGCAGTTGTTGCGGCGCCGAAGGAGGGCATTGGCTAGAAAAATTTAAGGCTCCGTTGTGTAAAGAGAGTCGAGGATGGAAAGAATGCGAGGCTATCTGGCTTCTACACAAGATGATGTGTCTTGAACGCAGCCTGACATTGCTTGGTGGTTTGACTTATATAAAAACGACCCGGCACGCTATAGCGTACCATATATCTGTGTCCCAAATAACAGCTGCATCCAATCATGGGTTGTAGTCGTAAGTTTGAACCTTGATAATATTCGGACAGGGGGTCCGGAACTTCGGACTTTTTGAGATCATGGAATTGAAGCCGGCAGTGTAGTGGGGGGTTTTCCAAACCCACGAAGTTTACACTTTGATATCGACGATCTTGCGAAGGCATAGACGAGCTACGGGCGTACTAATCGCCGCTGGTGAAACCGCATGCCGGATACCTGATGCTTTGACGTGAAGATTGCCGGACGTATCGACTCTCGGACATGCGACAAAACCCGGCTGCTACGTTGATTGGCCGGGCGTCCGGGCAAGGTTTAAGCAAGGAACATCATTCCTGGAAATGTTATACAGCACCATTCACCGACAGAGGGCATGGCCTGATTCGATAAATGACTGACGCGGCGATGTCTGGCACGAGTCGAATCTGACTTACTTCATTCAATGTCTGAGTGTATCTATGAGGTAGGGCTCGCCCAACCACCAGCGATTCCGACCTCTGGTCTGAGTCGTCAGATAGGACTGAAGCCACTCATGCAACCCAATCGACTGTTACAACAATGTTGACGGTCTGAGTCAATCTGTTGCGGCCTCTAGCTTCCAAGTCGGAGAACTCATAGCAGCAGCACATCACAGCCAGGCACGGCATGGTACATTACCCCATGGCCTAGGTCGCATCGCGTGCCCGATGGATTTTCGGGGCCAGCAGTCTAAGCAATCACTAGCTGGTCCCCGGAGATTTTGGCTAATCGCCAATGCCATGGCGGGGTCCTCAAGGGAGGCCGTCTGACGAGAGAATGCAAGCCGGCGGCAATGCGTAACACAAGTTTCGCGCGTGTCAACCTGCCATGTTCCAATGGCATGGCATGGCTGAGCTACGACAGAGGGCGGACTGCGCCCCAGTGCGGCTAACCCACTTCTGGCCAAGCCCGTTGGGCCGCCACATTATCGTCGTCATAGCTCCTTGTCCATTATCCCAGATTCAAGGCATTTGGTGCATTCGCATTCAGTCACTCACGACGGATGTATCCAAGACGTTTGCGTGGGTATTTGTTACGCAGCAGCCTCATCATAACTACCTACTACACCTTAAACTCCTCAGCTAATCCTGCATAACGACCATCCCTTCCTTTCCTTGGCCTCGTATTTTATCTTGTACCTGTGCAGGGCAGTAAAGTGGTCATCAATACGTGCGGATTACCCTACCCACTTTACCCCTTCAACAACGGACCCTGGATCGTCAACCCCACGGCCGCGACACTGCCCTCACGGTCAGCAGGCTACCTTCTCGTTCGAGCGTTGCAATTGGTTGGACGGCCTTCCAGCGCTGTCCTATAGGCAGCTCCCATCCGCCAGCGACCACGAAACCTAAATATAAAGTAATCACAACTTACTCCGGAGTATACCGTTACCCCTCTACAGGCGCCCTTGGAATCCTCGAAACCTTCATGCGACTACCTCAGATACTCATATTCCCCCTTCTGCGATCGTTGTCAAGCTGGGTTTGCTCTTCTCTGCCCACAGCTTGAACGACTAGCCGCTGCTAGAAGAATGTCTGTTCTCCAGTCCAAAGCTGCTCAGGCGAGCAGTGGCAGCAGCAATGCGCAGGAAAGGTTACCCACCTACGAGGAGACCCCTCAGGTAGTGGTTTCGGACGACCTTCGCGACACCACTGCGCTGCCCGAACAACCAGGGCTAGGCGCCGAGGACGATGTTCCACCAGCTTACAGCGAGGTCCACGACCGCCTCTCTCTCCACCAAGCCGGTTTCGATGCTGGCGCCTCTGTTACTGGTGAGTAGCTGCGCACCTTGACTCAGGTTGATTGAATAGCTGCACAGGAGATACTGACTCTTGGCCCTTCACATGTAGACGATGGCCGAGTCGACATCAACATCAACCAGACGAGCAGGCAGCTAGCCGATATTATCGCACCGACACTGCGCAACCAGCTGACCCAGGACGCCAGAATCGCCGCTCAGGCCCCATTACCGCCCGCCTACATCCCGCCCAGTCTCGGTGGCCAACCTGGACAGACGCCCCCGCCTCAGCTCAATGTGGTTATACAGATTGTCGGGTCGCGGGGAGATGTGCAACCCTTTATTGCGTTGGGTCAGGTGCTCAAGAATACCTATGGACACCGAGTGCGAATAGCGACACATTCTACATTTCAAAAGTTTGTGGAAGAGAATGGCCTGGAGTTCTTCAATATAGGAGGAGACCCTGCCGAGCTTATGGCATTCATGGTGAAAAACCCGGGCTTGATGCCTGGATTTGACGCTGTGAAGAGCGGCGAGATCACCAAGCGCCGCAAGGGGATCGAGGAGATTGTCTGGGGCTGTTGGAGATCTTGCATTGAAGCAGGCGACGGTCTGGGACCTGCGCCGCGCCTTGAGCGCAGGCAGAATGCCGCGAGCAGTACAGAAGCCATGGTCATGGATCCCGCCCATAAGCCGTTCGTCGCCGACGCCATCATTGCTAACCCGCCAAGTTTTGCCCATATCCACATTGCCGAGAAACTTGGTGTGCCGGTTCACCTCATGTTCACCATGCCGTGGTCGCCCACGAGAGCGTTCCCCCAGCCGTTAGCCAACATTCAGTCTTCCAACACTGACCCGGTGACCACCAATTATGTCTCGTATGCGCTGGTGGAAATGATGACGTGGCAAGGTTTAGGCGATGTCATTAACCGGTTCCGAACCAAGGTTCTCGATCTGGATCCCCTCTCTCTACTATGGGCGCCTGGTGTTTTGACACGTTTGCGCATCCCGTACACTTACTGCTGGTCTCCAGCTTTGATACCAAAGCCCAATGATTGGGGGCAGCACATCGACATCGCAGGCTTTTATTTTCTCAATCTGGCATCGAACTACACGCCTGAGCCTGAGCTTGCCGCTTTTCTCGAGGCCGGACCACCCCCGGTCTACATTGGATTTGGGTCTATCGTTGTTGATGACCCCAATGGCTTAACCAAAAAGATCTTTGAAGCAGTGGCGGCGACAGGAACGCGAGCACTGGTTTCCAAGGGCTGGGGAGGCCTCGGAGCTGACTCAATGGGAATCCCAGATGGTGTCTTCATGCTTGGCAACTGCCCTCACGACTGGCTTTTCCAACATGTATCGGCGGTCTGCCACCACGGAGGTGCTGGCACGACTGCTGCCGGAATTAATGCCGGAAAGCCGACGATTGTCGTACCATTCTTTGGCGACCAACCCTTCTGGGGTGCCATGGTTGCGCGAGCTGGTGCTGGACCTGACCCGATTCCCTACAAGCAGCTTACCGCGGAAAACCTCGCTGAAGCCATCAAGGTAGCGTTGAAACCCGAAACACAAGAGCGGGCACGTGAGCTTGGAGCAAAGATTCGGGAAGAGAAAGGTGCAGATGTAGGTGGGCAGAGCTTCCACCAACATCTTGACGTGGACAAGCTTCGTTGTACAGTGGCCCCTAGCCGGGTCGCCGTCTGGCGGGTACGACGATCAAAGGTGCAATTAAGTGCTCTGGCTGCAGCCTCGCTGGTAGATGGTGGATTCCTGCAATACTCGGACTTGAAGCTCTTCCGTGCCAAGGAATACAGTACGGAAGACGAACCCTGGGACCCGGTATCAGCTGTCACATCTGCACTTATCGGCGATCTTGGCAGCATTGGAATGGCTATAGCCGACTTCCCCAGGGACGTGTTCAAGGCTGCGAGGGGGCCGAAGAAACCCCAAGAGTCCTCTGAGACATTGACGGATGATCCAAATGCCAAACCGCCTTCCTCTGCTGACGCAGCTGCTGGGGCTAGTGCAGATGCCTCCGTGTCCGGAAACGAAAAAGGGATGCCAGGCACCCCCAGGGATGGTTCTGAAGCCCAGCCAGGTGCAATCGCAACAAACGAGAGTACAACAAGTCTAGCGCCATCGACCTCTGCGGCTTCAGCGGCATCCGCGGCGTCAGGTACGCCATCAGAACGTCCTTCAACTCCAAGTCGAGTACGCTCCGAATCTTCAACATCACAGAGGCAAGGAACTGCGTCTCCAGTAAACCTCAATGAGAACCTGGAGCGAGCCCTCGGTGCTGGAAAGAGCATCAACAACATTGTCACTACTGGAGTGAAAACGCCCATGAACTTCTGTCTTGGGCTGGCAAGAGGGTTTCGAAACGCTCCAAAACTCTACAATGATGATACCGTTCGTAAGCCTGAAAAAGTAACCAGTTTCGAGAGCGGATTAAAGGTCGCCGGCAAGGAGTTCGGACTCGGCATGTATGATGGTATATCTGGCCTGGTCACACAGCCCATGCGAGGCGCGCAGAAGGAGGGCGCAATGGGCTTCTTGAAAGGAATAGGCAAGGGTATTGGTGGAGTGGTGTTCAAGCCTGCTGCTGGTAAGTTGCTCATGAGAACAATATCTGTAATGCCGAACACTAACAACATCCAGCCGCCTGGTCTGTACCAGCCTATACAATGGCCGGTCTCCATGCAGAGATTCGGAGTTTGTTTGCCCAGAGCGCCGAGAATTACATTGTCGCATCTCGCATTTCACAGGGGAACGAATCCCTCAAGGGTGCCTCATCCGAGGAACGCGAGGACATTGAGGTTCGCTGGCTGTCAATGAGAAATGAGGTGAAAGGTTTTTACGCCTGGAAGGCAAAAGAGAAAGGCAAGTCCAGAGATACTTCTCCTATGGCTGGCCCCGCTCGTACTCCTGCACCGCCTTCAAGCGGTTCGCTTGATCCGAATGAACCTCCCAAGACAGGATGGCGTCACACAAAAAATCTATCATACGACGAGAGAAAGCAGCTTTCGGAGCAAAAGAAGGCCTGGAAGAAGAGACAAGCAGCGTCAGGGGCTCATGTCACCGAAGATATCTCAGCTGCCAATCCACGCGCGTCGAGTGGAACGGATCCAGAGTTCGAACAGGCCATTCAAGCTGCTGTCCAGGAGACCTCTAGGGGAGATTCAGTTGAAGATGCCAGAGTTGAACAGGCGATTCGCTCGAGTATTAGAGAACTCCGCAGGAGGTCGACTACATCTCTAGATTCTAGTACCTCTGGCCAGTCGGCAGGTCTATCCACCGCTCGCTCTAGTGGAAACCCTGGCCAGTCTACAAGTGCAACTTCACCTGGATCTGCTCATAATCCTACCTCACCTCATTACGGATTCCCCTCCGAGACCAAGAGACAGGTTCCCTTCTCCCCGGATGACTTTGACAACATTACCGACGAAGAATACCAGGCTTTGATCGAACAGGCTATCCAACTTAGTGTAGCGGAAGAGCAACAGAAAGCAATCCGTATGCATGACGTTGAGGAAGAGGACGAGGAGCAAGAACAATACCGGAAAGCCCTTGAAAGATCCCAGACAGACCATGCATCTCTTTCGCAACACGACGAAGAATTCAAAAGAGCCATGCAAGCGTCCGAGGCCGAGCAGGCCCGACGTGTGCAACATGGACTCGATGGACAGGACGACGACGAGCAGCTTAAACAGGCAATTGAGGCTTCGCGAACCCAGCAAGGAGTGCATCCGGGTTCAAATGACGACGACGATGAGCTGAAACGTGCCATAGAAGAGTCAGAGCGCGCACACCGAGAAGAGCAGTCACGAGTCTCGGCACAGAAGACAGAAGAAGAGATGGTATTAGAGTATATCAAGAAACAAAGCCTTGCAGAGGAGGAATTGAGACGGAAAGGGAAGGGCACAGCGACTGGGCAAGATGACGACGACGAGGATCTTCGACGGGCCATTGCGGAGAGTATGAGGGCCACTGGTCAGGTAGGAGAAGGATCCGGGTCAGGATCTGGGAGCCAAGACGCGGCTGATGCCTCGCGAAAACGTCTAAGTGAATTGCCAGGCTAGGGAAATGATGAAGACACGACATTGCGCAGTATGAATCAAGTATACCCTAAGAGTAGCGCCAGAACAAACATAACAATGGATGATGAATGACAAACCTACAGTAGATCTGCAGCACCCGGAGCTGATGATCCTCACTGTGGCCGCTAAGATGTCCTGGCCTTTAGACTCGATCGTGCTCAGGTGTTAGCCCCCGATCAATGACCTAAATGAAGCTATTAGCGTCCCCGTAAGGTCGCCGCGGCTTCTCCCGCAATGTTAGGTTTGCCCCGACAGAAGCAAGTACCCCAGGATCCCAGCCCGGGTCATTGAGCGTCTGCAGGAACAAGCAATTCCAGTTCCGACTTAGATCGTCCATTTCTCTAGACATCGTCTGATCCTCGACTCCTGTGCAGCGTCAGTCGACCTAGAAATAAGCTCCTGGCCCGTGCTATCGGCGGCGGCTTATTAGTCTCTCTGTATCCCGCCAACGCGGATCGCCTATTGATGATTCATGAGACGTCATGACAGCCTTGAGGCGTCATGTCAAGCCGTATGTGGATGCAAACAGTGAGATGAGAGCTATGTCTGCAATCACTAGGAGACTTGGGAGGCTGCGAGACGTATAAGATAGAGGGTTGACCCTGTGACGGGAACACCTCTTGGACCATCAAGCTTGTCCCAATATTGCATCGATCAGTGCCTCCCCAATTCAGAATTAATTATTCAATTATACGAAACTATTCGAACCAGTCAAAATGTCTAACTACGAAAATGAGGCACCGACCGGAGAATTCTCCGACAACTCTTACGTCTCTCGCTCGGGACACAAGCACGAGCCCCTTGGCGTTGTTTCCGACCAAGAGAGAATCGAGGATCCTATCGATGGTAACACCGCAGACTCTGATCGCCAATTAGGTATACATCATATTCGATATCTATCGCGAAACCACGGAAGCTAATGTAAGGTGTTGTAGAGAGTGATGACAAGGAGGCGATTGATAAGTCAAACATCATCAACGACCGAACTCGACATGCTAAGCCTCAAGGCGGTTACCGGGAGCCTGGCGACGAGGAGGGTTTGCCAAGCGACACTGGCAAGAGCTCTACAAGTGTCTAATAACAGGATATTTGAATTTGTACACTAGGTTGGGGCCAAGTGTGTGTCTTTCGCTCACGCAGTCCGATTCGGTACTGGTTACTCTATATTAATATATGTTTTGGAATTCAGTATGGAACACATTTTGCGGTATGATCTACCAGCCTCAAGTACTTTGTGTACGCTTAATCATGCACAATGCTCTCATTTGGAATCATGCTGTGTCAATTTATCGACCTTCCAATAGTTTCGCTCAGGTGAAATGAAGTTTCATTATAAACTTCGGGTTCTAATTTCGGGCTCTTACTTTGTGATTGGAAGTTAATGTGGTATTATTGACTGCTATGGATGGTACATCTTCTGCCTTGCCAGAAATATTACAGCCTTACCTCCAATGTTATGATATGTTCTCAAGAGTTGCATTGTTAACTCTCTCGTTGGTGAGCTCTATATGTGACATACGATTTAGAGGTTTGTGTCTCGACGCTTCATGTTGATGACTCGAAGGAAGCAATATCTTTCTGCGGTTGCATCCCTCTCTTCGAATGGTCCTTTGATCCAAGTTCGAAGGTATGTTCAGTTGCGCGAGAGTGAGTAGTTATCGAAAGAGGCGCTTGTATGGCTGCTCAAACCTTTGGCCGTGTCATCCCATTCCGACCCCCTTGTTTCAATTCACTCAATAGGGAAGCGTAATCGAGCGCAGTGTTGAGGAATATCTTGCCTGGTTGGACCAGAAAGCATCGGTAGCTCTGGCTATCGAGCTCACACCAGGACGCCGGCGAGCAGAGCACCAGTCAACACAGCCTCGTGCTGACTACTATCATCCGTAGACGAATGAATCGCCGTGGCGTGGAACTGTGAAGAAGTTAGCAACCCGCATGGGAAACGAGGGCAAAAGGCACCGACCTTCTCAAAGTCATCGGAACGCTGGTCGAACCAAGCTTGCCACTTCCACTTCTCGACTAACCGGCCCCTCGGGCGGTTGCCGGGACGACTACACCAAAAGTCCGTGGAGGATAAAATTGATTCGGCAGAAAACACTTTCTGAGTAAGGTAGAAGTTTGCGCACTTGTGTGCGTCAAACACTCCGTCCGTGAGTTGCTTCATGTGCTTCGCATACTTTACAGCATCTCGTTCCTGGGCTTCGTGGTCTTCGAGCGAAATGGCACTGATGAGACGGGATAGAAAACTCAGCATGACCAGGGAAGCACCAAACATCTCGAAGCGGACGTTATCTTTTGGGAAGGGTATGCGATGCCGAGCGTGCGCAGCAAACATGCTCTCGAACTCGCGGTACCACTTGGTGAACTCCTCCTTAGCAGCTCGGCACTTTGATTCTAACTCATCAAGCTCGGTAGCAGTGAGAGAATCGGGCTTGTAAAGGACATCTTGGACTTGCGCAAGAAGACGAGGGAATTTGGCGCTGAGCATCCACATGTGTATGAACCCACGACCGCGAGGGGCAAAGTAGCTTGCGTCATCGATGGTGCAAGATTGCAGGACTGCTTGCCATGCATCTTCCTCGAGGAAACATGGCTCTCTGAGTCTTATCGCCTCACACAACTGTTAGATTCGGGATGTTAGTGGTGTCGACCAAACAAGTAGCTATTGCTGTGGAGCTTACGAAGGGCGGTATCATGGAGACGAGAAGACTCTTCTCGAACTCGTCTTCGAAATTGGTCGGGCCCATGGCACGTATAAGGCGAGTGGCCCCTGCTATGTGGTTTGCCCATGCCGTAGGTTCGCCCCGAGTGTCCAAGAGCTGGCAGACTTAGCCTGGCAACTTGAGATTAAGTACTGGGAGAGTCACGTACCGCGTAAATACTCAGTAACTCGACAGCGCCAAGCACATCGGCATTGGAAAACTCGTCACTATTGACGGCTGATTGGAGACTGCGTAGAGCTTGGCCATAGAGACTAATAAAATGCAATTCACCGCCAAGGGTGCTAGAGTTGGGTGCAAGCACATGCTTTGCTTTGGCTGCCAGACAGCGGAGGGCGTCATCTAAACAAGGGGTGTGACCATATCTTGCAGGGAGGTGGAACAGATAGGATTGCCTGCGACGGGCGATCAACTTGTCCAAAGATGTATGCTTCCGAGCAAGCAAGGTACCGGCTATCTGCCCCAGCGACACGCTCGTCAACTCATCGAGGTCGAGCACATCGAGCCCGGTATCTGCAGCTAGGGCCTCAAAGCCAGCCAGGGGCATGGGTCTCGTCAGGAGGCCGTGCCATTGCTCGAAAGGGGAAATGCGGCGCTCTTGGTTGGCATCCAAGTCCTTGCAAGACGCCAAGTTCCACGCGACAGGTACACTTCGGGTACCACACGATCCCGTTACGGCGTCCCGCGCACGTATACTACTTTGGGGTCTCTCAATTGATTGTGCTTCGCAATGATTTGAGTTGCGCTGTTGTACTGGGCTTTTGTCCTGCATCACGGAAAGTTGCCGCATATTCAGCTTTCCCCAAGTCCCTGACTGCTTACGTGTGGCTGCCGCCGCTTTCATGGCCTGTATCCGAACAGCCCGTCGCTTGTCTGTGTCGTACTTCTGCCCATCATCGCTCAAGTTGATCCATTGAAACTTGGTGACTGGCATGTTCGGTTCGTTTCGGACAATCACTTTCGTGACTGTCACAAGCAAGGCGAAAACCTGAGCATATCATGGGAGGGCGAGATGAAGCAACACTATATGAACGTGCATACCCGCGGTGCGATGTAAGAATATGAGAAATGACGACGAATATGCATGGCTGACTGCCCCGTCATAGGAACCGGCAACCTTCCACCGCCGCTGAGCGAATCTCCTGATGTCGAGGGTACTTTGAGGCGAAAGGCATAAATACATGAGGTTACGAAGACCCACGAAGACCCGCTTCAAGACGACCAGGGTACCATTGACCTAAAGCGGCTTAGTTGGAACGCAGCCCTACGTCTTATCCACAACGCCCGTATCCAACTTGGCATCCCGTTCCACACCACTCTGGTCCTATTCCACACCATCCGAATTTACTACAGCAGTTGGCGCCGCAAGTCGTCCCAAAAGTCACTCCGCAGCGACTGTCAGTCGACATTGGAAGCGCTGAAGAGCTCACCCTCGTGCTTGTGCCAGAACTTATTCTTGAGCTCGTCCCCGGCATTGTTCCTGAGCTCGTCACCTTGCTTGTCGTCACCTTGCTTGTCGTCACCTTGCTCGTCCCGGAACTTGTCTTTGTACTGGTCCCTGGGTTGATTGCTGAGCTCGTGCCCTTACCTGTGCTCGAGGTCGTCCTTGAGCTAGTCACCGGGCTTGTCCCCGGGTTCGTACCCTTGCTTGTGCTGAAGGTTGTCCTTAAAGTAGTCGTTAAAGTAGTCTTGGAACTGGTACCTGGGTTTGTCCCTGAGCTGAGACCCGTGCTTGTCTAGGGTTGGACGGTCAGTGTTCTTTTCTATCCAGTGCGGGTTGCGCTAGACGTGCTAGCAACGGATCGTCTTACCGAGCACCGGCCTGCCCCTGCAGCTGCCGTGGTCAAAACCGACTTCATGTTCTGATAAAAGTTCTTCCCGTTCACTACATTGCTACTGGCGTATGTAGCTTCCCATATCGCAATACCCCCAAAGTTTGCGCTACAATAATACGCATTGATAAGATTTGATGCCTCGGGGACAGTCAAGTCAAATCCGCTGTTGGCTGCGTTCGCTGACCCTGGAAGGCCGATGTAAAGTCGAGCGTTCTTGCTGGGTGTGGTCGCCATCCACGTCGTCCAGGCATCGTAGGTGAAGCCACCAGTCGCGACTGCGTCTCCAACTTTGTAGTTGGGGTTTGTACTGACCCACTGCCGTGCAGAACAAAATGGGGTGTTGTAGAACTGTATGAAAATCATATCGAACGAGCCGACCGACAGCATTTCCTTCATATTATTATCCGGCACCTGACACTGTGGTGATGCTGTCAGATAGAACTGGCCACTAGCGGCACCGTAGAGCTTTCGAAGCTCTATCACCATGGCTTTGTATCCTTCGGCGCCATCCGTGGGTGGATGCTCGATGTCCAGGTCGAACCCGTCAACAGAAAATGCTTCATTGTTGTAGTCGAAAGGGCGAGGGTACCCGCTGTCGACCATGGCCTGCTGGCGTGGACCAAATATGTACCAGAGCTTCGTAGCGAAATCGACCCCGTCCGCTGCGCCGGTGAGTTGGTACCCGCCATTAGCTCCACCCAGAGACAGAAGAATCTTCTTCCCAGGACTGGATTTACGGCAGGTATTCAGGTCGCGCTGTAAGTTGGGGCATTTCAGCAGCTGGTTGCTGGCAGGAACATTGTTGCCTGCATATCCCGGGCCTGGATAAGTCTCGCCAGAGCACTGGTTGCCGAAGTTGATTCCCGGGTATCCGTTTGCTTGCTGGGGAAACAAGTAGACAAATGACAAGATTATCACGTCGATGCTGCTGTCTGCACAGTATGTGCTCAGGGACTGCTGATTCGAACCTTGACCCTAGATTTGTGAGCTTCCCGCAGCGTAAATGTTAAGAAAGTCTCCCTACATAGTAGACAGCAACGTTATTCTTAGACGTCACATCGAAGGAAGCCAACCCGAGAGAAAAGAGAGTGGAGGCGCAGACAGCGTACAGCAGGCCATAGGCCTTGAGTGTTGCGAACATTCTCGTTGCAGAGAACTTCTGGGCGGTTGGCTATCGAACATGATGCAGCCCTTGTTCTACGGCAGGTAAGGGCATTAAATAACGTTCTCGAACTTGTTGTCGCGTGATGTTAGGGCGCCCACATTCCAGGGAGAATAGGGGCAGAGTTGGAAGTTGAGTCAGGGGGCATGAGACTCGGGACAGCCACGAGGCATATCACATGAAGATAAGTCAGTCGAGACATTCTGAAGACTAGTTCTGGTCCTATGAGGAGATTGGAGCCTCATCGTCCACCAAGCTGGGTGGGCTTCGTGGAGTCTCCGTACAGGCAGGCAGAGCGTCTAGCACGTGTTGGGTGTAAGTGCCCCTTTGTCCTTTGTCCTTTGTCCTTTGTATCCTGCACCCTACTACGACGGCTACCGGAAGGCAAGGCAGGCCATAGAGTACTGACGTTCTCACCTAGACTCGGTAGAGTAGACCTGGTACTGCCAGGAAAACAAAGATTTTTAAAGGGACAATAGTTTCCTCATGGTAATTTGTCTGGTGAGACAACAGGTCCCAGGTGACAGGAATGGGTTTACTTCTGGGCAACCCCTGCCTCTGCCCGGAGCTGGCTAGACCAGTCCATTGGTTGGCGCAAAATGTGGGGTTGGCCAATCAGCGCTCTTTTCTGGGGGTCGCACCTCAGCCGGTGGGTCAGTGAGTTGAGGCTGGTCTGGCTGGCCCCTGGGGGGCGCGCGGGCGGCCCAGCAATCAATCAATGGAGGCCCGGAACAAAGTAACAGCGGCAATCCAGGGGTCTTCCCAAAATGTGGCCTCAATTGCGATGTGGATCGGAGCTCTAAGTGCTGCTAAATTGACCCATCCCCAGAGGCCAGAAGCCAGGAGCCGCCGCCCCCCGTAGTCAACCCAAAAGCCCACGCGATCTGTCTTTTCGACGAGACGACATTCCCTCCCACCCATCGCACAAAACACAACCGCAATGGTACGTACGATGAGTCACACCGCACGCGCGTGTTCTCCTGGCCCAGAGCCAGAGCCCGAACCTGTGGCTTTGCCAGAACCAGAACGAGAATCCCGATGCTGATCGCAGCCTACAGTCTTCCCCGAGAGCTTCGTCCCCCGTCAACGCGCCGAGCACTGGCGTGAGCACCGGCCGCCCGTCCTCACCTCCTCCCCCTGGCGGCGCCAGGACTGCCATCCGACGACGAGCCGCCGCCGACCAGAAGGAGAAGATCGCCAATGCCCGCCCCAGCAGCACAAGGGCGGCCGGCGCCGGCGGCAGCACCAGCACGATGCTGCGCCTGTACACCGACGAGTCGCCCGGCCTGAAGGTCGACCCCGTCGTTGTCCTGGTTCTGTCTTTGGTCTTCATCTTCAGCGTTGTCGCGTTACACAGTAGGTTCCCTCTCCCCCGGCCGGGAGGTCGATGGCCTTCTGGGTCGGAAGCCCCCATGCTAACGAAGTTCCTGTAGTCATTGCCAAGATCACTCGAAAGTTCTCCAGCTAGATTGAGGGGGCAGCGGAAGGATAGCGATGGACGAATTGGCGTAATGCGGGTGGGAAGGCTCTGTATCATATTGGAATTGCATGACGGGCGTCTGTTCCGGCAGAAAAAAGAATACCATCATACCAACACCAAAAGCATTTGTGTTGTTATATCTTCAGGCGTCGAGTCGAGTCTTCGCATCATGGTCTCCGTGATAGGACGTTTGCCCTTGTTCGATTCGATACACCTCCGAGAGCTCGTCAGAACCTCCAACACCAAGACAGCACAGATAGATGCAGCACCGGTTTCGGTGGATATACTCGTGTGCTGGTACGTCTGGAGCCCCGCCGAACAGCACAGTTGGACTGGGGTTGTTAATTCTGATGCTCGACGTTATTCATAAGGCCTCCAGTCGACTCCTAGGTCAACTTCAGCATTTGATCGTAATCTCAACCTGTAGCAAGAGCACAGCCATGAACAACGATGTCTCGAGGCCGGCCACCTGCTCGGCTCTGATGTGACGGCACTTTCCACGATATGTCATCACCGTGCAGTTGAATTTAGCATAGACACGGACATCTTAATCGTCATCACGTCACCCACCGCATCGGCCATAAATGCTCACAAGGCAGTCACAACCTCCAAGATTTTGTGTCATTGCGTGAGACTCCTCGTGCCTTCCTGAGCTCATCAAAGACTAAAACGGGATGCTGCCTAATCAGAACTTGGAGACCCAAGGAATGGCGGCGTCCCCTGGCTACTTAGGTAGCCTCTCGACTCCTTTCCATGTTGTCAGTGCTGCACTGACAACAACCGGACGGTTGTCACTTAGCACATCTAACTTCTCTATTCCTGTGCATACGCCCTCATCGCCATTGAGTGCCGTGTCGCAACTTCAGAAATGCCCAAGCGCCGGGCCTCGACCCAGATCAAGCGGGAAGACGATGAGACCCCACCGGATGTGGCTTCATCTCGGTCAAGGACGCTTCCAGCTGACACATCGGATGGAGTACCATCGCCCGACTCCCCCCCAAGCTCACCTCCGGCCGCCACTGGTCTCTTCGAAGGCCAAGGACAGTTTGTCTTTGACCCTCATGGCGACCTTCAGTTGCGAGTGACTGGAGTCTCAACAAGCATTGTTTCAGGCACTTCCCTTGAGGTCGAGAGTCACCGCAGTGTGGTTTTCAGGGTCTCTTCTGAGGTGCTAGAGTTCACGTCCCCTAAATGGCGCGCACTGGTACGCAGCGACAACCCGAGTGATCATCGCCCAAGAGTTTGGGAGACCGAAATATGTGCCAATCCTGAAGCTCTGAGACTGCTCCTCAACTTAATGCATGGCGATATCGACAGCGTGCCCAACAGACTTATCACATTGAAGAACCTGCTGGATATCATCTTCCTGGCTGAGAAGTACGACAGCTTGACACTACTCCGACCGCGTGCGGCTGCTTGGCGAACGTCGTTAGATGGCGTTTTGGGTCTTCGTGGCAAAGAACATAACCCAGAGGATCTCGGCCGCGCCCTATGCATTGCTTGGTGGCTTGGTGATACCCAGCGAACCCTGGAAGCTCTTAAGCGTATAGCAATGAACAGCTCTGTCAGCAAAGGGGGATGTCTCGTGATTCCGGGAGAACGTCTGCGCTACCGCTTTAATGGTATGGATAGCGACCCCATGATAAAGCTAGGTATGCCGTGAATCTGAAATACGTCTGTGCGAAGGGCTACCACTTATTCTGGGTAGATGTAGTATCCCGCATGACGAGGAAGGTGATGATCATTGAGCTGCATAGCTTCTGGAAGGCTACTCTCAAGGGCCTCGATGGGAGTAATGCAACTGGGTGCGTTCGTTGCCGTGCCCCTGACGTCTCCCTTGAGGAGCGTCGCAAATGTGAGGGCTCAATACTCGGATCACTGGTTCAGAAGATGGTGCACAAGCAACTTTGGCCGTTTCCTGATCCGCATTCCATCACATCTAGTCCCGAAGATTTCAAACGTCAACTTCTATCCCTGGAACCTGCAGCGGCAAGTGGTGCACTTCACGGTGCTAGTTGCGGGGTTGTCGTTGAGAACCACCCTTCAGATGGTATGATTCGCAGGCTGGAGAGAATTCAGCCAACACTCTTGGAGTCTCAATTACAAGAACTGAGAGTCAACGCTCACAAGCTTGGACTCCCTGCAACTGCGCCGATCTCTTGATAACATCGCAGAGTTATTCGTCAGATGTCAAGTCTCAACTATTTTGGAGCAGACCAGCATCTACTAGACTGAGATTTGGAGTCAGATACGATGCTGCAAGAGGTGTGCGGCAATCGATGGTCAGAGACTTTATTTCCGGCGGCTTGGCGAATCAAGCGATACTTGTGGACAGTCATTGCATTTCAGTATGGATTGTGCATTCCTTTCGAGAATACCATGCAAGCTACCTAGAATTACTTTAAGAGGGAAAGCCGTCTACCGACCGAGCCGTGACATACACTCGACCTATGAAAGTAACCTCTCATTAGGTACTTTGATGACAGAGGAATTGGCAATGTATTATTGGTCGATATGCACCATTATACTGGTGCTCCAGCTAAGTGACTGACTAAATGAATGCCTCACCACTATGGGGTTCCCGGATCTTGGGGCCATTCCTCCAACACAGTGTCGTCCCCAGACAACGTGAAATTCCAAACCGAGCTCGTCGGTACATCGACTAGCAAACTGTACTCTCCAGCATATAATACCAGGTTTCCAGCCTCGTCATGTCTCCCCAGGCTGCCCAAGGTCAAGTTCAGCTGAGCCGAGGCAGTGGACCCCGGAGTCACGTCGAACAACCGTTCGTAGGCCACCAACTGCTTGATTGGATGTGGCTCAGGGCCATGCTTACCGGCGACGAAGCCCAGGGTCACAAAATCGGACGCCACATCTCCAGTGTTTTCGACATTCACGGTAACGCTCTGGAACGCGCACAAATCCTTGTACTCTGCATCACACCCACTCAGCAGATCGGCAATGTCCCAGCTCGACTCGTCGCCAGCGTCAACCGAGACCGAGAAGTCTGTGTAGTGGAGTCCGTACCCGAATGGCACCGTCGCATCGTTGAACCACTTATACGTCCGCCCCGGGTTCCCACTTGTCTCGTTTGGCCTGAGCCCCATGTCCGTCATGGGGACCTGGTTGACGTAGTCCGCCGGGTACTGAGTCACTGGAAGGCGTCCTGCCGGCGCTGTCTTGCCGGTGATGATGTTGAAGATGGCATCACCGCCAGCTTGGCCCGGGAACCCAGCCCACAGAATGGCCGAGACGTTCTCGTGGTTGAGGAACGGAGCATCGTCCAGTTGGTCGCCCATCTGCAGCAGGATGAACGGCTTGCCCAGCCCGGCAATCTGCGTCATGATGTCCTGGCGCTCGCCAGACCACCGGATCAGGTTCCGATCGTCGCTCTCGCCGCTGTTCGACCCGTCGACGTAGATGACAATGTCCGAGGCGTTGGCGGCGCTGAGTGCCGCCGGGTATCCGCCAGTCGTTGGGTCGCCAGGTGCTCCGGCGTAGCGCACATTCACGTTGACCAGCTGCGACGCAGCGTACAGTGGGTTATGGATGAACGGTGCAATGCCAGCGTAGTTGCCCTGCATCTGAGCGGCGGTCGCATTGGCCCATGGGCCGATAACGGCCAGGGTGATGCTCCCGTTTGACGGGATCTGAAGTGGCAGTATGCCATCATTCTTGATGAGTACTATACCTTCTTCCGCAGCTTTGAGAGCGAGGTCCTGAGACTCCGGAGTGTTAACATTGGCAAATGCAAGAGAGCGGTAGGCACTCGACGATGCCGGATCAAACATTCCCAGCCGAATTTGCGCCGAGTATATACGGACAAGGGCTTGGTCGATAACCGCATCATCAAAGAGGCCCTGTTCGTAAGCACCTGGGAGGTGGAGTTGGTAGTACGTTCCGCAATCCAGATCAGTGCCCGCGACGAGGGAGTCGGCTGCGGCGCCCTCACGTGTAGGAGAGTGGTTATGGGGCATGTAGACATTCTGGATCGCATCGCAGTCGGACACGACGTAAAAGCCGTCGTCAGTCCAGTTCCAGTGGTCTCTCAGGATATCCTGGAGAATGTAAGAGCTCGCACAGGTTGGGACCCCATTGAGCGCGTTGTACGAGCACATGATGGAGGCCACCTTGGCGTCTCTGGCGCAGGCCTTGAATGGCTGCATGTAATACTCGCTGAGTTCCTGCGGGTTGATGATCGCGTCGAACTCGTAGCGCTCGTTGCCGTTCCAGTCCTCAATGTCGTAGCCTGCAAAGTGCTTGCATGTGGCTACGACCTTGATATAGTCCGAATCATCCCCTTGTAGCCCCTTGATGAGCGCCTGTACGTAGGACTTGATGTGGAACGAATCTTCGCCAGGAGTCTCTTGTCCGCGGCCCCATCGGGGGTCTCTATAGGGGTTGATGTTCGGGGTCCAGTAGTCCAGTCCTGATCTGTTCGCGTTGTTGAACGCCCGGGCTTCCGTACTGATGACTGTTGCCACTGCTTCAATCAGGCCATCATCGAAAGCTGCGCCCATAAGGATGGGCTGCGGGAAGGAAGTGGCATAGGAGTAATCTCCAGAGGGGGCGAAGAGAACTCCAGGCGAGCTTGCAACCCCATGAAGCGCCTCCTCTATGTAAATGAGAGTCAGTTCAAGCGCAAACCATAATATTCAACGATACTACTTACGCCACCATTCATAACTTGGCAAGCCGAGGCGCGGCACCCCTGGCGACGTGCTAACTACGAGTTGAAACTTCTCTTCCGTGGTAAACGCAGCTACAAGGGCCTTGGCACGGTCCGAAACAGATGCAGTCGTGTCACAGACAGTGTTGTTGGCAAGAGGCCCCTTTTCGCAGTCCGGGAACAGATGGCCCGCTGCTGCAGTGCCCGTAACAAGTAGACCCAACGCTGTGCCGGCGAGGAGTGCCATTTCTGCAACTTACGAGTAGTTCTCAGCGAACTCACATAGAATCGTAGTCATCTCGGCCACGAACTCTCCGGTCTTATATACGTATAGGGGCAAGGATAGCCCGACTGCTCGTGAAGCGTCCGAGCGGGCGGGAATCCCCAATAGTACTGTCTCCAAGTCTCCAGTCAGTCTGATCCGTCGATTACATGCCTCGGTCAGGGTTCAAGGTCTCCCCGCTGGTTCCAGTATGTGAAGCCACGGCTCATGATCGGTCTGAGCTCGGGAGCGCCGGGGACACCGGCAGATGGGGCGGTAGGGGTAACATTCTGCACTCGCGCATCATTCGCGCGCCAATGAGAGAAGCGTGTAGTCAATCATCATGCGGCTCTTGCTGGTGTGCTCCAGGACATGCCTGCAGGTCTATGACGACGTTCTCCGATCTGTAATTTAGCCTGTATGTACTCGATGCGGAGAACGTGGGGAGAGAGGGGTGCACAGAAGTGTGGAGTAAACACCTCTGTGGGGGAAGCCGATATAGTCAATCGTTATAGGATGATGTGAAACATGATGTGAGTCTGTTGTTGGAGGACTTTAGTATCATTTGCGAAGTCTATATTGGCCAGAGCAGGTTGCCAGGATGTGAGAGCTCGGGGTATAGTAGTAGTGGCTCCCGTGGTTACTTAGTGCATGAAGTATGGTGCCACAGCATTGAGGTTCATGTCTAGAAATACATTAAAAAACTAATTACGAGGTTCGCCCTTGTCTAATCTACATAGTATCTTGTCAGATGTCATCATGCTGGTAATCATCAAAAAACGCCGCTCTATCGTTCCCATCATACGTATCATTACCCATCATGGCCGATTGGTTTCACCCAAATGTTTCCGTGCCCACCACGTGTATATTGCCCTATATCTTAGATGTAGACCCCGGATCCGGCGTGCTGTTCCGCGAACTAGCGCCACCGGAAATCTGCACGTCTGTTCCGTACTTGCTGGGTTCCATGTCCTCCATGGGCACTAACCTGCCTTGGTCCTCCTCTTCGAGCTTGGAGGGCGAGACCTTGGAAAAGAGAACTCCATCAACGAACACTTTGTCATGGGGTGACCGGCTGATACGCCAGCTCGTTCTGACGTTTGGTGGCATCCATGACTGTCTTGATGCGGCAGACTTGTTCTTCGAGGCCTCGCTTGGTTGGGTGGACGGATCAGTCCATTTCCCTGGGTATGCTGACGCTCTCTTCGCGTAATAATAGCGTGAAGCCCGTACCATCGAAACATCAAAGACCTTGGGTGCAATGCGCACAAGAATCAGACGCATCGATGGCATGCAAGCGCAAATAATGCCGACAGTGATCTCTACCGTGGACCAGAGAGACACTCCCCAATAGTCCCAGGTCAGATTAGTGGACTCCCGGAACTCGACCAGAGACGCAAGACGGATGGCGCTGACGACGGTGACGCTTTAGGATGGATTAGCATGGGTCAATCAAACGTTTCAAGGTGATCACTTACAAGGTGCCAACACAAAACATCATCGCCACGCCTATCTTCTTCTTCCAGTGCAATTTCAGCTCCCGAAGTTGAGATAGGGGAATAGCTAGCATCCACAGGTCCAACGCAATACTGACGGCTGCGTTTGCCCATGCCACGGCACTAATGTCGATACATTGGCCTCCTCCTTCTCCACGCCAGTTGGTCCAGTTGTAACTGATGGGCCGGCACTGCAGGAGGGCTGTGACAATGAAGCCAATGCCAAACAGAACGTCGAAGGCCACGGTACCCAGAATCACTCGTCGGATAGTCTTGCCAGGGAAAATACGCTGTTCCTCGGGTTAGCAGTTCATATTGAACAGTCGTGGAGATTGAGCAACTTACCAGGTAGAAGAAAAGCAGGGATAGTTTCAACACAAACACTTCTGTGAAATAGAGAATCGTTATGATAAAGAAAGCGAACGCGAAATCCCCAATTTCGTCTGGCTTGAGCGTCCAGATATCCTTGCCGAGGCCGTTGGCGGTGAGCAAGTCGACGTTGATCACAGCCGATGGCACACAGACCAACAATGTAAGGAGAATGAACCAGTCATCCAGGCCCAGATCGGTGCGGGTGAAAAACTTCTTGTAACCAAGCCTGATGAGCACGAAGGCGCAAGCAAAGCCCATCAAGGTACAGGAAACGATGTTATATTCGGTAGTCTTGTCTCTGACCGGGGCACCACACATCGTTTGTGTGACATTCTTGGCAACTAGTACCGTAAGCAGATGCCTCTTAATGGCCTCGGTGAATGACGCTTACTGAGGGACTGCTCGACCGTGCAGCTGGTCATGACGCAGAGCTCGGCCGATGAGACCAGTTCTGCATTGGTGCACTGGCACGTTACGTCTGATATCGCACATGGTGAGGCTTTGATCGAAGCCGCAAGGCATTGGAGCTGTTGCAGGTTAGACCGGGGGGGCATCACCAAGCAAGTCGGTATCATGAAAGATTGACATACTGCGCATTTAGGAAGTTCTGTAAGGGCTGTGGTGATAGCCGAGGAGCTACCCTGTGCAGCACCCAAGCTCGCAAAGGCAGCAAGCCATACCAGAACTCTCAGTATGAGAGTGCCTATATTCCTTTCGTACATTCTGGACATGCGAAGTATCAAGACCCTAAAGGCCACTGATAGGGAAAGGAGAGACTAAGGGTCAGTTACCGCTTACAGAGGGGGAAAGGCATAATGGAACCGCCACGTGGAAAATGGGCAGCCGGTGCCTTTCATATCCTTCCTCCTTTGGGGTGCTTCACCAAAATTCTCCTTGCGGTCCTTAAACGTCCGATCGAACGGTCGTATGGACGGACTGACAGCGGAATGCTGGGTTTAGGCTGTGGAGTATCCCACGCAGGGTCCGATAGTCGAGGCTGCAAGGTCGACTAAGGCCTACCGTACACAGTTAGCGTCGCAGATCTTCATGACAGAATTTGGTGTCGGGTAGGGTTGCGACCTGGTCATTCGTCCATCGGTGTACATGGTCTTTCCGTTTCCGGTCTTAGCAACTGGAGAAGAACTGTTGCGATCTGTAGCGGCTACCCAACAGGGGCGGACTGCCTGCATAGTGATCTAGCTGAACTCAATCGTAGGTGCCGAAGGCGCCTTGTTAGTCACGCTTCGGCATTTCATCGCTTCAACGGCTTACCAGTCGACCGCATTCGTCGCTCACCATCCGTTGCATCGTGGTTTATTACCCGGCCTTGGCTTGGTCGTCGGCCGCAAGCGACTGTGACCTGGGGCGCGTCTCCGGGGGTTTTGCTGTGTCTGCTTTGGCCAACCTGCGCCTCCTGTCAAGCTTTGGTTGCTGCGTCCCTTGCAGCAGGTGTGGGGACTGTTGCGATTTGCGCTTGACTGGCGATCAACTGCAGGGGATAGGAGCGCCTATCAAACTGTCAATCAATGCCTGCCCAGCCAGTCGTTATTAACGGATCCGGAGATCCTGGGAAACAACTCTTATTCGACCGCCTTGACTGGGTTGTGGCATGTGAGAACTGTGGAATTCTTTCAAACGCACCCTATTAACTACTACCAAGGCTACCGGAGAAAGTCCTCTGTCCTAATATCCAATGCCAGCCAAGATTGCTGAAGTAGGGGCCTGAATTACCAAGCCTTGGAAATGGCTAGGTCTGTACCTCTCGTACGCAACCAGCCAACAGCGGCTAGCAAGTTAGAATGCTGGCGCAAGAATTGCCATTGGCTTTACCCTGTGGCAAGTAGATCGTACGCTAGAAGCACAAACAGTCCTGTAGTCAGACTTTGACCGAAATACGGGTCGGTTTTGCTACCTCGGCGACCTCCACGCCTGTCCGGCATCCCCTGAGTCCTTACAAAGCGCTGAACAAACCCGACAACACGGCGCACGCACAAAGTGGTTCGTTGGCCAGCGCTCCGGTGATTGACAACCCTGCAGCCGAACACTCCTCACGTCAGCACCTTTATCAATGATCCAGTTACCCACAGCTCATCAACCAGATTCCTAACTTATAGTCCACATAAGTACACCATTTGCACGTCCCCAGCCTAAGTTAGCGACTCAAGTACAGGTCGGTGCTTTTAACCTGCAAGCCCAACCGAGGTCCCGAAGCCCCATCTCCCTAAATCTTGGTAGGCTAAAGGTCCTAGCGAAGTCTACCAAACGCTACTAACATCCCCCTTGTTTACGTCATGCTCGTCTGCCCCTAGAACCCGAGTGCGGACGAGCTAGAAGGAAATCGCCGCACCGCGGAATAAGAGACTATGTACGGAATGCCTGCTGCCGTTGAGGGACAATTTCAATTCACTAACCTAAGATATGTATTGCCTGTGGAAGGGTGTTGCTAGCGCTTAAGCAGCCTCATGCACCGTAGTTGGTGATGGGTTTTACGACCATGCGCAACCACGAGACCTATCTAGTAGCTTTCGATCACGTCCCAAGTTTAGACTAAGTCTAAGTGCTACCTGAACGATTATCGACTTATAGCGTCTTATCATTCCAGGCACAGTAAATCTTAAACGTCTAGCGTTTCGACGTACGGCTGCATGAACGTTCGATTATACAGATCGTCCTGTTGGGGTTCACGTCTTATCGGACGAACGGCGCTTCAAAGGCTTGCTGGCCTTCTCCGGCCTTTGACTCACTGGAAATTCTCTCAACCTTGAATCTTGTCGTTCCCGATTAAGTTCATGTCAGCGGGTTGGGTAGCCGGTCATCAACTCTGCGTATGTTCTAACAGACCGGCAAAAGAAACCTCGGTGGACAACAAACAAGACCTTCGCTGCCAAAACAAAGGCGAAACTCGACAAGTGCTGTTTACTCTCCATTGCCATGGCTTTTGAAGTCGGCACATTGCATCATCGATTTCGATGAAGGCAAGAAAATGCTCTGTACAACCCCATGTCGTGCCGTCCGTGTCAGTCACGCGACACCAGATAACTTCGTCAGCCTTACACTTTGCCTCAACTCAATCAGATATCTTTAATGAGTAAACCGTGAATGCATCAAGATTAGCCAACCGTTGCGGACACTAATTTTGACAGGTCTTGGAAGTTACACGGTCTAGAAGGCCTGAAGTGATCCTGGGGGCTATCAACCGACTATTGAACGCTAGTCATAAGTGAGGTCATATCCCCAGCCCTCAAATCGATAAACCCAGACTAAACCCCAGATAGTGAATGACGATCGACAACAGGGCTTCCACAGTCGCTAATGAAGCGCATTGTATGTGCCGCACAACGGGTTTTCATTCTGGAATCGCATGATATCCGAATCTTAGCCTCTGACTCTCGGTTGATGCCGATGTGCACTGCTGAGTTAGTCGTGGGCTAACTTGTAGCTATTGGCTTGGTTCAACCAGACAACTTAGGCTAGAGACGCCTGAGAATATCTTTAAAGTCTTAAGACTTGAGACTGCCACGCCCACCGAGAACGAGCCAAACTCACGTGACGCAGGTGAAATAGCGGTTCGAATGGATTCTTCTCGGAGAACACAATATTGCCAACGAGATGCCCATATCTCAGCCATTGTGCTATAAACCTTCCCACACAGTGCCCAATGTCACTTGCTTGAAACATGACCTCGGTAGCTCGGTTGAGGTTGTCATACGTGGGTAGATCCATCTCTAGGTTGATGTTGTCTTCTCTACAACCATCGCCAAGGAGTTGCAGGTCAAGTGTTGGGTCACGCAATGGCTGCCACGGCACTTGAGGCCTTGCCCAGGCCAGAGCTGAGATGACAGTCCAACGCATGGTCCACTCAAGATGCAACCTCCCCAGGCTCGGTTGTTGACACCTGACGGCGGTACGATAACCAAACAAACACAGGCTCGGAGTCACTGCCACGCATCATATCATTATCTCGAATCACGTCTGCCAGTCGAATGCGAGAAAACCTAAGAACTCTTCTCAGTTTGCCATATTAAGATCACAACCCAACGGCAGATGCGTTGGACTATACGTCCTCGGATCTTTTGGTCAAGCCGATGAAGTAGCGCTGAGTGATACAGGTAGTATTAACTTCGTGGCGCTACAATACCATAAGGGCTTAAACTAGGTGCCGTTGGTTAGAAAAATTTGAGCCCAAATGAGGTCTTCCCATCAGTCTTGTAAGGCCGGGACAATTTCAGTGGACTCAAATGCAGGCTTGCTATGCATACAGGAGCAATGTAGCTCTACTCGTATTTTACAAACCAACGTCGCCTGGGAAAAAACCAGCTTCCGCTCTGGGTATCGGCGTCATTAGGTGATTGTTTCCGTCGCTGATCAATGAGCGGTATTGTCTATGCATTCTGTTTGATGGAAATCCAGCCGCAGTATCAAGAATATGCAGTGAGTCCCTTGGACGCCATTGTCAACTACAATCCGCCTTCATGGCTCTGAAACGGATGCACAATTTCTGCACATCTTGTCTCGTTGGAAAGGCATGAACCAATGAGGCTACCAAACTGCGCAATTGTCTCCGTTTTTCGTGCTGACTGTGATTATAAACCCCGGTTACATCCCATGAACGTTCTTGATCTGAGTACTAACCGCTTCGCCGACTGTCTGCGAGTGCAGATGCAAAGCAAGGTTTGCATCCCGATCGTCAGATGCCTTCAATGTGTGCCACAGGCCTCCAACCCCTCATTTCGAAAAGACGTCACTAAAGAGCCTGGAGTGCCGCCCAAGAAAGTAAGTGCCAAATATGCTGGAAGTCTCAAGCCACGGTGATTATCAAATGGGTCCTTAACTGATCGCACTTAGAAGGCCTTGCAGATTCCCGCAGGGTCCGGCCTCTCCCAAAAGATCAATTTCTCACCTTTGAAGTCTTTGACACTGTGCACAGCCCGGCGCGGCACGCGCAATGCGGAATCGCCCGCCATCAGAATAGTCTTCTCTCCATCCAGAGTTATTTCCACCCTACCCTCGACAACACTAAGATATAATTGTTGTTTCTACATCTTAATTCAGTCTTCATAGATGGAAATTTTACGATTGTCGCGCCCTTATCAGCTCACCTTGTGCCATTGTGGCGGAATTTCGAGGGCCTCCTCGCCAGCGCAGATTGTGTCTATGACTTATTGGTTGATTGGATCCTCAGGTTCAGCCTCGTTTATGGCAGTTTTCATACGTTGATCCTGCGAAAGTCAATTGCCTTATGAGCCAAGTCGTCTACTGGTCGTCGCATGCTGCTTGATACACATTTCCTACATTCAATGTTTCCAAGACCCTGACAGGACTCATGTTGAATAGTACCTGATGTTGCGCAGCGCATCCACAAAGTCCGAAGACTTGCTTGGCTCCTTGCTTCTATACCTGTAATACGGCCCAAACAACGGCCTGGCCTAAGGTCGGATTTGGAACAGTCAGACTGAGTGAAGTTACAGCAAATTTGTGTTTGTGGGGATGGATGCTGTCATGGAACTGCCTGGTGCTAAGCCTTCATCCTGTAGGACTAGATACATCTTCGTGGGCCCAGACACGCCTACGTATGGCGGCACTTGTATTCCACAAGCAAAAGGCGTCATCAATTATGGTAGCACATAAAATTCGTTTACTTCCGCTCGCTTAGGCATGAAACCCTTTATGTAGTGAACTGGAGTGCTGCTCCTGGGCCATATTCCCCAAGTAACACAACCTCAGCCAACGCAGTCCTCATCGTCGGTGTCGACAAATCGAACGTACATTGTTCGTGTGGCTAAAATAGACGTGTAAATCAACGGTCGCCAAACCGAATAGTCGTAAAACTAAGGCAAAAAGTGCCATGGTGTTTTTAAATATACGGAAAAGAGGGAAATTAAATAAATAAAACGCGAAAAGCACAGCCACAATTCTATATCACGTCTCACCAACCCGAGCTCAGTAGACCGGAAACAGATTCACCCGATGGCAGCGTTAAATCGTATCTTATCTCCTATTCTCGTATATTGAGGGCCAGAGTAGTTTAGAAGACATAGTCTCTTACAAATAGAAGAGATAGCAGAATTAATCTGTTAGTTCATCCTTTGGGCATTTGGGCATCTGGTAGGTAAAATATTGCTTAAGTGCTTGCCTAGCTGAAGGACAAAGAAGCAATGTTGATCTTTATTGAAACGCCTCCCCTATATATGTGATAGTGTTTGGTGAATATGTACAATCGTCAGCGGCCAACCCCATACTTGCCGTTCGGGGAAGGCTATGCTAACCCCAATGAAAACCTGTCTGGTTTCCATCAGTATGAGCGCTCAAAATACAGGTCTGGACAAAGGTTCTTATATTGTCGTCGCTTTCAGAGCCGTCCATGATGCCAACATTTGCAGCATACCATGCCTCAGATCGATCTCTCACAGCCCCAAAGGTCAACGTGAAAATATCTTGCAATATCGGAAAGGCCTTAGGGTCGGCCTCATAAGTTGAAAGGAACTTTCTGATATCTGGATCTACACGAGTATTCATCGCCTCGTCAGAGCGGTTCATCTTTGTTAAGTCCGAGAGAACCTAACGCGTAATCAGCATCTAAAGTCAACGCTGAAAATAGGTGTGCGCATTACAGCCATGAATTGGTCGAGCATTTCTCGGACAGAAGCATTCCAAGTGACTTCACTGCAGCAGGATATTAGCGGAAAACACAGTTCATCGTTGTCCATAGGGAATTGAACTTACGTAGCATTTTTCGATATATCAGTGATTCCGAGGTCAATCATTATGATTGGCGGCGCCAGAAAATGCTCTGGAACTGGAACAGGTGAGAATGCACCAAACATGACTATGTTGGTCAGTGTATGCCAGCAAAATCTCCGCAACACCAGCTGATGTACTTACGGTTTTCATCATGTATGTCGAAGTTCTTGAGAATGACGTTTGAAAAGCCAGCCTGCGGCTCTTCCAACCGGAAGACATCTGGTTGGTGGACCGTTGGCCAGGCACAAGCAATGGTGCTACGGATGACTGACGAAGCTTCGGTAAGCCCAACAATTCTTGATGGCGCAGGGCGGTATGCGAGCTCTAGGTAGGGTATACTGACAGCAGAGGAAAAGCCGCCATATCAAACGATTTGGGAAAGCTCGGCCGGTGTTCCGCGCCCTGGTTATAAATGACCCGAGGCTTCCATTAGGAAGCCATTCCATGTATACCCACGTAAGATCATTGAAGGCGCTTGCCTTTGTCAACGGGTCTCTCAAGATATCTACCATCTGAATAACATGAGATGCACCTCTAACGATCTGCGGCAGTTAGAACTGTATAATCCCAGAGCACTCTCGCATCAACGTACCTGAAGAGCATTAAGCTCCGCTTCTGCCCATACCTCAGGCGAGATTTCGTCATCATCATCGTCAGCCTGTACCTCGCCTCCCAATACTTTGAGTAAGAGACTAGTTCGATCCCCAGCCTGTGGTTGGACTCGATTCAGCTTGTAACATGTTCCCTGTGCTCCTGACCCGACATAATGTGCGAAGACGTACCGCCCATCTATTTGAAAGACATTTCTCAGCGTCGATGACAACCGTCGTACATTTAAAGCCATGCCTATTCTTGCAATGTAAACATATGCATGCACCGACATATGTGGAATGCGCGTGAGCTACCTTCATCAAATAACGCTGTAGCCCATTGTTGCAGATTCCCTTGTTCCGGATGAGGAATACAAGCAGGACTCGGCTTTGTGGCTGCTTCTCCGCTGGAATCAAGCCTGCAATAGGCATTAAGCACGTGTCTTTGTTCGCTAGAGATGATTGTATTGTGCAATCCACGCAACCACGAAGTAAATGGCACTCAAAACATTTCACTTCATCATTCATGGACGAGGCATATGAATTACTGGCTCACTGCAGCACGCAACTAACACTTCGATGGGCTACCAAAGAAAGGAACCAGGTTCAAAAAATACCTTATTAATGTACCAAAGAAATAGAAACCAAATGAAACCTCAAATATGGTCTTACCACGCACGCCTCATGTACTCTCAATAAACGGTCCGTTTTTTTTGTATATATCCATGCCGGCATACAAGGTTGACTCATGCATAGCGCCGCGAAAATCGCTTGCAGGCAAGTAACTGATTCTATTCCTTGAGTGTGGGTTAAGCGATAGAAACCATAATTTCCTTTTCCTGTGGGCCGAGGGAGATGGTACGTCCGGGCATTGTATAACATTAGCTTCTAAGTAAACACCTACCCCGCCGGTGACAAATGTGTCTCATAAGTACATGTCTATCCTACTCACGTGTAGTTCCCATATATAAGCCACTGAGGAATGCGATTTATTCGAACCGAACGACAGTATATTCGTTGGTTGTAGTTACCGGTTCCTTGACAGCGAACTCGAGAGCACTTCCTCAAACTAGCCTGCCGCCGGCCTATTAATCATCTTCCCAAAGAATGCCCCCACCCCCCGCAGAAAACTACGATGACGATCATATCATCTCAAGGCGGGTGACGTTAGTCACCCTGCCATGTCTGTGGACCTAGCCACGAGGCGGGCCAGGGTTCAAAGATCCGTTCCCGACTGCCGGGCCCGAGACAGAACATTACGTATACATAGCAGCGAGGAGGGTTATGATGGCTCAGCGCAGGGAGGCTGTGCCTCTCCAAAACAGGAACCTGTGCAACAGGCTGTACTGGGCATGAGTACGCGAGACGGAGGTGGAGACGGGGTTTCCTCAGCCCCCTGCTGCTGGGATGGCCGGCCCGTGAAGATCAGCTACGGAATGACAGTCACATTATGAATATGCGTCCTTGAGTGGTGTCGTCCGTTTTTTTTTTGTGATGGATGGCACCTTGGATCATGGTCATTAGGCCGACAAGAGGGGGGAGTACTGAACACGCCACCCCAGAGATCGGCCAGAGACGGCTCGTCGTACGCTGCGCCGTGATTGGTGAAGCTTTCTCGATCTTATCTCTTTTATGAAAGAACATCTGCGTGAGTGTGCACCCGAATAAATTATCTTAGCTGTGATGTTTGTGTGAGCGGTAGGTTCGTGCGACACAAGACATGAGCCAGGCCCAGACCATCCCTCCGGGTACTCTCCGCGGAATATTTCCGCGAACGCTCTAGATTGCCATATGCGCACGTTGATGCAAGTGCTGAGACAATATCATATGATGTTGCATGGTGGTTAGTCGAAGAGAGCCTGGATCGTGAAATTGATCAGGCGTGTTCAAAATAGTTGCATTACTGTGCAGTCACGACGTTAACCCTTTGTCCGCTGAGTAAGGCTGACCACCATATAGAGGCAATTACGTGTGCCTGCGACAATCTCTCTCTTTCCAGAACACCATAGCGACATGGGGTCGCATAGCCGTGCAGTTACGGATGGGAGACCGAGTGTTACCCTCAATAGGGGGTCTAGCATGAGTCGTAGGCTGTGCTACTGGCAACAAATAGAACGGAAGACTACGTAGATATGAAGAAAGCTTATTAGTATGTCTATAACTTCTGACTGTGCTGGAACTGTATGTGAGACGTCCCTTCATTCAACAGTGCTAACAGATGAGGTAGGCTAGGCTCGGTAACTCGGTCATAGTAACCGAGTACGACCTGCGATAACCACTAGTTGCCTAGGGGGACTTCAATGTGCCGATAGGTTTGAGTGATTGATCATGCACTTTGAAGGACTAGTTCCGACACGCGGTAATATAATGAGAACTATCGTCGTTCGTCTGAACGGCATACCGCCTATCTTGTTATCTTGTCGTGGTGCGGCGCGCGTCCAATATAGAGGGAACACGTGCCCGTGCCCTCTCGCTCTCAGCCGAGAAATTTCCCTAGCGTCACGAACAGCCGCATGCTGTCATTGTACTGTAAGTAGATGGCCAGCAAGGGGTTGTTGCCCCAGGTTCGAATAGGCAAGGTGCTGCGCCTGGGCCAGTGCCGGGCTGGGAGGAAGAGACGCGCGTCCCGAGAAGTTGATTAACGCTGCCCCCCTTGAACCCCTGCTTCCCGTAGCCCCATATGGACGTGCGTCGTTCGATAGCTCTGTCGGGCCTCCTTCGAGAGTTTTCCCGATGGGGAAGGGTCGGTGGTTATTTCGGGCGCAGAATGTCCGATCGCCTCGCAGGCTAGCTGACTAGTTAGTGACTCTGCACGCGGCTCTGTCATTAGGGCAATGATTCTAGTGTCTCGCTGGCCGGCATGGGCCCCGAGCTGGATGGTGTTAAAGATCTCCGCCGGAAAAGGAATTCACTGGCCAACCACTCTGTCCTGTTCTTAGAACTGAAATTCTCTTGATATGTGGCTGTGCGTTCCCCAAAAAAGCATTTGAGTTTCTGGCAGCCGCGTCGACTGCAATGTATCCCTCTACGGCCTGCAATGCTGTTGTAGTATATTCAATACTATAGAGGTTCTCGAGATGCACGTGGGGACTTAATAAATGTGGAATATATTCGGTTTATGCCGGATCCCCTTATGGAACCCTAGGCACCGTTGCGACTGATGCAGTCTCCCGAAACTCGGTTTATGCCGTAAGGAAGGGTGTACCGAGAACGATGTGGATAACAGTCACCAGGGCATTAAATTTCCACAATGGGGATCAGGGCCATGTACTACTACAGTATGTTCTCAACATGTTTTCTTATGTCAAGCATCTCACTTGGAGATCCATGGATGCGGTCATCTCCTATTCGCCTTGCGACTTCTCCTGAAAGGTTAAGGGACGCCAGGTACTGCCGAAAAGGCGCTTATTACATCATATATAGGTAGTTATAAGTACACATAGTAGGCTTTGTATTCGGGCGGTGCTTGTATCCGTACTGTACATCTTTGAACTCTCAAGCCCACCAACATCGACTAATAACGATGTATTAGTCTAGTGTGTCCTATTTCGATGCCACCATAGAAGGCCTGAGGATTTCAAATAGGCACTGCAATTCAGGAAGCAATTGTATCACCGTCCGCCGTCACCACCGTCACGAATTCGATGTGCACATGGGTCGTTAGCGGACCGGAGACTTTTCCATGCTGCTTGTATGGCACGCCTGGCGTACATACATAGGCTTGCGAGATATTGATTGCGTGCATAGCAGGGGTCGGCAGTGGGGCACGGCTCATTGGCTGACAACGCGCAAGCATATTGGCTGGAGACAGGGACGCGCAAGCGTTTTGGGGGGCTCAAACACTAAAATAGTCGGCGACCCCACGTGATCGACATATCGTGACAAGGCAGGTGTTCTTGGCAGGACAGTTCGCAGATGGATGCTGGCCGCAAAGGACGATGAACAATTTTGACAACACTGTTCCTGAGCATCCCGAGATGTGTGTTTACCATCCCGTTGGCAACACTGAACCACTCTGATGTTGCAACGGAGCCCATTATGCGTATGGCAGCACGTAAGCCGGATGGTTTATCAGTGGACGAACGCAGATTAGGCTCAAGGTTTCGTCCACGACTCCTCCCGTGATGAATTCGCGACAGCTCTTGGGCTTCCGCGAATAATCCATTGTCGGCAGACGGCCGGCTTGAATGATAAGGCAGTATACAGACAAGCAAGGCAAAGGCTTAGGGCGGCGGATCGTGCAGAGATTTCTCACTTGCCAAAGTATACACACGTACGTTGTGGGTAGATATGAGGATAGACCACTTGGCACGGGGTTTGCTGATGCGTCTGTTGCAGCCGCGTCATACACTGTATGAAAACAACTGGAAAGGGAAAGGTAGACATCGATTAAGCTTATCATTCAGACATGGAGAGCCAGCTTCTCGAACCACAGAACTGGAATAAGCTTTTTGGGATTTCGTTGTAGAAGCAGTTCCCAGGGAGGCATAGCATGGTATCGATCGGTTGGGCCAAGTTCCGCGGGTGGCTGATCTGGGCAAAGGGGGGCGAGCGTTCCCTGTTGTTTCACCTGCTCTCTCTGCCAAAAGGTTCGTTCTTTTCAACGAGATGGACGAGAAAGACTATTCTAGGCGTCCAGGGTGTTCAAGGCGACGAACGGTCAATGACTCGCGACAGTCGAGGACTTATACAGTAGATACAGCTGGCCGGCGCCCGTCGTGGTCAAACGTGACTATGGTACAGCCTCATCCAGGGTCCACACTTGTTAGCGGCTAGTCAATCTGCATTCAAGTACTAGTTACACAGTTCAACGGCACTGTAACTCGGTGCACAATGTTTACAGCAGGCGTGCAGAGGGTCAAAATCTATCAAGACGATGAGCCGTGATTGGCCTGGTACTGTATATGGGGTATGGGCATGGACGAAGAGGCCGTCCGTGTGAGGAAGAGAGAGCAACTGGAAATAAAATTGCATGACGAATGCTCTCGGTTGATGTCCGCGATGGAGCCTGTAAATCGGGCGAGATCTCTATTTGTCAGGGTCAGACGCGCCAAGAGCGGCTACGAGATGGCGGTAGCCCTGATCAGGCAACTCTCAGCCACTGCCACAGACCCCGAGGGGGTCCCGCGCCTCGTCATCGCCTCTCTGTCGTGCAGGCCGTGGGCTTTCGAACTGTGCATTGATGTCGAGGCTTATTCTCTTGTCTGCCAAAAACAGCGAGGCGAGGCGGGGCGCCTGCTGGAGTAGGCATGTGGTTTCCGTGCGAGGAGTGAGAGAATCAGTCTGCGGGACGAGATGACCTGGCAGCCCTGCCTACTGTGTAGGTAGACATCGCATCACAGACAGACAGACAGACAGACAGACAGACGGACATGCTACTAGTTGCCAGTACATCGTAGGTTGGTGGTCACCGCGACGGCGTCGAGACAGAGGCAAAGAGCCAAGATAACGGATCGACGAATTGGGTTCGGATTGACGGCGAGGATTCGTCAACTGGGACGCAAAAGGCTTGCGCAAACCACCAGTGGACTTGTGCATTCGGCGTCTGCCTTGGGGAGCGACTCGCAGCGAGGAGGGGAGGCCGGCCCACCCCCGTCCACCTCGAGTCTGAAAGCGAGCTGGCCTCAGGCACATCCTGGTCAGCGCGGCGCGTGATTGGCCGGCGCTGCGAGGGAGACGCGCGTTCACTCCCGAGTCGAGGGCCGTCTGCCTGTGCTCCCCCTCGCACGTAATGCGGTTGCGTCTCAGAGGTCGAGAGGGTTTTCCGCAGGAAGTCTAGCCCCGTAGCTGCACGCCACTCCACTGCCCGTCTCCAGGTCCATCGCCGTACGGCACACTGTACTGCCGCCCGACAGACAGGCAGCTCCGCACAGCAGCGCTGGTTGCTGCAACCTTTGCAGCCTCTTGGCCGTCGCTTGCTCCATACTTGGGCACCGTGTGCCTATTCTGGGGGCTCTGTGACGGGTGGTCGAGCTGAAGGGCAAAGAGGGCCTACGCAACCTCGCCATCCACCCGCGTATCCCATTCCCCGTTGATTGCCATTCAGCGCCCAGTGCCCAGCGCCCAGCGCCCAGTGCCCACTTACTCACCCAGGCGGCCCATGTCCTCCCATGTCCCCATGCCCCCATGTCCACGTCTTTCTCATATTGAACCATCTGCCCTCCCGACTGTACATGCGTACAGACAGGCACCCGGGAAGTTGAAACCTCGTTGCGTGCCCCCCCATCTCCCGTGCACCGCTCCCATCTGCATTGCTACGTAACGCTCCCCTGCCCCCGTGAAGTCGTCGTGGCCAGCGTCGAACCTTCTTCTCACCACTCTACAACACAAAACCAATCCCGCCCACCTCCCGGACGACAAAACCACCGCCGACCCGCCCTGCCGCTCTCTCCAGCCGCACCAGCGTCTTGCCCTTCTGGTCGGCCAGCGATCGATAATCGCAGAGAGGAGGACCCGACTTGGGATTCTTGCAACACCAGCGACCGCAGCCCAGCCGACCACGGGACACGAACGAATGCTACTCTTGGAGCGATAACGAAGCCGGGCCAGGCCACACGAGCCAGACAATCCGACCGCCCAGCTCCCACTTCATCTATCCGATAGATTAACCCGTCACCAATCCGACGCACCTGCCGCCCTGCCTGTCGCCGGTATTCAGTCATTACTGCATGTGTTGTTCTGAATCCGCCGCTGTCTTGTCTCCTTGATCTGGGTTCGGTGGCAAAATACGGCCGTCCACGACAACTGGCGACCACTCGACCACCACCGCGCACAGCTTGACGGCTTAACAGCATCAACAGCAGCAGCCCCCGCGGCCTTACAAACTAGAATACAGATTACGCTTCACTCCTGAAACGCACACAAACCGCCCACCCGCCAGCTCATCATGGACGGACACCACAGCCGACCGGGCAACAGCCGAGGGGACTATGGCGAGGACTGGGCCAAGGGACTAACAGCTCAGTTCGAGCAATTAATGCGGACCAGGCGATTACACGACCTCCAGCAGTCGCGGTCAGACAGGCAACGGTCCGAGTCGCCGGCCCTGCGGCCGCAGGCATCGCAGTCCCACCTGAGAACGCCTTTCTCTCCCGAGCACAGCAGGCCGTCGACAGCACATAGCGAGTCCCCCGCGCCGGCAACGCCGCCCTCGTACTCTTCACTACGCCATCTTCCCATGATTCCGTCCGCCCCTGCGGCGCACGATCGCGCGTCGCAAAAGTTCCGCAATCTGTTGGTCACCTTGTCGACAACACCGACGAAATACGAAAACCCCGGCCTTCTGGACGAGGCCCTGCAAGTGATCCCTTTGGACAGGATCTACAGCGAGGCCGAGGAGGAGTGCCAGGTCTTGCAGGCCCAGGCCGAGAGCATGGGCGACGGTCGCAAGCCCGAATGGGGCTACCAGGACTGCGTCATCCGGGCGCTTCTGAGATGGTTCAAGCGCTCCTTCTTCACCTGGGTGAACAACCCCCCGTGCCCAGTGTGCCTCGCTCCGACCATCGCCAGGGGCATGACGCAACCGACGCCCGAGGAGAGTGCGTGTGGCGCCATGCGTGTGGAGCTTTACGAGTGCTCCAACCAGAGTTGCAGAGCATTCGAGCGCTTCCCTCGTTATAGCGACGTCTGGCAACTACTTCAGACGAGGAGGGGCCGGATTGGCGAATGGGCCAACTGCTTTAGCATGCTGTGCCGCGCCGTCGGTGGTCGTGTACGATGGGTATGGAATGCCGAGGATCACGTATGGACCGAAGTGTACTCCGACCACAAGCAGCGCTGGGTGCATGTCGACGCTTGTGAAGAAGCCTGGGATAACCCACGACTTTACACTGATGGCTGGGGCAAGCAGATGTCATACTGCATTGCTTTCAGTGTCGACGGCGCGACCGACGTCACCCGTCGCTACGTCCGCAAGACCGAGCACTCTGCCGAACGGAACCGTTGCCCCGAGGAGGTCATGCTATACATCATGCAGGAGATCAAGTCTCTGCGTAGGGCCAACCTCGACAAGGAGCAGCGCTTCCGCCTCGAGAAGGAAGACTCGGTAGAAGACCGGGAGCTGCGCGGCTACGTGGTGGCTTCAATCACGCAGGCCGTCACGAACATGGTTCCTGGCTCGTTATCGGCCTCGTCGAGCAGAGCGCCCACTGTCAGCCCCCGACCTCCGGCGTCGTCACCATCCAATGATGACCAGAAGCTCCCAGTCGAGCAACCCGGCAGACAGAGCGGCAACTCGGAGTGGGTTGCTGCCCGTGGGGAGAATGGCAGACGGAACCAACAGTTCCAGGACCCACGAGACCCGTCGCGCCGAAACTACTGAATGTTCCACGACCCCGACAACCGATCTTGCGTTTAATTCTCACATGTGTCTAATCTATCGCAACCTCGGAACACATCTGTCGAACCCGATTGTCGCGTCTCGGGCGCGACCTGTATCTTACTATCTGATTCTACGACTACGCGGCATCTTTTCTTTGTCATCTTATACATCTTCATCCGATCGACGACAACCCTCCTGGAAAACGGCGTATTGGAGTCCTCTGGAAAGAGGAAAGCATTATACACTTTTTTTAACATCTGATTTTTGTTTTACGGGTGGTAAATGGGCAGATGAGAAGGCGGTCTCAGTTCTATACAAGCCCTGGCGTTCCGGACAATCATGCATGAGCAACGGAGCAAAGAAGCATGACGGCTACACGATGATGGGATGCAACGTGTTGTGCAAGCATAGAAACATTGCAGTTTCTGCACATGTGATATATGGAGCGGAGAGAGAACGGGGAGGGCCAGCGATCGGATTAGTTGCGATGATTGATACCCAGGGTTTCCATCTCTACAGACTCACTCATCGTGGGCTTCAAGCTACTAGACGACAGTGCCACAATTGAAGATATCATTTTACTAGTTCAAATGCTGCTCACTCCCCGTCGCGTATCTTCGTGTGCCCGCTTGATTAATTAATCGCATCACACGTTGCTTGCAGTTACACCGTAAAGGTAAGGTGACGTGAAAGGGACAGGATCTGAGCCGCAACTCAGCCTCCCGACCGGCGATTTTCCAGACCGTCACACCAACCAAGCTCGAGTTGCACCTGTTGCATGCAACCCAAGAGCCACATCTGCAGTCGAGGGATTCCGTTAGCCGTCTTGGGACGCGCAATCCATTTCGTGCCTGCCTTGTCTGTGCGATGCAGTGACAAAGAGGTGTCACCCCGGATTTCACATGCGCTCTGCAGCACGCCAATCCTGCCTGACATTGTGAGGCCAACAAGAGGACAACGGAACGGTTCCAGAAGAATCATCGTGGCAGTGCTTGGCAAGGCGTCCGTCTGTCTGCTCACTGCAAGCGGTCGACTCGCTCGCTGCAGTGAGCCAGGCTGCCGCGCTGTTGGATTACCAAACACCTTCCGAACAACACAACCACCTGTAACTCCTCATGCGGTTCGGCATAGGTGTCGCAGGGATATACTCGTCGCGCCTGTTTGGGCTATGCTATACAGCTAACTTAAGATGCCGACAAACCTGGGGTTATCCCCCCGGGGGGAAGGTGGGAGGCATGCGTTCTTGCACTGCATGTGCAATACACAGGCAGCTGATGTATACACATCCGTCAATAACATTCGAGGTCGGCATGGATCAAGAATGCGTTTTAAATGGAGAGAGCCCGACTACCATCGTGCTGGTGCCTGGAGCCTAGAGCCTGGCACCTGGCGCCTGGAAGGTGGTGCGTTATGGTGCGTCACGCCGCTAGAGCTCCACCGCCTACTCACTCGTATGCACTCGCATCAGCGAAATCTCCGCCGTGCGAGTCTTCCTTACTGGCCCTCAGAATGCTCATCGAATACTTATCGGACGGTTCTCAATGACCATTTGTTTACCTAAATGCTTTGATGCTACTCACGAGGCTGACGAGATGCCCGTAGCACCAAACGAGGCGGTGTACTAAGCTAATTATTCGCAGCTGAACTTGAGCTGAACACTGCCATTGTTCGTTCACCACCAACATCCACAAAAGCTGTGTTTGCCTATACCCAGCTGCGTTTCTTTCATGCTACTTGTCAAGAGTGGAGCAATCACATGGTATTGTCGCCGGAATACCTTCTATATATATACCTCGTGCTGCCGCCCTCTCGAGGACAGCAGTAACGTCCGACACAGCCTTCCACCCGCCTCCTTCCAACAATGAGCACAATGGCATCTCAACAACACCCAGACCCGTCCTCTCGCGACGAAGCTATCTACCAGATGCGCAAACTGTTACCGGTAGATACTAATAACATCAACAATCCCAACTTCGTCCAGGATACTGTGCAACGAGATGCGGAGGAAACCCGAATCATCGTGCATCACAAGTACCCGGCATTAGTTGAGTCATTTCTGGCCCATAAGCGGCAACACGGCAGCAACGTGGAGAAGGCTCTTTATGGGACTCCAGATTCGTGGACCTGGCGGCAGCAAGTTGCTCGGTTGATCGCGAAGCGGCCTCTGGTCTTCATGGACCGCAATGACTATACCGTTTTGCGCAACGGCTACAGAGCTGGTGGGATTCCTACAGAATGGAACAGAGTCGGCACCGACGCTGAGGGAAGTAACAGCCATGTCAAGCTAGCAGAGTACCTGAGTTATGATGAGATGATGTTGGGGAGCCTCCTCGGTGTCAGCGGCCCCAGCTATTTCATCAACAGTGGGAAGCGCTATAACAAAGCAAGACCCGATGCCCCGGGAACATTCCAGGATCGCGGAGTCATTATGGGACTGGTAGGGGCCCGCTTCGAGCGGTCAGATCGGATGGATAGCGTGTTCATGCAGCCAAAGGCCCCCAGCCCAAATCAACACGAAGCACTGAGCGCCATCTTCATGGAGTTTTTTGGCGAGACTCGGAGGCCTTCCGAGCTGTTTGACGAGAGGATGTACAAGGCGCGCATGCGAATCACCGTAGACATTTTGCTTCTCGAAGCTAATGACCGTGCCAAGCTGGACGGGCAGCGGAAGGCCTACGTCCATGTCGTCGGGCTCGGATTGGGTGTATGGCAAGTTGATAGCCGGCAGCCCCAATACTACGTCGGGTGCTTCAACGAAGCGATTCACGAAATGGGACCAAAGCTCCAGAACATCGGCACCCTTGACTTCTCCTGGGTGGATGTCCCGACAGGTGTGCAGGCGCAGTTGGTACACACTGCCGCGCAACACGGTATCGAGGTCATTTTCTCGAAGCGTGAACCCGCGGCAAAGCTACCGCCACAGAAGCAGGACCAGCTCCTCGTACTCAGCTATGCATGGGATGGGAATGCATTCCCCGGAAACGAGTACTGGGACCATGCCTTGACTGGAAGTGGGGACCCCGCAGCTGCGTGCATGTCGACCATCAGTGAGCTTCACAACCCGATCATCAACCCGGAATATCTTCAGAGAATCAAGATTCTTAGTCCATGAGAGACAGTTGAAGACTTTTATATGAGTAGAGCGAGCCCATTAAGATGTAGAAAATGTAAATAGTAATGCGTGAAGTGGAAGATTGGAAGCTGACAAGCTGATTCTACCGAGTGAACACCTATGCCTCCTTCTATAACGCCGCAAGTCAACAGTCTAATCTAATCTACCATGCTGCGTGAAGCCGTTTTTCATACCATCATGAGCCATAACACGTTTAGGAACGCCCAGCTGGGCGACTACCTCGCTTAGGCCTTGGTCGATCCAGCATTGCAACTCGTCCTTGCTAGCCACGGAGACCATTCCTAGCATCCCAAGAGCGTTTGCGTAAGCGCCACCGACGCCCCCTTTTCTTCGGGGGATGACGAGGATCCAGTTCCTCCCCAGCACCACGTTGTGCGGGACGTGGCGATCGCTCGAATTCTGCGTCCCCAGTATCGCTCTAGCTTCTTCGATCATCTGCTCGTAGACATCCGCCACTTGCTTGGGTCCCAGGTCCGCATCAAATCGTCTCAGCACGTACTCGTAAGGGATATTGGCAGGCTGCTTTCCGGACTCAGGCCAGGGAATGAGTCGGTCAGGCAAGAAAGGGGCTAGCTGCAGGTGCTTATGAAGCCGACTGCAGCCCCCGTCCTTGCCGCAGTTGAAGAACATAAAGTGGCTCCAGTTGAGGGCCTCCAGCACCTTCCAGGCCGCCTGTATGTCTTCGACGTCCAATTGATTGTACTGGCGCCGGAACCCGTCCTTGGTCAGGAGCAGCATGTGTGGCCGGTACATGCAAAATTTGTTGAACGCCAACAGATGTGTGGCCGTGACATCGCCTATCTCATAGCCAGATACGTCAATGTCGCTGCCGAGCGCATACCCGGGCGGCCGTTTGGCGGCCGGGTTCGCTGCTGACGGCTCATCCCCGTTATCCTTTATGTAGGGTTTCTTGCTAATCGCTGCCGTCACGACCAACTCAAACTGCGACCATGTCAGCAACAAGAACCACGAGTCTCTAACGCCGAACAATGGCACTCACCTGGAAGCCGTTCACAGCCTCGAGCTGTATTTGAGGATTGCTGTCGTAAAATATCAAGCCGGCCTTGTGGCGGCGGTCAAACTCCGAGAGCAAGTCATTCTCCCGGAGGGGTACGGTCATGCTCAAAGCCAGCCAGGCGGGTAGGGGGTGGAGTTGCAATTGCAAGGCTCAAACGGTAGGTATCATTCAACTAACTTGGAGTAGACAGACTGACGACCTCTCTTGGGCGTCTGGGAAAAGATTCTCCATCTAGCAATGGCCCTCTTGCCTGCCGCCCAAAATTCTTCAGCAGTGGGCAAACAATCGGTGAACGGATCTCGTGGTGGGGCTGTTTCACCGCCACGCCGGGCGCTAAACTCGAGACGTCCGCCAACTCTAATCGAACCACAGCCCGCGGCAGTTTCGACCTCGAAAAGGGGGCCAAGAGGGGGTTTTATTTTGAGCATGTCTCAAGCCTACATGCCGTCTCTGATTCTTGGCGTCTATCCCAGATGTCAATTTCGCTGCTTGGAGCCCAGCTCTCCCGGAACCAGTGCATATTTGGACTGGAAACTGACGTCATCATGGTTATGAAAACGGCCAACGACGTTTATCAAACACATCCGGCTTGTGCCTGGCCACCTGCAGAGACTTGACAACGTCCAGCCATCAATCACACAGTGCTTGAGGTCTACATGTGTTTTCTTCTCTTGGTAGATTGCTATGCGCAAACCCGCCTTGGCATGGCTGGCACCGTTTGCCAACTGACTGCCAGATAGTTTCCCAAGACCCTGCTCCCAGAGTAACGAGGGCAGACCAGCGAATAACGGGCAGCCGATGTCGCTTCGATATTCCATTTCACTCGAGTCCAAGGTTATTGCATTGAGTGACTAGTTGACTTCTTCTCAGTACCAGCTAGATACAAGCATCACCCACTGGCACCGCTTGAGCAAGTAACACCCAACCCGCTCGGCGTGTTAGCGCACAAGTACTTCGCCGTCCCCGACGGCGGCTTCACAGTCATACCGCTCATGGCCACGCCGCAAGACCCGCCAGCTGGGCAGTTGATATTTGCTACAGTCGGCTGATACTTGTTACTGGTTGTGCCGGAGAACCCTTTGACCACGATGCCGCTCAGAGTGGCTGTGCTTGGTGTGCTTTTGCAGTAATCCGCGTCCTCGTTATAGCATGATTGGATCTGGAACGCATAGTCGCAATTGTCCACGACCACGTTTTCCCACGTCACGTTCCTGACGACCGCCGTCCCGTGGGCCGAACCCGCTGGGTAGAGCTTGATCCCGGCCGCTTTGGTCGAGTCGATCATGGTGGCGCCTTTGACGTATACGTTCGATACCGTGTCTGTACTTCCATGCTTGTTTCCAAGGCTCCCAACGCTCAAGCCATGACTACCCGTACACGTGATGTCAGTGACCGTCACGTAGTCGGCTCCAGGTTTGAATGCTATGCAGTCATCGTCGTTCGTAATGGTTGTCCCGGTGACGGTAACGTAGGACGCTGGCCCAATGTCGAAGCCGTCAGTATTCTTGGCAGGGTTAGAACTCTTTGACGTGGCAGAAAGATTGAGGCCAGTGAACTGGAGGTTTGTGGATTTGCCAGTCGCGGAGATGAAGACATTTGGGGGGTTCTTCAATTTAATATTCTGGACCACCACATTGTTGCTTGCTCCTGTAATGTAAAGCAAGGTTGGCCTATCATAGCTTGAGTCCTCGCTGCAATGTATAGTTAGTCAGTCAATCCACTCATAGCCTGCTTGTGGTCGATCACTCACGCAAAGCGGTCATATGCGTTCTGGCCATTCCCGTCGATCAGACCATTCCCCGATGACGAGTATATCTTCAGTCCGTTGATCCCATTTACTTCAATCTGAGCTGTTTTACCGTTCCAATAGTCAGTGTCGGAAGCGATCTTAAGGGTCCCTTCGAGCTGTATCGTGCAGCCGGAGCAACCTTTGAGGCTCAAAGCTGAGTTCACATAATATGTGGTCGAAGGAGGTATGTATATCGTGCCTGAAGCGCAACTGGCTATGGCCGACTGTAATGCTGGGACATCGTCGATGGAGCCGCTTCCTCCGGCTTTGGGTGTGCAAGTTGAAGCACGTTCAGCCACTCTACTAGGAGGTTGCTCGGCAGGAAGGATTGATGCTGAAACGGCCGCAGCCGCTGTCAGCGCGATCAAAATCAGCTGCAACATAATACCGGATAACTTCTTTGAAAGCAAGCTACAATTAGATTACACTCGTCCTTGTTATTTTTTCAGACTATACACATTTGCATTTTACTGGGTGGGGAATAACTTGACCTTATAAGCATTCGTCATTAGTGAATCCAGGGCCAAGAGGAGGCAAATGGTTACTCCGAGTGCAGTGATCTTTCTCTCCGTACCACTGCATAGATCAGATGTATTGGACGTGTCAGTTTGCGGGGAGGCCTGCGAAACCACAAATGGTACTTCAGTGGCTGAATGCGGCAACTCAATCCCGGAGTCGAACAGCTGATTGGTGGGTTAAGATGCTCATACGCTGGACATGGGATGCCGAACCGGCCACGGAATAGGCCGAATTCGGTTAGAGATCAGGACTCGGTCTTCTTCGCGACCCCGACGCCTTGTCGCAACGCGTTCAATCGTCAAATCCACGAATGAGCTTCGTTCCCAGACCAAAACCTCGCGAATCGGGTGCCCTTGCATATGTCAAATGCTTGATGGTAGTATCCTCGCGCACAGCGCATAGAGGAGATGACGAGGCGCTTAGGGTAATGGCACATGTCTGTGTGTGCGCATGCAACTCATGCCGGGGAAGGGGCCTCTTCTATACTTGCGGAGCCAAGACGAAAGCGCCCAATTCGGTCAAGTGGGCTTAGCTGGGGCATTTGCCTATAGACCCGTATATTCCTGTCATCGGTACTTCGGCATATAACGCGCGACCTACTTTAAAACCTTGAAGGGTCTCAATTAACATTTGCAGATTCGTTACTTACAGATCCAAGCCATCTTGGCTATCAAGGCACAGATGCCATAATTGAAAAGTTACCGCTTCACATTATGTTACATTTGAAGGTGTTGTGTTGGTTTGCAGCGTTCGCAGCTACAGCTCTCTCTGCTCCTGGCGGACTAGAGAAGCGAAGTTCGCGAACGAGTGCACCAAGCGGTTGTCTCAATGTAAAAGCTGGAACTACCACCACCGGGTGGTATGCGACACTGGGCGCTGCGATTGCCTCGCTATCCGGGTCAAAATCAGCTTGCATTTTCATGTACAGCGGCACCTACAACGAGCAGCTCAGAATTGACTATGCTGGGCCATTAACCAGTACGCCATATATGATCCATACGTAACATATTCGCAGCTAACACATTTGACTCAGTCTACGGTTACACTACTGAGTATGCTGAAAACTCTTGGTGCTGCTAAACTGAAGTACTGACCACTCAACAGCACCGGATCCTACAAGTCTAATACAGTTACAATCACACATACAATTTCTTCACCCCAGGCAGGTAGCCTCGATCTGAGCAGTACACTGAACATCGTATCAGATGACTTCAAGCTCTATAATATCAACGTCGTCAATGGGTACGGAAAGGGTGCACAGGCGGTGGCCCTAACTGCGAACGGCGACAGGCAGGGTTATTATGGATGTCAGTTCGACGGATATCAAGACACGTGAGTGGACCTCGAGTAGGTCATTCAAAGATACATTCACTAAATATGGCTTAGTCTCTACGCCAAGTCCGGTTACCAGTACTATTCCAATTGCTACATCGCCGGCGCAACCGATTACATCTTTGGAGACGCCTCGGCCTGGTTTGGTGAATGCACAATCGCGTCGAAAGCGGGAGGCGCAATAACCGCAAGCTCACGAGAAAACGCAGACGACACGTCATGGTATGTCATCGACCACAGCTCGGTAAGCATGAACCTTCCTCATGGTGTTATTTTACAGCGTCATATTTAGTGTTTGAAGTCGCTAACTGGCCATAGGTCACCTCAGTATCGGGGACGAGTCTATCCGAGAGTGTCTACCTAGGCCGTCCATGGCGGGTTCTGGCCAGAGTCATCTATCAATACTCGGAATTGACGGGTGTTGTAGCACCGAAAGGATGGACGACTTTGGCAGACAATGCTACACCGTATGCATACCCTCACGGCCAACATGTTATCTGGTACCACGAGACGATGGCTGACATTTGTGAATAATAAAGCATCTTCCAGGAATACCAAAATACGGGAGATGGTTCTGGTACATCTCAAAGAGTTACAGGGACTGTTGCCACAACTGCTGTGACAAAGAAGCAGCTCTGGCCAAATGGATACAGCTGGATCGACACTAGCTATTGAGAATAGCATGCTCACCTTTCGCACAGTTTTTAGGTACTTGGATACTAGAGGCGATTCTCATCGCCCTGTATCAAACCAGTACGAATGTGTCGCATTGTAAAAGACTTGAGCGCGTAGGCGGATTATTTAGTTCTCACATTGTTTTCTTTCTTTATACATTCATTGTCAAGGCTCCAACCTCAAATATCACATTCCAGTCAGTAGTCTTTCAGCTAATTCCCTGTTGTCCATCTGCAAACGTTTGTCATACCACATCGCTTCCTCAAGTTACTTGTAACATTAAACTTGATACGGAAATTCTTGAGAAATCTAACTTGACCTTCACGAATTGTCTTCTCGTAGAAGAACATGGCTGACACATCTGGCACTGCTCAGCCCCCTCAGAGACCTCTCTCGCCCTGGGCAGAACGCTTTGGTGCACCACGAGATGAAGGATATCACTACTGGGGATATAGACCGGATGGGGTAGAACACTCCGGCTTTGCCCCGACATATCCCCGTCTTGATTCGCGCTACTACTATGACATTCCTCGAAATTTGAGTTATCCTGGGGTGCCAAACTTGGCGGCCTTGGATGAGTTGTTTTATTCGGAGCGTACTCAGCAATTAGAGTTCCATGGACTAAAAACACGTCAAGCTGGGGCTTTAAATGACTTCCTATATCCTAGTGGCGCAAGGGGTGGACACTCGCTGAACATTAACGCACAGTACAACACGTCACTTTGGAATCAGGAACTGATCATAGTGGACGAGAATTCATGGGCGCAATGCTTCAAGAGACATCGATGGTGGACCCCGGAAGGTAGTCACAATCCACAGTGGACCGTCGACGACGATACAATCTGGGGCCACTTGCGTATCTCGATAGAAATTGCAAACAGAATTCTTAGGGTGCTGTTGTCCGAACGACATCCATGGTAAGCATTTTCGAGCAACAATGTGCTGGCCCTAGTACAGAACTTTCAATTCTGCGCCCTTTCACGTCCCTCGACTTATCAGGGTTAGGTTCAATACGGTCATGTTCGGCTCAGTGTGCCACGCAAATCCACCACAGACCGGCAAAGCGCCTGTTTACACGGATTGGGTGAACGGATCTCCACCCCCTGAAAAAGGCGTATCCCAAATCGGACTACGGTATCAGAGTGTGAACGCCAGCAGCCCAAGCTCACACGACTTCTTCAATACTTTCGAACACCTCACACGAAATCACGTTTTCTCTTTTGATGAAGAATCGGACGAAGGGGTGGGCAATTGGACTCGCTGGGCGGCAACTGGTTTGAATAAAGACGAGAAGACCCAGGAACTCATTAGTATTACCATTGTAAACGTGTCGATGATTAGAGGGCTCTACGAAGGATCATTAACACTCCAGGAAGCTAATGCTGCCTATTTTCACCTAGCTTCTACGGTATGATATACTCCCAAAGTTTCAAGATCCTCCACTTGTACTAATAATTATTACACCATTTTAGTTATTGCATGAAACGATGGTATTTATCTCTTTCAATTTCAAACGACAACAATGTAACTAACTTCATGCAGCACTCTCTATGGAACCACAAAAAACATCCCAACATATTTTGCCCTGAACCAGTAAGTCAGACTCATGTTTCTAATTTGTTTTTCAACTCTTTTCTCACGCATATAGTTCATCGGGGATGAGTATGTGTGTGAACTGGGCCGCTCCTTCGAGAGAGCAGTATTCGGCGGAAAGGTTGAACCTATTTGCACGCTCAGTCGCATGAGAGGGGGCCACACAGGAAATCTGTATCATGGAACCTTTTTTGGAATGTGCGTACAGGATTGGCCAAATGATGAGGAAGCCGACATGTACCGGTCTGGAAAGACAGGTATGACAATTGATGACAGCAAGAAATACAGCCGAAGAGGTTCCCAAGCTAAGATATATCATGTTCCGGCCTATTGGGTGTCCTCCTTTACCAATGAAAAAAGATGGAAAGACATCGAGAAAATCGGAAGCGCCGCATTCGTCTGTCCGAGGATGATCTTTTCTGTGGAGACGAAGACACGGCATTACTCACTAGACACGATAGACCTTGATTGGTCCCGCGACGATATGCATGAAATATTGGAAAGGGTTCGGGACAGATTCATGGCGAGGGAATTGCGATACCGGGAGATAAGGCCGTGGTATGCTGAAGAATATGCCAAATGGCAGTCAAGTCCGTGGAGCAGGACGAATGCGAGGAACATGATCTTGGCATTCCGCCACTACCATGCCGAGAGGGATATCACGAATGTACACCGTTGTCTAACATGGTTCGACGGAGATCCTTTGCTGAAGAAGTCTGTTGGGGCAGGATGGATTTTCGAGTTCATTTACTACATAATGATGGGCTCAATAACAGACCAACCTGTGCCTGCAGAGCCAGAAATAGATTACAAACGATGGCACAACCCAAGCCAGGCAGCAATCCAAGCACACAGTGCTGGGTCTATTCCGACCATGAAGAACGACAATCCGATACGTCGTGTCTTCATTCAAGACGGAGCCGCAGCACGGCCAGCAATACCACCTGTTTACCCTACATACGGTCTCACGCTGGCTATAAGGAACTTGCTAAATACCTACGAGGCGAAGTACCCAACATCAAAGGAATGGGTCTATGCCGCCTACCGGGCGTGGAAAGATCTCGTCATCAGCCGTCGCCAAAACAAGACGGATTGGGCGGACTTCACTTTTGAGGTTCCAGAGTATGCGTCGATCAACATGGTAATCAAGGACCAAGACGACTTGGTTATACCAGATCCAGATACCGTGTACCGAGCCTATAACCCAGATACAGATGGCACGTTGGGTCTGGAAGTGTTTCAACCAAGCCCGGGCCCCCGGACCTCTGGAGGGTTTAGTGCAACAAGAAGGACAGCAACTAAGCCACTAGAGCTCTTGAATACTCCGACGAAGTATTTTACGGTTTCACAAGCAGCAGATCGCCGCTGGGTATTGGAGGACTGCGATGATGGAAGTGTCGATATCTATGATATCCTCAGTATGAACCCGTATTTTATTAAGCTGCCCACAGGCGAAACTGACCTGCTTGAACAGAACTCTTGAAACAACCCCAGTATCAGAATTATTCGTTTTCGGACGTGACCACCTGCAGCAAACAGGGATACCGTCTGTTAGAAGGTGACCCTAATCCAATTATGTCCAACCTTTGCGGCGACATGAAAGAAAATGGGGTGTCCAAAGGGAAATTGCTACAATGGCTGCGGACCGAGGAGGTAGCCGAGCATGACGGAAAGCACGGACTACCTCTATACGTCACATACAAGAGCCAGGTGTTCGACGTCACAGGTATTGATGGTTTCTGGTTGGTGTAGCATCCATGGACTAACACCGGTCAGATTTTGTCGCCGATACGCAAGAACAAAACGATCTCGTTCGCAAGAACCCTGGTGGCGAGCTACAATTTAGTGAACACGATGACGGGAGCTCGAGAGCGGCGTTGATTAAGCTCTTGAGGCCATGTCGTTGTGGGATCGTCATGCCGCGTAAAGGGAGGCAAGTTTCGCTCAACGCCCTTGACGTCTTCACACCGAGTAGGCTTCGCCATCACGACAATCCATCAGATGGCATGTACACGGCCATTCATGGTTATGTCTACGATCTTACTGGTAAGTAGAGCCATTATACATGGATCTCAATCTTAACAACTGCTATAGGATATGTCGACTATCATCCGGGTGGGCTCAATATCCTCAAGGATGTATGTGGACGAGATGGCACCTCGCTATTCGATAAATACCATTCCAGTAATCTTCTTGCTGAGGAAGACTATGCGGCGCTAAGAATCGGTCGCGTTATAGAGGAACGGCGTGCCAATGACATAAGGAGGGACGAGATTGTTATCAATGACGTGGTGTTCAACACAAAATGTATCTACCCATACCTGACGCAGGTCACCGAATTCTGAACGATGCTAACACTCATCCAACCACAGGCTTCGAGAATGAAGATCTACCATTGCACGATATCATTTCTCCTTACTATGGAACCAACGCCACACAGCGCGTCACAGGTCAAGATACAGACAGTCGCAAAACCAGATCCAAGCTAGCAGCCTTCTACGTCAAGAGCAAGGGACGCATCGTAGCAAAGCTTCGGAAGACTCACATCCTTCCGTCCATTTCGAGGGAGGAAATGGCGAAGCATAACCATTTCAACTCAGATCACGAAGCGTGGGCTCTTGTTGGTAATGACGTATTTGATATCACTGGTCAGTCGCAAAATTCCTTTGCAGTTCTGCAGTTCTTAGACTCTCCTCTCCAATGCAAATGGCAGCGAGCAAGCACTGACCCATTATTAGCTTTGTTGAAGTGGCGTCGGTGCTATAATAGAAATCCAGGTCTAGCGGAAGCCCACGCCGGCAAGGAGATTCTGTATCAGCCAATAATCGACTGGCTGACTCAAGAGCATAGTCATCGAATCATCGGAAGACTAGGAAACAGTTGATCAGGATGACGCAGTGGCTTCTTAATACTGCCCGCAATCATGTTAAACCTGAAGGATGAGATCTCTCTGCCTTGTATGGGGTGGGCAGAGCTTGAGATTGCACTCTTATGTGGTTCCTCAGATTCATGGGACTGCGCTCAGATCGGCACTGACAACCATCCCATGGAAGACTTCTTTGGTCTTCTGACAAGAACATGTAAAATGAAAACATAATTCTATGGGCGTCTTGAGCTCTGTTAACGAGCGAAATTTCATCAAGCGCGGATAGTTGGGTCGGCGACGATCACTTCTTCAAGAAACGGGTCCGATGGTGTAGTTGGTTATCACGTGAGTCTAACACACTCAAGGTCGGCGGATCGAGCCCGCCTCGGATCATAGAAAGCGTTTTCTTTTGCCATTTTGAGGCTGAAATGTTTCTTTTTTGACCTAATCTTTCTAGATTCAACTCTTGCGAATGCCCCTTTCCTTAGCTAGCCAGCATGCTTTCATGCGTTACAATATTGTGTATTATACAACAGTGCGTCTCAGTTTTGAGACAGCGATAATGAAGCGAGACGTTGGATAATACTGACCTAACACGGTCTCTCGTACAAAATGATAGGCTATTTCGTTTTGCACTGTGGTGTTTCTGTAAAGTCTACGAGATCTGGGAGCCGAAGTTGGTCTCTTCTCAGTGTAGCCAGGTTTGGGAACGTAGTTAGTGTGACGCAAGAGGCAATTCCTTCTAGTATTCGTCAGTTGAGCTCTATCTCTACCAAAATTTTGCTCAGTTCCACTGGTGGGTCAAACTCTCATCTGACTTTGTGTGCCAGCGAAGCATTCTTCATCATTACCTTTGGTTCTGTCAGAATACTCTCGCACACAAGTTGGTGTGAGGTTCACTTCAGATTTCGACCGTTGAAGCCAAAAGGAGCGAGGTTTTTTCAGAGGGGTTTCCACGGACCTTCCACTCCGCAGATATTATACCCTCATGGAGAGGCAATCAGCAAAGCTATTCCGGATTAAGACTGTTGAATTCGCCGGAGTCTATAGATTTTCTTGTCTTCCTTCAAGCAAGGTCCGCCAAACCCATTCCCCAGCGGAATTGAGAAGTTCCCCGGACTCGTGCTTACAATACCCCAGGACATGCAGCATTATGGCCGGCGGAAATTTTGAGCAGACAAGTGATACGTGGTCTGTTTGGATCCAACGACCGAACTTGGTTTATGTACCTTCATAGCACTGTAATTGCTTTGCCTCGATAAATCGGCAACTGAGTACATGATAACCACTATGAAGCGTTCAGGTGACGAGACCACGCGTTTAGGTTTGGACTCATGCTTGGCTCAACTGCCCATTCAAGCTTATCCCCAACAAGTTCAAATTGCGACTAATGTTATGTAAATATCTGCGCTCTGCGTGTCATGGTGGCTGCACCACCGAACATGAACTTAGGAACCTTCAATACCTGTTCCGTGCTCACACTAAGAATGGCTTCGGTAAAGCCCTCAAGACTATTCATCGACAACAAACACGCTCATGTGGGTTTCCAGCCTCCAGCTTCTATAAATCGGTGGGACCCTCCCATTGTCCTCGAGGCCATCTTGATCTAGATCAGAGACAACCCAAGGACTAGATTTGAACTGCCCCAAGTCAACACCCTACCCAACAGTTCATCCGGTGAGTCTTTCGCGGTATTCCATTACATAGCAATGTCTCATCAGAAACATTGCGCCGCCCAAGCCTGAGAGCTGCCCTGATCTTATCATCCGTTGCTGACCCGATTTAGACAGCAGCCCGTCATGAAGGTCTCTTTCATCACCTTCGCGGCTCTCGCCGCACCGCTTGCCCTCGGCAACCCCGTCCCCGCGGCCAACAGCAGCGACGTGCAGGCCCCGGGCCAGCCCATCACACCGCGGCAGATCCAGGGCGGCGGCATCATCCCCAGTCCGATGGTCGATTGCGGCGATGTCGAGTTACCAGAGGCCGACTGGAAGGGCGTGATTGATAAGATCAAGGACTACGGAATCCACGGGGGGAAGGTCCAGCCCAAGAAAATCCACGTCGAGTACTTCGGCAAGGCCGCGTTCTACATGTGCAACTGCAAGTGGTTTCACTGGGACCCGCTCCCGATCCAGGAGATCTCCGAGGCCGCCGAGCTCATCACCAAGAAGTGCGGGCCTCACCAGACCGGCTGGGTCTGGGCCAACGACTGGCAGAAGGGCTACAACATCGCGCCGTATTCGTACGTCCACGGCACCGACGCCCCCCTGCTATGCCCAGACGAATGCTTCAATTAGAAACAGCCTCGAAGCTGGCGAACTGTTTGCGCATTCGGCCACTCTTGTTACCAACCATCTGATCACCTCCTGAAGCCTCCACGGCCAGGTCTCGATATATGAGGGGGTCCATTGTGCCCGACTGATGCACAATGGCCTCTCTTGGCCTTGCAAGCGAGATTTGAATCTTCTTGGTTTGGTTCCATGGAGTGGCAACTGGGTACCCAAAGTTGAGAGTATTGCAGGCGCGTTGGGAATGACTGATTCCTGGTAAAAAGGAGGCGGGGAAAAGTTAGGGAGAAAAGGCGAAAGCCAAAACGAAAATGCCGAAAAAAAAAGACTCCAATTACCAATGCTTCAAAGTATGCTTAATGAGTAGTAATTTCATATTTGTGCCGCATCGCTCTGCAATTATTCCTCTTAAATGGGACTGGGGTTATTTCGAAGAACACGCTTGGTTCTATCTAAGACAGAGAGCCGTGCCCACTTGTGCAGAGACTCGGATGCCCAAATAACTACGAACTTGCAAATGTGCTGTCAAGAAGATCTCACTCATAGGGGCAGAGGTACACAGAAGTTAAGGGGTCATGCATTCATCAAATTACGCCAGCAATGCGGTTCTGCAACGCCTACCAGATACCCAGTCCATTAGAATACAACTTGCTCGTGCCATGCCATGATTTTCTTCTTTTTGCAGCCGACCGACCAGGGGCGGTCCATGATCGGGCCAGACTGATTAAGAACCTTCCGCTGCAGCTTATCGACCCATACGGATGACACCTGCTGCAACGAGTTTCTGAACGTTTGTCCGGATCGCCGGGTTCTTCATGTGCTCCTGCAGCGCAGCAGGGTCGGACTGAGCTTGCTGCAGAATTGACTGCATGACTGGGTCCTGCATAATCGCCATGATCTGCCGTCTGGGTTAGTATGGCTTGCCTCGGACAAAAATTCGTCTCCTGGCTCGGGAGTTCACTCACCTCGGGGTCCTTCTGCAGGCGCTCTCTGGTCTGCTCCTCCGTCTCGTTGTCACGTGCCGAGTACATGGCGGACAGAGCCTTCTCCTGCTGCTGCTGAATCTCACGGGCGTTGGCGCCGTTGTGGTGCTCGTTGTCGATTGCCGTCGCCTCGTTGCACTGATCGATACACTTGGAGTACTCGCGCATGCCAAAGTAGACCTGAGCCTTGCGGATGTAGGCACGGATGAACTTGGGGTCCTTCTTGATGGCCATATCGCAGTCGTCGAGGGCGCTGGGGAACTCGAAGAGCTTGACGAAAGCCGCGGCACGGTTGCTGTATCCGCGCGGGTCCTCTGGTGCGCGCTTGGTCATCTCGGTGTAGGCCGCGACGGCGCCGGGGAAGTCCTGGGCCTTGAACTTATCGTTGCCCTCCAGGCGGGCCTGCTCGGCCTTCTCGGGGTCGATGTAGGCCTTCTTTGCAGAATCGATCTTGGCACGCTCGGCGGCGCGGAGCTTGGCGCTGACATCTGGCGTGCGATGCTCGGTCAGAGACTTCTTGTAGTTGTCAATGGCCGAGGTCAGGTCACCCTGCTTCTCGTATGCGCTGCCGATACGGGCGTACGACTTGGCGATCATCTTGAAGTCGGCGTAGATCAGACGGCCCTCCTCGATGGCCTTGGTGCAGGCCTCGATACAGGCCTGGTAGTCACCCTTCTCGAACTGAGCGGCACCCAGGTTGTTCAGGTAGGTGATGTCCTTGTGGAGCTCCCAAGCGGCACTATAGTGTTTGATGGCCTCGTCAAAGTTGCGCTTCTTGTAGTTCTCGGTTCCGAGGGCCTTCTCCTTGTCGGCCTCCTCCTTGGCCTTCTTCTTGGCGAGCTCCTCCTCGTCCAACTCGGGCTCGGGCTCGGGCTCGGGAGCCATCTTGGGCTCAGGCTTGGACTGGGCAGCCGGGCGATCGGGCATGGGCACGTCCTCCTCGGCCTCCTTGGCGCCAGACGACGAGGCGCCGGCGGGCATGTCGCTAGGGTCGCGCATCTCCATGTCGACGCCCATGGCGACACCCAGAACCTGGATCATGCGGGGGTCGCTGAACAGGTCCTGGGACATCTGGGGGTTCTTCTGCAGCTGCTGCACCTTGGCGACGAAGGACGGGTCGGCAAAGTAGCCGCTGGTCTTGGGGTTGGTCATGAGCTTCTGCAGCAGGTTGGGGTCGCTGAACATCTTGCCCATGCCGCCCAGAGGGTCGCCGCCAAAGTCGCCGCCGGCCTCCTGCTCCATGGCCCGCTTGACCGAGGCCAGGGAGCTCTTGAGGCCGGCGTTGTTGGGGTCGTGCTTCAGGCCCTCCTCGTAGGCATCGTGGGCGCCCAGCAGGTCGCCCGAGCCGTGCAGGGCGGCACCCTTGCGGCCCCAGCCCCTCGGCCAGTCGGGCTTGATCTCGGTGGTCTTCTCGGCGTCCTTCAGGGCGCTGTCCCACTCCCTCTTGGAGGCGTAGGCGGCGGAGCGGTTGCTGTAGAGGACATGGTTGGTGGCGTCGATGTCGATGGCCTTGGTGAAGGCATCACTGGGAGGGCTGGTCAGCACGGGCTATGGGTACGGGTACGGGTACGGAGGCCAATGATCGGCAAGATAAGAGCGAGGAAGATTAAAAGACTTACATGGCCTCGTCGAACTTTTTCTCGGCGATGGCCTTGTTGCCGAGAGCCTTGAGCTCGTCCGCAGTCGACATGTCGAAGCGTGGGGATAAGTGGTCTCCTTTCGCGAAGTACGGGATGGTAGGTACGGGGCACTGTCGGGAGAGCTTTGCAAGACTCGAGGAAGCTCGCGGGCTGTGCGTGCGTGTGTTGCTGAATTCTGTATGAGGGGGATATATATGTCGAGGGCTGGACGGGCAGCCTTCTGCCTTCTCTCGCCCGGCTTTTGGACGACAATCCACAGTCCTGTCGGGTCGCGCGAGAGCCTTCGATGCAATTCTATCGACCTAGAGAAGGGGAACATGGGGCTCTGATTGGCTGGCACAGCTCCCGACCCCCCTGCTTTCGGCGGTGGTGCTGCCCTGCGGGGGGGCCAAGGGCGTCCCCTCCAGCCCTGGCCGGGCTGCTGGACCGCTGGAGCTTTTGTCGCCGCGGCGCTAAGGCAAGGCTGAGTAGACACCTGGGCAGCCCGGGCAGCCCCGGCAACCTGCCTGGGCCCTGGAGCATTCCATTCCTTCAGTGGGCGTCGAACGATGGCATTGTGAGGATGCAGACAGTAGGCAATCCCTGCCTCGTCATTCACAGATCGCAGGTCGACAATAGCGTGACATGGCACTCTACGTGGTTTATAGTACAACCTGGACACGATCATGCTCCAAGTGAAACATGTGCGGTGCATTCGTGTGTATACTGTTGTTGCCCGTCGCCTGTAGCCAATTGGGCTCAATTCCCAGTTCCCCAAGCTTCCAGGTTCCTCGTCGCCCACCTGGACGATAAGCCCCCGGCGCCGCCGCCGATAAGAAAGGCTTCGATCGCGGGGCAAGAATTATTCGAGGGTGAGCAACTCGTAGCCAAATAATTCTTTTCCCTGGGGCCCGGCGACACCAAGACGAACAGAACAGCCTCGCCGAGTGACTCCCCTGGAGAACTTGGTATCCAGAATTCGCTCTCGGTGCCCGGACCATACCGTACCCGACCCGTGAACATTGTCGACCACGACTGACTCACCAACCGCCAACCCCGGAGCGCCGTGCATGGCCTGCGTTGCCGTCGGACTTCTCGCGCGCACCTACACCCTCCCGGTCTTCGACTTCTCCTTCTACCGCCTGTTCCTGGCCCTGGCCCAGTTCCCGTCGCGCACCGACCGCATCGTGACTCCCCCTGCCACATCCACGAGGCTTCGGCCGCCCGCCTCGCCACATGGACGCTGACAAGATCTCGGTCCTCAAGGACCTCCTGTACGATGCCTGCAAGGAGAAGCTCGACGGCGACGACGAGAAGGCCTACCACCAGCAGCTCTTCACCCAGGAGGACCTGCTGGGCCTCGGCGTCATCCCCCCCAAGGACCTGCGCACCCTGGTCCAGGTCATCCGCGAGCTGACCGAGGACTTCCTCTTCATCACCGTCAACTCGACCCACGGCACCTCGTGGCGCCTCCGCCCCGAGGAGGAGGCCCGCAAGTACGTCGGCCTGACCACGGAGCAGATCATCATCTACACCCTCATCGACAATGCCGGCCACGAGGGCATCTGGCAGCAGGACATGCGCCGCAAGACGGGCATGCGCGAGCAGACCCTCAAGAAGGTCCTCAAGGAGCTCGAGAGCCAGAAGAAGCTCATCACCAGCTTCACCTCGGTCCACCACGTCACCCACCGCTGCTACATCAAGGCCAGCATCAAGCCCAGCGACAAGGTCACCGGGGGGCCGTGGTTCGCCGACGGCGACCTGGACGAGTCCTTCATCGAGATCCTGCTGTCCGTCACCTACGCCTTCATCAAGGAGAAGGGCTCCTACCACAGCCGGAGCGGCAGCGGCGTCAGGAGCGCCAGCAGCAGCCCCGTCCTCCCCAAGAAGGTGCTCAATGGCAGCCACAGCGACGCCGCCATGGCGGCCCGGGGCAAGAAGCGCTCCGCCGACGCCATGGCGCCCGACGAGGACCCGACCCTGGACGACCCGGCCAAGCCTAGGAAGCGCCCGGCCCAGCCCGTCCTGCTCCCCATGCCGGCCGGCTTCAAGCACTACCTCACGCTGCCCGAGATCACGCAGGCGCTCGCCAAGTCCGGCGTCACCAAGGGCATCCCCCTCAAGGAGGCCGACATCCAGCAGCTGGTCGACGTGCTGATCTACGACAACCGGCTCGAGGAGGTCAAGGTCGGCAAGCGCGTCGGCTACCGCATCACGCGCCCGACCAAGGCCAACCCGGAGAAGGGCGCCAAGATAGACAACGACTTCCTCGAGCCCCCGAGCAACGCCCTCACCACGGCCCCGTGCGGGAGATGCCCCGTCTTTGACCTCTGCGAGGAGGGCGGCCCGGTCTGGGCGGGAGGCTGCGAGTACTTTGACCAATGGCTCATCTAGCGAATGCGTGACGAGCACCGCGGCACGAAGTGGTGGTGGTGTTCAGTAGGTCTGGCAGCGAAACCCAGCCGACTCCCGAGGCTGTAGGTAGCCGACACCGCGGGGGCAGCGATCTTTGCACTTTTCTTCTTCTTTTTATTTTCTCTGTCTTGTAATGCATGGCCCTGGCGTTCAACGGCATCGGAAAGGAAAACACCCCCTCCAAGCGAAATTGGAGTTTGCGGATTTGATCATTTTGCATTTACACTGAGAGGGGTTGGGGGCGGCGGCCCGTTGGAGAGGTTTGTTTGTATGTATGTATTATGTATGTACATGGAGTAGCTTTGCACGTTAGCTTGCACACAGGGGAGGGAGTATATCCTTCATCCATTCCTGGTGTAGCGGCGGCCAAAAGAAGGAAATGACATCTCAACCTCTAGTCGAACACGGTTCCGCAGTACACTCGTCTGGCCAGCTTCATCTATTGGGTCACATCCCCTTGTAGTCTGGGCCCCAAACCCCGAAACGCGGGCTGTGACCATCTCAACGACGAGAGGGGGGCGCCTTTTCCCTTACAACCAAACTTGCCTTCCTACAGCTGCATCTTGCAGCAACATGGAAGCTTGTATTACCGATACTAGGTTATCGTAGAACGGTGTCTTGTCTAGCCGAATGCAAATCATGGGAGGATCGGGTGATCCCAGGTGATTCGTCCCGCGGTCATCCAGGCCAACCTAGGCCACACATGTACTCATAGTATATATAGTACACTAAAGCGCAGTACGGTACAGAATAGCACAGTGCCATCCTTGGTAACTGCGCGAACAGGCACATTGCGCAGATTTAAGGAGATCAAGGCGGCAAGTCACACAGAAGACAATGGCCTGCTGTGCAAGGTGCACATAGTTTAGGTTCAGCAGGGTTTCTTATTCGGTAGCTAGCTACGCGGAATACATTCCGAGCTTACTCCTCAGATCAGTCTAAGCAAGTAGCTTTTGAAATCCGTATCGTACTTTCCCCCAATCAAGAGATTTTGTCATTGTTACACGCAAAAGGGGACCGTTTCGCTTGCTCGGCCATTTACGCCTCACCACAGTCGACGATGGTGGGGCGCTTGCTGTACTTGACGGCACCGCTCTGGGAGCCGGTGGCCTCAAGAGCCTTGACAATGTTCAGGCCCTCCTGGTCAGCGACCTCGCCGAAGACGACGTGGCGGCCGTTAAGCCACGAGGTGACAACGGTGGTGACAAAGAACTGGGAGCCGTTGCTGGGAGCGAGAGTTAGTATGGAGCTGCAGGCCAAAAGGATGTCAAAAATCCCCACTTACGTGTTGGGGCCGGCGTTGGCCATGGAGAGCAAGCCGGGCTTGTCGTGCTTCAGCTGGAAGTTCTCATCGGCGAACTTCTCGCCGTAGATGGACTTGCCACCAGTGCCCTACATGATCATGTTAGTACTATGTAATGAATGGCCATCCGAAGTAAGGATGGCTTTTTTCAGGGTCAGAAACGTACGTTGCCACGGGTGAAGTCACCACCCTGGAGCATGAACTCGGGGATGATACGGTGGAAGGAAGAGCCCTTGTAGCCGAAGCCCTTCTCGCCAGTGCAGAGAGCGCGGAAGTTCTCAGCGGTCTTGGGGACGACATCGGAGTAGAGCTTGAAGTTGATGGTACCGCTCTGGGCTAGAGGTGCCGACAGGTTAGCATGAGTCCGCTAGTCGACGTTGGGAGGATGGGCTTCCTGGGGGGGACCGGAGGCGGGGTTCGGGGGGGTAGGCTTGAGCCGTCGTCGCCATAGCAAGAATCGATGGATCGACGGAAGAAGGAAGTGCGTTGTGGTTTTGAGGGATATGGCAACATGAAAACTTACCCTTGACGGTGCCAGTGGGCTTGTTGTTGGCGTCGAGGACGGGGCCCTCCCACTCAACCTTGAACCTGTAGAGAATCGGGGTCAGCAGAGAGCTCGAGGCAGCAACAGCATCGGAGGGCAGGCAATCAATCAATGCCTTGATGCTACCACGCAAGGGTAGCAAGCACCAGACACCAGGAGGAGGCGGTGGTGGTAAGGTGTTAATTGTATTGCTTGTGCTTGCGGGATGGAGCTGGACAGAGCAGGGCAGCGGAAGCTCACTTACCAGACTTTGGTCATTTTGGCGGATGATGCAGAGAAGTATCTGATGGTAGGTGAAGAAGAGACAAAGTTGGACTTTGCGAAGAGACTGGGTCGGAGGGAAGATGAAGATGGTGAAACAACTCTCGAGCAGAGGCGGGGAGAGAAGTCGAGGAGGGGTCGGAAGGTCTTGGAGCTCATGTTGACAAAAATCTGGGCGGGGCACCACGGTCAGCTTAGGTACTCGGCCAATCAGCGGGCGCGGCAGGGCAGCTCTGCCCCGCCACGAAAGACTTTTGAGGGGTTCCAGGATGCCAGGTCCTCTGTTCCAGGGCCCCCAGCGGCCCAGCGCCAGTACCGTAATGGAATCCGTAAGCCGCCCCTCTCTGCCTTGGGTTTGCCGGGGCCAGGCATGACAGCATCGGAGCAGCAGGATCAGCGGGCAGATTGGCAGAGGCCGGCGGGCACCCGGTCTTGCCAATGGAACCCTTGGGAAGCGCGCCGTCGCTCTTCGACTCTCTCGATTCCCGCCAGCACTCCCCCAGGTGGCGTAGGGCGGTGGCACGACGACATGGGCACCAAAGCAAGGCAAGGGAAGGGGAGCAGAAGAAGCTGTCCCCCCATGCATTGCCCGGCTTGTCCGTCCCGCCCTGCCCAGCCCAGCCAGCCCACGCCATCTGCGCATCCTGCGGCTTCTTTTCGTCACCAAAGCTCTGGCCCCGCCTTTTCTCGGCTAAGGGAGCTGTCTCCCTCTGGTGCTGGTGCTGCTGCTGGTGCTGCTGGTGCTGCTGGTGCTGCTGGTGCGTCCTTTTGGCCTGCAAGCTCCGATCCACCTTGACGGCACCGGTCCATGATTTGATACCACATGCCTCAGGCTCAGAAACCCCCCGAGATGCCGCCAACAGACTCCAGCGCGCCCGCTTGCCCATCAGGAGGGGTTCCGTCATTGCACAGACGATACCTAGTACATGCTCCCCAGCTTCTGGCAGGACCGTCATTGCTCCGCGGGGTCTGAAAGCCACGGGTGATGTAGGATTGCGGCATAATGAACCAATCCGATCAAGACTACCCAGGCAGTGAATGAATGGCCTAATCGGCCGGTGATGCATGAAGCAAGTGTGTGTAGGACGCCCTGCAAGCTCGGGTCCTCGAGTACCAATTGGATATGCCGGACGGCACCGAGCTCTCAGACCGTGCAGCTCTACAGCCACTCATGATGCATGGCGTAGGCTTTCCATGGTGAGTCTGGGCTTCCAGGCACTGGCAGACAATCTGGCTGTCCCCCCACACCGGCAAGCAAGCTTCAGATGGTACAGGAGCAGCACGGAGACCAGAGAGAACACGCGGTGAGTCGCCCTCAGCGCGCAAAACCCTCCCGCGCGGATCCAAGTGGACCAAAGCAGGTCGGGGTTGTGCTGCCAGTGCCCATGGGGAGGCAACGTGGTGTGATGACTTGCTGGCAACGCCGACGGGCCATCGCCGGTCCCCCGGAAGACACGACGCCGTCGAGCCCAGACACGCATTCTTGACCTAGAGCTTCGGCCAGAGTGCCGTGCCAGTTGCTCCCGGGTTGAATCTCGCCGTGCACGTCGACATGATGTACAGCTCAGGACTGGCGTGGAGAGAGGCTTCGAAGGAGGCATGGGGACTGTACGAAGGGAATTGCCAACTTACTTGAGGTTCCACAGAAGGATTGAAGGTTGGATAGAATTACAGGCGTATTTTTACAGCTTGAATGGAAGACTCAAGGCGGACAGATCAATGGATATAGTACAGCTGGGAGATGGAAATTGGTCTCAGGAAGCTCTTTGATGATGTTGCCAAAGTTCTCGCCGAGCGCCTGGAAATTTTGCTGTCTCAACAAGGTTAGCGCCTGGCCCGGCCGCCAAAGCTGAGCAAGCTGGACAAAAGCTGGGGTCATAAGTCAGAGCTCCTGGCACGGAGACCAAACGACGGAACGGAGCAACACGAGTATTGAATATGGATATGGATACCGAGTTCCTGGGCACTCCCGGTGCAACGACGTGTATGTTCTCGTGGTCGTCGCAGTGCAAACCTGTATTGTGCGGAAAGCGAAGACTGTTTTCACCAGTCGACCAGACAGCCCTTTTGCAATGTTCGCAAACGCGAATACACAGTACGGGCAGTCCCCCTGCGTGGTCCTCTCGCTGGACTGTGCGTCAGGAGCTCCAACTGACACGACACACTGCTGCCAAGATGGCCTCCCGAGCGACGGGGTGAAACACCTAATTTCTGGCTGGAGGGCAGGAAAAGAAACAAAACATCACTACAAACAGGACAGATCTGGATGCTTTTGAATTGACCTCCTGCCATTGCTGTCAGCATTGTACACGGAACGGAACTCAGAATCGGAACAAAGCAGTTGGTGTTGGATATCCTGGGCCTGCCTTGGTAACTTAGGGGTAGCGTCACGTTGGAGCAGCGACCTTATTCACCAGGTTAAACCAGGCGTTAGGGGGATCCCGTATCCGTCAGTCCCCAGCAGCTGTCGCGCTGTCAGCAGCCACCTGGCAAGGAACCTCCTGGGGCCGGCCAGACCAGGGGCTCGAGGGTCGTCGCCGCCTCCGAGTTGACAGTTCGCAAGTGGGACATGGGCCATTTGGACCTGACTTCACGCCCAAGAACTTCGAGACTCGGCGACATCGCAACGCTCTGTGAGCATATCGCATCGGGACGGCGCAAGGCTCGTCCATACCAGCACCATGGATTTCAACAGCTTGAAGGACTCCGTGTCCAACCTGACTTTGTATGACCTCAAGGCGGGAGTGCGCAAGGTCCAGAATGGTACGTAAGCAGCCGCGGATACGGCCTCTGTCGCGCGAGTCGCAACCCGAGATGCTGACGACGTCAAACAGCCGTCATGAACTACACGGATATGGAGGCCAAGGTACACTTCAGCCCGTAGCATTGTCGCCGGCAGTCAACTCGCTGACATGAACGGGAACAGGTTCGCGAGGCAACAAACAACGAGCCCTGGGGCGCATCCTCGACCCTGATGCAGGAAATCGCCAATGCCACCTTCAACTAGTACGTCCTCGCCTGCTCATTCCCAAGTCTTCTCCAAAGTCCTGCCTGCTGACGGCCCGACAGCCAAACCCTCAATGAGATTATGCCCATGATCTACAGGCGCTTCACCGAGAAGGCCGCCGAGGAATGGCGCCAGATCTACAAGTCCCTGCAACTCCTCGAGTTCCTCATCAAGCATGGCTCCGAGAGGGTCATCGATGATGCCCGCGGTCACATCACCCTCCTCAAGATGTTGAGGCAATTCCACTTCATCGACCAGAACGGCAAAGACCAGGGCATCAACGTGCGAAACCGCGCCAAGGAGCTGGCTGAGCTCCTGGGCGATGTCGACCGAATCCGAACCGAGCGCAAGAAGGCACGAGCCAACAAGGCCAAGTACACGGGTGTCGAGGGCGGCACCATGGGCGGCTTCTCCAGTGGCAGCAGCGGGCGATACGGTGGATTCGGCAGCGAGTCCGCTTACGGTGGAGGCGGGTCGGCCGCCGGTTACGGAGGCTTCTCCGGGGGTGTCTACGGGGATGGCGGTGGCTTCGGGGGTCAAGAGTCCAACGACTTCCAAGACACCCGAAGAGACAAGTTCGAAGAGTACGACGAATACGACGAGGCGGGGACCGGCTCAAGCTCGTCCCGCGCCAAGAGGCCAGAGAGGACCGAGAGGGCAGGCGTCAAGAAGACCACACCTTCGGCTCCGCCAAAGAAGGCAAAGGAGCCCGAGGTTGATCTCTTTTCCTTCGACGACCCTGAGCCTGCGCCGGCGGCGCCTGTTGCTACCACTTCCGCTGCCGCGCCTTCAAATGGCAGCTCTGCGCTGGCTGCCATGTCCAATGACGACGACGAGTTCGATGACTTCCAATCGGCAGCGCCCGCTCCCCAGGCTTCGGCTCCCGCAAACGCCTTCTCCATTGCACCCCCGATGGTAACCTCCAGCGCTCACTCTACTGCCCAGTTTGCCGCTCCTCAACCCGTCTCTGGGCCGCAGAATGCAAACATCAGCAGCATGATGTCAGCCATCTCTCCGCCCACGAGCAACGCTGGTACCCCCGCTGCCAACTACTCGGCATTCAGTGCCCCAACTAACAACATCATGTCGCCCCAAGCACCCAAACCCACTGGCTACCAACCTTCGCAGCCCAACTACTTCCAGTCGGTTCAGTCCGCACCGCAAGCGCAGAAGCAGCCGGCTTCCACCATTTCATCAGCATCGGGGATGTCCGCATTCAACAAGCCAGCCGGCACCCCTGGATCAAAGCCTGCTGCTGGTGGTGACCCGTTCGCCAACCTTTTCACGCAGGCTGGTGGCGGTGCAAAGAAGCCGGCTAACGCTGGGGCGGGTCCTAAGATGGGCCAGCTGGCAAAGGAGAAAACGAGTGCTTCCCTGTGGGGAGCTCCCACCTCGAGCACTTCGAACCCTGCACAGTCTACGAACACCACGACCGGCAGCAGCGGCCTCGATGATCTTCTGGGTTGAAGGATAAGTCGGCCTTGTTGAAGGCCAGGCAATTCAACTGCGCAATGCAAGCTGCCAGGTTCAGATGCGGCATGACTTTCAATTCCTCATCGCGTCCAGGATGCGGTCAAGGGATATGATGCGACATGAACTTGGGGCTCGTAGGAAGGGAGCCCGATATAGGCATCCGATATGATTGTTAGACAGGCGTCAAGGCGCAAAAAACTACATGCAACGAATTGATTGTCAAATTGTTACCTGCCCTCTTACAAAGCTCAACACCATGTCTAACGAGCCCAAGATAATCCTGACGACAGCGAAACAATAGCATTGCTACGTCTAGTGGCAGCCATAGACCCGATTTATCGCATGAAGTGCCACTATCTGTTTTCTAGGTGAGCTCTTCCAGGCTGCCGCTGCCTGTATTATTATATCCGCTTGTCTCAGGGCAGCCCAGTTGTCTAGGTCGAGTCGTCAATGCGGCCAGACGGCCATCGGATCCACCACAGCTTGACTGGCTCTCGTTGCTCAATACCGCAACCACCATCCATGAAATCTGCTGCAGAGCCGCGTACCCAGGCTCGCGGAACACGCCTCGCCGCCTCCGTGGTAATCTCGCCTGCTTCCCCGGCCGTCTGGCCTCTTGCTCAGCGGCCATGAAACGTGTAGTCCGAAGCAGGGCATAGGGAACCCTAGCCGCGGGCCGCGCTTAAGAGGCCATGGCGACCCACCGTCTGATGCTGAGGCGAGATGAACCGGCCCAGGTTCAGGGCCAACCAGAAGTCCCCGATCAGAGGGCTCATCGCGGTTGTTCAGACGACAGCAAGCGACGGGTGCTTGATTGGGAGTCGACATCTGGGCAGCATCAAGGTTCGCCAGGTATAAGTGGGGCTACCCGCCGCGTTGTGGTTGGCTATAGTCCCTGTCGGTAGCCATAAGCGCAGACTGCCCTGAAGCTTCCCATTGGCCACGCCGGCGGCTCATGAATACGCCATCTGCATCAAGTACCCGTCTTGCAGGCTACGATGAAAATAGCAGCGCGACAAGAGAGATTGCCTGGGCAAACCAAAGGTACGATCTAGTATCTCGATCCTCCAAGTTGCCGCCGTGCATACGGCATGGCCTAACGGACAATCCAGACTCAGGCCGGGCCATGGCTGATTGTCAATACTCGAGCGAGTACTTAAGAGGAACGAAGATCTCTCGAGGTGGGAGAAGATTCAATCTTCATCAAGCAATCTACCATCATCCTCACGACTTTCCTTTGGGTCTTTTTTTCCTATATTTCCTAGTCTCTGTCTCTTTCTGGGAGGTTTCCTCAGTATACACGGTCTCTGATCTTCAACGTCTTCTTTTGGCCTTTACGAATTTCCTATTCAACGGTCTCCTTGAAACCAGTCCCCGTCAACAACACGCTCGACGATATATCTATTTCGTTCACTTCAGCAGTCGACCTGCTTTTTCGTCTATCCACACCTCATTCGCTCGGGTTAGGATACGCACTACATTCTCTCGTCCTCCGGTTCTAGAGACAGTGACAAGAACACATTCTCTTTTTTGAATTAACCATCGGTCTCAGCACCGGTTCCGTATTTCACCATTTCCTCTCCACTTCTTCCAACGGCGTCGATACCTCAGCCGCGGCCGCACTTCCCTCTGCGAACCGCTCTCAAGTACGACCAACCTCGTCCAAGACTCTCGTTGATCACCGCTTTCGAAAAGCCCATCCCCCTCAAAATGCGGTTCCAGGCTCCTCAACTCGGCGCGCTCGGCGTCACCTTCACTGCTCTCCGTGCCGCGCAGTTTCTTTCCCTCGTTGCTATCATCGGGCTCACGGCCAACTTCATTAATGAGATTGTTACCGCTCAGCGTGATGCTCCTGGCGTGCTCATTGGCACACTGACTGTGGTAAGTACAGCTTCTCTGCTATGATCCGAAATCTTTTCGCTGAATATTTTATCTAGGCTAGTACCGCATCGCTCTACATTGCCATCACTTACATCCTGTACTATGATGGCCTGCTGCCACTGCTGATCGCTGGTGTCTTTGATTTCCTCCTGCTGATCGCGACCATTGTCGTTGCGGCAACAGTGGGCAAGCCCCTTTCCAAGCTCACTTGCGAGATCCTCCCGGCTGCTGGTACCTCCACGATCACGTCCGGATCTACCTTTGTGGCCAGCACCACGGGAGTATCCTACCGCAGCATCTTGACCAAGGCTGTCGATTACTTCACATTCGTTGCTGTAGATCAGCCTCACTGCTATGAAATCAAGGCAGTCTGGGGCCTGAGCATCGCCCTTTGTGTGCTTTTCGCATTCAGCTGCCTGATCTGCATTGGTCTCTGGCGCCGCGTCAAGAGCACCAGCGCCGCCGCCCCCAAGGACATTGAGGGTTAGGGGCGCGCGGGTGCGCGAGGAGGAGCGGCTAGAGTAGCTGGGTATACGGAGAAAGGTGTTTCGTTCGACTTTGTCCCTCCGCCTCACCAGATCCACGGTGGGGACAGGAGCATCACGGGGCCTCTCGCCCTTTCTTCCCGCAGCCTGGGCACTGGCACTTTGCACAGCGGCCCGGCGGCTTCCCATCCTACTCTCATGCCCTCCCTAGCGTGCCCCCACAGGCGCAGGCCGCGCCCATCCTCCGGTCCATCGACGAGGATATCCAGGCGGTGCCGCCGCCGCCGCCTATGATTTACGTACACCGTGCCTCGCGCGGCAGATCGCTGACTGCCCAGCGCAAGTCTTTGATGATGCCCATAATTCCAGAGTCTCCCAAGACTCTGGGGCCACCTGCTCAGAAGGCGGGCTCGCCGACCGAGGATTTCATCCCCATTATTCACAAGCGTGTTCCGCAGAAGATCCAGACCAAGTTCGCGACGCCGCCATCAACCCCGAGCGACGATGGTTTCACGCCCATCACGCCCGCGCCTTCCATGTTCTCACCCAAGCTGAAGACGCGCGCACCCCCTCTGATCTCTCCACGCGATGCCCTGGGTATTCCGATCTCCAAGATCAAGTCCCTCGCCCGCTCCAAGAGCAGGAACGGCGGCGATGCGGATGACCTTGAGCCCCTGAGCCCGTCCGTCGCCAGGGACTTGAACGGGCTTCCAGTGCCTGTGCAGAGCAAGGAGAAACCAAAGAGAAGGACAGTCTGGGGGATCATCGACGGCTGGTGGGACCTTGGATTGCTGGAACGGGGGAAGAGCCTGCGGAGGAAGTAATGTTGCTCAGACGAACATAATGAGGTGGTAATACACTGGGTCGGATTGGCGTTCTTGATTTTAGATGAGAAAATCCAAAAAGGAGAAAATCGAAAGCTTGAAGGATGACGGAATATGATAGATTGGAAGGGCTGACTTGGACTGGTAATTTTTGGACATCCGTACGGAATCAGATTGGCAGATATATCTTTTCATGTTGACTATAATAGATAGCACCATGTCAACTCACCATCTACATCTCACACGCGAAACTCTATGGTCTGCACTGTGCACGAATTGAACCTCTTGAACTCATCTCTGACTTTTTACTCCAGGAACCAGCTGGGGCGTGGGGGCGGAGGCTACACTGAACAAACAGCATTATACACCAAGGCCCCGCGAGCCAACTCCATACTTCTAGACCTGACTACAGAGTTCAATGTTCTGAAAACCACAGAATCGATGAGAAATGAGAAATAGGTACACAAAACTCACATTAGAAGCCAAATGTTAGCTGAAGCAGTAGGAAGCCCCAGCACCATCTCTTATAGTCAATCTTGAGTGCCCCACTAATTTTTGGCAGGTATCGAGCCTTCCGCTGCGATGACTACGCCCTTATCCTTGTCCTGGGATCTTAGTGCGCTATGACAGACGAGGTCACCCATTCATGTAGGGGAACATGAGACCGGTATATTGTTTCAGTGTACCTCAACTATCTGGTTAGTCCAACTACAGCGAGGTTGATGAATGTTGCGTAACGATCACGACAGACTTCTTCTGAGGAGGCCAATCTGTATTCTATTAAAGAATGATAGTGGTCCATCAGTCAACAGATATGTGTACACATTCAAAGTAATATCAGAAACGCTTAGGGAACTCTTTTGCGGTTTTATAGCCTAAGATATAAACGTAGCGGGTAATCGAAGATAAAGGCCATCTCTCAACGGGGCTAGAGGGTTTCTCTTTAGAAGCGGGCAAGGGGACGCCTGCTCCAGTGCTATAGCCTGTTCCCGTTAACCTCATAGATCGATCCTCAACGACAAGGTATTGTCGAAAGTGACAGTGCCCCAGAATGGCTCCATGCCTGCGTTGCCAACGTTCACGTAGGTGCTCGTGCTGAAGATTCCCTGCTTCGACAGGGCCAGAAGCCAGTCCTTGATATCGCCCTCGAAACTTCCATCGAACATGCTGTCCTCCGGTGCCAATAGGGAAGAGACCGTGATGCCAGTGTCGGTGTTCAAGCCCTGGTATAACTTCCAGCCATCCTTGCCATAGAGTCCGTCGATGGTTGCAACAACGCCCTCAGAGTAACCGATGGGCACCTGTCCACCAACATACTGGAGCCAAATCATCAGCTCCTGTGCCGAGCTCGATGTCGAGTCGCCCTTGGTGTCAGACGTCATCTGATGAGAATAAGTTAGCTCCAAAGATTCGTCAGGAGGATAGTATTTGTTACTCCTCGTAGCCGAGGAAGCGACTTGTTTCAAGTACTCACTGCAGGACACAAGTTAGCAAATTGTCTTTCTGGATCACTAACAGAGTATGGCCATGTCATAACGTTGGCCCCGATTTTGTGCCCCGAGGATGATCATAATCATTAGAAAACGCAGCTTCTACTTACCAAAGTCGTAGACAACGTTACCCTTGTAGGCCGTCGTATTGCTCACTGTCCAAGTATATTTACTCGGGATGCTGGAAATGCTGTCAAGCGTAGTTTCCAGGTTCTGGGTTAGTCCGATGAACGAGTATCCCTTCACGAGGTTCGTGTTCACGGACTCGTCAATATCCCAGATACTGCTCCAGTGGACGCTTTGGTCGTCGCCAGAGCCGGAGACCGAGTAGTAGCCCGTGCAGCAGGTTCCACTGATGGACTGATAATTGTAATTCATGGAGAAGACAATCCACGGTGTACCAGTCAGGATTTCATAAGAATTCGGTGCTCCGCAGTACGACGCAGTGAGCGCCTCGGTGGTGGGCTTGGTCGAATCAGCAACGGAAGTGGTGGTCGGCGCGGCCGTTGAGGATGAGGTCGAGCTTGGTAGCACAACCTCCTTGGAAGTCGAGGTAGGGATAACGATTTCGGTGGTTGCGATCTCGCTTGTTGGTTGGATCAATGATGCCACTGAGGAGCTGCTAGATGTCGGTCTGCCAGAGCAAGCCCGCTTCTGCGGTCGTGCCGTAGCTGTAGCAGCCAGGCCGCCGATCAACAAAAGTGCCAATCGATTCATGTTTACGAAGTGAAGGAATTGGAAAGTGTTCTTGAAAAATAGACAACGAAGAGAAGTGATATGTAATAAACGAATGTAAGCTCACTGAGCTGGAGAGTTCTATCCTAAGAGACCGAAAACAGGACGCCTTGATCTTTTCCCGGAGACAGGTCCATGCCGTGTCTGTATATATACCGCTACCAAGAGGCAAGCTCATGACCAGGGTCTTATTACATGAGGAACTTTTCAGCCCAGGTTGAGATACTTGAGTTTCGGTTACTGGACTCATGTTTGCAGCCAATAAGGGGCAGTAGTCAAGTTGAAACAGCCAGCCGGGGGAGGCCCTTGCGAGCCCCAGTAAAACGGGGGCGCCTGGTGTCCGCTAAAGAGAAACCCACGGCCAACGTCGTCCAATTTACTCCAGATAAATCACTGCCTTGGCCGTTTTAACGCCACCATATGACAGAAAGAACCAAGAGCTGCGCCGGAAATACAAATATACAAGCGAGCCTACGCGTTCCCATTCCGTGCCATCAGCGTAAGGACCGAAGACCAGGGTGTCAACCGCCTCGTACGAAGACGGCTGCGCCGGGCCAGATCACTTTTGTATAAGCTGAGAACGGGCTTCGCTCACGCTGCGCAACGATATGAAGAGGATAAGACTGGGGCTGTTCGCTTCGCCGGCAGGTCGTCATCTAATATGAGAATTCTGTGCCGAGCACCTGGCTCGCACTTCGCGCCTCAGCTCTCTTGGCAGTCGCAAGCTCGGCCACCACTCGGTCAAGGATCACAGTGCAGGCTCCACACCTCCGGGCCCGATGCCGAGAAAGCCTGACAGCACGTGCATTCTTCAGCTATCCCTGCATTAACTTACACGGATGAAGAACGTTTGTCAACCTTCCTCCGGCTGCGTTCTTCTTGCTGTAAGGAGATCGCATGTTCAAAAACAATACTCCTCGTGCATCGACTTATCGATAATTATTTTAGTGCTAATTACCCAGGACCCACTCTGGCCTGCGACGTCATTGACTAAGTTACCGCTCTGAGCTTGGTGGTCCCTGCCCGACATGGAGTGTCCTCGGCTCTGCGACCGATGATCATTTAGTGACTTATGTACTGCTCCGTACAACCCGCACAACCCGTGAGAATGCACCCAGAAGTTTGGAGCAAACCCCTCATGTTACATAGGTGCACTCTATGCTCCTAGGATTGTAACAGCGCACAGAACGGTCGGTGTCTGCTAGTACGGGGTTGCGTCACTTCTCGAACACCATGTCAGCTCCGTGTTCCGACGCCACTGCCGGCAAAACAACACGAGTCCAGACCGAGACGGAGCTGTCACTGCTCTACCGGATCCTGAGATCCGTCATCAAACCTCTGCGCCCACGTCTAGTCAAGCCTGGGAAACCGCAGCCACCTGGCAGCACACGTTTACTGTCCTACCCGAGGGAAAAGAATGGAATTACCATCAGAGAGCGCCGGCATGGCTCCAGCGGGGTTTGGTTATATGACTTCGAGACCGTTTCTTCTCCCAACATCAAGATCAAGACGCCCTCGACGATCTACTATTTCGCAGGGGGTGCGTTTCAGAGTCCGCCTTCGAGCCAACATTGGAGTTTTATAAGCAAACTTGCCAATAATCTGGTCCTAGAGCACCATTTCACCCTGGTGAGCTACCCGCTGGCGCCAAACAGTCCCGCCAGTGAGTCGTTGCCGACGCTTCGCAAGCTCCTCAGGTCCCTCCTTACAGACGCATCGAAGAAGGGGGACAAGGTGATCTTGATGGGGGATTCTTCTGGAGGAAATGTCGCGTTGAGTCTTGGGTTCTGGTGGGCGGGGGAAATAGCCAGGAGCGGCAACTACAAGCTGCGATCAACGCTTGAGAGCCTCATCGTGATCTCGCCCGCCGTTGACCTTCGGAACTGCAATCCGAGTATCTCTGAGATAGATTCTCGAGATCCTCTGCTCGGCTTGAAGTATACTTTTGCTGTGGCCGAAGCCTGGGCCGCTGCTCCTCCCATGGACTCATCTCGTACCTCTTCAACCGAAGACCCGCATCTATCTCCGCTACTTCACAGCGCGAGTTCGTTCCAACAACTGGCTGAGCTTGGCATCGCTATTCATGGTTTATACGGAACCTGTGACGTTCTCGCACCGGACGCGGAGTTATTCAGATGCAAGTGCGAAGAACATGGTGTGAAAGGCAAGTGGCTTGTCTGGGTCGACCAAATGCATTGCTTCGTGCTTGCTGGCGTTTACGGTATGAAAGAAGGAAGAACAGGAATTGAGTGGATCACAAAGTTGTTGAAGGAGGTGATAGCCACCGAGCCCTAAGTGCAACGCCCGGTGGGCGTTTCGCTCTGCTACTTCGTTGAATGCGATACGAGACTCCGCATTTGAGCGAATGATTATGGTAATGAAGAATGACTGACGATGGACATTGGCGGATATAGTAGGAAGATAAAGGCCAATCAGACAATACGATAATGGATATACATATATTATATGACACCAATGATGAAGCCATGTTGACGTGACTACCATTCTGGAACGTGGGTTTACTAATCGACTTAAATGACAGTGGGATAAGTCGATCGATCTTGAGTTCCCTATGTAGCATATTCGTACAAGTAGAAGCATCACCAACATCGCGCCAGGCCTTTCCCGAGTACGCACTTGACGCCTATAGCCATGTGCTGAGATCCTTGTATCGCCGTGCAATCTCGTCGTGACCTGTCTCGGCATAACTGTCGCCGATAGCCTAACCGAGAGCGTGCCCGGGGTAATTGTGGGATGAATTCTGTCCGTTGAGTATCCCCCGCATCAACCATGGGGTCAATCCCATCATCTTGGCGTGGGGAAGCCGACTTGGCAACCCAAGTTATATGGACTCCCAGCAATAGTGAATGGATCTAAACGAAATGTCATGCAAGTTTGGCGTGAACTGTCTTCGGTCTTCGGCTCATCTTTAATGGCAGCCTTGTGAAGAGTGGCCGGAGTGTGGCCGGAATCGTGCATTAAGTTCATTACAGTGCACCACTGCAATGCTCTTCTCTCTTGTATACCCAGCCCTGGGAGCCTTAGGTAAAAATTGAAGTCATGTGTTGGCCAACATTCCTCTTCCTATGGTTCTCTGCAATCAGTCTTGCCTTATTGGAAGAGAGATTCGTCGCTTTTGACAACTCAGCTGGAGCTGTTCCGATTCACGATGCGGCGATTGTGTTTGCCTCCGATGACACTGTCGGTGTTCGCATAGCCGTCGACAGCATTGTTGGGGACATTGAGCAGATTACTGGCAAACGACCTGCTGCATTTGGAGTCACCGAAGAAAATGCTACGGTGCCTAACTTTGGTCGAAATATCATCATTGCCGGCACACTCGATTCAAGTCTGCTGAAAGGGCTTATTCGAACTGGGAAGTTAGAGATATCTGACATTAAAGGCAAATGGGAAACATTCAAAACGACTATTATCGAACAGCCCTGGACCGGGGTTGACAAGGGCTTGCTGATAGCAGGAAGTGACAAGAGAGGGGTGATGTTTGGCTTATATACGCTGGCTGAGCAGTGCGGGCAGTCGCCGTAAGTATCCTGACACTTATGACCTAGCCTGATGCTAAAGTGATCGTAGGCTTCATTGGTGGGCTGATGTGCCAGCCGAGAAGCACAAGGAGATATATGCGCTACCGGTGACCACTATTCATGGCGAGCCTAGTGTCCGTTATCGTGGGCTATTTATCAACGATGAAGCACCAGCACTCACTGGGTTAATAGGACCCTATTCCTCTCTTCCTAAAAAGAAATATTCGCTAACCCAGAAGTAGTTGGTGGTCCAAGGTCAATGGAGAGAATCACTATCCTCTCAATACTGAGTTCTATCGTCATGTCTTTGACATGCTTCTAAGACTGAAAGCCAACTTCATGTGGCCTGCTATGTGGAAGTCATCCGTACCGAAGCCCGGCAATGTCTTCTTTACTGATGACCCAGGCAATATTCAGCTGGCAAATGATTACGGCATTGTAATCTCAACAAGCCACCATGAGCCTATGCAGAGGGCGACGAACGAATGGAATGAGACCATGGTGGGTCCATGGGACTGGGAAGAGAATAAAGCAAACGTGACGGCCTTCATGGAAGATGGGATTCGCCGCACTCGCATGAATGAATCATACTATACCCTTGGTATGCGTGGCCCAGGGGACGGTCCTATCCAGGGAGATGATCCTATCGGAGTCCTGGAAGACGTGTTTCAAACCCAGCAGGAAATGTTTAGCAACTCCTACGGCAATGCTTCTACAGTCAACAGTAAGTAATTGATTAACTGAGTAGTCGATTCAGCTTCAAGTGCTTACAGATTTTCAGAGGTTTGGACGATCTACAAGGAAGTTATGACATATTACGCTGCAGGACTTACGCCCCCGGACGATGTCACTCTCATGTTCACCGACGACAACTGGGGAAACATCCAGAGATTACCGCTTGCAAACGAGACCACTCGATCAGGCGGTATAGGAGTTAGTTGTCACGACCTAGGATCTCCAACCTGCGCTGACTATTCATACACAGCTTTACTATCACCTGGAATACGTCGGTGTTCCAAAGTCATATAAGTGGCAGAACACAAATAACCTGGTGAGACCACATTTCCCTCTGGGTTGTGATAGTATGTTGACTTCAATTACAGCCAAAAGTCTACAAGGAACTGTCGCAAGCGTACGAGCGTGGAGCTGACCGCATCTGGGTGATTAACGTTGCTGATATCAAACCCCTTGAGGTACCGTTCGGCTTTGTGATGGACTTGGCTTGGAATACGTCGAGCATCTCTTTCGAATCGATACCAAGGTACCTGAACGCACTTGCCACGAGAGAATTTGGTTCGGAACAAGCGGAGGAGATCTCTTCGATCATCATGGAGCATAGTAGATTGATCGGAAGGCGCAAGTACGAAGCTACCCAGGCGAAAACATATTCCGTACTGCACTACAACGAGAATGAGCGAGTATTGTCTGAGTGGCGATCATTGGCCCAAAGGGTCTCGAGCGTGGCTGGCCTAATACCCGGAGATCGGAAAGATGCCTTTTGGCATCATGTGCAGTACCCCGTCCATTCTGGATACACGTACCACGCTGTGGTGCTCGGGCTGGGGCGCAATCAGCAGATTGGCTTCGAGAAGCGTAATTCCGCCAATGCTGTTGCGTCGGAGGTGTTGCAACACTTCGAGTCGGACTTCGACCTCATCGAACAGTATGACTCCATTGCTGGGGGCAAATGGACGGGAATCCTCGCGCAGCCCAAATATGACCAGTACGGCACCGCCAGTCGTGACTGGTCTGAGCCGACGAAAGATGTAGTAACCGGGCTCTGGTACGTACAGCTGCGCCAGAACTCTACATATTCCTTTGGAAATCTTGGGATCTACGCCGAGGGGTGTGAGAGTGCGCAGAATCAAGGTCGAAGTCTTCCGTCGGTAGATGAGTCTGCACCAACAGGGCAGTCCGCCAGTCAACGCGCATACGCACCCATTTTGCCCATAATGGATCCCTACGGAAAAGGCGTTTGGAATGTTGACCTCTTTCATCGTGGGGATTACCGCGTTCCGATTAAGTGGTCGACCGAAATCCCTTTCGATTGGATCGTCGTGAGCCCATCGTCTGGTGAAATCTCACAGGCAGAGCTTGAGCAAAGACTCAACGTTTCCATTATATGGGACAAAGTTCCTTCCGGATTTCAAGAAGAGGTCAGCTTCAAGATAAATTACAACACAGTTCCTTGGTTTGATCTTGTCCGCCTCCCAATCGTCAACTACCATGTACCTGACGGTTTCACTGGCTTTCCCGAGACCTCAGGCGTCATATCTATCGAAAGTCCTCATTTCCAGCGAGCATCGGAAGGGGATGTCAGCTTCGCGTCTATTCCATATCTTGGAACTCGCAGTGACTCAGGGTCTTTGGCCCTCCGACCCTATAAAGGTGCACGGGATTCGATCACAGCAGCCCAAGCAGCCTGGGTAGAATACGACATCTACCTCTACAACAATTCTTTTCCACTCAATGCTACCATTTACGTCAACAGTGCCTTGGATACTGACCCAACTCTGAAAATGCAGTTCTCATTAACACTAGACGCGAACGACACAGGCATAGGCTGGACTCGGCTACTTGGAGACCCAGCCAAGCCCGGAGACACACCACCCGGATGGTCGTCAACTGTCGCTGATTATGTATGGACGAGGAACATCACCTTTGGGAATATCACTGCTGGAAAACACACTTTGCGGTGGCAAGCCAACTCACCTGAGGTGTACTTGGAGAAGATTGTTCTCAACACGCGGGGCGGGTTGAAGAGCAGCTACCTAGGCCCCTCAGAAACCACCTGGCTCCAGTAAAGATTCGGCAAGAAAACAAAATGCAGGTTCAACTAGTTTACTCAATGTGATCTCTCTTCCACTAAATAAGCATTGTACGCCGTACCCACTAAGCTGTACGCAAATCTGCAGGAGTAAATTCGGCTTTGCGGCTGCCGATGTCAATCCAGCGAGACGATCGAGTCGGACATTGCAGTCCTTGGCATCGCACCTGGTTGATGTTCGATACAACGCTGTGCATATATTAAATTGTCGGTAAATGTACCAAACCTGTGAGCACACCCAAGATTGACGACATCCCGTCCCCCAAAATTTTCGGAATCTGGGGTACCCCGGACTTTGTATCCACCCTCAGAGAGTGGAAAGTGGAGTCTTGGACTCCGGAGGGGCCCCGAAGCGAGCGGCTCACATTCAAGCTGCGATTACAAGGTGATGTTTAGTAAGATATAAGGAGCTTACCTGTGAACACATGAGTTGTGGGGAAAGAAGGATGTGTCGTTGTTAGTCTCAAACCATAAATACACGATGCTTCTTTCGAAAGGCTTCCTGGTCCTTGGAGCATTATCTCCTGCGGTAGCCATCAGCTGCACTAAAACACCTCCGACATACCTGGACTGGAAAACGTACAAGGGAAACGGAGCAAATCTCGGAGGATGGCTCGTCCAAGAGCCATTCATCGACACGGAATTCTGGTCGACATATTGTGGAAGCGAAGTCTTGGATGAGTGGACGTGCTGTGCAAACTTGGGCACACAATGCGGGTCAGTGCTGGAGCAGCGATACGCGACTTGGATCACCCCTGCAGACATTGATGTCCTTGCATCAGGAGGTGTAAAGGTGCTGCGCATGCCTACAACTTACGCGGCTTGGATTGAGCTTCCCGGCTCTCAGCTGTACCATGGCAACCAGAAGGGCTACCTATCAAATATCGCCAATTATGCGATTGCGAAATACGGCATGCACATCATTATTGATCTTCATGGGCTTCCTGGTGGCATAAATAATGGCACGATTGGAGAAAGAGTAGGCGGGCTTGATTGGTTTTACAATCAGACAGCTTTCGACTGGTCTTTGAAGGCAGTCGACGCAGTGATCGACTTCATACGGAAAACGGGGCACCCGGAGTCGTTCACACTGGAACCGATCAACGAGCCTATGGACTTACCTGACCTCGTCGGCCAGCCATCATCACTCAGCGAAGAGGCGGCATCATGGCTGCTGAAGTATTTCAACGCCGTTGTCAACCGAGTGGAGGCTGCAAACCCCAACATCCCGGTCATGCTTCAGGGGGCTTTCAAGACCGTTGATTACTGGTCTGCCAACTTCACAGAAGGCAAGAACATTGTATTTGATATGCACTACTATTATTTCGCGGGTCGTCCTGTAGGATCAAGCAACGTTACCGACTTTATCTGCAACGATGCTAAAGAGGCGCAAGGTTCCGGAAAGTTCCCGGTCTACACTGGCGAATGGTCCATCCAAACTTTATACAATAACACACTTGCTAGTAGAGCAGAAATCATCAATGCTGGTCTGTTTGCCTGGGGAAAGTACACTCAGGGAAGCAGTTTTTGGACCGGTCGGTTTACTGGTAACACAAGTGTCAATGGAGAAGGAACTCAAGCAGATTACTGGAGCCTTGAAGCCCTGATCAAGTCCAATCTCATTCAGTCACTGGTCAACTCAGATTACTGTTCGTAGTCTTGGGATTGCAAGAGTTCAGACATACATGCATAGGAAGGACACCAAGCGGAAGGGGTGACAGGGGAGACTTAAATGTACTCGAAAGTCTCGATGTGCATTGACGCATTATCCAACGAAGCCATGAGTTGGCCAACACATAAAGACAACTTATACGTAGCTGTGTTAATAATCCGACGTCGTAATTTTTCTACCATTTTACTACCTCCAAACAAAAGTGACACTCGAGAACCGCCAGCCAAACTAGCGCCCCTTGTCAGGTCCGTCAACGTTCTGAGAAGTGTTGGATGAATTTAGCTAGAGATCGCTGGGAACGTATCGTTTCTTCATTCCCCGATGTGATGACAAGACACTCATGGGGGCAAAGTTGCGGGGGCCGTCTGCCAACAAGCGCGGTCGCCGGTTGCAGATTGAAGCCCTTTTCCCACGGCTTACTCCAGACCCAACCACTATAGTCAACTCCGCATCTTTCGTTCATGAGAGCGTGGGCATGAATGATCAAGCTCTTCCCGAGGGACGCTGTCCTCCCAAGTTAGCTTGCAGTTGCCTATGTACCACACGACTCCATGTCTGAATTCGGCGTGCCAGTTCTTGTGGCCGACTCGGCCTCCGCCATTGGACCAATGTTCCATTTGGTCCTTTACGGCAATAAAGTCGGTAAGGTTCAAACCAGCACCGGTACATCCGACTTCCCTGACGGGGATTGGCCCATTGACCACGAAAGGTTTCACGGCCGTTTGGTTTGACGCGATACGCTGTGGCATGATAGCGCGGCCGGCGGCAAGCCTTGTAGTAATCACTGCAAGGAAGCAAATAGAAAACTTCATGGCTGCCCTAAGGTTAACTTTGTACTGGTAAGGAGATTCGGGTACTGTACTAACTGAAGAAGATGAGAATCAACTTTATCAAGTAGCTAATTTGGATATTTTGTTTATATCAGCGAGATATACGTGTGATTTGAAGAAGCAGAAGCGAATAAGAGAAAGGGAAGCCAATACATATGTACACCTGAATCGGAGATCTCTCATGCATCATCCAAGATGCAGTTATCTCCGGCTCAATATAGTCTTTGAATCCACGGTCTGAAACCGTGCCTGAGAAGGATTTCAGCCAAAGAATAACATGCCGTTAATTTCCGAGAGACATCTACTGATACTACAGTGAACCCACCAGGTACTTTTAGGTATGGTGGAAAGAGCGCACCGTAAATCCTCACTGAGTTACATGATATCTCATCCAATTTTAGCGAGCTTCCTCACGTTTCGTCAGGCTATGTTTTATCCGTAATATGAAGTCCCGGGTCCGATGGATTTAATTCCCTTTGATCATAGCATTCTCCTGCGGTGGATAATATTCCATTGTTATTCGTCAGTCCAGCCAGTGGAGCAGATCAACGAAGGTGTATGTGGGTAGTAGGATATTGTGCAATTGATAAACTGACATGGAGGTCCAAAGGTCGACCGACATCTATAAACGGGAGGTCCTTGCCAACTTACTCACCATCCCCTGTTTAACAACTTCATCCCAATCCTCCCACAGTTGTGGGAGGATTCAGAGGCAACGGAGTCATCCCTTGCTACTTTCTTCATGATGGTGTACTTCTTTAAGACAGGGTTTGTTGCTGCTCGGACTCTCGATCATGGAGTGCTGATTTCAGCAAGCCTGTCACCTCTCTATTCAACTACCATAGACCCAGCTCTATAACCCCACCTTCGTAGCTCTTGGAGCTAGAATTTGCTCCGTATCGCTCGTTTGGCGTCATGCATGGCGGCCGGGTTCCGACCCAGATTGTTCTTTATTCGATGTACGATTGGATAGCGTGATAGTAGGTAGACTGTGCGACCTCGGCATGGAGATCCACAAGTAACGCTTACTTGCTGGTCAGGAGCGGGTCTCGAGAGCCGCCTTTGCCTGGCGGAAGTCTGACAGGACAGTTCTTTTGAGATTGGTACGTGGACACAGTACCCTGGTACTCTTGGAGGGCATCCCAAGTTCTTAGCGAGGCATTCATACTCCGGTCCAGACCTGGACATCCCAGTAAATGGAAGATCCTAGCATGCTCCAAGGATGTCAGGATGCGTTGACCTTCGAGCCCCCTAGGCGTTCCAATGCCTGGATAATCAGATTGACACCTTCTCGTATCTGTTCAAGGTCCATTGTAACTAAAGCCATTGAATGGAAAGTTGTTCAGGGCAATACTGCCGTAGTCGACAGCGTCGTCGTAGAAAAAGTTCTGGTCCAACCCTAGCCCGTCGAACAGGTCGTGGGCAAACATATTGTTGTACTGGAAGTTGTCTTGCGCTTGTGTAAAGTCGATAGTCTCCGATCTCTCTACACCATCCATTGGTACCGGTTTCGCGGCTTGCACACTTGGCCCAGCTGCTTCTTGAACAGAGCCCTCACCAGGTTCCCACTTCCGAGCCATGAGCCCCTCGGCCCCAATCACAGACACAATCTCGGCCCATCGTTCAAGTTTCAACTTTGTGATGCTTATTTTCTTTGCGGCCAAGTCCCAGATGTTATTTTCCCACTTCCCTCCTTGCACCTCGCTTACCTCAGACCTGGCCTGTTCGAAGCGGCTGACCAGTGCACGAAGGATTCCCACGACATCCAAGTGCAGCTCAGGTTGCGATCGTATCTGGGATTTTATCCTGGCTATGGCAGATGCAACAGCGGGTTCGGTATCTCCGATCTGTTGTTCGGCTGTCTGACTTGATGTTGACTCGTATGAGGATGGATCTGTTAATCCTTGGCGGGCAGCTTGCGTATGCAATGTGCCTGATCCTGCTGATGGTGCTGGTGGGCTGTACGGGTCAGCACCAGCAAGCTTGGCCCATCTCGACAATAATGTTACCGCAACAATGAGCTGTGCGCAAGCGGGCATCGGCAGGTAATAGTAGTCGATAATATCTATCGCTAGCCAATACTCAAACCAGCTTTTCAGAGCCGTGTTGGAGCGATAGAAGATATCTAGAGTGGAGGGAGCTCCTAGCGACATGGAGGTGAACGAGTCAGACAAAGTCTCAAGCAGCTTGGCGTCGACTAATGGTGGTTCCCATAACCGCAACATGGCGGTGTAATAGTGTATCATCAAGAGTTCTGGACATTCGTTACCATTAGATTTTCTAGCAACAGATGTTCCACCTACTATTTGCCCGAAGATGTCTCGGGATTTGAGTTTTGAACTTGTCGAGTTCAGTCTGAAATGCGTTCATATATGCACTGACTGGTGCTCGTGGGATGCCAGGAAGATCCTCTTCCATTCGATCTTTGGATTGAAGCTGGGCAATGCGATTCGACAAGTGCTGGATGCGCACGAGCTGGACCAGAAGTGCATCTGCCTCGAACTCCTTGGCCGTCTCAAGGTCACGCAAGCATTGGTCCATGTAGGGCGTATATCTCGCCGGGTCAAGTTTCTGAAAGGTGTGCGCCACTCTGTTTACTCGTCAGCATAGTCCGTACTTGCGCGGCGAGAGATAAAAACGTATAACTCACACAGAACTAATGTACCACATCCCGCAGAGCGCCCGTCTTTCTTCGTTCGTTCTCGGGGTAGGAGGTTCTGGATTCAACACAAGAACTCTCGTTCTTTCTTGCAATTCAGGAGTCTTGTTGATGCCCAAGTCTGCGGCCAAGCTGATTGCAAGAGCAGTCAGGTTGTTCATCTGGGTGTGCATCATACACTGATAATGGTAGTATCCCAGGACGACCAAGACTGTCTGGAGTAACTCGAGCGATCTCTCAGAGCGCATCAATAGTCGTTCAGTAAGGTGGGTCATCAGTGCATAACCTTGCGCCATCATGGACTTGAGGTTACGCACTGACGAAACCATCTTGATCGCCGAGAAGAGTAGGGGTTTCGTCCTTTCAAGTTCTTGAGCAGAGATCCCAGGACGCAACGCAACGAACGGGAAGTTCGGGCTTAGCTTCGTGACATAGATGGAGAGTAGGACTTCATCAGGTTCAACGGCCACAGGAAGTTCGCCGATGGGTGCTCGACAGATGCAACTCGGCGGCGCATGGCAGTTGTAGGATCCTGGCACTGTGCCATCGTAATCCTGCGACGAAGCTGGTGTTGGGGTTGATCCACCACTTGTTGTCGACTGACGATGCTGTGAAGATGTTAAAGGCTCTGTTTCTGATGGGATGCATAATGGGTCGTCAGATAATGGCGGTGGGTTCCGGATACCAGCTGGGAGCTCCCCTGAGTTAGAGGCTTTCAATAAGTCTACTAGGCTATTCAGCCTCTCCTCGAGCTGGGCAGTTTTACTTGAAAGACGTCCAGTTAGCCGGCTCTATTCTACACAAACGTGGGAGTCAAGCTTGGAAAATGAGAGAGTCGCGCGTAACTCAAAGTCAACCTATGGTCGGCAGGCGACTCACAAGGACTCAAGACAATACGATGGTCCAACTTCCTCAGGTGGACTCAGTAGACACGGTGCAAGGGATAGGTAGAACGCGCCAGCTTAATCAGGAAATACTCACGATGGCTTGCTCTGTCGCTTTTTTCTTGGCTTGTGGACCTGGTCAACGCAGTCTTTCTCCAATCGCTCGCATCTGCCATCGACATGGTCAGTTTACATACACAGGCGAGAGACCAAATCGTCGTCTGGAGTGTATTTTGATACATTCAATCAATTCCGATGCCTTACCTGTCGCATTTGGCACCAGGGGTCTCATTCGTTCTCAAGCATTTGGCCTTGGAGTTTGCGCAGGGTGCACAAGCGGCACCCCACTTTGCGATGGCTGCACTCTTGGGGCGGTCGTTCATTGTGCGACCTCCCTTGCAATGATGAAGCGACGATGCTGCGGGCTGCGGACTTTCAATGAGGAAGCCGTCAATGGAAGGAAACCCCGAGGAGGCAGGAAGTGCCTGTGACAATGGTCGAGGGCCGGAGGTTACGTTAGTCTCCGAAACCCCCGGCGACACTGCCACACCAGCCGGACTTTATCGATAATGTCCGAAGACTAAAACGAATCCACCAAGAACGTACGGAGTACTCACTTACGGGAGCAAAGTATAAAGAAGTTGGCATCGAGCCAATTGAGCCGTGTCAACACGTGTGATTACTCTGAATTTCCAGTACCAGATATGAAAGGTCTTCCGTAACGCCAGAAGGTTTGGTGTGATGTAGTCAATAAGCTTTGCTGCCGCACATTACGTGCCTATGCTATCCGATGCATTGTGCCTATCTTTTATCGGGATGCCGGGACTAAGACGGTGGTATTTAGCAGCAGGGTGAAGAAGCATTGGATAAGAAAGTTGTCTTCCATACTCTTGGGGAGGCTTTCAGACCTCTTGAGTTCATTGATGATTCGGGGGGCCTCTTCTAATAGCCCTTACATATCAACAATGATTAGGCAACCGCGGTACGACCGAGGGCTATGTTGCGCACGCAAGGCTTACGTTAATTATTCCGCAAGCCTCAACGTGCTTCAATTGGTTTACTGGAACCTGGGCTCGGCTTGCAGACTCTTCTGATGAACGTGAGTCCGCCAGAATCCTGCTATGGTAGGGGGTCGCGATGGGAGAGGCGCAGCAGGCGGAGCCCTGCCGGCTTGCGTGGAAAGTCTGGTTTTATACACCTTTCATACTACATGGTGTATATGTTAAATTGGTTGCCTGTTTCAAGTTTCTAGCCTAACAGGTACATGTTTGGAAAATGACTGAAGGAGTAATGGGAATGATAACTTATGCCCTAAATGTCCTTTTTGGACGGAACCGTATACCGCATGCCCTTTGTTAGGCTACCGAACCACAACTGCCATGTGTCATAAACGGGACTTATCCTGCCGTACCACGGGGATGAGTCCGTAATCCTCGGCAACCTACTTCTCGCATCTATAAAATAAGTTGAGCTGTGCCCCACGACAGGCTTCGACACGGTCGACCCATCGCCGTCGAAAACAGGAACCGCTGAGGTTGCGCCTATCTTTTTCATGTACTTATAGACAGAGATGAGTAGTTTGATGCTTGCGTCCGCCCCTAAAGTCCAGGAGGCAGTCGTGTAGCCAGTGATCGACCCCATATTCGGAAGCCCGGTGAGCATTGTACCTCTCCAAGCATATGAATTGCCAATGTCAATTGGCTTGTCATCGACGGTAGGAATTATGCCGCTCAGAAGCGCCACGTGTAGTCCAGTGGCCGTCACGATAATATCTGCATCCAGCTTTTGGCCAGATGTGGTCAAGATACCATCTGTCAAGACTGTGTCAATCGTATCTGTGACGATGTGACAGTTCTTCTGATGCAGTGCTTTGAAGAAATCGCCATCCGGGCACAGGCAAAGACGTTGATCCATAGGGTCATAGCGTGGATTGAAGTGGACGTCGACTGGGACATGTTCCGGTAGTTGCTTCTTCATCAACCCCATATGGAGTTTGCGGGCCGCAGTTGGGAAATAGAGATTGAAGTTGACAAATAACTGTTCGCTGAGAAAGCAGCGCCACCAGTTGATAGGGTGAGCAAGCCATCCTGGCAAGTATTCTTTGATCAGATTGCCAGTCTTGCTCACTGAAGGTATGCTGAATACATAGGAAGGGCTTCGCTGGAGCATGGTAACATGGGCAGCAGTCTCGGCCAGAACAGGGAGCATCGTGACGGCAGTTGCCCCTGATCCAACGATGACTACCTTCTTTCCAGTGTAGTCTAGGTTGTCTGGCCAGAACTGGGGGTGTGCAACCGCTCCCCCGAAATTTTCGATCCCCGGAATCGAAGTTTGCAATGGCTTTTTGTAATCATAGTAGCCGGAACAATTGATAACGAATGATGTGCGCAAGAGTTTTTCGTGGCCGTTGTGCTCGACTCGAAGGGTCCATAGTTGGTCCTGCGACGACCAGTTTGCCCCCTTTACCGAATGGTTGAATTGAATTTTGGTGTCAATACGCTCGTCCTTCGCCGCTGATTCAATGTACTCAAGAATCAGCGCGGCATTAGCCATATCCCTCTTCTGTAGCCAGGGCCGCCATGGGAAGCCAAAGTTCGTAAGCATGGAGTCGGAACGCAACCCTGGGAACTTGAAAAACGACCATGTTCCGCCAATTTTATCCCTTGCTTCCAGGATCGTGAACGAGCATTGTGGCATCTGGGTTTTAAGGCGATACGCCGCATCAATACCGGACAGCCCAGCCCCGATGACAATGAAGTCGAACGCCTCCATTGGTGCTGCCTTTGTTTTTGGGCGTTAGTTGGCTCGAGGGCAGAGATACGAGTGTGTTTGCTGAGGTTAATGAGGAGGTCAGTGGTCGTAGATCACAGCTGCCGAGATTGACATGGAATGACAAGCGTAGATTTCGGTCCAGCCCGAGCTGCCCCGCAATGTCGTTCATGTTCACCACGAAATCCTCTGTCAAGGGCGAGGTGGATTTCCTATGATTCCAACATTTCCCGACCAGGAGGAGTGGCTCACGGACCGGCAAGAACCTGGGTGAAACACGATCAACTGGAATAGAGGAAAGCAGTGCATGAATTCAGTGAAACACAAACGTCGGTAGCGCCGCGAGAGCACAGCACTGTGTCGACCGACGACGGAGCACACAGCGCATATCACCACGACAATAAGACAAGGCTCCATTGATCATGATATGACAAATCCATGGCCCCCGGTACTGGACCAAACATCCATATTTTTCGGCTTAACAGGACTTGTTTGGGTCATTCCGTCTCTGGTTGCCATTGGACTCTATCGCCCATGTCAAGCCCTGCCCAGATCTAAGTTCAGTGGCCAGCTCACTAGAAGGTACCTAGGACTTGCCCGTAGACCTGGGCTTCTCCACTGCAACTCTATGCCACTCTAACAAGACGGCAGTTGGGCAACTTCAGGAGCGATAACTACCACACACTCATAAAAGGCCTTGCGCCGCAAAAGCGCGTTTGAGAATCTCCTTGACGACTGGGTCTTTTCTCTTATTGTACTGAGTCACCGTATCGCCTGTCTCCCGGCCTGCCTCTGCGGCGGCCCGCTTGGCTTTCACGTAGACCAGTCTGTCACTTTCGTTCTCCGCTATCCACTTCTTGAAAATGCGGTGCCGTGCAAGCTCAGCACTATTCGGCCCAAAGACGTGAATATTGGCGTATGGGTCACCAAGGCCGAAGAGGCGATGTTCATACCAACCAGGTTCGCGGAGAAGGAACTGGAAGCCAGCGTCCTCAAGTGCCTTCGCGTATGACGCTTCATCGGCAGGGTCAGCCACCACGAGATCGACGTCGATAACGTCCTTCGCGGCGATTGGTATGCTGGTCGAACCACTGTGTTCTATCGCGAGAGCACGGTCGCCCAGAGCCGTGCGTATGCGTTGTGCGATCAACACAAATGATGCCGCCCATCGAGGAGTCGGGTCCACCACTTCTATCGGTTTTTTTGGTCTGACCGACACCACTTGGACACCATTCGGGTCGCCGTCAATAAGTTCTATTATCGCACTGTTGGAAGCCATTCTAATAGGCCGCCAGAGCTGGTCCTTGAACAAATATAGCTGAGAATCAATTATTGCTCTGGTGAAGTCTAAGTCTGAGAGCAGCGACATGTCAGCAGCTCGCAAAACTTCGCCGTCTTCCAATACTTATACGAAAGATCAGCACCTGTGTGGCAGTTACTGGCAACCCCACCTTATGTTAGTCAGACCGTGCTAGTTCTCCACAAATCAACCCGCCTTCTACACCACTTTTCGCGTTTCGTTTGTGTCTGTCCGAATCCCTACCGCACACCCAGCACCAACAATATGCACCATGCACGATGCAGCCGGCTACCCTCCTGCTTGCAGGTCGTGGGCAGTGGCATTGCTATTTGATCAAGAGGGCTCCCTGAGGAGCATGTTGATGGTCGTTTCTGCACCTTTCCTTTGGGCAAACATCTTCTAGCCAACTTGAGCCAGATACTGCAGGCTGAACGGGTAGTCCAAATAACCTTGCGCGACTTTTGGTGTGTAGAAGTGCGTCCGATCGTAGCCAACGAGACCCAAGCCTTCTCTGATCCTGAATACCAGGTCTGGATTGGAGATGAAGTACCTGCCAAATACAATGCCGACATCATAATCCTTATACGTCTCATCCACCACTTTCCGTGCGCTGTCAGGCTTGAAACCTCCGGCCAACAGCACAGGACTCTGATTGTCCCAAGCGCGGACAAGGAAGCCACAATTATTACTGCCGCCGCAGTCGCTGTCATCATTTCCCGTTATGCGTGCTTCTATTAAGTGCAGATACGCCAGGTCCAATGGTTTCAACTGCTTGACAACATACTCAAATGTCGGAAAGGGATCTTTCATCAGCATTCCCTGTTAATCGCTGAACGGGCTCAGCCGAATCGCCGTCTTGCTCCCACCAATTGCTTGGGCCACCGCTTGTGTGACCTCGATAGCATATCGAGCTCTATTCTCAACCGACCCGCCCCAAGCATCGTTGCGTTTATTGCAGGTGTCCTGAAGAAACTGGTCAACGAGATAGCCGTTTGCGCCGTGGATCTCAACCCCGTCGAAACCAGCAGCGACAGCGCTCTTCGCAGCTGACACGTAGTCTCCGATCGATTCCCAAATGTCCTCCTCTGTCATTTCCTCCGGTACCGCTCTCGTCTCATCAATAGGCACGGCACTTGATGACTTCAGTCTATAACCCAACTGCTCATGGACTTCGGGCCAACCTGCTCGACCGAGGTGCCACAATTGACAGAAAATGTAGCAACCCTTCGCGTGCACGGCATCCACGATGGTCTTCCAGCCTGCGACTTGAGACTCATTCCAAATCCCTGGCACATTTCGCCGCCCGGCGGCTCGTTCAGATATGAGTGTGGCCTCGGTGATAAGAAGAGTCCCTGGAACGGCTGCCCGTTGAGCATAATAGTCTTACGGAAGAGTCAGCTTCAAAGCACATTCATCTAGCTTATAAAGGCTTGTTACACTGCATATAACATACCTGTAGCGATCGGAAGCGGCACCCAATCATCATCGCACCGATAACGGGTCAATGGTGCCATTGCACATCGATTGCCCAGTTGGACTGTCCCAACCTGAAGCGGTTGGAAGAGCTTTGACATCTCAGAGGTTTCACGCTGATTGAATCACCATCTACTTCACAAAAAATTTCGAGCGCTCACTTTATTGTCCCCCAATACTTCTTTCTTCCAAGTTTCAATGTGGACGTCCAATCTCCCTCCTATGTAACTGAAATCGAGCCCCACTAGATCGTTCCTGGGCCAAGAGGTGATAAGCTTCGAAAGGCTCCGACCATTAGTTGGCAACTAAATCGGAGCCTCTCCGCATGGTTCATGGCTTTCCGTTACCCGTACCCGCACCGTTTCCTTTCCGGGTATAATCATGACTGCATGCTGGTTAGTTGGTCCAGTTACATTGAGACTACAATCTTGAGTGGGCCTTCCCCGGACTGATAGGTCACGATCGACACTGTATCCGGGGGCTATCCGAAGAATTTTACCTAGATGCGACGGCTTCAGGTCCGTTGATCGGGACATTATTAGGAAGGTGGCCCAATCATGGATGTTGGTGTCTGGGGTTGCGGTGCCGTTTCGGCCATGGATACACCGGACTTGCATTATGCAAGATTGCTTTCCGTTGGGACAATTGGAGGCAAGAAGAACCCAAAAAATACAACTACTGCTATTAAGTTCGAAAGTAGTTGAGCTCTATGGCCTGGAAACCAAATACCAGAGTCATGTCGCACAATCAAGAACGCAAAGACGTGGGAACAAATCGTGGTCTTAACGGCCTCATACGCGAGACCTCGCGAACCGGGGCGGCCGATTCAGGATTTGGGGCATCCCAACAGCCCGATGACGATAGCGATACACAGAGTGTGGCAAGAAGCATAGGAAATCAGAGGAGCCCATTGTCGGGCAAACGTCTGTTGGTCGCGTTCCCAACTCTCTGTGCTGCCTTGTTCGTGTCCTTCTTCGATCAAACCAGTGTCTCAACATGTATACCTGCTATATCGGCGGAGCTTAATACCGGAGAAGCAACTTCATGGATCGGAGCATCTTTCCTGATTTCTTCGACAGCATTCCAGCTTATCAACGGTAGGCTCTCGGACATATTCGGACGAAAGAACCTGCTTCTCGCGTGTCTGGCTTTGCTGGGCGTCGGGGACCTCCTATGTGGATTTGCAAGGAATGCGACTGAACTTTTTGCCTTTCGAGCGGTGGCTGGAATTGGTGGCGGAGGCGTCAACTCGATTGTCATGATAATTGTTAGCGACATTACCACTTTGCAGAATAGGGGCAAGTATCAGGGTCAGTTTGCCCACAGTGCCCCAACTCGGCTACCTCCTTATCAATTAACAGGCATCATCGGCGCGGTGCTCGCGCTTGCGAATGGGATAGGGCCATTCCTTGGTGGCGCCGTCATCGAGAAGGCTACGTGGCGATGGGTATTCTGGATGGTGCCCATGTTGTCGATTCCTGCCGCACTCGTCATCTGGTTTGCCCTTCCGTTACGGTACGAAAAAGGAGATTACGTTACAAAGGTCAAGAAGATCGATTTCGGTGGTATTGTTCTCAGTCTGGCTGCAGTGCTACTTTTCCTTGTGAGTATCCAGTTCGACTGGACAGTTGAAATTCTTACCTTCTCCAAGATCCCATTATCAGGTGGCGGTGTAAGTTACGCATGGAACTCAGCTACCTTCATTGCTATGTTCACGATTGGTGTTCTCGTATGGGTTGGGTTCGTTCTATATGAATGGAAAGTGGCCCGCATTCCCATTATGCCCTGTGAGTGATACGATCAGCCTAAAGCGTTCTTTCGTGCTAATACAACCATAGTGAGGCTTTATGTAAGTTCTTTATACCAGATGCAATGGCCAATCCCCAACGTCATTACAGGTGGTTCCTGGTGGACTCAGGTATAATCCCACTCGGTCGGTTTCAGAATATCTTCCATTATTGACAGCTGGCATGCTGTGTACAAGTTGCTGAACATGATAAGCTAACATACTCCTCTTTCTTGACCGCCCCACATTGCCCTTGTCTATATGCGCAGTCCTTCTGCCTAGGTGTAGCCTTCTTCTGTAATTACTTTTACCGTAAGGTCTCTGATCCTTACTTTCATGCACCCAACTGACGGAGATAGTACCGTAAGCGGCCCGTCTGTCCGGTGTAAATTCAAGACTCAAGGTTGCAGGTTATACTTTCAGGTAGTTTTAGGCTACTCTGCGCTGATATCAGGTGCCCTATTCCTGCCAGTCGTTATGTTCACCTCTGCTGCTAGTATTGGCTGTGGTCAGTACATGGCACGATACTTTCGATACACGCCTTCAGTGGTTCTTGGATTCGCGATATGGACACTTGCCAACGGATTGACATGCATGTTCAACAGAAACACAGGTCTAGGTGCTCTCATCCCCATCCTTGCTTTGGAAGGGTGTGGTGTCGGGCTCACTCTGCAGCCGAGTAGGTCTCCATCATCCCTACAATGTTCGCGGAGCTAAAGTATCATAGCACTTATAGGACTGCTTGCAAATTCGAATACTGATGATCGCGCTGTATGCACGGGGTTGAGAAACTTTATACGTACAATCGGCGGCTCTTTTGGTCTCATCGGTTGTTTTTCTCGGGCAAAAGTGGGTTGAAAACACTTGCTAACGTATGGCAGTTTCGGGAGCAATCCTCTCCAATACCTTGAGTGATCGACTATCAGGCCTTCCGTTTATCACAGGCGGCATGCTGGCAAGCCTGACATCGTCTACTTATTCATCGAGTAGCCTTGGTCTAACACCAACTCAGAAGGATATCGTGTTAGGAGTGTATATGGAGGGATTACGGTACTCCTTCATATTCTACACGATTTGCACGGCTATCGGGATGTTCCTCAGTCTCGGTATTGGTAACACTCATCTGGATAAGGAGAAAACGGTAAAACGGCCAGATGAGGAAAGCCAATCAACAGCGACAGGGCTAGGAGATGCTATAGCAGAAAGAAACCAAGCGCAAGCAGACGAAAAGGGGGTTGCTCCAGATGGGATGCAGAACGGAGCCAGCCGCATAAATTGACGGAGCTCAGGGCCGGAGACAAGCTTCATCAGTGTTCAAGTATAGCTATCTGATGCCAAAAGCCACTCTGGTATCGAAGCAGGGGTCCAAGCCGCGTTGATATTCTGGCTTAGACGCACGCTGCAGATCTCGTCGGAGCCGCCCGAACCAGACAGCGGGGCTCCGAAGGACCGCTAACTTCGCTGAGCTCCCACCCCCTAGTAGCAGGTTCTCGGATGCAAACACCGCTCGTCTTCCTCGGAGCCTTCAAACATCAGGATTAGTTCCTGATTATCGGCCCACACTTGCAGATACTCGGGTGCCGGATACCGCCTCCCCATACTTAGTTAGCTCATCTGGAGCACCATGCTCTAAGCTCCGATGCAGTGCCAGGGAAGCCGGCGTTGGTTATCCACTTCGAGATAAGAAGGCTCTGCCAATGTATTCATTCCTCTAGATTCATCTGATAGGGCTATGATGGTCTGATGTGCGCATCAGTATCTTAGGAGCTGGCCGAAAGACCAGTGACTCATATAGATCCTTAGCAAGATGAGACGCATGTTACCAACTCCAGTATCGTAGACTTGTCCAACTATCTCTTTTGACATTGAAGTCTTCTGCCATTCTGCAATAAGGGTAAAGAGCCGTCATGCCAGAAGTATACCATGCACATCCGCTATACGGCTATGACCGCGACTTCAAGGGCTACGGTGAGAAGGGCCTAGACCCGAAGTGGCCAAACAATGCGAAGATCGCCGTTTCTTTCGTCATCAACTACGAAGAGGTATGGACTCCCTTTCAGCTTCTGCGATAGTGCGGGGATGTGAAATGCTGATAATTGCGGACAGGGAGGCGAGCGCAGTGTGCTGCGTGGAGATGGGATCTCAGAGCCCAACCTGCGAGAGAACCCAGGGGGGCCGCCACGGGTCAACGAGCGCAACTACAACGTGGAGTCTGAGTACGAATATGGAAGCAGAGCAGGTTTCTGGAGACTCTTCCGAATGTTTAATGCCCTGAAGATGAAGTTCACGCTCTACGCCGTGGCCCAGGCCGTGGAGGAGCAGCCGGAGGTGGTAAAACGATGTGTTGATGAAGGACATGACATCGCTTCCCAGTAAGCACCTGCAACATCAGTGTTCTTTCACTTTCCAAGCGTCGAGCTGATCCTTTGCAGCGCGTACCGGTGGATTGAATACCACGACATGCCAATTGAGAAGGAAAAAGACTACATCAAGAAAGCCGTCACTTCATTGAAGGCCCTCAGTGGTTATGCCCCTCGGGGGTGGTATTACGGCAGAAACAGTCCGCACTCACGTACTCTGGTCCCACAGGTTTACGATGTAAGTAAATAATCCAAGGGAAGAAAGTGCGATATTCTCTTACTGACAGACTTCAGGAAATGGGTGAGACGCTTGAGTGGATGAGCGACAGCTACGCGGACGATGTACCCTATTGGATTGACCTAAATCACGAAAAAGATTTGTCCAACCCTAAAGGCTGTCTTATGGTGCCGTACTCTTACGACTGCAACGATTTCAAGTTCCACACGGCAGGCTCCGGGTTTCGTGATCCCCAAGGCTTCTTCGACCACTTGAAGAATGCTTTTGATGTGCTTTACGAAGAGGGTCAGGATGGCATGCCCAAGATGATGACGATCGGACTGCATTGCCGAATAATCGGGAGGCCAGGTCGTTTTGCTGCCCTCAAACAGTTCGCTGAGTATATTAGCCAGAAGGAAGGTGTGTGGGTTGCGACCAGGTCAGAGATTGCAGAAGCTTTCAAACAGAATTACCCTTACCGCAAAGGCTTCTTGGTTTAGCGGCAATTATTTCTTTCTAACACAGCATTATGAATGGAACAATGGTTTGGAGAAATCAAGTAGTAGCAAATACCCTCAGTGATCCACAACCCGCACTCAATGTGAAGCTCGATTCATACTGTACATAGCAACAACTTTACGGATTTCAACCAATCCGTTTTCCTGTCAACCACAAATTCGACAGTGCATAATCATGAACTCCCCTATGCATGGTCTCTTACTGACTAGACAGTCAGTCATTCCGATATACATGAGAAATGCATCATGCAATGAGACTGTATGATTTGATCCACAGTTTCCGAGCAAAGTCAAGCCTCTAGCTTCATATCCTACAATTTCCTGCCAGAATAATCGGAGTTCATATCATAGAGACAACTCGCCGTCAGTGATGAAAGTGCTCCATGACCATCCGTAACGGCGCGTCATCCGGCGGCCAAGACGTCGTGCCTTCCAGTATGGGAGGCTTTTCTTCGGGTGAGGCTCATGGAACTGAATTGATCTGGCTAGCGAAGTAGTAACGTCAGTGTGAGTGAATTGCCACACTGAGCCGTACAACTTCTCTGCTGTGAATCCGGCGTTTGTCATGGCATATAGGAACTCTGTCCATGATAGCTCTCCAGGTCGGTCATTTGAGCCGGTGACATGGAACAAGAGCTGGAAAACTCTTGCTGCACGGTTATCGACGCGAACTGTAGCATGTGAGAACTCCGTAGCCTGCTGAGTCTTATGTGAACTGATGTCTTCACGTCCGGAGAGAGCCTCATGATCGGTCGTGGAACACCGGGTCTTGGCCTTGAATTTCTCTGGTTGTGGGACAAAGCGCCTAGGTTGATCTACTTCATGTCTAATAGAAGACATTCCAAAGCAGACTACCAAATCCTCTTCGGTAGTAGACCCAATCTGTGAAGCGGGCTCGGGTTCTACCCATACGGGTGTCCTCGCCAACTCCCGGAAGAGTACCTGAAGATGGCAAATTTGAAACCAGCTTTGTTCCGCCAGCGGAGGGATCAGAACTCTCCAGAGCTCATCCAGATTAGCTTCGGCTTGTCTCATCGCGTCTATATTGCTTTTACTCGGTTTTTTGTCGCTGGGGTAGTAGAATTTGTTGCCGATGGGAACGGCCTTGAGAACTACCTCGTACGAAAGCTCCGGCAAAGGTGGTGGCTTGGGCTTGGCAGACATGCGAGCACCCTTCGAGTTGTCTTCTTTCGTGTCCGGTTGATTTGCTGCATCCTCCTCAATAGCTGGGATTTTCTTGAGTAATCTCGGGGCCCACGGCTGGAACAGCATAATTTGGCGCCAACATTCAGCCATTACAGAGATGTCCGCTATCACGTCGCACACCCAGGATGTCATGAGATCCCTGACGCCCGGTCGTTCCTTTTTCAGCCTCTCCAAGGCATCCAGGATAACGTCCATGGTCAGGCAATTGAAAGGTTTCCAGCCTGAAATTTGTGCTATCTTGTCTTCCAAGTCCTTGTGGTCCTTGTGACTGGCGTCCATGCGCTTCAAAGACTTGGCGAACTCTTTCTCATTGCTTGAGTTGTAGCGACAGATGGTTTTATGCAAGAGATAGGCCCTGACAGGGCCTGAAGCGTCAAAGCCGTTGCGGAGTTGACGTGCGGAGCAAAGCATGGAGTCTCGAAGGTATTGCAAAAGAGTATGGAACCCCTGAGCATATTCTTCGGGGAGGTCAGAAGTCTTACAGAGTTTTGATGACCATCGGTTCCCGAGCTTCTCCAGATTCCTTGTCTTGGTAAGAATGGTATCCCATACATCGACAGACCTGAAGGCATGACCCAGGACTTGCGAAACCACCTCTCTCCATGCTTCAAAGCCTCGCTCTGTTGTCGGATCACGGAGCTCATGGGTAGGATCCCGCGAATGGACCATCCGCCTCGAGTGCTCCTTCCACTCTAATATCGTATATTCGAAATATCGAGGGTCTTCATGTAAGCTATGCAGATGATCTTCAGCTGCTTGGAGGCGTGCTTCGAGCATGTCTGTCATACGTGGGATGTCCATGGAAGTCGGAACACGATAGGGAGCTTCGAAGGCTGCAGCCTCCAGCGATGTCATCTGCTTCGCGCTGCAAGAGTATGCCGAAGGCTCTGTTGCCGGACGGGCGGCGGCAAGTGCTGAGGGGGAGATATCGTGCATGATAGCTTCACACATCGTGACGAGAAAATCATATATGCGCTGCTGGGTCTCGAGAGCCAATATACCCTTTTCCATGGGCATGCCATTGCGGCAAACGAAGCTGTGTTTTCCTTCGTGGCATTCTTGTTCAAGCCCTTTGTACTCGATGCGTCCGTATGCTAAGGGGTCCATCGCACCACGGTAGATAATGCGAAACTGACCACCGAAGCCATCTTCATAGTAGTTTCTGATCTGAGGGTTGGAGAGAACACCGCACGAACATTGTCCCATTCGAGATGAGTCCGTGTCAAATTCCACGAACTCACTAGGGTGATTGCGTCCGCGGGATTTGAGAAACAGTAGAAAGGCGCCTGGCTCAGTTGACAAATCCTCGAGGTTGATATGTGGCCATAGGTACCCTTCCAACTTCTCTGCAGGCCTATGTGAGGTGATAGCGTAGTCAGATCGATGGACTGTGGCCATATGTGGCCAAACGCGAATCAGAAGTGCTCGACGTTTCTTGGACCCTTTTTTGGCCCATCGATTCTGAATCACCGTCTCGTATGACTCGACCCATTTTCTCAGTGTCTCGTACTTTTCGAGAACATTGTGAGCATATGGCAGTGTGAACTCCCGAATATCGGGAGGGGTTATTAACGCATCTTCGCATCGCGGACAGCTACACTCAATGAATGAGTAACGTTTGAAAGGGTCCGAAAGCTGTGGGAAGCGATCAAATGATGCGATAATTTGATCACTTTCCGCGTCGACACTCTTGATATCGTCAAGCAGCGGCTTGAGATCTGCATCTGAGTCATCGGAAGCTTGATGGTCGGCCGCAGAGGGCTTAATCTCGCCGCTACTCTCCGCTCCCATCGTGAAGATTCGGGTGACGGTCAGAGTCTGGCGTTACTGTTGGTGGCTCCTGAGCGACGTGGGAGGAAGAGCTGCCAGAGCCAGTGAAGATCGTCGTGATCAGAGATGCTCAAGAAAATCAAGTTCGTGAGACCTGCCGAACAACGCTGATCTGTTTTTTGCAAAATAGAGCTTTGCGCAAAAGATGTGCAGAGGGAAACAAACGGCGGTTGCTGGGTGTCTATCGTCCTAGAAGCTGCCGTTCGACCACTCCAGGCACCACCCGAGCTCGGGGCAATTGAAGACCGGCTGCCAGCAACGTAGTAACGCTTCGCAAACGGAATGTCTAAATGGACACCAAATTATCGAACAGACGAAGTGATTTGTTGCTTCTCAGATTGATTGACATCTTCGCCCACCAACTGTCCATATGTCAAACATGCAATTGCAATTGCGCAGTAGCTGCCGATTGAACGCTGGTCGACTTCGCAGGGGCAAAAGACAAGATAACTTTGTGCACTGAAAGTCGGGAATGGGAGATCGCATACTTTCGGCGAGCATTATGTAGTTGAGTTTTGGGGATCTACGCCGCTCCATGTGAGCGTTGCCAAGCACGGCACGGGGCGGTGACAGTGTACGAGCAGGCAATGTGTAGGAGCTAGGAATCTATTACAAGCGGTGTACTTTCGTGGATCCTTCTCTCATATGCCACATCATGTCTTCATGGCCAAAGCTGATAGCACAGTCTATCCCTTGCCAAGTCGAATCCTAGTCTTACCATCTCTATTCTATGTGATCTCTACTTAATACATGCCATGACCTTTATCAATCAAACGTTCATGCTTACTCGGTTCTGAATGTGTCAAGTGACCAGTCCCATCTGCGACTCATACGACGGCCAATGGCCCTCGCGACCCAGTGTGGTATCTTGGGGTTAGGATGGGGCTCATGAACCTGCAGAGCCTGGTACAGCTGGAGCTTTTCTGTGGGAGCGAACTGCCACACAGAGCCATACAGCTTCTCGGCCCGGAAGTCAATGGATGTCATTGCGTACAGGAAGTCTTTCCAGTCGACTTCGCCTGGAGTTCCCGACGCTTGGGACTACTCGTGTCTATGCATGATAGAGAGTCTCGCAGGGCTCTCGGAGGACATACCCTTCTTGATCAAGCTGAGAGACTTCTGCGTCAGGACTTAGGAGTTAGACAGTACATCACTGGACATGTGTCGGAGGAAATGTCTGACCTCGCCGTGATATGTGAGTGTTACAGACAAGTGATGCTGTTTCAGCCATGGGCGTCACTTTTCATGAGAGACTTGAAATCAAAGGTGCCCAAGGGGCAGGATGTGATGAAGGATTTCAACGACTGGGAGCTACGCCTTCAAGCATGTGCAATTTTCGGCTTGGAGTCTGACCTGGTTGCACTCACGATGCAAGCTACTAAGAGGGTAAACTACCCGACCCACAAGCCGCGAGGTCCGGAGACTGTTGCGGTCATGGAGAAAGCCGAATCGACCTTGGATCACTTCTAGGAGAAGTATCTTGCCGCGGTGAAGGAGCAAGGCAGCCTCACATTCTACCAGAAGTGCCTCTTACAAAAGCCTGTCTGCCGGACATCTCCATGGAGCGAAGCGGAGGAGGAGGAGGCGCGCCAGCGCACAGCAGTCAAAAGCGATGATTTCGTCATACCATTTTCCGATCTTAATGTTGACGACCGTCCACACCGATGGGCACCCGTCATTTCAAAATGCAAGGTCAAGACCAAGAGCGACCCTGGTGAGCTGAACAGTGGCAAAACGGAAGAGTCTAGCTTCTTCTCACTGCCAACTCCTGAAGCAAGCAATATCTCCGGAACTGAACACAAGACCGAGACCGATGACGAGGGCTGTCTTGACCAGACAATCGAGACGGACAAACGAGCCTTCACGGTCTTTGAGAGTCTTTTCTACAATTCCCCATAGCTTGTTTATGTTGTAGAATTCCTTAGTCGCACGACCGGCAAATCCTGCGACGTACCAGGAACGATTCGGAGGGGCGGCGTAGAAGGAGTTCAGCAGGCTGTGCGCATAGTAGCCCTCAAAGGTGAGGAGGAATCGGATCAAATTGTGAAAAGCGTTCGATGTCTTTTCGGATAGATCCTCATGGATGCAGTGGTCGTCTTCTTCAAGGGCGTCTCTTACATCGAAAGTTCTGCGGATAAGTTCGCGCCACATTTCAACCGTATACAGCGCCGTGCCGACACATTCGCCTATAAGCTCATCTCCCTAGTTCCACGTCTCGAGCAGCGTAACGTTGTTGTTAGAGGGGCCAGCCGCCTTGTTGAACTTTGCGTAGCGCTCAGAACTGTGTTCCACCCAATTGAGAAGGGTGTTGGCAAAGTAAGGAGGATCTTCTCGCATAGCATGCAGATGATCCTCTGCAGCATGCAATTTTGCCAATAACATATGTTCCATCCTCAGCAGATCAATATGGGCCGGTGCGCGATATGGTGCCTGGAAAGCTGCCATCTGCAAGGAGGTCATTTCATTGTTTTGAAAAACGACCACAGTCAAGAGGGGTTGAGCCGGAAAATGAGCGCTGATGAGGCCGGTTTCTTTCTTGTCTTTCAGAATTTCGTTACAAATAGTTCACCAAAAAGTCGTATACTCTTTCCTGGATCTGAAGAATGAGAACAGCTTGGTGTACTCGATGGCCATACCTGCAAACTCTTCCGCACTCCTTCCCGCGCTTAGCCCAATAGCCGTAGCAACAAGCACACGGCTGCCCATCTTCACCGCGGAACATCATCGCGTATTCACGGTTTTGGTGACCGAGTGCATCGCAGGATGGTAGAGTTTTGTTGGCCAAGGGGTATCCACAAGACAAGTAGTCGGAATGAGCAAAGTGGTCTGGACCGTAGGAATATCTGCATTGGAGCATCAATAGAAGCGGCTCCAACTTTGAGAGGTCCTCCAGATTAAGATGTGGTCACATGCAGTCTTCCAAAGGCACCTTTGTCAACTGCCTGGCTTCCAGGCGATAGAAGCCATCGATATCGGGCCTATGAGTCTTGGGAATATGCTGCCAAGCGGACTGTAAATACCTACGCCTCTTTGAGACGTTGTACTTGCTCCATCTCTTTCCAATAACATCCCAATGCCGCTTCATGATATCTTGAAGAAAATGCCAGTTTGCAAAAATGCTGGCGGCGTATACGTGTCTGAAGCCATGTATTTGAGATCTCCGTATGGTCCATCTGTGGCAATACTTGCAGAAGCTGTCGTGAAACTCAAAGAGATGGTACTCTTGCGAGAGTGAGAGAGGTGCGGGGATTTGCGCGATGGCCGCAGTGATTTCAGCTTCCGTCAGCAGACGGGAGCATCCTTGATCTGTTCCTTCAACCATAGCGGTATGCCAGTCTCTGATTATGCCAGAATCTTAATATGATGAGCTGTCGCGTTCCTGAGGCAGGTAGATGGTGTGTATCATTCACGTTCGTGGAGCAAGGCTTACCTTCATGAGATCTCAGGATGGCGTTTGTTGAAGCACGGACTGGCCTGTAGGTACCAGCACGACAAGTCCAACGAAGTTGGCACGTAAATGAGACGTCGTGATGAGTCGAAGCAAGCTGGTCATAGTTGTAGAGCGTGTTGGTGTTGGGAAAGAATGCGGGATCACCAAAACGGTTCGCGCTTGGTGTTTGCAATCAACGGCGACGAATCCAAAAATTGCAGCCGTTGCCTGATTGTAGGGAAAGTAGCATAAAACCAGTCCCCTTCAAACGCACAGGTGATAGTTCGTTCTGTGAAACCCACTGGTTGGCATTTTGCACGAGGTACTACAAAGATATCAAGTGAATAAATTGAAAAATAGCCTGTAGTTTTCTCGGGACCTAGACCACCAAGAAATCATAGAAAACAGCAAGGGAAAACCGCGTGAGCGACTCTTTCGCCATTGAGGGAGTTCAAGCAGTATTCACATATAAGTTCGACACTTCCACCTCTCTGAGCCACAGTTTCCAAGGCCGCTGAGCAGACCACTTGGTCATGCCCTTCGCGGCCTCGGCCTCCTCGGGGCTCAGGTACTTGATGGGCTGCAGCGGGCCGTCGCGGCTCCCGTAGGATGCCTGCGTCGTCAGCGCCGCGGTCTGGATGGCCGCGTTCCTCGCCGTATACACGGCGCGCAGCACACACTCCTCGATGCTCTCGGCCACGGCGGTGAAGCCGTGCCCGCGCATCAGCACCACGGCCTGGCCGTACTCGAAGCACTTGGACAGCGCGGCGCCGAGGTGCTCGTTCTTGACCAACATGTCCTTGGTGTCACTTGGCTGGTATGCGGACGATATATCAAACACGTTGACCCAGTGGCCCAGAAACCCGGCCATATGGAAGCAGGGACGGCTTTGGAGTCAGTCAGTCTCGCTCGGTTAGTCGTAGAGGAGAAAGCGTTGGAAGTTCACGTACAGTGGAACGCCATTAATGGTGTAGGGGATCACGGAGTCAGCGTGCGAGTGTATGACGGCTTGGGTATTTGGATGTGCCTTGTATATCTCGCTATGGATGTGCCTCTCTGCGAAGCCCTTGGGTGCGTTAGCTTCTACAGGTTCGGCGTCGGACACAGAGTACTCGATCAGATCGGCAGCCGATGATATGGTGCCCGGTGCGGACTCTCGAGACATTATGAAGACATCGGGCTTGAATGGATGTCGACATGAGAGATGCCCATAAGCGTCGACCACATTGTGGTAGTGAAGGATGTGGCTGCCTGAGATGAGCTTGCGATGAATGCTGTTGAGGACTGCTGTCTGAAAGTCTTCGCCTTCAGAACTTGAATTCGATGGAGATGCCATGATGTCTCTTGTCCTACTTGTCTTGGCAGCCTGCGTGGTTGGCGCAGGTTTTGGATTCGATCATGATGGCCAACGTTGAGCCGAAAAGGCTGGGCAGGGAAGGCTGTGAGAGGGGGGTTTGAATGAGGGGCTCAGCATTCCCCGTCGCACATCCCACTGCTCAGACTCCAATTGACCACAGGAGGCTTCATTAGGGACATCGCACCGGAGATGCTTTACAAGAGCATGCCCTCGCATCGTGCGACTTCTCCGACATATTTTCGAGTCTTCGAGGAGTTACTTGGCATATATGAGGGCATATGAAAATGTCAAAAGCAGGCTTCCTCAAACAGCTTCGGGATGTGTACACTTTTTCGACCAGGTTGGTGTACAAGTCCTACCTGCCGCGGGCCGGAAATGCGCATCGATGTTCTCGAGGCACGAAAGTAAGTTGCCGGAGACTTGGCTGTCCTTGTCCTTGTCATACATCATACCTGAAGCGAAATGAGGCCTCAAGACTACCTCGAGCTGCAGACCAGCCGATATAATTCAAGAAACAGCTGGACAACGGCTTGTTTGCGTACCAGGACTACTCGCGGACACAAAGGAACCACTACGAGGTTTTAGGGGTTGGAACGGTTTTATGGTACACAGAGATCTTCGTCGCCAGAGATGTGTAGTTGGCAAAGCTTCTCTACTGCACGACATCGTTGACTCTAGCCGTTGGGATGGCCATGGGTGTTTAAGCGAGTTAAGCAGTTGGTAAACAACCGCCAAGTCACGCCAGCCATCGCGACCTTGTACGCCCTGAACGAAACACAATGTGCTCAGACACCCGATGTTTACCACGCTAACCCGCGTCCCGAATCCTCGGGCCATGGGTTGGGGCATGGAGCGCTTTTGAGCAGATATTCCCAACAGCCCCAATCGACCTATGGCGTGCGCTAAGCTGCAGTTGGCGGTTGCTGCGAATCGGCTGCAGCCGCCCCTCAGCGCCTCCTCAGTTGCCATTGGCGAGTGCTTAAGCTTGATTTGACGTTCAGTTCCGGCTGTGCGCGGCCAAGTCGGCGGTCAATAGGCCCTGTACCTCGCCGCAAGGTTGCCTGTGATTCGTCCCCCCATGTTTCCCTTGGGTGTTAGACATACAGTAAGCACGACATGGTGCCGGGTCGCGGCCAGATTCACGAGAAACTTGCTCACCGGCCAGCAACGGTATTGAAGCTTCTCTTTGCAGGTGCTACTGTGCAGCTAGTCTCCTTGGCACCGTGATGGAGCTGGATCTGGACCCTTGAAATCGCGTTTGCGAGGCAGCTGGGAGGCGGGGGAGCAGACAGTATACAAATGCTTACACGCCGTCCCAACGACAGATGTTTTTCTTTTCCCACCTCTGAACGTGATCATCCTGTTTTCAAGAAGACCTTCCAATTGTCTGACTGGTTTTGATTCAGTGACTTCATTCAACGGTCTTCCAGCATTGCTCCCGAAAGCAGCTACCACCCCGCGAAGCCAACATGCTGTCTTCCCTTCTGCTCATCGCCGCCGCTCAGCTGGCAACAGCTCACTTTGGCATCGAATACCCCCCGTGGCGAGCAGATACGCTTGCGGACGAGGAGAACTCACCTTACTCGCAATGGGAATACCCTTGTTCGTCAGCCTGCCCAAACATGATACAGCCTGGAGCTAATCAGATCTGTCTTAGGCGCCGGTGTTCCTGCTGGAACTGGCAACCGTACTGACTGGCCGCTCACTGGCGGTTCCGTTTCCCTCGATCTGCACCACAAGTGGACATACGTGTTTATCAACGTCGGGCTTGGGGACAATGTCACGAATTTCAACATCTCGCTCACGCCAGAGTTCTGGAATGTCACCGGAAATGGAACGTTCTGTATTCCCACTCTCCCACTTCCAGCAACTGTGCAGGATGGCCAAAACGCCACCATTCAGGTTGTGACCTCAGGGCAGAGCGGCTCTGCGCTGTACAACGTGAGTTCCGAAGAACAAAGCTGCCCTCGGAACGGAAAATGATTTGCTAAAATCAACTAGTGCGCCGACATTACGTTCCGATCAGCCGCCAAGTCGCTTTCTGGAGATGAGTGCAAGAACACCACAGCATCTGCTGTGACGATCGGACAGTCTCACTCCACAAGCAACTCGTCAAGCTCCACAAACTCAACCTCCTCCGGAGGCACCAATAGCGCGACCGGAATCTCTGCCAACTTCGTTGCTCTGACGAGTATCAGTGGTCTTGCTGTGTTGTTTGCCCTAGGACTATGACTATAAGGAGCGGACATTGGTGTATTCAGCTACGCGGTGGTCGAAAGCAGAATGGTGAAACGCATGAAGTATGATTGTTGACATATAGTATATAAAAGGGGTATCATGCCGTTCAAAACCCAGAATCAAAACCTAATGATCGAGAGAGTCAGTCGGGATGTTGCAGGGTGTGGAATGTTGACAACCTCGAAGTGACATACACCCTCCCTACGCAGCTTGATGCTCGTATCGGTTCAGTTGGGAAAGGGGCTTCTTACAGAATGCCTACATCCGAGGAAGAGAAGAGCCGCTCAAGCTAGAGCGAAAGCCCCATAACAACAATGCAAATAAATAGTCATTAAAATCGTCGATAAATTTGTACTCATGCTGTAAAGATGTTGTCCAGACTCATTTGTCGAGTGTGGCATCTTTGAATAATTCGTTCATGACCTTCGCCATGGTGATGCGCTGGTTCGGGTTGGGAGTCAACATTTGGGAGACAAGTCCATGAAGCTTATCTCGCGGGTTCAGCTTCGCCTTGGCCTCGTTCACTTCATTAAGCCACTGCTGCATCTGTATAACGGCGGAAGGCTGCTTGCTGGAATGATGGTGGTGGTGGTGGTGCGTTCGCCTGTTCAGCTCCGCGATGATCCAGTACAACTGCTTGGGATGACCTTGCCTCCCGCGGGCGTCCGGAAACGTGATCTTCCTCAGAACATATAGCATCGTAACCCCGAGAGCCCAGACATCGGAAGGACATCCCCGGAGTTTCTGCCCAATGAACTCGGGAGGCACATAGTATGGCGTTCCACCATTAGTTGCAAGGTCACTCGTCCTAGTCGACAAGCCAAAGTCGCATAGGACTGCACCACGGTCTCGCGAGTAGAGGATGTTAGCCGGTTTGATATCGTTGTGCACCCGTTTCCTCTGATGCACGTAGTTGAGTGCGCCCGCAATATCCTTGAGAATACGTATCGCATCGCCTCTGTCGCCCACAAAAGTGTCGTTTGCAGCATCGCGCCAGACACCTCGAGCGGCCAGGTCCTTGCCGTCAACATGCTCCATGTATAGCGACAGGTATCGTGCATCTCCACCATACAGTCTTACGATAGATTCGTGCTTCAGATCCTCCTGGCTCCTATACTCACGCAGCCAAATATCGGCCTGGCGAATGACATTCCGATGACTATCCTGCGGCTTGGCGTCTGGCTTGCTAGGCCCCGTCTTGAGAACTTTCACTGTAATCACCCCGTCCGGCACATCAGAGTGCTCTGCAGTGAAAACCGAAGAGGCTGCGGTAGTGGCGATTTGATCACGCTTCGTCAGCTGGTACTGGTCGAGCTCGCAACCACCGGGGATCGACACAGTCTCATCCTTCCGGACTTCCAAGAGGGCGTGGCCATTGGGGATGACAACCTCTTTTGCTTTACCGGCATGGGGCAGAGGAAATACCAAGGGCTCTGCTGTTGTGCGCGGGTAGAACATGATGACCCCGTCGTCGTCCTTATCGGATTTGTCGTCCGTGCGAAGTCGCTTCTCAGCATTTTCGTCCTCTTTGCCACCATCCTCGGATGAGAAAGATCTTTTCCCAGATGAGTTTCTCAACTCATTACTGCTGAGAACAAACGTCGAGTTTGAGTCCTCACGCGGCAACCAGAGCGAGGCAGGACGTTTGGCCAGTATCCTGAAGTCCATAATAGCTGTGCCATAGAGGCTTATTCTCCATGATGCGGGGAAAAGCTCCTTGGTGGTGCCTGGTACGATCTCTTGGTCGTATTCTTCCCCCTCATGATCTGAAGGGGATATCCGCGCCAGCGTGATGGGGACATCAGATCTGTTGAGGAGAATCTGGTTGTCACTAGCCGGATCGTAGTAGAGTTCACACCATAGCGGCGGGCGCGTCTCCTCGACGCCAGTCTCGCCGGGTATCCTTAGCGAGAAGTTGATATCTTTGGAGGTCTGAGTCACCGCCAAGACCCGAGACTTTGGTCTTTGGGGGTCTGCAACTTCGGCGCGCAACGCCAGCCACTCGCAGTTGTCACTACCTGGACTGACTGAACGGCTTCGGGTGAGAGGTCTGACCAGTATGCGGATGCCCTGCTTGTGGTGTTGGTCATCGATGACGAGGTGGTCCAGGGGCACCGTGTCATCTTGGACGCTATCGAAACTCTCCTCGACCCGAACACTCTTCTGCAGCCGAAGATTGATCTCCGACTGAGAGAAGGGCTCGGTCCTCTCCTCGGAAGGGTACTCCTCAACCATGGGGAGGCAGCGACAAAGAGCGATGAGTTTAGGTTTGGAGCATATATAGGCAGAAAAAGTTGTGGATCTCGAAGCGCACCAACAAGGTTCGACTTATAGGCAGCAGAGATAGACAATGAAGAAGAGATGGCGATAATGATAATGCAGGAGAAATGCGGGGGAGCCCTTCTACACTTGAACGGGCCGCTTCCGTGTCCCAAAGTATAGGGGCAGTCAGATGAACTGTCCTTGAGACCAGTTGATCTCAGGACGCGGCCTCAAAAGAGAGTCATAGAAGTGGTCAGAAGAAGCGTGATGCGGCTGATCCCGTTTCCCCGTTACAGTCAGTAGGGCTGTTCGGGGGTCGGCTGGCTGGCTGGCTGGCTGGATGGATGGGGCTGCCCACCAGGGATTTATCAGCACCGCGCAGCAGAGCGCAAAGCGCAAACCTGTCGCTACTTAAAGGGCACTGGCAAGAACTGGCTCGCTGACCACAGGCGAGAAGGGGCTAGCATGGTTCGGGCGGGAGTGGGCTCCCTCGAACTGTACATAGACTGTGTCATGCTGCGGCACAACAGGGTGTCATGACAGTGTAAAAACAGCCGCAGGGACTGTTCGCCTCCAAGGATTGGAACAGCCACTGGGCTATCGGAGCTACGCCTGGCGCCTGCGCGAGTGACTGCAGCAGATCGGATCGCGAGTGTGCGTCAGCGGGGGACGTGGGTCAGGGCACGAGCAGAGGCGCATTTCTTGTCATTGTCGCATAGCGTGTTGATGAAATGCGACCAAACTGGCATCCAAAGGCTCGTGACGCCACATCAGTTGTACTATGGTAGTGGTGACTTGTGGTCTGTCGAGACCGGGCGGGCCTGGGGGAGCGGAATGGCGGACAGGATGGGATCATTGACAGTCAGCACAAGCACAGGTGATGCAAGCCGCGAAACATGCGAGACCGCCAAAGAAGCCAGACGGGCGAGAGATATGGTGTGTGGAGGGGGAGCCCGGGGGGTCGCTGGGTTGGCACGCCAAGCACTGGGCCCAGCGACGCTTGCAGGGATGTGGCAGGGATGTGGCCGGGTGTCAGCGCTGAACGACAGTGATTGGACGCCGCCGGCCCGCCGCACTCCAGTGATTGGCCCCCGGCGGTGGCTAGACGCAGGCGCAGTCCAAGGCAGTTGGCCCTGTGCCCGATTTCTGACGGCGCCACCCCTGCTCTGCCTGCCTGATGCGTCGTTTGTTGTTGCCTCAGGCCGCCGCCCTGCAAGTGTGGTAATGGGCCGGTCGCCCACTTGTCCTGTTCGCCGGATTCTCTCCAACAAACGGCCATCTCGCTCACAGTCTCTCTGCACAACGGCCACGCTCGCACGTCTCAACGCCCTCATTCTCTGCGCAATTCTGACCGACTCCGCCGCCGAAATGACCGCCAGCGCCTGTGTCTAGATGGCTAACCGCTATTTTCGCACACATGAGACCCAAAAGCAGCACCTGACGCACCACAAAGAGCACTGAGAGCGACCCGTTCACCGCAATAGCGACTCCTCGATACCCCCCCGATACCCCCCGTTTCTGTTTTCCCATTCCTGGTTCTGTGGTTCTGGTTCTGATTCCCGGCGCTCCTCGGCTTTTGAATTTCCCTTCGTGATACCCCTAGACATAGACGGATGAGATGGACGATCCAGGGTGGTCATGGCCCGCCTGGAAATTTGGTATGAAGAGGGACGACCTCTTCACGAAGCTCCATGATCAGTACAACACCTTTCCCTCCTCGATACAGGACCCGGAGGCTTTCCACCACGACGTCTACGAACTTTCCAACACCGCAAACACCCCCGATGAGCTCCATCGCCTGCTCGCCGACCGCAAGGAGCAACGCCTCCGCGAGTTGAACGACAGCCTCGAGTCCGCCTCGTTAGAGATCATCGCCAACCCGAAGCTGATCGGCACCCAGCAGTGGCAGTACGCTCTCCAGCTCTTTCGGACAAAGTCGCTCGACTCGCTCGTGCGATACTTTGCCTCGTACCTGCCCGAAGACCACACCTGGCACCACTTCGAGGACAATGGCTCTACCTCGAGCATGGCCTCTTCCATCTCCGACTCCGTCACCGACTCCGGCGACTCCATATCCACCAACTCGAGCAAGCCCTTCTTTGACGACGACGATCATGACTTCCTGACCCACGAACCCCTCACCATCCACACCTCGGTTCCTGCGAGCCACCTACCTCCCTCTCCTCGATCCATGACCATGTGCACTGATACGTCTTTGACGCATTGCTCCAACTCGTCGGCCGCCTCTCCTGTTGATGTCTCGCATCCTTTTGACGCCATGACCCCTGCCCGCACCCTGTCCTTCTCAGAGAACGAGTCGGACGTCATGGCTCAATCGATGGCGGTGTCGCATTGCCATGAAGACAATACATCGCAGCAAGATGACTTGGACACCCCCTCTACTTCTATATCTGATATCTCCAACTTAAATCAGCATCACCATTCTCGTAGGACGTCTGCGCGAGACTGTTCTGGAGCCGATGCTTCACCCAACGACGACGACTTGGTGGAGGACTCCGTGGAGGAATCAAACACACCCACCCCCCGAAATGAAAGGCCATCGGATTCATACCCATTCGATGGAGCTGCAAAACCATCTTCCACGGCGAAGTCTATACATCGTTCATCGTCGTCTCTCTACACAGAAGTATTGAACGATTATGTACGATCACAGCGAAAAGGGCGGCGAGAAGGCAGCCCAGCGAGGTCTGTCAGGAGGACGAGCCCGGAGATCGGCCGAGTGCAGAAGCCTTCACCCGATCCGATACGTATCCGACCCATGGGCCGTAGGCGGAATGAATAGCACGACCTTGAAACTAAAACACTGTATATATGTCATGATAGCGCTGTACATACCCATAATGACTTACTGAATATTCTTACTACTTACTACTTATTTTCTATTCCCTCGCCAGATCCTACTAGGTAATGTACTCTTCGTTTTCGTTCATCATGTAAGTTGTTATTCGAGCTGCGTACGGCTATTTAGAGAAGAACGCTGATATATCGGATCCGACAAAATGGTCAATCGAACTTAACAAGACAGGCCACCAAAGGACAGGTTCAGAAGCTCTCAAAATCGAACCCATCAGAGTTCGATCTTGCCAAGCAGCATGTGATGTTAACCAGGGCTTTAGGCACGGATTGGCAGCCATTATCATCTAACTTCGTGTGATGTGCACTTATACGAACGACGCCAGGACACGCTAAACTTCAGGTAGCTCATAGGGCGCCCAACCGCTGAACTCTAGAGGTTGGAGCACTGGAACGCGGGAACCAAAGGACGACCCCGCGAGGTCCTATTTGCCGAAGTGAGGTCATGCATTCGGCAAACCCGTCTGTAAGCATTGGAGGACTCGAGCATCTGATTATGAGATCACAGCAATGGTTGCCAGTTATCTGGGGATTTACTTGTTGTGTCCCTCGATCAAGGATCGGTGGTGATGATTAATGATGCAACTTACGGGCTGTTATACCCTTCAAGACATCTCAGTATATATTATCAGTCCCGAATCTGGCCTTTATATAACAGTGCTCCACCCAATGTTCCTAGCAGCCCTAAGAAACACGCTCCTCTCCGGTCTCGCCCAAGCCAAGGACATATTGTTCCTCACCGAAGAGAGAGCCCTCGAGTCCCTGCCGGAGCCCTACATCCCGCCCGAGGACGACGACGACATCGCAGAGATGCCTGAGAAGCTCCGCGAGAAGGCCGCCAGGGCCCTCCACGGCCCCGCCGGCAACCCCAGCCAGCTCGGCGACCCGGTCAGCCTCAAGGCGGAGCTGAGCGACACCGTCCCGACGCCCGACGAAGACGGCGCCGGGAGCTCGCCTTCGACGGCCGGCAGTACGTGGGCCAGCGGGAAGGAGACCCTAAGAGGAAAGGCGGCAAAGAAGCTACATGGGCCTGACGCAAACCCCAGCCAGCTTGGCGACCCGATAAGCCTTGAGGCGGAACATAATTATAATGAGTCCAAGTCGGAGGGGCCAAGTGCACCGAGGAGGGACTCCAAGTTATGAGGGCAGTACGTCCGCGCGAACTAGACGGCTGGGATATCTGTCGGCAAAAGACGAAGCTTGCTACTATTGCTAAGAGCTCTTTATGTACTAATAATACCATTGCAATTCATTCGACTGCCACGATGCCGTAACCCGTGCAATTTTGAGGTGTATGCATAGCATGCTGCTTTCCCTGTTGGTGTTAGAACTCTCATGACCTCCGCGTTTTGGAGTGCTGTCAATGGTATGAGGTCAAGACGCCCCTCCGCAGCTGCCTTGGAGGCATGGCATTCAGCGCCTGAGACCCGGCAACCCCAGGCTATCGGTCAGCTTACTTGTTCTTAGCTTAGGTATCGTGTTGGATTTAGCAGTGGCGGTTTGTAAGCACCCGCGCGGCAGATTTGAAGGGTCCAGAGTTGGCTTTGGGAACTAAACTAGCCCTGCTATCTAAATGGCGACATCAGCAGGGTGCCGCCGATTGAAGATCCGCCGGATACAGGGGACTTCACGGTATGTGGGCGGGGCAATAGCATTTGAGGCGCTCAGCAGGCATCAAGTATATATAAACATGTCTTTCCCTTTGATCCAAAATACCCAGTAACGCTGGAGATAATAAAGAAATACACCATCACAGTATCTATTGACAAGCACTGGTCAAGATGAGTGCCAAACCCGATGTACGTGCCTTTCCCAGCTGCATCGTACCATGGCGCCAGGCTAATTGAATCCCCCTAGATTCACAAACTCAACTACCAGAAGGACGGCAACTTCGTCCGCCCAGACTCGACATTCCGCAACTTTGTCTCCAGGGATCCCAATGCAAAGTTTCCTGCTGAAAGGGGTCGCTATGCACTCTACATATCTCCCGGTTGCCCTTGGGTACGCTCTTCGCTGGCCGTTGTCCTCAGACAAACCAAAGCTAATAAAACCCCAGGCTCACCGCACGCTCATCGTTCGCGTGCTCAAACATCTGGAGGACATAGTGGAACTGTGCATCCTCGGAGACCTAGGCCCTAAGGGTTGGGAGTTCGACGGCGCCTGGGGTTCCTCGTTAGAGGACCCGCTCCACCCGGGCGTCAAGTACCTGCGTGAGCTGTACGAGCGCATCGAGCCGGGGTTCAGCGGCCGGGTCACCGTGCCGGTCCTGTGGGACAAGAAGACAGATACCCTCGTCAACAACGAAAGCAGCGAGATCATCCGCATGTTCTACACCGAGTTCGACGACCTGCTCCCGGAGCAGTATCGCGAGGTGAACAAGCCCGGCGGTGGCCTGTACCCGGAGCACCTCCGCAAGGAGATTGACGAGATGAACGACTGGGTGTACAATACGGTCAACAACGGCGTGTACAAGACGGGCTTCGCCAACACCCAGGAAGCATATGAGAAAAATCTTTACGCGGTGTTCGCGTCCCTGGACCGTCTAGAAGGCATTCTAGCCGCGCATGGGAAACCTTTCCTCTTCGGCGATCATCTGACGGAAGCCGACGTGAGGCTCTACACAACGGCCGCCCGATTCGATGTTGCTTACCAATACGTATTTCTTTGTAATCTGAAGAACATCCGGCATGACTACCCGAAGCTGCACCTATGGCTCCGGAGACTTTACTGGGACCACAGCGAGCTAACGAATCAAGCCTTCTTCAAAACCACATCGCCGTGGATCGATAAGTATGCAGAGGGCTATGCGTTGGCGAGGAGGAAGGTTGTAACGCATGAGAGTGTCCTCATCATTCCTAGGGGGCCGGCTGTCAAGATCGCCGAGCTTGCAGAGCATGAAAAGTTGTAGTATGAAGCAAGCTTGGAAGCAGAGCATGCAATCAACCAGCCTGTGCGTGTGGTTACATCTCGCGCCGCCGAGGTCAAAGAGCAGAGCAGCGCTAGTAACCCCATCGCAATACTCGGTCCCTTCTATAAGATGCTGGGCTGGTGATGCTTGGAGATAGTGCAGGTTTGTAGCCCAGATACCACCTACCGTATAATACTAACGGGATGCACAATCTCAACTTCTTCACGTAACGCATATCAAAAGCTACCAATGGTCAGAAAGTGCATTGAATGGAATATACGGTAGTTGATATGCATTAAGGGTTGCGGAGGATATGTTAGCCCGTGATGAGAAATCCCTGTTCGGTAATCGGGATTCCGGGGTCCATTTACAGCGGACCGGAATCTGCCCCGGAGACATTCGACGTTAGGGCGTTTCCACCACCACGCTCCGTGAAAGGCTGCCAACAATAACGCTGGAAACCTACATGACCTTCTGCAGGTCAAAGGGGCGGTCTGCAAGGATACTGGTGGATTCAATGACGCACTAATATACAGTGACTGAAAGATGCCTGGCTACCTTTTGTTGGCTGGGCGGGGAAGTGTTTACTCAAGAGCCGTCTCCTTTTGTCAGCACTAGAGGGCTAGGGTTACCGGTACAAACGAAAGAAACATAAATAGAAGCCAACATCGGATCCTAGGGATATAGAAATCCGAAAGACCATCCTTCTTTGGAGACAGTCCAAGATAATTACTTCTCTTGACCTCCGACAGACCAGACAAACCGCAGTCATGGGTTCCCTCTACAAACAATCTGTCCCCTTGTTCGTCAAGTATCTGAATAACCTATCGGCCTTGGTCCAGAAGGGGCAAGTCTTCGCAGACGAGAAATCTCTCAAGCATGACGACATTATCAGCTACCGCTTGATATCAGACATGCGAGGGTGAGAGGACACCCGTTGGGTCAGATCATCTAAAGGAAAGCCGCTAACGCGCTCTGGTGTCGTAGGCTAGCGTACCAGGTGCAATCCTGCTGTAACACCACTGTCTGGTTCGTTGACCGAGTCGGTGGCCTCGAGCACGTCGCCATCGAGGACAACGAGACGACATTTGAGCAGTTGCAAGCCCGCCTCGAAAGGACTATCGCGTACTTGAACAAGGTGGACGCCAAGGTCATCGATGATAAGGCCAACTCGTCTGTCTTGATGGAGACCAAAATGGGCAACTTCCGTTGGGACGACGCGCAGGCATATCTGTCCGAATTTGTTATCCCTAATTTCCACTTCCATCTGTCAACCGCATACTGTCTCCTGAGGACTCAGGGTGTGCCAGTTGACGCCATTGATTACCTGAAGGGTGCACTCCACAAGGTTTGAGCTCAGAAGAGGTCTAGTCGACTAAGAGAGTCGAACTTCTGTTGTGAGGGCTCAGTATCCGCGCTATCAAGGGAACATGGAGCGACACAAGAGTTTCGGGCTTAGCAGATCTTTCCAAAAGCAATGGTAGATATCTGACTCTCTACCTATGCACCTGCTTCCTCTTATTTCTGTAAGACAAGTCCTCGTGTTCATTATGATATAAACAGCCAGGGTCCTTAGTAATACTAGGAGCGCGTTGGCCGGTTTAGCAGAAAGCTGGATACACAAGATTTATCACCTAATGACGAAGGAATCTTCTGGTCATGATCGCTGGAGTAAGATATATTTATGGCGAAATATCTTTCACCCTATCTACCAAGAGCTGTAATGGTGTGCACGTACTTCACCTTTCCATCCTGGATTCTGATTTCGTGAGAATCAGGCATGTTACCCAAGGAATCAAAAGAGCATAGAACATCTACGGAGCCCACGACCTCATCAATGACATAGCGACGATTCCCATTCGGCTTTGCGCTACCGCCTCTCGGAAGAGAGCCACCACAGGGTCTCGTGTACTGGGATCCTTCGACACGTTCGCAGTCTGTGCCCCAGGGGATCGTGTCCGCCGCCTTCGCATCCGTCCACATGTCAAGATAAGCATCGCCCGCTTTCTTGAGAACGTCACGACTTGGACGCTTAGACGCCTCTAAGTCGGTCCAATCTTCCTTCTGAATGTAGTCGAGGGTCTTCTTGGCGTTGAAGAAGAGGTCGCCTGTCGTCGCATGAATCGTGTCGATGAGCGCAATGGAGCTTGTGTCGTTCCCGTTGTAGCGGATCTGCGTACCGACGACGTAGGGCTTCGAACCAGTTGACGAGATGAACATTGAGTAGCTTGCACAGGCTACGGTGTCGGCTGTGGAGCGGTTGAGGTCAATTTTCAGGGGCTGGCTTAGGAGACCCTTGGCGATGTCGGCCTTCTTATTGTTTTCTTGGTAGGTGAAATTGCTGGCCGCCAGCTTGAGGCCATCCGTCTTGCCGCTGGTCTGAGCTGCAAGATAGCTGTTGGCTACCGCCAAAAGACTTTCACGAGTACATTCTGCAGCCGCTGAAGTCGCCAAGGTGAGAGCAACTCCAAGAGCGATAACCGATCGGGATAACCTGAAATGAAGCGATACCATTTTGAGTGACGTTCGTCAAACCTCCCGTTAGATTTGGGATTATTTGGTTGAAGATACCGATGATTGGAAAATGCGACCGGCTTTCGGCTTCTTATACAGGAGCACCATGTCATTTGTCGTCCCTATCCGATAGATACAGTCTATATGCCGCGAGAAAGAACCGTTTTGGGCCATGATGTTCGTTCACCGGAAGGAAATACAATCCCCGCATTCTTCAATATTCAGTGCATGGGGCTGGCTAGACTTCACCCGACAGCATTTAGGCAGTTTTTCTTTCGTCGTTGCACTGCCGTAACCTCGAGGGAGAATGGCTATATCGGATCTATTAAGCATCTAGATATTCTTCGGCTTCCATCCACCTTCTGTCTCGAAGATCTTCCCAACGGCTTTTGAAACGGCTAACAGATGTCTATCGTGGTATCTAGGTGCGACAAGTGAAAGGCCAATGGGCATATCGGCCTCGCCCTTGAATCCTGGAATGTTCGTAACGGGTGTGTGCAATCCCTAATATAAGTTAGTACCTTCCATCTGATCGAGTACCCCATGGGGCACTTACCGTCCAGACGCTGTTGAAAGCTGCACTGCCCGTGCTTGCGAGACCAACGGGGGCAACGTCGGGGACGCTAGGCGTAAGTATAGCTGCATATTTACTAGCAATTCCATCGATCTTGGGCCTCAATGCTGCCATGCCGTCGAAAGCTTTCAGCTGGTCTGCACGAGAAATCTTGTGAATATTGTCAACGTGGCCGACCAGGAAAGGATTCAGCTTGTCTTTCGCCGTTCTGTATTCGGGCAAGAAGGAGACGCGGCCTTCGCTGTGGAGGAGGATATGGTGGAAGTGAGGCGCCTCATTGAACTCAGAGGGCAACTCAATTTCCTCCACCTCCGCTCCATGATCTCGCAGGAGCTTTGCACCGAGTTCCATTGCGGCTATCGTCCCTGGACCTGCTTGTGGCCATACAGTGGTCTTGAGTAGAGCGAACTTTGCCCCTTTAATCTCGAAAGACTCCTCCACTGGTTCGTCATCCTCCAATGAGAAAACATCAGCTAGGAGTTGCAGGTCTTCCACACTCCGTGCGTATAGACCGAGAGTATCGAAAAGGAGAGAGTAAATCTTCTGACCCTCTCGGCTGATCGAATTCCATGTTGGCTTAAACGCGTAGATTCCGTTGAAAGACCCCGGCCTGATAGTACTGCCACCGGTTTGGGTTCCAAGGCCAATGGGGGCCTGGAAGTCTCCAACTGCGGCGCCGGATCCTGAAGAGGAACCGCCCGGTGTCCTCGTCGAATCGTGAGCGTTACATGTCCTGCCTCCATATAGCGTCGATGCAAACTCGGTGGTAGTGGTTTTGCCTTATCTGTCATCAGTCTTCTGTTTCCGGTCGTGCACCTTCATTGAACTTTAGACACTCACCCAGTATTAATGCACCAGCATGGCGTAGAGTGATTATAGAAGCAGCATCTACCTGTGGCGCATCTCCTTCGTAGATCGGAGAGTTGTATTGGGTCGGCATATCTAGATCGCATCAGTCGTTGTTGTAGCGTCACGGGATCTTGCGCTCAGCACAAACCCTTGGTATATATAACGTCCTTTACAGCCACCGCAACACCATGAAGAGGCCCTCTCTTCTCCTGTGGTATCTGATCAAGCTTCTTGGCCTGTTTAATGACATAATCCGGGTCGAGGTATGCCCAAGCTTTGACTGCCGCATCTCTCTTCTCGATTCTCGCTAGCAGAGAACGAGCATAGTCCTCAACGGTGAGCGAACCGTCTTTGAACTTTGCGAGTGCCTCAGTGGCAGTGAGCTTGTATGGTTCCATTGTGTGTAGATGCGGAGCTTCCGAAAGCTTGCTCAAACACTGAGACTAGCAGTGTAGGGCGTAATGAAGGCAAGACTTGATGAATTTGAAACAGTCCGTTAATTATGGAGGAGATAATTCCGTTCTGGTGCGGCTAGGGACAATGATCATGCCTTTTCAACGGACACTGAGAAAGGTCCATCTCCTAGATTCAGTATCATGGCAGCGCTCCGCCGGGCCGGGATCGGAACCGTAGGAGCACTCCTATCGGAGGCGGCTATCGGAGGTTGGAAGCGTTGGCCCGTAATCACCACATCAAAGCAAGGCAGCGTGCCCCGCTTGCTCTGTGATAAGCGCTTCTCCACCCACATCATTGCCAAGGGATCGATCACCGACAGGCTCCGAGTCAAAGCACAAAGCAGCGGATTCTAGCGTGCTTTACTCCATTGTTCACCCTGGTTCTCCCCTGTGACTGCACAAACAGAGTCGGCAGTATCTGGGGGGAGGTCGTTTTAAGTGCTCTCCTGCAGTCAATTCAATTGTCCTACCAGAACAGTATGGAGTGAATCGCTCAAGTATATTGTCCTTCGTTCGACCATTTTGCACGCCAACACCGACAATGCATTCTTATAAAACCCTTTGAGTCCGTTGGGTCGTGTTATTTGGAAACCCGGAACATGAAAGCTTGAACATCCATGTGTGCAGATGGTTCGGATCGCAGTTCTTATCTCACAGAAAGCGTCTGGGCAAGTCTATTGCCCCAAGTAGACAAATCATCACATTCAAGGGATGCTATCTGGTGATAGTGAACAGAGAATCTCATGTGGCAAGAAAATCACGGCCGATGACATTAAGTGCCTTCCCATTCGCAACACGGCTGCGAAGTTGCATTAGGTCCTCACCTCGGGCCACTTGTGGCCACATCCCATGCGTTCGAGTCACTTCGGCTTAAATGAAGAGCCAGGCGCCTTCCTTCAATGTTGCAACCTCTTAGTTGTAGTAAAATTAACCAATGCCAGGCTGCGACAAGGATCACCTGTGAAGTCTCGACACGAGACGATTGCCAATCCACAACCACAGAAGCTTCGAGTTTGTGGTAGAGAGCGCTTGACAGTTCACCAAACATAACATTTGGTGTTTCAATGTCAACGAGTGCTTGTCATATCCCTGCTCAAGGCTTGCAGTATCGGCTCACTGGCAAGAAGCCGAATGGTCCGTTCCACAACGCGAGAATTACAAACAAAGATAGTTTTTACGAATCACGAAGCAACTGCTACCGTTCAGAGTTAAGAAGAAGTATCATATGCATTGCAAAACATGAATCACTGACGTGGACCACTGTTGAGCTCACAACACAGGACTGAAGGCTGCTCGTAACACGGACCACCCGGCCATTTCACAACACGGACCACCTGCCAATCCATAACACGGACCGCCTCTTCCCGAGGTTCACAAGCATGCCGCAATTTGTGTACAGCTCGCCGGCCTTGGGAAGCAGCATCCGAGTCAATATCAAGTCAAAGGCAAAATATGCAGACAGGTTTTCGCATAGTTGCAGATTTCGTCAGTCAGATTGGTGGTCAATTCTCTCGTTTTCAGAAGGTAGTAATGATTCTGCTGTCGAGCCTTAGGTCACAGTACCCAACGCCTCAGTTTCCAGAGTCAGACTCGCACCATACCCCATGTGCAGTATCATCTCTTACTGCTCGTCGTCTTCCTCTACCTTAAGGATAGCCTCAGCAACGTCCTTGACCTCAGCCTTGGTCTTGGCCTTCTTCTTGGCAGGGGCCTCGGGGGCGTCGATCTTGCGCTTCGCACCGCCAATCTTGCCGAACTTGTCCTCATATTCAAGGCGAATCGCCTTGAATTGCTTCCTGAGCGGTCGGATGTATCAGTTGACTGAAATGGGGATGAAAACTGAAGAAGTGAGGCCGAGTCAGCTGAATAATTACTTACTGGCAGATGTTCCTGTTGATGTGTCGGTCCATGCCAGAGATACGACCGGCAATCTTGTCCCAGCCACTCATGGTAAGGTTCGGGTTCGTCTCAAGGATGATCGACATTAGGAGCGCGTTCTGCTGCGCGTTGCTCCAGCCTGACTCGGCAGGAGCCATCGTGGAGTCTCGAGTGAGGGATAGATGGGATTTGTGCTGAAGTCTTAGGAAAACCATTAGTTGGCTCAGTAGCGCTTGGACGCGGGAAATTCTACCTTCGTAAAAGTCCCGATGGTTAGGAACCGTCAAGAGTGTGATGGCTGCTGAAAGGTAATGGGCGGATTTTGTTTCCGAAAGTTGATCCAGAAATCTCAAGGTTAGGTGGAGAGAGGGAAGAACCAGGCTTCGAATAGGAAACCGTGCATGGACTTGACTAGAGAACAATCGATCCCGCTAGTGATTTTGCAAAGCAAACATGCGAGGTTTGTATTGCTATCTTAATATTCTGCTACTACTAAATTTCCATAGTGCGGTATGCTTTCGGTAGGAATTCATTCGGTTTCCGGTAGAGGAACAGGCATAGGGCATCAAGGTCGGGTGACATCACGTCACCAAAGCAATGAGGTTGCCAACCATTGAGGCGGCCTCGAGGTCCTCCAAAACCCTGTCGCTGGTTACATGGCACAGTGATCAAGGACACACCAATAGCGTTCGTGGCCAGACAAAGGGAACCTTTTCACTTAGCTTTTTGCTCCCCTTTTCCTCTTTCCTTAGGGGCATTCAGGGCTTGCCTGATATTATCATAGATTCTAAGTCATCACTGTGATGCTAATAACACTGCTGGTCTGCTGTTAAGGGCGAATGCTTCACTTTGTTTATTCTTTGACTGGACAGTTCTAAATCGCGGTTACAGGTGTAATTAGTACACGAGTTGGATGAATAGAAGCGAGAGAGATGGAAATTAATCCATGGAACTAACATAGGGATTAGTTATCAGGCATGGCAGATGCTCGCTATATAGCAGCAGTCATTTTCATTTTCGTGTAGCATGTAACAAAACCGTTCTCTCTGACTTCATAACCTTCATTGCCAAGGACAAGCTATTTCCTATGTTTGAAAGCCGCTATGCCTAATTTAAGGAAAATTTGGCATCACAAAACCGTATTTCTATCTTGGTCTTATACTCGGGATCATCGACAGCGCCTCTCACGTCACCAGTGGTCTCCAGTGACCGCCTGATAAAGATGGTGTTGTCAAGAGCTTTCAAACGCATTCCGTCGCTGGTGAGTCTCGTAGTGCAGTCAGATGTGGCATTATTCCGTTCATCTCGGGATGATCCTGACGTTGAGCGAGCCGAGTTACTACCACCGGAATGGGTGACACTGAGCCTTGATCAGGCTCATAACCATGTCAAGTTTGCAGGACTGTGAAAGAAAGATGTATTGGATTATTCAGTCTCCGTTTGGGGTGTACTTCTCATTGAACCATCGAACATATTGCTGGCAGCCACGAGAATGGGCTGCCTTCAGAGAGAAGCAGCGTTGTACAATTTAGATGAGATGAAGTGGTCGCTTACGGGTAGCAACTAACAGCTTTCCCAAAGCCAACAGGCATCTACTGAATCTAAGTAGACCAGACCAAACATGAATCGGCGCGCTTGAATATCCCAGGGCTGGTGACTATTCGAGATAAAGTACGAGCATCTTCTTACGGTTATTTGTTGCTCAACCTGGTGCACGATGACTGCGCGCCCCGCATTTCCTTGCACCTTAAGTGAGCTGCGGGTCTCAGGTGGTAATGATGCACCTTGCCATCATCCAGCACAACTGTAGCATCCGTACCCATAAACAAGGGGCGCTCTGTCTAAAATCTCGCTCAACCCAAAATTTGCCTTTGCCTTCCAGGACTGTATGTGCAGTCCTGGAGGGCATCCAGGTAGGCGGCCCGACGCTGACTGGCTGAACCCTGAAGCCATGTGCCAACCTGCCCATCGGAACATTCTTTAGCGCGCCCCTGAGCTTATTTTAGCAACCGACTCGCCTAAAATGGCAGCACCCTTGCTCGCAGCCAAGGAGCCCCCACCGCGATGACCCAATTTGTACACTAATTCATTACGCTGACCAGAGCTTACTGTAGACACCTACGGAATTTGGCCACACCTGCGCACCATGGAGGCTATGGAGGCTAGAAAGGATGTCTCTCCGCTGAGTTTATTACTCTTCTAGTTCGGAGTCCCAATCTGGATCCGCTAGGTGAAGGCTTAGGGCTGTCATCAATGTCATCCAAGGCAACTGAGTGCATCGTCAGTGTAATCCGTCATGGGGCTGTGCAACGTGCGTTATGTAATTCACAATGTGGGCAACATACTTGAAGCAGCTCAAACCGACAAGAATAACTATTAGCTGCTCATAATATCTACAATTTGTTTCCATCAAAGAATATTGGCTTCTATCCCAGTTGATTTCAGCGTTAACTTTCTACCAAATCTCACTATCAAAAGTAGCCTTTCGAAAGCCAATTGGCCCATATGCTTGGATCATTGTATCAACTCACGGTTAGCCGTTTCCAAGTCTTCCAGAGATGTCTCCGCCTGCTCCAAAGAAGGACGTTGGTAAAGCTCCCGGCAACCCGATCTATGAGCTCTCTTCTAATTGTGTCTTCAGACTGGTCCGCGCTTGGCGTTGCCCTCGACCTTCCAGTAAATGGCCACATCGAGACCAGATTTCATCTTTCGACAGGGAAATGGACCGAACCGACTCTTGTGGCCAACCCGAATATCTCAGTTAATGGCCTTTGTCCAGGCCTGAACTACGGACAGCAGTGTTATGAAGGTCTCAAGGCTTTCCGCACACCAAGCGATACGATCACGATCTTCAGACCAAAGTTTCATGCAGCAAGAATGGCTCATTCTGCAGCCTCAGTATCCCTACCAGAACCCTCTGAGGAACTCTTCCTTGAATGTCTGAGGATGGCGGTAGCACACAATGCCGAATATGTCCCGCCCTCGGGCTCGGAGGCTTGCCTTTATATACGACCCGTTCTTTTCGGTGCATCAGCGAGACTCGCACTTGCGCCGCCAGAAGAGGTCATCCTGGCAATCTATGTCCAGCCATCATTTCCATATCACGGATCAGCTTCTATTGACGCTGTTGTCCTCGAGGATTTTGACCGCGCGGCACCGAGGGGCATGGGTAGGTACAAAGTTGGAGGAAACTATGCTCCGGTATGGCGGCATGCCGCAAAAGCTCGGGCTATGGGCTACGGAATCACACTGCATTTGGATTCTTCTTCACGTTCTCTGATTGAAGAGTTCTCTACCAGTGGATTCATGGGTCACAAGGTCGTCAATGGCAAGGATGTTCTTGTCGTGCCTGAGACGCAGAATGCAATCGACAGCACAACTAGTGATAGCATGGTGAGAATGGCAGAACGGGAAGGCTGGATGGTCGAAAAGGGAGAAGTAAGAAGCCCTATTCAATTGTGCTTTAGACCTTCATAAATGCTAACTGGGGTGTCATAGGTCCCGTTTTCGACTATTTCTTCCCTAGACGAAGTTGTGGCTGTTGGTACCGCCGCCGCCGCCGTTCCTATCCGTAGTATTTCCCGGTTATCCACATCCGAGAAGTACAGTTTTTCTACATTGGAGAATGGAATACCAAGACTTGTTGCCTTGTCGCGCCTCATGGCGGCGATTCAGCGAGGAGAGGAAGAAGATACTGATGGATGGTGCTGGGAGGTCACGGGGTTTCCGCAAGAGAAAAGCAGCACTGCTTTCAGAGGCTTCAGTGGTCAAGGCTCGGTGATAGGCAACACGATCTCTACTTTCCAGAGCACGGTCATTGGGAGCATACAGAGTGCTCTGCATTTACTCCGTGGGTCAAACCCTACATGATTCCACTTTTCACGGCCAGGGGCTTATTTTGTAAACTAGGTGCTGGTGATTTTCCAGAAATCATTCTCAAATAGAAGACTACATGAACTATATAATGCATTTATTTCGGATAACATAAACGCGCAGGTTTTAGATGATCACATTCGTAATTGGCATGTCGCTGTCCTTCGGCTGCGTGTTCCTACTTTGATTTCTTCATTCTAATCGTACCTACGTGGCAGAATTTGACTCAAACTATACAGCGGGTCAGAGGAGGTTGAATGCTGCAGATTCCCATTGAAATAAAAATCAGATTCATACACATAGTCTATCCAATACCAACGAATTCCAACACTTCAAGCATTACAGGCGTTCACTGACGACAGCCAATTATATCTATCGTTGCGTGCAAAGACGCACTCTCCTCAACTCAATGCCGTATTGTCACATTGTTCCTCTTCTTAAACGATATGCCGTGTCTCGCTGCCTAAGTCACGAATTTCATACGTGTCGGCTGCGCAACCAGTTTCGTATGAAGTTTGGCTGAGGTTCTGTGGCATTTGCTTTCGTTGTGCCTTAGCAGCTTTACGATCCGCCTTCGCTTGCTTCTTTTCGGCTCGAGATAGCTTGGGGAATTCGCTCTCTGGACCAACGAGGAAACGTCCCGGATGCCAGATGGCAAGAATGAGTAACGCTAACATCATCGGAAAACAATCAAGGGCATATGCGTACTCCTAAGGCGAATTAGAATGTTCACTTGCTTGATATTGTCTATGGACGTTGGCTTACCTCATGGAATGGTATAGGGTTTGATGGTGTGATGCCACCCGCAAACTCGGCAATACGGTAAATGATACGAACTGATATGCAGGTGAGGACGCTGTACAAGGCAAAATGAAGCGGCTTCCAGCTTCTTTTTCTTGGCCCTTGTTCAGCAGCACCACTAACACCCCAAGAGTTGCAACGAACATGAAACTCTATCATGAGCCACAGGAAAAGAATGATGAAGAATTGCTGCAGACTCGTACCGGCCAAGTACACATTAAGGCCAGTCTTGACGATATTTGGGTCAGCTCCTGGGCTGGCCATCAGCCCACCCGCAGCTTGAATACTATAAAAGCGGTCAGAACGAGGCTGAAACCTTGGGATAAACTGGCGACGTACATGAAGGTGAGGATATCAGCCCATACAAACCATTTTGCAAGGCTGGTAGCGTTTATGCCCCTGATCCTTCGATGAGACTGAGGCAGGTAGTAGTAGGCCTCTCGGGCAAAAGTCATATAGACGAAGGCATTTATCCAGAGAGGAGCAAGGAGGAAGAGGATGTTCCAACCTGTAGCATAGCCAATCTGCTGTTGGTCTTTCGAACCTAAGGAGTGTAGAATGAAGCCGACGGTTTCCCAGGCCGCTCCCATGATCACCACCCACGTGTATCTCTGCGGCTTTCTTAGTAATGGCTCAATGAAACTCGAAGAGACTTCAATACCTTTTTGTAAGCAAACCCCTGGAAAAGGTGCACACCGAAGAGAAACCCAAATATCACAGCAACAGCCACAGCTGGAGCAAATTGGGGATCGTAGTTGTAATAGGCATTGCACGCGCTAAGATCGTCAACGTGCCCATTATGACCAGGTACCGCAGTTATGCAGTTGCTATTGGTGTCGTCATTCGAGTCGCCATCGTCGTCTCGTCGAATAACTCTCGTGGCCGTTGCGATCAAGTTCGGAAGTGCTGCCATAGCGGTCTTCTGTCACAGAAAGCCTCAAGAGCAAATCTAGGAGCCTATCAACCAATGGAAAAGAAAAAGAAAAGAAATTTAGAAACAAGTGCTTCAGAAGTGGACAGCAGATGGAAACAGGTAAGTACTGTCTCGGTGTGACGAGGGATGTGAGTTTATGGTGGAATAGATTTAGGAAACCTCTCGAGTCCAAGAGCAGCAGCTTGGGTTTAATATATATTATGTGTGGGACACCAACCCCAAATACTGGACACAATGGACGGCAGTGGAGGTCAGCGTACATAATTACCGTCTTCGGCTGGAACAGTCAAACAATACACCGCGTAGTCAGAGTGAATCCGATCCTTCCCAACGGCGCAGGAGGTTACACTTGGGTTTATCGGTCGTGATGGATGCTGCGCCTCTACCTTCGCCGGGGATGCATGGCTTTGAGCTGTGGACATGACGAATGGTTTGGCGCGGTACCACGTTGTTTCAATGATGCTAGAGTGTCCTACAGCTTCATGTTATCACGAAGGGGCGGAAATGTTTCAGTACAACGGCAAGCTTACTTCAGTCTCGGCCAACCAGGATGCAGCTGCCAAGCCATTATGTCGTCGTAATCAAGCAAGGCCCTGCAGGCGAGCAGGGGATCTCGTATGCATGCCCTTAATTCAGACTAGCGGGCTAACCGTCGTAGGCGCAGCTGAAAGCTCAGCACCGCCAGGTTTTCTCTCCGTAGGGCTGGTCCACTAGGCTTAGGCTGCAATTAACTAATCAACCAGCCTACAGCGGCCTCGCCTTTGTTGTTGCACCTCATGTCACGATCTCGACCGGTTTACGAGTCACCCAAAGACACACTTAAATACATAGACATCGTCGTCCCACCTCATCCGCCTTTTCATTATTTATGACAGCGTGCGGATTCATGTATCATTCCGACCTACGAGAAGTCCACATCAGTCTTCAGGCCATTCTTATGTGAAGCCTCAGTGGCACAGCTGTCCGTTCAGCGTCAGCATTTTTGTACAAAACCCGCACACTTCAGCCGCCAGGTACCCCATAAAGCAGATCTCTTCAATTATCTGAGTTACTATTCGATCAAATATTTCTGGACACCTACCATACCGACTATTACTGGCACAATTTCACCAAGGGAGAGTGTTTTGTCGAGATCCTGTCTATTTACCAACGTCGCGTCACAAGGAGCCAAACACTCGCCCGGCTCTCCCTACACTCCGTTCTCCTTACCTCTTGAGTGACAACGTATTAGAGTACTCACCACATGCTTGCTTTATTGTACGGAACTGCTTTAGAGCGCTGGGAACTCACCATTCTCGACTACAAGTCAGATCTCTCTCATATTTCACTTCACATGATATGAGATCTTTGCACAATTTTCCCATGTTAACTCTACCTAGTAATTCAATTGAGGCTTATACACGTATATCTTATGGTAGATCTCTAGTAGAGCCCACCAGGTTTATTACTAGATAATCCAAGAGCAGTGTCATGCCGTAGCCGATACCCATCACTCCATGCATTTCCCCACGTACTCCAGCCCATTTCTCACAGATGCTTCTACCGTCTCCAAATCGAGCGGTTCTTTCTTTGGATCTTGGCATTCTAACTGCACACCGGACATGAGTAGGCCAGCAGAATGAAGAACTTCCTGAGGCGCTACTGTCGTTCTCCCTGCTTTGAATACGTACTTGGAAATCATGGTGGCGAATACAAGCTTCCTCAACTTCTCATCTTCCAGCACTGCGCTGGGCCCACCAACACACTCGACCTCAAACGGAAGCCTTGATCCAGCTTTGATGAAGTATGTCACGACGTAGAGAGACTTTTCATTCCACGATAGTATCCGTGAGGATACAGTGTAGCCTTGGTAAGGCCGGATCTCTCGGCGGAACTTGCATTGGACGCCAGCCAAGATGAACATGGCTGGTCCCAAACCTGCCAGAGCCTGACCTAATAGGCTGGAGAGCAGGGCCACCCGGCTGATGTCAGCGTCGACGAAGAAGGTGCTGTTTGACTTGTGGATGTTGATATCCAGATCGCACACCACCGCACGTGAGCTAGTCGCATGATGTCGGAAGAGGCTTGGCAGAGCTCCTTTGATAGTGCCGTTCGGAGGTTGTGAGTGTATTGACGGTATTTGCTTCGAAAACCGCGGACTCAATAGACGATAGACCGATGGCAGCACCCTCACTGTATGAGCGAATGGGAGAGCTTTCAGGTTGGCTGCAGCAAAGCCGAGGAGGACCGCCAATCCAAGTAGGGAGCTATAGGAAAGTCCTTGGAGCTGGTATATGTCCTCGATCATTGTGCCTAGCTTTGACTTGTATGTGGTGATAGTGGAAGCCGAGTTCTATTTGGAACGTAGAGACAGTGTTGATTTTTGACAGGCGCCCTTGCGGAAAAGCAACAAAGTGGGAATAATACGATTTTGGTTTGGTCGAAGTCTGGCGGAGCTGGCTGTCAATGCGGTGTGTGAGAAGAAATACAAGATCGTGCATACGCAGAACGGCTTCGGCCTTCAATGTCTATCCTATAGGAAACGTAGCGGTAATGTTAAGGGTTCTAGATCTAATGCTTGGCTGATTGCAAAAGGCCAGCCGATAGACTAACACAGACCACTCTTGAAGATCTTGCACGTCTGATTGTGCTGACCAGTATGGTACTCAACTGTCTGATAGAAAAGCTGACGGTTTTGGTTATCGTAGTAAGCCGTCGATTGCGATGTGGGGGGGTGCTGTGCCCACTGTGATCGTAAATCCGGGGCGTCACTTGCGCTAAGCCTCCGAGAGGTCATACATTCATTACTATCGGGTATATTCAACTTACTGCTATTAGTACCACTCGAGTAATACTGGCATATACATCTAGTTAACCTCGTAATCGTACGCCATGCTCCGTTCTTGACCACTTGGCAGGATATCATGGATTCTTGAATTAGTGCAGTTCTCCGAGAGATTCAAATCCCACCACTGCCCCCCCGGCGATAGTGCCCTTCAGCTGCGAAGACGTCCGTCGCAGTGGGCTCGCTCCCTGGAAGAGGTCCACATGGTGTAAACCCGTTAGCTCCAACGGTAAATGGGGGCCTATCTCGACCACAACTATTAATATGGCCGTCCGGTAGCCACCCGACACGAAAATGCAGATAACAATTCCACCTGGACGAAGCCAGTTGATGAATATCAGGTTGCGTGACGCGCTGAGCCTATCTTTATGGAGGGCGCTTCGCGGGTAGAGGTTGACCTTGCTAAGTTAGCGCCTTCATCTCGCCTAAAACCTACGTGTAAGCTTAACGGGTTGGAAGCGGTAGCCAGGGGTCTGGGACTTACGTCATTGTTCCAAATACCTTGGAATGGCACACAATGACTCGACTGCAGCGATCAGTGGCTGGCTCTGGGTGACGAAGAATAAAGATCTTCGAGTCAGTAAATATAGCAGTGCCATGCTTCTGGGAATAGGAGACTCTTCGTGCGTCTTTGTTCCTCGCCAGCGGTTCAAAGCTGATTAATTTTGACTTTAACGCCAACCATCAAGACCAGCATCCAGTTCGCATAAATCACAACCATGCAGATGCCACGCTTATCAGGGATAATGCCGTCTCTGGCGTTCATCTCATCTTTAAGCTTGATTTCCCTGGTTCGGCCCGTCTTAGCTCAAACTGTTGTTGTAACAGTCGGGCCCTCAATTCCAACCAATGCACCGGAGTTTGTGAACGAGGATACGTTCACATCAGCCATTCTAAATTCGACAAACTTCTACCGCAAGGAGCACAATGCGTCAGATGTGACTTGGAACTCGACACTGGAGAGCTACGCGACAGACTACCTGGACTCCACCTGCGACTTTGAGCACAGCGGCGGGCCCTACGGCGAGAACCTAGCGATTGGGTGCTCAAACGCAACATCTTGCGTCGAAGCCTGGGGCAACGAGAGGGCGGAGTATGATTTCAGCCATCCGGATTTCTCTGAGCAGGCAGGGCACTTCACACAGCTGGTTTGGAAGAACACGACAGACGTCGGGTGTGGTGCCAAGCTCTGTGGTGATAGCGGATGGTATCTGGTTTGCGAATATTGGCCGCGCGGCAACGTGATTGGCGAGTTCGGCGAGGAGGTGAACCCCGATGTCAATGGAAATTCCGCTGCCGCAATGAGACCACGCCTCATTGTTCCACTTGCTATAGTGACAGCATTGATCTTGCTGTGACCTCGGTTCACTCCTCAGTCATACTATTAGTATTCAGACGCACGGCCGTTTCCTGACGCCTGGTTTCTGGCCTTGATTGCATATCAGGTTGTGGTTTTTGGATGCGTGGTTGGAGGAATTAACGAGACTATGAGCCATGTATATCATGTATATCCTTGTATATTACAGGCAGCTGTTGTTACTACCAAAGTCTACCATGAAGTCCTCATAAACGTATGAACCATTATCTACAGCATGAAGTTGTTCTCGTAAATCATATGCCTTCTTTCCTGGTGCGTCGAGTTTCCCGAAGTCGTCACGTTTCCCACGACGGTTCCTTGCTCATTCTCATACTCGGCCCAAGCGCTCTTGAGAGACCAGATGGCAATGCTCACTTCTGTACCGCTGGGCAAGTTTGCAGTCCTCAGGTTGACAGTCGTCAAGGGCTGTGTAGGGTAGAATAGCACGGTTGCGGCGTGTATACCGCCATCAACGAATACTTCATATATGCTTCTGTCAATCACAGCCTTGAAAGTCCATGATGCCAGAGAATCAGTGCCAGTGCTGTAAACGTCTGCAGTGCTGAACTTGTCCGTGAAGAAGACATTGTCAAACCCACGAATCTGGCCGCGATCGACGAAGAATGGTGTGTCTCCGCCAAAGTAGAAGCCGGATCTCAGGGTTTCTCCAGATGAGGGAGACGTGAATGATACATTGAGTGTGGAGTACGATGTCAGGAGTGTTGTGTTGATACCGGTGACGTTAGCTTCGATGTATAGGGCATTCGAATCAACTGCAGAATAGTCCACAGCAACACTGCCGTTTCCGAAAGTGGATGTATCGAGAGGTGTGTCCAGAATGGGACTTGGGTCGTAGATTTCGTCAACCATGACCCACCCGATACGTGGGGCCTTGGTCAGGTAGTTTGATCTCGGCAAAGTCATAGCACTACGCCAGCCCTCGAGATTTCCGGTGGGAACCTGCTGCGCATACTGCCAGTTCGATGCCCACCCAAGATTGACAGCATTCTGTCCTTCGGGAATTCCGTAGAAGAACTGAGCGGCGTAGTTGTCCTTTGCAAAGTCCGTCAACCTCGTGGCAGCATCCGCTGTCGCGAAGTGTGTGCCGTTAAAGTCGCCTAGGAAGTATTCCGTGATCGAACCTCCGAGGGGAGCGCCAGGCTGAACCGACAGTGTCAGAACAAACTTCTCGTCTACCACAGCGCCGCTTTCATCCCTGACAGGCATTTTAACCAGGTTCGGACACTCGTACTGAGCGCCAAGGAGCCCGTGGTACGAAAAATTCGACGCATGAGTCCACTCCTTCAAATCTGGGCTGGTGAAAATGCCCACTGAAAACTCCTGAGCGTAGGCGATGACGGCGACCCAATGGTCCTCAACCCAGATAACCTTGGGGTCGCGGAATTGGGTGGAAGTGCTGTCAATGACTGGGTTGCCGTCGTAGTACTCAAAGCTATAACCGCCATCGTGCGAATAAGCGATGGCTTGAGTCTGTGGCCCAGCAGAACCGTCATCGTAATACCTCGCCAAGGTAAAGATGGCGACAACTCCATTATCCTGGTCTGGGAAGAAGCCCGAGGTGTTGTTCACATCAACGACAGCCGACCCCGAGAAAACATAGACCGACTTCTCAGGAGGGAAGAGGGCGATGGGCTGGTTGACCCAATGGTATAGGTCTTGGGATGTAGCATGTCCCCAATGCTGGTTGCCAGCACCAAGGCCAGTCGGGTTGTATTGATAGTAGATGTGCCATGTCCCATTGGCATCCACAAACATGCCATTGGGGTCGTTCATGAAGAATTGAGGTGGGGAGAAGTGAACCTGCGGACGCAAGCCGCCAGTGTAGTTGCCCGGGACAGGGACGCCTGTTGGCACTGACGGGTTGACGTATGTGCTAACATTCTGGCAACTCGCACCCGCCAGGCACAATGCGACTGGTAGTAAAGCTTTCAGCAACATCTTGGCTGTTGAGATTATCGCTGTTCGTCGCAGTGCAAATCTACTTCCTAACCGGCTGGCACGTGGTACATATGGCTGGGTCGTCACCAGGCTATATATAAGCATTCGGATATCGCATCAGGACGGTTTTTTTCCCTCTTCTCTCAACGGTTGGTCAATGGGTCAATGACTGCATCGGCATGCGGTAATTTGATTTGCCAAGGTCTTGACGTGACGACAGTGCCGAGCGTTTTGGCGATGGGCTCAAACCTAATTGTTGCGACCCAGCTTTCCAGGGCTCCACGGTACGCTAAGAAGCCTTCTAGCGGCCCATGGCAAGCTGGGATCTGAAGTCGTGGGATCAGTGGCGCCATCGTGGGCATCTCAGCAGGATACTACGCCGCTCGCCTACCACCAATCCCGCCGCTTCAGCCCGCACGGAATGCCCGTACTGCATACACAGGTCCCGCAGTCATACGACGGCCAGAGAGGTCCTGAGTCGAACGCCCTTGGGCTACCTATTATGCGGGGGTTAGGTTGCGGGGTGCCCCTTAGTTACATTCTGCAGGCGGGTCGACTACCTAATGCAGTAGGGCCCTCACGAGACGGTCCGAATGTGGCTTGTCTAGCGGGAAACCGCCTTGGAAAGGAGCAGCCTCATTTCAACGAGAAATAGTCCTCACCGACAACGAGTGCCGTAAGCTGCCCTCAAGAGGCGCAGCATTGAAGTCCAGTTTATAGGCTATGGCACCGCGGACGATGCTCGCAGCCCAATGAGGTTCATCAGCATTGGTTCAGCATAGTTTATATCTTAGTCACGCGTGCAGCACGAGTTTCAATTCATGAATAAGCAACGTTAGTCTACTCCATCGACTGTCTCACTTCAGATGCAGATTACGAGAGACTACGAGACTAGAGCCTTCTGCCCAGCAGGGACGTCGAACGGTCCGTTCTCGGCGAGGGGGAACTTCGGCGTTCCATCGTCATTCCAGGAAAATTTCTGGATCCTCGCCGTGCGGTATAGGTCGGCCGCGGGGTTTGGAGTTGTCTGGGCGTGGTAAACCATGTAGTCCTCCGATCCGTCGGGTGACGTCGTATAGCTGGCGTGACCCGTCCCATAGATGCCCGCTTTGGTGTTTTGGTGGAACACGCATCCCTCTGTGTGTTTCTTCCAAGACTGATACTCCATCGGGTCGTTGCCAACCAGTTCAAGCATGCCAAGGCAGTAGAATGGCGTGTTAACTCGAGCAGCCGAGTAAATCACGAAGTTCTGCCCAGTCTTGGGGTTGACCAACTGCTGAGGTCCCTCGTTTGTTGCCAGTCGAATTGGGCGACCGTACGGGACCTGTTCCCACGGCTGGTCAGGTACGCTGATCTATGAAATTCAGATTTAGCACGTCTCCCGAATGCGGGTATCTGACAACTTACCATGCGGCGTTCACTGAAGTCGGACGAGACTGTCCAAGGATCGGACATCTTAGTGATGCACAGATTCGCCGGCCACGACGAGTAGGTATTCTCCCAACATGAGTATATATGATACAGCTCGTCCTCATATGCGAAATATGTGCCATCGATCGCAAACTGATCGTAAGAGTTCAACATTCCCTTCAGGGTGAAGTCCGATCGCCATGGGTCGGAAGTACTTCCTGCCAAGACAAACATACGATGGTTTACCGCTGGGCAGCTAAATGGACAGAGCGCATCTTGGAGCGGCGGTGGGTTGTCGGCATCTGGTGTTGCTGTGAATATTCTGCACGGCTCATATTAGTAGCTTTCTTGATATTTCATGAGAAGACTGCCTGCATTCAGAGGCGGGCAGTCCCGCGACTGGTCAGACAACAAAGAGCGGCCACGAACATGTACCATGAGCCCGAGATATTGTGGATCTCCGGAGCCCACAAGGAGGTGGACCATGGCTGGCCCTTGTCTGCAATGGGGTCCGGATTGAACACTGTCCGCGTCTCCGCATCGTCCCAATTGTCGGTCAGGAACCTGCTGCGCTTGAGGGTGATATTGTCGTTGGTAGTATATGTGAACAAATACCAATCGCCATCGTCCGCCGAATATCGCGTCATGAAAGGATCACCGACATTGAGTGTCATTACCGGGTTCGAGAAGGTGGCGTTGGTGGTCTTGTTCGTACCAACGCTGGCCGGATCCCAGCTTACACCTGACTGTCCAAGATTGGGGTCGAACTGCTGTGCTGTTGCCACCGGGGCGAACCCCAAGACGGCTACCAGGGAGAGCAGAGTTCCAAACATGTTGGTTACGAGCCTGAAGAGCTGGCGGCCAGAGGAGTTGGTCTTGCCTATGTCATCCCCCGGCTCCAAGCGGGAGGACTGGAACTATATACACCCGCATCTTGGGCCGCGTCGATCTAATCTGTGTGATGACGGCCGTTGGGGAACGAAATGTCTGTCCAACCTGCCAGAGCTTCTCGGGGCCAGGTGAGGGGAGCTACCCCGCACCCCCGCGTATTACCCCACAGTACGTGCCCATGTACTATGTAACCCTGGAACCGTTATACGCCGTGCCCCCAGGCCGTGGTGCAGGTTGAATCCTAGTAAGTCGGTGGTTGGCAACGTTGATCAGACCATGTTAAGAAGAGTTGCATAAGTACTTGCAAAGATCCAGACCGCTGAGTTGCTGGGCTCCCTAGTGGAGGTACACCTTGTGCTGTGCCTTCCTACAGTTTCGTGAGACAAAATCATAATGTCTTCTGGCTCGTATTCTGAGGTTGATGCTCTGATAAATTGACATTCGCCTTTGTCTTGCGCCTTGAATGCTAATGGCTGATTGGCCCACATGGGTTTGTGAGTATAGATGCCAGGTGCCAAGTTGCGACATGCTAAGCGCTCCAATGGGGATCCAAGTCCAAGCCAAATCAAACTTGGTAAAGGATAACGGTAGTCATGCAAACAAATGCACATGGCCGGCCCATGGGACATGCTCAAGTTCCTATCCAAGTTGGGTAATAGGCATTCCACTTGTTGGAGTGTTCACTTATTCAGACGGGCAACCAGATGCAATGCAGTCACGATAAGCAAGCCAGAAAGGTGATATTCAATGATTCTAACAGAACTATTTGCTACCCTGTTGCAACCGTTGTCACAGATCCAGTTTGCCATCGCCACATTCTTGGAATCTTGAACTATACGACAAGGACACACCTGAATCGAACCTTGCCAGATGTGCAGTGGTCCAATGCTTTCTGCGCGTCATCCAGAGGGAACTTCTCGATCATGCATTTCACACCATGATCTTGAGAGAACTGAATAGCCTCCTCAGTATCCGTGGCGTGCCCGCTGGGCCAGCCATGTACCGAGGCGCCCAAGGTGACCAATACACCGGTGTCGAACTCTACCGGGCCAACAGGAGCAAGGACGAGCAGCTTCCCAGCCGGCTGTAAACCAGAGACCAGAGGGCTAATAGCTTTTGGGTTCGGCGCAGTGGCAATGATTGCTGCAGCACCTCCCATCTCCTTGAGCTTGGTGACAGCGTCATCTTTGCTAGTGTCGATGTATGCATGGGCGCCGAGTTTGTGGGCGAAATCTCGTTTACTGTCGCCAGAGCTGATAGCGACTGTGCGGTAGCCCATCTTATTTGCGTACTGGATAGCGAGATGGCCTAATCCACCCACTCCCTGAACCGCCACCAGGTTCCCTTGCTCGACATGGAGCTTGCGTAGTCCATTGAAGACGGTGACACCCGCGCAGAGTAACGGTGCCGTCTCAGCGGGATCCGCCTCAGCCGGAATGCGGACTGCTGCCTCCTCCCTGAGTATGGCATACTCTGCGTATCCGCCATCCCGACTCACGCCGTTGATCTCTTTGTTGTCACATATTTGAAATAGAGCACGCGCGCACTGTCGACATGTGGAATCGTGCCCTCCGTGCCAGGCTCCACCTACACGGTCACCGTTTGAGACTTTGGTCACGCCTTCACCAACTGCTACTACAGTGCCGATGTATTCATGCCCTTCTTACTGTTAGCAATTGCCGGCATAGAGGCGTCAAGGGAAAGTCCTACCAGGGACGCGTGGGAGTATTTCCCCGAAAAAGCCATTCTGCACAAAGCTATCCGAATGGCAAACGCCGCATGCTAGCACTTTAACCAGGACTTGCTTTGGGCCCGGCTGTTTGAGGTCCACCTCCTTGAGCACGATAGGAGAGCCCTTCGACTCGAAGACGGCTGCCTTATAAGACTTGGGCAGTGACGACGGCATACTGAACGTTGAAGATTGATCGGATCACTGGCTTATAGGAGGACAAGGCTGTTATTAAGTCTGATGGGAGACAAATTTGAGCCTTCATGGCGGGATCACATCGCTCTATATATATGCAAATAGATTTACATATCGCCACATGAACTGTGTTGTGTACTGTAACGGCACACCAGTCGCCGTAAAGCCAGCATATTAGCCACCGGTCGAGAGGGGGCTTACTGAGCCCGAAACTTCGGACTTAATGTACGATTGGGATAGGAGCTGCAATCATGTTAGACTCTGCAAGCCGTTTCAGTGACTAGCCTGGACTTGGCCGATGACCCCACGCGCCAATCATCATTACCTATTCAGTAGTAAATACATTAGCTTACGAGCAAATCCGTAGGCGTAGAAAGGGGACGCGACTGATTTATCCGATTGTTGGCAGGGTTTCGGGTTTGGGCTGAGAAATGTTCCAAATCCGAGTTGAGTTCGGGGCTTGCTGTCGTCGTTCTGTAGCGACCTTGGACTAATGCATGTTCTGACACTAGGCCCTTGGAGTTAACGGCTCGCGCCGCGGCCGGTTCCCCAACAATGTTCAACGTCCCAAGAATGGGCATTGGAACACTCGTCCCACCGCGAAACCTGGGAGCAAATTCGCGTCTTGAAACTGAATTAATTCCCTATTCCCGAGAAAAGGTTCTAGTCTATCAGAAAGGCCCGCTAGTTGGCGGATTTCTACGTGTAAAGGGCTGGACATGAAGTCATAGGCCCGAAAGGCCCATAAACTAGCCAGGAGCATATATACCATTATATTCGACAGCTCAATGAATCTGGATTGATATCTGATCATCATGACAGAGATCAAGTTTGCTTCCATTCGCTGATCAACAAAATCCATCATCTCCTCTAATAGAAACCTCAAGCACGGTGACAGCCACTATTGTCATCCCCATCTAGCATGTCTCTTCAAGGCAAGGTCGTCCTCGTAACCGGAGGCTCCAAGGGCATCGGGAGGGCCATATGCTCTCGAGCAGCGAGTCTCGGTGCAAACGTCGTCATCAACTACTCCAGAGACAGTGTCCCAGCTGATGCGCTCGTGAAAGAGATTGGCGCGGACAAGGCGTTGGCGGTGCAAGCGGATGTTTCCAAGGTGTCCGAAATCGAGAAGCTCATCAACGCAGCTGTTGCCAAGTTCGGCCGCGTCGATGTTCTCGTCCCGAATGCGGGCATCATGCCGCTGCAGCCTCTTGCCGGTACAACCGAAGAAACGTTTGACAAGGTGTACGACCTCAATGTCAAAGGCCCCTTCTTCCTCGCCCAGAAGGCCGTGCCACACATGCCGTCCGGAGGTCGCATCGTCTTCATCTCGACCGGCATCGCACGCAACAGCGCGGTGCCGCCGCCTTATCTTCTCTACGCGTCATCCAAGGGCGCCGTTGAACAAATGACACGCGTGCTGGCAAAGGAGCTCGGGGCGAAGGGCATCACCGTGAATGCGGTCGCGCCCGGTCCCACGGCAACCGACCTTTTCATGGAGGGTAAGCCCGAGGCGATGATCAAGGGTATCGCAGCACAGAGCCCGTTCAACAGGCTTGGCAACCCTAGTGAGATTGCCAATTTGGTGACTTTCATCGCGAGCCAGGAGAGCGCGTGGGTGTCGGGGCAGATTATTGGTGCGAATGGCGCGGGTTTTGTTTAAGTATATTGTAAATCAATAGAGCTGGGAATCTAAGCTATGAGAACGGGGCTATCAGGGACTGAATAATTACTCATGACATCCAATATGCACTTGTGCTTCGTCTGTTTATGTTGTTTCATCTCACGTAGATACTATTGCGGCGATGACGACTCCTAAACAGATAAGTCCACATAGAATGAATTCTCATTGTAGCTCGCTCGGCACGACTGTTAATATTTACACAGTGCTCCAGGAGGGGGTATACTATCGGCTATTAACGAAGAAAAATGCACACAGGTATAAATCCATCTTCCTTCATGCACTGCAAGGGGTGCAAGTCGCTTTCACATATGCCACCCATGATCTAAATACAAAGTCCGACGTATCTAAACACGCTTCTCGTTCTCGGAAACGTGGATCGCGTCAAAGTTCTTCTCGCCATCAGCGATGATAGCATGTCTTTCCTCATCACTGACACCAAACAAGGCGTCCATCTGCTCAAGCGCGACACCTGAAAAGGACGTGTTAGTGCACCGAAACTCGTTTTCAAAATCCGAGGAGCTACTTACCCTTTGTTTCCGGGATGAGGAAGAAAACGAAGAGCCACATGACAACACCGAAGCTACCGAAAATCAGGTAGGTTCCGTATCCGTGGTCACCGACAGTCTCCAGCATAGTGGGAACGGCTTTGGCGACCACGAAATTGAATAGCCACTGGGTCGCAGCAGCCAAGGCAACGTTCTGGTGTGGTTAGCCTTGCCTTACAAATACTCTGGGATGAAGGCTACTCACCAAGGGTCTCAGTCTGGCAGTTGGGATCTCAGAAACATAGATCCAGCAAGCAGGGCCCCAGCCGAACTGGAAGAAAGCAGCAAACAGGAAGATGCAGACTAGAGCAACGTAGCCTTGCGGTGGTACAGATGCGTCCGCGACCGGTGGGGAGATTCTGACGTAAAGACCGATGTAGAACATGCAGAGAGACTGGCCAACAGATGATGCAAGAAGCGATCGTCGGCGTCCAAGAGAATCGGCCATGAAGAGAAGGAAGGCGATACACGCGAGAACTTTCACGATGCCGTAAATACCCGTGCTAAACAGTTGATTGGAGGTTCCCTTGATGCCCAAGTTCTCGAAGATGGTAGGAGCGTATGTGTTAATTGCGTTTGTTCCAGTCATCTGTTGCCAGATCATGAGGAAGATGCTGAGAAGTGCGCGCTTGCGGTTTGTGGGGGTCAGGAACATCTCCTTCAGAAGGGTCATGAGGTTGGCGTCTCCAAACAGTTGCCGCTCATAGGTTAGCTGGTCACTGATCTCCTGGATCTCTTCCTCGAGGTATTGGTGACCGTCGGGCAGCTGGCGCACACTCTTCAACACCCTCCGCGCTTCTTCCCAGCGATCCTTTCTGGCCAGGTATCTTGGCGACTCATTACTGAGGATCATGAGAACCAACAACAAGAGAGCGGGGATACCCTGCACGGCGAGAGGGATGATGTACTGGGCCTTGCCGACGTTGTGGATACTGGTAGCATAGTTGATCCAGAAGGCAAGCATACCACCAGTCACAATGAACAGTTGGTACATTCCAGTAAGAAGCCCACGGATAGCTCGTGGCGAGTTTTCGGACACGTAGATGGGGTTGACGGCACTGGAAATTCCGACTCCGAATCCTGCAGACCGATGGTTAAACAAGTTGCTCCTGCTTGGGTGGAGGGAGGTATATCAGAACGTACCAGAAATCAATCGCCCGATATACATGGCTTCGAGGTGGCCAGAAGCAGCTGATTGCATCACAACTCCGGCGAGAGTGGTGGCAGCAGCTACTACCAAAGCCCATTTACGGCCGATCCAATCAGGCAAAGGGAAACCGATGAGAGCTCCGAAGAAGCAACCTGCCTGAAGAACGGATACGATGTTACTCGAAAGGTTCGCGACGTCGCCCTTGGTCAGACCATAGTCCCTATTCAACGGTCATATTAGCATCCGACGCTGACAGACTACGTTGCCGTCCAAACTCACGCTTTGAAAGGGTCAAGCTTGATAACGCCCCCGATGACACCGCTGTCCCAGCCAAAAGACATGGCGCCGAAACATGCCTGACCAAAATACGTAAGCTTCCGTTGAAGAGACGATGGTAGTGGTGGTCTTACCGACGCAGCCAGAACGTATACTCTCCAGCCATAGATCTCCGGTGGGTCCGATCTCATGGCATCATTCTTCACGATCTTCCGCAGAACGGGCAGAAGAAGCGACATCTTGATTGGCGTCTGAGGGACCTCCTCACAGACTTCTTAGTGTCTTTCTCTGGTATCTGGTATAGCTTTGGTCAACCGCGATCGGGATCCAAGAGACAAATGACACCGTACGTCCACGAGGAAGCAAGACAAAAAAGCAAGACACGGGTCGCGAGCACGGCTTCTTTATCAGTAGAAGCCGAGAAATATAACCCGGGATGTGGAGACCCCTGGCTATGAAGCTGCGCGCATGGTTACAGTCCCAATTAATTGGGGCGGGACCATACTTGGGGTTGGAAACGAGGACTTGATTGCGGTATGGCACACCTCTTGGCAAAATAGAAGCTGGAGACAGGTGGGAAATGAGTTGGGCACGAATTCCCACCAAACAGAAGGCCTGCTCGACACCAGTAGAGTTAGTCCAGGTGCCCTGGCTCGAGGCCAGTGGAATGCCATGCCAGGGGTTCTGGTCGGCCCATCATCCCGCATGGCAACTAGGCCACTCCTGAGTGCCGTACCCCATGGGCAGCGCTGCCCCGTGATCTTACGCTAGCACACAAGGGACCCATTGTCCTACCTAGGTAGACAATGGCCGTTGTGGTGCCCCCAGCCTCGCTAGTATGCAGAGCAAGATCCCAAAGCGACCTGACGAGAACGAGGTGGAATGGTCTCTTTTTCTTCTGTCTTTTTTCGGGGTCATGTAGGGATCTGCAGAACTGAGGCATGGAATCAATGAAGTTTCTCGCTAGATGTTCTAGCCTGCCGACCTTGCCTGCTGGGTGTGTGGTTTGGGGATTCTGACTGGACCCTGACCTGTGCAATCCTTACGACCACAATCTAGTTGTCACACCTTGGATACGCATATCTTCGCGGCCACGGCGAGGGGTGCCAAGGCAGCCGCCATAATTGGATCTGGAACCCAGGCCCGTCATTCACTGGAAGGATCAAAATATTGCGCGTTGGCGGCGTGAGAGCCAAGAGGCGGTCTAGCCTGTCTAATGGCCATTCTCGTCTTCCAGTGGTGGACGTCCAGCGGAAATGGCCTAAAGGGCCACCTGTTTAGGCTCAATGCGGGGGAGGGTCTAGTCGTGTCAGCGTGGCCCCATCGACAAGCTGGGGTAGACGCCCCATTCAGTGGAGAATGGGGGTTGGGGTAAGGAATTGGCAACTAGGGAGACTCTCACCGGCGCACGCATGCCTGGCATGCATTCGGCAGGGCATTAAACGGTAGTATTGGAAGACAACACTCGGAGCAAGGGGCATCATTGTGTCTGCAAAGGTCGTGGTCGAGCCTAGTCTTGATCTATAAATGTGGCTGCCCAGGGCAATACTCACCCGACACTCTCTTTGCCAAAGCTTCTCGACCGCACGCCAAAAGTACTGCACATGCATACCGAGTACGTAGCACAGCCGTGAGCAATTGCTCAGGAGGCCTGCATGTTGTTTCGGTACGGAACAATCCTTCATGCTAGCTCCAGTATGGTATGGTAGAACTGTGAATATGTCTTTTGCCGTGAGGGCGGATACTCCAAAGATCATATCATGCGGCGAGGACATAGATTAACATTGCAACATATGCACCACACTGAGCCGGCGGGGGAACTTGCGGACAAAAATCCGATCCATGAACCACAGCGAGCATGTGTAGCGAGGCAGGGTTCGAACCCAGACATTGAAATTAAGATACTTCGGGGCTGAGAAGGGGTTCGTTGATGGAATACTCTGACTAGTACGAAGGCTGAGGAGGACCTCTCGCCTCCAGATATCCCGTACCCCAACTCAGCTGACTAGCGCATGTGAATCTCATCAAGTATGCCACGCTTACTATATGGATCCAGTCCCCTTGGCCCGATTGTAGACCACTTTAGCCAGCGACCCTTGGCATTTCGCTTCCTAAGCCAACAAACCCTCAGCTTTCCCATAGAACCTCCATAAGAGGCCCCCAGCTGATTAATATGCTTGCCGACCCCTCCATTACGGTGCTCGGCCCTGACCCAGCGCACCGGGAGTGCATACTCAACGGTAACGCGTTCCAGCAGGATGCCATCCAATCATTTCGGGGCTGGCAATATGCCTGCTTCTATGCGCCTGCAGACACCGGTGGGAACGAGCCCCTGTTCGTGCACCTTGCGCGCAGAAAACTTCCTGGTGGGTCCTGGGAGACACTTGTGTTCAAGGACTATGCTCAGACGACAGATGACGGCCACAACACTGTGCAGGTAACTGATTACTGATCTGTCTGGTTACACGCAATGATTTTCCTAGCAGATCTTATGTGACTAAAGCATTTAAAACCTAGCTCGGCATTTGCCCTGGAGACGGCACGATCCATCTTTCGTATGACCACCACTGTGATAGGTTTGTTCACTATAGCCATTCCAATATATAGAGAGCTGCATGATCTTATGTACCAACAGGTTGAGATATCGATACTCGTTAGTGGGGATAGCAGAGAAGCCCGAGGACTTTGACTGGAACGCGAGACACTTCTCCCCCACAGTCAACACCCTCCCGGGACTGCCGAAGGGTGAGAGCGATCTGTTCGGGTATATCACTTACCCGAGATTCGGTCCGCTGGGCCAGAACCTATGGTTTTCTTTCCGTACGGGAAAGGCCGGCCTGGGTGACGAGCACTTATGCGTGTATAGGGCTGAGACGGGCACGTACTCGCTTCTAGGCACGATCCTGAAGGGGATACAGAACAGCCCTTACATCCACGGCATCGACTACCGCAACGCCAGGCTGTACGTCACGTGGGTCTACCGCGCCTTCGTGTCGTACGAGGGCTGGGATGACCCGCTCGACACCAAGCACAAGCAGCAGCGCGGGCCTAATGCCGCGACGAACAACCACAACATTTGCTTCGCGTACTCAGACGACGATGGCCGTACCTGGCGGAACGGCGCCGGAAACCAGATTGCGGACCTGAGCAAAGGCGAGAGCATCACCCCCGAGTCCCCGGGCCTCGTGGCCTTTGACATCCCCAAGGGCTCAGGCTTATCAAACCAGGAGTCGCAGGCGGTTGACCACAGCGGCGGCGTCCACGTCCTCAACCGCGACAGCCTCGACGGCGAGCAGCGGTGGAAGCACTACTACCGCAGCCCCGACGGGAAGTGGACACAACGAGCTATCCCCCTGGTGAATGGCGCTTTTGGTGGGAAACGCGGCCGGCTCGCGGCTAGTAAAGACGACGACCTGTACCTGATCCTGCCTGACCAACAGAGTTCCACGTTGGCGGTATTGAAGTCAGCCAAGGACGGCGGCTACTCGACGTACGAACTCGTTTGGGGAAAGGAGGGGTTTCCGCCAACGGAACCGCTGGTTGACGCCGCTCGTCTGGACGATGATGGTGTGCTATCCGTCTTTACAAGGACGACTGTCGATGAAACCAGTGGTTGGAAGAACGTGGTCGTGTTAGACTTCGGACTATGACATTCTGCCCTATGTACTTGATGCCCATTACTCATTATATATTTGTTGCCGGGGAGTTGGACTTCATCCTAGCCGCAGCTTGAACCTTCACCTAAAATTTCTGGTTATTTTTACCACATAGTATTGTCACCATAGGAGAACTACACGGATGGTGCTCGACTTAAATTAAATACTCTGGTAGTATGCCCAGGATGTGGTATTGATTATACAAAACGACTGCCCCCTTTTGCCCTTGCAATGCACCGACGCCAGCCCATTAGCCAAGATGCCCTATGGCTTTTTGCTTTCCCCATTTCCAACAGGTTCAGGCTTTGTTGTCTCCGCTTTGACTTGTACAGGTTTCTCTCGAGCCGCAGCTGGGAATCTCGACGTCACAAATTCAGGCCACTGATCCACGTCCATACCGGCAGCCAGCAGACTTTTCAAAACGGCGTACCCAAGAACACCGACGATGGCAATGAGATCAATGATATGTGTGAACCACCAGAAGTACTGCTTTCCCAGTGCGCAGTTGGCAAATTCAAACTTCCATTCCCAAGTGGATTCATCAAACCAAGCACTGAACAAGCCAGCGTTGCCACCAAAGCCGCCCATCATACTCCTGACGGTAATCTCTCGGAGGCCCGGGTGGCCCGGGCGACCCGGAACGTTCTTGCCATAGGCGTCATTCCACCGCATGACTTCCCAACTGCGTTGTTCTGGGCTTTCCCCGTCGGTTTGGTTGATGAAGTGGAAGATGTCGCAACCTTCATGATCATGGCCATTGATAATGACACCGCGGCGACCATTGCCGTTGCCCGGCGCATTAGTATCGCCATGCATGCCAAAAATGCCCTCGAGAAATCCTTTTGACGCATCAGCGGACAGCTGATACTGCTCCTTCACACCACCTCCCTCTTCTGACGAATGGAAGTCAAAGAACGGAGCATCCACACAGACACCCTCGGGCTTGTACAGAGGCATGTGGGTCAGCACAACCGTGAAGTGCCCCTGGTATTCGACCGCCGACGCAGTGTTGATGACGTCGTTGACGAAGGAGTACGTCTGGTCCTGGAGCTCGGGAGCGATGGCTGGCGTGTCGAGGTTCATGTTGTTGACCACAACGATCCTGAGTTCGGGAGGCAAGCGGGTTGAATCCTGGTTCTTCTCCACGTCCATGACCGTGGCATTGGATGTTTCGTTCTTGATGGGCAGCTCAAACCGGAGTTCGTAGGCGGCCTTGCCAAAGGTAGTCTCAAAACGCGCCAGCCGCTCGACGGTCAGATCCCCAGCGTAACCGACGTCGTGGTTGCCAGCAATGTTGATGAGCCTTCTCCTCCATACCGTGCCGTTGGGTCCCTCATTACCCAGATATCCAGTGATTTCGTACTCCTCTGCCGGGCTAGCAGCAACTTCGTCCGGCACCCGTTCACCCCCGTAGAAAGCGCGGTTCCAGTACCTCCAACTCCGCCTATCGAACTCCTCATCGCTGATCCACTGACTGCCGACCAAATCACCCAGCACCGTGACATGAGAGGGCTTCGTCCACCACTTCAGAGTTCTGTAGATGTGGGCAAGGTAAAAATCATTGCCGAACAGGTCTATGCGCTTGCGTATCGACTCAATCGTGTCTGGGATATCCTCGAAGTAGAAGTCGACCAGATCATGCAACGACCTGCGTATCCGCTCGCGAAACGAGTAGTGCTCGGTTTGGAATGTGACATGGGAGACGAACTCCATCAGATGGGGGAACGACGAGTCGCGGTATGCGTTCGGTATCGACGTGTCGCCCTCGAGCTGGGGGTCGCCAAGGGCCAGGAGGCGGAAGGGCGCGAGGCCTGTTGCCGAGTCGCCGACATGCTGCTGTATCGTAGAGCGAAAGGCGGCCGAGGCCGGCTGCGCATCGGGGAGCGGAAATGCGCAGCCCAAGAAGACGGGATAGAGGTACAGGTAGACGGTCGAAGCTACGGCCAGCGGGACGAGAAGTCGCAAGGCATTGCGAAGGAAGGCCGCGGGGGACATGTAGCCGGCGGCATACGGCCGGGGCCAGGAAAGGATGGAAAGGGGGGTGTTTCAAGGAAATCGGCGTGGCCGCTGCGAAGAGGAGCACCGGGAGCAAGCAAACATCACATTCACAGCCTTTCGCGATGAACTTGTTCTCGACCCGGGCGGAAGATAGGGGATCGACAAGCGACAAGCAGGACCCTGGCGCCGCCCCAGGTAGCCAATCGGGCCCGGGCGCGCCCTGCCTGGTGGTTCCAGCGCGATGGTTTCGCGGTTCCCGGTTTGCGGTCCGCCGCGCTCCGTCAGATTGGCTGCCGTCCGTCGCGCCCCTCCCTCCGCCACTGTTAACGAGGCCCGCTGGGGGCACTAATATCCCCCAGACAACATGTTTATAGTTGCCTATGTAATCGCCCGACATCCATTAAGTATTTTCCTATTCGCCTTACCATCTAGGTACATAGGTAGTTATCGATCGCATGTGTGCGCGCGTGCCTTGCCTATTTACACCCATAGGCTTTTTGCATGTTCATCCATCAATGCATATATTGCCTTCACAGAACCGTAGAGTATGTCCCCTCTTCTCTCGACCAGGCCCCTATCTACCTCCATGGGCCCGATGCAGGTTCTCATGTCAGTCTTGGGAGAGGGGTCCCGTTCGGCTCCTCTGTTCTGGTATCGTTCCAAGCCTGCCTGACGGCACCATCTTTGTATCCATGCAGTTCCCGGGCAGGGGGAGGCATATGAACACAACCACCCAAGGAGCGATGTAGATTAGCGGGCCACTCGTCGCGAGGGCTGTCATGACGCCGCTCTGTACCCATCGCCCGCCACTTCCAGTCATTTGGCGAACTGCAGTCGCCTAGCTGATAATAGGCCGTGATCGTAACCACCCAAACATGCCCTTTTTCCCAGAACGATTGCAAGTCCCAATCAGTAAGACATTCTGTGCACGAACCTGACTTCTGGGCCGCTTTGTCTCTTGTGTCGCTGACGTTCGGCTCCGGCAGCTCAATATCATATATCAGCCGACGATGCCAACAGATACGATAACACTCCTCGGCGGGCAACCACCGACGCTGGTAGAACTCTTCCTTGCGTCGATAGATCTTGTGTTTCGCCTGTATGAAGAGCTCATTGGAGATGATCCGGGGGTTCCAGCACACCTGCCAAGTCATTCTATTTTGTATCTTGCCCACCTCATCACACTCTGGAGAGGAGAAATTTTGAGCGAGCAGACTGAGTGGGAATCCGTGACCCTGGCCGTATCGGTGATAGTTCATGAACAAGCGTGCGTGGTGATATGCCAGGCTGGGGTGCAATGGGCTAGTGAACCGATGAAAGGAGACAAGGGTTGTGAAGGACCACCGAGGTATGCTGTGGGCAACCGACTGAGAAAGGCAGCCCCTCTCATACGGGGTTAACTCCCACTGGGATTCCTTCGAGAAGGGATCGGCGGACCCGAAACCCCAGTAAATGCCAAATGCATGAAATTTTATACACGAATGACAGTAGTATTGACCCTTCAGGTCTCTTTCCAGGAGTAGCATGACTTTTTGTTTCTGAGCTCTCGACTTCCTAATCCCCTTGGGTAGAGGGAACAGAAGGCTGAATAGCGGTTTGCATGTAAGCCCAAGGCAAATGGCACATTCCGAAGGCAGGTGTTTGATGATTTGTAGCATAGCATCGGCGGGTAACTGCATGAATCTCGAACTGTTCTGTGATACATCTGACGGCTGCGGAGCTTTCTTGTCTCCAAGGCTCCAGAAAGCCTGGAGAATTTGCGCCAACAACGCCATGTCCGTGGCTTTATAGAAAAGGTCAGCGCGTTATTGAGCACGAGGTTATGGTGGAGAAAATAGGAAATAGGAAAGTCTGTGACATATGATGACTGAGACGTACAATGGCTTGCTGTGCACGGATGAAGTGTCGCGATGCTGCAGGGTTCAGGGTTCTTGCTGGCATGCAAAGACTTGCATGTAAACTTTTAAGCATCAACAGTTTCTTGAGTGTCGAAGAGTGGTCTGGATGATGAGAAGTGAGTGACGAGAGGTGAGCGTTCCTCTACGTGGCGTATTTTGTTTTCTCTCATAGTATTAAAGACGCGCCTGGTTCACAGCGTGGTTGCCTCAGGTACTAGATGCCTGTTGCGTAGCAACTCTAGGGAGTACCTTTACCACAAAATCAAAGACCAAGCTTGTAATTAAGCCAAGAAGGCTATTACGCCTGTTCAGGCGAGACTGAGTAAGTAAACCTTAGGGGAATCTGCCTACATAGAGACCTTCCAGTGAAGACGAGTGTATCGGACAATACAAGCCCGTGTGTGTGATTACAGCGATACGATGATGTTGGAAACAGGTAGAAGAATCTTAATGGATAACCCTATGAGCTCCTCATGGGACGTCTGAGTGTACACGAGTATTTGTTACGTGTAGCTTGAAGAATGCCGTTTGCGAACACTGACACAGGCGGAATGATGTAGTAACCGAAGGCAACCCCCAATGCGCTTGACGGCCAAGTCCAATGTCTATGGATTACCGGAGCCCTCTGGACTCTGCGATTAGGCTCGCACAATTAATTGTGCCACAGTCGAAACCTATGATCAGTAGGCACACCGCAGTCTATCTTTGTTCCTTTGAGACCCATATGGGAAAAATCCCCCTACGCCATTCCGTGATCATTCCTCCATCTCCTCTTCGTAAGTAGGGAAAGCAACCTCGAACACCACTTCGCCAAAGTCCTCATCTGCCGCATCCCTGAAAGCAAACGCCACAGTTTGGTTGTCCTTTAGACCCTTACCGACCGGGGTGTCGTCTGATTTGGCGTGCAGCGGTATCCAACCCAGACTGGGGTCCGTTTGTGATCTGAGCACGGCGAACTCAATCTGGGAGGAGTCATCGGGGAGAGCGGTTGGGGGGCTATCCTTGTCCGCCTTGAGGCCATCTGGGAAGCGCTCCTGTAGGACCTCTAGGAGCTCTGAGGAGACATCTGAAAAGTGCGAACTGGCGTCTACGAAGAGGAAGATTGTGTGGACGCCAAATTTGAAGCGTATCGACAAGTCAATGTCGTCAATCTCGTTTCTGCGGACCTGTGCTGTGTGTTAGCGCTGCCTTTTGGCTGAGCGGATATGGGCGCGGTGCTCACCATCCTTGCCAATATCTGATCGAAGAAAGACCTGTCGTGATCTTGGGCCGGCTGTAGAAAGAAGAGTCCAGGCTCCACTGCGTCTGTAGGTATCTCCCGTCAAGTCTGCATTCCACAATGCGCTTTGCCTAGTGGACGCGGCCGATGGCACCAGGGTGTGACGCGGGTGCACGTGAGAACGTGAGGCGGGAATAAAGAGGTTTGACATGGGTGCGGTGGCCCAAGCTCCTATCAAAGCAGAAAATCCAGGGTCCCGGGACAAAGCAAACATACGACTCGGCCAGCAATCAAGGCATCACGAACCCCCAGGATTAGCTTACCTGCAACAAGTCTTCCTCCTACCGACCGAATCCGCGATCCGTCGCCCTGCCAAGCATATACTCAAATCACATCAACCATGGCCGGGTGGGAGCAATCGTCCCGCGAAAACCGAAGGAAACCCTCACGAGAAGATTACGACAAGTTATGGAATGAATCACGCCTATCCATCCCTCCCATGATCCGGATCCCCGGCGCTGCCATGGCGGCGTTCGGCATCGGATTTTCCCTGGGTCTTGCCCATGGAAGCCAGATGGCCGGCCTGCGCTTCCGGGCCGAGCATGCACACAAACTCCCAACGACGACACCGGGATGGTACCTATATCACAAGAGCAAGAACTACCACCTCGCTTTCGGCGGCCTGAAAGAAGGGTTGAGGACTGGGATCAGGCTCAGCCTCATGACCACCGCCATGTTCTGCACCGAGAACCTGTTTGATGTCTACAGGGGCAGTAGGGATATGTTCAATACGGTCGCTGCCAGTCTTGCCGTTGCCGGCGGATTCAGTATACTAAGTATGTCTTTCTCTACCCTTGCCCACTCGTCATTTACCAACCATTCCATTGTAGACCGATTCACGGCCCCCGAGGCGGCCAGAACTGCACGGAAGGGCCTGATCGTTGGGTTTGCGTATGGTGGTGTCCAGGACCTGCTCTCCTTGGCTAGGGGCCGTCCCGTGGGATACGTGGAATTCATACGCAAGCATCTTGGAGGTAGCAACAATGCAGAAGGAGAACGTGCCGTGTGAAGAATCCTATCCAAGAAACGATCACGCCATCTTGAAAGGTGCTGATCCATCACCGATCCACCATCTCCATCGCTCGGTTACCCATGGAGCAGGAACAGGAGCTTCTCGACGAGATCGGACACGGGTGTAGACTGTCAACGGCCAAGCCAGATCTCTGTGGCCATGTAGCCCCGCTGTATGCAGTCCGTGCTCCCGGTACAGCGTACGACATGCCTTCTGTTGCCGCGGGAGTGGACCCTGAGACGACAGATGGCCCAAATCCCCAAGGCCTCACTCGGGTGCAACAGCCCAAGAGGGTATCGCATGATTACGTGTGGGAAATAAGCTTGTCGGCAATCTGTGCGGGCCCAGTCGAGCTTAGGCGGCTATCCGAACTGTTCCAGGCGTGGCTCGCTTGCGGGCGGACAGTCCGTGGGCGAGCATGCAACAACAGGAGACCTGGCAACCTGCCAGACTCGCATCTTATTTCCCCACAACCAAACAGAAGGGGACGGGGGTCGAGCTTTGGGTTGACGAGCCAGCGCCGCCTTGAGCCGAGTGCGATTTGGAGCCGACCAGGCTGGGAGCTGGGGCAGCGACATAGGAAAGGGGGTTTGGAGGCTGCACCGACGCCACCGAGGCCGGACTAGCCTCAAATTAGAGTTGGCTCCCTCGAGCTCGCGCTCCTCGGGGCTCCTCTCGCATTGCATAGGGGACGGCCAGCGACGGCAACGCTGCTGATTGGCCAATGGCGGGGTCCCTGGGCCGGCTACTGGCGGCATTCCTAGCCCGCCGCCTCCCCACCCACGTGATGGGTCTCTGATAAGCCAAGCGCCGCGTATGTGCGAGCTATCTCTACGGTCATCGATGCTGCTGATTGGGATTCCGGACTGGCCAAGGCTCGAGTGCCCGGGACTATGGGGTTCCCTAAAGCAGAATGCCGTGTGCTTGAGACGCGGTTTGCCGTTCTGTTGGACTGCTGAGCTGCGAACATCGGAGTTGCCTTGTCTGATGCCATATCAGCCACGCGGGCCGTGAGTCTGGGATTTATAGAGTAGCTCAACGTCCCTCCTTCCCTTCGATGAATTTAGACTTTGGCTCTGACTTCATACGCACCTGATCCATCTCTTATCATCCTCGTGGTATCACTTCTACACGTCTATAAACCTGTTGCTCTCCTCCACCAGCCACTGCTTCACTGCTGTTCAAGACAAAGCGATAGACAGACACACGGCTTACAGAATGCTTCAAGCTCCCTTGTTGGGGCGGCCATCCGCTGTCCTGGCGTCTTTCAAACCCATAAACCACACATCACATGTCCTCTTTGTCACGCGGTCCTTCTCGACGACAAAATTCACCATGGAGGCCACTGAACCGCGCAGACGGCTTCACTCTTCATCGAACCGCCCCTCCGCCCTAGACTCCCCAGCCGTGGACGTAACCTCGACCGCATCCCTTAAGTCGCATATTATGCCAGCAGAGGACGCAACCATGTCCAAGCCGATGGCGCCGCTCTCTGTTCTTCCCCTATCTACGGTGGTCCGTACTCTCGCAACAACGACAATCTCGTCTTCACGCATCCTCCTTCCGCCATCTCTGGTTGCTATGAATGTTCTAGCACATACCAGGAACCCCATCCTGAACCCCGACAAGAACCCTATCTTGGGCTGGCTTCTGAAGAAGACATTCTACGCGCAGTTCTGTGCTGGCGAGCACGGCGCCGAAGTTCGCAAGACTGTCAGCGGGCTCAGGCAAATTGGATTTACCGGTGTCATTCTGGGCTATGCCCGGGAGATTGTTCTCTCCGAGTCACAAACTAAGAATCTGACAGCGTGCGACGTCGGCCCGGAGAAGGACGAATGTGTTCGCAGCGAAATTGGCCCGTGGGCCGCCGGAACGATGGAGACGGTCCGTCTCGCGGAACCCGGTGATTTCGTGGCCCTCAAGTTCACAGGTGCTGGAAGACAGGCTCTGTACGCACTGAAGAACAGGCTGGCTCCTCCTAAGGAACTGCGCGCCGCCATCGACGATATCTGCAACCTTGCTCGTGAGCGCAACGTTCCTCTACTCTTCGACGCCGAGCAGACGGCTCTGCAGGCTGGTATTGATGACTGGACTCTCGAGTATCAGCGCAAGTTCAACACTGACCCGGGCCATGCTATCATCTATGGCACATATCAGGCATATCTCAAGGCTTGCCCTGCGGTCCTCGCGTCTCACCTCAGCGCCGCGGCCAAAGATGGCTTCACTCTTGGTGTCAAACTCGTCCGTGGTGCCTATCTGGGTGCGGACCCCCGCCACATTATTCACGATACCAAGGAGGACACCGATCGTTATTATGACGCCATCTCTGAGTCTTTGATTCGTCGCGAGTGGAACGACATCCTCAAACAGGACGTTGAATACCCTCTTGTCTCAGTTCTTCTCGGTTCCCACAACCTCCAGAGTGTCCGCCACGCCCGCGCTGTCCGCGACTCCATCACTATCACTCCACCCAAGACGTATCCCGCTCAAGGACCCGTAAGCGAACTCGCCATCGCGCAGCTGCAGGGAATGGCAGACGACGTCAGCTGTGAGTTGGTCTGCATGAAGAAGGCGGACAAGAGCGGTAGCGGCGAGAGCACTCGGGCTTACAAGTACATCGTCTGGGGCACCACAGGCGAGTGCATGAAGTACCTTCTGCGCCGCGCACATGAGAACCGGGACGCCGTGCAGCGCACACGCAGCGGCCGTGATGCCATGTGGGGTGAGATCAAGAGACGGTTCTGGAGCTCGCTGGGCCGCGCGTAAAATTTGCTAATCTCATTATGGCTGGGGGTTTTTTAAAGCAGCGGGTGTTGCTGGAGTTTAGGGCATGGCGTGGAGTTATCTCCCAGAGGCCAAGGGGGGCGTTATACCAAGTTTGCTTTCAGCGCTGCATATGTGACTGGTAGAGGAGCGCCAGCGCGGTTTACAATCCTGCATTTCTAGAGAATCATGAACTTTTATGAGGCGATGATCACGGCGAAAGAATAAATAACATCGATATAGACTTTGTCTTGTATCATTTTTGTTGTGCTGTGATAAATTTAGTGCTATGCGGAGACTGGCCCTATAGACTGAAGTCATTCTTTATTCGGTATACCCTGTCGACTAAATATATGAACCGCATATGTGTAATAATACTTAGTCTTTGTACAATCCAGGATCTCAACCATCCGGAGTGTGCAGATTCGTATCGTTAGTCATCATTGCATATCGCTTTCGATGTCATCAAGAAGCTATTCCTACATTCCTGCTACCCTTGTTGGTCCTGTGAGATATCGTAAACGACGCGTATTTTGTCACACTTAGGTCGGTCCTTGCCTGATGTCCGACCGACGACCGGAAACCTGGCCAGCGACTCGGCTATTGACGGGCGCTCTAAGCAGATGGGTCCGATCCACAAGCTTCTAGTCCCTGTCACAATATGCGCTAAGGATATAGTTTATTTCTTGGGCTTCCAGACATGAATCTAGCATATAGACACATTACAAGGACAGATGGGGATGATATGCCTCATGCTGATCAAGGGTAGTCAGTCGTATCTCAGTGATAAGTTTGTACGAGACAACCAGACTCAAAACGCGGATCGACACGAGCATGGCAGAGGAATACCAAGGCATTCCTTTTGCGCCGTGACAGGGGACTAATCCAGCTGTCCACGCTACTTGACCGCCTGGGCCCCAGGGCTCCAATATCCGCGACTGGACAGTTATAATTCGCAACAATCTGCACAGTATTCCAGCAAGGCGAATAGTCAACCGAGTATAGCAGTCATAAGTGGTGGGACGACAAAACCATGTCAGGGGTTGTAGTAAGAACAAAGCCGCTACTGCAGGTATGAAGGATAGATGGTTACCTACCAACCGGCCACGTCTCTCAGGGGTTCCAATCTGCTAGTGGCTAGAACCTGCATGTACGTGTGCATAAATAGTGACAAACATCGTTCTGAATGGTGTCTTGAAATGCAATATCTTGTTGGCACCTAGTTAGAGCATTGAGATAGCGCAAGCTCAAAACCTGGTCGTGCGAACACTAATCATTTGGCAACTGGATGAGTCCACGACAACAAAAGGAAGCGAAAGCCTTCTGCTGGTGGCCGTTCACTATGTTGATTTGTGCCAATGGCTGGAGACAGGTCACCATGAGATTGGCCCCCAGCTGGGCTAAATCTCTCGCAACCGGGCTCAATCTCTGCGAGAGCTGAAGATCCAGGCAGCGAGTCCAGGCAGCGAGACTGCCGACGGTGTTTTCCGGGGCTGGTCTTCAGGTTTTTGTAGTAAAAAACAATACCGTTGCGGAATATTTGGCGATACCGTAGACCGCGCAACGCGACAATCTTCGTGCGTGTTTAATTTGATTGTGATCATGGGTATCATTCATCTATAGTCCCGTTTGCAAACCCACGCCATCCCGCCAAATGCCTCCCCATCCAAGCCCATCAAAGGCCTCTCAATGACATTGCAGACACTACCAAAAGCTCTAGCTCCCTCTTTTTAGTCTGCTCGTCCTTGATACCTTCAACGTAGTTCACACCGTTTAGTTTGTGGTATTTGCGCAGTTTTAACCAATCCGTCAGCCTGGCGAGCTCGTCGTCGCTAAAAGGAGCAGGATCTCCTTGAACATGCGTCTCCAGGTGCTTGGCGACATCCTCCGAGGTGGCTGTACTCGGGGCATCATCCCTTGAAATCAGCACCTTCACCACCACCACGTCCTTTGTAGATGGCTGAATGCCGTATCTGCGATACGCCTCTGAGATCTGTATCTAAACCTTAGCTTCTATTTTTCATTGGACAAACTACTTGCGTGTTTAATGCAACGAAATGGAATTAGTACGTTGTTATTTGAGCTTAGTGAGCACACAATCTCGGAGTGGACGTTGGGCGTCTTCATGGATCCGGAAAGCTCAACAGTGATGGCCTTGTACACGGCAGACAGCAGATGAAACCGCGAGATCACCGTCGAAGCATCTATAAAGGCATATTCGAAGTCGGCATTGCGACTCAGGAGCTGCGATTGCAGAAACTCGGCGTTGGTGACATTCCGGAAGACGGCCACATGCACGGAGTGCGACGTAGGCACATGCTCAAGCGTTACCGTCTCAAGCATGGTGGAGGAGACTGCTTTGTTAGAATAGAAGCTTGTATGCTTGATGTGACGAAATCTCCCTTCCGCTTATTGTCGCAAAACGTGTCTTGACTTCAACTGATAGTCCTGTGCCGCCGTGCCTCTTACGTCTGTCGTCTACTTCCAATTGTTAGTGGGGTTGAGAATTTTGGCGGGGTTGTGTTGTTGCCAACACAGCTGCCAGCAGCTGCTGACCAAGGGATAGGTCACGACATCATAAACACCACATCTAGATACACATGTGTAGCTCGGGTGCGTACTCCGTAGGCAGTTTCTGGAGCAGACATTTGCCAACTAGTAGCACAGTTGAGTGAGTACAGTCGACCACAATCATCTCCTGAACCACTGCCGTTCAACACAAGATACAAAGATGCTAGCTTGAATTGCGAACATCTTTCTAATTGGACACACTTTTACGAGTGGTAATCACAGGCATACAGCACATAGAGCTCATGTATAAGAAAGGGGCATCACTGATTGGCCGCTATTCGAAGTTTTCTGCCCGGGCAAAACCAGGCAAATGCTGGAAGCATCACATCAGTAATCATTTATTCGTCGAGACCCCAACCTGATGCTACGCGGGAGGGAGGGAGACAGCGGGGAACCGAGACATGCGAATGTTATGCCCCTGGGACGAGAAAAAGCATGCTAGGACATCGAATTGTGAGATTCCTGGATTCTTGAGAGCAACAAGCACTAAGTCCAGCCACAAGAACCCCAGGCTTGGATGGGTAAGCTTTCTTGACATCAGAATCGACTTTTCTCTAGCCAGCCAAGCCAGCCAAGCCAGCCTCAAGATCAAGCCTCAGCATACACTTTCCACAGGCGCAGCCGCTTTCCGCGCCGGCGGGAAATGAAGCATTGGCTTGTCCGCTGACAAATCTTGACGCTCCTTATCCCAAGCTTCAACGCACGAAGGCAAACTGAGACACATTGACGGACCAGTGGAAATGAGGGGCTTTACGAATCGCCAGACTCCAGATTGACAGGTCTCACACGATTCGTGCTTGTCTCGGGTCCGGAGCCTCAAACCCGTTCGGGCCGACCCATTGGACAATCCGTGGAAGCCCTCTGATTCCTGTAAAACCCCAGAGGAGTAACAGGGCTGGCTGTTATGGAAGCCCGGAAGTGTTGTGGCTGCATCCGATATTCGACGGTTCATGCGCCCCCAGCAGAGAATGTGGGAGGCGGGGCCACAAGTGACAGACAGACAGTCCACGAGCACCAAGCGGCACGGTGGTACCCTAAATTCTCCCCCGAACTTTGACACGGGCGAGTCCGCTGCGTTCACAGACGCGCCGTGGATAGATGAATACCCAGAGCGCGGTTGTAGGGCGGGGCGGAAACCCGACTGCTTGGGACCTGGGGAATCCCGAGACAGTCGTCGCGCTGTCAAGCTGCCAGAACCAAGGCGGAAAGCTTGGTGCAAGCTCGGTGCAAGCTTGGTGCTACATTGAAACATACATGGTCAGTTACAGGGCTATACTCAGGCAACTTTCAGGCAAACGGCGCGGGAGGATCTGGGAAGTCCTAAGCGACGGGAGGAGTCTAGAACACCATCGCATTTCCCCAAGCTACGGACAGGGCTTGTGGTCGGGCCCAATGAAATGACGGGCGGGCGGTTGTGCAGTGGCTAGCGCAGCGCCTTGGGCCGGCTGACATCACAGGGCTGCAGGATCCTCTGGGAGCGCAAAGTCAAGGCCCGGAGAGGATCGTGTCTCTGATGGCTCGCGAATCTGAAGCTATGCACATTAGCTCAATTTCCTAGTGTGTCTTGAAGCACTCGACGCCCGCTCCGTGAAACCTGTATAGTCGACAATATATACTGCGGCAGTCTCCAATCGCACGGCGCCCCCGCGACGGGGTCTGGTCCCTGAACAAACGACGGCGCAACCAGCCAACCCGAGCCGGCCAAACAATTGAACCTCCAGGAGTCAATGGTTGAAAGGTTTCTGTGCTGGGTCAAGGTTCAGACTGCTGTAAACCTGCCTCTGTCACATGGAGCGCGTGTGGGACCTGACTCGCCTGTCCCAAGTTACTTGATGACTGAGCTTTGACAGCGGCTCGAGAAGCTTTCTTGCGTCTGTCATCCATCGAAATTCGACAGTTCGTCCGAAAGGTCGAATGGTTGACCCGACCCATCTCACCGTCCGAGAGAGGGTCTCCATCTGATCCCCATCCGGGTGGCACCGCTCAGCGCATCGTGGCTGACATACCCTTTTACGTCCCAGGGCCGTCTCGTCTTGTGTCTGGGGGGACCCCTCGTCGCAAACAACAACATCGACGCAACAAAGATCCCCGGCGTGACACAGGGGGAAAATTCCTGCGGGTTGGGAGGAATCGCCAATTTCTGCTTACTTGGACGGATTTTCCAGGGTCCAGACCTGCCTGCCACTTTGAACGAATGCGACCTTGTCTTGGCCAGTTCCAACGCGCTGGAGCTGAAAGACGGCAAATTCCACCTGCCGCTCACCATCCACGGCGGCAAATACCGTCGCGAAGCCCACCCCCAGGCCCATCGTGCAATTGAGCTTGCACGCCATCCGCGTCTCGGCCAGCTTCCACGTCGCGCCGATTCAATTCGGCGGTTTGTCCTACCCCAGAAAACGTCGCAGCACGTCCGGTAGGCAACTGCAGCGCCGCTCCGGCATCGAAGCCTCATCATGCCTCCAGGCCGGCCTCCTAAACGGCCTGGTGAGCCCGAGGTCGAGGCCGCAGACGGCACCAAGTGCAAGCTGCCGAGGTTGGATCGCGGCGGCACCCCCAACGACTTTTCGAGTGTCGTCAAGAGCAAGCTGTCGTCATACACCAGAACCGGCCAGGTGAGCTCGACAGAAGTCGCATTGTGCCAATTGGCCCTGGAGCTAACAGTGTAAAGGCGTGCGACCGCTGCAAGGTGCGCAAGATCCGCTGCGACGCCCTGCCCGAGGGTTGTTCCCACTGCATCAACCAGAACCTCGAATGCTATGTGACGGACCGGGTGACGGGTCGCACCGAGCGGCGAGGGTACATGCAGGAGCTGGAGCGCGAGAAGACGGACATGCTGAACCACATTCGCGATCTCGAGAAGTTGCTGGGGTCGAACGGTGTCGAAGTCAAGCCATACGATTGGAACACACTCCCGCAGGACGCAGGCTACCCTCCCAACGTCGCGTACGATTCGAGAGGCAATCCTTTATCGGACTCGGGGGCTTCCGACAGCAAGAGCAACTGGCAACATATCGGTGCCGCGTTATGGGTCAAGGATCACCGGGCGAAGAACCGACCCTCCCGCGCCTCCAGGTCTATGGTTGACGCGAAACCAGCCGACGTTCATCTTGGGGTGGGATCTGACCAAGCTCCCCTGAGCTCTATAAAAGGCACCACGCTATCGATACTGGGCAGCACGATAGATATTGGATCGTTCGACGCGCCAGACATGGACGAACCCGCGCCAGGTGTCCAGGCAAAGTCCCCCTTGTACAACAAATCCGTGCAAGCTTTCATGCAATCCTGTACCAACGTTAACCCCCAACTCCACGTGGAATACCCTCCGAGAGCTGACGCTTTTACTTATGCCGAGTGGTACTTCCTGATGCTCTACCCCTTTTTGCCTGTACTCCACAAGCCAACTTTCATGAATATCGTAAGTGGCCATGTTACGTGCTCTAGCCCTAACCTAGACTGACGATATCAGCTCACGCGTCTGTACGATGACCCCAACTTCAAGCCTACCGTATCCGAGGTAGTTATGGTGCACCTGGTTTTCGCCTCGATATACCTGCAATACGGCATCCGCAACAGAGAAAACCCCGAGCAAAAGGCGAAACTGAATGAATTATCCAACAAGCATTACCATTTCTCTCTCAGCAAATTCTTCGACCTTGCGACATCCAAGACATTCGAGGACCTCCAGGCTCTCACCATGATTGCAGTCCATACTAGGTCTTTTCCAAAGCCGGACTGCAGCTCTATGGTGACTTGGACCTGCCACGGGCTAGCAATAGAGCTAGGGCTGCACCGCGCCATGAAGAAACCTGGCGAGGAAACAAACCTGGAGAACGAAATGCGAAAGCGCGTATGGTGGACGATTATCGAAATGGGCGTCACACTTAACGGCCGCATGGGAAAACCCATGCCAATCCGACTGGAGGAAATTGACGTGGATTTCCCCGAGATGATTCCCGACGAACTACTCACGAAGGACGGCGTTGACACGTCCAGGACGGGAAAGTGTCAGTACGAGATTGGCGCGGTCGGGTTCAAGTTGGCAGCCATCTACCTGGATATGTATTCGAGCATTTATTGTGCAAGAAAGGATCCAAGCACGTATCCTCAGGTCGTAGAAGAACTCGAGGAACGCGTCGGAGCCTGGCAAGACGAGCTTCCCGAGTCCTTGCGGCTATCAGAGGGAAGTGAGAACCACAATGAGATGTTCGCGCTCTACGCGGAATACATCGTCCACGAGTTCCGGCTATGCTTACGCCACCCTTCTGTCGCCATGACGAAGGACCCGAAGCTGATGGCGGAAAACAGCCGAGTTTGTGAGCAAGCCGCCAAGGACATGCTCGCTGTCTCGCACAAGCTTTATAAGCTCAAGTCACAGGATACGACCTGGTATGCTCTTTCGGAATACGTTGCTGCCATGTTCACCTCGCTTGTGGCGGTTTGGGAGCGCCGACACGATACAACTTCTGCCGAGGTGTCCAGCCTGCGCGATGACATGAATACCTGGCTTGTCATCGTGGCTGATACATGTGATCTGATGGGTGAGTACTATCCTGTGCAAGCATTCGTGCGGCAAGAATACTGACAAGACCGTTCAGGATGTGGATCTGGACTCCGTGATGCGGTAGCCTCCATAGTTGATCGCACAATTGCCTGGATCGAACATGATCGCCAGCGCAAAGGCAACCCTTCGGCGCCCCCGCAACTGTCCCAGGACATGCTGAAACAGTCCCCCTCGACACAGGCCTATGCTAGCTTGCCAAACGTGCCGGTTGGCGCCAATCACCATAACAATGTTGACCCTGCATTGTCTGCGGGCAATGGCGGACCAGGCGATGGTGTACCGCCGGCACGGAATGGGTATTACGCAGAGACAGCTTCGGATTCAGCCGGCTATCCATCCTTACCATACAACGAGCCACCGCCTCAAGCCTCGGGAAACATGCCCTACGAGGCGAACAACCCGTACTTGTATGCACAAGCTGGTCAAGTGACGGCCGCACATGTACAAGCTCAAGCACATGCACAAGCACAGGTGCAACAATCACAAGCACCAGTGGCAGACCATAATCCATTGTCTGCCTTTGCGGCACAGGCCACGCAGATGGCTCAGCCGCCTCCAGAGATGATGTGGAGGCAGGAGACACCGGGCGGGAATACATGGCACGACTGGACTGCAGCAGTCGTTGACAACCAAGACCGATACAGCGCCAACGCTCTGATGTCTTTAGGTGCAGGTGCGAGACCCGGTAGTGTCGTCAACGAAGGCGGCTCAAACGCTCCGGAGATGGGTATGGGTGTCGGAGCCATGAATGCAGGAAATGTACCCACCACGGCCAACATGCAATGGCCACTATTGTTATTCCACGATGGCACCGGCGTGGGCGGCGCTTGAGAATAACAAACACATGCGGCCAAATCAACATATCGTTATGCACACGAGCAGGTTGCTACAGCAGTTTCACGGCACGATACGAGACACCAATGATTCTGATTGTCAAGTCCAGCGGACCGGCCGGAATTGGTCACCCACTTCAATGCTCGGAACGGAAGAGAAGTTCTGGGAAAATGGTCCGAAAAGCGGCAAGAACGAAATATCCAAAGCTACAGGCCGGACGATTAGGTCCGGGAGGATGCAGTCAGGCTGGCTGTCCCTTCCCTTTGGAGTCTCATCGATCATGACGACTTTCGCGACGCAGCTAGTACCCTGGACACCGCCAAGACCGGGTAGAATCCAAGAGCTTGGCGAGTGGTTGCGATGGTTAATCTTGAGGATGCCAGTGGGTTAGCCTGTTCCAGAGCGTGTTCCTGCTCTGCCACGAGTGTGTAATCAAAAGTATGGTACATTCGCTGTGTGCATATAGAGCTTGGTTGTTTCCACCGGCAAAGGCCACTTCCAGATGCCCAAGGGAAGTCTATAGCATCTGCTCTTTCTTCCTCGATTTGATCAGGCAGGGTGGATTTATCTCGACTCGAGAGATGACAGATGCTTGATCCTCTTTCACCCCAGTTTCCATCAATCATCCATCTTATTGGCTTCTGAGACCAAAGGCATACATCACTTCAGCTGTCATATCTTGGCACCCCTAGCCCCAAATCACTATGTCTACTCTTCCTCCACCCGTCACCGCTGGCCCATCCACCGGCAGAACTCCCAACGGGGCGATTCCCACAAGCGGTGTGACGGGATCACTGCAGGGTGTCTTGAACAAGACTTTTCGACTCCAGTCAGTCTTACTGGCCCTTTTGGTGCTATCATGCCTCTTTTTGGGCGTCGGAGTCCTCCTCCAAGGCATCGGCGTTCTCACTGCGGCGGATAAACAGCCGAAGCTCGTCATCTGACCCGGCATACCACAACTGAATCAAGCACAAACCTACTCCCGCATTTCACTCTTGCTACGACTGCCACATATCAGCTCTCGTCTTTTCCATCTCAATGTGGCCCCTCGGACATTGTTCTATCAACTTGGCAGACGACACGATGCAACCAGGTTCATGATTGGGCAATCAGTCAGTAACGCAGAGAGGCTTAATGTCGCCATGGAGTAGGCTGGATTCCGAGTCACTGAGGACACTGATTGGACTTCATGCGGTGAAGATGGTCAGAAGAGTAATAACATGATGGAAAACTATAGCCATACAAAGTAGTCCTAATACACGCAAGTCCCGATCATGCTATATATCCTCGTACGGACTGTCTCGCTTGTCCTTCCCCTTGTGTCACTCGCCGCTTTCAGTTGGAACATACCGCCGAAAAGGTTGGTAATGCCCCTTCGGCCTCAAACCTAAGATTGATATGCAATGAGGAGGTAGAGATACAGTTTCCACTCTGGCCAAGGTCTCCCGCAAGTCCCACGCCCGGAAGGGGTTGGTACGCAGTTGACCTCGAGTGGCAGAGCACGCAAGCAAGCCTAATCCGCCTTGCCCGTGTCAGGCACTCGTGCGCCTTGTTACTGGGCGCAGAGCTTGTTCGCCTGACACAATGCCGCTACCGTTGTTCAGGACTCGACACCGCCGGCCGAGAAGACGCGCTACGCCCCAGGCTCTGGTTCTATCTGTCACGAGGCATAGACAGGCAATGACTGTGTTGCGGTGCGTCGAGACGGCATCTGCCTTCTCCTCCAGCCCTCCGGGCACATGTCAATGACCCCGTCGAATATCAAGTCCTCCCGCCAAACCGCTATGCAAACCCTGACGCAGCTCTGTCGAAGCCGGACCCATTGCCGGCACTGCTTCCCCGTGCCACCGATCCCGCAGGCCGCCGAGACCTTGTTTGCTTCCTGACAGCGCGATATGCCCCCGGTGACACTTGGGTAGTGCCAGAGGCCCACGTGGACCTGGGGGAATACGGAACGGTGCGCCCGTGTTGAGCTCTGTTTCTTGGTTGGGGGCGCCTGGCTACTATATAATGGCGATGGAGTTCTGGGGAATTCAATGACTCGAAAAGTCTGTTTCTATTTGAGCCAATCAGTATCATCATTCGCCAATATCCAGCGGCGTCTGCTTAGAGCGGTTGCTTAGCTTGTCTCTAATTCTGATACTCAGATCTGAAGACGACCCCAGCACCACGACAAGTACGGGTGTCGACCTTCGTAGCACGTCTTCCCTGTTCACATAGTCGCAAATATTTTTCTTGCTGTACAATCTTATCCGTACCAGTCGCGAAGAAGCCAAAGGAATGCATATTATCACCCTGCTGACCCCTATCCTCCTATCCCGCCCGACATTCGCAGCGCCCGCCCATCACGACCAGCGGGCCCCCGAGCCAGCTCAGACAGACGGCGGCACCGCCCCAGACCGCATGCCGGAGCAGTTTGCAAACGCCGTCGTCATCGAGTCGTACTACAAGCGGGACCCATTCAATTGCACGCAGATCCAGTACGAGTGTACGCACTGCGGGTAGGTTCGATCTATCGTTCTCCTCTTCTCTCGAAGCCGAACCCATGCTGACACTATCATCCCTGCCCCCAGGAACGATGATGCCCAGTGCGCGGAACGCGTGGACTGCGAGTGGTGTGCGGTAAATGGGCGGTTTGACAAGCAGCCGCACTCCGGCCCGGGGACGTGACGGAGTCTGGCCTGTGGGCAAGTCAGTTTGGACATGGAGTAATACGATAACATGCCAAATCCGTGTTGCTTGGTATCTGGAAGTTAGGATGGGTGTTCCCTGAGGTTATGTCGTAAAAAAAAAAGGTAGACTAACAGAGCAGAGTCACACATTCACAGCCATGGAAAATGAATAGTGGAACTTTGCTTTTAGTATTTCGGGAATGTTTTTGTCAGTTACTATCAAATGCCCGCTCAGTTTTGCCATGATCATATTGTCTTGAGGGGACGTAGCTTAGAGCTCGTCACGCGGGTGTTCCGGAACCTCGGTGGCTTCAGGAGTCGGCTCGGCCCCCTGCCACGAGGTAGACGCGGACTCGGCCTCGGGCTCGGGTACCTCCACCTTGACATCCTCCTCGACCTTGACCTCGACAGTCTCCTCCGCCGGCTTGTCCGCCGTGGGGCTCTCCTTTGGCGGCTCGGCGATGAGACTCTCGGGAAGTTTCTTCTTCTCGCCCTCGTTCATGCGGATGGCATCGATCCAGGTCTCCAGGCTCTCGGGAGCAAAGTCGCCCTGGTAGTGTCTCCACCAGCTACGCTTGGCGTTGGTGGCAATAACCTCGACCTTGGCTTGAAGCTCGAGGGTCTTGGTGAGCGCTGCGACATCGGCATCCTCGGTGTGGACCTCGAAGAATGGGAACAGGTGGCGGTGGCTGTGGACGTGCTTGATCGAGATACCGGAGAGCGCAGCAAGTGCCTTCTCGGCCTCCTCGCCGTGCTCTTTCGGAACGAGAGCCAGGATGCAGATGCCCGACTTGGGGGCAAGACACTCCTTGGTAAGCTCGGCGTATCCGCTGAGGGCGGGGATGGGAGGCACTTCCTCCTCCGGGGCCGCTGTCTCAGCCTGGGTCTCGGCTGAAGCGGTGGATGTGGATTCCTCGGCGGCCTCGGGCTTCTTGCTCTTCGTAGACTCCTTGGGCTTGTCCTTCTTCTCCTTCTTCTCCTTCTTGGCCTTGGGCTTCTCGGCGCCAGTGACCGGGTTGGGGGTGCCAGCCTGGGACAGGAACTTGACGATGCCGTCCTTCTTCATCTCGCCATCGTACAGCAGGCCGGGTTGGTCGCCGCCGGGGAGCAGGACCAGGGATGGGTAGCTCTCGATGCCAAAGGCCGCGACAGCCTTGGCCTCCTTGTTGCGGACCTGAGCGACCTGGATGACGTCGAGGAAGTCGATGGCGACGCCCTTGAGCAGGGCGCTCGTGGTGCCCTTCTCGGTGAACAGGATGGCCTTGGCGGTGTCATTGTTGGTCGACAGGAAGGCATCAAAGTCCTTGTCGGTCACCTTCTTGACGTGGTTGTTGATCTTGTCGACGACGGCATTGACGATGTCCTTGGCGCTCCGGGGGCCGTTGTAGTCGTCGACGACGGGCTTGCCGTACTTCTTGCCGGGGCGGGCGATCTTGATGGTGGGGAAGCCCTGGACGCCGAACTGGCCGCAGAGGGGCTTGTTCTCATCCTCGTCGCAGTTGATGGCAGCGACGCGGGCGAGGCCGTCGAGGTTCTTGGCTGCCTTCTCGTAGGCGGGCTTGAGGTTCTGGCAGTGACCGCACCAGGGGGCGTAGAACTCGAGAGCCTGGGGGGAGGGGAGAGAGAGAGCAGGTCAGTCAAACGTCCGACAGAGCAGGGCGGGCTTCACGCGTGGGAGTGGTGCAAGCCGGGAGTGCAGCTGCAGCTTACGGTAGTATAGTTGGTCTTGGCGACGAGCCTGTCGTAGTTCTTCGCATCGACCTGGATGACGGGCGAGCTCTTGAGGTACAGACTGGCGTGGGCGCTGGGAAGAGCAGCCAGCAGGCCTAGCGCGGCGGCGGCAATGGTGGGGCTCGAGGTATACATGTTCCTGGCGGTTCAGAGCGAGCGTGGCACTCGTGGGTAGGTGTAAGTCAATATGAACAGGAGACGGGGGGAGCTGCAAGTTCAAGCCATTCACTGGGCCCAAGTACTCTTTGTGAGCGAGACGACTGGCAGGATCGCGACTCCAGGGTGTTGAAGTTGAGCTGTCTTCTTGCTCAATCTGGCAAAGAGGCCAGCGTGGAAAAAGGGACCCCAGGGTCGTATGAGCGGGAGTGAGGGAGTGGAGGATTGGAGGGTGCGGCTTGTTGCATACGGCCTCAAGTGCAATCTGGCCTATGCAGAATCTGGGGTGCGTTTGAGGTACCTGGCCTTGGGTGCCCTCAATTGGCCAAGGTCAACACCCGACCCCTCCAAAGTGTGCCTAGGCAACTCCGGGACCAGGGAGCTTGAGCTCGAGCCACAGTGAACTGAGGCGCGAGCTATTCAGATCAGGCTAGCACTAACCTCGCTCGCAATTTAGGCGCTTCAGCTAGCTAACTCTAGCAGCGCAGCCCGACCTGGAGGCTGGCACAGCTCGCTCGGTCTCGTTCCGCCATAGCGGACCCGTGGGCCCATGGGCTGCTGCATGCGTATGGTGGACCGCCCACAGCGGAGTCAGGGCAGCAGCGGCGGGGGGCCCGTTGAATGGGAACTGGGAACTGACTGGGCGGTTGGGCCCGACGTCAGCGTTGCGCGACAGACGGGCCAGACCTCCAGCTGCGAGGCTGCGACATTGAAAGGCTCAACCCGCCCCCGGCTTCACTCGCGCATCTGCCTAGGTTCCTTCGTCTGCCGACGAGGAGATCCCGAGATATCTCTCGTTCCCTAAACAACTGCCCACCCCGTGCTGCCGTCTCGGTCTCAACCCACAGCGCAACTGGACTTGGCCAGCCCCGTCGCTGCAACCTCCCACCATGGCCTCCAATATCCCCGCAAAGCTCAAGCCCGCCGGCATCACCCCCTTTGTCGTGCGCGCCAAACAGCTGCGCGATGCAAAGCCCGTCATCTCGTATTGGTGTAAGTCGTGAGACTCATGGCTCCAGACGTGCACACTGCGGCCAGCCCTGACATCTCATCCTCCCGCAGGCTATTACTGGGTCGTCAACCAGATCTTGGCAAAGCAGCTTCACAATGCCGACGGGGAATGTCTCGAGTTCACCACGGCCTTGATGGACACATTGGAGCAGGTAAATAAGCTGTGCCACATCTCATAATGCAAACATGTCTCGTAAGCTAAATGGTTCCGCCCAGATCAAGGTAGACCAGGCCGGTAACGAGGCCATCCTGAACGACGACGCCGGCCAGGCCGCCGTCGACCAGTTTGCGCAGGAGACGTTCGAGCGAGCCATGCGGCCCCTGAAAGCCGACAAGGTCTCACAGTACGCAACTTCTGCCGCCCGCAGTTCTGCCAGTCCACTGACCACCGTCCCAGACAAACCGCCGTCACCTTCGAGGCCGCCGCCACCTTCTTCCAGCTGATGAACATATGGGGCACTCCCAACCCGGAGACCGAGAAGAAGATCAAGTTTGCAAAATGGAACGCCGTGCGCATAGTCAAGGCCATCAAGGAGGGCAAGGACCCCAACGAGTCCAACCCCAAGCAGGTTGAGGAGGAACAGGTCGACGAGGACGACCCCGAGCTGCAGGCCATCATGAGCGGCCAGCAGCCCAAGCCGGCGACCGTCGAAGACGCCCCCGATGCCGAGGGGAGGGCGTACCTCGACCCCAGCGCGGCGGCAGGCTCGCCCGCCCCTGTATCGGCGCCGACGTCTCCGCCTCAAGGCTCCGCTCCCGCCCCGGAGCAGGTCTCCCCGATCGCTCCGCCCGAGCCCACCCCGGATAGCTACTTCCCCTCGGCCCCTACCGGCGGTGATGGTGATCCGCCCCTGGAGCTGCCTTCTGCCCCCGCGACGTTCGGGAGTCCCGACCTGAGCGTGCCCAGCCCGCCGACGGTGGCACCGACCGCGCAGAGCCCGACCGTCCAGCCACCGTCGTCCTTCTCTCCGCCGGCCCTCCCAGACACCCCGCAAGACTTCTACCGCTCCGGCGCCCCGCCCCAAGCACCGGCCCCTACGTTGCCAGACCCCTTCCCACCCCAGCCGCATATGCCGCAGCCGCACCCGCTGCCGCCGCCCGCCGCGCGCCAGCAGCCCCCTGTCGTGCCGACCTTCTCGCCGCCCACGCCCCAGACGGTGCCCGCGGCCCAGACGCCACCGCAGCCCCAGGCGTACGGCGGCGGCCCGCCCACCAACGCCGTGTACAACGCCGACGACATGGCCATTGCGCAGGCCCAGAAGCACGCCAAATGGGCCATCTCGGCCCTCAACTTCGAGGACGTGCCGACCGCCGTGCGCGAGCTCAAGGCGGCGCTGGGCGTGCTGGGGGCTCAGTAAGGCAGAATTTAGACGATGGCAGACGACCCATGATGAGGAAACACGGAAGATGTCCCGGTACAAGCCGTATACGAAACCCTGGGGTGCTGAGTAGGGGAATGGGGACACGTGCGCCGCACCTTGTACGGGGGTACGACGACATTGATGGCGACAGGTTACGATACGATGCCGAAGCGGATCTGTTGGAATATACGGACAACCTGCCGCATTGGATTTATGAGATGTGCGCCCATGGCAGGGAAATGGCAGCAGGTGGTACCAGGAGCAGCACGTGGCTGAGCAACTGCCATCACGGCGATTGGGTCTAAACACCCAGCAGTGAGACAGAATAGAGACGGTGGTTTGCATTGCTAGTCTACCTTTCCTCTTGCCGTTACTGCAGAGAGGATTCTTTGAACTAAGCCGACAACCCCCGTCCCCTTTCATGGAATCAGGGCATAACACAGGCAGCAAAAGCGAATGTGACATCCTTCCCTCGAATCCTATCGTCATCGTAATTTCATATCCCTGAACACCATTCCAATAACCAATCCCGCACCGACAGTAAAACACGTATAGACAGGCGCCCAGTACCGCTATCCTCGGAGGGGCAGTCTCTCTTTTCTGAGACGATTTAGGGGCTGTGGTTATAGCAGCTACGCAAACACCAAAATATTGTGGTTGTGGCCGTCGTTGACGGGCGTGATCATGACATGGCCGTCCAGCATGGCCGGGACGCCGATGGGCGCGTTGTTGACGACGGGCTCGGGCTCGTCGGGCTCGTCGCCGTCGTCCCAGCCCTTCTCGGGGCCCCAGGCGAGCCGGCGGCTCTGGCCCGTGGCCACGTCGATGAGGCCGCGCATCATGGCGCCGGCCTTCTTGACGCTCGGGTTGGCGTCGAACTCGACCGTCTGGCACCACGGCATCTCGGCCAGCACGGCCGTCAGCAGGTCCCGCGAGAACTTCTCGTAGAACCCCTCGGAGCGCCGGAACCCCTTGCACACGTCGTTGCTGGGGTCGATCTCGACAAAGACCCGCAGCCGGCGCACGTTGACGCAGTCGCGGAGCCCGAGCGCGTCGTTGACGACCCAGCCGCGCGGCGGGCCGTTCCAGCCGGGCCCCAGGCGCAGCTCGAGCGACGTCAGGACGCCGCGCGGGCGCGGCTTCATGCGGGCGAGCAGGGGCTTCTTGGTCTTGAAGAACTTGCCGTAGATGGGGAAGATGCGGGCGGTGTGGGTGGTGTAGAAGGCGTAGCTCGCCTCGCGGTAGACCTGGCGGCAGGTGCGGAAGATGGCCAGCTTGTGGTGGATGCGCTTCCAGTTGTCGTGGTCGAGGTCGAGGACCTCGTCGATGGCGCCGAAGTGGTAGCCGTAGATCTTGAGGCGGAGCTCCGACGGCAGGTCGAAGAAGCGGAACGGCTTGATCTGCCTCCTCTTGGGCTTGTTGGACAGCGGGATGTCCACGGTGAGCGCGGCGATGTCGTTGGTGAGCGCTGCGATGGAGTCGGACTGGGCGTCGGACGGGGCTGGGCCCGCGGCGGCATGGGGCCCTCTTCCGGCCGGCACCGGTCCCGCGGCTCGGCGGCGCATGTTGCAGGAGTATGCCGTGACAGTGGTGTTGTTGTGGTCGATCTGGAGTGGCTCGCGGCAGGACTTGCAGGCCCGGCCGTCTGTATGGCGGTCTAGGTGGGTCTCAGGCGACAGTCTTTTTTTTTGGCTGACGGCGTTTCGTCAATGGAAATTGTGGCAAAGTCTCTTTCTCTCCCTCTCTCTCTAGCTCTGACTGCCGGTGACAGGGCACGATGTGTTGGGTTGTCGTTGTTTGTTTGGTTCTGTGCGTTTAAGCGTCTAGGTCGGTTTGAATATAACGAGGCACTCCGAGGGTGGTGCCATCGTGGTATTCTCAACGAGTGACGACCACCCTCTAGAACGCAGCACTCATGGCCGGCATTATTCGGATCTAGCAGGTGGGCAGGGAGCGGGCAGACGGTTCAGAGAACGACCGGAGGGGGTAATTGCCCAGAAGAGTGTGTGTGTCGCGTGGTGCGCAGGGGGATTCTGGATGTCTAGATGTCCAGGTACGGAGGGGACGGGTTGCAAGAGGGGAAGGGGGAAGGGGGAAGGAGGAGGGACGAGGGAGGCGGAAGGAATCGAACGATCCGTGTGGATGGATGGGGTGGACGGATCAGTTCAGTGTGGTGGCAGATGGTAAGTCGATGGAGATGAGGAGGAGGAGAGTTTGAATTGCTGTGCGGCACTGCGGTTGCTCTACTGCTCTACGGAAGGCCGGTGAAAGGCTGCTGGGAGAGCCAGGTGCATCGGAATAGATTGAAAGTCTGGGGTAGGTTGGGGCCGGTCAGGCGATAGGCGATGCCGCCCGTCGTCAAGTCGTCTCTCGTTGCAGTGCAGCACGCGCAGCATCGAGTCAAGGAGGGGCAAAAAAGGGCCTCTTGGGGGGGAAGGGTCCCTGCTTCCGTGCTCATCCATACTCCATACTTCATTACCAGCTTGCCAGCATACATACGAACGGGCTGGCGGGACGCTACCAAAGCCGCCCAGCCAGCGGACAAGGATCCTCACCTCACCTCGGGGCTCTTGTCGCCTCGATCCAATCCATGGGTGTGAAAAGTCCGCCACCCAGTGCCCGAGATCAGGGCGGCCCGTCGGTGCGGACGCCAGCTGGTCGACTGGCCCATCCCGCCCAACCGCCCATCTCAATCGATAAGGCCCAACTGTCTCTTTTGAGAAATGACGTATCCTTTTTTTATGGGCCCGTCAATTGCAGCTCGGGGGTCGGAGAAAATCGTAGCCGGCAAAATTTGGAGATGGGTCCATCTCCAGCTCGCGGCCGCTGACGATTGGCACCGATTTTGAGAGGAGCTCGGGGCTCGAGCTGGGCACATTTTCCATCACGACAGCTGCCACTCAAGCCACCAGACGCTTCAGGAGCCATCCGCCTTCTGCCTCCCCACGACCGCTTGCCCGACCATCTCAGCATTGGGCAGACCGCCGTCTTGCAACCACCCCCCCAAGGAGCTCGGTCATCATCACCAGCACCAGTAGCAGGCATTCACTTGTCGCCCCATCATGTTGTCTAGAGCCCTCCTGCGCGCGGCGCAATCCCCGGCCACCCGTGGGCTGATGGCCTCGAGGGTCGCCGTGCCCGTCTCCATGGTCCAGCTGCGTGGCATGGCCAAGAACCGAAACAGACAGCCCGACCAGCGACAACAGCCGGCCGCCTCGCAGCCCCAGCCCCAGTCCCAGTCCCAGTCTCAACCGCAGTCTTCCGAGCCCGCCGCCTCGAGTTCCGAACCCGCAGACCCCGTCTCCAAGGCCGAGGCTGCTCAGACCCCCGAGACCCCCGACGGCACACAAAAGCCTTTCAACCTGCCCGACTTGACCCAGGGCATCCCCTCGACCCTCGAGTACGAGCAGGCCGGCGCCACCAACAAGAGTGCCCTGTCCGAGCTCGAGCAAGAGCCCGAGGCCGGCGGTGGCAAGCACAAGGGCGAGCTGCCCGCCTCTGCCTACGTCTCCTCCACCGAGAAGCGCCGGAACCGATGGGCCAACCGCATGTACCTGTCCGCCCTGGTCTTGGGCATTGGCAGCGTTGCCTGGCTGGGCCGTGACTGGGACGAGGACGAGGCTGCCGTGCACAAGGATATCCCCAACGGCTGGACTCCCGGCTTGTGGTGGACGCGTGCGCGCGCCAGACTCAACGACAGCCTGAGCTACTACCACGAGCCAGCCTTTGAGAAGCTGCTGCCCGATCCCGACCCCATGTTCGAGCGCCCCTACACGCTCTGCATCAGCTTGGAGGACATGCTCGTGCACAGCGAATGGACGAGAGAACACGGCTGGAGGCTTGCAAAGCGACCGGGCGCCGACTACTTCCTCCACTACCTCAGCCAGTACTATGAGCTGGTGCTCTTCACCACCGTGCCCTTCGCCATGGGCGAGCCCCTGGTTCGGAAGCTCGACCCCTTCCGGTTCATCGTCTGGCCGCTGTTCCGCGAGGCCACCAAGTACGAAGATGGCCAGATTGTGAAAGACCTCTCCTACCTCAACCGTGATCTGTCCAAGGTCATCATGGTTGACACGAGCGCCGAGCACCTGCGCCACCAACCCGAGAACGCCATCATCCTCCCCAAGTGGACTGGCGACCCCAAGGACACGAACCTTGTCTCGCTGATTCCCTTCCTCGAGTACGTCCACACTATGCAGTACAAGGACGTCCGCGAGGTCTTGAAGTCCTTTGATGGCAAGGACATCCCCACCGAGTTCGCACGCCGTGAGGCCATTGCCCGGGCCGAGTTCAACAAGCAGTACAGCGCCCAGAAGCGGAAACACGCCTCCGGAATCGGCGGCCTGGCCGGCATGTTGGGCCTCAAGCCATCCAACATGAGCATGATGGTCGCTCCCGAAGGCGAGCAGAGCCCCAGCGAAGCGTTCGCCCAGGGCAAGATGCTTCAGGACATCGCCAGAGAACGCGGCCAGCGCAATTACGAAATGATGGAGGAGGAGATCCGCAAGAACGGCGAGAAGTGGCTGAAGGAGGAGCAGGCTGCCCAGGAGCAGATGCAGGCGGAGGCCATGGCGGGCATGAAGACCTCGTTGACCGGCTGGTTTAAGAAGGACTAGGTCACGCGGGCTTCTTGGCCGAGTGGCCATCTGCATTTGTGCATACACTAGAGCTGGCGACGAGCTGTATTATTATGGCCAGATGTAACCTTTTATTTGTTTTCTTGAGTCGATATACAGGCTGGCGTCACGGTTATGATGCCGCCATTTAGATGGTTGGCGGGACCTCTGGGTGGGACCGTCGTCACGAACTCTACTCATCGTCATAGTCGGAGGGTTGCATTTGGAGCGAACCAAAAGGGAGCTGCTTTTCAGTCTAGATGGACAGGCTGGATTTGATGGGAGGTGATATTTTTGTGTCTCATGGGCACATCCTGCCTCAAAACCGAGGCGGACCGCCAGAGGGGGGGCACGAAGCCGATCTAATGTTGTATACTAGCTGTAGAGAGGAATTGACGACACCCACTCGCGTTGTAAAATATCATCTCTATCCCTTCATCGGCCTGACGACGCCAAACGCCTGTATCCGTACCTTCATGCACCATTCTCTTTGATGAAGGCCAAAACCATGAAACCAACGCCGGTGCAAATGCTATGCCGAAGTGCGAAAAGGAACCATGCGCGGCAGTCTTCATCCTCCCATCGTCCTCCTTCCCCCTTTTCTCCTATCTCTTGACACTGCGCAGTCTTAGTCCAGATCCATACCAATGCTCTCTCCCTTCGCAATAGCCCCCTCCCGCACCATCTGGGCGCCCTTGTCGCGCACGATCCGATCCAGGGCCGCGCGGATGTGGCCGCACCCGTCGGCGGCCACGGCCATCATGCCCTCGAGGCGGCCGACCTGGACGCGGCTCTCGCAGACCAGCAGGGCGACGCGGTCGGTGGCGCCGAGGGTGCCGAGCGTCAGGAAGGGCAGCTCCTGCTCCTCCTGGCCGTTGAGGTCGAGCAGGGGGTCGGCGCCCTCGTCGCCGGCGCCGTGGCCGCTGGTCGACCCGGCCGTGCAGGCCACCAGGTAGTCCGTCATGGGCACGCCGGCGTCGACCAGCGCCAGCGTGCTCGCGTTGACCAGGCACGCCAGCAGCGACCCGTCCTGCGACAGCACGTGCAGCGACACGGCGATGGTCGACCGCGGGTACAGGTGGGCGTGCAGCGCGCCGGCCAGCGCCTTGGCCACGCCCGCCTGCAGCTCCTGCACGCGCTTGTCCGTCCGCGACCGCTTCTTGCGGTCCACGGTGCTGAAGCCGCCCGTCACGATGGTCACGGCGATCTCGGCGCCGTTGGGCGTCGTCGCCGTCGACGAGGACGACGAGGCCGCGGGCCCGCCGGCGCCGCCCCCCGCGCCCCCGCGCCGCGCCGACTCGCTGGGCCCCGTCACCACGCACATGACCTTGGTGTTGCCCATCTCGAGGTACGACGAGCCGTCGGCGGCGGCCTGCGTGCGGATCTGCCCGTGCAGCCGGCGGAGGTCGTTCCAGCGGCGGCCGTCGACGCGCAGCAGCGCCAGGTTGTAGGTTGAGGTGTCGAGGGGCATCTTGACGTGGAGCTCTCTCTGGAAGATTCTGGTTTCCGATCAGGCCGTCATGCGGTTGAGATTTGGGTCAAGAGCCTGCTGCAGGCTCGGCGGTCGGGGTGGAGTGGTGGCTGTTGACTCCGGATTTGAAACTTTTGCGTTGGCTTGCGAGAGGTAGCCTTTGGAAGGTGAAGTAGCGATGGGGAAATTTTTGGCGGGGCACAATTGCTATCCATCCGGAGCTGGAGCTACCTCAGCGTGGAGTGAAAGGAAAGGCGTCCGTCCAACTTACCAGGCCAAAGCGTACATGCAGGACGCGAGATACAGGTACCTTGCATACTTCATCCAGATCCGTCCTCATCCTCCAGAAAAATGACTATTTTAGATCGGTCTCACAAGCATCATGTATGCCATGAAAGAGACAGTGAAACTCAGTCGCCTTGACCAAGTGTTCAGAGTCCTGTTCCCCAGGAAAGTAGAGCGAGCTGACCCGTAGAAGGCGAATATCTGCCTTCAAGAGTAATGCTGCACAGCTGGACGAGGCCTAATTGATTTTCTTGGAGAAACAGTCCACATGACCTCGGGGTTTACTGAAGCCGTTGATGTGAGAGTAGGCCATTGGAGTCGTCTACATTATAGTCTCCCTAAGCCTTTTGGGACTTGGGCACGAACCGTGGGGCGTATAGAGGCCCAGCACATGTACGACCCGACCATCAATGCCCTCGAGGAACCAACTTTGGAGACCTGCCGAAGGAAACACTACCTCGGCTTCTTGGCGTCCAAGAGCATGTCACTAGCATCTCACGGGTGGTGGGCGCTACTCAGTGATCCTCCTCCAAAGCGATTCGAGCAGACATGTAGAGCAGCAGCCTGAAGACATTGCAGGCAGATTCAAGTTTGGAAAGCCTCCAGAAGCATGCAGCTCTTCTAGATCATTATTAAAGGACGGCGGGAGCAATGTGTTCATTGCGGGGTGTGGCTTCTCTATTCCCCGTCCTTTGCACGACTTACTAGCTCCAGTTAAACCGCGGCCGAGAGATATGTCAGCCAGGCGACATCGGTGAGATCGAATGATTGAGGCGGGCAAGCGGTCCAGGTGGTTGTCTGGTACCTTGGTGGTCGCCCGCCTCACCCGCACGCCCGCTCATCAAGCAGATCCCTGGCCGTTTGGTCTTGTTCAGATTCTTCCAGAAACAGTCGGCAGATTGGAGAGTATCCACAAATGCGGGCTCTAGAAGGTCAGTCCGCCGAATGCCCCGCGAACCATCGACGCCGATAGGTTTGACACATGCGGCTCTCTCAAGTTTCTGTCTCGCTAAGGTTAACGTGTGTGCATGGGTAATCTCCATCCATGACGGCATAAACGTTGCAAATGATCGAGGTCCACCCGCTTCGGGGTGGCAGGGTGGGCCAAGACCCCGTTACTGGATCGACATCATTACCAATCACAGGAAAAACTTCATGCCTTATCTGCTGTAAGAGACGCTTGATTGTATAAGTAATGACCTGAGGAGTCTAAACCCAATCTCTATAACAACTTCAGTAACTCAACTTGTGAATATTACCAGCCTGCTGCATCTTAATCATATACCCACATAATCAAGTATGGCTCCCTCAACGATGAAGCAGTGGTCCGTCACTGGAACCGACAAGGACTTCGATGGCCTCAAGTACGACGACGCACCCGTCCCTCAGGTCGGCGAGAACGAGGTTCTCATCAAGCTGCACGCGGCCTCTCTCAACTACCGCGATCTTATCATCCCCAAGGTATGGTGCTTATTAGGCTAAAGGAGGCCATCCAGTTCGATGCGAGCACGTTGCTGACGAGCTCATAACTCTAGGGCATGTACCCTTTCCCAACCAACTTCCCAGTGGTTGGCGGATCCGATGGAGCTGGTGAAGTGGTTGAAGTTGGCTCCAAGGTTTCGCAATGGAAGAAGGGTGACAAAGTCGTTACTCTGTTCAACCAGGGCCATCAGTTTGGTGCCGTCACTACTGCAGCAGCCGGAACTGGTCTTGGCGGTGTTCTGGATGGAACTCTCAGACAATAGTGAGTCCTTCTCCTTTGATTAGGTGTGACTGGGAGCCAGGCAGTGCACGAAAGCTGCGATGGGATTGCCACGATGGCAAGCCTGACACTGAGCCAATCAACCTATCACCCAAATTGGACAGCAAGAAACTGACAGATCACCAGCGGAGTATTTAACGAGAACGGTCTCGTACGGGCACCGAAGAACCTGAGCCACGTCGAGGCCAGCACATTGACATGTGCTGCATTGACGAGCTGGAACGCACTGTACGGGCTGAAGCCTCTGAAGCCTGGTGACACCGTTCTCACCCAGGGAACTGGTGGTGTTAGCATTTTCGCTTTGCAGGTGGGTTGCGGTGTCTGACATCTCTATACCCCCTGAACCCGCACTGACTCTCAGCAGTTCGCGAAAGCCGCAGGTGCTACTGTTATTGCGACAACTTCGTCCAAGGAGAAGGGTGAGACTCTCAAGAAGCTTGGCGCAGACCATGTCATCAACTACAAGGAGGACGAGAACTGGGGCAAGACGGCCAAGAGCCTCACCTATAACGGACAAGGTGTAGACCACGTCATTGAGGTCGGCGGTGCCGGAACCCTTGAGCAAAGTCTGGCAGCGATCAGATTCGAGGGTGTTATCAGCATCATCGGATTCCTCGGCGGTGCCAAGCCCAAGTCGACCATCCTGGACTGCCTCAGCAACATCTGCACGACCAGAGGTGTCTACGTAGGTTCAAAGGCCCTCATGGAGGATATGGTGGCAGCCATCGAGGCAAATGATATCCACCCCGTTGTTGACAAGACTGTTTTCTCCCTGGACAAGACACGGGAGGCTTATGAGTACATGGTAAGTCCAATCTCTCGACCCAACATCTGAGATCTAATACTGACTTTTCTTCTTTCAGTGGAAACAATCGCATTTTGGAAAGGTGGCAATCAAGATTGAGTAAACCGTGCGTACCTAGGTACATTCGAGAAGAAAAATATTCATCAGAGGAGCGTCCGGTGGATATGCGTGCCTCAGGCATAACGGCTGACGGTGTAATGCGCGCATGACGCGTCCGTCGCTACACGAAAAAGGTACCTTCCATCAGCATGGTACATCTTACAGAGAGTAGCAGAATCTAATAGCGAATTGAAACTTGACTGCCCCAACCGGAGAACGAAACCCGTTGCCCCAGTCTTAGGTGGGATAGTGTGGGGTAGAGGAGAAAGGACGCGTATTAATGCAGTGCTACACTCCATTGCCGGGCGCCACTATGCAGCGTTCGTGTGAAACGAGTCTGGCCCAGATGAATCATTAGTGTTCTGCTCAAGCTCAGATCGAATTGAGAGAGAAGATTGGGAATACCATGAGAAGTGGCACGCCGAGAAGAAGCCGATTCCAGAACGCCCAACTCTCGTAGGATAGGTGTCACAACGCCATAATGAGTGGACTGAGAATATATCACTCCCCTTATCCAGCTGCTCGTATACCTACTGACCTGTCACTTTCGCAATTCCTATTGACGACCAATCCCGATGATGTAGGCGACGAGAAAACGATCTTGGAAGACTTTGGGTGGCCGAATGAGTCAATTTCATACGGGGGTCTACGGAATGCAGCCTCACGCTATGCGGCAGCCTTGCGGCAAGTTTTGGACTTTCAGCCAGGAGATGTTGCTTGTATCTATGGATACAACTCTGTCAAGTGGTGTGTCTTCGCACATTCAGTCTTGTGGAGTGGCGGTTCTTTCAGGTAGGTCAGACGTTTCGTCCAGCCATTATTCCGTGTTCTCTGATCCGGCAAAGTGCGATAAATCCTCTCGCAACTAGCTACGAGCTAGTACATTACCTGGAGATAGCTCAGCCAAAAGTTGTTGCAGTAGATGGTGAACTTTTACCACGAGTGATGAGTGCGTTAAAGGAGATGAAGCTCCCAAATGGGCCGACAATCGTGGCGTTGGACACTTCGAGAAGAATACTTGATGGCCCATTGCTGAAGGTGAGCGTGACACTATTTAAGAGTTAAAATACTAATCATGAAGTTTCCGGTCGACTTTGAAAGCAAGGAGGCCGTAGGTATTCCGCCATATGACCTATCGTCTGTGGACAACCGAACGATACCAGCTGCCATGGTGTTTAGTTCAGGCACCTCAGGAAAGCCAAAAGGGGTGGTCTTATCTCATCATAATCTGATAGCGCATCTGCTTACTGTGAGGACAACAAATCCGTTTGTGTATAATGCCCAAGTCAGGGAGGTGTTCTATCCTTCCTTCGCTCATATCTATGGCGTCACGTCTGGGATACTCGTCCCTGCGTGGACCGGAGGCTACGTTGTAGCGATGAAGCATTACGACTTCTTGCCGTATTTGCAACGCTGTTCAGAGATCAAGGGAACTATACTCAGGCTCGTGCCAGCGACTGCCATTAGGTTAGTCAAGGACCCTGCCTCGAGGGGCTTGGACTTGACGACGGTGAAGACCGTTATGTGTGCAGGGGCAGCATTGCCGCCGGAAATCGTTACAGGGCTTCAATCTATCCTTGACCCGGGAACCACTGTTCTCAATGGCTACGGGATGAGCGAGGCCACGATAGCACTGCAGAGAGATACCAGATCGGCCAAGGCAGGTAGTGTCGGGAAGCCGGCTTCGGGTGTGTCCATCAGGGTAGTGGACGACAATGGAGGCGACGTGCGGCCAGGAGAGGATGGCGAGTGCCTGGTCCAGACACCAACTGTTTTCATGCACTACAAGGATAACCCTTCCGAAACTAAGGCAACTTTTGACGGACGGTGGTTGAAAACAGGCGACGTTGTTAGGGTCGATGATGATGGCTTCTTCTGGTTGACGGGGAGGAAAAAGGAACTCATCAAGTACAAGGCAAATCAGGTTGCTCCGGCAGAGCTCGAAGCTATCCTTCTTGAGCATCCCTTGGTTAGCGAAGCTGGAGTATGTGGTATGTATGACGAATCAATGGACACAGAGGTTCCGGCGGGGTGTGTTGTTTTGGCTCAAGAAGCCAATAGAAGGCAGCAACAAGAACACCTCAAAACGCTCAAGAGCTATCTGGACAATCGAGTGGCACCGTACAAGAAGCTGCGGGGTGGGATATATGCTGTGAAGAGTTTGCCAAAAGGGAGTACCGGGAAGTTACTTAGAAGAGAGCTGCCTTCATTGATTGGGGACGCTAAGCGTCAGAGGTCGTGTCTCTGAAATTATACTGGTTATGGTGTATGGTGGCTACCTTAAGGTCTTGAAGGTATATTGAAATCTGATTGGCATACCCGAAGTTCTCGATGACTCTTGTGATTTCTTTACCAGTCTCTAACACCTCCAACCGCCGTCTATACTGATATCATTTCCAGAGATATAACTTGACTCATCGCTCAAGAGGAACGCGATCACGTAGGCGACCTCTTGAGGCTTTCCTATCCTTCGCAAAGCCACATCAGACAGGTTTTGCTCCTCGTATTCCGCAATAGTTCCAGTTCCATGAGTAACTATAGCATGTGCCTCATGAGACATTGGCGTCGATATCCGACCACTAGAAGTTATTTTCAGCGAGACTATGGTTTAGGGGGCTGGCTTAACTTACGGGCAGATAGCATTGACTCTTATCCCCCTTGCACCAACTTCCTTCGCAGCCGATCGTGTCAGGCCAAGTACTGCATGCTTAGAGGCGGCATAGGATGCATTCTTCGCGCGACCAGTAGTGCCACCAATCGATGAAGCATTCACGACTGAGCCATTCTTAGCCATGACCTTGAGCTGGGCTCGCAAGCAATGCATGACGCCCGTTGAATTTACTCCCATAACAAAGTCCCACTCTTCCAAGTCTTGGTCTTCGATCATCTTCAGGCCAATAGATTTGGGTATGACTCCAGCAAGGTTTACTGCTCCATCAAGTTTGCCGAATCGCTTCACGGTTGAGTCGATCCAGGCTTCGACTTGGCCATATTGGCGCACGTCTAGGGGCGATATGAGAATATCCGTCTGGAATTTCCTCTGAATGTCGGCTTGGACCCCTTTTAGAGCCTCTTCTTGAACGTCAGCAAGAGATAAGGTTGCTCCTCTGCTTGCAAGAAGGTGAGCTGTCTCCAGCCCAATCCCTGACGCTGCACCTGTCAGAGCAATAACTTTGCCGGCTAATTGACCACTGGCTGACATTATGACCGACGAACTAGTCCAAACTGTCTATTTTGGTTTGTGTTAGACTGTTGAATTGGTGCGGCAACATGAATATTTTTGAGGAGAACAATGCGGTTATCAACACCCGACAATAATACCCGGTCCGCGGTCTGCTTGGTAGAATTGCCTAGACTCCGCAACCCGAGGAGGGGCAAATGAGTTCTGCAGATGAAATCCCCCGGCCGGCGTTGGGCATCTGGACTTGAGATTTCTGCCGATGATTGCTGCCGCTGGTCCGTGTCCGGATCTGAAACAAAGTATAACTTTGTTGAAATGCAGTATTGCGACCGAGAGGGCCGGCAGCTGACTAGGAGCAGTTGTAGTCATTCACGCAGTATTTATCTCCTCGTCGATCAGCTTCGCAATCTCTGGAAACCTCTCTCTAAACCTTTGACCGATAGCCCAATTCTTGAGCTGCCGTATCTCGTCTTCGTACACAGGATTGATGATGACTTCCTTGAGTCCCGACCCCCCAGAGTTGACTGTTATCAACACATGTGCAGGATCAAAGTCCCATTTCACTGTAAAACTAGAGCTGTATGTAGATGCAAAGTCATCCAACGTGATTTCGGGATGTTGGACCAGATACTCTCTCGCCTTGGGCCTTCTCGAATCAGCTGCTTGATCTTGGGCATAAAGTCGAGTCTTACCATGGAACGCGATCTACCCAAGCAGCGTGAGGCAGCGAGAGCTGGCACGGAATTGGTCGCAGCCAATTTGGTAGGGTATCCCAACTACTTTTATCTAGAAAGACTAGCCACTTTGTAAGAGTTAGTGAACACAGCCAACGTTTGTCCATGCGTCATCGCGTCTTGTTTACCTTGAAAAGAATACTCATTACATAGAAGACAGCTACCTGTTTTGGGAACGTCTCAATCTCGGAATAGCTTCGAACGATATCTCCAGCGACGTTGCTAACTTCATCATTGGTTCGCTGATGTTTGTATAACAAGGAAGTTGGGTTTGGTTTCAGTCGAAGTGGGCCGGATTCTGTATCGGCTGGACTAGAGGCTCTCTCAGTGCGCTCGGAGGCGATAAAGTTTTGGAGAATATGATCTGCGATACACGACGGCTGCGAGTTGAGTGGCGGCGTTTCCCAGGGTTCCCGGTTGTTGAAGATCGGCAGCCTTGAATGCTCACCTCGATTCAGTAGGCTGAGCTGAAGTGCTGCGTTCTGGGCACGAAGTTGGGCATTCTCTGCCTCAAGGGCTGCAATCCTTGAATCAAGCAAGCCTGTTTCGTTGACCCTTGTGTTCAGTTCATTCGTTAAAAATGCGACTTGTCCATTAAGGTTCTGTACAAGACCTCTATGGCGGTCTCTCATTGCCTGCTGCGATTTGCGATCCCGAGCTCGCTTTCTCTGAAGATCGATATCGGTCTGGGACATGCTGGGCTGGCTCGTTGCCTCTGTCGAGACAAGCCCATCTTCTGTAGCAGGTGAAGATGACATGGTAACTGCATACTGGCATGATATATACGACGTGCTCGAGAGTGAATTCATGGGATAAAGTGGTAGTCTGTTATTGACCACGTGGAATAAATGGTTGGTCCAAACCTGAGAGTAGTGATTTCGCCATTGAGGACGTGGATGTACAGTACCCATAGGGATGTGCGGGGACAGCGTAAGTTAACCATGTTCTCTGAGGGCTTGGGGCAGTGCGGAGAGCGCCTTGAAGCCCCCAAACTTCGTACATGGCCTTAAACAAGTACGAGCGCTGGTCACCCCAACTCAAGTGGGGATGGTATATTTATTGGTTAGGGACATTTTCCTCCGTCAGAAGCTCAACCATGCACCAGTAGCGAATGACGCTGTCCAACATGACACCCCTTGGGAACGTATGTTTAGTCCAACGATGAAATCATATATTTTATAAGTACATCTTGTTTCATTGCTATACAACCGGGTCGCTATGCATTCTGCGCTCAACTCTGTCTGTTAGAAGCTCCTGGGCATTCTTGGAAAAGAGACAACCAACTATAGCTATGCCACCAAACCCTAGACTCGCCAAGTATACCGTTTGGAATGCTTGTGAATATGCTGTAGGTAAAACTGCAACCACGGCCGATTTGATGGAAGGTGTAAGCCCAGGGAACGATGGAAGCTTGCCACCAACGATAGCTGCCGCAAGGGCTGTTACTTGACTTTGGGGCAAGCCTGCGGCAACAGCGACCGGTCCGATGTTTGAGGGTACGGTAGAGGCCAGCCGGTTTGACAGTATCGTGCTGTACACTGCGACGGCGATTGACCCGCCCGCTGACCTGATAGATGCGAGCAATCCCGACGCGAGTCCAATATCTGCTGGCTTGCAAAATAGAGGAGCAAGTGCCAACGAAGCTAGTTCAATGAATCCTACGAAGAATGGTCCCAGTATTGTGAGTGCAATGCCCGTGTTTTTGGTCGCAGGGGTAAGAGATGCAAGAGAACCCACGAAAGCAACCATTGCAAATGTTGAGAAAATGATCCAGTACCGAACATTTCCTCCCCATCTCACAATGGCGCCAGCGCAAACTTGTCCTAAAGCTGTTGAGCTGGCTACAGTGCACTCGCATTGTGTTAGTTTCAAGAATGCTTGTAGCGGGAGCTCCGACCTACTGAGAGCCAACCAGCATACGTGATATCCGTCGTGAACTTTAGGCAGTCAATACCCATGTACGTGTATTTGCTGGACCGACGTGACCTACCAGGGCTTGCACTTGCTGGGGCCATAGAAGCACAGCAGAGTAGTAGAACATCTGGATTATGTCAGTGGTTTTTGGTTCCAAACAAAGAATACATGATATTACTTACGCTCGCCACTGTTGCGCAACAAACCAAGCTTATAAAACCGCGGTTTCGAAAGAACTTAACTGGAATAGCAGGGTATTCGAGGTTGGCGAAGGATTCCCACACAAACAGGACTACCAACAATGCGCCGCCAATGATTATAGTTGAGATTACAGGCGCTGAGACCCATGGATATATGGTTCCACCGAGAGAAATACCCATCAGGAATAAGGTAAGACCAGCAGTCCATAAGAAGATACCAAAGTCTAGATCAAATGTTAAGTCTTTTCAATGTGAGCTAGCTCGTCAACTCACAATCAAGTCTCTCCAAGAGTTCCCTCTTGCTCTTCCTTTCGTGCAGGAGATCAAATGTTGGCGGGTGGTAGAAAAGAAACAAAAGGACGATAGCTAGGCCCACAGCGATAATGTTGATATAGTAGCACCAGCGCCATCCTAGGGATTGTATTTCCACGAATTTTCGGGCTATCAACTTGTTAGACGAATTAAATGTGTAAAAATCGCGGCAACAAAGAAAGCAGGCTCACTCACCAATAATAGGCCCAAATGTTGCTATCGGTGCATTCGTTAAAAAGATGAACGAGAGAACAATTGGTCTATACTTGTTTGGCACCAGTTCGCCAACTGCAACGTTGAAGCTGAGCTGTACTGTCTCCCCCAATCCGTAAATTGCACTTCCAACTATCAAAACATCGATGTTTCTCGCCAGTGAACAGATGATGATGCCTATTAATGCAACGATATTACCTCCGATAAAGAACCACCTGCGTCCAAAGAGGTCTGATAAACGGCCGAGGATAGTATAAGTGAAAGAGAGTGCAAGAGTACGCGCAATATTAACCCAAGAGATATAAGGGCTGGGGCCAATGTCTGCGTTGATGTAGGTTAAGACATTTGTAGGTAGTATGAGGAAGATGTATGCCGACAGAGCGGATAAGCAGAATCCCTGAGACTTTGGTTAGAAAGTGAGTCAACTGGCATCTTGATATCATGACTGACAGTTATTGCGCCGATGAACCGAAGAGAATAGAAATACCCCTGAGGAAGGTTATCACCTAGGGCCTCCGATCTGATTGAAGATGCATCATCACCATTGCCATCTGGCCGAGATGAAGTGTGCTTTTCGAGGTCTTCTACTTGTCCGGTCTGAGGGGCATTCTTGATATCGTGCATGATGGTACAGTATACGGAGTAAAATGGAGGATTTGAAATCTCAGAGAAGGAGCAAGGGTCCGTGTCTTGCACGCCGTAAGTCTATAGGGGAGACCTCTTCCTGAAATCAGGCTCAAGATATGCTTGAGAACTCCAAAAGTCTCAAATAACATTTGCTTGTACCCTAACCCATGAGAAGATGCGTTTACCCCAAACGATAGTGAAATCTGCGGGGCAACCACACAATCTAAGCCATCCGACTGATGAGGTGTGATAAAACCTGAGAATACGTTTTCCGGGAGACGCAAGCAATGGTACCGCTGAATCATTAGCCCAGAAATGGAAAGCTTGGGATCGTTCAGCCACACCAGAATGCAAGTTAAGCAAGGTCAGTGATATGGAACTACTGCAAATGCAATCAATTTGAAGTGAGAAATTATGGCCCAATAATGCAAAGTTCACATCGCGCTGTTTCTAAGTTTCCGGTTTCATTTCGCACATTGATGGCATAACATCTCATGCGGTAAAGGTTAAGATTAACTAGTATCGGCTATGGCCTACCACCACCACACCGCGACATGATTCTATCAGATCTTGGCCAAGATACTGAAAGAAGGCGCTGTAAATTAATGGGAACAGTCAGAGGCGAGTCCCTCTCCATCGAGGCTCTCGTTTTTCTGAAAATGCTTTCAAGCCTTCCAGGATATTCTCGCCTCTTTGTAGCTCAGAAAATTCTTTCTCGAGTGTTAACTCGGTGGCTCTCTCCACTGAAGCCGTTTCCCAGCTTTGTCTTAGCCCAGCTCTGGTACATACAATGGCGTCCGGACTGTTTGAAGCGATCAGTTCGGCATACTTGATAGCTTCGTCGACAACTCTCTCTCTGGGCACGACCTTATTCACAAGCCCCCATTGATAGAATTCATGAGCTGTTGCCTTACGACCGGTTAACGAGAATTCCGAGGCTCTCTGAAGACCAATCGTTCTTATTATTCGCGGCAGGGCGCCTCCGATGGCTGCAAGTCCTCGCTTTACCTCCGGAAGGCCAAAATATGCATCCTCAGCTGCCACGACGAGATCTTCACCCTCGTTAGCGAGGATTGGTAAAGAGAAGATTGCAGAAACTTGCCGCAATTGACGACGAATTCGCATCCACCACCCATCGCTAGCCCGTTGACGGCCGCTATTACGGGCTTCTTGCCCATACGTCGGCTCAAAGGTTTGAAAGATGGAGCATTACCCATCCTGTTGTGAGGATCTGCACCATCTGCCATAGAATTGTTCCATTCCTTCAAGTCAGCACCAGCAGAGAATGCTCGTCCAGTACCCGTTATTATAGCCACGCTGAGTGTTGGCTCCAGGTCAAACCACTTCCAGACTGCATCCATTTCCCACTGCGCCGTCGTTGACATCGCATTCAGGTCTTTGGGGCGGTCCATACGGACCAAGAGGACCCTAGGAACTGGGAATGACAGTTCTAGGAATGTCGGAGTTGAAGGTGGAGGTATATCTGTTGGATGCATCTTTGCTCACTTTCCTTGCCAGTCTAGAGCAGTAAGCATGAGCTGAGGATAGAATACTCCCTTTCACAATATCACCTGAGTCTATTGTCATTATTTTTGATACTGATAACTGTAATCATCGAGATTGCCATAAATGTCCTAAGCCTTAGCGAATCGCTAAGTCTCGATATCTAACAGAGAGACTGAGAGACCTTCAACGAGTTGCGTTTCAGTGTCTCGGCTAAACGGAATCCTGCAAGTCATGCATGCTGACGATCCTTGCATCGTGTCCTATGTAGCCTTGCTCGCTTCCAGAAAATCCAGCACGCCCAGGATCGGTAATCGTTTCCCATGTACGACTAGAGCCGGTTAGCACCAGAGCTACTCGCTGCCACGGCCAAGTACCCCGCACTGCGAAAATTCAATAGTCAGCCTTTGGTCTGCGATGAATCAGTTCTTACTAGCGCTGGGACGTGTATCGATATCTCCTCGTTAGGTTTTCGGCCTATGCGGACAGGGTTTGAATGTGCTTTAGTTTCGGTGCAGATTCTCATGCTACAGGTCGGTTTGGGGGTCAAGTTGGCTGGGCATCGATTCCACTCCCAAATACCAATACCGCTTAACACTTTGAGAATGAACGACCCTATCATTGTCTTGAACCCTTGATTCAATTATACAAAATCGTCAAATAAAATCTTTTGTACATTATTGCACGCACTAAGGGTATAAACATCACTCACCGGGAGTCAACTCAGCGTCACAGCAGCCATATCGGTATGGCAAGTGCAAGAACGAATAACCAGGTTCCTGGCTGGATCTTAAACCCTTACCCTCATGTAGTACACAGCCTGGTTACGTTCCCTCGGAAACATATCCTGCTGGTTACTATAAATCGACCACAGTTCATGAATTGCCTGCCTGTCGAAGCTACCATTGAGCTTGGTGCGCTGTGGAAATGGTACGATGCGGAACCTGAACTTCGATGTGCCGTTTTCACTGGGGCCGGACAGAATGCCTTCTGCGCCGGCATGGACCTTAAAGAGCGGTTAGACATTATAGACACCAACGATATTGCATTCGAATATCCTCAAGGTGGTTTTGGTGGGATGTCCAATCGTACGGGAAAGAAACCGATCATTTCTGCATGCAATGGTCATGCCCATGGTAAGTGCCTGAAAGATTTGATGCAAAGGACCATCCTTACGCGCAGCAGGAGGGGGTTTCGAGATTGTACTCAACTCAGATGTTATCTTTGCATCGCCAAATGCCACTTTTCGACTGCCAGAAGTATTGCGAGGGGTTTCAGCCCTTGCGGGAGCGTTACCTCGCTGCATGATGCTCTTCGGGAACCACAGAACTATGGACCTTTGCCTCACTGGAAGGTTATTGGCCGCCAAAGAAGCCATGGAATGGGGATTAGTAAAGGAGGTAGTGCCCCAACATAGACTCCTTGATCGGGCGCTGGATTACGCATCCGAGATTGCAGCTCATAGTCCCGACAGCGTGATCATATCTCGACTTGCGGCAAGAGAGGCATGGGAAACTGGAATCAGTAGAGCAACAATGAGGGGACAAGAAATATACTCCGAAGCCATGCTCAGAAGTAAGAATGCCTCAGAGGGCTTAGCTGCCTTCCGAGAGAAGAGGAAGCCCAAATGGCTACCGTCGTATTTATGATACTCTAACTGTCAGAGTTAATATACTAAGAATGACGTCTATACTACAGCTTGTTCTTCTCCCTCTTCAAGTGGGCATATCCGTTAGATAGTGCTATTCGCCCGTCTTCTTCCACAGCTGTCTCAAACACCACATTTTCAAAATTGCTGTGTGAACTAATCACCCACATACGTGTTACGAGCTTGTCTCCAGGATACACGACACTTTTGAATCTTGCGCCGAACTTCTGAAGCCTTGCCGGATTCGACCTGCCTAGTTCCCGCAATACGCTGTGAGCGGCAATATTCCAAGTACCCAGTCCCTGGAGAATGGACCCTTTGAAGCCAGCGCGCTTGCCGAACTCCTCATCTGCGTGGAGAGGATTGTAATCTCCGCAGAGCCTATACAGCAGTGCGATTTCAGTCGTGGTCTGCATTTTATGGATAGCGTCAGGTGCTCGGGTTGGCATTTTGATAGCCGGCTTTGATGGACCTCGTGGGCCATCATATCCACCTTGACCAATACCAAAGGCGGTAGATGAGAGCCTGGCGTATGTTATACCAGTCTTGATGTCCACTAACTCCCCCTCAGATTCTAGGATCATAGCTCCTCCTAGCCACACTACGTCAGAGAAAAGTACTTGAGTTCTTAGGGAGCACAAACCTTTGTCATATGCTCCAATGACTTTGTTGCGAATTTCCAAGTCCAGTCCCTCAGAGCTTACGGGTAGTGGCCTTACTATCTCGATACCCCGTTCGCCATCCACCGACCTCTGAGGGTCAAACGGTGGGATCCCTGGCACGTCAACGGTGGTCGTGCGGGCAATGAAATCGAAAACGTCTTGATCAGTTTGCTTAAAGCCCAAATTGATCGGAAAAGTTGGGAAGGCAGCGAATTTGGGGTGGAGCTCGTACAAGAAATGCAGCTCATCTCGTTGCACTCCGATTGCATTGGCCTAATCCAAGAAGTCAGGTGGCCTCGCCTCAATGCTGAAGACTGGTGTGGTATTATGGCTGACTTACAAACAACAGAACGTCGCGGCGATTGTAACTGCACTTGACTGGAGGATATTGGAATCCTATGGCCTTGCGAAAGTCGACGTTTTCGTAACGACCCGTAGAATTTCTGATTGGGCTAGCGTTCGCCATTTGCGAGTTGTTTATGGACTTCAATTGGACAATTTGGGTAACTTCCGCTTGACTTTGTAAAGTAGATATCGGTGTCTTGCATGTGGGAAATAGTTCCAACCAACTTTACGAGGGGTGCATCGCTCAAGTTAATGGGTGCCCTACTCCGTACTTAAGTACTCAAGTACCTGGAGTGCTGGGTATTTGCGGAGTTATAGGCGGTACGAGGCCCGTGTGGCGCCCCGCGTGATACAGCAGCCGCTAACCTCAAAGCTCGGTAAAATCCCAGTGCCAGCATCTCACTGAGTTCTATCCATCCGGCTACCATGGCACAAACTAATTGACGTACAGTGACATCGAATTATTGCATAGTGCGATAGACTGTCATACTCTAGATCGTGGTCGGAGTCTCACTTAGTCGCATAGTTAGCTAACTTAGCTATCCATGCCTTTAAGCAAGAACGTGTACCATATGATCGACAACATTCGTCAGATATTTCTAGTCTCAAGTGTATGCCTGCCACACATTCATAACCTTGGCCCGAAATGCTCTTTTCTTGACCTCATTCGTAATGCATTCTCCATCTCAAGCAGTTCCAGTGGAAGCTCAACTTGTCGAGCTCTTAGAAACTCACCCATGCTTTTTCCAAACCCGTCCAAGATTGAAGAGCTACTTACACCATCCTGCAAGATCCCCTTCACGACGAAGTGGACCGCGTGCAATAATGCAAACTCGCAGCGCTCGACGGTGTACTTTTCATCCCAGTCGTCCGCAAAAAGCTCGGCGAGCCTGGAGCTGGTCATGAATGCTTGTAGCCACGGCCATGCCGCCGAGTTGCGAACCCAAAAGCCAACATTGGCGTTTCCTCCCTTGTCGCCACTACGAGCAAAGACCAGGTCGCCCAATGGACGCCGAATAGTCTGGCATTGTTCATCGAGCCCAGCCGCTGGTTGGTAACTTCGCTGGACTGGAACCTGCAAGATGCACTCAGAGCGTCTGCGAGCCTCCACCGCAACTACTCGTGGCCAAGTCCCAATGAACTGCACCTCTAATGGAAGATCTGATTGAGCCATAAGAGCGGGAAAATATTTCACGTACGGCCGTGCTTCCATAGTTCTCCAATCCATAGACAGGTGAAGTCCACAATATCCTTGCATGCCGTTATAGAATATGGCCCTTTTGAACTGGATCATGGCGTCTTTATCAGGAGACTGTGCAAACATTCGGATATGAACGGTGGATTCTGCCTGTGAACGAGGATTTGGGCTTGGTGTTCCATATTTTTCGATGCTGATGGTAGAGAAGTCGTTGGGGTTGATCTGGCGCATTACTTGGTCTTTTAGGAGCTGAAACTTGAAGTCTGTATCCAGTCCGGCGCAGAAGCCCGAGAGCTCAGCTTGCCATCCACCAGCTAGACATATCGCAAGCTTTGCGGTCAAGGGAGGTGCCATCCCTTTGATGCCCGTTACTCTGACACGATCTTTGCCAACCTCCTCTAACTTCGCCTGCTCGATGTCGGCAACCACATCAGCATTAAGGTAAATTGGGCCTTGGATCTCGTATAACAGTTGTGCCTTGCAAGTGTCTACTGTGACGGCCCCGTTGCTATCGACAGGTTTTGTTATTACAGCCGTCCCATCGCACGAAATTTCCGCGATAGGGTATCCTGCATGGTGAAGATGCTCAATCTCTTGAGCACCACAGAAGTTCCCCCCTGTCACGTAGGCTCCACACTCAATAAGATGGCCGGCCATAAGGCTCCCAGCCATTTTGTCATATTCCGTGGAGTTCCAGCCGTGCCACCAGTATGCAAGGCCCATCACGGGGCTCGCGTCGCAACACCGCCCGCAGATGACAATATCTGCGCCTGCCTGAAGAGCACTGACGATCCCAGATTGTCCCGTGTATGCATTTGCTGCCAAGATCTTCTGCTTCTTGGGATTGAAGTATTCCCCATCGCGATCGAGGTGTCGGATACTCCCAAGTTGATTCTGCCGCAGCCTCTTGGTCACATCATCTCCTATGACTGCAGCTACTTTCACATCATCAAATCCCAAATTCTTGAAGTATTCGTCTACCTTCACAGCAAGGCCTTTTGGATTCAGCGCACCACCGTCATGGACAATTTTAATGCGCTTTTCTGCTACTAGTCGAGCAGCGTCCCCATTCTCCCAGGCCAATTGCTCGAGAAAATTAGGTTCATACCCGAGCTCTGGCTGAGTTTGAAGCTCTATGGCCTTCCATGCGATGTTGAACTCGGCTAAGTAGTCAGCGGTAATGGCATCAACTGATCCCGATTTTGCCAATTTGTAGATCTGATCGATGCCGTCGCCAATTGCACCAGACGCATTGCCGATTCTGATAGGCCGAAGAGGTCTTTTTGAGCGTGTGGTGGTCATTGTCGACGCCCCAAAATAAATAGCAAGCAGGAAAGTCCAGAATGCCAGTAAATAGGCTTGGAAGTCGACCGTGTCGCTTGGGCTACTTTTCCGGAACTACCCTCCAAATGTGCAAATGTGTACCACCACTTCGAGCAGTATTGTAGTGCCAAGACGCTGCAGAACTTCGTTGCAAACTCTGGGCAATGCACAATACCGGAAAAGATTTCCATAACATCGATCATAACTAACGCGAGTAGCTTTCGACAGCTGCTCTAATGATTCATTAGCTCCTCGCAAAAAAAGGCGGGGCCTGCAGATCAACGAGAGCGATCCTGGGGCTGGACCACAAGTGGTAATCTGATTGCTCACGAATGGTCCGGCCCAATAATAGATATTTCTTGCTGTAAGCGACAGGTCAGCAGTACGCGATAGCGTAGAGGTCTCGATTTCCGCCACTACAGGCGTCCCGCAATGGCGTGGTCTAGATGGCGAAAAAGTAGACTAGACATGAGATATAACTTTGGTGTCTTCTCAACCCGATAGCGGGATAACGAGACAGAATTTGATAGTACTCGAAATTCGGGTTGAAATATTCTACTTGATTGCTCAAAGCTCCATACGTGCCAAAATCCAACAATGAGAACCTATCGCTCCGAGACTATTCCTATTCCACGGAACCAAAATCTTACTGAACTTCTCCACGCATCTATTGACCCGAGCCTCCCAGACTCGCATTTGGTAGCCAAAGATAGTCTCACCAATCGGAGTGTAACCATTGGTGAATTGCGAATTCGCGTGGGAAGAATTGCGAAAGGACTGGAATCATGCTTGAACCCACCAGATCAGGCAAGATGGGCCTTGATCCTCCCTAATAGCGTCGAGTATCTGGAGATTTTTCACTCCATTCTTTGGACTGGCGGCGTGGTGTGCCCCATCAACCACGCGTTGAAATCATCGGAAATAGGCCATGGTCTTGCAGTTTCACGCCCATTGTATGTCATCGCCTACGGGAAGGCAATCACTATCGTCAAGCAGGCTATATCTCTAGCACAGGTGGAGCTCAAGGGCATTGGAGTCAGTTGGGCAAATCCCACGGTATTCTCAGTGATATCTAGCGTTCCGGGCTTGAAGCACATTCCGACAGATTTTTGGGCAGAGAGCAGTCTTTCAATCCCTCACTGGGAAGATACCTCAACACGCCTCGCGTCTATACACTTGAGTTCCGGGACTACTGGCAAGCCAAAAGGGGTGGAGCTGACACATTACAATTTTGTGTCTAACTGCTACCAGCTCATTCACCATGGTAGAGATCAATTCAACGCCAAGTCGACGACAGTAGCATTCACCCCCTGGGCTCACATAGCCATGACCACGATGCCTCTGTTTCTAGGTCCGTTCACAGGGATGCTCCATCATGCTATGCCTTCTTACAGCACGGAAGATTTCGCGCGTCTAGTCGAGTCAAACAGAGCGACAAGTTTCCAAGGTGTCCCAAGCGTTGTTCTCACTCTGGCAAATACGGATGTGACGTCACGGTATGACTTTTCCCATGCAAGGATGATCAATGTCGGAGGCGCACCGCTTAGGAAAGCGCTCATCGAAAAACTGACAAAGAGAGCTCCATGGCGTCTAATTCAAGTGTACGGCATGACAGAGGCCTCAGGTTATGTTGCGTATCAGAAATTCAGCGAAATCCTTCCGGACGGCGTTATAGGACATCTGTTACCTAATATCGAGGCTTGCTTAAAAAAAGAAGGTACCTCCGATGATGCAGAGGAAGGAGGCCCTGGAGAGCTCTGGCTTAGGGGTCCGAATATCACAAGAGGATATGCCTTCAATTCAAATGCTACCGAAAACGCATTTCCCATAGAGGGCTGGTATAACACGGGCGACGTCTGTATCATTGATAAAGAGGGGAGGATAAGTGTGGTTGGAAGAAGCAAGGAGTTGATCAAATATCAAGGCTTCCAAGTTTCCCCTGCAGAGCTAGAAGCCTTTCTAAACGCGCATCCCAATGTAGTTGAAGGCGGAGTAGGTGCTACGTGGGACGAGAGTCGACTAACTGAACTCCCAACAGCTTGGGTGGTATTGAAGGATAAGTTCAAGTCGGATCAGGAGATACTTCGCGCTTTGAAAGAAGTTCATGTCACAATAGATGGTCAAGTTACCGGTTACAAGAAGTTGCGAGGTGGCGTATGGCACATACCTGCTCTGCCGAAGAACCCGACAGGCAAGATTTTGAGAAAACAGATGGTTCTCATGAGAGGCGGACTGTGTTCGATAAAAACTGACTTACGACCGAGACTATAGCAACAGTTCTTCGGTATATTAACAAAAATATGACAACAGAGAGTCTCGTTCATCTCGCCATGTCTGAACCCACCATTTTGACAGTCCAACTTCCAGCCCCACTTAGAAATAGAGTTCGGATATGCGTTGCCGAAAATTCCAAAATTTATACTCTCAGCTTGCTTGATCATGTTGTAATTATTGTTGACTCCTAAAAACTCCGGTACGCAATTCAAACCACTATGGCGCGCACTCTAGTTGTGGCACACCTACCTGCGGCGAGCGTGGAAGTTCGAGACGAGGTAGGTTTTGAACAGTAACAAGAATTAGAGACTGACGTGTCCAAAGTACATCAGGAAGTTGACCGAGTGCTCAAGATTCGCATTGCAGAACGAGCCCGGCGTAAGGAAGTATGCTGTTTTGTTGCCCAGAGACGAGACAGACGGAACTTCAGTCTACGTAGTTGAAGAGTAAGTGTTGGCTTAAGCTTCCCGTGATCTAAAAGAGAACAACATCCATTGACCAGGCCAGGTACGCTGATAAAGCGACTGTGGATGCACATATGGAAACACAGGGTGTGAAAGACATGATTAAATGGTCAACTACGGAGAGAGTCTTCGAGGGTGCGCCGACGATTCACCAATTAGAGATAATCGGCGGACTTGATTTCTCCAGAGAAATTTCAGTGACCGATCCGCATGTTTTGTTCGCAGATCTCAGCTATCAACCAGGCGCAGCCTCGCAATCCCTACCTTATTGGAAGCAAGTCATTGAAACTGGCTTGAATGAAGAAAAAGGAACCTTTGTTTATTCCTTACTAAAGGATGCCCAGAGCCCGGATAGACTGTGTGTACTAGAGGCATATGAAAGCCCAGAGTATCTGAAGGAAGTGCACATCCCGAGCAAAGCTATCCAAGAAAGGATCAGAAACACAAGTCATTTGAGAACAGGCCTCAAACACACTGCTCTGAGGCTTCGAGGTGGATTTCTTCACAGGGATTAAATGAGCATGATATCAGAATGAATATTGGTTGGCCCCGCTATATGCATGGGAAAGCCTATAACCACCGATTCCTGAATAAGCCATTCTTCTACTGATTTAGTTTGCCTCCCGTATTCCGGACGTCCCGATTTTGAACTGAAAGAATATCAGCAATTGGGAAAACATCTATCGACCAGCGTTATGCATGTTGTATAATTGCCATAGCCCGAAGCGGGGTTATGTGCTGCTGTGTTGCACCTGTGTAACAACGGCGGAAATGTGCTCGGAAATACTGAGTCATTAGCGTCGCCTGCATAATGCTCAGACTGGAGAATGGGGCGTATCATATGGAACATTTGATAGGCTCATTCGACCAATCTTAGGAAGTGGAAGTCCGGCTTGTGAATGTATATATCGCTATGACCTCCCGTGCAATCCTTTGAGCACCTCTTGTACGAAGAAAAGTACCTATCGCAATTATAGGTTAAAACCTTCGTGATATCATAAAATTACCTTATTATGGTGCCTATTAATCAAGATCCACCAAACGGTACTAGCGACCACCATGCAGCCAGCAGCACAGGAGCAAAAAGGCCTATCCGGATTGCGGGTTGCTCAGGAGGTGAGTCAATGGAGATCGATCAAAATCATCGACGACTGACAATTGTCAGGTGTATATGACCGCAAGAGAGCAATCCATGACATGGCAAAGAACGAGGATGTGGACGTGATTACGGGCGACTGGATGTCAGAATGTAACATGACTCTGCGAGGTTCCGATAAACGCGATCGCTTGGCGCAGCAGAAGATGACCTCGGGTTCAACAATCGTTGCACAGGGATATGAGCCTTACTTTTTGGAAGAAATCGATCCTGCCATCCCTTGGCTGGCCCAGAAAGGTGTCAAGATTGCAGTCAATGCCGGAGCCAGTGACGTGCACGGCCTAGCCGAAGCAGTCGACAAGCTGATAACGAAGCATGGGGTTAGCCTTAAGATTGGAATCGTTGATGGCGATGATGTTACAGACGCTGCACTTGAGCTCTATCGTCAAGGTAAACCCACATATAAATAATACACAAAATTGACTGCTAATATGTCAATAGGAGAACCTTTCTTGAGCCTTCCGGCGAATAAGCCAATTCAGGAGTGGGGTTTTGAGCCTATCTGCGCTCAATGCTACCTTGGAGGCACAGGAATTGCTGCATGTTTTCAGGGCGGTGCAGATATTGTGCTCTGTGGTCGCGTTGCTGATGCCTCTGTGACATTGGGTGCGGCAATGTGGTGGCACGGATGGACGAGAGATAATATGAAGGAGCTTGCGGGTGCCCTGATGATTGGCCACATAATCGAGTGCAGTACCTACGCAACTGGTGGCTACTACTCAGGCTTCAAGGATCTTGGTGTTCATGACACCGATATGGGCTGTAAGTCGTCACCCTAATAAACGTCATAAAATATTGAGACAGCAAGGGGATACTGAAAGTGCACTAATCTTATAAACAGACCCAATTGCTGCTATCGATGAAAAGGGAGAAGCGGTTATCTCGATGGAGCAAGGTAAAGATGGTTTGGTTAGTATCGCTACTGTTGCCAGTCAGCTCCTGTATGAGATCCAGGGGCCGCTTTACTACAACTCGGACGTAACAGCTTCCATTGAAGATATCGTGTTGCGAGAAGTCGGTGAAAACCAAGTGCACGTCTCAGGAGTCAAAGGGCTGCCACCACCGTCGACGACCAAAGGTAAGTCCAAACTTGGTAAGCATGAAAAGACAGACCTGACTTCATTCTCAGTGGGCTTAACAGCGAAAGGCGGGTGGCAAGCAGAGTTTCATTGTAAGTAGTTTCATGGCTCATGTGATAATATCTTCCGAGTCTGGGTTGGGCAGTCTCTAGATTGGGCAAGCCATCATTGGGCAACATAAACTACTGACTCCCGTCTTCTTAGTCTACCTCACCGGTCTTGATATCGAAGAAAAGCTTGCTATGATTGAACGGCAGACAAAGGCCCGTATGGGAAGTGATATTGAAAAATTCTCATGCCTGAAATTCATGATTGCCGGCGTCGTCCCAGAGAACCCATGCAGTCAGGAGGAGGCGACTGTAGACTGCAGGATATTTGCTCAAAGCGCAGACCCTGACATATTGTCGGGGTCCAGCTTTGTTGACTCTGATCGTGGCTCTTTCGCACGGTTCTGTATCGAAAATCTACTTCAAGGCTACCCAGGTAGCACTATGGCGCCCGACATGCGCACTGCGATTGGTCGCCCCTTCTTCGAGTATTGGGTCAGCCTCATGCCTCAGACCTTTGTCCATGAGACAGCCCATCTACCCGATGGGACTATCCTTGACATCCCTTCGCCAACCAACGTGAGGACGTATGAGCGAGAACAGCCTAGTTACGATACACAGAACCCAATAGACCTTGCAAGCCTCGGTCCGACCACGCTTGCACCTCTTGGATACGTTGTCATGGGTCGATCTGGCGACAAGAGCTCGAACTGCAATCTTGGTCTGTTCGTCAGGCATGACGATGAGTGGGACTGGCTTCGATCGTTGCTTAGCACATCAAAGCTGCGAGAGCTTCTGGGCAGAGATGACGTTGGTCGACAGATTGACCGCTGCGAGTTCCCTAACATCCGCGCTGTCCATTTCTTACTGAAAGATCATCTCGACAGAGGGTTCAACTCGACGAGCAGCTTTGACAGCTTGGGCAAGAATCTCTGTGAATACATTCGATGCAAGCACGTGGAAATCCCAAACAGGTTCCTAGATAGAGGTAAAATCTGACAGTCGAGGACGAGACCATGGGATGCTGCTCGCGAGTACCCGTCGTGGGGCTAATACGATTTGAGTCATTTGACTACACCCTATTACTGTGTGTTTTGATCCGTGGTGTCCCTCCCAGATAGACCGATCCATAACTGCGGGCCCGTTTGTTAGGCGAGTGGGAGATACGAGAGATTAAGATTCACCTCATGCAAAAGAGTCGTGTAGACCGACTCCGTAGGAGTGATAAGCTGCACGTTGCCAATTGGCTGAATTGGCTGATGGTGCGCTGTGAGGTCAAGCCCGACGAATTTGAATTGCGCTTCGTCGGCGGCTTCCGGACAGCCGCCACCGCCCGTAGGTGGACCCCATCGGTCTCATGCGCCCGCCGCCCCTTTGTTCAAGTGACAGGTATAAGAACTGCCATTCCCGCCAGATACTTGTATCGCAGTGTGTCTATCTCATTTCTGACAGTCACCTTCAAGTTCAATCCAATTGCAAGACTACCCACTGCCAGAGACGCTGAATTGACCTGCCCCGCTCATAACCAATCGAAGTCACAATGTCCCACATCACTGTGGAGCGGCTACAAGTCCCGGAATCGTCCGGCATCAACTTTGGTGCAACCATCACCAACGTAGACATCGAACATCTCACTGGTAAGATCTCATACGCATGTGACGCCTGATACGTGACAATCTGCTGTCGTGAAATTGGGAGAATACCCGTCAAATCGGTAACCTCCTCGGTAAGCTCGTCATTAACCCCTGGTTCAAGCAATCCGGGCTAACGTTGACGCAGATGCCGATTTTGATGTCATCCGCGAGGCGCTCTTCACGCATCAGGTCGTGATCTTCAAGAACCAGAGCGCGGTATCTCCCAAAGCCCAATTCGAATTGACTCGGAGATTTGATCCGGCCGGAACCTCATATGGTCACGGCAAGACTATAGATGCCAAACGCAGCATCCTGCATCCTGATCTAAAGACTGTTCCGCATCAGCCTCAGGTCCAGATCATCGGCAATGGCTTCGTGTCCGAATATGAGGGGTTGAAGGATTTTAGGCTGAAGCATCCGCACCACAAGACTTTCCATGCTACATCCATCCCCGCCGAGGATGACCTAGACTTCACTCGCTTTTATAGATGGCACATTGACGCCGCTTTATACGGCCTAGCTCCACCTGTGGCGACTACACTTCTGGCAGTCAAGGTACCCGGTGGACGGCGGCAAACCTGCCGCTACGATGACGGCACCGGCGATGAACTAGATGTGCCGCTTGGTACTACTGCGTTTGTGTCAGGCTACACGATGTACGACATACTCTCTGATGCCGATAAGGAGTTCGCGCGCACCACGAAGGTCGAATACGCGCCACACCCTTACATTTGGATGTCTGGGGCGAAAGCTCGCTCTGATGGGCTAGGACTGGTCACTCAGGGGCTGGAGATACCCTTTGACGACCTCCCTCCTATCGAGGAAGAGAAGATACAGATCTTGCCAATTTGCTGGCGTAACCCTGTCACGGGAAAACTTGCCATTCAGGTCCACCCTGCGGCGATACGCAGGCTTCACCTAGAAAACGGCACAGTGATTGAAGATCTGGCCGAAGTCCGTCAAATCATCTACCGACTACAACGGCCTGGTATTGCACCCAACATGGTTTACGCACATGATTGGGAGGAAGGTGACTTTGTTCTCTTCCATAATCGGGGAGTACTGCACTCGGTCGTTGGAGCATTCGCAGAGGACGAAGTCAGGCTCTTCAGGCAGTGCAACATAGCGGCAAGTCATCTGCCCGAGGGGCCGCGAGATGTTGCAGCAGCAGCTTGAAGTGCTAGAAGAGAAAGTTGGGAAGAGAGTTCTCATAGAAGCGACACATACATAAACTCACAGCCGTGCGATGCTACAAGGTCGCTGTGGATCATACCAGAAAGCTCACGAATATGTACTATCCTTGAATTACTCCTAGCTCATCAACGTCGGTGATTTTCTGAACGTCTTGCGCTGCATCCCCTAGGAGATAAGGTTGTCCGTTATACTCAAGCGTGGGCATACGGCTCTGGTTTCGGCATGAAGTTCTGATCACATGGCGAGAATTTCCACCATGCGGAGCGCCAGTAATATAAACCCTTCATGATGAGCGTTTTCAGCCCTGGAGGCGTAGGTGGAAAATGTGCCCATAAGCCGTTCTCCCAAGTAGTATCGTGTCCTAGGAATGCGAAGACGATACCCTCGGTGATACCAATCTTCCACTTTTTGATCGTCAGCAGTTTGGTTTCAAGTCTAAGATTGGAGCAACTTACGATATTTGACTGACCCTCAGCTTGCAGCGCAGCAGCGAGACCTTTCATTTTCTCTGGCCCAAATCTTTGCAAATCAAGCAGGCATTGAACTTCTTCAGCAAGATGCTGGGCCAAGACATTCCCAAAATCATCGATTAGCTGCACAATTCGATGCCCGTCATATGGCTCTTCGCCTGCTAGAGCCCTTGTGAGGTATTCCTGTAACCTGATGAGTCCGTCATGGAATCCCTGGTGTTGGTCGACGTTGTTCTGCATGATCCCGGCCTGTCCAGCCATTCTTTCGCACTCGGGGAAAAATGAATCCTCCTCACTATCGTGGTGTACTGTTAATACGTTTACGAAATTTTTCGCGTAACCCAAGAAGTCTTGCACATCCTCAGGGTTCACGTAAGGCGCTTGGTGATAAATAGAATTGAGACCCCTGATGAGAACGTTATGGGCAAGTGCCATCTCTGACATCTGTGTAAGTAATAAATCATCAACTGGACCGGAAAAATCGAGGGACTGACCTGTTGCGGCCTCATTACATACATTCTGCTTCTCCCCTTCTGGTAGTGCAGCGAACGGCGTAGGTACTAACGGGAAAGGACGCTCGAACCAGTAAACCATCTTAACGACCGATCAGCGTGTGGCCCACGGTAGAATCGGCACTTCGTTAGGTCTTGGGATATCTCTCAAGATGCAAGGGAAACCCCAAGACCAAGAGCGAGTCTCTCTAGTTAAGGGATGTATTTCAATCAGGTTTGCCTGGGAACGATCCTTGGCTTACTTGGTGCTTATCAAAGCAATGAAGGCTAGCGGCCGCAAATGGGTAGCGGACAACCAACCAGAACTTGTTCTTTTAGTCAGGCTATGGCTCCTTCCGGGCATGTCAGAGTCCTGCGCAAAGCCTTTTTGAGGCAGGCCCCAGGCAGGCCTTAAAGTACCCCATAAAAAAGCAACCGGGGAGCAAAACTCTATGAAAACGGTGACACTAATAAGACATTATTCCATAACGGTTCATGTTTCTTCAAATTCAATTGTATCTGATCTCTTATGGTCAAAGCTATCATGCCCAGGAGCTAGAACTAAACCTTGCTATATATACTACAAGCAAACCGCCCAACATATCTAGAGCAACGACTGCGCAATCGTTAGTTATTTCCCTGGTATAGATGGGCTCCGAAAACTTACAGAACGTAAATGACCATCCAACGCCAATAGCATCGATGAGCGGTACAACAGCGGCAGTGCAAGCAGCCGCACAGACGTATTGCACAATATATTTGGTGCAAATGACCTCCGCCTTCTCCTTAGGCAATACCTCTGTTGCTGTATTAGTGAAATGGGTTCGTACAGAAAGCAACAATAAAGAATGCACCTACCGGCAGTATACGTATTCAAAGCATTGAACGTCCCCATGAGACCGGTACCGACCCAGAACCCTGCCACGATAGGCAGCGCCAAGCCACCAAACTCTTTTTCCAAGCTCCATCCATACAGCAGCATAGATATCGGCAGCACGATAAAAAGACCAGTCAAACCGCTATTGAGTCGATCTTTAGGTAACCGAATGCCTTCTCTCTTGACGATATAACGCTTGACAGTGCGGTCAGAGAATCGCCCGCCAACCACACTTCCAACGAAGAAACCAATCCCCGGTGCTATGTAGAAAAGACCACTGACAAGCGGTGTCGTGAGATGGAACCGTGGGTTGATGATGTGTCGTACGGAAGTGAGAATACCGAACTGGGTGACAGCTAATACGCCGCACGTAAGATCCTGTTTGAAGATGGTCAGGGAGGAAGCACTGTTGGGAAGCAAGGCAAAACACACCGCTAACAACACGTTTGGACGGCGAAAAAGCCTGAATACTCGAACAGGGTTAAAGCGCTCGAAGGCAGTAACGGCTGTCCATGCGAGCTTTTCCTCATCCTCATGATCCGCCGATTCTCTCCTGATTGTCGGGATCACAAGAAGCGAGAGCACAAAACCAAGCCCGGCCATGGCCGTCTGAAGCCAGTATATGGCCCGCCAGTTGCTGAATGTGACAATGATACCCGCAATACATGGCCCTATCAGATATTAGTTCTAAAACTAGTAATTTCTGTTGAGCACAATTCTACCTATTGCGGGCCCAGCGACGCTGCCCACCATGAAGAAGCCTGTTGCTCTCCCACGCTTTACCTGTAAAACATGAAAAAGTCAGCAACTGATTTTTTGAGCTATAATAAGGCAGGAAATCAGAGTGAACTTGAATTATTAGCTAAGCTTACCGGCTCAAAGATATCAGCGATATATGTCTGCCCGGCAACCATGAAATATGTGCCGGTAAAAGCACTAATCATTCTCATAGCGGTAAAGACCCCCATGGTTGGTGCCAAGGCTGTCCCGATCGAAGGCGCAAACAGAAAGAATATGCATATGTTGTATATCTTTCTACGGCCGAATATGTCACTCAGGGGAGACCATATCAACGATGAAAGTCCCATTGCTATGAGCACTCCTGCGTTGCTAACATTAAGGATTTCCGGCGTCGTTAGAAGATCCGCTGCTATCTCCGGGGTTGCAACTAGTAATGACGTGCTGGAAAACGTGACGCATAGGGTCATCCAGCTGACCACAAATAGGATAAGATATTTTCGCCATGATGGGAGATCGGTACCCAACCTTGGCGAAGGTTGGTCCCGTGTTGTCTTAAACTTGCACCGCTTTGCGTTGGACATCACTAGAAAAGACCGTAAAGACGTCACTGGACAAGACCGTCAAACTTTTCGATAATAATTGACGCTGCCGGAGTCAACAAAGGCAAAATCCCGTCCTACGGTCCGGACGCCAAGTTCCTTTTGAACTACAGCCGTTATCATCTTGTCGGACGTACCGTGGGTCCACTTTGAAAGTCATTCGCCGTCACCTTTCCATTTGTAGACGTGCACAGTTTCTCCTGAGGCCAGGGTGGAGCCCCGGCTTAGATCATCTTCGGGATGTTAGACAAGATGCCGACAAATGGAATAGGACACACCGTAACCCCCAAGAAGAAATTGTAAATTGGCAATTAAGCGGCAAATATCGCAGCGAACATGTCGTCTGTCTCTCATGCAATTCCATTCCCGGATAGTTGGTATGTTTTAGCTCAATCATCCATCCCACTGGCTGTAGCTGGGACCAAGACCTGGGAAAATGGTACAGAGCGGAGATCGAACGGTTAGGTCGCACAAAGCATGCATATGCAAGGCACATCTATGTCACATTTGGCACTGTAAAGTACCTCTGAGATTTGCAACTCAGGTTATGAGCTCCTCATGATGAACCTCAAAATATCATTGTGATGCAGCGCTAGTCGCTATGGGCCCGATTGTGGAGTTCGGTAAGTTGACATTTTCGCCGAGCCTGAATCCACCCGACATCGGCCTTCTTCACAAAATCCGTCTTGTCCCCGAAATCTCTACCCACCAAGAGCTCGGCATCCTGTATCCGGCAGCGAATACAATGAACAGGCGTGCACTGCGGACTGCCGAGCAGCTGGCCGACCTTAGGGGCAAATCAACAGCGTAAGTGACCGTTACCGTGCTGCAAATCGGGAAATATTCTGATGTGTTCAAACAAGCTGTGAGAAATGTCATTCCCGTAAGGTGAAGTGCTCAGGAGGGCAACCTTGCTTGAGCTGCGTCCAGTCTGGTAGCGAAGCCGAATGCGTCTATCCCAAACGTGATCGGCAATTGCGAGTGAGCCAAAAGTACGTCGAGGTATTGAATAAGATCGACAGTAAGGCTGATCCAAAATAAGTTACTTGGAAGACCTGCTTGCAGAAAATGAAAGACTCCGACGAAATGTTCGAGTACGACAGTCAGAAACTGGCGTCGAAATCCACAATGTCCCCCAAAGCGCAGCAAGAGAGGGCGAGCCGACTGATGGTCCAATTCGAAATCCCCTCTTCGATGACAGGCCGTGGTTTCACACTACTCCCGGTGCCCCTATCCTGATTGGCGAGGCAGCAGATGCAGCGTTTGCAACGCGGCTCTGCCAGGCCCTATCGAACGAATCTTTCGTCCATATCCAAAGAACGAGTTTTCCAGCAGACAATACGTTGTTAGCACTAGCGGGCCCAATCTGTCCTTTCCCGACACCTGGTAGGGCACGGTTTCTCCTGAAAGCTGCATTGAAAAACGTGTCTCGAGGCTATCACATTGTGTTGAAGAGTGCCTCACATGTGGCTCTAGAAAAGCTTATTCACCAGCCCTCAACTGCCGATATTTTGTTGAGCTCCAAAATATGGGCACTGCTGGCACTTGGTGAGTTATACACCGCAAGATCTGGAAAGCCCGAATCGCAATTTCCTGGGCTCTCGTATTTCGCACAAGCCAGCCGAGCACTGCATGTGATTCAAGAAAGACCTAGTCTAGACTCGATTGAAGTGTTACTTCTGCTTGTAGGTTTTCAGACCAGCCGTCGAAATGCCATGACTAACGAAGTACGCAGTCCGTGTACAACATCAATTGCAATAGACGCCACTCCGCATACTGTCTCGCTGGTTCGGCTGTCCGCCAAGCGGTCATCATGGGTCTGCAACTAAATGTCCCCGAGAGTCAGTTGGGCGATAAAGTCCTGCGAGAGCACCGAAATCGTATTTGGTGGACAGCCTACGAACTCGACACGCTCATTGCGGCCAGGCAAAGTCAGCCAGCATCCATTCAAGAGGAAGATATTCTCGTCGACCTACCATCAAACGCAAATCTCCCCCCAGACGGTCATGATGATTTTGTAGATGCCGCCGAACTCGTTGATAGAATCAAACTTGTCAGATTGACAGGTCAAATTACAAAATTATTATATAGAAGAAAGACACAGAAGGACTCATTCCTACAACGGGTTCAAAAGGCGTTGAAAGACCTCCAAGACTGGTTTCAAGGACTAGGAGACAACCTTCAATCTGACGAGCAACACCTTTCGCGGGCCGTGTCTGGACCAATGAGATCCTTGTTACTTTCCTTTAATCAAGTAAGCCCCCATCCACATATTCAGCCCCCATTTCACTCACAACCACAGTGTATGATTGTAGCTACCCGACCAGTGGCGCTCTACGTGCTACGTGCACATCGAGAGACTTGGTCAATGCCTAACCCGGCACCCAAACCCAACATACCCGCAAATGTCCAGACACTGACGGACGCATGCATACGCTGTGCCAGACACTCGTTCTCTCTCCTGGTAGACTCGTGGGTAGATGGTTCATTCCTCACGTTCGATTACTCTCCAACGTTATATCTGTTCTCGGCTGCCACGATACTCTCTCTGTCCAGTCTTCTGCAAGGGCAGGGTTCGTCCAAAGACCGAGATGATTTTGAATTGGCACTCCAGCTGACTACTGAGCTCAATCAAAATGGCAATTGTGCTGCTGTGGAATTTGAACGGCACCTGCAGGCAATGAAAGGTTGCATGAAGGTGTTCGAGGAATCTACTCAAGTATCGACTCACACCGATGGAATTGACAGTTCAGGAATGGTATCCCAAGCTCCCGGCAGTATGGGCTTGGATTACGCTTTGGGCACAACAACTTATAATACCGGGACGTTCACTGCTGGAATGGCCTTGGCTGAGCCTTCCATGCAAGCCTTCCTTTCACAGTCTGATCCAAACTTTCAGCATATGGACATCTCCATTTTACAGAACGACTTTGATGGATTCTATTGGCCTGAGTGCTGAGGACACGCAACCGAGACCTTACCATTGCCATCCGGTTTAGCTACTCAATTTTATCGTTTGCTGCCTAGATGGCCCATGTCGTTCCATATTCGCGCGAAATATATCCGACACAGATGTCATTAGCTAAGCACTGTTCGCGGGGACCAGGGCTCCCATCAACGGTTAGACCACATTCAGAGGGACTAAGTACTTATATATCAACAGATCACCCTCCAATATTTGTCTAGAACAAGTTCGCAGGCTATGATCTCAGGGTAGCCCAAATGCGACCAGCAACAACCGGCCAAGGCCCGCTTTGCTTCTGTAGATACGTGCCCATACGTGTGGTACGTGCGTGAATAGGTGGCTCAGTGAGGCCGTAGTCAGTACCAACAGCTTGGTAAGTTACCACTGGATATGTGGGTGCGGGGAGGGAGGAAGCTTCAAGAGTAAGTTCGACGGTGCACAGTTCTAGAAGCTGTGGATTGACAAGTACATATCCCCAGGACCCTTATTCGATGTCGAGACCGGAGCACGCGCGGGACACGACGTCAATTTCGCCGTGATAGGTAGGGCGACGCGAAGGGGCGAACCAGGAAAACTCAGCAAGCACAGACCACATCTCGCGTCTAGTGGACCAGACTCTGCATTTACTATACCACCCGGTGGTCTGTGCCTGGGGACTGTGGAGACCACTATAACGTAAGTTTTATCAAACGAGCAGATTTTTTGGGGCGATGGCATCGTAGGCCCCTCGGTTTGAGGGCAATGTCGCACCTGTGCATCCTCCGGCCGGTAGTCGGAACGGGCTACATTCCAAGAATGGGCAGGACCTGTGTCTTCCGGCGAGGATTGGGTTGCGTCAGGGTGCTTACCATTGAGCCCAGCCTTGTTGGTTAAGCTATTGTGCCACGCTTGGGACGTCAACGGACTGCCGGACTGGCCGATCTGGCCACATTCTGGGGTTATGCAGGCCCCGTTCGGGCGGAACCGAGCCGTTCATGACTTAAGCTCCTTAATACCTGCTTAGGAATTGCTTGTCCCATCCGATCCCGGCATTGGTCCCAAGAACTACAAACTCTGTCGCTATTCGTCACGTTTCTCTCCCTTCACGAACTCTATACCCTATTGTTCTCGCCTCGACCTGTGGCTATCAGGAGCGATTCCAGTGTGACAAGACACAATCACATTGGCTGTCTGTTTCACAATCATCACCACCACCACAATCAGTTCCAATGGCGCAGGATCAGGTGAGACCCAACGGCGCGGGCGACGAGACGGATTCAGCTACAGCTGCACCATGGCCTACGACTGCCATAGACAAGAAAGAAGATGGACCAGTGGACGCAGAGGGGAATCCCGGGAACGAGGCGGCGCCAAGCTATTCTCAAGAAGACGGTGAGGATATCAACTACAAGACACTCGAGTGGTGGTATGTTGTGCCAGTACCAGAACCAAAGAATATGGGAGCTGACTATCATTAGGCAAGCCGGTGTGGTAATGATTGCCGAGACCGTGTCCCTGGGAATCCTGTCCCTTCCCGCCGTGATAGCGAACCTGGGACTTGCGCCGGGAATTATCCTCATGGTCATCATGGGCGTCCTTTCGACACTTTCCGGTCTTGTGATGGGCGAATTCCGACAGAAGTACCCCTGGGTGCAGAGTTTTGGCGATGCTGGTGAGGTTATGGGACGATCGATCGGAATGGGAAGAGCCTTTCAGGAATTCTTTGGATGGGCGCAGACAATCTTCCAAGTCTTCGTCATGGGAAGTCATCTGTTGACTTGGACCATTTGCCTCAATACTTTGACGGATAGCTCGACCTGCACAATTGTCTGGGGTGTCGTTGGGCTCGCTGTGTTCTGGGTGTTGAACACGCCGCGAACCCTGGCCTTTGCAGGTTACTACTCCTTTGCTTGTGAGTCAACCCCTGCATCTTCGATCGAGACTTTCAGCTGACTCGATCATAGCCTTCCTATCCATTTTTACGGCAGTTATGATGACCGTCATCGATGTGGCTATTGAGCGACCGATTGGCAGCTCTAGCATTGAGGTTACAAGGCAAATCGGATTCACATCCGCTTTTCTATCGGTGACAAATATTGCCGTCGCTTTTAGCGGCCACTCATGCTTTTTCGGTGTCATGTAAGCCTTTCCCTCTTGAAATATGGACAAGAAATAATCACTAATACCAAAACCTTCAGGGCGGAATTCAAGAAACCCCAAGATTGGCCTAAGGCTCTCATGCTTCTACAAGTGTGCGACACGACTTTGTACCTGGTGGCTTCCGTAGTCATATACGTCTACGTTGGTGATGATGTTCCTTCGCCTGCCCTTTCAGCGGCAGGATCGAGGACGATAAGGAAGGCAATCTGGGGTATCGCTATCCCGACTATTGTTATCGCTGGTGTGATCTATGGACACATCGCCGCCAAGTACATCTTTGTTCGGGTCTTTGCCGGTACGAAGCATCTTGTCAAGCGTACGAAAGTTGGAATTGCTGGATGGCTTGGAATCACGGTTGGTATCTGGGTTATCGCGTTTGTCATTGCCGAGTCTATCCCAGTTTTCAGCAACTTGCTCGGCCTGCTCTGCGCTCTTTTCGCAAGTTGGTTCTCCTACGGTATCCCTGGAGCACTCTGGCTTTGGATGCACCACGGCAACTACTTCTCGAGCGGAAAGCGAGCTGTCATGTTTGGTGCGAACGTTTTATTGGTTCTTACAGGACTAACTCTTTGCGCACTTGGTCTTTGGAGTTCGGGAGAGGCGATCGCGCGCGATTCGGGAACGACTCCTTGGAGCTGTAAGAGCAATGCTGCTCCATAAGCAACGTTAGATATTTGAATTCTTGTCATTTGAAATGGATTATAATTAATTTCATGCAACATATTCTGAGATTTTGAGTCTCGGATGTATGAAAGTGTGTTTTGAGCATGTCTTGGGGGGGGGGAATCGTGAAAATCCCTAAATCGGCTCAAGTGTAACTGACTGTAGGGCACCTAGGCTGAAGGAGACCACGCAGAACTGCAAGGCGTAACTCCACTGCTTCTATAGCGCTGGCTCAATATACTGTATTTGTCATTCTCAGCTGTCTTCTTGATTTTGAATACAGCGAACCCTTCTGCCTTTTGGTTCTCAGACATACTGCCATGCTCAGAATAAAACCATTAGCGGGATATGGTGTTCATATCGTCGATAATAGCCAACATAGAGCTCTTTAAACATCTAAACAAGAGACACAGTGGTTTACGACTTTCTCTTAATTACTACTAAAGAAGAAACACGGACATCCCGATAAGTACTTAACCATAATGTTTAAAAACTCGCGATGCACCTGGCCTAGGTAATTCATACTTTTTTCCTCGCCTGTTTCGCTGTTTTTGGGCAGGGAGAAGACATCAATTTTGCCACGCCACAAAGTGAAAATGTGACCCTGTAGGTGATGGTCCATCCCCTTAAACGCAGGTTAGGGGTTAGGGGTTGAGGATTGGGGGCTGGGGAACCGATAGATGTTGTTAGCACAATCAGCCTGCCTTGAGGTAGCACAACGTACCGACACAGCCCCTCAATATCCGCATCCAATGGAAAGCAAGGTAATTATTCCTCTGAATACATCACGAGACAAGGAGTTTCGCTAAGAATTCCGCCTTGTAACTTACCCCAATGTTAGCGAAATTGAAATCGAAGACGATAATACCATAATAGAATAGGCCAACTTGTCTAGCGCAAAATGATACACAACTTTGCTTTGATTTCTTGAGATGGTGATGTATATCTCATGGTATCGTTTTGGACAATTCATAGTTTGTGTAAGGGGGCAGACATACGATGTCGTTGCGCTGGGGAGGAAAGGTTCCTCCACAGCGCTGGGAAACTAGTCTACTCTAAGCTAGGGCTAGCGCACGGACCACTTACCGAAAGTGGGGTCACGTAGCCGTGACAGTTCGTCTGTGTGACTTTGCAACGGCCTTTCCACCAATGCTTCAAGCCATTCGACACACACATGGAGATGAGGATCTATTCTTGAAGTGCTAATAACAGTTTCTAATATTGGGTCATAGCCAAACAATATCATGAATTCTAATGATCTCGTGGCTTTGGTTGAGATCCTATTTAGCGAGAGCTCTCTACAGCTTACATCCTACCACTGAAACAGCCATATACTGCACTTCTTACCACCTGACTCACACACCACAATGCCACGCTACCATGAATATCAACACGAGACTTGTCTCTATTTACCAACGACAGGGATGAGCTTCCCGGGATTTCGAACCGGCTGGGATATGAGGCGCCAAAGTAGTATTTGAACTGCAGAGAGAAGAGGACGTGTGGTGAGTGACCTCGTTTGCGCGTATAGAAAATATACATTAATTCATTCATTCTTAATTTATATACTTTACGTACGTATTATTTTTATTACTCATGGAATATATTCAATGGACGAATGCTAGAGTCAGAATAGTGGCGTGTAAAAGAATAGATTCCAAGCTTTCTAAGATTTAGTCGGAAAGCTATTTTACACGCGGTTGGATAAGATAATGGGGTAAGAAAAAAAGCCGATCGGAACCTATTCCCAGCCAGGCGTGGACCACATCACCTGCTGTAACACTGATTGAGGGGGCACTTCTACTTCTTCTAAACCTGAATGACGCGCTGCCTTACATGTTCCAAAGACCATTTACGAAGACACTCAACGCTATAGGAACCCGACGGATCCTTCAATGTGGACTTTGGGCGACAAGGTCTTCCAAGAGTCCAATTCTAAACCCAGGCCTAGTGGGCTATGTAAATACTCTGACCGACGTCACCGCACTCTGAATTACTTCCAGAAAAAAGAGGCAGTTATGTCTTACAAGTTGGGCATTATCTTAAATAATCTCTGACTCGCCGATTGATTGCTGATCGCCTTTCCATACGGGTTTGCTCAGTCAACCACCTCAAGGGATACACGATGCGTTTCCGACACGAAACAAGACGGATTGAGACGTACCTAGGTATACACCTACCTATTCGGCCGAACTGATGCGACACCTTGGTGATAAGGTTGCTTGATAAGGCTCAACTGCAAATCGGACTACCCCCGCAATACCCCTGCAACCCCGGGGTGTTATCTGCGAGGTGCGAAGTGTCAGTCAAGTTCTATTGTAACGGTGACCCATCAATCTCGGGAATAGCCCGATTACCACAATACCCCGAAGAAGCAGAAATGGCATCGATTGGCCACCAGTTCCAGCAAAGAGAAACATCCGAATCAACCCGAACCCACATATGTGCCTGCTTCTCCCTCAAGATAAGCTTGATGTTTACGTTTGCGATCACGTTTTCCACGAATTCAACTCAGCTTTATCCTGTACTTCGATGCATGAGAGAGAACCAAGGTAAGCTATTGTATCAAGGATATTCCAATCTGGCATTCTACGAGGTTGAATTTCGAGATGAATGGCTTCGAGAGACGCTTTGTCTCCAACCTTGTGCCGGCGAACTTGAAGCTCTTGACATCCCTGTTGGTAGCGGTAGCTGTGGTTAATTCAGCTGTGAGGACTGCCGAACTTCTAGTCAAGCAATCATGGGCTAATACGACCACAGACACTTGGCTATGATGGATCTGTCATGGTAAGAGAAGATCGCGAGACATCATGGCCAATAAATTGATTAGTGATGAGAATGGGCTCCTTATCCTACCATCCTATACGGAGTATTTCAACCTCACAACAGCGACAACAGGACTAAACACCGCTGCAATGTGGATGGGCCAAATTGTTGGATCTCTCCTCATGCAGCCTGCAGCAGATTTGCTTGGCCGGAAGAGAGCGGTTATAGCTGCGGCGATTCTCACTATAGTTGGCGTTGTTCTCCAGGTAAGCTATGCCGCCATTTAACCTTACGATCTGAGTAGTCAGTTGGCGTGTTCGACGATAACCTATGTCAACGTATGTGAAACAAAGCGACTTACTTTGGATTATAGGCTGCCTCTCAAAACATTGGGATGTTTGTTGGTGCTAGGATAATCGTTGGTATTGGGCAAGCAATCAGCAACGCCGCTGCCCCTACTTTACTTGCCGAACTCCTCCCCGCCCGTCTACGCGGGAGAGTTCTGGGCATATTTTTCTCCTGTTTCTATCTTGGGTCACTTCTGTCTTCTATCATCAACTATGGAAGCCAGGATATTCAGTCCACATGGGCTTGGCGTCTGCCTTCTTTACTACAATTTATTCCGTCTTTGATAGCTTTATGTCTTCTTCCTTTCATTCCGGAGTCTCCAAGATGGCTAATCTCCAAAGGCCATGACGCACATGCTCAGGAGGTATTGTGTATTATGCAGGGCGCCGGCATTGTGGACATGCACAAAGCTGCAGTGGAGCTCCGTACAATAAAGGCTATTATGGCTAAAGAGGAAGAGGCATACCCAAGGAACGCTTGGCGAGAACTTGCTTCCACCCCTGCCAACCGGAAGAGGTTGTTCGTGCTCGTTGCGTTTGGATCCATGATCAATACCTTTGGTAATTTTGTTATATCTTTCTATTTGAGCAAGATTCTTGATCAGGCAGGTGTAACAGACTCCAACTCTCAGCTTCAGATCAACGTTGGTATCAGTTGCTGGTGCTTCATTGTGGCGCTCACTGGAAGTTTTTTGCTCGATGTCCTTGGAAGAAGGAAACAAACCCTTGCTTGCATTGCTGGTATGGTAGTTACGCTGTTTATGATCGGCAGTCTCATAAAAGGTATTCACAACTCTACCACAACTCTACCTCGACAGGAGAACCTATCTGATAAAATCAAAACAGTGTTCGGCGAAAGTGAGAACGAGTCTGGTATATACGCCACCATTGCCGTCATATTCCTTTTCCAGGGCTTCTATTCCTTCTCAATCACACCAATGACTAGTGTCTACCCTACTGAAATATCTCAATACAAACTCCGATCTGCAGGAATTGCCATTTTTCGATTTTTCGACTGCGGTTTCGGGTAAGTAACTTCGAGTTCCCCGGGTACGCATCAAGCTCATCTTAATACCAGACTTCTTTGTTCTTTCGCAATGAGTTATGCTATGGCAGATATTGGTTGGAAGTTCTACCTCGTAAATGCTTCTTGGGATATCATATTTGGCCTCACTGTATTCCTCTTTTTCCCGGAAACAAAGGGCTTGGAACTCGAGGAGATTGCTGCTTTCTTCGACGGTCCAGAGATTGTTGAAGCTGCAAGAGAACGGGACAGCTCACCACATGGTTCTATTGATTCAGACAAGCGTGCACCAACCGTCAAGTCTCAACTGGAATCTAACGCGTAGCAGAATAGATGAAAGTTGTTACAACCTATCAATTACAGCGTTACGCTAATTCTTACATGACGGATGCATCCTATCTCGTTCGCCGTAAATTGCCGTACCACTGTCGTTGAGAATTTTGGTCTTGCAATAATCATCATCGTCATAATGAAAAGCATTTCGTAAATTCAAGTCTATTAATGACTCAATAAGCCATCTATACCCGCTCACCATCCTGCTGGTCATTTCACAGATTCAGGTCTTCTTTTGCATGCCCTCGGCACACTGTATGCTACTACAGGAGGCTCCTTGAACAACCTGCAATGGTAACAATAAATACGTCTTCCCCCTAGCCTCTCTACCCTTTGGCAATGCATTGGGTCTACTTAAATTATCAAATGATTTTCTCTCAAGACAACGTACGTGGATGCTGGTGTCTCGGCAAACCCCCTGTTGATCGGAGCACAACCGACGATGGAAGTGGAGCTTACGGATCACCGATCCCATTGGCAGTCTACACCCTCATCACGCTGGTCAAGAGCAAGTCAGAAGCCCAAGTTAAAGAACAAGTAGATGAAGCCCTTGTGGTCCATTAGAATATCTAAACTCTACGCCTCGTCTCTCCTCCTGCCTGTAGTACTACCTGGATTTCCTCTTTATGTTGACCTTTTTATCACTTAGTAGCTGGTGGTCACTAAGGAAGCAAGAATGAGTGCTACAACCGTATCGTCAAAGGTCGACGTGATGGCCGAGAACCTCCGCCCTTACGCCTTTGGACCCTAGTTTTGGGCAAATGACGTGGTAGTCATGAAGAAATTCCACATCATCCAAGTTTGTCTCGTACAGGCGCATGTTCCAGCGCGCCATGACCGCCACAAGGATAGCCATTTCAGCGTTGGCAAGATGCATTCCGATGCAAGTGCGCGGACCACGCATGAATCCCAGCATGCTCCGGCGCTGCCGAGCCAAGACTGCCTGATCGGTGACGAGCCATCGCTCAGGTTTGAACTTCCAAGGCTCCGGGAATAGAGACTCATCAGTGTGTACCAGTAAAGTAGAGGTGCTGATCGAGGTTCCAGGGGGAATTCTGTAGGTGCGAAAATCATCTTTGCCCACCTCATGGGTGTATACGATGGCCTCGTCCGGACACACACGCGGGTTCCGCCCCGTCAAGCCGAATGTGAGACGGTGAGCTTCTAAGGTGATGGCTGATAGGTATGGCAGCTGCTCAAGCTGTGCGGCTGTAGTGGCGTAGGGGTGGGCGCTCAGCTCGTCTCGCAGTTTCGCCATGATAACTGGACTCGCGAGCAAGTGGTAGTGCGCCGTGACCAGCGACAACATTGGGGAGTATGTGCCCGCCATAGTCATCAGCGTAGCCTCGTCCTCGAGTCGCTGTGCCGACTTTTCGGATGGTGGCAGATGAGGGCTATCCCGCAGATGCGTGAATATGGATGTAGTCTCGTCTGGTGAGGGCTTACGTCCCAGTATTCGTTCGATCTGAGTGCGTATGCCTTCGCGGAAAGTGATCATGTCCACTACCCCAGGGGGTGTCATGCGAGCACCAATGTAGCGTGGCAGCGCCTGTGTCACATCGCGAATCCAGCCGAAATGAAGCATGACCTTGACACTGCCGAGAACGGCGGCGACATTGGTACGGCGGATGTTGGCCAGCTGCAGATCGGCCAATAAATTGAGTTTATCGCCGAAGCAATATTGGTGTACGACACTACATTCACACTTATTAGTAGAAGTAAGAAGGGGCTGGGAATCTCAAGCACTGCTGAGAGAATAAATTCTTACTCATTGGAGAAAGCAAAGTAGATGTCAGAGAGGTTGAGTACCTCCCCGTCCTTCTTAGCATTGGCGAGCAGAGCCTCCAGTTGCGCGGCCTTCGCATTCAGCTGTGGATCAAGGCGGCTAATCTGTTGAGGTGAGAAAAAGGGATTGAGTGCCTCTCGTCGTTTGCGGTGAAGTTCGTGAGCAATTGAGCCGCCGACCGAGGAGTCTACCCCAAGAGCCTTGTTCTTGTCGTGATCCTTGTCGCGGCGATGGCCTGCACCAGGAGCGTAGATGGTATCGACAAAGTCCGGGTCCGAGATTGAGACGTCATTCGGTGCGATACGGACGATTGGCCCTAGATACGTCAGCACCTTGTCGGTGTATTGTGTTCGGGTCTACGTACCGTATTTGGCGTGCATTTCCTTGACCTTGAAAACATACTGAGCCGGAAGGACAACGTCTACAATCTCATCGTTAGCCTTGCCATGTATGGGGCAGGGGCAAGACAGTACCGTAATAGCACTCATACCAGGACGTGAGTGCGGCGAGCTTTGGGCCAGGAATTCTGGCCAGTGGGCTCAGCCAGCCCCGATAGAGCACCAAACAGGATACATACGCAGCTATGGACCACGCCAAGATCACTGCGCTAGATTGGAGAAGAAAAGGGGTCGCCATGTTTTCTGGCGAGTCCCAGGGCTGAGACTGCGAGACCAAGAGGGTGGAATGCTAGGTGGCGCTGATGAACGGCGGTTGGAACAGGATCCGGGATGGGCATAGGATGTCCTATTGTCAAACCAACGGGATGACGAGCCGGCCGTTGAAGTGGCCTGATGCCAGTCCTCCTACGTTACTTTGATGTGCAGGGTTCTGGCGTTGGTTGCCGCCTCTCCTCGTCTCATGAAATGTGCAGTTCGCTGGATGGCTGACCCCCTGGCTGGCTGTTCCGATAGAGTGGGCGGGCAAGGGTGTGCTGCGTTGAATGTGATCCTAATCCAGCACCCCGCGGCAGTCACTCAATATGCCCCAGGTAGGCAACCGAAACCAGGGAATAGATGGGGGCAAGGCACCAACAGCAGAGAAATAAAAAAAAATTCTCCCTCAAAGTAAAAGGCCTTGAGTAAAAGTAGCCAATGAGATTGACCTTCTCCTCATCCAGCCTTCTGGCGTATGCGGTTGCTCGCATGAGACCAGGCCTGCCAAGGCACTTCGGTGCTGTGTTGTGGTCTACGTGTAGCGGCAGGTGCGGCCGGTGCATCCCGACCCTCGTGATTGTTCTACATAGGTACCTAGGTATGCAAGTATCCACCTAGGCATGAACGTTACACAACCAAAGTCCTCTCGGGGGTCTAGGCTAGGCAGCTACAAACACAGGTATGGAGTGTACGGCTGATCGGAGATGGGGTATATTATTCCAGGGCTACAAATTTCTGTTTGTGGAGTCCATCGCACCGATTATTAATTTTAATCTACATCACTAAACAGAACGAACGCGACGGCAGCAGCGAGGACGGGAAGTGTAGCAGCCAAAGCTTTCTGTCATAAGCCAACAGAAGTGCAGCGTACATATGAGTAAAGACAACCTAGTTTCATAGATCCCCTACAGGCTGTCAAAGAGCAAATTACCTTGTCATGACAGGAAGCAAGGATTTCGAGTTCTAGACCACGTCAATGTCAAATCCGGGGCAGTGCGCAAGCTGCAAACTCGAAGGGGGTCATTACCTCGGATGATACAAGGCTGTGCGGATTACCAGGTGGCGTCCTCGCAAATCGGGGCAGTCTCGACATCGTTTACGACATTGGAGCCTGTGGTAGCTGCAACTCCTCAGTATATCTAGCTTAGACTTCGCTCTGCAGTTCTTACCAGAGCTGCAAGCCGAGTTGACAGCCACGGCAGTGGTGGGAACTGGGGCTGCTGACCCGCCAATTGTAGTCAGCAACATGATGGCAATGGCGTAGCCCTTCATCGTGATGTATCTTGAATCAGACGATGAGAAAACAGTGACTCTGATTTTCCGGATACAAAAATGAAATTTCTCTGCAAGGGAGCTTGGAGTAGTCTAGTCGGGGATATGGCCGCAATCTTTATATACGCTGAAAACGAGACCCGCTCGGCAACTTTTAGTCACTGGAGAGCTGCAATCATGTGTACCTGGACTAGCTTCCAACGTCGAATACAGGCGTTGATGGTGCGGGCAGCCCATCAGTCGAATCAGCCGGTGTGAGCTGCGATGCAGCTCACAATAGGACGGCCCTCGAATCATCCTTTGTCTCAATGCAGAGCTAAGGCTCGACCAACACCTTCCTTGGGCTGGCATGATCGTGGTGCAACGGCAATGTTCCAGACCGCCGGAATCGCACCAGTAAGAATCGCGATACATCGCGAAAGGATCTGGATCTTGCAGATGACAAATGAACCTCCATGTGTCATCTACTCGTACAAGTGCAAGGTGCACAAAAGATCAGCCGTGGCTATGAAAGGAGTCGGTCTGGTTCTGCGCCGCAACATCTGCAGAGATGAGAAGCTCAATAACTTTCTAAAAATGCGCCTCATGAAGCAGAAGGATCGACAGCGTCCATGCAGCCGCGGGTTGCGATTGGATAATGCAAGGTGCCGTGCTTACTAGATTTTTATGTAGTGGCATACAACAATTACCCCGGTGTCCCTTTCGAACCAAAGTACATGCTCAAATGGTTCGGTGAATGGAGTAATTTCCTTCTTATTTGATATAGCAATATGCAGCTTTACTGTGCGTTGATATGGCGAAGCCCCCACCATGGCATCGTGCTCAGTTCCTTACGTCAATTGCCAATTTTGGTATCAAGATTCCATCTGCCCTTGTGCAGTTATCAAAATCCTGATGCATCACATCGAGAATGCCGTCACTCTTCGTGGTCATGCACGTCATGCGCTCACCGGCCCATTTGCTCAAGGCTGCCCAGTTGCGGCATTTGCGCAGATACTGAAACTCGCCATCATTTTTCTCGCCACGCAGAGGGAACGAGTTATCAGCGTAGCAAATGGCGTCTTGTAGAAGTGAACCCAAGCAGTGCATAGAGTGCCCAAATCTCACGTCAAGTGGCTCGCTCTTAACAAGCTGCTGCATGGTGTGTCTGACAACCTTCTGTAGCATAATGGTCAGATGGTTGCGTGAATCAACATATGAACCAACTCACCAAGCAGTGCAGGGAATGATAACCTCGCATCATGTGTATCCCCTTGCTGGGATCACTGGGATCAAGAACTGTCGAGGGAGACACTCCCCATCGCGCGTAGTCCTCGTGGAGCATGGAGACAGCGCCAACGTCTTCATTTATCAAGTTCCAGTTGCGATCTACCTCGTCCATTTGCTCCACGGTTTCCGCGTGATATGCCCACCCGTAGGTTACAGGCATGAGCACCTCCTGCTCGACACCGGGTGGAACTAAGAGATAGGTTAATCCAAGTCTTCTGCGCTTAGACAATCTGCAAGCTCGTCTTTACTGAGAGGGTTTACTGTATCTTGAGCATGGCCGTCTGGACTCAGATGCTGGGTCTTCCTTGAGAGGAATAGTATGACAACTGTGAAGGAAATGAGAACATTTCCAATGATAGATATGAGCAGGCTGATGTCTCTGGTCCCCCACTTGGGAAGTGATGCCCTCGGACGATGGAGTTCATCCAAGCTATACCGTGATGGTTCGTGTTCCGAGTCGTAATTGGTCTTGAAAGGGGTTGATTCTGACATTATGAGTAGCCTAAGGGGTGAACGCCGTCGGTGAAGAGTTTCGCGAACAGTCGACCACAAAATTGGGTTGCTATAACGTAATAATATGGTGTTTTTGAAGGCTAAGGTTCACAGACTGCCTGTTATATCGTACAAGTCAAAGCTGAAGAATCACCACGTCTTAGCCGGTCTGTCGCATCTAAGGCATTTAAAATGGAATTATTCCAATACACACAGTATATGTGCCCCGATAGCGTAATGTCTTTGGTATTTTGTTATACCGTTTATCAGCGCAGGTCACCAATTGTCGTTCTCGCGCCGTCACCAGGCATGAACAGCCAGTGGCTAGCTGGTGGCTGAAACCAGGTACCTGCGAAGCAATTAGATAGGCTAGTACCATCATTGAGCTCAAGCAACATTCCAGCAATGCCCTTGCAATAGGGGCCAACAACTCCCTGTCAACATATAGACTAATCTGCGCAGCCTGGATTGACAACAGCAGACATGCCAAGAGATGTGCCCAACATGGTGTGCCGCAAAGGTTGTCTAATCAAGGCAATTGAAGCGATGTTTGCGGCCCTTCATTCGGATCCTGTGACACGGACGTGTTACCGGAGGAATCGTGCAGCATGTGGTTGCATTCACGAATGCGATGCGCCTCGTTTGCGCAGGACCGGTCATATCACCAAAGGAGAGTTCGCCGCACTCTGTGTAACAAGTGCCATGTTGCACTCAATAGAGGGCTCCCATCCACCAACGAGCCTCGTGTCCGCCCAGTGAATCGTGCTTCCCCGCTGATGTCTACTGATAGTTGACTGATCATTCACAGTCCACTCCTGTGCCCGTCTCAACTTCCTTTGATCCTCTACCTATAGACGCCTAGTTGTTTCTCTCTGGTAGTTCGCACACAGATCGCATCTGATTTGCAATGGAGACCCCGACCGCATTGCCCAATTCAACCCACACCGGGCCGCCGATCTATCTATCGACAAGCGAGGAGGGGAGAACTCCGGCCACGTGGGTGACTTAGAATCATTGTACCCGTCTGCTAAGATTACTTTGTGGACTGATAAAATTTTGGACAGTGTCATTACCATCGGCGCTGTGTTCTCAGCTCTGGCAGTGATCGCTACCGCTTTACGCTTCTACTGTCGTGCCTATATCACTCGTGCCGGTTTCATGACCGACGACTGGCTGATGCTGGCGGCCTGTTTCTTGACAGTCGGCATGGGTGTCATGCTCATCGTCGGTAAGTTTCACGCAAAATCGCATAGTGAGGTCCTTCCTCGGCAGTGCTGATTAAAGCCGAATTGCAATGAACAGGAGGTGCAATTCACGCATTGGCACAGCCGACTATTCAAGGTTGGGGCCCTACGGACTACTTTTGGATTACAGATGACGCCGAAGTGAACACAGAGAAGGTTAGCGTCTCTCTCCTATATTAGCAAAACACATTGCGTCAGATATAAATGCTAACAGCGCTTTGAATTCCAGATCTTTTGGGTCTTCATAATGGTGCAAGACGTGGCATTCGGTCTTGTCAAGCTGTCAATTCTATGCTTCTATAGACGAATATTCCCCAGCAAGGTTTTCAGGGCTCTCAACACGACATTGATAGTCATCACGACCATCTGGACTGTTGGGTTTTTCTTCGCTTACATGTTCCGCTGTGGGACTAACTTCTGGGCCTTATGGGCTCCTCTTCAGTATCTCATTCAGTATTGCTATGACAGCACGGCTATGTTCTATACCTTAGCCATCTCAGATGTAGCGACGGATGTGTTCATATTAAGCCTTCCACTTTTCTGGGTAAGTTCGTTCCACTATGTTTCCGTTGCATGCATCCAAGACTGACTTGGCTACTCGCAGTTGTTCAAACTGAATATGACTCCGGCCAAACGCCTTGCAGTCTCCGGAGTATTCCTTCTTGGCTTCATGTAAGATCCAATTTTCCTATGTCTGGCTGATTTGTAGCTCAAATGGCAATCAGAGAAATCGGCACCGGTATCACCCGCCTTGTCTACTTTGTCAAACAGACAACGAGTAAGTCATGGATTCAATCTTGGAGGAGAGTTGAAAGATTGACGCAACTTCAATAGACTACCTCAAAACCGCAGACGGAATCGGGCTTCTCACAACCTTGATGTTTTGGTCCATGGTTGAGATGGGGATCGCCGTCGTTGCCGGGTGCCTGCCTACCATCTGGCCACTCATCAGCAAGATCTCGGTTGAAGAAATGGTCAGGTCTGTCCGTAGTGCTCTGTCATTGGAAAGTCTGCGCGACCTAGCCAGGGTGTCGTCAAAGGGCAGGAGCCGACCAGACGACCAATTTGAAGACTATGCCCAGGATGCGGGGCCCTATTTCCAGTTTTCCGAGTCCATCGGCAAGAGAAGTGACCGTGATATCTCCGCAAAAACATCACACGCGGAGCACGAGCCAAAGGAGAGCGTGGCCTTGAGGAAACTGAACGCTGAACCTGAGAACCAAATGCTGCCTCATTTGAGAGGTGACAACTGCGCTCAGGGCTGAAACTGGTTGGGCAGGGACTACTGAGTCTGCTAGTGCCTAGCTGATGGTTCTTTAATGACGTTCTTCTATTGATTCCACAGAACTTGAGGAAAGTCAGATAGGATACAACTCCATAACAGGCGTGATACTCCCTGTGTGGCTAAAATATGGACATGAATGATGGTGGGCCTAAGTTAGCCTAAGCTAGTATCAAGTATAATTGGTTGATCGAGACTAGCGCCATCTAGGCAACGACACGGGCGTGGCTGTACACTTCTACGGGATTGCACACACAATGAATATATCTGGGCACTCGCGCCATCTTCTCAGTCTAATCAATAAACATTTGAAAATCACATTTCTCAAAGAAGGACCGAGATGTTCGCCCAAAGCTCAGTCGAGGAAGCCGCAGTATCCAGCCGCAGCACGCGATCCAAGACTGCATCGAAGACCAATCCCAAGGTCCATGCTGTACCAGAGGCCCCTTCCGAGTCTGATGAGCAGAACGGATCTGCATCAGGAACCATCCGAACCATCAGTGGCGTATCCTTGCTATCAGCTGTCTCAATTCTTCCTTTGGACCTCAAGTCAACACATACTAAGCTCAACCCGAAAGATCATGGCTTGCTGAAGAAGAAGCAAGAATGGCTCAAAACCTATGATATCAACGTACCGAAACAGTTCAAGAAACACCAAAGAGTTGCAGAAGCAACTCTTGTTTTTAGCCAAGAAGAGGCTGGTACGGCGATTTGCATCTCCCCAGAAGGCCTACTTCTCACGTGCGCTCACTGTATCGCGGAAAATGAGGATGACCTCGATAAATCTCAGACCCACTGGCTACTCTTTTGTTCAGGCCTAGCCGTCGCAGCTAAATGCACAGCCTGGGATGCGAGGCGTGATTTGGCATTGTTGCAGGTCGTGGCAGCGCAGTCTTTTGTCCCAGCTGAAGGGTTTCCATCAGCGCGCATTGCCTGCGCCGCCCCAGAAACTGATTCGCGTATCATATGCATTGGCCATCCTGGGAGTGAAGACCTTGAGGCGTCTCATACCGGTATCAAAACCAATTATGATGTGTTATCCTGCAGCACAGGCTGCTACCGTGGATGCGCCTCGGGTCAGGATCCGCATGATAATTCCGAGATTGGCGCTCTAATGCACGATGCTTGGACGTATTGGGGGCATTCAGGCGCTCCTCTCTTTTGCCTGAAAACAGGACAGCTAATGGGGCTCCATTCTTCATGGGACGCCGAGACTGGTATGAGGCGTGGTGTATCACTGGTAGCCATTCGTCAATTTGTCCACGAAAGCATGCCAAACACTGACCAAGCCTTCGCATAATAGATGAAAGTCAAATGTAAAGAGCACACCTCAATATATCCCCCTTGATATTTAGGACTTAACAAGTCTTCCTCTAACGTATACTTGGTCAATATTTCGATCATCCCCCGTCATGATGAACTTGTCAAAGATAGTTTCTGTTGAGTCCCAGTCTTCTAACATGGTCATAATTCCTGGAGTTCCGCTGTTGATCAGCAAAGCGTCGAATTCTTTGCCCACCTCGAAGTTACCAATCTTGTCATCAAGGCAGCAAACCTGGGCCCCCCCCAGGGTGGCCAAGAAGAACAACTCCGAAATGCCTAACCCGCGGTCTTGGCCTTGGGAGGCCACTTCCCTGGCGTTCGAAGCGACCAGTGCTTGCCTCATTGCATCTAGGATGCTCGAAGAGTACCCACCGCCACTATCAGTGCCGAGTCCGACCTTGATTCCCCGTCCCAGAAACTGCCTAATTGGTGAGGCCATAAAGCCGCCCCCAACTGTCATGTTCGATATCGGGCAATGGGCAACACCGCATTCAAGTGACTTCAGACGATCCATTTCGTAATCAGTCATGAAACAACAATGAGCCAAAATAGACCTCCGATTAAGCAAGCCAAAAGATTCATACAAATCGGCCTCGTTTTTGAACTCCGGGAAAAGAGTTTTGGTGAAGTTGATCTCTTGCTCTGCCTCGTTGAAATGCGTCTGGATAGGCAGATCTGGGTTTTCGGACGCTATTTTGCCCAGGCCCTTCAGCAGTTCTGGGTCGCAAGTGATTGCAAATCGCGGAGTTAAGACATGTTTCAACAGCTTTCCTTCGGGGTCGATCTTGCGAATGTGCCGGATGCATGCCTCCGTATCAGCCAAGGATGACTCGACAGAGGCATCACGATAGAATTCCGGCGCATTTCTGTTCACTTAGAATATGTCAGCACCCGATTCTTGTTGTTCCCTGCTTCTCTTGCTTTGGCCTCTTGTCAATAGATGAGTATCATTGTGGGTCCATTCGCGTAGAAGTTGAAGCCAGGACGGCTTACTATTGCATTTGCCGACAAAAGCACGTTGCCCCTTCTGCAAACATAAATCGGCCAATATGTTGGTGGCGTCCGCGTGCAGTGAGCCGTAATAAGATGCAGTTGTGATGCCTTGCTTCAAGAAACCGTCGACACATTGCGAATAGATGCGCTTGGCATAGCCGATGTCCTGAAAACGGGCCTCATTGGGGAATGTCACTTTATCAAGCCAATCAAGGATATGCATCGACTGCCCCAAACCTCGTTGTGCATATTGAGGGGCGTGGTTATGCGTGTCCACGAATCCAGGGATGAGAAATTCGCCTCGGCCCAGATACCTGACCTCTTTGGGAGAGCTGAGGGACTCTAGAAGAGTGGGAACTTCTGCCTTGGGAATATGTTTGTCTAAACGAGCGATTCTGCCGTCGCTCACAACCACCAGAGCATCCTCGATGATCTCCAGCTCCGACAGCCCTAGGGAATGGATGACCGTACCATGAAAAGCAAGGTGCTCTCCCATGTTCTATGATCGCAGAAGAGAAAGAAAGAGGAAGAGGTGACTACAGATGTGTATGACAAGAAACGGCGAGAAAGGCAAGGCCGATGCAGTCGTATGTAGAATCGGGTACACTGAGGTTGCCGGCGGGGCATATGGGGATCTTGGGCGATGTCGGCCAATGGCGGAAGCATATGGTATAAATGTATGAACCGCTTAGAAGAATATCAGACGCGGAAGGTTATTGAATAACTACAAGGTCATGCATGCGAGCAACACTCTTCTTCTACAACCGAAAATGGGTCGCTTTCGGATTCCTTTCCCCAAATTGAACAAGTCTTCTGTGCTGTAAGTCGCAGATGCGATGCTGCATTGGGACCGTATTCTGGTGGAAGTCTGTGCCGGCCCATGACTTGCCATCTCAATGGGACTTGTGTGGCACAATGTATAGATGGAGTCGTACGAAAGAGCAAGCAACCAGCTGGCTCCCTCCTTTTGCGCATCCCTGCTTCATGTTTATAGTCGCTGTGCTGGCCAGTCTGATTGAGCATGTGGTGAGAGTGTTGCCTGGATAATCTTGCCCATTTTCTCGGAGTTCTATCCGTCATTCACATATCTGGGACATCCTGGGACTCCGATGGACTCTTATCGATTATCAAGAGCAGAACTCTGCGAAAAGATACGGGATGGCGGTATAAATGACCTTGACGCAAGCTACCATGCACTGCATCAACGCTTCAGGGACACGCCAGATAGCCGATACGCACTGTTCACGCACGTGAAGCCCGATACTGAACACCGCAACTGCACCGAGATGGAAACACAAAAGCCAAGGGCTAGGCAGAATCCCGCCCATCAGCCCAGCTAATTGCTCATTGCGCACCTTGTTACTCTGCGCGTACTTTACAAAACCTCGCTGGAATATCTTCCAATGAGTGTCTATCACTGTCAGCCCCAATCCAAGGCGAGGAAAATGAAAGGTTAGCTCACGTACCTTGGGCTGCTACCAAAAGGTATATTATTTGGGCAAGAAGGTTGAGATTTGTATTACACTTTTTTCTTTCTTTCTTGAAGGTTATTATTTGTTGCTGCACGAGCCTTGTATCTGCCAGTGAAATGACGTTTGCGGGACTCAGAAGCTCGCTGAGAATAACTGCGTCATTGAGCGCAACTGTCATCCCAGACCCTGAAATTGGATGTCGAATATTGAAGGCATCACCCAATAGAAGCACGCCCTTGGACTTGGTCGTACAGGGCGGGAGCCAAGAGTTTGGCATCGATCTCAGCTTGTTTTTCCTCAACGCGTTTTCGGCTGACTTCTGCATTACCTCCGGCAGTGAAGGGACTAGGCTTTTTTGGAGGTATTCTCTCATATCGCTACTGCGTGAACAGCTTGCTGAGACCGCATTGGGGACATCAATGAGAAAGCGTACGTCTTTCTTGCCAATCTGGTAGATCCCCGCCGGTGGACCATGGCCTATCACACCAAGGCTGAGGCCGCAACTACTCAGCTCTCCTTCCATCAATAGGCCGTAGAATCTAGATTTCGATATCGGTTTAGTGCTGGTAACTTTCGATCGCAAGTTTGAGGACTGCCCATCTGCCAGCACAGTGAGGTGCGCAAAGTAGTCGGTTACTTTTGAGCCCTCCGTCGACGTTTCCCTCGACCTGATTCCGATGACTTTGTCATGATTTGAAGACCACAACAAACCTGTTGCGTTGGCTTGGACTGCATATACATTCTCTTCCTTCATTGCGGCGTCACGAAGCTTCATAATGAATCGGCCATGGTGGAAACTTCTGCCCTCATGTCTCTCATCTTCGTCCCCGAGCGTACGTTTTGGTTCTGACGGCGGCAGCGCCAGTTTCGCCGGGGAGGTCTGTTGAGTAGGATACCCGATAGGATAATCAGCAATTCTGGGATACCAAAAGGTAGTTTCCTTGCCAAAGTAAGACAGCCGATATCCTCTCAAGGGAATGGCGTCAATCCCATCGAGACAGTCACCCAGACCCAGACTTTCAAGTGCTGCAACACCTCCAGGTTGCAAAAGCTCTCCCAAAATCCGGTCAGGCTCGCGCAGGTCACGCTCAAGTAGAAGCACATTGCGGCCTTGTCGAGCAAACGTAACCGCCAGGACGCAGCCTGCGACTCCAGCACCAACAATGAGAACATCATAGATGTCGGGGGGCCGAGAAGAGGCAGCCTCAGGCATCGTGGTGGTTTGTCAGTCAATCAAGGACGGTGGCTTGATTGCGCAACTGCTTGGTCTCCATCTATGTGCTTGGCGACACAGCATTTCAGCTTTGGGCTAGTGCAGCGTTCTGTAAGCTGAGAGGCGTTGGCAAAGGATGCGGCAAGAAACCTGTCGAATCGACGCGCTCCGGGTAAATTGTGGCCGTTGGCGGCGAAGGGGCCGATTGCACGACCGCAGCTCCCAGTCAGGTGCGGCACAGTACGGCCCTGTACGGGGTGGTTACCATATTCAGCTGGCTACAACCAATTCTACGACCAATTTACGGACAAACCTTCGCAGACCACCAATTGCCAGGCTCTGTTGCTCGATGCAGGTCCGCCGCCCCCAATGTCTATTTACGAATGGTTCCCAGATAGGCTCGCCAAGCTTTGTCCTACACGTGGGCGGATGCTGCACGGTTTCTCACTCCCGTCTTTTGTCGTTCAGTCATTTGGCTTACCGGAGGCACTGCTCCTTCTCGCGCATATTGTCATCTCGGATTTCACAGCATGGACTATCCAGCCATGTACCCTGGAGCACTCAGCAATGTCGTACATGACTACACTTCAGGTCGACATGTTGGTAGGATTGTTCAGCCCCTGCTTGTCTGGTGATAGGAGCTCTCTCTGGGCGCTGACGAACAGGCTGGCATACATGCAATAAAATCAAGCTTGAAGCCCACGCCGCACCCTCTCGACCAGTGTATCACCACAAGCTGCCCTTTCCTGTGCTATAAGCTGCTTGAAGCGACCGAAACGCACAGCTGCATCGTACGGAGCATCCATCCGAGTTGACTGGTCTGCAACTTTGCTGCCCATGCCGAGCCTTCCTCTCACGAACAATGCCACTTCCACTTGGGTTTCAGTTGATGACTCCCATGTGCTGAACCGATTAGGATGGGTTCCCTCTCCTGACCAACGAGGTACAACAGACATACTTTACTCGAGCATACTCGTGCTCGCTGTCTCAGTATGGACGGTATTACATCCCAACATTCCTGCAAGGTCAGACCAGTATTGGTCAATCGTCAGGTCGAAGGCGATTTGGGCGGTTCTTGGAGTAGCATCGCCTGAAATGCTCACTCTTTTCGCCGTCGCACAATGGAACCAAGCCAGGGCATCAGTTGCTGAGATGAAGGAGTTGGGAGAAGAAGATTGGACTTTGACTCAGTGCGTGTTATCATGACAAGCCCGCTGCTGTACCCAACTTGCACTTTCACCGGATGATAATTCTAATTCTTATTTCGAAGTGCTTTCTATGCCAACGCAGGTGGCTTCTTACTCCATACGCCGGATTGCCCGCCCTTCCCAATCAATGCAAAGTCAATTCACTACCTCTGCTCCAAGCGGTGGATCGAGTGTCCGCGAGTCTCTCGTCACGACATATGGGATCGAAGCAAAGCCGACAAATTCGCGAAATTGGTCGCCTTGACTCAAGCCGCATGGCTTGTCACGCAAGTAATTGCTCGGGCTGTTCAGAACCTTGCGATAACACCGCTCGAGCTCTTCGCCGTCGCCTTTGTGGTGCCAACCCTGGCCACAGCCTTTTTCTGGGCCAACAAGCCACAAGATGTCAATCAAGCAACTACTATCAAGATCAGCTCTTCGGTATCGGAAATTATCCAAACTGCGGGAGAAGCGGCGAAAAGGCCATGGTCCGATACTCCCCTCGACTTCATTGAGAAGCCTAGCTGGAACAATTGGGCCAGGAGGCCCGTTTTCAAGTACTTCGGTGGATTGAGAACGAGACCCATAGATCGCATCCCGAATGATTATGTAGCGCCACCGAGCGGAAGGCAATCCATCATCGTGTGGGTGGTGTCGGTGATCCATGCGGCAGTCCACGTAGCGGGGTGGTCTTTTTCGTTTCCCACAAGGGCGGAGGTCCTGATTTGGCGATGTTCCAGCATTGTGTTGCTGCTGTTCATGATAACCGGCGGTCTAATCCCCGTCCTTTCCACGAAGCCTTGGTTCAATTTCAAGTTCACACTTCTTTGGGTTTGGGAAAGGTCCATCCAAGGCCCGAACCCTACATGGGTACAACGATACCTCCTTGATGTGGTGTCGGAGCTTGCATACGTTATGTATATAATAGCTAGAATACTCATACTTGCCGAGATCTGTATCACGTTCAGATCTTTGCCCGCAAGCGCATACGATACGGTCAACTGGACAGCCTTCTTACCACATATTGGAGGCTAAATTACACTACATTTCGTCGCAGAATTCTAGGAATGCGATAGCTTTCATTCAAGTTAATGCAAAGGCTTAATTACATAGATATTAGCCTTTGGCGCGAAAGGCATCATGTTTCTGTACCAACTACGGACAAATGGATACATAACCATTTAGACCTCCTTTGTTTGAGTCGGTACGGTGTCCTTGCCCTTCTCCTCATGGTGTGCAATAGACTTCTCGACGGCATGCACAGCTTCGTCGGCCAGTGCCTTATCTTCGAACACTGTTGGGCAACACAGGTCAGTACCGAAAGCTATCCTGGTGAGTGCAAGTGAAACTTACAGAAGGCCAGCTCCTCCAGCGTTCTTCCGAACGTCTCAGGGAAGAAGAAATACACGAAACAGATCTCAAATGCCAGGAAGCAACAATAGGAGATGAGGTATTTCCATCCAACATTCTGCAAGCCAATGGGGTTGACAAACGTGGTGAAGAAGCCAGATAACCGCCCGAAGAGTTGGAAGAAAGCAATGCCACGGGAGCGTTCCATGTATGGCCAAAGCTCGACAAGATAAGCTGAAGTTATGAGTTAGCACAAGTCCCCACATGTATTTTCGTTACAACAAATACTTACTGTACGTCAACGCGTTGTATCCGATGTTATAACATGGCGTGTACGCGTATATGAAGAAGAGAGTTGCCCCACTAGCTGCGGAGTTGGGTACTTTGTCCTCCAAGGCTTTCATGGCTCTCTCCATGCTGATTGTCCAGGAGATGTACACGATTAACAGACTTACAGTGCACACAAGATACATTGCCCTTCGCTTGAAGCGGGTAACGCAGAATGCAGCGACTGACCCGCAGACCAAACTCCAGCAGGCGATTGAGACATTAATCTGTTGCTTGAAGATAGGGTCCTTCTTGCCAATCATGGAAAGAAGGTCGCCAAGATAGTAAGAGATCAGGGTGTTGCCAGACCACTGTGTGAACAAGCCCAGCATGCAGCTGATCAAGGTTCGTCGACGCATACCCGCGGTCGCCAGCAGATCCATCCATGATCTCTTGGAGGCTTCGAGCTCGATGTGGATGGTGGCTTGAATCTGCGCTATCTCGGCCTTGACAAACTCAGCCTCGTGGTCGCCTTCTGCGTGATACTTGGCCAATATGTTGAAAGCTTCTTCGCTTCGGTCCTTTGTAATGAGCCACCGTGGGCTTTCCGGGATGAAACTATATATGTAAGCAAAAAGAAACAACAACACGATGCCAAAGAGTCCTACAAAATGAGCGCAATTTGCAGCAGAGACGGTGCCATTTGAAGGAGACTGGGAATTCGCCAACTCCAGTCGCTTGGGATGTTGTTAGTCCCAAAGCAAATCGCCGCGGCCAATATCTGGCCGGGAAAATAGGCCACATTGAACAGCGAGGTCATAACCGGCCGCTCTCTCGGATAAGCAAGCTCTCCAATCAATGCAGAGGCGCTGACGATACAGGTCGGGATACCGAAACCGAGAATGATACGAGCAATGATGTACATCGGCGCTGCGAGGCATTAATAACAGTCCAGTTTACATGCTCTCCTCGAAGCCCGAAGAGGCGCTTACCGTTGACAGAGAAACCCTGGATTATGGCACCTATCACCATGACCCAGGAACCCAAGAAGATGGACCACCGTCTTCCAAGGCGGTCGTTCACAATCGGGACGAGGGGCAGAGAAAGAATGGCACCAAGCGAGTAGGCTGCCGAAATGATGCCCTTCAATGACCCTTTTCCATGTTAGCCTCGCGCTTTCACCAACGCGGCGCTGCATATAGCCCCTAGGTCTTCTTACCGGTTGGGTGTCCAAAAACTTGTCAAGAATTAGCTACGATGCTATTACACGCGGCTACCTGAAACTTACATGCATCCCACGAAGGGACTATCTGTAGGGCATTGATCATCTGGGAATCAAAACCTGATGTCATCTCGATTCCCATACATGTCGGGAAGAGCAGGAAATAGAGTGCCCTGAGATTAGGCTTCTTGTACCATGGCACCTTATCTTCTTTCGCAAGACGAGTGATGATGGGGTCGGACGCGGCTCCCGTCTCAACCGCCGACGGGCCCTGCGCCTGGATCGTTTTTCTTCCAAACCCGACCATCTTCACGACTGCTGGCCGTCAGTATGTTTGCAGTGGAAAAGAGGACGACGCCGATGGCAATATTGACTCAGGAGACTGAGTGCATCGCATGGAGGCAAGGCAGGAAGAGATCAGGAGGAAACAAGGGTGCGCGTCCAATTGATATATACGGACAGAGCAGGAATGCCTGCTCAAGCCCGCTAATCATTGTCGTTGTCGGAAACTGCCCGAACCCATGTAGGCTTGGCGTTCCTCCGTCGAGTCTGCTCAGCGTTCGCGTTCCTCTCGTCGTTCTGGGGTAAATCTGCGGGGCTCCATCCCCCAGGAAGCTGGGGTTAGTGCTGGCCTCAACACGATGCCGCCCCATACTCGGTGCACCATATGGACTCATGGAGTCTTATTGCCAAGCATCCGCCTCATGGTCTAAGTGGCACACGGCGGATACGCGGGACTGGGATCCAATACTGACGAGTCGCTGACCGCTCAGCCGGCCAATTGCAAGATGAGGCCCTGGCCAACTTGGAGATGCGCTAAGCTGAACTCCAAATGCCAAGACGGATATACAAGAAACCAGACCGCTGGGATACCCCGCAGCGACGGTGAATTTATCCAGGAATAGGGGAAGGTGTCGCTTGTCGGGTTCGACCAGTGAGATGGCGGTCCAGCGTCCCTCGTCTGTCGAACCCAGGTTCACACGAGCGCGGCTTGATATTGGTTTGATCCCAAAGGCTTGGTACAATAAATGAAGACAAACAACGGTGCATTGGGCTGCTGACTGCAGGGCGATACCACATGATGATATAAGCGCAAGAGGTGACCCCTGGCGGATCAGCTGGTTATGGCTGTTGACTGCACCAGAACATGTCGTGAGGAATCATTCTCTTTGTGGCTTGGGTTTCATTCAGGCTGAAGGTGAACGCCAAGTAGAAGATTACCCAAGGACTGGCGTCGTATCATTTCCGGCCAGGCACTCCTGGTCAAGATGAAACATATGCTAGTCTCTTCAGAGCTCCGCTTTGCAACTCGCAAGGTTGAATTGCCGCTGTTCAATGCCATAACGCTACGATGAAACTTATATATCACTCACGATCTGCCAAGTGACAATTCATTCTAATTTCGCCGCTAAATGACTACATATAACTCGTAGAAACATCAAATATCCGTCGGGAAGTCTCTTGGCCCCGGAAGATGGTGGATCTGCGCATTCACGGTGGCCGCGCTTTTGTAAATTATTCTCTGGCAATAATCTTTTTCTATCAGTGCCTATTCACTTGCTGGCTTCGGCAACTTTATTGATAGTATCACCTGCATCTTCCCGCTGGGGCCATATTTCCGTTGCTGTTGATTCGCTAAGTGTAGTCTACTATTTTGTGCTCGGATATTCAGGATTGGTTTGAAGCCTAGGTAATCTTTACTGCCTTGGTTGAACATCTGTTCTCTTGGAGCAGGTGAGCCAGAGAAATGCACGCTCACTCGCCATTTGAATCATTCCATAGCTGCTCGGATCAACGCGCGACAGGATCTAAATACACGTTGAGGGGCGGCTTGTCCCAAAGCAAGTGGACTTTATTTCTCTCGAGCCAGTCACTACTATCACCCGACAGGCGGATATTAAAGTTCCACACCAACTTGGCGAGGACCAGTCGCATCTCCATGTATGCCAGGCTGTTCATCCGTGAGCATGACGACAAATCTTTAGGAGGGATAATGATGGCAGAAAAAGGGAGAAACCTACTTCCTTCCAAGACAGTCTCGCGGACCCAGGCTAAATGGCTGCACTGCGTCAAGCTTGTCATTGGAAAACCTGGCATCCTTACCCTCAAACCTCTCGGGATGAAAGCCGTATGGGTCGGCGAAGAGCGCCGCGGATCTGTACATTGCCAAGTGCCATACTCCGACCGTCGCCTAACATTGGGTCAGCGGTTGGAGCCCATAGTTTCTAGAAAGTTGATTACTTACACCCTCAGGCACGGCGTGCCCGGCAATGACCGCGCCTCCCTCTGGCGTCACCCTGGGTCCTGTGATAGCGACGGGCGGGTACATCCGCAGGGCTTCGTTCAAGCAAGCGAGCATCTGCCACAGAGGAGGCGAGTGAGTACAGCGTCATCTTCATGCATTCCAAGAAGAGTAACATCCCATCCAGTGAAAGGCACTTACATAGGTGAGGCTGTTCACACTGCTGAGCGTGATCTCTGATTCGTTGCTGAATCTTGCGCGCACTTCCGACTGGAGCTTACCCAGCGCGTCCGCGTGTGTAGCCAGGAGATACACGGCGCCGGAGAGCAAGGTCGCCGTTGTCTCGGAACCGGCGATGACTAGCAAGCCGGCATTTGCCTCCAGAGTCGTATGGCCGAAGCCCTGTAGCCCCTCGTCAACAAGCAGCCTTCACCAATATAGACGACATTGATCACTTCAAAGGGGGGTGCAGTGCACGCACTTACGTGTTCGATCAAACCTCCCAAGAAGTCAGCGCGCCCTTCCTTCTTCATCTGCTCGTCCATCTCGAGCCGCTGCTTGACTTTGCTCACCGTCAACTCACGGTGGATCCGCTGCGCCTCGAGCCCGACCTTGAACTTCTTTGCCGCCCAGGCGACGCCCTGCAGCAAGCCCAGATGGCACAGGACCTGCATGGTCGCCATGTTCTTCAGACTGCTCATGATCAGCCGGATCCAGGGGTGGTAGTCGCTGGTCCTCAGGCAGCCAAAGTCGGAACTGAACGCCAGCACGCCGAGGACATCGAACGTGAAGAAATTCAGGTACGCCGTTATGTCCACCGGCTTTGCCGCTTGCGTGACATCCTTCGTGGCACCCTTTCCGAGACCACCGCCCGTCGCCTCCCGGAGCCGCTGGATCAACAGGTCTGCGTAGCCTCCGATGACACCCTCATGGGCGCGCAGTGCGGTCGGCGCGAATGCTGGCGCCAGCGCCCGGCGCATGAGGTCGTGTTGTTCCTTATTGGAACTCATCAAGTTACCAGGGCCTCCATCGGCCGGGGGTTGGCCGTAAAATATGGGGTCCATGGAAAGCTCCCGTTGCTTGCCATCTCCCGGCTTGCGGCCATAGATATCGCGCCAGGCCATCGGGTCCACGAACGACAGCTCGTGCGGCGCGATGCGCACCACGGGACCGTAGACGTCGTGTAGCGAAGCAACCCAGTGCGGGTTGTCGCCGGCCTGTAGGTGATAGAGGCGCGGGATGACAGACAGGCGTGTGGAGAGCGGTCCCGGGTAGCTGGATAGGGGATGCAAGGTCACATTGTAGAGGCTGCGAAGGAGGGCATAGCAGATGGCCGCAAAGATCAACAGAGTAACTATAATTACTGCATTTTGCAGCAGCACCGTAACCAGCGCCATCTGGTTATATGGACGTAGAGCTATGTTGACGCAGAGGTTATACGGAGCTCTGTTGCAGACTGGCCTCTCGAATTATATGCACTTGGAGAACCACCAGCATACCTATGCATGTACATCTAGGTAAAGATAGTTGAACATGTGTTCCACAAGCGATACTTATAAGGACTGACTCCTTGCGAATCATGCAGGACTTGTCGTAAGTCCAAGCGCCAGCATTGAAATCCGCTGGGAGAGGGGTCGCTGAGGATTAACGGAAGTGGCTCTTGGAGGGGTGCGAATCGGATCTCTGCAGACGGACCGCCCCTGGTCGTACCACGGTCTATAGAACTCCGCGAGCCACCCCCCAAAGTCCGCGGCCAGGATGAACTCCGCAACAACGGCATCGATGCCACTGCCAAGGATTTGCTGAGCCGGCGCCTGTCTCGTCTCCGCCGGACATATCCGTGGCCGTCTCGTGAACATCACGGGGAGCTCGCCTCACGATTGCTTGGTCTTGATACCGCTAAGGAGTCCCCATGTAGATAAGAAATAGATTGATAGTGGTCATTGGGCCTGTGTTATTTTCCCAAAGGTATCTGCTATTCATCGGACAAAGTAAGTTGATGTAGGTGTCCCCCTGGGTTCCGATATCGAAGCGGCCGCGCTTCCTCAAGGGACCATTTGAGATTTATTCCTGCCCGATCTCCGGATCGGCTTCTGGTCCTCGGTACTGTCTCTTCCATGTCCAGCATTCTGAGCGGCCAAAGCCCCCGACGCAGGCTCCGAATCATCGCCACTCACTCCTTCAGCCTCGTCGATGGACTGCTCACTCCCTTGACCCAAAACCTCGCGCATGATCTTCTTTCCTTCGTCCATCTCTCCATTTAGCGTCCCGCAGCTCATGCATTTCCATTGTCCAACCTCTGCCAGGGTTTTGGTACCCGGAGGCGCTTGGCCATTCACCAAGCGGCACCTTTGACATATCAACACGAGGCGGTTCTTGGGGGCAGTTTCGTCTTCGCCAAGCATCAGGTCGAGGATGCGATCGTACCATCTGGGCGGGCCAGAGTTGAACTCGTACTGGTGGTAGGACGGAGGCAGATCTCCGGCATTAGGGGCGAACTCAGCAGTGAGTTCATGCCCGAGAGGAGAGGCGGACTGTGGTGGCGGCGGGCGGAAGGGCGCCTGAGGATTTTGGTTTTGTGGCGTACCCGGGGCCGAGGGAGGCCGTTGAATGTTCGCTGTCGGTGGCGGTGGCATGTGCGTTCGGCCGCTGGGCTGGCCCCGGTTGCGAGGCCCGTCTTGGTTGACCGGCCCGCTGCCCTTCTGGCCATCTCCATCATTATCCGGGCCAGGCTGGCCTGACTTGGTGCGCTTGGGCTTGGGCTTCTCCCCGCCGTATTTCTCCAGTAGTTCCAGGGTAGAGTCGTACTTGGTGGCGTCCTTCAGCTTTTGGATAGTCTTGGCCCGCTCAGCCTGCTGGTCCTTGAGGCGCGATTCGAGGGTGTCGATACGGAAGGTAAAGTAGGCGTTCGTGAGGGTGCGGATAAGGTAGATTAGGACGGGGCTACCTGCCACACCGGTCCATTCCCAGGGCCCCAAGTTCTTCCATCCGACGACAAGGACGAGCACGATGGCATAGACGAGGTAGGCGAAGGACAGGTAGAGGGTCCACAGGACTTTGACGCGCCGCGAGGAGGAGCGCTGCTTGTCGAGCTGGAGCTGGGTGGCTGCGATCTTCTTGGAGAGAGTCGACAGGGTTTTCTCGAACGAGGCGGGGGACGAGTCTTCGCCCTGGCGGAGGAGGTCTAGTCAGTCTCGGGAACAAGATTTGGCGAAGGACCAAGGTGCACGGAGTCGTGATGATGCAGGAAGACGGGGGACATGGCATCGGGAAGAGAGGCGTAGCTTACCTTCCAGGGCCAAAGAGAGACCATGACTCTACAGCAGGGGTTTGGTGGTGATGCTATGCGAGCATGACGAGAAGAGAAGCTTGCAGAAAAGAGGAAGGGAAGAGGGCGTGAGGCGGTCAGGCCAACAGGATCAAGGAAAAGAAGAGTCTCGGTCTTGACAGAATGCAGCTACCTGGGCAGCATCGGTGGAGTCAGAACGGTGATATGTCTCTTGGTTGCATCACGAGGCAGGCGACGCAGCTGGTGTGGACATTTGTCGTGAAAAAGCACAGTGACGCCATCTGGGAGGTAGCGCGAAGAGGCCACCAGGGCACGCCAGCTGTTATGTAACCACTGTACGTACCACTACCTAGGTACCTATTTGGATGGTAGGCGGCTCTTTGCGAACTAGGCAAGCTAAAGCTAGCTGGAGGCTGGCTCTGCCGCCCGCCTCTGAGTGGGTGCCTGAAGCCGGAGGGAGTCTCCCTCACCACCGCCTGGACTCATTGTTCAGACGACGCACGCCCCCTTCCTCCCCCCCCCTTTCTGGAGCTCTGACTGGATTGGCCTCCTTACATACATGCAGTTACACCCGACAGTCCCTGGGGCCCGTGGTAACTTGACTCGCAGTGCTGCTGCTGCAGCTGGTGAAATACGGGGTAGCCTGCGTGTTTGAAGCAGTGAAGCAGTGTCGGGAACAGAGAGGCAGACGGACCGGTTTTCACGACGGCAACGGACCCAGCATGCTGCTGCTCTCTCTCTCTCTAGAGCAGTGTACACGACTTTGCAATGTCTCTGTTACATGCTATAGACCGAGAAGAGCCGTCCGATCTCGTTAGCCATGGATCTTATAGCTAGTTCACTTAGTACATCGCATTGAGTTCCCCAGCACCGCAGGTGCCCAGGTGGTCAGTCAACGGGCTGTACTGCACCTGCAGTAGGTAGCATGGGGCCCCTGAGAGAAACATTCCCCCGTGCCCGAGGCCCTGAGCCTCATCCCGTCTGTGGGTACTTTTTCTAACTTAGACCTTACCTCCCAGTCCCCTTTTCGGCAGGGATGGGGTCCAGCTCAAACATGGCGAACACCTGGCGCATCTGGCTCCCCCGGCAGCTCTCCCCGGCTTCGACAGTTTGAGTCGTGTTTGGTTTCCCCGGCACTTGGCACTTTTTCTTTTGTCTGCAGCTGCAGTAGAATCGTCTCGCGAGCCTGGCTGTGACCGTGACTGTCCTTCTGCACTCATACATCCACTCAAGTAGACGTTGCGTCCACGGAGCGGGTGCCCAGACGCCGGGAACGCCTCAGCCTCGAAGCGGCCAGCACAGCAGCCCACTCCAAAGTCTCCCAGCCTCGGTCTTACACACCCAACTACCGGCCAGGCCACGAGCACTCGACGAAACCCCACGACGACAATCCCACGGCCGCAGCTCGCGACGCAGCAGCGCATGGCTACAACGCAGACCGCGGACTAGCATCCACCATGTTTCAGAGGTTCAAGAGCGCAATCGACCGGACCATCGCCGAGGAGCAGGCCCGCCAGAAGGCCGCCTCCGATCAGCCCACGCCCTCCGGCACCCGTCCTCGCTCCGTCTCCCGCACCAACAGCGCCAAGGACTCGCCCGCGAAGCGCAGACCGAAGAAGCCCGCCCAGGACGTTTCCAATGGCGACGGCCTGCCCAATCCGGACCCTGCCGTCTTCGAGGCCGCCTTTGCTCTAGACGAGGAGGAGGCCGAGGCCAAGGAGACCGACGAGAAGCCTGCTGTTGCCCAGGACGATGCGACAACGGCCGAGAAAGCCGATGGGCTTGCAACAGACGGCGCCGAGTCCAATGGCGACCGCGTCGACAAGCCAGCCAAATCACCAGAAGCAGCTGAGCCGGCCGCCAGCGCGGCGCAACCTGTCCCCTCGGCTGAACTGCCCGCCGAAGTCAAGGCCAAACTGCGGAAACTGGACAAGCTCGAAAAGACATATCCCGGTACGTGTTGTATTGTCTCGCTCTGACGGCAACTCATACTGGCTGTTTGCTCGTCGTGACGCTAACTTTCTCTTGTGTGACAGAGCTGTTGCGCTCGTATCGTATCGCCCATGGACGAGCCACCTCGATCGAGCCCTTCGAAAGGGCGTTGCGCGAGAACACGCCGCTCACATCCATCAAGGATCCTGCCGCCCTGTTAGAGTACCTCAACCAGTTGAATCTGAAGGGCGACATGGTCATGGACGAGTTCAAGCGTGTCTCGGCCGAGAAGGAGAGCTTCAAGAAGAAATACGAAGACGCCGACAAGGAGCTTGTGCAGCTCAGAGACGAGCTTGCGACACTCAAGGCTGCCAGGTCAGAAGCATCGCCGTCGCAGGTCGCCGGCGCCGGCGAAACCAAGGCAGAAGACGAGCCCAAAGAGCCCGCTTCACCATCTGCCGCCCAGCCTGCGGACGGCAAGACAAAGTCCCCCGATGCCGGCAAGGATGAAAGCGAGGATATGTTCTCGTACGAGGATGAGATTCCTCAGCTGCAGGCCGAGGTTGCTTCCAAGACCGAAGAGATTGCCCAGCTCAAGTCGGAAATCGGTAACCTGAAGGAGGAGCTCTCTGTGGCCAAGGAACACAGTGCTGGCTTGGTCGAGAATCTCGAGGTTGCCACCCGTGAGCTCAGCGAAGTTCGAGACAAGTCCGCCGTCCAAGGCTCTCTACAGACCCAACTTGATGCCAGGAATACCGAGATCCAGACGCTCACCGAGAAGATCGAGCAACTGACAAGTCAACTGCGAGACGTGGAAAGTAGCCTGGAGAAAGAAAGGACCACCTCGGCCGAGACTACGAAGCAGAACAAATCCGCCATCAAGGCTGCCGAGGACGAGAAGGCTGAGCAGCAGTCCAAGTTCAAGGAGCTAGCCCAAGCGAAATCAAATCTCGAGACTAAGATCGTGGGGCTGACGTCGGAGATTGAATCCCTGAAGAAGTCCAAGACGGAGAGCCTGGAGAAGATAGAGCAGCTCAACAAGCAGATCCAGGATGCGCCTCCTCCTAGCCCGGCTACCACTGCTGCCCCGTCCGAGTCCTTGGAGGTCCCGCCGACCCCTTCAACCACTGGTGCGAGCAAAAAGAAGAACAACAAGAAAAAGAAGAAGGGCGGCGCTTCCTCGGCCGCGGGCGCTTCTACACCTACTGCTGCCTCCGAGCAACCACCGCCCTCACCTGCTGAACCCCCTGAAACTGCCTCGCTGCGAGAGGAGCTCACCAAATTAAAGGATGAGATCTCTCAGAAGGACACACAAATCGACCGACTCTCGAAGCAGCGGAAGACGGAAGAGGATCTTCGTGAGGAGATCGAAACTATCCAGGAGACTCTGCTCTCTATCGGCCACGACCATACTGATGCAAAGGATAAGATCAAGCAACTCGAGTCAGAGAGGGCGTCGCTCAAGGAACGTATTGCTGAGTTGGAAGCTGAGGTTGCGTCCTTCACGTCGAATACAGAGGCGAGTTCCAAGCTGCAATCCGAGTTGGACACCATGAAGAGCGAGTTCGATGCCTTGAAGGCCAAGTCACAAACCTTGACATCGGATCTAGGGGCAGCTCAACAGCTGGCTCAGTCGCGGTATAAGGATCTTACTGACCTTCGCGAGGTTCTGTCCAAGGCGCAACCAGAGCTGAAATCGTTGCGACAGGACTCGGCAGCATTAAAGACAACCAGGGAAGAATTGGCGACCAAACAGACAGAAATCAGAAACCTCGAGAAGCGGGAGAAGGAGCTCAAGATGGAAGTCGCCCGTGTCCAACGCATTGCGGCCGACAGAGAAGGTGACATTCGAAACCTGAACGATAGGATCGCAGCCGAGGGCAAGACTCGTGCTAAGCTCGAAGATGAAAAGAGAGTGGCCGGCAGGGATTTCAGGCGTTCCGAGGCCGAGAAGATCGAGCTCTCTGCCAAGGCCGAAAAGGCAGCCCGAGAGCTTGAGTCGTTACAGTCCGAACTTGCGGGTGTCAAGCCCAAGATCAAAACCCTGGAAGATCAAGTCGAGGCGCTGCAGCGAGAACGGGATTCTTTGAAGGAAGAGGCCGACCTCAAGACGGCTCAGTACAATTCGGCACAGGGCTTGATGGGCTCAATGCGTGACCAGACCGCCGAGCTGAGCGTACAGCTGAAGGAAGCCAGGGGCCAGGCGGAATCGCTCGAAGAGGAACTTGCTGAGGTTCAGAAGCATCTGCAGGAGAGAACGCGCGAGGGCGAGACGATGCGCCGCATGGTCAACGAAGTCGACTCGCGCGCCGATGCCAAGGTCCGCGAGATGCGGGCGCGCCTGGACGCGGCCGTCGAGGAACGCGACCGCATCGAGGACGAGGCCAGCACCTTGGGCCGCCGCAGGGCTCGTGAGAGCGAGGACCTCAAGGCCAAGGTGCGCGAGCTCGAGCGCGATGTCAAGACGCTAGGCTCCGAGAAGGACGACCTGGAGGCCAGGGAGCGCGAGTGGAGAAGAAGAAGGGAAGAGCTCGAGCAGGTCGAGCAGAAGGCCAACGCCGAGGTCGAGGACATGCGGACTGCCGTCGCGAACTTGAGGTCCGCGCTCGACAGCTCCGAGGTCCAGGTCCGGGAAGCCGAGAAGCAGAAGGGGGATCTACGGAAGTTGCTCGACGAGGCCAGGTCTCGCTATGAGAAACTCAACAAGGAGCTCAGGACGGCACAGGGCAGACTCGCCGGTGGCAGTGCTTCGAATCTCGCGGGCAGTGGCCGTAGCAGCATCGATAGCTCGAGATCTGGCACGCCCATCAACGGTGGTGCCGCAGCCCCCGCCGGTCAGCCGGCCGTGGACACCATGTATCTCAAGACAATCCTGCTGCAGTTCTTGGAGGTTAAGGATGAGAAGGTCAGGTCACAGCTGGTTCCGGTACTGGGGAAGCTGCTGAGATTCGATCGGTAAGTCTTGCTGCGCTGATCCATGTCAACTTTTGAGAGACTTGACGCTAACTTTTCTGCAGGAGTGATGAACAGAAGTGGATAAACGCTGTCCACAGCCTGGCGAAATCGGGGAGATAGCCCCGTCGTATCATACTTGTAGGATAGTTGAATCGAGTATACACCTGAGAGGTGGACCCGTTCGGGATATGATATTGAAAATGCTGAGTGCCCGACAATTGTCCATAAGCTGTGATACCCCTGCGCAATTATTAGCATAGAGTCCAGCAGCGTTTGACAGTTCAACTTCACCAGTGGAATAAGAAGTAAATGAGGATAGCAGGCTGCCTGCCACGGGAAGGGTGGAAAGGCAAAGGAAGAAAAGAAAAAGAAAAAAGAACAAATGCCGGGGCCGGGGTTTGAACCCGGGATCTCCTCTGTGTACGGCGTTGAGAGCAAGGAAGTGAAGGCAAATAGCAATGCCAGCAAGTGAGGTGCCTTAACCAACTTGGCCACCCCGGCAGGTATACTGATCTTGTTGTTGCCAAGTCGGCTGCGAATTGCGGACTATGGGGGGCATCGGCGACGTGAATAGGGCTTTGTCTTCATTCAATCATCTGACTTTCTCCCCTTAGGCACCCGCACAACATTGTGAATACGGCTGGCCAGATGGTTCACATTCCGGGGTGCACAAGATCCCTGGAGTGCAAGGCAATGTTTACATCGCCCGATCGGGTGAGACGAAACACATCAGCCATGTTCTTTACGTGGTTGCCGATGTATTGGCTGAGACACCCTTCTTTACTTCTCTTCACTTCACCTCATATAGTGATCATCACAGTGATTTATCGCAGAAGTTTTATACTAAGTCGCTGCCTATTAGGGAACGGCGATACATATGGATGGGACAACTTAAACATGAAGGGCCCATTAGGTAATTCATATACCTTATTACCTTCCCTTACGTACATGCTACATTAGACAGGAAATCTACACAGACTATGGTATTGTCTCACAGTCTCACAGTGCCGCCCTTCAATTCCTGGAGATCCTTGTTCCTGAACGGAACGTACTCTCTAGTTCCAGGCGGAAGCCAGTAAACGGTATCGACAGCTTCTCCCTTGCTCTTCGCTGACTCCTCGATCTTCTCGAGGTCGACCCCCTCGGACCTCAGCCGGCCTTTCTGGAGCTTCATTGTGCCAGTGTACTCCAGCTGGCGGACCACCCTCACGAATATGGGTACTGCGTACCGTGGAAGTTTAGTAAGGCAGTGCTCAGCCAGACCCTTAAAGTCGAACGAGACACCAGCTGTTTCCCCCGGGTTGGTGACCACACCTTCCATTGGGACGATAGCTGCACATCCAGCGCGTCCGTCGGACTTGGGAGCCAGCACGCCGTAGACGTTAGCTTCGGCGATCTGCGGGAATGCGCCTACCACGTCGCCGACTTCGTTGGTCGATACGTTCTCAGACTTCCATCGGAAAGTGTCACCCAGGCGATCGACGAAGAACAAGCGGCCATCGGCATCCAGGCGCATCAGATCGCCAGATCGAAACCACAAGTCGCCCTTCTCGAAGACGTCGGGCAGCCGCCGCTTCAGTGATGCCCCGTGGTTGGCGAAATATGTAGGCGTGCCTTGATCAGGGGCAGCTGGGTCCAGCCTGGCAATTGCTTCACCAGCCTCACCCGCCTTGGCCTCGATGGCGAACCCGTCCTGGCCGCGCACAACTTCCTGAGTGTCCGGGTCGATTATAATTCGCTTCTCCCTGTCGCCGTTCCACCAGTGCCATAGTTTTCCCCGTACACCAATCGCATTGCGTGAGAAATCACCTCGGTTCGGGTTCGTGCTGAAGCCCAAACCGTCTGTTGCCGCATACAATTCGTGGACGCACTCAATGTCGAACCTCTGTCGGAACTCTTCCCAAACATCTGGTCTCATGCCATTACCCCATGCAACCCTGACCTTGTGCCCCTTGTCGAGCTTCGAGGGTGGTGCGTTGACCAGGTAACGACACAGCTCGCCAACGTACTGGATGTGGGTGGCTTGGTGCTGGTGCACCTCAGGCCAGAAGGTCCTGTGTGAGAATTTGCGGGACAGAATAACTGTCGAGGCGCTTCCTATGCTTGGTATTACACAGAGGCCATGAGCCGATCCATGAAAGAGAGGGAGGCAGGTATACATCCTATCACCTGGCTTCAAGACCATTTCGTGTCGAGTACCTGTCATAGCCAATGATAGCTCACGCGCACGGCTCATAATCGTGCCTTTGGGCATGCCTGTCGTTCCGCTGGTGTAGATCAAGCAGGACACATCCAGCGGGCTGATGTTCTCCCGGCGCGACGCTGGCAACGGCTCGCGGTCTTGAAATGATGCGAGGAACTGGGGTGAGTAATATAACGTTTTGATCCCTGATTCATTCAGACCTGCCTCTATCGGTGAAACCAGGTGGCTGATATCACTGTCAGCGAGCAGATACCTGGCTTTGCTCAGTTCGACGGAATGCTGCAGCGACTGGGCTGTCAGGTTGCAGTTGATAAAAGCTGGTACAGCCCCGATGCCCTCCAGGGCGAGCCAAAGCAGTATCCACTCCGGTGAGTTGCCTCCATCGAGGGCCACCATCTCGCCTTTCTTGACCCCCAGGTCCTTAAGCAGCCAGTTGCCAATGGGCTGCAGGGCGTTGAAGAATTCCGTGTAGGTCCATTGCCTGTCTTCGAAGATCAAGAAAACCAGATCTCCCTCCTGGGTGCCTGCACGATCTTCCAGGATATGGTAGATCAGCAGCTTGTTCTGCTGAAACTTTTCCATGACCCTTGCCATCGTTGCTTCCAGTCTGGCCTTTCTGTTGCCATCGCGAAGGTCGTGGCGGATATGATAGCGAGCATCGAGGTAAGCTGCGAGCGCAGCCCCGCCGGCGGCAACTCCAGCAAGTGACACTATACAGGGGTATCAGTCCTGAATGCCTTTTTGATCAAGATCAGAGTCAACCTACAAGCCATCCTCGTTGAGTATGAGTGTTCGAGAATCCCAATGCAGGTTGGTGAGAGTAGCTCCACGAATGCAATGCACTGGAAATATTCGAGTCAGGGAACTCTCGCCAGGACGTGAAACCGAAGGAGAATCGTAGGCCAATCCCTTGCATACAACCGAGGTATGTAACTCAAGCACGTATGCACGCACCATTACCCCATTGCCCCGCAGGCTGTTTGGCAGGGGTAGTTTGTTAGCAAGATCCCCATTACGCCTTGATGCAGAATGCGGGGTGCGTACTGCAACTGTGCTGTCGGTGTAATCTTCTTCTAGGACCCTGGGGAATGTCTAATTGAAAGATGTTTGCCGTGTATTGTATCGCCGCGATGGCTGACTGTCGACGTTGAGAAGTTTCCAGAGCCGGACTATGAACCAGAACTCGCGATATCATTTTACACAGATCATGGCGTATTAGGTGGCTCAGCTGGCGGCCTTGAAACTACTATGGGATCGCCACATATACATGTCTAACTCGGACACCTGATTCTACCAGACGTGCCTATGTAGGCAGGCCTCGTGGAAGGTCTCGCTGATAGACAATGCCAACTGTCAATTTCTGATAACCACGAACATAGCAGGTTGTCAGCTAGAGGTGACAATAACGGATCAGATTCACCATGCATGAAGTCATTTGCTCATTTGACTGTATATTTGACTGTATAGAAAGGTGAGACACCATGCTATTGTTATATCTGGTGGAGGTGGCTGAGACTGGTTTGCGGGAACGACGAGTGGGACTGTTTGTGTCACCTGGTATGCAGCGCGCCAAGACATCCCCGAATCACACAGCCAATAGGATACACATCATCTACGTATACCTGAATCCTGTCAGGCTCAAATTCTGGAATAGAAAATAGCAAGATGCTCTGTAGAATATCCGCATCGTAAACCATGGTGGAGATGATGTTCACTTGTCGAACAAGATCCCATGGGTTGACGTCACGACGGCGCCAGTGTCGGAGTTTAGACGTGAAGTTAGCTAACGCCGGAGCATCGTAAGCTGAACATCAAATGCTCTCCCGGACCTCCGAATTGAACTTCTCCGGTATCATTCTGCACTGGAGTCGCCAAAATGTCAAGAATCTTCATAACTGGATCCTCAGATGGGCTTGGATTGCTATCTGCACAGGCGTTAGCCAGTCGTGGACACCAAGTCTTTCTGCATGCCCGGAATCCGAAACGGGCTGATGACGCGCGCAGCGCTTGTCCGCAAGCGACTGGTTGCTTTATTGGCGACTTGTCATCAACTGAAGAGACAAGGTCATTGGCCTCGCAGCTCAACGAGGCGGGCCCTTGGGATGCGATCATACACAACGCCGGGGTGATGAGAGGAGGCGAGAGCACCTTTGCAATAAACACATTAGCCCCTTACCTCTTGACTTGTCTCATCAGCCCGCCGCCAAGGAGATATGTTTTCCTAAGCAGGTGAGTTGCGATCTGAAGCTGACCGGTCATCGAGGTAAGGTCATGAAGTGGCTAATTGTCTGGCGATGCCTACAGCTCCATGCACCAGGGCGGCGATGTCACTCTAAGGGACATTGAACGATGCTCGTACAGTGACAGTAAGCTGCACAATGTCATGCTGGCTTTCTGGTTCTCCCGACATTTCGGTAGCCAGGTTGCATGCAACAGCATGGATCCCGGATGGGTCCCGACCAAGATGGGTGGCTCGGGTGCTCCCGATGACATCAATGCCGCCGTCGACACTTACGTGATGTTAGCTGAAGGGAGCCGTGCAGCAGAGGGTCAGACGGGAAAGTATTGGTATCAATGCCGGGAGCGGACTTTCAAGTCGGCGGCATCAGACAAGCAGAAACAGGACCAGCTCATTGGCCTTCTCCATGGCAAATCTGGTGTTCAACCGCCAGGCTGAGCCAAATAGCAACATCCAAATCCGACTGATTTCCAATAAAGTAATGGTCAATCTATGAATAAGAATATACGCTCTCAACTAGTGCAAGAGCAAGTTGTTGCACAGCCGTTCTCGGGGCCCTAACGAACGTAAGCAATGGCAAGGCGAGCCACCGCACTATAGACCGAGGAATTCCTCGACGCAAGTGACCGGATGCGTCCATTACAACTGTTTTCTCCAGCGCTGCTTCCAATTCCAAAACTTGCAACCATGGACGAGAAACTGTGGCGTCGAAATGCCTATATCTAGATGATGTATACCACTTGACTCACCTTACAAAACCCACTGCGGTGTCCATTGCGAATATTTCGAATGACAAACAAGGCATTCGTACATCTAGGGAGCAGACACGGTCTGGTTACACAGTTCTTGGCTTCATGCTTCAGTGGTCGGATAAGCGATCAAACATCAACTTCGAACGCATTCTGGAGCCATGCAACGAGGTCATATGATCTTCTAACGCCCACGCTAACTGCCGCTGCTGAGAATATTCGCTTTGCTTGAGCATTGACGTCAATTGGAGTCAATCATTCTCTGAAGGTTACGATCGTGCGGAGAAGGGCCAAGAGACCAACTCACCATTGATGCATGCTTGCGGCAACGGCAACAGGATCAGGCCGACCGTGCAAAGTGACCAGCGTGTGTCGAGATATAAGACCTCGCAGACCAACAGCAATATTCCACTTGATATCATTAATTTGTAACTATAATTAGTACGTCTAGATGCAACAAACATAAAACCTTGCAGTTACGTCAGGCCACTTAGGCGTCTGTCAGATCGTCATGTTTTGAATCCCGTTCCTGTGATTGCGATGCCACACTTTTGCCTGTTGGCAGTAAGCAAACCACTTTGGCCTGCCAGAAGGATTCATGCACGGCCCTCAAAGCCCTGCCGATCCGGAGCACACAGGATCTACAGATCCGCAGCTGTTGGGGTAGAGGGGTAGCTATTCATGCTTCATACATCATTGCGCGAAGGTATCACAGAAATGTCGGTGTAGGGGGTTTGATGGTGGGAAAAGTTGCAACCAGGTTGCGCAACCTGAGCCAGCACCAGTCGGGTTGGACATCTAGAGTCACCAAAGCAGTAAACTGTAACGTGTAATGTCAGTACCGCTGTTTCCTACGTGGCCAGAGGGTTCGAAGAGATACAATCAGCAATGCCTCATCTGGTTACTCGGTGCGTGTTGAGCTGGAGGCAGGCTCGGCAGCTCAGACGCTGACAGAAACTCCAAATAGACAGTCAAGGAGTCTCAGTGGCTGACGGATTGTCAGGAAGGCGGGGGATCGTATGTTCCTGGCTGGTTGCTGACTGACGTCAGAATCTGAGCCGCTTCCGCATCCCGTCGAACGCTGCGCCACTGCCAATCACCAACGCGCAGTGCAAATCCATAAGGGCTGTAGAGTGACGTCTGGATTTACCGAGTTCATGATCCAAGCCTAAAACACAGCGTGTAATCCAGCGTCAGCAAATGAAGCGGCATTTGCACTAATCTCCTGTTGTGCTGTTCCATCCGAGCCTTTGATATCTTATTTCTCGTTCGCAACTTTTCTTCCCGAAACCCCATTCACAGTCAACCTCACAATCGCCAAATCTACATAGTAAATCAGGCAGATTAATAAGTTTTTGGTCTCGCTACCATGGCAGGCATTCTTATAGGCGTCGGCGCCATGTTAGTGGTAAGTAACTCTAATGATCCCTTCCCCGCCTTTGTATTCGGCTCCACAAGTATTTCTACAATGTAAACTCTATTTCTTCAAGACAGTTCCACTCTAATTCTCTAATAGGGGAAAGCCCTGGTAACGCCTTACGAAAAATGTCGAGATTACGAACGCACAGTACGTCAAGTAGGGAATGACTTGGAAAATCTCAACATCGCCCTCGAAAACATCAGGCAACACGAACTAAAGGATTCTGCTCTCGATTTCCTACATAAGGCCGAGAGACAATATGAGCGCTCTGTTAAGGTGCTAAATCGATACTATCCAGAAACCCTCCCCACGACAAGACTGCTGGGCTACAGTATAGAAAACGGCAGGTACAAACACCTACTTGACATTGGAGTTGAGGCAAATCAGACAACAAGAACTCTTAACGACATACTCGGCGAGGAGCGCTGGAAGAAGATCATGTCCAAAGGAGAGGCCGTGAAAAACAAGCTGGACAAGGGCGGGGATGCTCTGGATAAGCTGCAAGGGGCGCTTGATTGCCTGCGTAAGGATATCACTGTCCTGAAGACCGCCAGAGACGTCGACGAGGCCGACGTGGCCATGCAACGTTTGTTAAAGTCATCCAGACGTGCACTCCAGGTCCAACAACGTACCGGACGTCCAAAGCATGAAATGGCTAAGTTGATAGAAAACCTCAACGACGCTTTCGAGTACCTCCTCAACACTAACAACAATCGAGAAAAAAAGAGGGCAATCAAGTACTTGGGTGGCGTCATTCAGGATGTCGATGGCGAATTGAACAACCTGGGTATACTCCAGTCCCCGAAACAACAAAGAGAGGTTCATTACAACCTGGCTCCTCATGTAGAGGATGTGACGACCAATCTGAAAGAGAAAGGTGGACATGAATTTGTAGCCCAGGGAATGAAGCGTAGCAGTAGCTAGTGATCTTGAATATACAAAAAAATCAGTTTCATCCGCTGAGGTAGCGTTGCACTGTGGCTAACTATACACGTATGTCGCATTTGTGCAATTTTTTAGGATGATAGGAGCCTCAACTAGCAAGGCTTATTTACAAGATAATTTAGATACGTTTAGTTATTTTCCTTCGCCTGTTATTGTATTCGAAGATGATAGTGCAAACCGGATTTGATAGCTAGTATTGACAATGATATGGACCAAGATCTTTGATGCGCATTCGCCCGCTTTAGACTCCTGGTTTCAGAGAACATCGTATTGATGGCATTCCCCCTAGCACCAATGTAACACTATAATCTGCGTATGGCGTTGATCTTATCCTCTTGTTCCCAGAATGCATATCCAGCCTGCAGCGGTCGTTTGCAGTTCCGTTTTCGTCGGGGTAAAGTGGGTGGCGAAGCGGAGTCCGGGCCAATAGTCGCTTCTTAAGAATCGATACTGTCTTACAAGCTGCATGTGTCCCCAGTGCGTACGCAGGGTAGAGCTTGGCTCATTGGATGGTGCCACTTTTCAATTGAAATCACTATGGATTGAATGGCCGGGTGGTTTAGATGATTGGGAACATATATTTCTGTGCTGGAACTTGGACGAAAACTCTTTCACACTCCCTGACGAAACACAACCCATCGTGCGCCAGGCAGCGGTGTTACGACCTGACGGAAGATGATTTCCATGGCGCCCTTCGCATCTACAGCAGATGTTTGTCTCATCACTGCTTTCGGCCTTGTTGCATGGTATTTGATCTCGGCTTCGGCCGCCTGGTTCAGATTACGACATGTGCCTGGGCCTCTTCTGGCCAAGTTTTCGTACCTATGGTTGGGTCAAGTCGCACAAGGCGCAAAGCAGTATTATGTTCACCGCGACCTCTGCAGGAAATACGGGCCGTTGGTCAGAGTGGGCCCAAATGAGTTGACCACAGATGATCCGGAAGTCCTAAGAAGGATCGCAGCCACCAGGAGCTCGTACGGGAAGGACTCATGGTATCAAGGGGCCAGATTCAATCCCTACCACGAGGCCATGTTCTCCACCTTGGATGTCCGAGCGCACGACGCGTTGAAGTCGAAGATGGGCGGCGTCTATGGAGGTAGTGAAGCGCCCCTCCTGGAAGCCGGTGTTGACATGCAGGTACGGAGCTTGGTAGAGCTCATCCAGAAGAACTATATTTCTGCCAGCGCTGGCGATCGTAGCAAGCTCATGGACTTTGCCCCGCTGACCTGCTATTTCACTATGGATGTCATCACCAAAGTAGCGTTCGGTCAAGAGTTCGGGTATCTCAAATCTAACGAAGATCTTTACGACTTCCTTCGCGGCGTCCGAGATAACTGGCCGAAGCTTGCCATGTCCGTGGATGTCCCCAGCATCCGTAATGTTTTGTTGTCGCCGTTGTTCTTGAAGTTCTTCGGCCCAAAGGTTTCAGACAAACAGGGCATGGGGAAACTCATGGGGTAAGTGGCAAGGATATCAGAAATTATTGTTTTACTAAGGCGGTATGGTAGAGTTGCAAAAACCGTGGTAGATACAAGATTTGGGCCTGACAAAACTACACATAAAGATCTTCTTGTAAGCCACGCCGGGAATCTTGCGGTACTGTTGCTGACTGATTCCAGGGCTCTTGGATCAGCAAAGGACTAGACCAAGACCGATGCGAAACTGAAGGTCTCTTCATGGTCATTGCTGGATCCGATACCACAGCTTCTGCTATACGCATAACAATGCTCTACCTAATGACTTGTCCCAACGTTTACCAAAAGCTCAAGACAGAAATCAACGCTGCCTGGGATAGAGGTGGCATATCGAGCCCCATTTCGTACGAGGAAGCGAAGAAGCTGCCATATCTACAGGTTTAGTACCTCTGCAGACACCTTCGTGGATGGATTCAGCTGACTCCGGTACAGGCTGTAGTGTATGAAGGCCTCCGAATGCGCCCACCTGCACCTGGACTATACCCAAAAACAGTGCCTCCCGAGGGCGACGTCATCCACGGGAAATTCATCCCGGGCGGTACGGCTATCGGAATGAACACGGCTTCTCTGTTCTCATCGATCACACACTTCGGCAACGACGCAGACGTTTTCCGACCGGAACGGTTTACCGAGGCGACAGAGGCGCAAAGAACCGAGATGGAGAGACTCGTCGAGCTTGGTTTCGGTTACGGCCGGTTCATGTGCGCTGGGAAAGCAGTCGCTCTGATGGAACTGTACAAGGTGTTCTTCGAGGTGAGTAAACAGCGGCTAGACTCTGCTTTGTTTCTGACGGTCTGCCAAGCTATTACGTCTTTTCGACTTCCAAATAGCCAATCCCACTACACCATGGGAATCCCGGAGTTACAGCGTGTTTGTCGAAGAGAACATGTGGGTCAAAGTAACCAAATCCTCCAAAGTTTGAACATTGTGAATTCATGGTTGCTTGATCTTTGTTCGCAAAAGTTCATCGTTCATTAGCATCATGCCTTGAAGAGGGTGTATTTCAAATGCCTGAATCAAAGTGCGTCTATGACGCTAAGTTATTCTATCTCTTCAAATAACCATCTTATGGTATCACCACAGCCCAGACATCAAGGTAATGTGCTCTTGTATAATGCCGAAAACTTGTGGTAGGCTTCGATACCATGCTTGCGTGACCCCTGTCAATCGCTTGAAACTTGCAAGGATTCAAGTTGTATGACTTGATTGTCCACACCTAAGGGCAGAAGTTTCCATCACGCATGAATCTAGCGTGAAAGAAGTGCGTTTATAGTCATGCATGAACAGGACCGGATGTCCTGGGTCAATCCGTTGGCACCTGATCCAATTGGAAAGCAATTCCACTTGTCACAATCGAGCTTCTCGAGCCATAGGCTTAGTCCGTGTCAAAGGCGTGGTGCCATCAGGCCATAGCGAATGCTCAAACATAATGCGGTGGTCGATATCATGGCCGTGCACGAAGCGTTGGGCAAAGTATTGCACAATTGGCTTGATCCTTTCGTCGGCCGTGCATATCCTGGCCTCCATGCATGGGAAGAAGTCCTTTGCGATCCCGCACACGGCCAGCGTATCCCCGGATCCTTCGTACTCGAATGGTTTTGAGCCCGCCATGGCGTAGAAGGGCCAGCCCATCATGTTGAAGATCCGCCGGAGGTCTTTATCGACTAAGGCGATGTAGTGCGTTACTCCTTCGTAGTGGCCCCTGAGGTGTCCCCCGCGATATAACATGACGACGATGTGGTGCTCATCCCTCCCTCGATATTGCTCTGGTATAGCAATAGTGCCGATATCCCACACAGTTTCAAGGTTGCTGATCCCGTAATATTTCTTGAAATCCTCTTCCGTCACTCCGGCAAACTGCTGAGCCTCCTGAAGAGATAGGAGCCCGGCGGCCGAGTGCCTCATTATGCGCATGCAGCCGACTGGGCGGCGTATTGACTGGTCCATTACAACATAGAAGGCGCTGACGCTCTCGTGGCTGCCGTATATGCGCCTCATGTCCGCATCGGTGTTAGCAAACTTCTCCTCGAAGACTTGGCGTTCTATGTGGCGTCCCAGGTTGGATAATTCATCGTGACCTTCCAGCCTATACAGGACAAGCGCATCTCTGGTTCTGGGAGGTTGTTCGGACAATAGCCTAACTGACAGAGCGTCCAGCTCTGGGTCGCTAAGTGTATACTTGATGACAGGTGCAACGGCAAGCTGCGCGGCGCTCTTGGTGGGTGGCGCAGAACTGAAGTCTCTCGCGGTGATCTCAGTGGTCTGGAAGAAGCTGCGGGTGAAGTCGACGACTAGCTTCGGGTCAAATTGCTTGCACGTGTAGATGTCAACGCTGAAGAAGAGCGATGGCTGTTCCCACGCGTAGAAGTGCGCGCCACTTGTCTCCCAATGTATCCAGCCCGCCCAACCGTAGAGGTCGCTCTTGTGGGTGACTGGCTCTATCAGGCTCCTCATGGCCGTGATGTCCGATAGCTGTGACAAGTAGCGCCTGATAGCGCCATCACTAATAGGCTTAGCCGGGTAGCCTTCGACAACTAGCCGTTGCCGCAAGATCGACGGGGCTAGATCTGTATAGTTGGGCAGCGTCATGGTCGATTCTCGTGGAGAACGAGCAGTTCGCAGAGGTTTGAGAGACGCGCCGGAAGGGCGCCCCTCAGGTGGGCGCCGCCATAGAAAAAGGGTTCGCAACTGCAGGGTTCTATGGCAAGAAGCTTCTGACTGCTGGCTGTCAGACCGGGGTAAAGGGCGCTTGAGTTGGCACCAACTGATGTTGGTGCATTAGCTGAGCCTGGCCACAGCGTGTTGGTAGTATTGGTTCAGGGGTCTGCTCAGCTGGAACAGGGGCCTCTCGAGGTTGGCATTGAAAAATCTAGCCCTATACGCTTAGTCTTCACCAACTAGGATAATCTCAATCTTAGCGGGAGCCACCAGGCTCTCATGGAGTACGCTATGTGTATAGGCTATATAGTCATGCTCTAACCGAATACTCGGGTCCGGGTACCTGCTGCTGCACAACCCTCCTGGCAATGTTTGGGTTCTTAAAGATTTTGATCGCGGGAGCGCCTCCCTACATACCCATTGTGCACGTTGTGGCAGCACACCAACAGCATCCATGCAAGTGATTACCGAAACTCTAAGCAACCCCCCTGCCGGGCGTCCTTGGCTAACGGAAGCTCATTGGCTGAAAAGCCCGACCATTTCTCCGCTCATTTGCGGCTGAACGGCCTCTCGTGCGTCTTTGTACCCGTCACTCGATCGCCCGGGTAAGCATTTCAAACCAAACCATATGATGGGCACTGGGTTCGTCCGTTTTCGCCGATCGCGTTGTAAGACAGACGCCTCAAGACGCCTTGTGGGAGGCAGGCTGCTAAGTATAGAACCCGTTGCCGACAACCGCAATCGTTAGCGCCTGGGCTGTAGCCTTGTGACAGCGTCCCCCGGTACAGAATATACCAGGTTCAAGTGGTTCAAATTTGAACCAGAGCCGTGTGTTAGCAGATCGACGTCATCCCGGCGAAACTCGTATATCTGCCTTGCTACACACCACGTCTCTTTCTAGCCCTGATCTGAAGAGTCACCTAAAAACTTTAGGCGTTGGCATGGAAAAGTGCGCCATGTGATTGTGAAAAAAAAGAAGTCATTTGGCTCTAGACGCGACTTTGCACTTATTCAATGGGCAAGCCGCGCTACAGGCTATCTACAATAGAATCCCTTCCGAACGGGGAGCAGATTTTCTCGAGACCGTCACCAAACAGCCCTGTATAGTTGTGCCATCAAATCTGGCCATGGAGTTCCAAGGCTATTATTACTGGATGGCGGCCACCTATGCACGTAACTTCTGTGGGCCAAAGGTAGGATGGAAAGTAACGCTATGACTTCGGGCATTGTCATTCCGCGAGTTGGTGACAAGGAGACAACCGCATTAAGAAGGTGCTTTCGCCCACCTGCTATCCAGTCTCGGCTGGCCAAGCTGCAAGTAGGCGTGTAAGCACTCGTAAATTGGCTACCAAAAAGACAGAGTCAGGGGGGAAGTAGCACTGAAGATTGAATCCTGAATATTGGTTCATGCCTTGTTAATTTGCTCAGGTCCTCATCTACGAAGGCAAGCTAATTGACACGCACCGCGTGTCAGAGTATCAGGGCTCATACATTCAGCAACATAAACATGAAGGGCTGAAAGCGCCGTTCGGTCGCAGAGAATCTTGTGAGAGCGACATAGCTACAGAGAGGCGATATGACAAGACAAGCCAGTGGATAGGATTATTCGGGGGGGAGGGGGGGAGAGGGGGGGAAGCCAACAGCTATAAGTCACGACAATCAACTGCAATCATCGGTGGAGAGAGATACGGATGTATGCTGGAGGTGCTGATCGACGTGGTGAAAGCTCAAGATCTACAATTGATCAGGTACAGCATCCTTCAGTTCATTAGTATGGCTGCTTCGTGAGTCTAGTCACCCTGATCCTTTCTCTTTATGGCTTGCGGGTGTTCACATGTCCATCCTGTCCTGGCTTCCACGCAGGTCCATCTCCGCACTGTATCTTTCCCCCACCGCAGTACCATCGGATTGAAACGAGCATCGTGTGGTTGAGTACGGCCGCTTCGTTCAGCCCCGAGGCACCATAGAGTCACCACACACACATGAACGTGATCTGTACAGTTTCATTCCGCTTCAATTCAACCTGCCTAGCCTAGCGTACAAGTACAGAGAGTCCGTCCGTTGAACTTTCATCGCCATGTCAACTGAACAGCGGAAATGCTTTCCAGCCCCGTCTATAGCCGCGCCATACTGTAATTACCAACGAAAAAAATCGAGTTTGTTATGTATGAGTGTTGTGTGTGTGTGGAGGAGCTCTACTATGCTCTGGGCAACACAGATTCTAGACTGGTTGAGTCCGAACAATGCCCCACGAGTTTATTGCTGGCATATATTAAAACAGCCGGCGATGTAGTAAACGGGTGGGCGGTAGTAGTACAACCTCGACGTCTACTTTTCTCTCCCATGGCAGCTCATGCGGGCTCCATTCCGTTTTTCAGGCGGGAATAAGGGGCCTTACACCTTCAGCATCTTGGCGGCGTAGTCCTCAATGAGCTTCTCAGTGGGGAAGCTCATGACCTCCAGACCCTGAGCGTAAGGGGTAGGGACCTCAGCACCAGTGACACGCTGGGCGGGAGCATCAAGGTAGTCGAAGGCGTACTCCATGGACAGAGCCAGGATCTCAGCACCGACACCGAAGGCGGGGAAGCCAGACTCGACGGACAGGAGTCTGCCGGTCTTCTTGACACTCTTGACGATGGCCTCGACATCGAGGGGCTTGATGGATCGCAGGTTGATGACCTCGGCCTCGACGCCGTAGTTCTTCTTGAGGTTCTCGGCAGCGACGAGGGACTGGCCGACGCAGCGGGAGAGGGTGACGATGGTCAGGTCCTTGCCCTGGCGCTCGACCTTGGCCTTGCCGAAGGGGAGGACGAAGTCGTCCCTCTGGGCAGCCTCGGACATGGGGAAGGACTGGCCGTACATGAGCTCGTTCTCGAGGACGACGACGGGGTTGGGGTCGCGGATGGCGGCCTTGAGCAGACCCTTGGCGTCTTCGGCAGACCAGGGGGTGACGACCTTGAGGCCGGGTATGGAGCCGTACCAGGCGCTGTAGTCCTGGGAGTGCTGGGCGGCGACACCGGCGGCGAAACCGTTGGGGCCACGGAAGGTGATGTTGCAGGGCTGGATGCCGCCGGACATGTAGAGGGTCTTGGCGGCCGAGTTGACGATCTGGTCAATGGCCTGCATGGCGAAGTTGAAGGTCATGAACTCGCAGACGGGGTGCAGGCCGCTCAGGGCGGCGCCGATGGCCAGACCGGCGAAACCGGACTCGGTGATGGGGGTGTCGATGACACGGCGGTCGCCGAAGCGGTCCAGCAGGCCCTTGGTGACCTTGTAGGCGCCATTGTACTGGGCGACCTCCTCGCCGAGCACGAAGACCTTGTCGTTGGCCTCGAGCTCCTCGGCGAGGGCCTCGTTGAGGGCCTCACGGACTGTGTACTCCTTGACGCCCTTGGACTCGGCGTACGTCCTTCTCTGGAGGGCGAATGTGGAGGTGGCGCGGGGGACGGCGCGGATGGACGAGGCGGAGAAGGCGGTGGCCCGCGAGGCACAGGCAGCTGCGCGGGCAGCCGGTCGGAGGTATCGCGACATGGTGGGAGGGTCTGCTGGTGGACGGAAGGAAAGGGGAGCTCGTGGCAACTGTCTGTACGCGAGGAGAGGCTGTCAGTACGGGGGTTGGAGGTCCGCGCAGATTGGTGGGAAATGAAGACGGCGGCCAGGCTGGAGAGCGACGCCGATGCAATGGTCGCGAGAGCGAGAGGCAGAGCAGGAAGGAGGCGGAGGGGAGCTGCTTACACACGAGGACGACGGCGGCGACGGCGACGGCGACACAGGAACAGACACAAGACACGGAGCTCTTCCCAAGGTTTTGGTGGAGGGAATTTTTAGCTGGCAGCTTTTTGCTGATGCCAATCTCTCAACTTTTTCGGAGGGATTAGGAGCGCTGGGCCGCCCACTGGCCAGCAAGCGCCAGGTGGACCGCCCACTGGAAACGGCCTGCATTGGTGATTGTTGGGCCTGGCTGGAGCCGCTAGCCCCCACGAGGCCTAGCGCCGCGTGGTTATCGGTGCTATTTGCGCCCCGGGACGCATTTCCAGCGGGCCCAGAGGCCACCAGCCCAGCCAGCCCAGCCAGCGACACCTCTCCCGCCCTGCAGGCCCGACCCCTGCCCGCTTTTGGGTGCAAGGAGCTGTTGGGGGATCACCGTGGCCGGAGCCAGCGAGGAGCAGAGGGAAAAAAATATCATAGGGCGAACGGGGAGCCAGGGGTGCCAAGGAATACCTACAAATCGAGCTCTGATGGCTACCGCAGTATTGCACGTATGTATATGTCTCTATGTGCTTGAGTAGATACAGAGAATGATGATCTAGCTCGTTGTATCATGCGTACTGTGCCCAGCTATGGTAGTTGCTGCTGCTACTAGGACTTCACTCCAGGAACGAGTGGGCAAAGCTCCTGACCGACCCGTTTTTTACTTATCTGTATCTGAGCCCCTGAAGGTAATGTAGCGTGTCTCACACTCACTCACCCAACGTTGCGCGCGCCATGGCGACCGACTGACTGACTGGCAACCAACAGGTGGACTGCAAAATGCCGCACATGCACGACCATCAGGCACTCGCTATGCCATACTCATCATGTATATCTTGCATATTGTATAAACCAAAACATTGGATTGCCTCTCTTTCCCTAGTCTATTAACACTATGCCGTGTCTAATCCCAATCCCTCCGGCAAGTGATACTGCAATTATGATACAGAGAATCCAAGAGCCACACAGCGGGCGCCGCAACGGGCTGCCCGCGGCCCTCTATTAAAGATAATACCTGTGTTTCACATGCGGAGGCCATCATCTCGTTCACGTCACGTCATGGCGGACAGGCTCATCCGCCTGATTGTCCGTTTCTTCTTCTCCCACCGCCGCGCGCGCTCCTTGTCGGCCGTGAGCCCTTCGCTAGCCTATTTCTCGGGCTTCTTGCCGACCATCAGGTACATGGGCGTGAAGAGCTTCTCCGCACCGCCGGCCACCAGGCAGTCTGCCGCCAGTGCCAGGCTGTCGGCCGTCTTCTTGGTGCCCGCGGGCGCCAGTCTCAGCATCTCCAGCGCTCCGGCGAAGTTGTGCGCGGCCCAGCGTCCCCACTTGGTCATTCTCGCTATCGTGAACGTGTCAAAGACCGTCTGCATGTACTTCCACTCGCCGGCGAGCGGCCAGTACCAGGGGAAGGGGTCGGGGCGGTCTGCGAGGTCCTCGTGGTGCAGCAGCTCGAAGCCGGCCGTCTCCATGGCCTTCAGGCCCTCCGAGACGCGGACCATGTTGGAGATACCGTCGCCCTGCTCGATTCCGAGACGAATCTCGCGGTGGTGCAGGTTGTCGTTGTCGTACTCGTCGGTCATGAGCCACTCGTAGACACCAAAGACACCGCCGGGCTTCAGCACACGGCAGATTTCGCTGTAGACACCCGAGAGCTCAGGGGCGTGGACCGTGGCCTCAATGGCGTAGACGGCGTCGAAGCTGTTGTCGGGGAAGTCCATCTGCATGAAGTCGCCCTTGACAAAGGCCAGCTGGTCGGCCATGCCCTCCTTCTTGGCGTAGTGGGTGGCGCGCTGGATCTGGTAGTCGTTGTTGTTCAGGCCGGTGACGTGGCAGCCGGTGAACTTGGCGATCTCGCGCGCAGGCCCACCGACACCGCAGCCGACATCGAGCACCTTCATGCCCTCCTTGATCCCGATCTGGTGGGCGAGGTAGTGCTCGTGGCGGGCAATGGCCTGGTAGAAGGGCTCGCCGATCGAGTAACGGCAGAAGTGGAACGACTGACCCCAGCCGTACTCGTAGATGTCGGTTGCCAGGTTGTAGTAATGTCTGGTCAGGGTGGCATACTCGGCGATACGTTTCTGCGTGCGCAAGTGTGTCAGCGCCATGCCCTCATGCTCCGGCATCTACTGCGTAGAGTAACGGGTTTCCGTGGGGGATACATACCTGGCGAGTCTCCTCAGTCTCGTCCTTAGCAGCCTGGTTGTCCCAGTGCTTGAAATACTCGTCGACGGCAGCCTTCTTGGCGTCGGAGCCCTTGCTGAACATGGCACGGATACCACCGGCGGCGGTGGCAGACTCGCCGTGCATGGCCTTGTTGAAGGCGGCATCGCGAGCCCTGTCCTGCTTCTCGAGCGCGGCTTTGTTGGCGGCCATGTTGAATGTGGGAAAAGGGGGGGGGGTTTGGCCTAGGCGCTCCTGGGGGACGATGTCTGAAGATGTCGGTGGGGTGGGATGCACAACGACGAGCGTCAGAAGATGGAGAGGGAAGAGTGCTTAAGTATGGGCGAGCCCGGGGGAAGGGGATCAAGGTTCGAGATCGAATGCGATGCACCACGAAGCAGCAAATCGTATTCGGGAACCGTCACAGGAGAACAAGAGAGCAGACTCGCAAAGGGGGTTCGTGACCGTGTCGAGGAGCGCGGCCAGTCGAAGAAAAGGGACCGCCCGACCTGGGGAAATTATTGCGGGTCCGCCTTCGCAACTTGCCGCTTCCCAGGGCCCAGGGCCCAGGTTTGCCAGGCACAGGCACAAGGCACATGCAGAATTTCTGAGTGAACGGTCACTACGTAGAACTCTCTCCTTTCTGGCAGGGGACGCTTTCTGCCAGGCCCCCAGGACGAACAGGGCTAGAACGACGGCTCTGCATCGTCCTGATTGGCCAATGGTCCAGATGGTCCTGCTGGTCGTGCGCGACATGCGGTTAGACCCTGCCAAGCCCGCGGGCGGTGACAGGGATTCAGCAGAACTGCTCTGTCTGTCCGTCTGTGCAGCGTCCAGAGCGTGAATCCGAATACGAACGCGACAGCCACATCTTTCCAGCTCCGACGGGCGGGAACTTTGGCCCAAGGTTCTAAGTCGGTCGAGTTGGCTGACTGTGGCTGAGGCATTGAGGCGTAACTCAAGTTCATATCTTGACAGCTTCATATTCAGTTAACTGGCCATCAAAGGCGACATTGGCGGACTAGTGCAATTCCTTTTCGCTGCTGGATATCCTGGCCTGCTGCTTTCGTGATTGCGAAACCGTGTTCGGTCAAGGGGCTTGGAAACAACTGTCAACAGACAATACTTACCTTGTCTTGCCCAACCCAACGTACATACAACAGTGCCCACATTGCTGAAACCCTGCCTACTGGTACGCTCTGCCACACGATCATGCACCTCCTACACACGCACTATGCGCACCCTTCAATCCCGAAAACGAGTCCCACTCACGAGTCACACTGGTCGGTTGCAAAGGTCTGCACACAAGCGACTGCACGCCTTGTTGGATTACCAAGACACTAAACGTAGTCTGTTATGGAGTTATCGATTCAAAGGAGCGTTGTTCTCCCACATGGCGCCGAGCTATGCTATCTCAGAATGCTTCCTTCAACATGGGCTATGATCCCACGAGAGATCCATCCCAGTCCCATGCCGATACGGTGATACCCAACCCTGGCCAGTCTCTAGCCAGTCCACACCTTTGGTCCTGGGCACGTGTAAGTGGTTGCCTTGCCCTGATAGATATCAACCTGTACAGAAGTCAGCACGCAGCCTTTTCAAAACCCGTAAATCACAACTGGGAAACCTACGGTCACGCCTGGGTCGCTCTGTGATGCATAGCCGGGGATCTTGGTGAGGAACTCGCCGCCGGGCACCGCCGAGCCGGACCCGGTGACCTCGATCTGGGCGCACTCCGGGTAGAACTGGGGCGTGTTGGCCTGGTGCAGGGCCAGCAGCTCGTGGCGGATCAGATACTTGCCGGGCTTGAGGCTCGTGGGGATCTTGCTCGACCACTTGAGGTTCTTGTACACGATGGCCGTGCCCCAGTTGTTGCTGTTCAGCACGCCGCCCCACGCGCCCATCTCGTCGATCTTGAACCAGCCCTTGCCCCGGCCGTCGCACGCCCCAAAATCGCCCGAGCACGCGTACATCCACACCATGACCGGCCCCTGCTGGTGCGTCCACTGCTTCCAGACCGCCGTGATGTTCTCGCCCGCCGCGATCTGCGCCGAGATGGGCGCCGACGTCCCGCCGTTGCAGAGCATCTTGCCGTCAGTCACCGTCATGATCGGGTTGTAGTCGGGCCATTGACGCTGGATGATCTGGGCCCCGGCCACGGGCGAGAAGCCTTGGTAGCCCGGGTATTCCTTGCCGCCGATGATGTAGCTGGTCACCGCACCGTGGGCAGCCACGAGAGGCGCCGCTAGAAGGAGAGGGAGGGCGAATAGCATACTGTTCGTCGTCTGGGTACTAGATTGCAAAGAGAGGGGAATGGCTGAGAACAAGTCAAGGTGAGGCTCAAGTGAGTGTGTCTTGGCAGTGACCTATTTTACCATGCATAGGCTGGTGGACTAGACACAGCACTTCTTAAGAGGCACGATGGGCGTTTATATCTAGCAATGGCTGACAACCAGGGGGGGGGATAGTGTGACCCTTCCTTCACATATCCCTCATTGAAATCCATGAGCCCTCCGGCATTTTTCATTGGCTAGCAGCGCTGGCCCGGTGCACAAGGACATAGACCTCGATATTGGTCTGGACTGTCCGCGTCTAGTACATAGCACGCGGGATCGTGGCCGCAAGGCATCAGTGCCGACCTTACGGACAAAGCAACCCTACGAGGACGGAGGGCGGACCGATAATACTCTTGGCATTATTTCGTAGGTTGCTTGGCCTAGGATAGATTGCTGCGGGATCGCTATCGACTCTATCTCGGCCAAACTAGAGAGCATGTTTCCTGGGCAGAGAAATGAGTCTTCTGCAGGTGATACAATGACTTGCTGCCGATTGGGTGCAGGCCATATGAAAATCCCCCTGCACCCTATATGCCTTCCCCACAGCATTCGATGCCGGTAGTGTGGAGTCCGGGGAAACCATACCTTGTTCATATTGATTGGCTGTTCGCAAAAGGATGGCGGTGTCAGTCGTATGTAGAGTAATACAGCGGCAGGTGTTATGCGTGTACAGCATTCGGTCATGGCCACTTTGGGCCCGCCTGACTCTTACAGGCTATATGGATAAATCCAAACAAGGACCGGACCCTGCCGCGTTAAGAAAGGAAAGAGATGGAATTGAACTGAACTGAACTAATCCTCGGTACCACGTTTTATTTCATGCTTAATGAGATCATCGTGCTCAAAAATGCAGAGTGCGAGCTACCAGTACTAGAATTATTTACCAGACTTATTAGTCAGCAAGCATAGTCGAATGGGCGCAATTGCTGCAGCAAGGTTCAAGCATTGTTCCAGCATTCTGTTCTGACGCCGAGTAGTTTTAAAGATACCCCTTTGCTCTTCGATAGAACTGATGTGTTCTATAATGGGGATTACGGGAGTTTCTTGCGACTTTCTAATTACACTGCATGCCAGAGATCGGTATCACTCGTATATGTACTGAGTCTCTGGTGGCTGTCAAGTCAACTCTAGTTTCATACAGTATTGTAATTGCTATGTTCCAGACCAATATTATCACTCAGGTAGCGGACGCCATGAAAATTTGACTAGCCAGCCTTACTAGGTAGCTGCACACCTGATTTGTCGATGCTAGCACACTGCACTGTACAAGTAGGACGGCCCCACATGGACCTGCCAAACTGGCCTCGAAATATTGTTTCCAATACATCATGCTGTAGATAAACACCCACGGGGAGAATTTTATTGCAAAATAGTGTCAATAAAGAAGTAAACTACTATTGGAGGGGCGTGGTTCCGAAGGAACTGTAAAGTGGCTTAAGTCAACCTACTGCTTGCTTTTAACAGTCGCTACTAAATGGGAGAGGGTGCTTGGATAAAAGACTTGCGTCAAACTTCATAGAAGCTAAATGTTGTTTCTTGCTCAGTAGTTTTCGGTCTTAGTTCTGGTCTTTAGTTTGTAGACAGGTGGGTTGTCCAGAGCACTGAAACAAAACAAGGAGAACAGGTCCAATGGCCTGAACTAGTTGAGATCTGGGATACGTTTCAAATTTTAACATCATTCAGATGCTATCTGGTTGGAGGGTATGACGTGAGCCATCAGGCCCTTTGGTTTCGGTATTTGATTCCTTGCTAATCGTACAGATTATCAAATCTAATTGTTACATGAGCGGAAACACTTATCTGCGCCTCCGTCCGCCGCTGTGCCCATTGTGTTTTCCACTCTTTGCACCATTTCGGGAGCTTTGAGGGAAGAAATTGACGCGGTTCATGTTCACGCGAGGTAGGAGCAGCTCTCCGGTACTGCTCCATTGCGCCACTGTGGACTGGAGCTCAGGAGGAATGCCCACGCTTGGTTCCCACGAAAGTCGGAGTGCCAATGCGTGAGCCTGATTGATTGTCCATCGAGAGTACCCCTTCTCGACACTCTCATCCAGAGTGCGTCGAAGAAAGGATGTGAAGCTGACGGCTGACGGGACCGCGGGGAATCCCATCTCGCGCATGAACTGCGTGAAGTCGTTCACACTGTGAAGCCGACGAACCTCGGCTGCAACATGGCTTGCAGCCCCGGGTGGAGGGCCGCCATGTCTATTGAACAGCTGCTCACGGACTTCGGTGAGCGGGATGTTGTTTGGTCGAGCGGTACGCCGGAACAGCTCTGAGAACATGAGAAGCCTGTAAGAGGTGCGAGAAGCTCTGAAGCTGGTATCAAGACGGTGTGCGGACACAGCGTCTGGCTCCTTGTACGCAAGCTCAGGGTGGTCCTTCAGTAGCCACACAACGTTACGAGTAACGGCCTCTGTGACTATGGCTTTCATCAACTCGGGCGTGATATTGACATCGCTAATGAGCAGAGCGACAAGAAGATGTCCAAGATTCGGTACATCGGTCTTTGACCGTTTTCCTCGCTCAAAGTTGGTCAGGAGCCTGTTCGCGTGCTGGACAATGCTTCCATCCTCCGTGGCCAGACACACAAGAAGGTGGAAAAGGTGAAAGTAGGACTCGATCGCCTTGTCTGATGCGTGCTTCAGAGTGCCTGTGGAGGCATAATGATATCTTCGATTAATCTTGACGTTGTTGAGCTTGACAACAATGTCTGTCATGAACTGATAGAGCACTTGGGCATCTGTGGGCTGTTGGTATTTGATGCATGAGGATGACTTCAGCTTCTGTATACTCTCGTGAGCATCCTGCCTGACTCGATGCCAATGGTTGCGTGAGATGGGGAGCGGAAGCCACCAATCAAAACGAATGTGATGAATCGAATAGCGCACGTTCAGCTCCGCAAAGGCCTCTCGCGACAAGAAGTCAAACTCAGAGGCGAGATCGCTTCCAGAGGAGACGCCAACACCAAGGTTGACCTCATGGTAGCTCTTTTTGAGAGTGAAGCACTGCATCTCTCTTTGGCGTATAACGTCGAATTGCGTGATAATTTGGCTGACGCGAGGCCATGCCCGAGCAAGATTGATAAGATCTTCAAATTCGGTGAGTTGTTCCAGGATTTGCAAGATGATCTCGTTCGGAGAACTCCTGATGTAGCAATGAGTCCCACGATCACAACTTGGACTGGCATTGGACTGGCTGCTTCCAGAAGTGAGGCTAGCGTTCCGTCGCCGCCGCCGGCTTCTGGACTTTGAAGGACTGACGTAGACAGCACCAGGCACCTCTCTTCTCCCCAAAGGCGGTTGGACTTGCTGGCCAAATTGACATGCTTTACACGTAAACATGCCTCTGGAGGACTCATGTGCTCTGGCAAAGGACCGATATTCATCAATGTTGACCGCTGCACCACCGTGATCCTGCTCAATGAAGTCACTGCCAAAGAAACTTAGCATCTGAATTGCAATGGCCTTGAGCGTATATGCCGGTGTATATCCATCGTCTGTGTTCAGTATTGTCGCGCAGATGTAGCTCCCGAACACGTTTGGATGGACAACACTGGAGTCCATCCTGATGACTGGTGCCGTCAAGGGATAGGTGGGAGGACACTGAACCGAAAGATGCATCGGCTGCCATGCCGGAGGTGAGATAACCAGACAGAGGCGAGTGAGATCGTCATCGTGTACGTGTAGCGTAATGTTAGGATATGGCTTGCTACACAACTCCTCAATGTCCTGCAGTAGTCGCTGACGGAGACGAGGGTTTGTCGAGGACATCGTGCTCAAGGAGTCTGTTACGATATGAGGCGTTGGATTTCGAGAAGTTGGCCATCAAGTTGCGGCTGTCCCTTCTCTCCTGGAGTCTATGTCGAACGCGCAGTATCAAACCATAGGGAAGGGAAATGATTGTGGCCTATGGTCGTCAGTTAAGCACGGGCGGAATGTCCCCAACCTTTGGCAAAACCTCTGGCTCAAATGGTTGAGCTGACCTGTTCCAAGCCAGAATGGAATAAAGAAAAAAATTTGGGCAAACAATTACAAGTCGCTCTACTGTTATATACTCGAAGTATCTGTGTTTGTAGTTGTTGCCTTGTCAAACGTCTAAGTCCCAGGTTCCAACCTTTCAGACCGGCGAAGGGGTTCGGTACCTGCTGATTGGCTGGAATTGGCTGGAAGCCCGTTTGACTCATCTGACCGAACGAACGCGCCCAAATTTCAGTCCGGCAAGCCTCTTTTGTGCATGGGTCAATAGGCAGTGCACTGACTGTCTTGCAAATCTTGTCTAGCGGAGTCAACAAGACCCTCATTGACCGTGATGCCCCGCGATTGGCAGTGATGCAGCCTTCACCAGCATTTGACATTGCCTTTCAACTTTCAAGTTACCCTTCGCGGATCTGATTTCGCAGAACGGCGGTTTTGATTGGGCGCATATTTCGCGCTAGTGATATCAGCATTCAGCACCCGCTCATCTACCTGCCTAAGCTGTCTTCTAACGCCCAGCGACCGCAGATAGGGGATGTGGAGCACAGGCGGTAGAGCAGTAGACAAGGGTATTTACCAAGTCTTTTCAAAGTGAGAATCGCTCCTCCATGATACACTTAGCACAAACCAGAACCGCTTCTCAAGACTGTCACCGAATCGGCCTTTATCCATTTCCCGATTCGGACTCTTCTATCTTTTATTTCCCGTCCAATGATAGTCTTCACGTTTTCCGGTCCAAGTTTTCTGACGCTGCTTCCGCCTCTTGTTTCCATAGCACTTGAAGGTTGGGCCGTTTTTCCAGAAGGGCTCGAAGATCGAGAGCCCGGTCTATCTGGCCAAGGCCTACCCCTTACAAGTGGAAGATATACAGAACGTCGAAACACGATTGATCGAGCGATATGGCAAATACACGGACTGTGGCAGCAATTTGCTTAAACGAGTCGAGAGGTGCCCTCAAGAGTCGGTCTATTTAATTGTAAGCAGCCAGTCTCATCTGATAAGGACTGGGCCTACACCGCTGATGTGAGCATGAAGCTACTGACATCAAACTGTGTGATGCTGATAGTGTGAAGCACAAGGCTTTCATTTGATCTGCTTTGGCATTCTGGAACTTAACTTCTAGTCCAGCTAATGCCAGTAATTGTCAGATGGTATTTCCTAATTATCTAGGCTTCTATTGCTATGTTATTGGCTCTAACTCTTCATCAAAGCTTTTCCTGAGATTATTTACAATCCATAAAAGTGATACACGACTGGTGATAACGATTTGTTCGAGCCTATTGATCAGCTCACTGACGTATTCAAATTCCTCGTCCTTGTTCCGGACGAAAAGAAGGGGGGGGAAAAAAGGGTGCCTCATATCCCACACAGTGAATTATTAGTTCTCGTGTCATGGCAGATTTAAGGTGCCAAGGATTATGTTACATGACAGAGTCGTAGCGAAGGATTCGGACCGGTGCGTGTACGGTGTATCATCCCATCCAAAATCTCCGATCCCTATTGCCCCACAAAAGCTTATGATTAATTGGCGATTGGGTAAGCTATCAATCTATCCATGTCAACCACCAATCGCCGCTCTCTTTTCTCCCTAAGAATTGCCGTGGCATTGCGCATCGGCCAACGAGAATCCGTCCCTCTGCAGCTCATGCAAACCGGGATCACTCTGTGGGATTTTATCTTTCGCCTATCTTAGCCTGTAGCGGCAGGCTAGAAGTCCATGTTGGAAAAGGCCAAACCGCACCAATTTGTAAAGAAACAAAGCAGCATGTCTCAGCCACCAAACAACGGCGGATGCCCAGTTTTGGTCCTGATTTCTCGAAAAGCAGCGTCTGGCGCCTGATATTGTTCTACTGTGTGACGGGTAGTGACGGAGTCTCCGACTTTTGGTTGGTTGGCTCATTTTGTCTTCCTTCCCTGTATGTGACTGATACAACTCAAGATGTATTGATAGGTAGGAAAAAGACACAGCATCATCTTGCCCGCTTAGGGGGCTATAGCTGAAGGATTTTTAGGCCGGCTCTCTGTAATAGGGCACGGCGGCGCCAGCCACAATGCTATCGGCCACTGTGCGGGGTCAAACTGATTAACTTCAGGTGACTTTGATAAGTTGGCGTTCGTTCAATCAGCCCTCGAACTCAACTTCAGAACGTATCACATGACCACTTCTCTATACTCTGCTCGAAGGAAAAAGAAAATTGGATATGGAAATAGAAATTGAATGACTCTCTTTTTCCCTTTGTGCAAATTCGTATTCCACCTGCAACTCCCAGCTTCTATGTCCACCGCCATGCTATGCATTTGAAAGATGAATTATGGAGTACGGGAAAAGCAACCAGACGATCTCCCAGCGTCGTTACCAGCCTCTGCCCATGACAATCTGGTGGTCCATAGAATTCATAGCCTTCAGGCAATGGGCGTTTATGTCAATATTCTCAATCATATCCCATTTCTGCCGAAGGGTGTTGGCCAGCAGAACCGGGTCCAATCCAATCCCAGGCGCACGGCCCGTCAGAAGGAGGTTAATATCGAAGCTTGCCCGTATCACAAGCTCAGCGCGAGGTCTGCATACCTCATCAAATGCGCGCAATGCTGTAGGAACAGCAGATTTGGACTGGGCTCGACCGAGTAGAGTACTCAAGACTAGCGCCTCCTCGACGGCGATATCGCATGCTGACCCCTGCAATGACAGTCCACCGTGAGCAGCATCGCCAACAAGGCAGGCGTTCTTCGAAGCATAAGTACGAGATGGCACATGCTGCATTTGACAAATTCCAGCAATCTGCACTGTATAGACGCTCTGGACAAGCTTCTCAATGTCAGCTTAAAACCGTTCTGAGGTGCCGGTGATCTACAGCATACCTTGACCATGCCTTGGCAAGTATCCGGGCTGTTCTGAGAGAAAATGTTCGCAAACTCCTCCGGCGTGAACAGCTTGGCCCAAGTAAATTCTTCATCCGTACCGTCAAAGGTTGCCGCAGTCGTGATCTGAACATCGTTGCCACCATTTAGAAAATTATGCTGCATCATGGTACCGTCACCTATCCAGATAAGTTGTTTTGGGTTCCTTGGATCAAGTGCTTCAGGGCCCATGAGCTGTCTCGCGCGCCCCAGAGGGACATTGATGGGAAGTCTCCAATATCCGGACGGCCGAGGGTTGTGCGCGGGGTCACTGGGACCGAGTACATGAGCTCTGGTCTTTCCGTGTACTCCATCAGCGCCAATGACAACGTCATATCTCTTCTGAGTTCCATCCGAGAACGCCAACATCAAGCCGTTACCCGGAGACGCTTCCACGATGGAGGTGACCCTCGTATTTGGGTGCACCATCCGGGGTGGGACGCCAGCCAGCATCTCAGCCAGAAAGGCTTGCCTGTCAACAGAGTACTTGCCACGAATCGAATAGCCATCAATGTCGAGACGGTGGCCCGCCTGAGGACCCGTTGCCAGTCGTAGGTCCGTTGGTGTATAGACAGCACCAGCACCGTCAAGGCACGTTTCCAGAAATGGATCAACGGCACGAAGAGCCGCCAGGGTGGTTGGTCCCAATTCCAGTCCAGGGTCTTCCTCTTTGAAGCTTTGTTGTGAATCATACATGTCGAGTGCTATATGAGGATGGCGAAGTAGTCCGCGTAGCAGGACGGCACCGGCTACACCGCCGCCAATGATGGCCACACGAATAGCTGAGGTATGGCTGGTCATGATACTGTCTTCTGGTGTAAGCGGCAAGAGATGAGGAGGAAGATTTGAAGGTGAGAATCTATGGCCGGGCATGCTGCTTGTTGGCTCTTTCAAAGTTGGACGTCTCGAGAGGTCCAACCCTATTTATTGACGTGAGAGGCATGTGCACCTCGGTTCTCTGACCAGCACCAGCAGCAGAATACTTGGGTCCTCAGCTATACTAGGTCAGCCAAGGTCTGGAGGGATGCGTGACTGCCATGTCCCTGGCGGATATGTGGGTGCGTTTCTATAATCGTCATGGCAAATTCTAGTCTGGTACCAGTTAGCGCATGGCCAATTAGCATATTCTCTGCCCGAGTCTAAGCTCTGCCGGACATTGCGGTCCATGGCAAGGGTCTTCTACGGGGTGGGATTTGATAGTCGACCTCGCATCTCATGCTACTTACACGGGAAGCAGGACTGGAGCATAGGGCTGATTAGCTAAAACGCTGCAGGATCAATTGGAATGCGCAGGGGAGCGGCTCCGCCGAGACCCGCTAGAACTGGTCGCGTCTGCTGCATGGGGCGGCTTTCAGCATGCTGAATAAGGAAATGTCGCAACAACTTGGGCCATGATTGGCTCGGGTCCACAACTGCGGCTCGGCTTGTCGCAACCAGTACCACGTGGCTGGGCTCCTCGCACTCGACCAGCGGTCAGATACGATACTCAGAAGACCGTTTCCTAGCTAGTCGCTAATTATCTCCGGCACGTTGGCCATCGTGTGCGTCAGCTACCCTAATCATCGCCTCCCTGAGTAATCCTAAAGAACGACTTGGACCTCACGCATTGTGCCCGTTGGCAGTGGAACCAAACGTCGATGATGCAAGGTCGAGTCGGACCCCTGCTGCTATCGCTTGATCCAGCACCGCTAGGCCATGGAGATGAGCGGCAGGCAGCCATCTTGAAAGTACCCTGTGCTTGCCTGTCAGGCCTGTCAGCCAAGGGGAGGGCAAACAGCTACCAGGGCCCATCGGGCCATCCAACTCTCTGGGTCCAATTGTTTCGCAGCATCCATCCAGCGGCCCATGGGAGCCGGGGCCGACCGTTCGGTTCATGCGCAAGACGGAATCATTGCGTCGGGCGATCTGGTTCAAACATTCCATTGCCTTACATGACCTGCAGCTCGTGGGGGCGGCGGAAGTGACGAAAGGAGCCAGGCAGCGGCATTCTGAGAATAACTTGACAGAGCTCTACCTAGTTAGTCTGCCCAGAAAGCGCCTGGCAGCCCCGCTGGGGTTTGTAGATAGAGTTTTTGGGGGCCGGCTCAGTAACCTCCAGCTACTGTAGCAGAGGACCTGCCAACCTGCGTGTTACCTAAAACAGGTAATTGACTACAGTTCACGCCAGCAACCTTGGCAGCAGCTACATGCCTTACGGTATGCAAGTTATGAATGTATTACCATAGCACCTACATGCTTGGCACAGGAGGTCCCTCAGTAGTGAGTGGAAGGTACTTTGGCACGCAACTGGTCACAAAGGACCACTGAATCTCCTGCCCAATGGCGGGCTCGGCCCCGCAGCAACTTCACCAAACCCGCCTGCGCAGCTAAATCGATCCCTCGTGCCAGGCGACTGGGTGATTAGCGCCATGAAACACCAGGCAGCCGCATTTCGTGCAACAGTGCTGCAGTGAGGCTGAGTTTCATTTGAGCCGCAAGGTCCAGACTACTTCCGCCGACAATCTGTTTAAAAACAGCAATTCTGCCGCCTGGAGGGAATGGCGAAGGAATCAGAGCGTTCATCAAGTCTCGACAGTGTCAAAAGTAGCTCACAATGTGGACCTTGAAGCTCCGCGCGAAATGGGCAACGGAGACTGCCCCTCGAGCGCTGACCTCCGGTTCTGTGAGACACCACAGTCCAGACCTGGAATGTATTGTGCGTGCAAGGGGACAGACGCGGTGACGCGCTCTGGCCTCGGAAAGAATGAAATCTCATATCAAGACTATTGCTTGACCAAAGAGCCATGTGTTCCGACGACTTATTATGGTTCTTGATCATCTCCCAAGGTAGCTAGCTACCGGCGTACCCTTGGAACCTTGGAGCTCTCGCGCTGTATGTTCTCCGTCAATATGACCTCGGGATCGGCATTCGCAACTTTCGTTATGCTCGCAACCAGCGGGATTTCTGGGTCTATGCTCGAAAGAAGGGATGTCAACTTCCAGAATTATAGTGTCGGGACCTGCATCCTGCTGGGAGGGAGGAGGCTGCGCCCGCCTGATGTATAAGATGTCAGCATGAGACTGTAAGCCCATATTGTCCACATGGCCATTGTTACCTACTTATTTGCTAGTTATCGCCTTCTCATCGCATCCACTACGCCATGTGCCAGCCGTACGGGCCGCCATCTACATCGCCCTGACGACGTCACGTCATGAAAGGCAAGGAGGACCTAGTGCCCTGGGCATGCAATTGACGGTAGGCCTCTCGATTAGCGCATTCGTGGACGGTCGGATCGAGAATTCCGCTTCTTGTACGAGGTATCAACCATGGGGCTTTGAGGTTGCGGCAGCAGTTGCCGCGCATGAGAGCGCATATGGGCAACGGGATAGGCGTTTTGCCCTGTTGGTTTCCGTATATCTCACTCGGTCCCATGCATAACCTTTCGCCACAAGCTATGGGCAGTTTTGAAGCCTGGACTATATTCAAAGGCATAAAAATCATCGCACTCCTGGATAGACGTTTACCTGATCAATGAGGACTAGAGTTGACTGATTGGCAGCATCTAGATGCGTTGCGATACCTAGCCTTGGGGTGAAGCCACTATGTTTGACGTGATTTTCTTCCCCGCTGTGAATACTTTTGATCAGGTTTGTATCGATTGTGACCGGAGGAGTTCGAGGTCTGTCCGTTGACTGTTTCTGGTGTTCCGTAAGACCCTAACGGTGACTAGGTAGTAGATCAGCCTCTTGATACTTTGCGTACCAGCCTGCAGTAATACTCGAGCTACCGGTTTCCATACTCTGTTTGGCATTGTGATGAATACCATCTGTGGTCACTCCGCAAATACAGTGATCAGGGTCCCGCACATGAGTACTGAGGTTTTCGGGGGCCACACACAAGAGTTTACCAACTGAGTTCGCCGCGGAGCAAAGGTCGATCGGCGCAAATGCTTCTGTTCTGATACCGTGTCAAAGAACAGACGCAAGCCATGTGACGACTTAGCTGGAACGGCTACTAACTTGGATCAATTTCTTAGCTGTACCTAAGCCGGCATTCAGAATATCGAGTACGACTCTAATTCCGTCTAATGCTGTGCTCACCTCGAATACTATCCAGCATATCGCATTCAAACATGTGATACATAGAATAAATATGGGAACTAGGATAATGTTAACTGGGCAGACGGAATATTAGGGTTAGGAGTAGTGTTGCTACTGATCTTTCCTCACAGACAAGGAACCAGCAGTCTAATGGATTGAGCCATGGAAGAGGTTGTGCTAAACTGGACATGCACATACCGAAGCCATGGTCACGATGGTTCAACATCTCAATATTTTGACCTGATACAACCACTGCTGCAGCAAGGGTACTTATTACCAAATGGCAATCCTGCTAGGTGAAACCAAAGTGAGGTTCTCATTCAACGGGCCACATGAAATGCCTCATGTCAGAAATGGAATAGCGTTGACATGTTATCTATCTTTAAACAAAGTTCTCCTTGTTGATTAGACATCTAACTCTCTGCAAGCGTATGAAGTCTCGAATCAATTCTTAACTAGTCCCTGTCGAGACTGGGACTGTTATGGTTGTTGCTTTAAGACTTTATGGACACCACTATGATCTTCTACTCAGTTTCTGATATCAAGCATCCAGTTTTAGAACGAGAATAGAGGACTTCATATCATCAAACTTGCAATAATTGCTGGGGCTAACCTTGGAACTTGGTCGGGCCTGAAGTCCGACGAACCGAGCTCGTTGTGGACAGAGCCCGGCCAGAAAGTGGAGCGTGAATTCTCTACTAGGAAGATAGCATACAGCGGTCAGCAGCGCTGCCTGGGCATAACCGGTCTTGAAGCTTGTTGTACTTCAAGCGCACGCCTGCCAACTTTACGTCCGTCTGTCGGTCAGGTTTGTAGCGGTGATTCAGCTGCCGACCCTCCACTACACAGCTAGCGAAACGAGAGACCTTTCATCCCAATGGTCTTGGGTCATCGGTAGAATGATGCACTTAGTCATTTTGTAAACGTCTGAGATCGAAGCAAGCGGAGGATCAGAGTGGTTTCGCATGCAGCGTTTCTCAGCGTGATTGAATGCCCTGATCCTGGTGTCTCCCAACGCACAGGGATTGGGCCCAGACATTTGGCGCCAGCGCCTACCCCGGTTTCAAGTGCTCCCAACATCGAAGTACCCCTGCTTCACCTTCCAGGTATGGTTGCCCACTGTCACATCCATGCTGACTATCACACACGAAACGACTCAACGGCGGCTTGATAGAATTGGCAAGGACCTGTTTTGCAAGTCTTAGCGACGAGTCGACGGAGTCAGCAAATCTTATGTGAATCTCTTTAATGCGATCTCCATTGATCGTCCTTGGCTGCCTTCATACGAAAACTGCAAGTTAGCCTGTCGAGAGAGATTCCTATTGGGGTGCAGCCTGCACAACGATCACTAAAACCCAAAACCCAGGCCACGAAAGCCACATAAGTGATGCCTTGGTGCCGTTTTATGTACCTTTCGAATGGTACTTGTCCATCTAATCGTACTATAGATTCGACGCGTAGGCCGTTGGACCCATTGTGACTCAACGACAAGCTCTTATCTAAGCTCGCCACCAAGTGAGTTTATAAGAGCGCTCGTGGACTTTGATCCGTCATGCTCGGTGTCATATTCGCTCCCCAGAAGCACAGCCCCGCCTCCGGTCGAGCTGCTGGAGAAGGTGTGGCCGCAGTTAGACGATTGATTTTGACTTATAGACATCCTGGTCAAGCAGAGTTGAAGGTCTCCGAAGACAAAGCTGCTCGTGCATTACTCGAGCTACATGAGTGGCTTCGCGAAGTGCGGTTACAAGACTCTGTTACTTTGAGGACTGGATTCCCTGACCATCTTGTGTTTCGAGACCCTCTGTTCTCATCCCCTGAATATCTGTTCTTCAAAAGGCGCGTTCAGGTGGCCACTGATCCAAAGAGTGGCAGTCGCGGCCTTCCACAGATTAGTCAATACAAGTCATATATCGACAATGAGCTACGTCGGATCACCACACTTCGAGCGTTACAATTTCAACGAGTGATGTATGAACTTGACCTAGTCTAAAATCAATTTCAAGAGCTTCAGTGAATGGTTACCGAAACCTTTGAAGGCCCACACGGCGCGCAATGGACCGCGACGTTCACCCCTGGCTCTAATCGACCTCCTCAACGCTATTACTTGGACTCAAGAGTAAAACCTGGCCCTGCCGAATTCAAGCTCATCAACAACAGATTCTCTCCAGCCAAGTCGTTATTTTGGCCACTCGGTCTGAAATCCTCAGCAGCTACACCACCACCTCTTTTCACAACCGCCACCTTCTCGATCTACCCTTCTCCTGCTCCTCTTCTTCCTCTTCTTCCTCCTCTCCCCCTCCTCAGCAGTCGGCAGAGTCTTCAGAAGCAGCTGGTGAAGGTCTGCTACGGTATAACTTCCGGGCCAGCAGCAGATCATCGCAGTTCTAGATTCATGGGGGCTATGGGAACATGGGTCTCACGGGTGCCCAGCTGTTCGTGGGCTGAACCAACTGTGGCAGCATCGATGAATGGACCCCAAGCGCAGAGCAGCTAGTAGTATTTGCATCGCAAAGGGATAATTAACGATATTGAAAAACGGCACGCTGAAACAGGACAGCCCGAGGCCGCCATTGTGGAACAGATGGATCGAGAGAGGCATGAAATGTATCCTCCAGCCTCCCTGGACAAGCTGCAGCGCCTGATCAAGCAAAGGTCCACCTAATCGTTCTCACAGCTGCTGCAAAGGTCTCGAGTTGAATGGCGGTTTCAGAAGCTCAGGGTCGGTATAGGTCGCTTAGAGCGTTGATGTCAGGGCCGTCTAACTACATAGCTTGAATGAGCAGAGCATGGAATAAGAGGTAAATTAGCACCAAATGACGATCCTAGCAGATTATAGTATGAACGCCGAGGAATGTGACGCTCTCGCAGATGGCATGGGACAGCGCCAAGTCTGGCAGGGGCTTGTCAGAAGCTTGGCGCTAAATGATCGCTATCTTGCAGCACACGGGCCACTGCCATGCAAGGCCCTGGGTTGAAACCACCCTAGCATCTCAGATGCCCCATGCGCTCGTCTCATGTTGCCATACAGGTTTCTGATGAGACGTCGCGACGACCTACCCCAACCCAAAATAGATTCCTGACAGGTTTAGAGTGGTATGGGATGAACTTTGATTCAAATCGTATCGTGCCAGTGGCCAAGTATATATAAATATGGCTTCACATATCCTCTCAATGCTCAACTTTGCACCCCCATCTTCTTCATCATTCTGACATTCACTTCCTCGGCTGGTCCATCAATCTTTATTTTTTTTTTTTTTGTAAATATCTATCGCACTCCATTTCCCGTCAGATACCATCATATATCAACCATCAACCGCCAACATGAAGTTCTTCTCAATCTTGCTCCTCGTTGCCTCGGTCTCGGCCGTTGCCATTGAGCCCCGTCATCATGCTGGCGGAAAGGGAAACAAGTCTCCGGTAGGTTTGGGACTTATAGTCACCCCTGGAAAGTGCTCGTGCTGATCCGCAAATTATAGGCCGCGGGCAAGAACGCTGGAGCTAACCAGGCGGCCAAAACGAGCGCTGCGAGCGCTGCGGCCGCTGCGGCTACGGGTGCGGCTTGTTTGAATGCCCGGTACGTTGATATATGTGGACCATATCGTTGATCTTTGGAACAAACTGCTAACGAGGTGAATAGTCACCACAGTGGAGGCAAGGGTAACAAGGCTGCTGCTGGCAACGGGGCCAACGCTGCTTCCAATGCCAACGCCGCCGCCAACTGCAATTGAAGCGCCTCAAATCCATAACATACGTCCGCCTGTTTCTTTCACGAAGAATAATCTTGGCGGGAGCATTCGGCTCGAATTCTTTGTACAGGAACCAGCACGGAGTGGATGCCACGCACAAGTGCTGTCAAAAGCTGTAGGGTCAAACCCTTTGCATCTATCAGGATGGTGAGGTCGTAGGTGTACTAAAGATCTTTTGTTGTGTTCATTTAGTCGCCTATTAGCGGGTGCCATGCAGTGTCCGAAATTAGATTAAGCGAGAGAGATTAATAAAGGCTTGGGGAAACAAAACTTTGGTGTTATGACGCATGTTACGCTAGCTATTAATCGCTTGCGATCCATGGGAAACTCACATACTGAGAATTGGAGTTCCTGATACCTGCAGACGTGTCTAGTAAATTGTAGGTCTCGAGTACTCACACTGGTTTTCTTCCCTACTACCAAAAAGCATGACCCAGGAGACAGACTTGGCCGGGGAGCTGACCGACCCACCCTGTTCTTCCCTCGTTCAAAGGTCAATTTATTCATTCTTCAAAGGCAAAGACGTGACAAGCAGAACTCTGAGTCCAGAGGAATTATTTTAGTCCAGAGAAATGACCGACGTTCAAACAATAGTCAGTTAGCTTCTCAGCAGGCTCGCGCTCCAGACATCTTGTGCGAGCAATTGGGAAGTACCTGCATGTACCGAAACAAAGACAGATAATCCTTAACCTGTCACATATCAACCCCTCATGGACCCCAAAGCGGCCATCATATCTTCAAACTTCATCCCATCATCAGGCCTGAGCTTTCCCTTGGTGAACATCGTCTTGGCAGCTTCCCTTATAGCCACCGTGCTCAAGAGATACAGGCTTGGCCCAACACTAATTCTTGCTACACCGATCTTGCTCAGCTCCCCAATAGTCAATGCGTCGTCCGCCCAGCCTAGCTTGACAGCGAGCCTCCCCTCGAAAGCCTTTGACAACTCTTCCACCTCGACGGTTCGAAGTCCCCTTTTTGAACCACCCCAAACAAATACGGTTGTAGCTCCTGCAGCTAGATACGCCTTGCCTCTTGTAATAGTCTCCTGGATAAGCCTTGCGCTATCGTCGTTAGGCCACGCAAGGAAGACGTCGCACCGCGCGTTAACGACAAAATCCGGGCAGCCTGCTTGTTCGGCGGTTGCTATGGCTCTCTTGAGGCGGCTGACATTTTCTTCGAGACTGTACAGTTTCTGAGTGTCGCCTTTCACGTCTTCGATATTAACTCCCACAACACCGAGTTTGATAACCTCTTTGATTGCCTCCTCCAGTCGGCTGCCATACCCGTCCTGCAAATCTACGGACAGTGGCAAACCTGCAGCTCTCACTACTGGCGCAAGTCGGGCAATAGCAGCAAGGTTCTGCTCGTACGACAACTCTTCATCGCGGAACCCTTGACATTCTGCGATGGCATAAGACGCTGTAGCTATCGCACGTACAGGACGTGGGATCGTGTCTGTTTCTGTTCTATTCAGAGACAGAACAGCATTCAGAGAGGGTATATCCCAGACATTGTTCAAGATCAGAGGGTCGCCAGACTTGTGCAAAGAGCGGAAGTGAGAGGCGGGTGTCGTGAACGACCTGTCAGAGGCCATGATGCTGTATTGTTGAGGCGTGGCCGAACCCGCTCATGTAGTGGAATCCATATCCACTTGAGCTTGTGATAGTGGTGCAGTAAGCCTTGACCAGTCACCCAAGAGGATCCGGTATTTTTGTGATCTCGTAAGTAGTATGATCAGCCGCGAAAATTGATACGAGAAAACAACAACCGTAGATGCAACAGCTACTTGGATGAAAATGCGTCCCCCATATCCGCGAGAACACGCTTATTTGCATACGTGAGATGACGGCAAGCGGCATTTTGTTGAGTCACCTCATTACCCCTCACCTGGTCAGCGCTGTGGTTAAGTCTACGTTAATGGAGTTTAACACAAAATCCCCGTAACGGAATGAGATCATGTTACTCAGTGAACGGTTCATGGCCGTATGGTTACTCTTCCACTAACTTGCAATGTAATGCTAAACCAAACAGCACCTCGAAATCCCTTTACGCATTTTACACCCTGGAAAGACTATACTATGATCCACAGGCATTAAATGAAGCGTAATTGGCATTGCCAAGATCATGAAACAATATATACCGCGCAAATTCAGTGCTTGTACAGGCCAGATGATGGAGTACAACGACTGTTTTTTGGGCATAGGGAGGGAAACACGGAGCGGATGTGCCATTACGAGAAAAGATCAAGAGGTGCAAAGTCACTACGACACATGCCAGGCTGCAATGGGAGGTGGATGGCCGGAAGTACTCAGTGACGGGCTGCATGGTACCTTTCCAGCCGGCCGGTAGTAAGGGCTAGATTTATTTCATTGGTGCTTTGCTTGTGTTCCCTTGCCAACTTGTGTTGTCGTCCATTACACCTCCCCTTCCCCGATTCTTAAACTACGATCAAAGCAATCATCCCTAAGTCCTAGGCCGTATCAACGAGGAGTCTCGTAGGCAGATCAGCTCAATGTGAACTCAAACTGTCCACTAAGACTCCAAGGCCCTTGTTGCGTGATGGGCCCCCCTTCCCCCAGAATCGTAACCGTCTTCACGATAAGGCTCGTTGCAAATCCAAAGTTTCCAGACGCTGTGAATGTCTTGCTATCCCACGAGAACCTAATATCGGAGTAGGAGTCCCCGACTTCTAGGCTCTCGCCATCATCCAAGTACAGAGACCCGGCAGCTTTGCCATCCTTGCCGGGCGCAACTATAATGTTAAAGTCGTTCTGTCGAAGCATCTTCGTAGTGTTGGCAGACTCAATACGCAAGGGTAGAATAGTGCTACCGCGTATATAAACCGGCATGTCGTTCCAGTCGACGTTGTCCAACGTTCTGTTAGCACCAGTGCCCTGAATCTGCTCAAGCGTCCAGAAGTCGTAGAATACATCATCTGGGAGATAGAACGACACAGACTGGGAGTAGTCTTCGACGACTGGAGAGACCAAGAGGGCATCTCCATAGAAGAACTGGGTATCGATGCCAAATGTGTTCTGGTCAGATGGGTAGATGAAGAATAAAGGATTGACTATTGGCGACCCAGTCGTGCTGGCTCTGTACATCGCCGTGTAGATGTAATCAAGCAGCCTGTATCGCGCGGCGATGGCCTTTTGCGCTGCACGCGTTACATTTGGCCAAACGTAGAACTCTTGGAAAGGTGCGTCGATAACTGCGTGGTTGCGATAGAATGGCATGAAGGCTCCGAGCATGGCCCATCGTGAGCACATCTTTTCGTCGGCAACTCCATTGAATCCGCAGACGTCGGACCCTGCCATGGGCATTTGGTGTATACTGGAGAACCCAAGCAGTTGTGCAATTGAGACACGATAGTCAGCCCAGGTTGAATTGTTGTCTCCGAACCAGTGTGCTGCGTGTGTGCCAGCACCAGCGAATGTAGAGCGCGTGAGAACGAAAGGCCGGGCTTGGGGCCTGCGTGCTAGCATCGCTTGACGGCTGGCCATTACCATGGTTACTCCGTACAGATTATGAGTGTCATATTGAACAGTACCATCAGCGTTAGATATATTGGTGTATATCGTTCCGTCGCTCATTGCCCCTCGGTGGTTGTTGATGGTGAATTGGGGGTTGAATAAGTCCCGGTCGCGGAGCCCTTTCATCATCCCATTAGTGCTTTGCCTCCTGCCAAGCTTATTATCAGAGCCATTTTCTGGCTGGAAGTCCGCTGGAAACCCAGGAATCGGTCGTCCAGTATTGTTTCGAGGAGGGGTTGTTGGTGCGATAGGAAACACTGAAGGGTCATCGAACTGGGTGGTATTGCACGTCACATTCGGACAGAAGTTCGACGCTTCATTCATATCATTCCAAACTCCATCCACATCAATTCCTCGATCCGGATCGAAGAAAGTCGCAAACTCATTCCTCCACCACTTTTGCGTGTTAGGTGCCAGCCAGTCGGGCCATACCACCTCGCCCGCCCATTGTCCACCTAGATAGTTAGAACCATCGTCGGACTTGAGAAACACTTCGCTTTCTTCACCATTCAAGAACGTAGAGTAATTCTGCGCTCTATGAATCCCCGGGTCAACCATCATGATGTATTGCTGGCCGCGTTGATGTAAGGTCTGCACAAGCTCTCGCATCTTGTGCAGAGGAAACCGCTCAGGATCTGTCGTAAAATCCTGTCTCAGATTCATGTAATCGATATCACCCCACAGTGTCTCCAGTGGTATCTCAGCAGCGGAATAGTTAGCAACTACCTCTGCTGCCATGTTCACATCCCAGTACCCATATTTGCATTGATGGAAGCCGAAAGTCCAGTATGGCATCATGGCTGGCAAGCCGATTACCTCGGCGTATTGCTTGCTGACTTCTAAGGGACTTGGACCAGCCAGGAAGTAGAAGTCCAGAACACCTCCCACAGTCTCGTATTTGAGGTATTGCTGTCCCTCTGCCTCCTTGTAGATGTTGATATCCATTCCATTGGAGTTGAGCAAAAACACTCCATGGCTACCAGAACTTCCGCGGTGTTCAAGATAAACAGGGTGGCTTCCGTAAAGATTCGAGTTGCGAGGAATAAACGGAGATTCTGCATTCCAAAGGGTCCGCCGGTATCTCTCTGTGGGCAGCCTGAACGGGTCCGAGTGCTCCCCAAGCCCGTACAAATTAGGGTTGCTCGGCAAAGCAGTCTGTACATGAAGATATTGGGACTCGAAGATTAACTCCTGGCCGGTCGTATTGAAGACGACTTCCCGAGTATCGGATCGCGAGACTATGAATGAGAATGGCTCTTCTTCAAAGGAGAATTGAAGTGCAGCATCCGACTCAGATACATTTTGACTCGCAGGTCTCGGAATAATGTGCTCTTGAACCTGATATACGTCAAGAGCTGCATCATATATCTTCACGTGCAGCCGGGTATCTTTGAATTGTCAGTCACTCGTTTCCAGGCCCCTAAAATTAACTCACTAGTCTGATATTCTACCAGCAACCGGAGATCGATAATATCCTGGCCGTAAACATTGCATGCATTTCCAGAGAGCGTCAAATCTGCTGCGAGGACGCCGGTTGTCTTTACAATGTTGGATGCCCTATAACCAGGGCAAGATGCAGCCCGAACTGCTCCAGTCAGAAAGGCCAGGAAAATGAAGGAATCCATCTTCGAGCCTATCGTAGCCGTGTTGAATCGTTAAAAAAAAACCTTGATCATCCAAGGTGCGAACTGGGCAGCCTTGCATTTATCATCATGCGTTTTACGCAACCTCAAGCACTCGTATGCATGCAAGGACATCCATTCGCCATGGGACTGCTGCCGGTCTCGTATACGCGCAAATACCTGGTTTGGGCCATCAAGAGCGGCAGGAACCAGGAAAGACCAAGAAGGAAGCGGTATGGATCAGCAATGTATCCCCCGCTCAACCCCAAGCTCGCATCAGTCAGTCATAACGCCACGGCAAGTTGAACCTTCCTCAAGCGGTTGGATTTGGTTCCAATCCCTCGTCTATCTACATTGTGTTGCTGCAAGAACCTTGAGAGGTAAAGTGACACAGGATACAGCATCCAATAAGACAGCATTCAGTATGATCTGGCTTACCGTTGTCGCTCGACCGAGAATCCTGTGCAATACTCCGCTCTAAGATTCGGTGCCAATAGGAGGAGCCTCGGACTGTGCTAGGCACGCTTGACCTATGCAGTTCGTATTTCGCCTAGAGTAAAGCCATCGAACTTCAGACATGCGTTGGTGAATATGTGTCCAAAATGAAAAATTACACTGTTATCACCAGCGTTCACACGGCAAGGTCGAGATATCGTCTCGACCTTGACTATTTACAGCTTGATAACGTGCTATGTCACTATAGGCCATGAATCTCTATCTCCTTCTTGTGCTCACGCCAAGCAATAACTGGATCCCAACTCTCTCCATGCATTTGAACTTCTGTATCCTTGATGCCGTACAGATATGGCTTTTCGTTGGCATAGCACGCGATTTCATGCTCTTCAGGCAATGTCCCATTCAGAATGAACGCCCTCGCAATGGAGTCGGTGCAAGCTGACGCATCTCTAGAGCCGTGACCGTATCCGTGGTGGACAATAAGTCTCGCATTCTTGCCCATCTCCTCCAAGAGCCTCTTTCCGTTGCGTAATGGTGTCGCAGGGTCGTAGGTTTCTGCAATCAGAAGGACCGGGTTCTTCAGTGTGTTATTCAAGTCACCGCGATAAACCTCAGCTGGCTTTGGCCAGAAATCAGAGAAGTGACGGCATGGGAAGCCACTGGTGAACCGCGAATTCCCAGCTATCCAGGATTTCTCAGTCATGTTGCTCCACAAGTCTAGCCACCAACCAAGTCCTTCTGGTTGCGGCGCATCGTAGGCATCTGCGCAGATGACTAGAATGCTTAACTCATCGGATGTTGGCTTTGTCGGGTTTAAAGGGCATGGTAGTGTCGGGTCGTATTGCCAGTCGTCAATGAAGGAGACGGCTAGGCTTGAATTGCCAGCCTCCAGTTCAAAAAGCATCTGGGCCAATGCAGGCCAAGACCTGGCATTGTACATCGCCCCATACAATGACTCTACTAGCCTAGAGTAGGTGACTAGAGAAGGTCCCTTCGTCTTTGAATAACCAGGAATTGGTCGTTCAATGGTAGCGTTTAGCAAGGCCTGCATGCGTTGCTTGAGCTCTGGGAGCGTTACGGGTTTGCCATGTTTTGGCTTAGCAAGAGCACAGTATTTCGGACCGGCATTAATGCACTCTCCCAGGAAGCCATCGTCCCAGGCATTAGTCCCGTTATCAAGGGCCGTCCATCCAAAACCTGCAAGTAAACGATGATCTCTGACATACTCGGTCCCGTCCAAAATCATGCGACCAACCGATTCGGGGAACATATTAGCATAAGTCTGCCCAATGCCGGTTCCACTATAACATTAAGAGTCAGCCACTTCGAGACAGTCCGAGTTCTTCCGGGTTAGCGGACGCATGGTGTATAAACCGCGAGACGAGAGAGCGTTTTCGTGCTCTAAACTTGCCAGAAGGGGTAGCATATAGTTGTGGAGGGTACTCACTAGCTGACGAGATATCCCGTCAGTTCCTCTTCGCCAATGGCTTTGCGAATCTCCTCCAAATCCCGTGCGACGAAGGCCGTAGAGACAAACCTGCCGATGTCCCCATGTAGCTGCCAGCAAGCGTTCAATGTGGACTCAAGCATGGCATCGGCAAATTCAAGCTGAGCTTTAGGAGAAGGCGAGACTTCACGGTACTGCCACGTTCGTAGGGACCAGTGATCTCGGTCGGCATCGTATGGGAAACACGACACGGCGGGAAGGGAGGCGTTGACACCACGGGGGTCCCACGCAAGGACGTCGTAGGTCCCACCGCTGAATCGTTCGGTCTGGTCCTCGGCAGTACGCCAAAGGTAAGAAGTGCCACTTCCCCCGGGGCCGCCAGGTTCAAGCACGATTGTTCTCTCGCTCTTCTTGCCGGCATCTGAGTTACTGTCCGGGACGCCAATGTGTGCCAGGCCTGAAACTTGGTACTTCGTGACAGCAAGTCGCACAATGCGTTTGTCCGAGAGGTTGGTGTAATCAAGCGGCGTCTCAATGTAGCCGCAAAGGTAGATTCCGCGTCCAGAGTACGGATCTTCATGGTAGGAAGTCTCGGCTGACTTGGGCTTGCCCCAGCTCCAGTGACTGGGATCCGGGTCGAAGAGTTTTGCCCATGATCCTTCAGGGTCAGCATCGTCCAGGCTAGGAAGCAAACTGGCACTTGTGCACGGTATGAAGTGGAATGGGTCTCCTGCTTTCGGGAAGGAGCCATACAGTGACTTCTCAATATAATCGTCACCGACTCCTGGTAGTGACGAGCTTAGGTCTGAGATTGGAGCCCACTGCGGAATTCGGTAGAGCAATCCTGTGGAGGTGTACAAGATGGCGCCAACAGCTGCGGCGACCAGGAACTTGCCGCGATGGCTTCGCTCTCGCAGGCCGCTCGTAGTCACTTCAGTCTTCCCTGAAAGTTTCCCCATTTCGCTACCTTTAATTGGCGCCATCATCTTCCCGTGGCGTTCTGACAAGATGAGATACTCAGACTTGCAGGTCGGATGGCAATGTTGCGGGGCGGGGATTTATAACCGTCTACGGTATGCCCGCTAGCAAGGGGTTCCAGGCAGGCACCTTGGGCACCTCTGGGCACGCAACCCCACAGGCTTTGGTTTTCTACATCAACTATCCCGAACTCCGATAGAGATTAGTTGCTCATAGACGCGGAAACGTTGAGCATCCTTCAATGTTGATTCTACGTTCTTCAATGGGCAAATTCCTAGTTTCAAGCGCAGCTTTAATTCCCAACTACATTCGATGCCTTATGGGGGGGAACAGTATGACACTACCTATAGTTCCCAGTAGTGCACCCAATGGCATGGCGTTTCCAGTACCCACGGTCCGGTCCACCATAGTTCATATAGCAGAGGGTTTGGAGCTTTGTGGTCAAATCCGACTCAACAGCTATATCAACATTGAGCACACAACTAGTAGATTGCCGTGAAGCGCCTGCATGAGTCTTATCGCATTAATTGAATACCGAACACAGCACATTTCAGCGCCCTGAGCTGTGTAGATGCCACTAGTAAAGCACACTTCACTACTTCGACATTGCTCCCAGAGAGTCGAGGGCGAGTTGCGCTGAATAACCTCGATACGCATGCGCAGCATGTTGGCATTGTGCCTCGGAACTCCTACTCCCAGAGAACCCCTTTCCAAGTTCGAAAAAAGTCACAGATCTTGACCAGGTGCCATATCTTGTCTGGTCATGAGGCCAACCTCAGTCATTTCCATCTGATGGGTGGCGAATAAGCCAACGCTGTGGAAGCCAGCTCTATCAGCTACTGCAGATTCACAGTGTCTACTGTTTTACAGTAGCTACGTTCAATCTTCACATCGTCATAGATTAAGAGTACCTAAGTTAGGTACTAGGCAGTCTTGTAAGTTAGGCAAGCCACTGTTTACCTTCAAGGTCCCAATGTGTTGCCACTGCATCATGCCCCCGAGCCTGGAAACTGGCGGGAATTATCGGCCTTGCCCGGGCTTGGTCCCGCCTGGCCGCGGGCTCCAGAAATTTCAATGGAGCCAATGGCGAGTTCGGATCTCGTAATCAGGATGGGGTCCTTTTGAACATTTCTGAACCCCATCTTGCCCGTCAACTCCAAAGCCAGGGTCCATCGTTTCTGAAATCCGGCTTCAGCGACGAGAAAGAGCCCTGATAGAAGCTGCATCGCACGTCTCGGGATGGCAGCTACGCCAGCTTCTCTTCAGCGCATTCGCGCACCCCTTCAGCGGGCCGTCAGCTCATCCTTCACTGCGGCAAGGGCCTACGCCACCGTCCCAACAGAGCCCCCAGTGTCGGCAACGACATCGCAAGCTCCAGCGGCGCCGCGACGCCCGACATACTTCAAGAATACGACCGTCTCTTCGCTCGACGACTTTATCTCGAAGCGCGACGCTGCTCTACCCGCGACGGACGCCTACGAGCTGAGGACCGCCGAGGTCGGACCCGCATCGAATCGCCGGACCATCACCCGATTGCCTGAATGGCTGAAGACACCCATCCCCGCGGGCAACGACAACTACAAGAGCATCAAGAAGGACCTGCGAGGCCTGGGTCTCCACACAGTCTGCGAGGAAGCGCGATGTCCCAACATATCCGAGTGCTGGGGTGGCAGCAACAAGAACGCCGCCACGGCCACCATCATGCTGATGGGAGACACCTGCACCCGTGGATGCAGGTTCTGCAGCGTCAAGACAAACCGCAAGCCGCCGCCTTTGGATCCCCATGAGCCCGAACACACGGCCGAAGCCTTGGCGCGCTGGGGATTGGGATACGTCGTTTTGACCAGCGTTGACCGCGATGATCTGGCCGATGGCGGCGCCAGGCATTTCGCCGAGACAATCCGCAAGATCAAGCAGAAGAAGCCCGGCTTGCTGGTTGAGGCTCTAACCGGCGACTTCATGGGTGATCTCGACATGGTTAAAATTGTGGCCGAAAGCGGACTCGACGTCTACGCGCACAATGTAGAGACCGTCGAGGGACTTACCCCGTACGTACGAGACAGAAGGGCAACATTCAGGCAGAGTTTGAAGGTCCTGGAGCACGTTAAGACAGTCAGGGGCTCCGAAGGCATCATTACCAAGACGAGTCTGATGCTAGGTCTGGGTGAGCAAGAGGAGGAAGTGATGGACGCCTTGCGGGAACTACGGAAGGTTGGGGTTGATGTTGTCACATTCGGCCAATACATGCGGCCGACGAAGCGGCATCTCAAGGTTGAGAAGTATGTCACACCAGATGAGTTCGAGATGTGGCGCCAGCGGGCTCTTGACATGGGCTTCCTGTATGTCGCCAGCGGTCCACTGGTCCGAAGCAGCTACAAGGCTGGCGAGGCATTCATCGAGAACGTGCTCAGGAAGCGAGCCGGCGAGAAGGGCGCAGTTTCTGTAGAAGGAAAAGTTGGCGAGGCTGTGGCCATGGAGCAACAGCTAAAGACGGAGAGCGTCTAAGTCTGCACTCCGCTTATTCAACACACTGTATAACATCGAGAAATTTTGGTGACGTGGGTACGGGCGGTTTGCATTGGATTCGGCGTCAGTAGATTGGGGACATCATTGTATACAAAGCGGACATTCAGCCGCAGACGGCTTCTTCAACAAGAGTCATAAAGATACCTTGACAATACACTATTGCTTTGGTCACACTTTAGCAACCATTACCTTCTTTGAATTCACTTTGGAAACCAAACTCATTCTGTTCTTCTCAGACGTCGTAAACAGCTGTCGGTACTCACAATCTCTGGTGTCTACGGCGGTACTGCAGCATTGACCATATACAGCCGGATCTATGAACAGGAAAACTTGACAGACAAGGATTCGGGCGGAACGAAGATGGCCAATGCAATACGTCGAACGAGAGGCCCAACATCGAAGGCTAAGAGAAGTCTTTATCTCTGATGAAGGGACGAAGGACCCAAGGGTTTTCATCGTTTTAGTGCACGGCATTGACTCGACGGGCGCCTTCACACAACCAACGTTTAACTCAATGGGAGCTTTCAGCAAGTTTCAGTTTACGCAAGACTTACAATTTCGATAGTTTGCATAGTAGCTCCCCCATGCTGTCTTGGACGAGAAGTTTTGAAGAAGCGCGGGGAGGCCAGGTGGGCCGAGTGTTGTAGAAGACTCCGAGATCGACTTCCTAACTATGTAATGGCACTATAGGAACACTTGTCACGAGAAACACCACAAGAGCGTTCGCAAATCGAGTCTCTGGGCTACTGAGATGAGTGTTCAGAATTCGAGCCATGCCATCTATACATGATCACATGAATCCACGAACCCTATTCATCAACCTTTTTGTCCACATGGAGCTATGAGCCAAGTCCTCGCGCAGGCTTGTGGTGCGCAGCGAGCTGCTATGCCTTCTGGGACATGCGAATCCCCCGCAAAGAAAATTGGGGTCCAGCACTACTAAACCCACATTTCAGTTCAGTGCCCCGATCTCCGTTCATCCAAGTTGAAAGGGGACATGCACTGTCACTACCTACTACATTACTTGTGTACCCAGGTAACGCTCCCTGGAGCCCGTTTCGAACTGCGGTTGACCACCACACGTCCAGGGTGTCACCGTGACGTCACATGGGTGGTGCATTAGACTGCCCTGGGGCCTGGACTGCGGACGAGTTGAGTTACCAGGCACAGGGGCGTCGTTACTGGCCCACGTTCAGGCTTTGCCGAAACAGGAAAGGCAGGCATCTGGAAATTAGCCATGGGGATGGCATGTGGTTCTGGCTGTTCGCCAGTTTGCTAAAAGAAACAAGAGAAAAGAAAAAAAAGAAAAAAAGCTGCCGCTTCGATCATAACATGCTTTCTACATCTCGATTTTCTGTTTGATCAGAGCGGCATAACGTCTTCGTTTTTGGCGACAATTCCTTCTCGGCGTCTGAGTCCGTGTCAATTCGTTTGCGTGGTTCTACAGAGCCCTTCGCCACCTGCTCGTCGTCAGAGGGCACCTGGGCATCCAGTCACCCGCGCGCAAGCCACCCTACCACCCAGGCCACCGTCGACAACTCAGCCTCAACTCAAGGTTTCTCTCTATCTCGCTGCATTCAAGGCACTAGCGTCCGCGTAGGCTTTCCCACTGCAGATCGATGATGTACTGTATCGCAGTGCATACTCACAAGCAAGACTTGACCATGCTAACTCCGAGATAGACCAACTGATTTCCACGTGAAGCAATTCAAGGGAGAGAGACCTGACTGCGCACGCGACGGGCATTCTGCTGGCGATCAAGAGCGGCCGGCCGTGCCTCGTCCCGTCATCGCGCGGTGGGTTTTGCAAGCAAAGCAAGCAACTAAATATGCGTGAGTCGCTCAACGTTTCCACCTTTCTGTTTCCGCACATGGCCCGGGGCTCCAGCTTGTCACAACGGAATCCCGTCTGCCCGCATATGCAGGCGGCCTCAGTCTAGACCCAACTCTTCTCCATACCGTCATGTCTTGTCATCTGGCCTCCGTCTGTTGTCGCCAAGCCGCCGCAGCATCTCCTTCCAAGAAGTCCGGGGATTACGTTGCGCACACAACGAATTTCCCAGTGGAAGTTGGAAGGGACTCGCAAATCCGCTGGCTTGCCGGTTAGCCGGACCCCTGGCCATGGCAATTGCTTGTGCGGCTTGGCAGGTCGGACCTGGGCCAGCCTTATCTTTCGGGTCTAGTCAAGCATCCCAAGCACTGCGTCAAGCTCACTTGGGGTCTTGGAAGTGCGACTTGGCGCGGCGGTTCATTGGCGCTTGGCCAGCAGGGGCAAGGCGTTGACGCAGTGGCAGTAGTGGGCCACTTTCGCTATCGCCTCGCAACTCGCATCTGGGCTGCTGGTTGCTGGCTGCTGGGGCCCCCCCCCGGGGCTGCTGGGGTCATCCCCAACACGTAATCACAGTTGCGCATCTGTTCCCTATCGTTTTCTCGATCCAGTAACTTACAGTCCGTATTTATTGGCCGTGTCCGTGCCTCGCCCTCGGTTTACCCTTTACCTACTATTCCCATTCCTGTTCTCCCACCAGAACGTCCACGACCCCAGCGTCTCAACTGCCACACCACTACACATCGATGAAGAAAACCTCATCTGACCAGCAGTCTTCTTTTACAGATCGAATACGCTCATGGGCTAGAACAACTGCGCATGGAGGTGGAAGGCGACCCGAACCCGCTCTTCCCTTAACGAATCCGTCGACCTCGGCCTCGGCCTCTGTACAAGAGAAATATGCCAGCCGTAGTGGTTCCAACAGCGACCCGGCTGCTCTCAGCAGCGTCAATCAGCCAGGTGCCGGTGGTCTACCGGATACCGACAATGCCAACAAGCCAGCTGGCGCGGCATCTGAAGCTGAGGGGTCGGGGGCTGTCGTAGAACAGATTGGTGATCAGAAGAAGAACAAGCCCAATGTCGCCATGCGATTTTGGATCAATACCAAAAAGACCATGATGCATAGCTGGATCAATGTGCTCCTCGTGTTTGTGCCCGTCGGTATTGTCGTTGCGCAAATCAAGGGCATACACCCGGGCATCGTCTTTGGAATGAACGCCATCGCCATCATCCCCCTGGCTGGCCTTTTGTCCCATGCTACCGAGTCCGTTGCACGAAAGCTCGGCGATGCGATTGGTGCTCTTCTCAATGTTACCTTCGGTAACGCTGTCGAGTTGATCATCTTCATCATTGCCTTGGTGAAGGGCGAGATTCGCATTGTCCAGGCCTCGTTGCTGGGTTCCATCCTGGCGAATCTGCTCCTGATTCTCGGTATGGCTTTCTTCCTTGGTGGCCTCCGATTCCGTGAGCAGATCTACAATAGCACTGTCACCCAGATGAGCGCCTGTCTCCTCAGTTTGAGTGTCATTAGTCTGGTTCTGCCAACCGCCTTTCACGCGTCGTTCGACAAGGAGGACCTGGCAGATGAGCGTTCGCTTCAGATCAGCCGTGGCACCAGTGTCATCTTGCTGCTAGTCTACATCGTCTATCTGCTGTTCCAGCTCAAGTCGCACGCATACATGTACGAGTCGACCCCGCAGCACATCATTGACGAAGAATCCACCCCCGGTCCAGCCGCTGCTTGGCTCGATACCTCTAGTTCAGAATCGAGTTCTTCGTCAGACTCGGACAGCGACGGCTCAAGTCATTCCAGCAACACTGTTTCCAAGCGTGTCAGGAGGGCTATCCGTGCCCGACGCCGCAGAAAGTCCAGTGTTGCTTCTGTTGATACCGATGCCAAAACGGCGTCTCTTGGCACTGGCAACACCAGCCCGTTGGTTGAAGGATCCAAGTCTGGCGACTCCAGTACCCCGGGTTTCTTCCCCCGGCCTACTACGCGGGGAAGCGACGAGGTCATTGAGGAGGAGCCTCCTAAACGCCATGGCAAGAGGAAGCATAAGCACTCGAAACGCAAGCATCACAGACGCAGAACCAATTCTACCCCTCTAGACAACGAAAACAACGAGACTGTCACCTCGCCCACCGAGAACGTAGCAGGCCTTGCTGTTGGTAGTATCCTTGCAAATGACCATAGTAACGGCGAACCTCGCCGCGTCGACTTTGCGGACACTGTCGCAAGTCTCGACGGCAACGGTGACACGTCGCATTCTGCGACCAAGCGCCCCTTCAACAACCTGCGTGGCTTTTCGTTCCGACCCGTCAAAAACATCGCACCCCCTGTTTTCAGCCAGTCGCTTGAGGTCAACCCGCCAGCTCCCAAGGCCGGCCAAGTGCCCCGGGTCCGATATGGTATCCGCCGCACCAACTCGCTGCCTGGCCGTCTCAACCAGTACCAGTATCGACCACCGGGAGCCATGATGCCGGCCCAGATCCCGCCCTCTGCTGCGAACGAGATTGACCCGGCATCAGAAGAAGCTCACGAGGATGATCTCTCCCGAAATGCTGCTGTAGTCATGCTCCTCATGTCCACCGCCCTCGTCGCCGTTTGTGCCGAGTTCATGGTTGACTCGATCAAGGATGTGGTTGAGACCACCGGGATTGGCGAGACGTTTATCGGTCTCATCATTCTGCCCATTGTCGGCAATGCTGCAGAGCACGTGACCGCCATCACCGTCGCGATGAAGAACAAAATGGATCTCGCCATAGGTGTAGCCGTGGGCAGTTCTATTCAGATTGCTCTCTTTGTCACGCCTCTGGTGGTTATCTTGGGATGGATCCTGAACCAGGCCATGACGCTGTACTTTACCCTGTTTGAGACGGTATCGTTGTTTGTCTCGACCTTCATCGTCAACTTCCTCGTCCTGGATGGTAGGAGCAACTATCTGGAAGGTGCTTTGCTCTGCGCCACATACGTTATCATTGCCGTGGCGGCCTATTTCTACCCTCCAGAGGACCAAGCTAGCAAATGGGGTAGTTAAAACCCAGCAATCCGTCGTTTGCTGCGCCGCAGCCCTCGGACAGGGTTGAGTTTCGATGAATGTATGTGGGTGGCGGTAGTTGAGGAGATGGAGGCCCAGTCGGTATACGAAGGAACTGGTTGCACTACTCGACGTGAACATAGCGCGAGTATGACGGAGGCAGATTTGCAGATACCCAAGGTAGTCAGCCAACTTGGCCCTTGCAGTCAGATATTTAATAAGCGCATGTAGCCATGTTGCTACATGGTGCATTTAGTCGGTCCTTGAACCTCGTGCTTCCCACCTCGCTCACAATCCGTGACATTGACGTGTTGCTATTGTCTAGATAAAGGCAAGAGATTCTCTCTATTATGGCCGCATTGGCGAATTGGTGAGTACGGATGGTGCGCGCAGCATTACGGAGGCGAGTAAGTGTAATTGCCTGCCTCGAGAACCCTGAAACTTGATTCATGCGCCGCAGAGAGTGCTGCAGAAGGCAGTCTTCGCAGCCCTTCACACGTATGGAGCATGCCACGCTGGTGCGGCCAGTGCCATTCTGCCGTCGGCTACGGGACTTGCACGTATGTGGTTGGGTACGGACGGACCATGGAACCGTGGCTCGGTGGAAGCTTCACCTCTCGCGAATCCGGGGGAGAACGGAGGAGTGGTGGGGCCAGTCGCCATGCTGCCTTGCCCGAAACGGCTCGGCTAGCGGTGGGTGGCCACTCCGACCGTCGACTCCGTCATTCCAAGCTATCCAACACTTGGGCAAATACTGACGAGCTGCGCCAGTCATCGCCAGCCATCGCCAGCTTGGCGGTCTTGCACAGCCTCCGTAGCCAAAGCACCTTCCGTAGGGAAATCAAGTCATCCATCCCAAGCGCGACCCTTTGGGCCTGCAAGAACGAAACTGCCTTGTCTTGCCTTGCTGCGCCCTTCGAGTCTTGAATTCACCTCGTGCCGTCATCATCCGGATCCGCACCGCCCGGCCCTTCTGTGAATCCATACTCGAGACTTCAGGCAGCGACCCAACCAAGCTTCTGCTTGAGCTATTTCCCAATCTTCACTATCGCGCTCATAATCCACGTTGCCTTCTTCCTGCGATCCTACCACTGCCCTAGGTTAGAATCACGGCCTCCAAGACACACTCTCGCGGGCGACAGAAGGAAGACTCACAACGAATACGTGCGCGCCATGTGCTTCGGCAGCAAGGACAACTCGAGCGCCCCGGCTCCCAAGCCAGCCCAGATCCCGCAGCAGCAGCCAACGAACAGCTCATATCCATCGAAAGCCATGGGCAACTCGAGCTACGATGCGCCTCCCCCGGGCCCGCCTCCCAGCCATCATGCCGGCCCCTCGACCGATTACGCCCCGCCTCCTGGACCTCCGCCGTCGAAGGGCCGCAATGGTGACTTTGCTCCCCCACCAGGCCCGCCTCCTGCGAGGAGGGTGAACGAAGACTACGCTCCTCCGTCAGGCCCACCTCCCGCAAGGAATGCGAACGACGACTATGCTCCGCCCCCCGGACCTCCTCCCTCCCACGACTACGCGCCGCCGCCTGGTCCCCCGCCTACTCAGGAGCCCAAGAAGCACGCCTGGGAGGAAGCCGTGCCGGACACCTCCCTACTTCCTCCGCCCCCAGACTACTTCGGCAGCTTCGACCGCTCGCCAACCAACAATGCGACAGAGCAGGAGGCAGAGGCAGGAGAGAGCTGGTGCCGACAGTACCAGTTGTATCCTCCAATCCAGCCTGGCCAGCAGGTTCTGGATGCCCTCAAGGTTGGCAACATCAATCTCTTCACCCCACCGTTCTTCAAGGGCGCCTTAGCCCAGATCGGGCTCGGTGTATGGAAAGGTCACAGCTACAGCGGGAGCCCCGACACCTGCATCGCGTCGTACCCGCCCTTGTACAGCGTCGCCGCGCACAGTCCTCTGGCCACCGGCCGGAAGAAGACCATCTACTACGAAGTCAACATACTCTCGGATAGCCGTCGGGAGGTGAGCCTTGCGCTTGGTTTCAATGCCCCGCCGTATCCTTCGTTCCGGCTCCCAGGGTGGCACCGTGGCAGTCTGGCCGTGCACGGTGACGATGGGCATAAGTTCACCAACGATCGATGGGGCGGCAAGAGCTTTACCGGAGCTTTCAAGCGAGGAGAGACCTTGGGCATCGGCATTGACCTCAGCCCTGGCCATGGCGGCGGTATCAGCATTGAAGTATTTTTCACGAGAGACGGTAGAGAAGTTGGCAGATGGAATTTGCATGAGGAGAGAGACCAGGAGCGTGACTTGACTGTCGAGGGTCTTGAGGGGTTCCATGACCTATGTGCGGCAATTGGTGTCTTTGACAAAGTAAATTTCGAGATAGTCTTTGCGCCTGGCAAATGGAAGTGGAAGGGCTACCAAGGCTAATGGAACATGATACCCATACTGTGGAGCGCCGGCTTACGAAAGTCGGACAAGGAAGCTTATGCACAAGAAGCAGTAGCTGTATAGCCAATTAGGGTAGAGGATATACATAATGATTTCGCTATGACTTATATGCAGCCTTGCGAATTATCACTTAGCAGTCCAAGGTGAGCCCATCATCAGTCGTAAACCAAGGGCAAATGCGACCGAGAGCATGATGGCAAATCCAGTAAATAGCTGCACGCCGAGATAACCACCAGCGCTTTGCAGTATAGCACCTGCAATAGGAGGCCCAGCCAAGGATCCGATTCCCTTCAGAATAGACAGAGCTCCAAGCCGCGTGCCTAGGTATGCTAGATCATCCGTGATGGTTGTTAGAACCACAGGTTGGAAAGCAACAACACCGCCGGAGAAGAATCCATACAGCACAGCGAAGGAGATGTTCCTCGCGGCGTCGTTGGCGTTGATCCAGTAGAAGACGCTGGCGCCGCTGAGAAAGTAGATGATGATGAACGTGTTTACGACGCCGAGCTTCCCAGCCATAGCCGAAGGCACCAGGCGCCCGAATATCGAGGACCCGTTCAGAATAGCTAGCAAGTAGCCGGCCACCGTCTGGCCTCTCATGCCGTGGTCCAAGGCATAGCTTTGCAGATAGTAGAGCGGCTCAAAGAACGCCACGTTGTTGAAGAAGACGGCAATGACGAAGATGATGTACTGCCTCTCCCCGAGCCGCGCTTCTCGGACAATCGACCCGATCGACCGCATCTTCTGCGAAGCACCAACCGTCTTCTTGTACCGCGGCTTCGTGACGACAATGGCGAACACGCAGAAGGCGAAGGAGATGAACCCCAGCACCCGCACGGTCCACGCGAACCCGATGCGCGTCTGCAGCGCCTGGAACATGATGGGGTACGCCGTGGAGCCCAGGCCGCTGCCGAGCGTCGCGGCGCTCATGGCCCAGGTGCGCCGCGGCGGCGTGAAGTACATGGGCACGAGGGCGATGGACGGGATGGCCAGGCAGCTGGTGCCGAGGCCGATGCAGACGCCCTGCGCGAGAAAGACCTGCCAGTACGCCGCGGCGACGCTCGTCGTCATGAAGCCCACCGCCAGCAGGCACGTCCCCGCCACCAGCAGCGCCCGGCAGTGGCCCGCGTCGAACAGCGGGCCCACGAAGACCCCGACCGACATCAGGAAGAAGGCCTGGATCGAGCCGATCCACGAGATGGCCGACGCCGAGCTGTCCCGCAGCAGCTCCTTTTCATAGTATGTTTGGAAGACCCCGAAGGTGTTGAGGAGCCCGCTGTATCCTGGTCAGTATGGGTTGAGGGCTAAGGGTTCGGGCGACCCGCGACGACGCTCACAGAGTGTTCAGGTATAGGGCGAAACACCCTGCAACATTCAGCCATGCGACATGGCCGCCGTTTGGGGGAGGGCCCTCTTGGTCGACGGGCGCATCTTCCGAGTCGGTGGTCTCCGAGGCCACGGCTACGTCTTTGGGTGCCGGGACATCGATCGACGCCGACATGAGGCAGCGGTGCGACTATACTGTTGATAACAGTATAGAACGTGCAATAAGGTTTACTTGCAAACCAAAAGGTCGCGGGTTGCCAATTTCGGAGGTTGTTTATACTTGGTATGCGACCCAGTCGCCTAAGCTGTTGCAGATTCTAGCGGCAGCCGATGTCGGGTATTACGGGGAAATAATTGCCCCCGACTAAGTTGGATTGTGCCTTTGGAGAGACATCTCCAATAGGTACTCCAGGGATCATCAGAAGGTTGCAATAAGATAATTATAAGACAGGAGATCACTGTGTGCCCCAGGTTTTGGATTGTTGTCGTCGTTGACTGCCAGCTGGCTTCGTACTAGCACATACCGCGAGTTGTCCCACGACGAAGAGTGCTCAGTATTATGCAAGTTTTACATCCCGTTCATTATACTATCTTCACTACACTCTGTCAGGAGAATGTTGTGTTTGGCCTCTGCTGCTGCTAAAACTTCTTGCAGGGGCCCTTTGGGCGTTCGTGGGCTCATACGTCACTTGAACAGTGACTGTCCTGGAGTTGATGATGGCATCGTCGCTTTCGTAGCCCGCCTTTGCGTCCTCTTCAGATGACTGTGTTTCTAACCCTCCGCGAATGTTCGTCACGTTATCATGGTACTCGACGTCCGGTCGTAGATTGCCCACATCGTCCATGCCATGGTCGTCGTCGTCGAGTCGGGTAGCTTGGGTGCGCATCAGGGTGTCGAATCGAGACTTCTGTCCCTTATTGTATTTCGGGCCGCTGCCAAACGTTCGCAGTGGGTATCGATTCTGTGGTTGTGTGGAATCTCCGGTTGAGACTTTCTCGCCGATGAAGGTTGGTGCAATGTGCCTGAAGAACCGCCTCAATGTTGGTAGGCAACAACACATGATCAGGAGGTTCGACTCGATGCAGCTACCATTGTGTGAGTTCTTCCCCATACATTCGGTCTAAAGGCTTTACTTACATCCAAAGAGTCCCTTGGGTGAGAGCATATGTCTGATCCGGGTTGGCCAGGCTTGGCAGCAATATAATCAGACGAACGATGGACGTAACCACAGTTCTGAAGCGGGTCAGTATATTGCCCAAAGACTCTGCGCTTCGTCGAGGGAATTGTAGTTACATACATTGACCCAATAGCAAACAACAGAACCACGATGATCTTCTGTCTAGTAGGTATGTTGAGACCTATAACCACCGGAATTGGAAGCGCGAGAAGAATGACGTCTGTAATGATTCCTATCCCAGCAGTGGCCACGTAGATGGCCGGTCTGTCTAGACATTGAGCCGTCACAGCCAACGTTGGTTCCCAACTGGCTGCCAATGGTTTGCAGGCAAAGACAAGACTGAAGAATATGCCCATTGAGGACCCCACGCAGATGAACATGGTGATCCATACGAATATCTGGTAGGTTCTGAATGGAGACAGTCTCCTATAAAAGAAGCACAGAGTGGCTTTGGCTGAGGCAACAGTGAAGGTATAGACAAGCGGCGCAGCAAATATAACCTATTTGGATAATTTGCGGTCAGTGACATGCGGTCAGTGACATTGGCGACCTACATGGGATAAACTGTGTCAATTGAGGTTTTACTTACACGGCTGAAGTATTGGTAACGTTCTAGCGGCATTTCCCAGGCATGCACCCCGACAGCTTTCACTACGTAGAGCTGTATCAACTCGGCCTGGGTGCCTATTGAAGTCGCCCAAGCGAGAATAACAGTTGCTAGACTGAATTTAGCGTGCAATGCCCAACGAATTATGGAAGCGTCGTGCGCTGACACTGGCTGCTTACCGTCTTCGATCTGGAACTCTTTCATGAGAACAATCTTTGTGTAGAGGCGTTGACAGAGAAATGCGAAAGCGAGGATGTTCTCCACGATGACCACAGCAAAGATTTCTGTCCGCCCGATCTGTGGCGGATTTTCGAAGTTCACCACATAGCCAGCTGGCGGCGCCAGTATGACTTCGGTGCCATTGACATTGACCATCTCGGTCAGAACTTGCCTCGAACCTTACTCCAAACCCTCCGAACCCAATTCCTCCTTCGTGTACAGGAATCGTTTTAAAGTATATTGGACGACGAGATTCAATTCACGATGTCAGAAGTTGCCAGCTCGTTGTGATCCACCGCTCCAGGGCGACGACGCATTTAGCGAAAGAGAAACGACATTGCATCTGGAATTGAATTGAAGTTGCGATAAGAATGTGACCACGGCGAGGTCGTCGAAAATCCTGGCAGTCGCTAGTCGCGATATGCACATTTGCAGCGGCTGACTCGAGCCCTGCGTATGTTGTATGCAGTTGTACTTTCCAAGCAGGCTCTGAGACAAGACCAATCAAAAGGAACGTTGACGCGTATTTAGTGGCTGGTACTTCCAGAAGGAATAGTAGGACCCTTGCTGTCGGAAAACTGCCCTCGGTTTCATGACCAGGCACACTGACCCCAGGCAAACCCGGCAATTTGACTACAAACCTAATCTCATGGAGCCATGCCGACGCTCGCTGGAAGCAAACCTGAATATCACTGCCCTAGGACATACGCTTATTGCAACACAGAATCGGTCAACTCGTGCAGTTGAACCTCAAGTAAGGCTCAGCTACACAACAGGCCGACTATTAGGCAGAAAGCCCTGGCACAAGTACCTTCAATAAAACGGAATACACCATCTATTCACCTATCATCAGCTACTTGATGCAGCACGTTGAGCCATACCTGAGAAGAAACTACTGTGTATGCAGTTGTGGTCGCAGACAGGACCCCCACGACGATGCATTTACTTAGACTCATTATTATGTCAAGCAGGTAGCCGGCTTCGCCAACATGAGAGAAAGCCAAGCCAAGCCAAGCCAAACTAAAGCATGGCTAGATGATCTCTGTACACTTGGACCCTGTAGCCGGTTTTTACCCGCCTGCCTTGCTCCTCAGCTTCGCAAACCTGACAGCGTGAAACCTGTCTATCGGCGGCGACCATTCACCACAACTGCCAAGTCCCACGTTTTCGAGAGGGTATGCATGCAAGCTGTGATGCTACTGTGTACTCACAGAGCCTCCGAAATTGCTCTGGACCCAACGGAGCGGTTTTCCCATCTAGATTTAGTGTGGCAAACGGGTTCGACCGACTGGGCTCGCTGAAGGTTTGCTACAGGAAATATTGAAGTCGATCACTGTCAAAAGCCCTGTGGGATCGCATGTGTCATCCGATGCCAGCACAGGGTCATATTTAATTTGCCAGCCTTCCCCGCTGAAGGCCAGGGCCCTGGTCCGCATACTCTTGGCAGTTTGCGCAATACGACTTCGCTCGGGAGTCCAGGAAAAGTCAGACCGTCTTCTTTTCCGAAAGGAAAACACAGCACCAGGACAGCAAGTGACTTTGCGGCCTGTAGAAATAAATGCCGCGTGGCGGAGCGTTGCCACGGTATGAAAGGTATCAGCCCACTACAGGATCCAACTTTTTCCAGTGTTCATGTAAACAGTATACTTTTTTTGTGCCAGCGGGGTTGTTGGGTGTTCTCGGGAGTTCCTGACTAGTTCCCGGCGTTTAGGTCGTCCGTGAGCTGCAGGTTATACATGGGTGTTAGCCATGAGGGTGTACGGAGCTCATCATTGGCAGGAGACATCGGTCCCACCGGGGAAGGTTCCCGTCCGCACAAGGCCCTCGTGGGGCCCCGTCTTATCCCACAATTTCTTGTCCATAGGTACAGCGCGGGCACTATCAAACTGCGAACCCAGTGCCGGCATTGTTTGTTCACCATACGGGTAGTGTCATCCGCAGAACCCCAGTAGAGAGCCCAGTTCAAGAAATTTGGGTTTCCACTACTCCTGGAAAAAAGGTGACCTGGGAACGCCGAAGTAGCTGGATTAAGCCTCGGTCCGTGATTACCCCTGTTTCTTTCCCCCGATTGTTCATTGCGGATACGGTGGCAATGCTGAATGCTGGACTATTGAGTGGCCATCACTAGCTAGAGATGGCATAGGATGTGCGGGACGGATATCGCTTCCCCTAACAAAAGGGCACGCTCGCCCAAGCGCTCGACCGTACCATTCTAGCTCTGTTTGCGTTCCATAAGCTCAACCAGATCCGAGAGTTCACGAGCCAAGCCTCTGCCAATCATCGCGTGTGATTTGTCAATATGCAGCACCCACTCTCACCCGGTGTTGTGGCCTCAGCGCTCCTCGCTTGCCCGGGCGTAGCGGGCTGCAGTAACAGCACGACCTCGTCCTGTGTAGGTGGCCCTGATGTAAGATATGGGCACCGCTGATACATTGCAGTGCCAAGCTTTGGAAGGTGCTGGTGTTGGTGTCATTTACCCTGGTAGTGAGCTTTATGGGAACCGTACCGAGTCATACTGGTCCGTCACATCTCAGCTGACACCTTGGTGCATTGTACGTATGCTTGCTTTTTATATTCTACTGGAACCTAGTTTCGAGCGTCCAAGAGCAGATATCTTTCCCAGTTTAGGTGTATTAGATGCAGACACTGAGACCTGCTCCAGGCCCAACCAACGTCTGCACAAGAAGTGTCCACAGCGGTGGTCACCTTAGTCCAGGATACATCATGTCAATTCGCTATCCGCAGCGGTGGGCACTTTATCTGGCCTGCGAACAATAGTGAGTGTCTCACTCGATGTAGTTACAGCCGAAGCTAACACAAAAGTTCAGTCGAGGAAGGTGTCACTGTCGACTTGGGTCTAATGAACGCAACCACGTATGACGAAGAAACACAGGTAGCGTCGATATACCCAGGGTCAAGATGGAGAGGTGTCTACGAGACGTTGGACCCACATAACGTCACCGTTCCTGGAGGCCGTGCTGCTTCAGTCGGCGTTGCTGGATTCCTCACGGGGGGTGGTAATTCCTTTTACTCGGCTCGAAAAGGATTCGCATGCGACAATGTAGTCAACTTCGAAGTTGTGCTGGCTAACGGGTTAGTCAAAAGTGAAATTTCCGGTCGACTGTCCATGACTGACCTTGGATAGGGAAATCATCAATGCTAACGCTACCGATAACTCTGACCTCTTTCAATCCCTCAAGGGCGGTCAGTCCAACTTCGGAATCGTCACACGATTTGATATGCAAGCCTTCGATGCTCCTCCGTTGTGGGGAGGTGTTGTGCAGTATAACAAGACCACAGGCCCACAACACATCGATGCATATGTCGATTGGACGAACAACGTCCAGAATGATGTGAATGGCTCAACAATCATTTTCTGGTCTTATCAGCCTGCGCTGAAAGATATTGTCATTATCGCCGCCTACGAGGATACTGGCGGCAATGTGGCTGCTCCAGCATTCGACCAGTTTCTCGCTATTCCTGGGAACCTTTCGAGCACAATGAGGATTGCCAGTCACCTAGAGCTCACCAACGAACTCGAGCAACCGACAGGATACCGAGATATCTGGTGGACCGGCACAATCAAGAATGACAAGCGCGTGTACGAGAAGATTATTGAGCTTCATCAGGAGCTCTGCGACTTTATGGCCGCTCAGTCACCTGATGGCGATTTCGTTACCCAGGCTATGTTCCAGTCCATCCCGACCATCTTCTCACAGCACGGCGTAGAGAAAGGCGGCAATGTGCTTGGCCTCGACCGCGAGACCGAGAATGTGGTCATGTTGCTCTTCACCCTTGCCGTCAACGGGGAAGAGCAACAAGCAGTTGCTCAAGAGCAGATGAGAAAGTTTGGAGAAGCGACTATGGAGTACGCTAGTAGCATCGATGCTGCAGTGGAGTGGGAGTACATTAACTATTCATACGATTACCAGAATCCTCTGGCGAGTTACGGTGATGCAAACATCGCTAAGATCCGAGCAGCAGCAGCAAAGTACGACCCTTCCGGAGTGTTCCAGACCCGTGCTCCTGGTGGTTACAAGATCACTCGAAGCAGTGGAACAGTAGCATAAGATACGTAGCCAACAGCAGTTAGGGTTTGGTACCTAGCGTTACAAGAAGTAATACCGTACGAGTGGCCGGATGCCACTGAACCCCAATGATGCAAGTCTCTACAGCTGCTCTATGAATCCATTCCGGTCGTGGATTTGGTATGAGTCCAAGTTAGCCTGTTTTTCATCGGATACGACGCTCCGGTGTCATAAAAAATCTTGTGTCAGGATCATCGTGAAGCTATTTTAGCGGCGGGATCACCAATGCACACGTCAAAACTAAAAGTAACCAATTTCATTTACACCCGGTGGCTGGCCTGATTAAGTACCGGAAATGCACAAGGCCGACGTACAAATACCCATCTGGGAGCCGAAATGGCTCCTTCTTGAAACCAACCTCACTGCATGGCTAGTTGTGGTAGACGTTGGCAAGGTTAAGCCGTCCAATGGGGTATGGATGTGCCTTATTAAAAATTAACCCCTGAATCTTGGATCCATATATCCAGCAGCAGTTCGTCACGACTCGGGGAATGATTTGATAGATTATTACTCGCGATTTAGAGCAGGTTTCTCAATCAAAACATAAATACCTGTCAGGGCACCCGTATTCAGCAGTCATGAGCACTCAGATCAGTCAAATCCAAGCAGAAAATCACCCGCACGGTTTCGCTTATTCGTTTTCACCAGGACACGGTATTCCGCGCGTTGTAACTCCCGGCTTATCCTTGCCAACAGTAGATCCAATTCAGTTTCAGCCTGTTCTACGGTCGAAACGGTCAAACGAGGCTCAACGCCTGAGAAATGGGGAGATCTGTCTCCACCGAAAGTACTTGGCCATTCTGTTTCGACCACTATCTAGGAGATATAGATTCGAGGAAGATGAGATACATCCAGGCGTCAATGTCCAATCAACGGATATGTAGCGTCCTTTTCCATAGCCTTACAATGAAGGTAAGCCATGTCCGGTCGAGTTCTACTTCCTTGAAGCCGATCACAGATGGAGATGCAAATTCTCACAATCAATCAAAATGTTACTACCGTTCTCAATACGATGCTTTGGGCATTAGGACGGTTGACGGGTCACATTTTGGAGGACACCGGAGGTGCAGGGATTGTAAGAGTCGGCGATCAGCAAGGGCTAATTTATTAACTTGTTTGAACTGGGCTAATCAAATGCCTATCATTTAAATGGAACTAATCTTGACGCACGGAGATCCTTAGACAAAAGTTGCTGGTGGATTGTAGGCAGCGGTCACGTTCAAGATTCCGATACAAAATAGAGAATGCTAAAAGCGGTGATGGATGAGTGAAAATGTGCTGCTGCTCGGTTGGTGGTTATCGTTATCGTCCATCAGTGTGAAAGAACTGTACTCCTACTTGAAGTCAGACTAATGGTATTGTAATAACGTTAAGTGCTGGCGAGAAAAGAAATAGGGGAAAGATAGTATATTGAATGAGGCTATGGCACTAGTATAAACGAATGGAAATACCCGCGCTATGTACAGCCCTAATCTCGCCATTGGGGTGTCTTGCAGATGAATTCAATCTGATTTGTTCATGGTTCCATTAAACCTTGACCGTGGAGCCAACGGGCCCAAAGCGGATATTCGACCAAACCACCTTGCTATAATATTGTAAGTGAAAGGAACGACAGCAGCTTATTGGTAAACTTACGCGTCGGGAATCTTGGACTCAACATCAGACGGCACACCTGAGTCCTGGGCACAGTCACCACGGGCAGCTCCAGGTGAGCCTGCCTTCTCAGGAGGGTAGGTAGAGTCAAGCCAGAGCATGTTCGCATAGTGCTAATTGTGGGTCAGCTGCCTTCGTTTCGATGGGCTAATAGTAAGAAAAGACTCACGTCATCCCAGATGGACATCACAAGCACCATAGGCACCTGTAATGCTTTGTTGAGCTGCGGGAACCCGCCAACCTCAGAGAAGCGGTCTCTATCTCCGAATGCTTTGAACTGGTTTGTGCAGAAGTCCGGAGTAATAGCACTGCTTGAAGAGATGCTGCTATCACTAGGTGGCGGAATCTCGATCTTCTTTCCGTTCTGTACGAAGAATTGTGTCACCTTGCTCTCCTGGAATTGTGTCACAACACTCCAAAGCCTGTCAGCGCACATAAATCCGAGCCTAAAGTTTACATGAGAGCTTACGTGAATTTCTTGCTGCTGTCCAGAGTCTTGCCCTTGCCATAGAAGTCCTGGTTACCCATACGGTAGGGGTTGTAGTCGCATCCGTTGGCATCGCACTTGCCTGCAAATCGGTCTTCGGAGTATGTACCACCGCAATTCGACTCTGTGCAGACGTGGTAGTTGTTATCAGTGCAAGGGTGAGGAGTCAGGGCGAATGAGTGAGAGTTAGACTCCCTTATACGCTTCGATTAGTGACTGAATGGAATGGCAATGGAGTCTTTTATCCTACCAAACATCAATCTCGGCACAGCAGGCGCCCATTGGTCCGACACCGGCATTCTTGTCGTTAGAAGATGGCTTCCAGCCCTCGATATTAGCCTACATGACGAAGGTTAGTCTGTGAACAGGTATATATATATATCAACACTTGTAGAACATACCTTGCCACCAACAAATTTGAGATCTCTTGCGCATTGGGCATCGCAGTATCCCGTGCCGTATTTCGCACCGGCTTTGTTGGTCGAGTAGCTCTTCATGCCGCCATCCTCTTCCATAGCGACAAAATACAATGCTGCATTCAATCCGCAGTCAACAGTAGACAAGTCGACATCGAACGCAAACTCATTGTTCATGAGTGTAAACATTTGGTACTTGGAAGCACCGTTCATCAAGTAGAACCGGGAGCCGATATTAGTGCCATACTCATGCTTCGTAACAAACTTCAGAGTCAAAGCGTCGCCACTGGTTGAAGCTCCGTACGTCTTGGAGTAATCAGCTCCCTCGAGCGCGCACTTGCTGGCACAGTCGGTAGCAGTGCTACAGACGGAGGTCCACTCATTTCCGTCATAGCAGTTCTTGGTGTCGCTGGTTCCGTGAAGCCAGCGCCAGTTAGAGTCGATGACAACCTCTGCATTAGTCTTAGTGCAGCTGCCACCGCTGGTACACTTGCTCCAGGTGAATTTGGGGTGAGTTTCCGTCTGTTGGGTGCCGACTTGCTGGGCGCTTGCAGCAGCCAACAAGTACGCGGTAGCGAGGAGGGACAACATTTTGACTTGAACTTGAAGAATTTTGCAAGGGTGCCTGTCCAGCTTGAAAGACGAGGCATGTTTCGGGAGAAGCTCCCAGAGATATACGATTCCCGAAAACCATGAAAGTCTAGAGATCGGCAGAAGATTCCTGAATTCCAATTTGCCGCCGGGCTGCTAGGTTCCAATGTTTCCAATCTCGTCGTGCCAATGCAGACTACCGGCCTTTCTCGGGTCGTTCTTTGATGAGATCGTCTTTCTTTGGTTATTGATCTTGCGTCACATTACCAAGATCTGGCCTATAGAGACCGCTCGGTAGAATCGGCCGTGGACGCGTTTGAGATGGCTTCCTATGCACAAGATGGAAAGCCCCAATCTCGGGATCAATCAAATATCACGAACCTGGGCGGCCGATTCGTCCGATCGCCGGCTTGTCAACGAACCACAGGGCCCATCTCACCATCCGATTAATCTGGAAACTCTAACTGGGGCAACGCCCGTTGCTCACAACCCACAGGGTCTGGACCTTGTGAAACCATGCTGGATTGGTGTCCTCGGGTGTGTTCATATTTGGGTCGATATGCGGGCTTGCCTAGAATGATCGGATTTAGCCGCCTCTCCTTGAGCCATGTTTTGACGTCGGGGATGTTGCGAGAACACTGAGGATCCACTTCAACGGAGAGACTGTCGCCGGCTTAGGGATTCGGTAGTCTGTTTATGTGGGGAATTACGGGACGCGGCTCGAAGCGACAACGGGCGAAGGCGGCCTCAAGTGGAGACTTTCGCCGGTTGTGGATATCGCAAGAGACGTATGTCGTCGCCGAAGTCTTTGTAGCCCCTTCTTGGTGTCTTGAGATAGCCTTTTGACGTACGCTCCAAGTCTGCCCACCCCGTTCCCCAGCCCGAATCTGGTGTCACAGCCATTGAAGATTTAGATGCAACAACTTGGCGGTGCTAAAGTTTGAGTTGGTTGCATCGAGTGCCACATCTCTTGGCAGGTGCCGGAGAAGGTGGTGATGCCAAGGTGTGGGGTTGGGGTTATATCAGCTGGTTAATTACGACAACGCGTCCGGACTGGTTGACTTTGTCAATTTACAACCCTGGCTAGGAGGCTGCCAATGTGGGATGGTCAAGTTCTGGGGTCTTGGGATCCCGGGGCACCTGAGGACCCTGGGGCCTGATACTCAATCAAGCCTGGCCATCTTGTTTCGTTGCGCCGGGTTTCTAGGCAATTTATGAACCGTAAAAGCAATCTCTTATGACCACTACTGTGCACCTCTTTCGGAACTGGCAGGTGAACAATACAGAGCCTTTTAATTACTATCTACTTTTGCTTCTATGATTCGCAGACTCAAGAAATACTATTTCTCTCGCTCCTTGGTTCAATATAGTACGCCTTGCTCCATCGTGCCTCACAGGATTTCTCCCGGAGTTCCGTTGCCCGCTTTTGTAAACATCCAGGTCCTAACGATAGAGGAAGTCATGAGTCTGAATCATCAATCAACTGCTGTAGCTTTTCCGAAATGTGATCTGTGCTCCAGTTATTCCGCAAGCCTTCCCAGAGAATATCCACTTCGCTGATAGGTGCCATTCCATCTGGGCCTGGAGGCCGTCTGTCCAGATTTGAGGGGAACGGATACCCTTCCGCCATAGCGTTAACACATGCTGCTGTCCTGTGACCTTCTTTATCGTCTCGTGCAAGTTTCTTGAGCTGCTCCCAAGGTTTGCGGATGATCTTGAGGTTGTTGACGCTTTCCATTGGGCGCCCGAATGCGCTGCTGATTTGAAGGAGATTCACACTCCGTTCGATAGTCTTTGTGTCGTTCTGACCTGCGGCATGGAAAAGAGCGGGATTGAAGAAAACCGCGTCTCCTATCTCCATCGGGAGACTGACCCATCTTTCATTGAAGAAATTCGTGAACTCTGGAAGGCGCCACGCCAGGTAGCCTTCAGGCAGGAGTTGTGAGAATGGCAGGAGTCTTGTCGGCCCGCTATCCAGAGGTACAGCTGAATGCGCTATGCCACCTTGAAGGGTGAGATACTGGCTGGCAATTTGCATGCTGCGTGGAAATAGAGCACAAGCATCAGCCGATTGAAATCCCAAGTGATAATCCCTATGCGCTGACTGCGGTTTGCCGCCAGGCCTGACGACATTCAGCTGAGCGGTAATCTGATAAAATGGCCCAAGCCAAGCCTCACTGACTCGGTCAAGCCATGGGTTCGCGTAGTAGTGGACAAAGTTTGCAGGGTCTTGCTCGGCGTGCTTCTGGAAGGAGTTCCAGACGCGTGAGTTGGAACCAGCAGCTGCAAAGTGGTCTCCCTTCGTCGATGCGGCTTCTCTCTTGATAATATTATCAAACACGCCATTTGCTTGTTTGATCACAGAGTGATCACTAAGAAAGTTTTTCAATACCACCACCCCAGGCCCGGCGTTGAGGGCATGGTACCATTCGTCCTGGAGACCGACCACGGCATCAAGGTCTTCTATCGAAGTCGATGCGAGATCGTATATCGGTATATTACGTTCGACGGTCTTCGCTCTGCGGTAATCACTTGACCCAACTTTGGTCTCGCACAGCGTTTTGAGAGCATCCAAAGAGCCTGGGTTCGATACTGCCAATGGTCTGGCAGCGAGCCCAAGTGCTGATATGCCACGGCTTATTGTCCGCTGAAGTCCAGCCATACTCAACGATGATGGGTTGGTGACATGAAGTGCGGCGCCCACATTGCCCCCGGCATGAATCTGCATGCCATGTCGTTGAAGTCAACCTTTCTTTATACAAGTCGGCGCGAGACCACCAGCGCCTACACAACAATAGAGCCACATGCTTCAGGCGGCTGTAGAGTTTCCTATGGGAGTTTGGGAGGATATTAGGCCCGACAAGGCATGCTATTCCGACGCGGTTCCGCTCGTGCCGGGATTAGTACAACGCTAACGAGCGACCTCTGAGCATTGCGGCGCTCGGGGGTTTTTACCGTCCTTGGGAGAGTGGAGCTGAGGAGATACCGGCGCGTCGGCTGCAGCCCCGCCACGCTAGGAATGCATCGGCGGTTCCACTGATAGAGTATGAACGTCACTCGGAGCCGAATAGTTCAGACATTGCTCTTGGCTCCAACCCACGGACCTCGTGGACGTCGGAGCCGACGAGATATCAATACTCCATAGAACAAGTACACCGGCGTTCAAAAGGGGGAAAGCGCTGGCAGAGTTTCTCGTCGCCAATCCGTAGGCAGAGAACTGGAGCATTTTGCAGCAGCATCCAGCCTGTGCTTGATTATCAGGCCACCTGCACCCAAGAGCCAGTTGATTATGGGACCATGGCGCAACGCTACACCTGCATTGACGGCAAGTTGCCCCGCAGGGCAGCGAACTCGGAGATATCTCAACGTTATCTTACAAGGTGCGGCGCTGTACATTTCACGTATATATATAACAGCGGCATCTTCGAGGCTTTGTGAATCGCGGCATGGAATTCGTTGCACCGTTCCTGGGATTGTATAAATATATTTCATAAGTATATCAAAATGGAGAAGCCTATTGTCCTTCAAATGGGGGATGACATCCGCTGGAACCTTCAACAGTATGACGACTTCAAGCTGAAATTTGAGATCCGACGGTCATTCAGTATGCCACGGCCGGAGTTCATACAAGCGCTGAAGAACAAGACCTTTGGGGAGTTTTTCGCCATCTACCGCCCCTACTGGAACACGGGAGGCGAGGTGGGCAATTGGGATGACGAGCTTATATCGCTATTGCCAGATTCATGCAAGATCATCGCTAGTGCGGGAGCTGGATTCGACTGGGTAGACACTGAGTGCCTGGCGAGAAAAGGTGAGAAGCCCCGTGATTCAGAACGATGCAAGGAGAAAAGTGCTTGTCTCGGTATACTTTGAGGTCTCGCTGACCCCTCTACCTAGGTGTTACGTACTGCAATTCTGCTGCTGCATGTACAGAATCCGTAGCCGACGCAGGGCTCTGGCTCATCATCTCGACGTTTCGGCTATTTTCGTGGTCTGCTTTGGCTGCCCGCTCAGGAGTCCCAGAACAATTTTCGGACGTCCACAACAACTTGGCAGCGGTCACGCGGAACCCGAATGGGTTCACTCTTGGTATCATCGGGTATGGGCGGATTGGGCGGAGAATCGCCGAGAAGGCGCATGCCGCCTTAAACATGAAGATTCTCTATCACGACATTGTCGAGATTCCGTCCCCCGTACCCGCAGCCTACCACAAAAACATGGACACCCTGCTCGCTGAAGCTGACTGCGTGCTGCTCGCCGCGCCCTATTCACAAAAGACTCTGATTGATGAAGCCACTCTGTCCAAGATGAAGAAGGGCGCGAGACTTGTCAATATCGCCAGAGGCAGACTGATCGATGAGAATGCTCTCGTTTCGGCTCTCAAGAGTGGCCAGATCTACTCAGCTGGACTGGATGTGCACTTCGACGAGCCGAACGTAAACAAGGAGCTGATCAATATGAGGAATGTCGAGCTTCTGTCTCACAATGCCGGCGCCTCGCTGGACTCACATATCGGGTTTGCGAGGCTCGGTATGGAGAATATCGTGTCTTTCAGCGAGACAGGCAAAGCGGTCTCGCCTGTGAACGCGCATCTCATTGAACAAAGCCGGCTTTAACCAAGCCTTCAATTGCTTGACGCTCATGTTAAGAATTGTAAACTTGCTTGAGGGTTCGGAAGCACAATATTCGACATCCAAAACGATGGACTGCGTTCGGCTGGCATTTACGGGAAGCGGATTATACTCTCACTCTGGTTGTGTAGGCTCCCAAAGAATCAGCTTGATGGTATTCATCACTTGTTTGGTCTGCCGGGGTGGCTGATGGGTTAGACCGCCAGACCTGTATCTATTTTTCGGCTTCACTAATTGAATATCACGCTGATCCGTGAACAAGAATAGACAAAAGTTATCAATAGATCATCAAAAGGACTCCAGAATTCCCAATGACGCTAATGACAGATCGTCTCCAATAAGAGATCAAATGTCCTTTTTGGAGTAAATAGTTCAACCCATGCCTAAACCGCCACAACATGATATAGAGCAATTACTTCCAAAGATAGTAGAGTGAATCCTTGTCTTGACCATTCAGAATCTTCTGGAATAGCTCGGAGACGGTCTCGCCCTTGACGTCGGGATATAACTCTTTGAAATCCAAGTAGCCAAAGATTTTGGCCTTTGCGGGGGTATTATCGCCTCGGATTCCCAAATTGTTTTGGTACTGGAAAAAGAATAGCTGCATAAGAGCTGCGTCGTTCTTCGGGTCCTTGCTCAGAGTTTCCTCAGCCTCGTCGATCTTCTGCTTGACCTCACTGGCGGGAACATAAGACCTTGCAGTCTTCTCGCCACTGAGCCGCTCCATAAGGTCGTGAACTTCGTGATACGTGTGCACGTCGGTGTAAGCAAACACTTTCTTGTTGAGTGTCCTAGGGTCGACGATGATCTTCGCAACGTAGTTCCCAATGTCGGCGAGTGCCGTAAGCGCCACAGGCATAGTGCCGTCGCCAGGGATTTTCTCGAAGTAAGGGCTTTGATATTTCTGCGTTCGTCCAGAAGGAATCGACGGCACAACCTGTTCCGACCACCAGCCCACGTCGATACTCGTCCACGGGAGGTACACCCGTTGGATTGCAGCGAGAATGTCGTCTTTCTGTGGTAATATTAGCCCCGTACTCGGAAGATTGGTGGCAGTTCAGCTTACCCAGTCGTACATTCTCATGGCTCCTCTCGGCGATGGTGTCATGAATGAACACGGGACAAATCGTTTCACTCCGGCCTCCTTAGCCGCTTCCGCCAAGGGAATTTGATCGAAAAGATTTCTCCAGAAGGTAGCTGATATGACTATATCTATGCCGGTCAAAACATCGACAAGACGTTCCTTGGGGCCAAGCAAATCTGCTGCGACAACTTGAACGCCGCGGTCTTTGAGTTTTTGATTCTCGGGCTTGCCCAGTGAGGATTCACGTGTCAACGCCGTAACAGCCTTTCCCTTGTCAGTATTGAAGAAAGGGGCCTGAGAAACAAATGACGAACAAAATCGGTTGTCGAATTCAACAGCCCTTCAACCACAGACATTCCTGTTCTTCCTGTGGCACCAACGACGAGGACTTTGATTGGTGTCGACATGTTGAAAGCAGCAGTTTCCTGGTATTGTCCTTTTAAACAATGTTTATCGTCTTATGGCGGTTAATTGATGTTGGATCACAAACGACTTCAACTGGCGACATGTCTGGTACTTATATCCAAACCAGGTATTAGTGTCAAGTGAAAAGGTTGCATATTTCCAGAAAGAAGCTCTCAGATGGTTCGCATAATCACTGTAGGTTGGTAAGCTGCAGATGCGTGCATCGTATACAACCGTCGGAGATCCTGTATTACTCATCCCGCCGCGTCGGGAAAATCCCCGCCAGCCAGCCACACAGGCCGCCACCAGCTAACTGATGATTCCCCACCCC